ATTTTTCATTTTGTGCAGATAATGCAGCTTGTTGAACACCATTTGTTGAAAAATTTTCTTCTGAAGTGGTTGAGTTTGGTGTGTTTTCAGATGTTGATGCAGCATGTGATGCAGAAATATTGTTTTCAATTGCTGTAACACGAGGATTAGCCTTGGTTTTTCTGGCTGGTTTTCTGGTTTTGGTTACTCTAGTTGTTGAAGAGGTTGAAGAGGTTGAAGAGGTTGAAGAGGTGTTTCTTCTATTGGAGTTTCTTGTGACAGCCATTGTTTCTAGTTGATGTTGATTTAATGATCACTTGTTTTATTTTATTCGTGGTTTTAACCTGACAGAATATCCTCTACTGTGTGTATATAAGGTAATTCCGATGTTCTATTAATATACATATAATGTTACAATTAGTGGATTCTTGATTCTTCTTATAGTTGATGTGAAATGTTGAGTATTGATGAATTGTGCATAATTGGTTATTCTGGTTATGTAATACCTGACATCATACATAGCAATTAGCAAGCGATGAACGAAGAATAACCACAGCTCAAGGAATTCCAGAGAAGTGGGCCGAAAAGTCAAAAGACTTGTCGAAAATGTATATAAAGGGTTGAGATTTCCAACATCTCAAGGAAGTTTTCTTAACTTGAATCATCAAACTATTTACAAAAAGAGTTTACACATATACAACACATTTCAATTAGACATAATGACAGACGCAGCAACTATCGCATTCTACAAAGGTGAAAGTCAAGATTTCCTTGTCTTCGTTGAAAGTGAACAAGCTGTTCAAGATTATTTGAAAGATTCCACAATCCCATTAGTTGATGCCGTTGGCACTTTTAAAGTTTACACTTCAGAAAGTGGTAGAGGTGTTGATGGTGTTTTACATGAAGCTGCTAAAAGAGATCTAGAGAATCAATTTGGTAAGGTTCCAAAGGAAGAGATTATTGAAAAAATCTTGAAAGAAGGTGAATACCAAAAGAATAAGAATATTGGTAAGAAAAGTTGGGGTTCAACAAATGATGCTAATGGTGTCAACCATTAAGCAATTTTAATGATGATGCATGACTACAAGTATATTTGATTTTTATTTAACGCAATTGATTTTTTATCATTTTTTAATGCTCATTATTCATGACTGATTTAAATGCACCTCCAAAAACAATAGATGTTCTACGAAATATTGAAACTCTGCTTGTAGATCTAGTTGGGGAACCTTCATTGGAAACAATCACTGTATCCTCATTATCGGCAGTATTTTCAATTGGCTCTGATGAATCATTATTTTCCTCACTTTCAATGGGTTGATTACTTCTAAACGTAAATGATGATCTTAAACTTCTTGATGGTGAATGTTTATGAAGCCTTGACCCAGTTTTTTTTGTACTTTGTTTCCTCCTTGTTAATATCGCATTTGTCACTAATTCATTACTCCAAAGGTCCTGTAACAAATACTCAATTCTTGCTTGATCAACTTCTTTCAATTGAATTAAAGTACCAACGTTTCTAGGCCTGGTAGGATCAGAAAGGATTCTATGACTTTTCCAGGATTCCTCATTTGATCCAATTTGTTGCACCATAATTGGAATGATATCAGAGAAATAGCATTGTGTGAAAATACTATTTTTTTCATTTTTAATCCTTACAGAACTCAATCTATTCAATTTAGCATCAAATGATTGTGTAAATTGGGGTAATATAGTGGAACAATGCGTACCCATCTCTTCATTAGTAGCTGATGATGAGTAATCAAATTTGTATGGACCATTCACATAATTAACCAAAATATTCAACTTGTTTTTCCAAACTTCACATTCCATTTCATCATATTGTAAACACAAAAGCTCAATTAACGTATAATCATGCTCAAATATTAACTTAAAAGAATGTTTGTAATTTGTGAATAAACCACCCATCATATCTGAGTTATCAACAACTTTACATATAGAGAGTGGAATTAAAAACTTCACTTCATATCTATTGATCTTGGAAATATGGGCAAGTACCAAATGCGTCTTGAATAAGAAGGCACCAAGTAGCTGAGCATGTACTTGTCTTTCTTTTCCAACCCAAACACAGTGCAATGAACCCAGTAAAATTGGCAATCCTAGATACTCTACTGGAAATTTCAAAGTCTTTACACCGAAAACCAAATTTTGAAATAGTGAATTTGCCTTGAACTTCTCTTCTAATCCATACCTATTAACAAGCTTAATTCGATCATCTATTTGATGTAATGACAGCTCTATCTTACTATGACATAATGGATCCTCTGAGATTGGTGTAAGTTTCAATAAATTCTCCACGAAAAGTTTGTATTTCCCAATTCTTGAGATTGGCTATAAGCTTGATTAGTTTCTTCTTCTTAGTAATTACCAAGTGTATGTCATACTTTTTGTATCAATGATGAAAATGAAAGATCCATTCTGCTATTTGAACCTTGTGTAGCTTCCAAAAATAATTGATATCCCTTTTGAAATCGTTAATACTTGAAAGAGTGTGTTTGAACAAATGCTAGTAGACATACCTTTGTTAGTGTTGAGCCAAATTCAGGATCAGATTCTTTGGCAGCCATTAGCCTCAAGACTAACTCATGAAGACAACTTAGTTCTTGGTAAAAATAAAGACTAATAGCCTTTTCTGCTATAAGTTGAGAAACCAATGCAGCCATCAATGGAGATGAACAAGATAAAAGCTCTTCTGCTCTTGTTCTTAAACCAGGGGATAAGTTGTTTCTAATAGATGGTTTCAAATAAAAATAAAATAGTGATCTCAAATCTTTCAAGAAACTTTGGTGATTTGTTATCAAGGATTCAATATAACTATGTAGTAATTTAATTGGAACTCCATCACTACCTTTGGTAATTAATGAACCAAGATAGATTCCAGAAAGCATCTTTAGCGAGCTAATATAAGTTTCTTCAGTTTCAATTATCTCTTCAATGGCGAATTTCCGATGATATGAATTCTTTGTAGTTGGTGAAAAATCTTCATATTTTATAGTACATGGAGTTAACTTTGATGATGAAGTATATTCTGAGTTTGCAAATGCACTTACTCCTGTACATAGCTCTGATGATATTTTCTTGTAAGCAAACTCCACACATGAGCTTGGGATTTCATTCAAGAATTCTAACCCAGAGCTCAATTGGATGTTTGTTGATTGTTTGAAGTCATGGAGGGGACTTAATTGATCAAAGTCTAAAACTTCAGTTTTACTATTCTCTAACTCATTGATAATATCAGCTGAACTTTCTTCACTTCTGAAAAAGGCATAGTCGTCCTTATTGAAAAAACTAGTTTGATATGAGGTTTCATTGTTTGGCTTTAGTAAACTTGGATTTGAAGATTGAATAGAATTTTGTGTTGTTGGACGTGAAGAAGACTCTTGAACAGCCGGCGTCTGCACCTGTGACATTTTATTATCTAGCAAATAAACCCTTTTAGCAAATATTGCACAGCACTTGGACTTTTAGTATCCAGTAACAACGACAAACCATCTTGTGATCTTTTCTTTACATTGTAGTTAAAATGTTTTGTGTCAAAGTGTAAACAAAATCTGAAAATTACATAAGTTTTGGCGCGAGTATTATGTAATCAGCAGGGTAAATTTGGCTGTCGAAATTCGCGAAATTCGAAAATCCATATCAACAGGTTTTGAGATTGATAGCATTATTTGGCTGTTTATTGAAGAAAAAACAGTGAATTGAGATCAGAATTAATCGTTCATATTCCTCAGCAAAATGGTATGGTGGATTGGGGACTGGGGATATTGGTTATGTGCTCGCTGTTTGTTCTATTGGTTTAAGGGTCATTCCGCCTTGAAATTATGGGTACTAATAAGGAGAGCATATAGTCGAATCTTCAAACCAGACGTTCAGCCTTGGACATTCACTAACTTTAAAATATAGTCAAATCAATCAGGAATTGCCACACTGTTGAGAGTGAGTTTGGAACTATTAATGCTGTCGCAAGGCGATGAACCAGGAGTAACTAACCATATACTTAGGCCGAAAAAGAAGCACATGAAATTGTTTCTAAATCAAGAGCTTGTAAGTATCCAATAAAGATGTTCAACAAGATCCACACAAGGATAGAGAACTAACATTCTAAATTAGACCGTACAAGTCGTCTAAAAGCTGCTAAGACCGATGCTTCATCAGAAATTGCTGCCTACAAACAAAAGAAGGAACAAGAATTGAAACAATATGAAGCTGAAGTAAGTTGACTCTCAATAAAGCTAGACCCGTTTAAACTAACAAATCATTTAGCACTCTGGCTTGAACGAAACTGCTGATAAGGAAGCTGAAGCTCAAGTCAAAGAGGAATTAGAAAAGATCCAGAAAACCGCATCAGAAAAACAAGCTGAAGTTGTTAAATTATTGATTAATGCTGTCACCAAACCAACTCCAGAATTACATATCAATGCTTCTTCATAATTTCAATTCATCAATTGGTTTCAATAATCAGGAAAATAAAAATCTGTATTTTGAGTTTTTTTTTCGTTTAATCAAATAGTCTAGAGGATTTTCTTCCTTCCACTGTAGAAACCTTGAATAGTGACTAGAACCAAGTTCAGGGACCTGAATTGCATCAAGAAACCCAGTAAATTTCTTCTCTTTCTTTAATTTCACGCTAATTCATCATGTGTTAAAGTTTCGCATGCTAAATTCTCGAGTCTCGTTTGGCAAAAAAAAATCTGGTGAAGTTTCAAAAACAAAAAACCACCTTCAGTTCCATTTCCAAAGTAAATACGTTCCCATAAAGCAGTTTCATACGTTGTCTGTTTCGTTCAAGATGGACAATCTCCAAATCTACTTGAATAGCACCAATGTCTACTTGAACACGACGTTGGTGGAGTATTTCAACACAACTTTGGATGATTATTTACAATCAGAGAATTTACCATACCAAATTTCATTCTCATTACTAGTTTCAATCCTTGTGCCATTCCTATGGATCTTCAACCGTCGTTACAACTCATCACTAAGAGCTGAGAAAGCGGTCAAATTTGCAATTGAAGTTCCATCTGAAGCTAAACCTCACTGGAAGGGGAAAAGAATACACCCAGTATCAATCAGAAATGCAGAAGAACCAGAATTCATTCAATCATATTGTCCAGCTACTGGTCAATTCCTTGGAAGATACAAAAGTAACACAAGAGAAGAGATTGATTCAATCATCAATAAGGCTTCTACTGCTCAAGAGGAGTGGAAAAATTCATCATTTGTTCAACGTCGTCAAGTTTTAAGATCATTAAGTGAATACGTGGTGAAGAATCAAGAAAACATTGCAAGAGTTGCATGTAGAGACTCTGGTAAAACAATGGTTGATGCTTCAATGGGTGAAATTTTGGTGACATTGGAGAAATTGAATTGGATAATCAAACATGGTCAACAAGCTTTAAAACCTTCTAAAAGACCTGGTCCTTCCAATATTTTGATGAGTTACAAAGGCGCTGAAGTTAGATATGAGCCATTAGGTGTTGTCGCAGCCTTGGTTTCATGGAACTATCCATTCCATAACTTGCTGGGTCCAATTATTGCAAGTTTATTCACAGGTAATGCCATTGTGGTTAAATGTTCTGAGCAAGTTGTATGGAGTTCTCAATGGTTTATCAAATTAGTCCAAGCTGCTCTAATAGCGTGCGGCCATGACCCAAACTTAGTTCAATTAGTGTGTTGCTGGCCAGAAGATGCAAATTATTTCACCTCTCATGAAGGCTTATCTCATATTACATTCATTGGTAGTAAACCAGTTGCTCATCATGTTGTTAAAGCTGCAGCGGAATCATTGACACCAGTTGTTGTGGAGCTTGGTGGTAAAGATGCCTTTATTGTCTTGGATGACGTTAAAGATGTTGACGCCATCTCTAGTATTATAATGCGTGGTACATTCCAATCTTCAGGTCAAAATTGTATTGGTATTGAAAGAGTTATTGTCACTGAAAAAAACTATGATAAACTTGTAAACATCCTCAAGGAAAGAGTCCCAAAATTGAGATTAGGTTCAGATATTGATCAATTAGAAGATATTGATATGGGTGCTACAATTACTGATGCTCGTTTTGATGCTTTACACAATCAAATTGAACAAGCTGTTAGTCAAGGTGCAACATTATTATATGGGGGTGATAAATATTCGCATCCAAACTATCCACAAGGTCATTATTTCTCTCCAACTTTATTAGTTGATGTCACTCCTGATATGGATATTGCTACTAATGAAGTTTTCGGACCTGTATTGACAGTTATTAAGGCAAGAGATACAGAAGATGCTATCAATATTGCCAACTCTACTGATTATGGATTAGGGTCTTCAGTTTTCGGTAGTAACTGGGAAGAACTAAACTATGTTGCTAATAGTATAAAATCTGGAAATGTTGCAATTAATGATTTTGCAACTTTTTATGTTTGTCAATTACCATTTGGTGGTCAAAAAGGTTCAGGTTATGGTAAATTTGGTGGTGAAGAAGGGTTACAAGGTTTATGTAACTTGAAAAGTGTATGTTATGATAAGATTCCTTTTGTCTCTACACAAATTCCAAAACCTTTAGATTACCCAATTAGAGATGAAGCTAAAGCTTGGAGGTTCGTTAAAGCTTTAAATATTGGTGGGTATGATGTAAGTTTGTGGAATAGAATTAAAGCTATTGGAACTTTAGCCAAGAATGCAAAATGAACAAGTACATGGTTGTTGTGTAATAGATGTGGTGGATATGTACATTATGATTTTCACTCAAACGAGTTGAAAAGTATATAGATAATGAAATTTCATGAAAAAGTTTTCTTTTTAAATCATTTCAAAACCGATTTTTCAGCAGCTTTATATTGGGTTTGTAATTCTTCAGAATACTTCTTGTGTAATTTTTCAACATCTGCCAAAGTTTTCTTGATGACATCTGTTTTTTCAAATTTTTTCAATTCTTTCATTGCTGAAGCTCTAGCAAAAGATAATGAATGCTTATCATTAGAATTCTTGAATTTTTCAAAATCAACTTTTAGTTGTTTGGCAATTTCTTGTCTTGATTCCGCAGTTGGAGGTGGTAATGGAACCTTCAATTGTTGGGGAAAATTAGGCACAGTTTCAGGGTTCATATTCATACCTGATGCTAAAACTGTAGAGACGACATGTTTTGTATTGTTTGGATCAAAGACTGTAATGATTAAATTTCTACCTTTTAGGGCAGTTTGTGCCAAAGAGGTGAAAATTTGTGGTTTTTTGTTAATTTCAACTTCTAATTTATCAAATAGTTTTGGGTTAGCTGCACCAAGTTTTGTTTCTGAGATTTTTTTCTTGTGTTGTTCCAAACATTCTTTGTATTTGGCCTCTAGATTTGGTAAGACATGAGATGGGTCCTCTACCGAAACATCTTCATCTTGTTCTTTAGCAGCTGCACCTTTACCTTTTGATCCACCTTTTTTGTTCTTTGGCTTGTACAAGACCGATGTGTAGGATAACGATCTGACAACTGATTGCCTTTGAAAGGCAAGAGAGCTTTTAGCTCCAAGTAATGAAGTATTTAAAATTGACTTGAACATATTAGGGCCCTTTTAGTTATAAAATTGGTTCAATTATGTCTGTTGAATGAATTTCTCGAGGAAAAGTTCAAAGACTTTTGGCATTTTCGATTACATAATTTTTTTTCATACTTGAAAATTTATAGAAAGCTCATCTCTGAGATCTTTACAATCTTGAAAGCTTTGATCAAGACTAGACAAAGGGATTCATAATGAGTGGTGCTATAGAAGAACTCAAGGAACTGTGTCAGATATGCTACGAACAAAAATTCAAGTACAAATGTCCCAAATGTGGAACGAAAACATGTTCATTAGAATGTGTCAATAAACACAAGACACAATCTCAGTGTGATGGAGTTATAGATAATGCCAAATTTGTTAAAAGAAGTGAATTCAAAGAGAATGAGAACTTGGTTCATAGAGATTATAATTTTCTGATGAAGATGAATAGAACCATTGAAGTTTCTAAGAATGACGTGAGGTCGAAGAATAAGAAGATACTCTCAAATTATCACAACAATAACAAGAGATTTCAAAGAGATTCTGCTTCAAACAACTATGAAAGCATTGTCAAAAGAGGTGTGAAAATAAGGAAGTTGCCAAGGGGAATGCAGAGAAATAACATGAACAAGTCAGGGTGGGACCAAAAGAAGGATACATATGTATGGACTATAGAGTGGATATTGATTGATAATGAAACCGGCTCTGAATTGGCCAAACATTTTAGTTTTCGAGTACCAGAAGGAACAAAATTGGAAGAAGCTATTCATCAAACTATCAAAGAGAAAGTTGGAGACGTGCCAGTGTTTTGCTTTCTGAAGAAAATCGACACTCCGGCATCAAACCCACAGTTTATACCTCTTGATAATGAACATTTATTAGCTGATGTGCTGAGAGATCAAACAGTTATTGAATTCCCAACAATTTTGGTTGCAAAGGAAAAAGAAGTGAAGGGATATACTGTTTATGAAAGTGAAGAAAGTGAAAGTGAAAGTTCATCATCTGAAGAATCATCTAGTGAAGAGAGTAGTTCAGAAGAAGATAGTGAACCAGAGGAAGTATCGTCCAAACAACAAGATGATACAGAAAACTCAGAGCAAAACACAGAAGAGGTGAAAGCTAAAGAAGAAGAGACCAAAGATCCTATCGCAGATTCAACAGATGAATTAGGAATAAAAGAAACTACTGCATTTTAGCATTAAGACATTATCATTATAAATATATCAATAAACCCTTCATAACTCCATGTAATATTTCCTTTGTACTCCTAGTGAAATAAATATAAACCAAGCAATTAATAATTGTTCTTTGTTTTTCAGGCAGCACCCGCAGTTCTAACAGGCTTTTTAATAATAGTAGCCTGTTCACCACCTCTAACAATTTTTTGACCAGTTGAGTCTTGTTTCAATGGAACTTCTTTATTTTCTTGTTGTTGTTGTTTCCAAACAATTTCCTCAGTACGGCCACTTAATACAGCCACCCTCATTGTAGCTAATAAATTATGAGCTGCTGTTGAATGATCATAAACTGCACCGTTGAATGCACTTGTAGCATCTTTACCAATTGACGTCTTTATCAATGCCACACCACCTGGATGATCATTAACAAATGGTGTAACATCATGAACTATTCCTGCAACTGCAATCAATGCTCTTTTATGTTTTTCATCGTTTGCCCATTTTCTAAATTCTTCAGGTGATATTATTGGAAGTTGATCGATTGGAACACCCCAGTTTAGTTTAGCCCTTCTTTTATCAATTAATTTCTGTTGATATTGTAACAGACATTGACTAATTGAAGATTCTGAAGCTCTGTATAAATTCTTGACCAATTTGAGTTTTTCTAAAATGATTAAATGATACTTGACAGGGTCAAAATCAAACCAATTTATACCATTTCTAAAATCAGCTGAGAATTCATAGTGGAAATTATTATTTCCTTCACCCCATGTTAAGAATGATAGAAACCAATTGTTTCTACAACTTTTTTTATCATCAAACGGTTGAGTCCCCACACAATGACCTAATGAGTTAACCAAAAAAGTTGAATTTTGTACCAATGCACCTCTTAAAATACCTGCATAGATTAATCCACCAAGGTAATCATCCCAAAAGATCCCAGCAATAAAACTAGGAATCATTAATCCTGTTAAAATCAACAATTCATTATAATTTTTCTCTTGCCAATCGATCAAAGTATCATTGATCAAATCATCACCTAAGCATTCCTTCACAGAGTTTCTCACTTTAGGATGAGGTCTTAAAGTCATCCAACCAATATGACTATATACCAAACCTTTTCTAATAGTATGTGGATCTTTTTCAGTATCACTATATCTATGATGAGCTCTATGAGCTGAAGCCCACCATTTAATAGAGCCTATACCAACACTTGAACCGAAAAATGCATAAATAAACTGAATCGGATACGATGCAATAAATGATCTATGTGCCCACAATCTATGATATCCAGCAATAACACAAGTTGCAGTAAAACAATAGTAAAAACACGACCATATTACCGTATACCAATTGAAAGTTGTCTTAACGGTGAATGCCAACCCAACTAATGGAATGATAACAGTGGTTAATAACCCATACCAGTGTAAATGTCTATACCAATTCCATAAAGTCCATGAGGATTCACTAATGTGGCGACGGAAAATATGTTGAGGTTCCTTTTTGGAGATCCTTTGCTTTGTGGAGGGTGTCACTATCGTTTCATTCTTCAAAGGCGAGCCTGATCGAAGTGACTGTGATGGGATTCGTTGGTTCAACGACATGGTGTTGCTTTGACAGTATTGTTGGATTGTTGTTGAAAGAGGAGAAGGTTAAATGAAATGCGTTTTCAGTAGGAAAATCAGCACTATTTCAGCTGATTTGAAACTTGTTGATATGCTTGAAATCAGAGTAATGGATTTTTCTTAATTAATGGCAAATAGTGGTTAATTAATAAGTCAAAGTTGGTGTAATCGGAATCTCAGGTCTTTCTGTTGGTCAAGTCTTCTCTGCACATGTTTTTTTTTTCAACGGTTAAACGAAATTGTTGAAAAACTCAGGGCTACGAAACCATCCAACATGAAAAAGCCTCTACAATCCAAACTTCCATAATTTAGTATATTTTATTCATGCTATTTTCGATTGGTATCTATTTTGAAGGACTGTAGTTGTACTGCCAGTCTTGTGGTGCTCCTGGGGTCATATATGGCTGGGGTGGTCCAGGAGGTAATAATGCAGGTGTTGAAGGATTAAACTGTTGTTGAGATTGTTGATTCCACCCAATTTGTTGATATTGTTGTTGCTGTTGTGGATCCTGTCTATTGGAATCCCATCCATAATACGATTTGGCTCTAACAAAACCAAAGATAAAATTTGAAGTGAATGCCCATGATATTAGCCCAACACCGAAAACAACTATAGCTTTAACACCTATTGGTTCAATTAACGAATTCAAAATCATACCCAAAGTTTCTGCACTAACACTAGCTTTCCCTGCATGTGTTGTTGGATCTCTATTCATACATCTTTCCAATTCTGAACATGTAACTTCTAGTGCTGGTGCTCTTGTTTCTGGCGCACATCTATTTTCAACATATGATCTAGCACAACGTGAAACTTCCATTGCAATATCCGCTGCATATTCTTCCATTTTCAAGTTTATATCTGATTTGACAGTTTTAATGGCATTTATCAATATATAAATAGCGATACTTGATGTTAACACATTGAACAATAATTGTAAATAAGAACTGATTAAATATGGTGTTGGTGCTTTTGGCGATGCAAATTTAGACCATGGAGCAGGTAGTGGTATAACTTCATTCCCAGGGCTATATTGAGACGAAGATGTTGGTGTTGATTGATTTGAAGGGTAATAATGGTGATGATGCATTTGTAACTGAATAGGCGTGTTCCCCCATTGCGTTTTAACAACCGGTGTTCTATAATGTTGTGGTGTATATTGACTTGAATCATCGTCATATGTTGTTTCATCTTGTGTGGTGTCAGCTTCTGATTCATATCTAACCATACTTAGCTTAGATGGGGTGTTTGATTTGTGATTTCTGTTTCTAATGACTTGATCATCAGATACTTCATTGTCAGCATGATCTAAAGAGCTTACATCCGTCAATATGCTGTTATCAACATTATCATCACTTGATTCATTGGCTGTTTGTTCCAACCGATGTGTCAAGGTTGGCTTAAACGGAGATGGTGAAGTTGCAACTCTGGCACCAAGTTCTGTAGGACTTAAAAAGTTGTGAGCAGTTTTAGAGATTGAACGTGTAAAACTATGACTATGATCAGCCTCTGTCATCATCACATCACTATCATCAACTCCATTCTCATCATCACTTAGGAATTCCTTTTCTGGTGAATCATCTGCAACATTATAAGCTTCTTTCAAAGGAGATGATCGCACAGGTGTATGTGGATGAGCGTGTATTTGCTTACCCAGCGTTTTCTTTATCAATACTTGTCTTCCCAAAGGAGCATCTTTCATCTTAACATCACCATCACCATCATCTGCATCATTAATTGACAATTCTGATGTTTTGCCCAAGATCAGTTCGGCATCATCAGCACTAACGCCATTTTTCGAAGGTGTGCTCTGTATCATACTCAGACCTTCGTCCAGTGATAGCGAGCCCAGCATATCATCCATTACTGTGATCAATGAATTCTTCTTTTGTCAATTTCTCTGACGTGTTTTTTTAAGCATTTTTAGTTTCATGTTAAATTTTTTTTGTTTTTGTTTTGATTTGAGTGCGATAACCAGATATTTTTCTACATACAAATTGAAATTTAATCAAGTAAGCTGGAATTTTCTATTTATTTCCTTCTAATCTTCAATGATTTTGGAGCTCAAAACCTCATTACAAATGGCCTCCAAAGTTTTTGCACTTTTACCAACTTCTCCACCTTCTTTAATCAAATTTGTTAAATTCTTCTTGATTTGAGGAATGAAAAATTCAACCAATACTCGCTTCCTGGTTTCAACATCTTCACAACTTATAGTATTCAAATCAATTGTCTTATCGACTGTGTTTTTATTAGTGCTTGACAACTCAGTTGTGAATAATTTCAAATGTGCAAACGGTTGTGGTGTAATTGGTGTCAAATACTTTGTTGTTAAAGGATGTGCAGTTAAAACTATTCTTTTCTTACTCAACTCATCTTCATTGGCAAAAGCTCCGATTCTAATAAACCTCACTAATGAATCTAATCCTTGTTTCTTAGATTTACCTGAATTATTTGTAACTGATGAAGTTGTGATTGCTAATGAAACTGATTGTTTAGAGTCACTTAATGTCCAATTCAATAAAGTGAAAAATGATTTCAATGTCTTTATCCATGCACTTCTAACCAAGGAATCTGGACCATGTTTGATTAGCACATCAAGGAACTTTGTAGAATCATTTCTGATCTCTGGTACAATATGTGTCATAGCACTATGAATATATAGAATAATCGATCTTGCATGTAATTCCATTAGATTCGTTTGTTTCTCAGATGCAGCATTTAACAAACTTATGAGTGCAGTTCGTACTGATGCTGATTGATCTATTATTAGTGGAATCACAGCATTCAGGATTTGTTTGTATAATGATGGGTTATCTGGTAAGTGTTGTTCAATATGTATCAATGTTTCCTTTCTTGTGGTTGATGCATGATGTTTAACTAATGATAATCTTTTGATAAGGTCTGTATCTTGGTCCAGGTTTCTTGAGAGGGATTGATTTGGTAAAGAAATGGCTTAATTATGTTAGTATTGGTAATTATCAAATATACTTCCTTCAACTCACTTTTTGCAACAAACGAAGTGTCTGTATAATTTGATGGTTTAGCTTTAGTTTTACCAACTTTTAACTTAGCTTTCTAAAGGGACGATCTGTTAATATGAAAACTTCTGGGACAACTGACTGTTCCGATCACATACTTGGAAATCTTTCTTCTTATCCTTTTGTTTCTTAGTGGAAGCCATTTTAAAATATCTTATACACCATCCCAAAATTCTGGATCAAATACGTTCAAGAAGCTCATCTCTGAAAAGTTTATAGAAAAAAAAATTCCATTGTGTCGGCCACGCAGTTTCGCGAATTCTTCAAGAAAATCAACTTCAACGAATTTTCGAATGGCAATTAAACAACGACATTTGACTCAAAGTATTGGAGAAAATCAATTTGAAGATGAGTTCTAGAGCATTGAGAAGGCTAGAGAAGCAACGGGAACAGACTCGTTTGGCTGAAGAGAATAATGATGTTGAAGAGGTTGAAGAAGAAAGCGTTGAACCTGTGAAGAAGGCTCAAAACATATTTGCACTCATTGGTGGTGAAGAGGATGATGATGAAGATGATGAAGATCAGGAGAAAGTAGAGTCTGAAACTGAAGATGTGAAAGCGTCAGTACATCTACCCACAAAGTCACAGAAGAAGAACAAGAAGAAGAAAAATAAAGGTAAAAAGAAGGCTGAACCTAAAGAGGTTGATGAAGACAGTGATGATGAGCTAGATAAGATAATCAAGGAACTAAATCGTAAAGAAAATAGAATTGTGGATACAACTGAAATAGACGCAGAAGAGGAAGAAGCCATTGATGATGAGGTGACTCATGAAATTTTAGACTCATCATTCAGCCACTTCACACCACTAAAACAATACAAATCCGCTTCACTATTGAAAATAGATCCAAGAGACCTAGACCCAGATAACGAATTCAAAAAACTATTTGGTAATTTGTCTGCAGAAGCCCTTAATGATGCTGATTCAACAACTTCAACTTCAGTACCACCTGAAATTTTACAACAAATCAAGAGATTATCGAAAGTTGTTAGAGGTTGGGGTGGTCGTGATAGAAGATCCATTCCTGGTACTACAAGAAAACTAATCTTGACCAAAATAAGAGATGATTGGATTCCAACTCCCAAAAAGGATATAAATATGGAGGAATTATCAATAAAGGAAGTTATTGACGATAAAGCTGCAGAATCTGAAGATTGGGTTGATGTTATAAAAGATGATGTTGTGAAAATGGCGAAATATGGTATAAAACATTATAAATTCGAAAGAGGTGCTGAATCTAAGATTGCCAATTCACAATTCTATGCTTCTGTTGTTGTTACTCCAAATCATGAAAATTTGATGCAATTATTACCAAGGTTCCCATATCATGTTGAAACTATTCTACAAGTTGCGTTGATTTTGATTAGACAAGGTGATAAAAGTAACAGTAATGGTCTTGTGGAGAGAGCATTATTTACATTTGACCGTGGGTTTAAGCAGAATTTTGATCTTTCAAACGGGTTAACAAGATTACCATTCAATTACTATTTGAACCGTCAATTTTATCTAGCCGTTTTCAGATATATTGAAATCTTGTCTAAGAAAGGTACATTGTTTACTGCTTTCACTTATGCTAAACTTTTATTAGCATTATCACCAGCTGACGATCCATACGGTGTTAGATATTTTATTGATTTTTATGCAATTGTGTCAGCTGAATACAAATACTTGACTGAAATTGTGGATAGTCCATTAGTCACTACATATTCAAAATGGTATACTCCAGGTATTGCGTATTCCACCGTTTTAGCATATTTATACCTAGGAAATGAAAGAAAGGCTAAAGAGTATTTGAAAAAGGCCTTTATCAAACATCCATTCACCGGTTATAAATTATTAGAAGCTATTGGGTTGGCAAGTGATATCCCAGTTAATGATTATTCAATTTTTGAAGTTGGCCAAGAAACTGAGTTATCCACTGAAGCATATTTATTGAGAGCTCCAATTGTTTGGAAAGAAGCAAACCACAGAAAGTTTTTGCATGACACATTGCTAGGGTTCATAAATAATAAAATTAAGTTCCAACCAACACAAGATGGCGTTATTCCAATGAATTTCTTAAGATTTGCAATTCTATCAGGAGAAGGTAAAGTTATGGCAAAGATCCCACCAGAAATCTGGGAACAAAATGAAATCTATGAATTTGATGTCCTACCTCCAAAATTAGGGTTTGTTGAAATGTTGGAAGATTTTATTGATCAAAAATATGTTTCAACTAGTTATAATGATGAAGAGATTATGGAAATGGTTAGAAATTTAAGTTTACAGGATGCTATCGATCAACAAGTGCCAGGAGCCTTTCCAGAGTAGTGACATTCAATAAATTAATAGAATCATTTAACTCTTGTAATGACTGAATAATATAATTCGTTGTAGTGGATTGAATTTAAAGCTGACATAATATTTGGCTGTTAATGACTAATCAACACCAACATTTTTGCGGAGGAACTTCATCAACAAACTTCCAACCTTTACATCCCATTAAACACATAGACACTAGGACGTTTAATTAGAGAAATTATAATGGTCTGGCCGTTTTCTCAGAATAAAGGATCATCAACTTTGAGGTCAGAGAAGAAAGCTGAAGAGGAGTTACTAAAAGAACTACCCGAAGACCTAGGCAAATTCCTCAAGTTTAAGAACCGTGAACGCTTCAAATTCGAAGATAAAGCTGATGATTCGAAATTCAAACTTCATAAGCAACAGAATCCAGTTAAAGCTATCCCCTTGACAAATTGTGCTGATTTCCAACTTGCTATGGTCAATTGTTTAAATAATGGATCAACTACTGATAAATTGACAATGTGCAATAAAGAAAGTAAAAGATACCAAGATTGTTTCAAATTGCAAAGAAACCTTTTGCTCAAGCTTGGTATTGAACATGCTAATTCCATTGAAAAGTACGACAAGATTGAAAGAGCTGCTGATGATATTGGTGTTCAGTGGTTTGAAGAGGTCAAAGATCCAGAGGTTATCCCAGATAAAGTTTTAGAACACGTTTATGATAAAAGAGATGAGATTTGGAAATGAGAAGAGGATTTTATTTATTCATATAATATTTATTTTATTTATTGTTCATAGACTATACTTTTCAACTCTTTCCAAAGTTTTAATTTTTGATCCCTTGGAATCCTAACAAGTCCAGAAGTTGAGGGCACAACAAAGCATTCACATTGAAACAAATTTTGATCTTGTAGACCCCAGATGAATTTCTGCTGCTTGAAATTAGAATGCTTCACAATACTATCCCAAATACCTCGCCCAACTAGACATAGAACCTTTGGTTGATACTTATTGATAGTTTCGATCAATCTTGGAACATTTTGTTGCATTTCTATAGCCGGAATCTCTTCGATACCCTTTGTAGGCCTCATGACTAATTCAGTGAAACCAATACCAAATCTTTCTCTCATTGTTTCATCTTCTTGAGGAACCAATTTTTCATCAACAATCCCAGATTCGTAAATAAATTTCCAAAAATCATTGGAGCGATGGGCATATCTATGACCAACTTCAGCTGATTTGATACCTGGATTGAATCCACAAAACACAAGTTTCAAATTATAGTCCAACAAATCTGGAAGTGGCTCAAGATGTTGATACAAAAGCTCTGACTTGTGATACTTGTAACTAGTTGTCGATTTGGTCACTTTATGATTGGTAGCAACGCTTTTAGTTGCAGCTTTTCTTGAGCTGGCTCTCTTTGTAGGTGTTTTTACAATCTGGTCATCTTCTTTATAAGCAAATCTCTCGGTTAAGTCTTTGAATTTGTCCATAAAAGAGGTTTCTGATGGTGATTATGAACAAGTTTAAGATCAGTTTTGCCATATAATTTCTTTTAGCATCACAAGCCACAGAGAAAACTTATGTAATCAAGAGGTGGCTAGTGATATAATCACATGCGCCACATTGCCCAAAAAAACAAAAATAACTTCCCGATTCGGAAGTTTTATTAATTACGTGCATTTTTTTTACGCGTCTCATTTTTTCTTCGAAGAAGGAAAAATCTTGAAACAAATATCAAAATACAAATATCAGAAACTTTTCTGCAGATATTCGTGTTTTCCTTGAACTCATCCAAACAAAACAATAATCCACATCAACAACAACAAAAATGGATGAAGTTAATGAAACACTTGATGCCATCTTTGGTGATCGTGTTCGTCGTTTTCAAGAGTTCTTAGATTCAGAGGAAGGTCCAACTGATTATAGAGATGCCATTAGAGATTTGTTGGCAAAAGGTGAAAAAAGATTAACTATTTCAATTGATGAAGTCAGAGAATTTGATAAAAGTTCATGGGAAGGTTTACTTAATGAACCTGCTGAATTCTTGCCAGCTTTTGAAAGAGCATTAAGAGATAATGTTACTGCAATTTATGACCCTGGTAATCCAGCTTTTCAAGAGATTGATGATCAATCACAATTTTATCTTTCATTCAGAGGTGCTTTTGGTCATCATTCCGTTTCACCAAGAACTATTAGATCACTTCATTTATCGAAATTGATCTCTGTGGAAGGTATTGTTACTAGAGCCTCTCTAGTCCGTCCAAAAGTTGTCAGATCTGTTCATTATTGTGAACATTCAGGAAGATTCCATGCTAGAGAATACAGAGATCAAACCACATCATTCAATCCAATAACTACTGCAGCTATTTACCCAACTGAAGATCCAGAAGGTTACAAATTGATGACTGAGTATGGTTATTCAACGTATAGAGATCATCAAACCATAACATTACAGGAAATGCCAGAAAGAGCACCAGCTGGTCAACTACCAAGATCATTAGAAATTATTTTAGACGATGATTTAGTGGATTCTCTAAAACCTGGTGATCGTGTCCAAATTGTTGGTGTTTACAGATCTTTAGGTGGTGGTGGTAACACATCATCTTCTTTCAGAACAGTAGTATTGGCTAACTCAGTTTACCCACTACATGCTAGATCAACTGGTATCTCAGCAAAAGAACACATCACAGATAATGATATTAGAAATATCAATAAATTATCTAAAAACAAACATTTATTTGATAGAATGGCCCAATCATTAGCTCCATCAATTTATGGCCATGAACATATCAAGAAAGCTGTGCTACTTATGTTGTTGGGTGGTGTTGAAAAAAATTTAGATAACGGTTCACATTTAAGAGGTGATATCAATATATTAATGGTTGGTGATCCATCTACTGCTAAATCACAAATCTTAAGATTCGTTCTAAACACAGCTGCACTAGCAATTGCCACTACAGGTAGAGGTTCTTCAGGTGTTGGTTTAACAGCTGCCGTTACTACAGATAAAGAAACTGGTGAAAGAAGATTAGAAGCAGGTGCAATGGTTTTAGCTGATAGAGGTATTGTTTGTATTGATGAATTTGATAAAATGTCTGATACTGATAGGGTTGCCATTCATGAAGTTATGGAACAACAAACTGTTACAATTTCAAAAGCTGGTATTCATACATCATTGAATGCTCGTTGTTCAGTTGTTGCAGCTGCTAATCCTGTTTATGGTCAATATGACGTTCATAAGGAACCTCATAAAAACATTGCCTTACCAGATTCTTTACTTTCACGTTTTGATTTACTCTTTATTGTTACAGATGATGTTAACATGGAAAGAGACAGATCCATTTCTGAGCATGTTTTGAAATCCCACAGATACCAACCTCCAGGCTATGCTGAAGGTGAACCAATTAGAGAAAAAGTTAATTTATCACTAGCTGTGGGTAATGATAATGCTGATGGTGAAGATGATGAAGATGAAGAACAACCAGTTTATGAGAAATATAATCCGTTATTACATGCTGGTGCTGAAGCTGCTTTGAATGTTGATAATCATGGTAGACGTAAAAAACCAAAGATTGTTGCAATCCCATTTGTTAGAAAATATATTCAATATGCTAAAAATCGTGTTGAGCCAGTCTTGACAAAAGGTGCATCTGATAAAATTGTGGAAACTTATGCAAATTTGAGAAATGATGATGAAGCTTTAGGTAAGAAAACATCACCAATTACTGCACGTACTTTGGAAACTTTGATTCGTTTAGCAACTGCTCATGCTAAGCTAAGATTGAGTAAATCTGTTTCAATTGCAGATGCTGAAGTTGCTGAGCAATTGTTGAAATTTGCACTTTTCAAAGAAGTTGTTACAAGAAAGACAAAGAAACAAAGAAAAGATGAAGCAGAAAACAGTGAAGAATCAGATTCTGAAGAGGAACCAATAGAGGATGAAGAACCTAATTATTCAGAATTTGGTGCCCCAAGAAGTACAAGAAATTCACAAATTAGACAGGTTTCACCAATCCCATCATCACAACCTGGTCGTACTGAAGACGATTATGTTCCACAAAATCCAGATACTCAAGAAACACAAGATTCTGAACCTGAAGATATGATAGAACAACTAAACATTCAAGAGGAGGGGGAACAACAACAGCAACAGCCTGAAGAAGCTCCAGTTCCAGTTCCTGAAGCACCAAGACCATTATCAACAACCCAAGCTCCACAACAAAGACCAACAATCTCTCCAGATAGATTTAAGACCATCTCACAAATAATAGCATTGATAACACAAGGTGAATTATTTGATAATGAAGAAGGTTCATGCCCTGAAGCAACTGTTTTCGAAGAAGTCAACAAGAGAGTTTCTGATCAAAATCAATTCACTGAAGATGAATTCAAGAGTGCGATGCACCAATTGGAAAGAAAAAATCATGTCTTGTCTGCCGAGGGGAAAATTTACAAGATTTGAGGTTTGGTTTGTACTTTTATTTATTTGAAATGGGTTTTAATGGTTCTTTGATTCTGTTTTAGTGTTTTGTTCTGGTTTTGTACTATAATAATATGGTTTTGATTATTCGTTATATATCTACATGATTTTTGTAAGCAAATGCTGAAATCCTCTATTATTTGATCGTATCTAAGTTTTCTTCATGTTGTAAATTATTAGCTAGTGTTGCTTCAAATGGATTCGAATTTGGATGCGTAACAGCAGCACTCTGTAAAGGAGTATGAACAGAAGGCATACCTAAAAATGGTGTATTCATCTGTGGAATTGACATAACTGATGGGATTGATGACAACATTGGTGCTTGCATTGAAGCTGCTGATTGTGGTACTGCTGAATTCAAAGAAGAAAACGAATCATTAATGAGTCTGTAGGAACTGACTTCAAGCATGATGGTGACATCTTTTGTTGCTTTTGTTAAACTTGCTAACGATGGTCTAACCTCATTCAAAATTGGCATTTCATTCATGATTGATTTCGTTGAACCAAGAATTGTGATGATAGATTTCAACAGTGCATTAATTTCATCAAAAAATTTCTTCTTCTCCACAACATTTATCGTCTTAAAGCCATTTGAACCCAATTTTGTTTTAATCTTTCTATTCAAATCCATAGAAACAACACAAGTATTTGTCAATTCTTTGATCTTTGAAATAGTGTTACCATTCAAATTTTGTTGTTGCTCCTCAGTAGGTTTAACAGCATTTGCAATAGCACTTTTGGAAATCGCATCATTTAATTCAGCATAAACTTGACTTGATGATTCCAAAGCATTATGTAGCGACTCGTATAGTTTTTGATCAGCCTCACCATATTCATTTAGTTGTTGTTGAGTAATGGTTGGATTCATACCTAAATCATTAACTTTTAATGGGGGTAATTGAGGTGGTGCATTTCTCGAATTGTTGTTATTATTATTATGATTGTTGTTTGAATAAATATCTTTATTTTGTCTTTGGGTGGATTGTGATTCTGGATTGAGAATTCTGAAGGCATTATAAACTTCACCATATGATAAAAATAATGATAACAATAACATCCTTATGAAGCACACATCAGCATTCTTAACATAAGCTTGATAATTACTTTGCAAAATATCAATCATCTTCTTGAAAATCGAAACAGTTTGTGTGACTGACTTCAAGATCTCATCAATAGCAACATAACCATCATCATTTTGCTCAGTTTTCTCTAAACTTTCCACGAGATGATCAATGACATTTTTGGAATAATACAGCTGTGAAACCATATCAACAATTATTGATTTTTCTGAACAAAAAGCATTTAGCTTTTTGATTGTTGATTGAAATTCAGTAATTGAAAATAAAATCTTTCGAGAGATATCAACAATTTTAAACTGTGTAAGATTCGGTCTTTGTTCAGGTAAGGTTGATAATCTCTTGAAATAATCATTAGATTTATGCTCTGGTATCGAGTCTAGTTTATCAGTATTCATTGGAGAGAACCCACCACTGGGTATTTGTAGTTTTGTATCTTTTCCAATAGTCTCTTGATCTTCGTCAATTGTTGACGGTATTGGTGAATGACTGCTAACGCTGCTTGCAGCTGACATTGATCTGTTTCTTCTGGTGATTGATAATGGTTCCACTGGAGGAGATTCCACTTCGTTCACGGCTTCAGGAGTTGGTTCAGGATTTGGTCTTTTGACAATGAAGCCCATTCTTTTAGCCGCTCTTGAGCTAACATAACTTTCAGATGTACTTCTTGATCTTTCTAAATGTTGAACAGAGCTTGAAGGATGTGATGTATTTGATGATATTGTTGATTGAGATGATACTAATGGTGGTTTCTCTGTTTCTTTGATTGGTGTTGTTGCCATATTGACATTCCCGTTCTGTAGATGTTCAATTTCTGATAGATTGGATTGTATTAGGTCTTTATTATAGACAAGATAGTTTTTTATTTCTTGTAACCATTCTTGAGAATGAATTTTATGAGGTATATTGTTGATGAATGCTTGTGATGGTAACTTTAATGGATTATTCTCTATTTCTAAAATTTTCAGATTCTTTATTGACAGGATGGAGGTTGGTAATATTTCAAAATTATTATTCTTTAAAGATAGAACCTTCAAGTTCTTGAGATGACCCAAGTCATTAGGTAAACTTCTTAGATTGTTGAAACTGATATCCAATATTTCAAGTTCACTCATAGTTGTTAAAATATCTGGGAATGTTGAAAATTGGTTGTCATGGATATCCAAATACCTTAATTTAGATAATCTATTGAAATATTGTGGCAAATTTGAAATGTTGTTATTTTGTAAACTGAGTCTCTCCACTGACTCCCGTATCAGCTCAACAGCCTCTGGTGGAATCGACTGTATGTTGAGTCCAATCAATTTCATACCCCCAACGTCATCTTCACTTTTGATTGATCGTGTCAGTTCCTCAGTTATGAGTTGCATTAGCCTTGTTCGGCTTGTTTGGACTTGTTCAGAAGACATTAGGGTAGGACCAAATAGACAACAGAATAGTACAACTGTTCACGTTTGAAAACCAGAAATATCAGTTTAGAAAAGTGTCCTTTTCTTTGAAACCAAAATGTGATTCTGATTTAAAAAAATCATGGGTTAAATCAAGATCTATAACTTTTTTTTTCTTTTTGATCGAAAGTATTACATAAGAAATTACAAATATCACTACACTGTGTGAAATCAAATAACATAACAGATTTGACATAATTTTCTATTTAAAATGGTGGTGGATAGAATGGCCATTCATACTGCTTAGCATGTGCCAATTTGACTCCTAAATCATCGGCCCATTTCCATGTTAAACCTGGGTTTTTAAGGAACAATTTACCATTCAATACAAAATCAGCTTCACCATCTTCAACAACCTTGTTTGCAAACTCTGCTTCTTCAATTTTACCAACAGTAGCAACGAATAGTTTTTCACCGACATGATCCTTAACAGCTTTGGCCAGTGGGACTTGATAACCTTGTGTAGCTTTTCTTCTTTCAGCATTTGCATTGTTACCACCAGATGAAACATCGAGAACATCAACACCATGTTGAATCAAGAAATCTGATAATTTCACTGTATCTTCAACAGTCCATGCTTCTGGGATGTGTGGTGCATTTTCAGATCCGGAGACACGAACAAATAATGGATGTTTATCATCTTTAACAACATCAATAATATCCAACAATATTCTTATTCTATTTTCAAAAGAACCACCGTATTTATCTGATCTTTGATTAGAAGTAGCTGATAGGAAACTACTGATCAAGTAACCATGAGCACCATGGATCTCCACAAAGTCGAATCCAGAAATATCATAAGCTCTTTTAGCAGCTTTACCAAACTTTTCAACAATCTCTTCAACTTGTTCAGTAGTCAATTCAGTTGGAACAACATAAGCATCCTTGGAGAAACTTATTGCACTAGGACCAACAATTTTCCCAGGAATATCACTCCAACCAAACTCTTTCTCACCAACACCTTTCATCAAATGATTATACATTGCAGTACCTGAAGATTTTCTACCACCATGACCTAATTGAATACCAATTTTCACACCTTGAGAATGGGCCAAATCCACAACTTTCTTCAATTCCAAAGCTTGCTCATCAGTCCAAATACCCAAATCTTCTGGTGATAATCTACCTTCCGGTGAAACTGCACTAGCTTCGATAATGATCAAACCTGGACCTCTAAGAGCAAAAGAACCGTAATGTGCGATATGGAAAGGTGTTATTTTACCGACATTTTCACCTTCATGGGCTGCTGAATAGGTACACATTGGAGAAACACCAACTCTATTGGCAAATTTTGTAGTCTTGATGGTTAATGGGGTGAATAATTTTGGAATTTTTTCAGACTCATTTGTTGGAGAAGCTGTTCCTACTGGAGTATCCACTTTTGGAATGAAGTATGGGGTCTTGTCACTTGGTTGAGTGATGAATTTGTTGTCACTGATTGTCATCTTGTGTATATCTATAGTCTGTTAACCAGTTGTTTTCACTGTGGGTCAAGGATTGATAGAATTGATGAGTTTTTAAATACTGGGTTGACATAACTTTTCATCCTCGAGATTACTAATTAATGGACCGATGAACAAGCCGACCTTGACGAAAACATATGGAAAGATTGAAGCCCAAGTGATTGGTAAAAGCCCATTAGTAATGTCTTCAGCACCTTTTACCAAACCACCATTCAGAGCTTTACAAACATTCGATTCATTATTAATGACGTCTTTTCATTGAACCGGTTGAGGAAAACTTCTTGGTTACTAGGTGATTTAACATTTGACAACGTTTATCACAATTAGCGAGGAGCTGAGGTGAATAACTAACAAGGCGTAGAATATATGCCACGTTAAATGGTCGAACATCAATCAGTGGAAAATAGAGAAGGACTCCTGTTGTTTACTGAAATATTGAAAACTGTGTGTACTACCAGATCTTGAAACCCCGTATAACGAAAACTGAGAGATCTGGGGTCTAAATATTACACAAGACTCTACGAAATATCAATCAATTGAAAACCAATGCAAACCTTCATATATAATCAAATAAAATCTTAAAAATACCTTATACAATGAGATCATAATATTTAACACACGCTATTATCAACCAAATTAGTCTTGACCTAAAACTCACACAAACCATACCATTATTATTCCCACACTAAGCAAGCATCACTCTTTTATAACTTCCTTTATCCATTTCTTGTATCTTCCTTATTATCATTATGGGTCTTCTCGAACCCTTCTCTTTATCTAGATATCTGTATATCTTGTCATTAAAATAAACCTGTAGACCAGGTCATTGGTATAATCATAAAATCATAAAAAGTTGAAAGAATCAATGCGATCCTCAATGGAATTGATAGCTTCCACCAACTCCAAGAGATGGGACATAAGATAACTCCAATTGTTGAAATTTTTCCGAGCTTTTATGGAAGTATAATCCACTAATATTACCAGTCTTTTGATTAAAAGAAATATAATAAAATCCAGCGAATGAAGCACCATCAATATTTTCAACTTTCGCATCAGGAACCAGAAATCTTTCTTTCCATCTCATATAAATATGATTATGTTTTAAAAAATTCTTGTGAACATAGTTTTTATCTAAGATTTTCTTAACAGGTAATGAATTTCTCCAGTTTTGAAATTTTGTCCAATGTTGAATATCGATTTTATCAGTTGATCCCCAATCTTTATTATCTGTGAAAAATGAATAATTCTCAGATATGATTTCACTTTCAAAAAATGTAATGATTTCAGGATGTGATTCAGTTAGACCTTGAATTTTCAAATAACCTGAAAGATAACTTTTGCTCAAGTCAACTGATTTCAATTCCACTTCAACTTCATAAGTTGATCTTCCTGATTGTTGAGAACCAACAAATATAGCACCAGGTCTTAATATTGATGTTGTTTGTGGTTTGATCTGGTTTTTGATGAAGAAATCAGTCAATGTAGTTGATGAATAGTTTTCACTTATCAAAGACTTCAAATCATTATGGTAAGAATCAACTGAATCATTAGTATTCGTTAATGATAATGTATGCAGTGATGATGAAGATGACGCCACGGATGATAATAATCTATTATATGGAAATTTCTTGTCAAAATGTTCACCATTATGTTTCAATTCACCCTTTCCATCGTTTGTAACATTACCATCTATTGATTTTGATCTTAATTGCTTAATGTTGTTGGCGTCTATAGTGTTATTGTTGTCATTTGCAACTGTGGTGGTTCCAATTGTAGTATCCAAAGCTTCTGCGATATCGTTTGTAGGCATCTTTTAATATTAAGCAGCGGGATTGAGCACCAGAAGTCTAAACCAACAAGGCTTTCCTAACAGATTGGGATTAAAAGTATCAACTATAGGTAAGTTTAAAAATGATTCATATCTCTAGTATTTATTTCAAAAAGTTTTTACATTTTGACGCTTTTTTTTCGTCGTTCCTTTTGAATTTCTTTTTCTTGCACCTTGATAACAGCCCAAAGTCACGTGCACTTGAGTACAAATAATGATGAAACACGAGAATTTTGATAGGAAATATGATCTGATAGTTGGTAATATTCAAGTTAAAGGTACCTTGATTCCCATGACTGAGCTTCAGCTCAATTAAATGCTGTTTTGCTGCAAAAATGTGCTTTTGCTTCTGTGTCGGTGCTGAGTTTGACATAATCAGATCTGACTTTTGGCTTCCATCACGTAACTGAATTCAATATGATGGCTCAAGAGGAGATGAAACTGTTGTATTTGCTCAGCAATGTGTAGTTTTACAGATTTGATTAAAGAAAGTGATCATATCAACGTGGTGGTGCGGAACAATTGCTCAAAATTCATGACTATCTTTGAACCAGTTGGTCATGGTGAAATGTTCGTGCTAGTCTGTAGTTCGCTGGGGTGTAAATTTTCCAGGCCGTTTAAATAGAACAGCCGATGTACCTGGCTCATGAGTTGTTCCGTAAACCTTTTCGTGGACAATTTCCAAGGGTACACTCTAGTGATTCGTGAGTCAAGTGTCACATATGATATGATTAACAAAGAACGGACCAGTGGTTGTTGAAGTTGAACGTATAGTACAGCATCCACTGTTCATATTGTTAGGAATCTCATAGTTGATATGAATCTAGCAGTATCAAGAAATCTGAACTGCTCTAATATTCAGGAGCAATTAGATGATAGATAGAAGTGTCTGGTAAAGTAGAACGATCTTACGCCTTCACAATTGATTGGTATCACTGGACGTTATACCGATGAATGAACCCAAGTAGTCAAGCTGGTTCTGGTTTGTTTGAACGCGATGTTTAGACTTACCAAATGGAGAATACAATAAGGTTCACTACTTTCGAAAAGCATCAAAACCATCAGCCTGGCGAGTTGCCGGCTTAGTACTCAAGCTTTTTTTCTCATCAACAGCTACAACAAACTACAAAAATCAATGAAACACTATTATGTTTTCCCGTTTAATATGACAGAGCTGCTTATAACTTGGCTCTTTGTTATTCAACCCGCTTTGAGATCTGACTCGGCCGACTCCTCAGCCAGACATTGTTGACTCGTCCTTCTGATAACAATCGATGTGAAAAAAAAACTTGAACCATGAGCCATAAGTTCGCTTCATCTCCATTCAATTAACACATCAACAGTGTGGTATAATGACAGAAGAAGCATCATTTCCAAATTTGGAGGATCTAAACGGTCAAGAAGGTGACAAATTTCGTGTTGTGAAAGATTTATTCGCAGGTACAGTTGGTGGTATTGCTCAAGTCTTAGTGGGTCAGCCGTTTGATACTACAAAAGTGCGACTTCAATCAGATACAACTGGTCAATATAAGAGCACGGTTGATGTCATTAAGAAATTAATCAAAAATGAAGGTATGCTAGCCTTTTATAAAGGTACTTTAACACCTCTTATCGGTGTTGGTGCTTGTGTTTCAATTCAATTTAGTGTCAATGAATATATGAAAAGAAATGTGTTTAGTGGATCTGCACATTTGAACAATTCTCAATATTATCTATCTGGTGTTGCAAGTGGTTTGGCAAATTCAGTGCTGGCTAGTCCAATTGAACATGTTCGTATTAGGTTACAAACTCAATTGACTGGTAATTTGGGTCCTTTGGATATAATCAAGAAAATTTATTCAAATAATGGTGTTTCAGGATTGATGAGAGGGTTAATACCAACTGCAGTGAGAGAAGGTCATGGTATGGGGATGTATTTCTTGACTTTTGAATATCTTGTGAAAAGAGATACTTTAAAGAATAAGATTCAAAGAAAAGAAATTCCAGGTTGGAGATTATGTCTATACGGTGCTGCCGCTGGTTATGCAATGTGGTTCACTGTTTATCCTGCTGATATTGTGAAATCAAGATTACAAACTGATAACTTGACAAACCCAGAATATAAAAGTTTGAAAGATTGTATTGGGAAAATTTACAAGGCCAATGGTGTTGGTGGATTCTTTAAAGGCTTTGCTCCTACAATATTAAGAGCTGCTCCAGCTAATGCTGCAACTTTCTATGCATTCGAACTAACCATGAGACTATTAGGTTAATGTATATAATATTTAATACTTATTTATTCTTTATCTTCTAGTCTTCTCAACAAGTAATCAACTTCAACTTTTTTAGTCAATGGGATAACCCAATCTTTATAAATTTTTGCAAGAAATTCAGGATCAACTTTATTTTGTTGATTTTGGGACCATTTTAATGTTGGATCAGTACCATATGCCTTACCCTTTTCAATCAATCTTTCCAAAATTTTAGCTTCCACTGCACTATTCGTAATAGCATCTTCAATTCCTTTAATATCTTTCTCTTGGATCAATTTTGTAAATCTTTCCTTTTCATTTTGAAATTTAGCTTCGGCAACGAATTTACCAAAATGAATTCTTCTTGATAAGGCTTGCAAGTTATCAATATCACAAGTTGTGCAACTTCCCAAGTTTTCTGGTTGTTCACCATCGCCTGCACTTATCATAGGGACAATATGTTCAATATAGTTTTCTTTAATCAATTGATTGACATTGACTTCATCTGAGTATGATGCTAAGATTTGTGGGTAATTAATAGATGGTAATAATGGTTCTAATATATCATTTGGGAAGAATGGAACTTCGTCTGGTGATTCATATCTTCTGATTTGAGAGTGGATTTTTTCCATATTCACTAAAGCCCAATCCAAGAAGGACCCATCGAAATTTGGAATTTGAATTTTGTTATTGGCATAGACTGATGGAGATGTGTAGAATTGTGATCTTTCAATGAAATTGAAAATAATTGTATCTTCCATACGCACTAAGGCGTCTCTAATGTTCTGGAGGTTAAGGACTGATTCTGGTTTCAGGAAATCCATGATTGATTGCTTTGATTTCTTATCGATGTCAAAAGACCCTTTGAATAAGCTTTTTGATGTTGACTCTTTTTTTCTCGTCTTCACCAAACTAGTGACGGGGCACAAAACCGTACGGTTGAATTAACCAAAACATTGAGAACAAGTTACTCAACTACATAATCAACACTCTCGTAACATAATGTGTATTATCATATAATCATAAATGCTTGCAGCGAATATCAAAGTGTAAATCAAATATCTAAACAAAACGTCATAAGCCGAACCCCAACCAAAAAAAAATAATTGATGCATCAATCATCGTACTCAACATAATCTTTCCCAAACACTTGCTTCAAAATCTTTTCATTTTCCAAATGACTCTCATCTAAAGATTCTTTATCTCTGTATAGGCCAAATGTTCTAAACCATAAAAATCTTCTAAATCTAGAGATTCTAGACTGGTCATACCCGTAATTCATATACACTAACCCAAGATCAGCTTCAGTATCATCATGGACCTTTTTACTCTCCATTAAAGTTTTTTCAACACTATTCAATAGCATCCATCCTTGTATCGTTGCAGAAAATATGATTATCCCAACTAATGCTGCTAATATTTTCATCTTTTCACTTCTTGTGGTTGGATCATCCTCTCTCAAATTCTGGTAATCTTCCCAACTACCAGCATTCCAATATGCATAGTTGTCATATTGAGTAGCATAAGCAGGACTTGGTTTTCGATAATGAGATCTCGTAAGTATTTGTTCATTGGTTTCCCATCCCATTCTGAATTGATCATATAAATTCTTCTTATCCTCATCTTTTAGTAACGTATAAGCATTTGTCAAAAGTTTAAATCTCTCATTTTTGTGATCATCACTTAGTCTATCACCTTTATGATTGATTAGTGTGCTGTTTTTGGAGATATCTGGGTGATAGATCTTTGCAAATTGGTAATATCTTTTCCGAAGAGTCTTGGGATCAAATTCTGACTTCTTTATGTTTAAAACATCATATGGAGAGGGATTTTTATGACTAGGCCATTCAGAGTGATAAAATGGATCGTTGGCAGATGAGTTGTTTATTGTAGATGCCCTTCTTATGAGTAACTTCAAACTAGTCTGCATTAAACTGGATCTGGGGTGAATATAGCTGCTGCATAGCCCATTATTGTGAATATAGTGAAATGTTGAGATGCAATGTTTTTGACCCATCGAATAATATGGGTGTTCGAATATTTAGGAAGATGTTAAGGAATGTTTGAAACCACCCCAGCCGATAGCAATTTTGACGCCTTATAGTCGTAGGCCTTCTTATGTTTTCAACAATGACCTCTTTTGAGATAGCCTGAATGGAACCAATAAAAAGTGTAGTTTAATGGTGATCAAAATTAACTTTCACACGCCAACTAATTGGAAACCGTTTCATTTATTTGCTAAAAGGTGCAAAAGTTCAAAATCAAATCCCGTGTTTATCATACAAAAAATACAAATTCGCGAATTCGCGATGTATCTGTCATTCGTATCGTGTCTATATAAAGTCTCTGTATTTTGATTTTGTGGATTTGAATCTGCAAAAAAAAAACTTTACAAACAGATTTGAAAAACATACGCTTTCCTTGGTTTGAAATGTGCTATCAAAAGCTCAAGATATGGTATACTAGTCTCTGGAGTGGTACAAGAGAAGGATAATGGGTATTTTGAAAAGTGAAAACACCGTCAATTTGCACAATAATATTGCATCTCAAGTCCAACCAAAGAAGCCTCCACCACAACCAGCAAGATTCAGCAAACCAGGTTATGTTATTTATGAAGAGGCAAATTTCTACATTGATTCAAGGTTTCAAATACAAAGTGTTTTGGGGAAAGGTTCTTATGGCACTGTCTGTTCAGCTCTAGATATTTCCAATAAGGATAAACCAGTTTCCATGGCTATTAAAAAAGTTTCAAATATATTCAATAAGGAGATTTTGTTAAAAAGGGCCGTTAGAGAGTTGAAACTTATGAGATTTTTTAAAGGTCATAAAAATGTTTGATTACACCTATTTCCCACCATTTACATTGGACACTACTAACAATCCTGAAAAGATAGTCAACCTCTATGATTTAGATATTGTGTATTGTACACCATATGATGGTTTATATTGCTTTCAAGAGTTGGCAGATTATGATTTAGCAAGAGTGATACATTCATCTGTTCAGTTTTCAGAACATCACATTCAAAGCTTCCTATATCAAATATTATGTGGTTTAAAATACATGCATTCAGCTGATGTTATACATCGAGATTTGAAGCCAGGTAATATATTGGTTACAATTCAAGGAACTCTCAAAATTTGTGATTTTGGGTTAGCTAGAGGAATTTCTAAAGAATTTTTGAAGCAAAAACCTCATTCAATAACAAACTATGTTGCTACAAGATGGTATAGAGCGCCAGAGTTACTTTTAAGTAAAAAAACTTATTCCAAGTCAGTTGATATGTGGGCTGTTGGTTGTATTTTTGCAGAGTTGTATGGTAGAAGACCAATTTTTATAGGTAATGACCAAATTCATCAAGCTACTGAAATTGTTAAAATCCTAGGCTCTCCACCAAGAGATGTCTTACTCAAGTATGGATCAGGCTTAATATGGGAGCTTTTCAATTCTCCAAATCCTCAATACAAACCAATTCCGTGGTCTCAAGTGTACCCATTTGCTTCAAAAGCTGCTCATGATTTATTGTCACACTTGATATGCTGGCACTCAGATTCGAGATATAATGTGGAGGAAGCTATCAGTGACCCCTACCTAAAGTCTGTTAGAACTCCTGATGATGAGCCAATAGCTCGAACTCCTTTCAATTTTGAATTTGAGACACTTGCAACAAATTTGAATGACTATAAGATATTGATTCATGAAGAGGTTCAACAATTTAAAATTGATAGGCTAGGAAGGTTGAATGCTTCACAGAATGAAGGAGGCTTGAGTAATTTACTCAATGCCAACTAAATGTATATTGTTTTTTGTTTCTGTATATTGATTCTTGTAGTTTATTATTTCGAACAGGGCACGTAAATTTTCGCGAAGACCCAAACACAGGCTTTAAAACTTGTTTACGATAAAGACGAGAAACAGTTTGAACATCTTATCAAGACAACAACTAATCAAAGAACCAAAAGTTCATACGTATATTGCAATCAATAAACCCCATGACACAATGGGATCACATCTTTCATTGATGGCCCCAACGGCTCCGTCGATTGCAGTTTCTGCCTACGTTGATGTGTTGGATCAAATTCAATATCTTCAAGAGTTGGGTACTTCAAGATTCCTCAAGACGGTTAAAGCAAATGATACGGATGGCTCAATTGTGATTAAAGTGTTTATTAAACCAGATGATAACCTGGAACTTTCACAATGGCGCAAGGTGCTTGACGAACAGAAGGCAAAATTGATTGATATCCCCAGTGTATTACCATATCTAAAGATCATTGAAACTGACAGGGCTGGTTACCTTATACGGCAATTCATCAAGACAAATATATATGATAGAATAAGTACAAGACCTTTTTTGGAGGATGTTGAAAAGAAATGGATGATTTTTCAATTGTTAAATACCTTAAATGAGTGTCATGAACAAGGTATAACTCATGGTGATATAAAGACTGAAAATATATTGGTTACAACTTGGAACTGGATACTATTAAGTGATTTTGCACCTTTCAAGCCAGTATATTTACCAGAGGATAATCCGGGAAGTTTTTCATTCTTTTTTGATACATCACAAAGAAGAACTTGTTATTTGGCTCCAGAAAGATTTTTAAATAATGCTGATTATACACCAGAATTGAACAATGATGCAAAGATCACAAATGAGATGGATATTTTCAGTTTGGGATGTGCCATAGCTGAGATCTATTTAGAAGGTACACCAATATTTTCACTCGCACAATTATACAAATATAAAAGAGGTGAATTCATCCCTGATTTAGCAGGTATTGATGATGTTCATATTAGAGAGTTGGTGGAAAGTATGATCAGCTTAAATCCTGCTCATAGATTATCAGCAAAGGAGTATTTGGAAAAATACAGAAGACTGGCGTTTCCGGAAAATTTTTACACTTTCATTTATGAATATTTCAAAAGTTTTAATGAAGATATCGTTCCGTTCCATTCTACTGGAAGGGTATATGAATGTGATTCAAGAATTAACCGTCTTTATAATGACTTTGATAAAATCTCTTATTTTCTGGGATACAAGTATGATGTTACTGAGGAAGATGAAATGGATAATGATGAAAAGATAAGGAATGGCTCATTGGTTCCAATTAGATTATCCTTACCTGGAATACCCAAGAACTATTCACTAAAGTCTACATCAAAAGTTGTTGGTGGCACTGATGACTCAGCATTGATTATATTAAGTTTTATATTCACTTCAATGAGAAATGTTCGTCAAGAGGCATCCAAAATTCAAGCATTAGAATTGATACTAGCATTATCTGAAAGAATACATGATGAGGCAAAGCTAGACCGGGTGTTACCTTATGTGATTGTGTTATTTACAGACTCATCTATTAATGTTCAAGCTGCTGCATTGAAAAGTCTAACTCAATTATTACTCCTAGTTGATGCTATTGGTCCTGTGAACGTGCTACTATTTTCAGAATACATTATTCCACGTCTATCCAATTTGCTTTCAAATGCTTCCCCTTACCTTAGAATGGTATTTGCTAGTTGTCTACCATATTTAGCTCAAACTTCATTAAGATTCCATGATATGGCAACAATACTAAAAACAACTGTTTTGGAAACATCTATTGATCCAGAAACTGAGAATGACGGGTTTAATACTGCAGGCATGTTTGATGTTTCTAAAGAAAGTTTGATATCTGACTTTGAAACATTTGCAATTTCAATGTTGACTGACCCTGAAGCAAATGTTAAAGTTGCATTGCTCAGAAATATTTTACCTTTATGCTCGTTTTTTGGAAAGGAGAAGACAAATGATTTGATTTTGAGTCATTTGATCACATATCTCAATGATAAAAGCTCATTTTTAAGAATATCATTCGTTGAGGCTGTTGTTGGTTTATCAATATATGTGGGTACCACTAGTTTGGAACACTACATTTTACCATTGTTGGTTCAAACTTTGACAGACCCTGAAGAGCTTGTTGTTATTAAGGTGTTGCAAATTTTTCAAGATTTAAGTAAACTTGGATTAATCAAAAAAGATTATATCTGGGATTTACTATCAACTGTTTCCAAGCTATTATTACATCCAAATGAATGGATCAAGCAGTCAACACTATCATTAATAATCACCATTGCTGATACGCTTACACTCACAGATCTTTATTGCATGCTTTACCCTATTATCAGACCGTATATTGATTATGATGTTACAGATTTTTCGTGGGATACATTGTTTTCGGTCTGTAAGCGTTCCGTTTCACGTTCTGTTTATAATTTAGCATGTACATGGTCGCTAAGAGCTGAAAACACGTTATTTTGGCAACAAGTGAAAAGTCCACATACAGATGCATTTGGTAATAGGGGACTTGATTTTTTGAGCAAACCAATACCTGGCATGTCAAACTCAAAAGTTTCTGCTGGTAATTCTATAATATTCTCAAATATGGAAGTTCCATTATCAAATGAAGATAAAGGGTGGGTCGATAGATTGATGTCCTCAGGCTTGAATGGACAAGAATTGTGGAAAATTGCTGATCTACGTGAATATATATATAGAGTTTCACGTCTTACAACAAGAACTGGAAGCAGAGATTTTGAAGAAAGGAATGGGGTCGAGATTCAACAACTTGGTGTCCTCCCTAGAAACGTCTTTTTTGACTCTAAATTACATTCAGAGGTGCTTGTTACACCACCTATTGATGAAATTAGTACAAACAGTCCAATACCATCAATTGATGATCGCCTGACAATAGATGCTGTTTTATCAAATGGAACCAACACAACAACTGATGTTGATACTGAGAGAACTTTAACAGCTACTGAATTAAACAGATCCAGAAGTGTTGAGGTGAATGATGAATCTGGGATGTCATTGGTGATTGGCAAATCTAAAGCTGCACCATCCATCATGACCAATGAAGAAAATGCATATGGAGAATTAGAGTCCTCATTTCAGCAAAGAAAGTCATCATTACAAACGAACAAGGCACCTGACCCGAACATCATATCCTCTACTGTTACAAATAGCTACACAGGTAATGATCCTTATGTGGTAAGATTCCTCAATAATGTCAAAATTGAGCCATCATTAGAAGAATTTCCTGAATTCAATCAGCCAATTCCTCAAGCTCAATTTAATGTATCCATTTCTAGATCATGGTCACCAAAGGGAGATTTGATTTCTCACTTGAAAGAACACAAGTCTGGTATTAGTACCATTGATGTCTCTCCAGATCATAACTTTTTCATTACGGGGGATGATGATGGTCAATTAAAAGTGTGGGATACAATGAGATTGGAGAGAAATGTTACACAATCGTCTGCCTTATCTGTTGACCTTGAAAGTCCAATCGTTAAAATCAAGTTCTTGTCAACCCATTACAGTTTTGCTGTTGCTTTGAAAGATGGTTCAATAAAGGTGATTAAGATCAACTTTAAGAAAAGTAAGAGACAGCATACCGTCATGGACAGCTTTACTGTTATAAGAGAGACGAAATTGGAAAATGAATACGCTACTGATTTATTATTTGGACAGAAAGATCAAAAACATGTTTTATATCTTGTTACATCAGCTTCGTCAATTATTGCTATGGATATACGTGTTATGGAGACTATTTTTAAGCTGGAAGAAAACCCGTCACATGGCAACTTGACCTGTTTCACGGTAAGCAGGGATAATAGTTGGTTAGTAATTGGTACATCAAGAGGTATTTTGAGCTTATGGGATTTAAGATTCAGGTTACATCTAAAGTCATGGAAGTTCAAATCAGGTTATCCAATCAAGAAAGTTATCAGTTGTTCAGATGATTACCATTTGAATAGAAAAAAGGGTAGATATGTGACGGTTATTGGTGGTACTGGTGATTCAGATGCTACTATATGGGATATAAGCACTGGTATTTGTCGTGAAGTTTTCACCAGATCTGCTGAAAATAACAATTTGGACAAATTCAATCTTGTTGAGCTCAATGATGGTAAAGCGGTGGAGAGTGAAATTCTCAAAGGATTTTCAAACTTGGAACTTGATAACATTCAAAAGGACTATTCATTTACAGCACTACAACTTATTGAAAAGCATATAGACCATAGAAGGAAGTTTTGGATTTTAACTGCTTCACCAGCTTTTGAAATGGTATTATGGAATGTCCATCATCCTGAAGATTCAAGAATGCTAAGTAACAATTCAACAAATAACCAGCAGGGCAAACCAACATATTCAACATCACAAATTAATCCAAACTTGAGAATTATAACTGAAAGATATCCAACTGAACCAGAGACTGGATCCAAAGATGCAAAATCAAAAAAGAAGAGAGGTAAAGGATCGCTGTTGACCGAAGCCCAAGAGGAACTAATGAAACGACATCACGATATCATAACGGACTTTGTTCTTGTGCTGAAACCTTATGAGATGATAGTCTCGGTTGATAGATCAGGTGTTATCAATGTGTATAAGTGAGTAAAATCAAGAAGAAAAGGTATACTTCCGACTGTAATCCGAGGCCTACACGTGATTGTTAAAGCGATTAGTCATCCACGGGGAATTTGTTGCTCCGAAAAAAAAACTTTTTCACGTAATTGCTTTGTCATTTCCTGCGAAAACATCACCAACCAGAATTTCAAACTGCTACATTTTAGGCCTTGCTAGTACTTGGTATTCAGAAACTACAAAACAACGATAAAGTGAGTATATAAATGAGTTCTAAGGTGAATGGAAAGAGTATATGGTGCTGTTTAATTGCTGTGAGTAATTTTTGGAAATTATAAACATCGTTTACTGCCCAATTGAGAGGATTGTTGTTTGTTTACTTTGGAATTATATAAGCGTTGTGTTTATCCAAGCTTAGGTAATGGAAACAAGAAATGCGTGTGTTTGACTAAGGTGTTCATAATCCTCTGCCGCAAAGATGTGATATTCAAAATATTAGTTATTGGTTTGATTTGAAAGGTAAAAGAACTCTCATCAATGCTGGTGCTTTTACTCCCTTTTTTTTGCACGGTGTTGCTATTTCGTAAAGCAGGTGGTAATTAAACCTTCAAAGTGACACAACTCATACCCATGATATTCAACCATCGCCTGCATCAAGAGATTTCATTGGCTAACATGTTCCTTTTAGTTCAAAAATGAGTGGCACTAATTCTTTCAACTGGGGTGAAGAAAAAAAGAGATCTTGTATGTATATAGAGTATATCCCCTAGCCGTCCATTTACTAACATTGAGAATAGCCCTTGAAGAGCAAATCGATCCAAGCTTTAGCAGACAACAAGAAGCTACTATTCACCATCTAAATCAATTACAACCTCAACAACATCAAATTGGACAACAACATGTTGTTCCAGCTCAACAACAAAGTCAATCACAAGGTTTAGGTGAAGAAGGATTTGACGTTGCTGCTGCTGCAGTTGCCGCTTCGAATGACAGTCCACATCCACAAACCTCTGAAGCTAAATCACCAGAAACTAGTTCCAACCCATTGACTCGTAATGGTAGACCATTATCCAACACCAAGAGAGCTGCTCAAAACAGAAGTGCCCAAAGAGCTTTTAGACAACGTAAAGATGCTTACATCAAGGATCTGGAAGAAAAAGTTAAAGAAGTCGATGCTTTGAAACAAACAATTGAAACATTGAAACAAGAAAACATTCAATTGAAGGACTACAGTTTAGCCTTACAAGCTAAATTAATTGAACAACCAGATGTTCAAGCTCCACCAGTTGTCTTTTCAACTAGAGGTGGTAACAAGAAAGATTAGGAATTTGAGCCGTGCTTTTTTTGTTACTCTGTGTGTTTTTTTATTTTGGCTTAATGGATATTGTACCATAAGATGATTGGGAATCTAGGTTTGTTATTTGTCGTTTTTTATTATTATGTTTTTGCTTATATGGTCTTTCTCCCTTAGCAGGTCTTTTTTTATAATTGTTTACTGGACCTGACTACTTTTCTCATTTTGTATTATTTATACTATTAAACCTGATATATATTGTTGAACTTCTTCTAGTAGAGCCTCTGCCATTTTGTCTGTTCATTGCTTATTTGGATTCGCGCCTAGGCCATGTCATGAGGCAGCTATTTTGGCACCAAAGATTGCTAAGCCAAAAACTGAAACTGAAATAGTATAAAAAAGCCTGTTGATTCTTTCAGAATGGTAGTGTCTAGCAATTCTTGTATCATCTAAACTGATATCAAAACCATTGAAACAGCAATTTGGTGTTAATTAATATGGGTATTGCAGGCTGGGCTATCAAGTACATCTCTCAGAGAGTAAGTATACTGAAGGAGTGAAAGTCCATCAAAGATGAGTATTAACGTTATTATCCAGATATTTAGAGAGAATCAATTGAACAAATTTGGAACTGAGGATCCATATTATGATGTGGTAAGTAAAACCTGAATGCTTCATGGAACAAATACTGATATCAGAACAGTTTGAAGTAGAACAGCAATCATATTTTGGAGGTGCTCCAAGAGTCAAAAAGATCAAAAAGCCAAAAGCGATTCCAGTTGGTATATCTGGGAACGATGAAAGAGTATTGAGAAAAGTTTTGAGAAGAGCGTATCATTTAGATATGCAGTTCAATGTTTTTGGTTATAGAGTTGGTTGGACAGGTATTGTTGGTGTGGTTCCTGTGTGAGTATCAATCTCGTGTGACAGGGGACGATGTACTAATGTATTCCTAGTGTTGGTGACATTGCTGGTATTTTGTTTTCTTTGTTATTGTTGAAAACTGCTAGAGATGTTGATGGTGGTTTACCACTCGATGTGCAAGCTCAATTTTTGTTCAACATTATTGTCGATTTCCTCATTGGATTGATTCCTATTGTTGGTGATGTTGTTGAAATTATGTACAAAGCCAATTCAAGAAATGCATTAATTCTGGAGAAGCATTTGAACGCTAAAGGTGAAAAGAATTTGGGTTTAACCAGGGATCATGGCAAATTGATTGATGATACAAGAAGTATTTCAAGTGCTGCAGTTTCTGAAGACTCTGAATTTGACACTACCTCTCCATTGAAGTCACCAGCGAGATATCGCTCTTCACCAGAGGAGAATATCAAGCTTCGTAATCAATTGAAAGTTGGTCAAGACCCAAATAGAGTTGAAACGGTATTCAAAGAGAGAACATATTCGAGATGAGATCGCTGCAGACCGAATGGACGCTGTATTATAACAATGAAAAATGAAAACAAATATGAAATACTTAAAGCTTTTAAGCTGCTGTAGTCCAATTATCGACTTCACAGTCCTTCTCTAAAGAAGTTGGTGTATAAAGAGATATAGCTTATTGTAATGTCCTATTTCGGGAATTACCCAAAGCGTCTATTTTTTTATTTTTTGTGATCTTTGTTTTTTCTTGAAAATTGTTAATTCAAGTGAATAACAACAACAAAACATAACCTAAATCAAACATATTCGTCATCAAAAATGGATACAGCTGCTATTTTAGAACAGTATACACAGGATATATCCAATCTTCCTGCAGAATTGCAACATTTATTGTCAGAACTTGGAACTGGTGACTCAAATCTTTATGAAATACGTCGTAAAATTCTACAAAAAGATTCAACAATTCACAAGTTTATCAAACAACATGGATCATTAACAAAGAATCCAAAAGAGAATCAACTTTATCCAAAGATACGAGAAGATTTCAGAAAAGCAGAGCAACTTCAAAGGGAAAAATGTATAACGGCCAATACTGCACTATTCTTGACGGCAAAACATTTGATAAAACTTGAGTCCGATATTGAAAAATTGAGGTCTGAAGGTCTGTTAGCGCTTGATGATCTAGATATTGATTCAGACGATGAGTTGTTTTCAAGTAGAGGTGCTTCACGCTCAACAACTGCTGGTGTCTCCTTGACATCCAACGTAATAAGTAATGGGAATGGTGCTGGTCATGATCTTCCATCAAATGTTTCCTCAGTTAATGCTGCTGCTGCTTCAACTATGAAGAAACAATCTAGAAAATCAACGGGCCCTAAATCAGTCACTCCAGGTGCATCCTCTGTTGCTTCAAGACCACTGAAAAGACATAGAACCGAAGAATCTAAAACCCCGGATCCAAAAATTGAAACTGTTGTTCTCAGTAATGGATCCTCGTTGAAAGCTGGCACTAGTGCTATATCAGGTCAAGCTCCGAAAGTTGAAGCCACTGTTGCTAATGAAGAAGAAAATGAATTGTATTGTTTTTGCCAACGTGTTTCTTTTGGAGAAATGGTTGGTTGTGATAATGACGATTGTAAATATGAATGGTTTCATTATGAATGTGTTGGTCTCAAAGAACCACCAAAGGGTAAATGGTATTGTCCTGACTGTATTGAAAGACAGAAACAGAAAGAAAACAAAAAGAAGAGAAAGTTGTGAGGATTCATTTTGTTTTTTTTATGACTTTAATGAATAATGATTATAGATATATTTGCAGCGTAGTCTCTACATATGTTGATTTTGAATTATGTCTATATTGTAATAATTTCAGCTCATTAGCCATAACAATCCACCTTGGAAAAGAAATGCGTATATGAATAGGAAATAATTCGAGTTTTTCAAAGATTTGTTGTTCATAGTTTGAGCAGAGTTGTGGATACCACCATAGAGATTGAATCTTATAGCTCTTAATTCAAAAAATCCATAAGCCAATAACAAGTAAAGATAAGTGATCCAATTGAAAAATCTAAAACTTGAAACATTTTTCACCAAAATAATCAACACTAAAGGAACGAACTTATAACCAATATAACAAATTAAGTCCCACATCTTGGAACTGATGTTGAGTAAATATAATCCTAATTTCAACACTGCAAAATCCAATAATAAATATGCCAACGTGGAACTTGTTTTGAATCCAAACACCTCAGGATGAAATTCACCTCTCAAACCAGCTAGTAAAGCCAATGTTAAAATATATGTGACAGAGCCCATCAATGGGATGTATAAATCAACAGCGTTCTTGTCATTTATTGGATATGCAAATAATTCAGTGTTGGCATCTTGTGGAGCGTTTGGATCAGATGCTCTATAACTTCTTGACCAGTTTTTATTCTTGAATGGGAATAGAATCAGTATTAATTTATTCAAGACATATGAATTTGAGATTTTGAAATAGTACTTGATGTCATCAGTATGAACATATTTTCCAAAGTTTTGTTCAACAAAATGAGAACCTGCTAACATGGCATTTTGTCCAACTTGGAAAGTCATAGCAGCTCTTGGATCGTTCAAGAAATTACCATATGCTGCAGCGTCTTGAGGGTTTCCCGGTGTGAAAAATTGATTTGCTTGTTGATGAGGTTGAAACTGTTGTGCATTGTTGAATGTACCAGCTTGCGGTTGTTGATATGTTTGTTGTGGTTGTTGTTGTCCTGTACCCATATATGAGGCACGCTGGGGTTGAGGTTGATGGATTCTGTTGGTCTGTGTGGTATCCTCGTCCACGATATTGGCATAAGGATTGTAGGACATCTTGAGTGTGATTGATGGGTGTTCCTTACAATTGTTTTGCTCAAGGCTAATTGATTTTTGACGTTGATTTGGCATCTAAATTCTGGAAAATTATGGTTTTCAAAATTCGCGAATTTTAGATCACGTTTTTAATCACGTGTAACAATATTTACCCTTTTGGAATTGTTTCATCTTTTTCACGCGTCTCTGATCAAGCCAAAAAAAATCTATACGCGTAGACAATATTTACAATAGGCAAATATTCTATATACATCCAAAGTTACTACCTCCTATACTCCTACACACTATCAAATATCCCTCACCTCCATCAAGTTTCCTCATATACATACCTTTTGCATATCTTCCAACATGGGTGCCCCAGCAAATGGGAAGTTCAAAGGCTCAACAAGCGCTAGATATGTCAAAAACACAATCAATAAAAGAGATGACTATGTGCCGAATGGTTCCTCAAACTACAAAGCTCCAAGAGATGAAACCAGATCAAAGTTAGACCAAGTAAAGAAGAATGATCAAATGGATACGCTTATGGGATTTGAAAGATTTGAATCAGGTCCAACAAGAACCGGTTGGTTGACCAATATGCATGCCACCACAATTCCAAGTAAAGATTATATATCTGGTGTTGCTGGTGTTGATTATTATTTCTTAGATGAAGAAGGTGGTACTTTCAAAGCCACTATACAGTACGATCCATATTTCTTAGTTGCATGTACACCAGGATCTGAAGCTGAAGTGGAAGAATTGCTAAAAAAGAAATTAGAACAATATTTAAAGTCTGTTTCCAAAATTGAAAAGGATGACTTAGCTATTCCAAATCATTTAGTTGGTATCAAAAGATCTTTACTAAGGCTGAACTTTCCAAATTCTAATGATTTGTTCGAAGCTAAAAGAATTATCCAACCTATAGTGAAGGAAAATCAAACCAAGAAGGATACAAGGGATCTATACTCAGCTGTCAACAATAACTACACTGATGAATTTTCTACAAATGCTAAGCAAGAAGTTCTTGTGGATGCTTCGGAATATATTGAGGACATTCGTGAACATGATGTGCCCTATTGTACGAGGGTTTCCATTGATAAAAACCTAAGAGTTGGTAAATGGTATAAAGTCTCTGCAGATCAGGGCAATATTGAAGTTGAGGAAATACCTGAAAGAATTGATTTCGGTGATGCTGTTATTCTTGCTTTTGATATCGAAACCACAAAAAGACCATTGAAGTTCCCGGATAGTGCTATTGATCAAGTGATGATGATTTCCTATATGATTGATGGTGATGGGTTTCTAATTACAAATAGAGAAATTATTTCTGAAGATATTGACGATTTTGAATATACTCCTAAAGCAGAATATCCAGGGCTATTTACAGTTTTCAATGAAGCTGATGAAAAAGCAACACTACAAAGATTTTTCGAACATATTCGTGAAGCAAAACCTACAATTATTGCAACTTTTAATGGTGATTTTTTCGATTGGCCTTTTGTTGAAGCAAGAGCTGCTGTTCATGATTTAAACATGTTTGATGAAATTGGGTTTGCCCCAGATAGTGAAGGTGAATATAAATCCACATACTGTGCTCATATGGATTGTTTCAGATGGGTCAAGAGAGATTCTTATTTACCACAAGGATCTCAAGGTTTGAAAGCTGTTACCACTTCAAAATTAGGTTATAATCCAATTGAATTAGATCCAGAGTTAATGACCCCTTATGCATATAGTAAGCCACAACTTTTGTCTGAATATTCTGTTTCTGATGCAGTGGCTACTTATTATCTTTACAAAAAAATTGTCAACAATTTCATTATTTCTTTAGGTATCATTGTTCCGTTGAACCCAGATGAATTACTACGAAAGGGTACAGGTACTCTTTGTGAAATGCTACTTATGGTTCAAGCTTATGAAAATGGTATTTTGCTTCCTAATAAACACGTTGATCCTCTGGAAAGATTTTATGACGGTCATTTATTGGAATCTGAAACTTATGTTGGTGGTCATGTTGAATCATTAGAAGCTGGTGTCTTCAGATCTGATTTAGAAAGTGAATTCAAGATTGATCCAACTGCTATTGATGAAATTTTGGGTGATTTGGAAAATGCGTTAAAATTCAGTATTGTGGTTGAAGGTAAACAGAAACTTGAAGATGTTACAAATTTTGATGAAGTTTACAATGATGTCAAGCAACAACTACTAGAATTGAGAGATAATCCAAAAAGATCTGAAAAGCCACTTATCTACCATGTTGATGTTGCTTCTATGTACCCTAACATTATGTGCTCAAATCGTTTACAACCAGATTCTATGAAGTCTGAAAAAGATTGTGCAGCTTGTGATTTTAATAGACCAGGTAAAACATGTGATAGAAGGATGACTTGGGCTTGGAGAGGTGAATTTTATCCAGCAAAGATGGATGAATATGGTATGATTAAAAGATCTTTACAGAATGAAACCTTTCCACCAAAGAAACCATACCTGCCTAGACGAACATTTGAAGATCTCACATATCAAGAACAAGTTGCTCAAATCAAGAAACGTTTACAAGATTATTCTCGTAAAGTTTATCACAAAGTTAAACAAACTGAAACTATTGAAAGGGAGTCTATCATTTGTCAGAGAGAAAATCCATTTTACGTTGATACTGTCAGATCTTTTAGAGATCGTCGTTATGACTTCAAAGGTTTAGCTAAAGTCTGGAAGAAGAAGTCTGATACAAAAGATCGTCTTGAAAAGGAAGAAGCACAAAAGAGAGTTGTTTATTATGAATCTTTACAATTGGCCTTCAAAGTTATCTTGAACAGTTTCTATGGTTATGTGATGAGAAAAGGTTCTAGATGGTATTCCATTGAAATGGCCGGTATCACATGTCTTACAGGTGCCACTATTATTCAAATGGCTAGAGCTTTGATTGACAGATTAGGAAGACCATTGGAATTAGATACTGATGGTATTTGGTGTATCCTACCAAAATCATTCCCAGAAGATTTTGAATTCACATTGAAAAATGGTAAGAAAGTCTTTGTCTCCTATCCTTGTTCAATGCTTAACTATCTGGTTCATGAAAAGTTTACAAATCATCAATATCAAACATTAGTTGATCCAGTCACCAAGAGATATGAAACACATAGTGATAACTCTATCTTTTTTGAAGTTGATGGTCCCTACAAAGCTATGATTTTACCAACATCAAAAGAAGAAGGGAAAGGTCTTAAAAAACGTTATGCTGTCTTCAATGACGATGGTACATTAGCAGAATTGAAAGGTTTTGAATTGAAAAGACGTGGTGAACTACAATTGATCAAGAATTTCCAATCTGATATTTTCAAGTTGTTTTTGGAAGGTGATACTTTGGAAGGTTGTTACGCTGCAGTCGCCAATGTTGCTAATAGATGGCTTGATGTTTTGGACACTAAAGGTCGTATGCTTGAAGATGAAGATTTAATTGAGTTAATTTGTGAAAACAAGAGTATGAGTAAGAGTTTAGAAGAATATGAAGGACAGAAATCTACATCTATCACCACTGCTAGAAGATTGGGTGAATTTTTAGGTGCTGAAATGGTTAAAGATAAAGGTTTGGCTGTTAAATATATTATTTCTGAAAGACCATTAAATGCCCCTGTTACGGAAAGAGCCATTCCAGTCGCCATATTCTCATCAGATATCACAGTGAAGAGAAATTTCTTAAGAAGATGGTTGTTAGATCCATCTTTAGATGATTTTGATGCTAGAAATATTATTGATTGGAACTATTATAAAGAACGTCTTGAATCTGTCATTCAAAAGATCATCACCATCCCAGCTGCTTTACAAGATGTTGAAAATCCTGTTTCAAGAGTTGCACATCCAGATTGGTTACAAAAGAGAATCAGTGTTAGTAAGGATAAAAAGAAACAATCATCGTTGGCAACCTTTTTCACTAAAACTAAAGAGAATCCGGTTGATGTTATGAAAGATATTGAAGATATCGGAAAAGAAGAAGCTGCAGAAGGTAAGAGACCATTAGTTGGTAAAGTTACCTCCAAGAAGCGTAAAAACCAACATACTGAAACATCTGACCCAACTGAAGAAGAGGTCAATTTGCTAAATGGTGCTTGTCCATCAATTGATGAAGATTATGTTAGTTTCTTGGAATACCAAAAAGCAAAATGGAAAGTTCAAAAAAAATCTAGAGAAAGAAGAAAAGCTTTATTTGGTGAATCTTCTGAATCAAGTTATAGATCAACTGTTGGTAACATGGTACGCCATCAAGCTGAAAGTTTTGCTGGGTCTACATGGCAAATCCTTCAATACAAATTGGATACCAATCCTGGTGATATTAGGGCATTTGTGTTGATTGATGGTAAAATTCAGTCATTTATATTTCATATTCCAAGAAAATTGTATCTAAGTTTCAGATCTACAGCTCTACCAGGTGGTACTATCCCAAGTTGTGAGGTTGAAAAAGTTAGCAGCATTTTACCAAATGGTCATAAAGCTTCCAATTTGTTCAGATTGACCATGCCTGAAAGTGTTTACCAAGATGAATTGAATAAAGCTGGTAGTATTTTGCAAGATCCAAATGTTTTGGGTTTATATGAAGCTCAAGTCGAACCAACTGAAAGAGCCATTATGGAACTTGGTAATTCAGTGACCTTCAACTCGAACAAAATTGGTTCATTGGGTAAAGGGTTGAAAAATGGTTTTGAATTGAAGTCTTTATCAATGACAGATACACATCATTACTTGCAAAAATTTACAATGCCAACTGCCTATTTATTTCACATGATTTCAAATGAGTATGAGATATATTCATTGTTCAAGTCTTGGGACAAAAAAGTTATGGTTTTTGTTTTGAAACCATCAAGAAATGCACAACCTATTTCTGGTAATTTGGAGAAAATTTATAAGGAGATTTATGAAGCAAAGAAGGAGAAATTCAGCAAATTATATGACATTATTGATTATCAAGAAGAACTTGAATTTGAAACTCAATACTTTGAAGAATTACCTAAACTTTTCAAAAAATTGAACAGTTTTATCAACAAAATTAATGATGAAAGTCCATCCAAACCATTGTTTGTTTTACAATCTCCTATTTCTAACAAACTATCAAAATCTTTTAAAGTTTTGACTGACTTCCCAGTTATCCATATGAATGTCGGTGAGATCAACGCACCAGCTATTGGTTGGCAAACAATTGTTTTGAAGAGAATTTGCAATCATTATTTGTCATTAGCTTCTTGGATCAAACACCTTTTGTCATTGGCCAAGTATGGTAATATCCCATTATGTAACTTGAAAACTGACAATATTGGTTATTTGATTGATATTGAATATGCTAGAAGATTGAAAAAAAACGACATTGTCTTATGGTGGTCTCCAAATCCGGTTCCAGATTATGGTGGTGTTCAAAAAGATATGATTTTAATGAATAATGAGAACTATGAATTCCCAATAATCAACAATCCAGAGATTTATGAGACTGTTTGTTTAGAGATTGATATTGATAACTTGACAATCAATACAGTGTTAACATCATCACTCATTAATGAAGCTGAAGGTACGGATTTAGCTGATATGGAGTTGATTTTTGATGAAAACAATGGTACTTCAACTTTTGCTGAAGATTCATTTTCTGGTGCAAGTTTAGCTGTTTTGAGAACTATGGTTAAAGATTGGTGGGATGATGCTGTGAAGGATAATGTCAATGCTGATTCTATGGTCCATACGTTTGTCTCTTGGGTTCAAGATAATAAATCATTCTTATATGATTCTTCTTTGAAATACCATGTTCATAATTTGACAAAAAAGGCATTACTACAATTGGTTGGTGAATTTTCTAAACTAGGTTCAAGTGTTGTTTTTGCCAATAGATCCAAGATTATCTTGAAAACTTCAAAAGTTTCTGTTGAAAATTCATATGCTTATGCTCAGTACATTGTTAAAGCTGTCAGATCTAGACCATTGTTCAATTATCTTGATTTACAAATTGACAAATATTGGGATCTGTTGATTTGGATGGATCAACATAATTTTGGTGGTAGAGCTTGTCTTGATATTTCTGAAAAGGAAGAACAAGAACTGATTGGTCTTTCCAAATGGCAAATTAAACAGTATTTACCAAGGTTATATCAACCAGAATTTGAAGATTGGATCATTATTTTCCTAGATGCTTTAATCAAAGAGAAAAACAAAATGGGTAATGACTTTTCCACACCAAGAGTTACACAAATCAATCATATTTTGAAAAAGCAACAACAATCAACAAAGAGTCAAGAGGAAGATATTCAAAATGGTATTTGTGAAGCTTTTAGAAAACCATTATTGAAAAGGGTTAAACAATTGTTGCGTAATCAAACAGAGGCTATTCTTGATCCTGATTTGCTTGAAGAATATGAATTTCCAAAACTTCCAGGTTCATCAACCAATATGAAAAATCCAACTTTGGAATTGGTGAAGTATTTATGTGCTATTTTCAGTTTATCTAAAAAGAGAAACTTGGAAATCAGATTGTTGAGAAAAGAGTTGTTGAATATTTTTGAGGTTAGAGAATTTTCTAAAGAAGCTGTTTTCTATAATCCAAGTAACACGTTGAAAATTGCTGGTGTTTTATGTGAATACTGTCATCATATTAGAGATATTGATTTTTGTCGTGATGATGAGAAAATCTTGTGGAAATGTGAAAAATGTGACAAGAATTATAACAAGGCAACATTAGAGGAAAGTTTGATTGAAGGATTAGAAAAATTGGTTACCAATTATTTCATTCAAGATGTTAAGTGTGAAAAATGTAACAGAGTCAAAGAAAGTGATATGACTGATTATTGTCCATGTTCAGGAAGATTTGTTGAATCTCAAACAAAGCAAGAAGTTGCAGACAAGTTTGCAACATATGAAAGTATTGGAGAGTTTTATGACTTGAGATTATTGAGAGATTTCATTGATCAAGTGTTTTGATCTAGCTGTATATTATTATTATTATTATTATTTAGTCATTTGGGTTTATTTTTAATGTTAATTTGATTTAAAGGTTGGAATTACATGTAGCCAAACATCAACTTCATTATAATTGAGAGCACTTATTATACAATGTTTTGATCATACACAATTCTTTTTTCAGGAAGGGTGTATAACTCATAGTAATTGACAGTTTCACCGTTCAAATTAGCTTCACCAGCAACTGGTAATTTGAACAGATTTCTAAATTTCAAATGATCATCACCACTTGCAAACCAAAAATCAATACAATTTTGTTTGAATCCATAATCAGTTGGTGTACTTTCAATTGGAGAATCATTTTTAAATCCTAAAACTTGTTTGAGCGCAATCGTAAATTGATCAATACCTGTCAACAAACATAATGTACTTAAACAGGTACGTTGTCTTGGAGGGGACGCTGGACTGACATCAGGGCCTATTAATTCAGCAGGGGCACTTGAGAAATCTGGGTTTAAACTATTTGCAGCTTTTTTAGTGTAGACAGATAATTCCAAAGTAGTTAAACCTCTAGAAATTTGGAAGAATTGTGAAAACAACAAGAATGTGACCCAAATCAATTGAAAATTTGTCCAAGCAGTTAAGAAAAATATAAATGGGGATGCATTATACCCAGAACATAGCTCATCATCTAATAGGGAGCATTTATATTTATCATCATCTTCTATTTTATCAAAGTACTCCAAGACAAGGTGATCAAATAAAAACATTGTTAATTCCAACGAAATCACGAAAAACATAAAGATTTTATGATTTCTTAAACCAACATCATTGTAAACCCAAGGACAAGAATGGTCAAATCTTGCAACACATTTTTTATAAAAGTTTGAATACTTTGATCTTAATGGTTTTTTAATGTATGAATAGATACAGAAATGTTTAGCATCATATTTCCCAATTTTCAAGAGTGATTCTATGTTGTCTTTGATCTCTTTAGGTGAATCTGGGGGTGGGATTATACCTGGATCTTTAAACATCGCCTTGAAGAATGTATAGATGACAGTAATGGACAATAACAAAAAGACAAGGTTTGACAATGGAGCTTTGTTGAATGTATAAGGTAGAACTGTTGATATCCAAGATACCAAAATCCAAAAGGCTGTACCGGAAAATATACCTGACAAGTACGGGGTTTTCAAAATTGGGGATTCTGACAAGATATAACATGGAAAAACAACATTTTTCAAGAATCTCACAGTGATGAAGAAAAGAGCACCAGATACAAGAGCTGTGATTAAAATATTCGTAGCCGCTAATAATTGTAACGTGGTTCCAAGGATCAGATAAGGGATCAAAAAAGTGATAACTTTAGCCCATTTTTCAGAGAAGATTTTTTTAATTGGTTCACCATCTGGTTTCAATCCACATTGATACATTGCTGACCTCAAAGATACTGCACTATTCATATCTTGAGCTATGTCAAAGCATCCCTTTCCATCATTTGTTTTTTGTTCCAAGTCGGAGCCTTCTTCTATCAATCTTTTGAGACACTCTTTCTGACCTCGTATCAAAGACCAATGTAGTGCAGTGAATCCTTGATCATCAACAAGTTTGACATTAGCATGGAATTTTAAGAGGGCATCGACACTCAATGAGTCACCTTGGTATCCTGCCCAGTGAAGTGCTGTTCTTCCATTTGGATCAGTTGAGTCGACCGGTATATCTTGCACAAATGCTAAAATGTAAATCACCAACATGATATTTGAAGAATGAACAGCTAGATGAAGAGCATTGAAACCTTGAGAATCACATTTGGCAGGATTAGCACCTTGCTTGATAAGATAGTCAACAATGTAGACAAGACCATATCGACAAGCCCAATGTAATGGGGTAGCATTTAAGTCACCACCTTCTTTGTCAATATCCGCACCTTTTGAGACCAGGTACTTGACAATGGATAATCTATTATTAATGGCAGCCCAGTGAAGACCAGATACTTTGTTCATATCTAAATCAGTCCCTAATTCAACAGCACTGGACTCTATAAGGTCTTTAACAGTGACCAAATCACCAGCTTGACATGCTTCAATGTACTTTCTAATTAGAATGTCGTGTTCATCGTCAATCGCTTGTTGAGCAGCTTGCATAGAGGAAGTGGAGACTGGACTTCCTGGCTCGTCCTTCTTGGAGTCAGGCGTAGTATCTTCCAAAGGCACATCAGCCATCTCTTCAGCTTTATCCTCAGGCATTCTTGATCCAATTGAGCTTTGTAATGATGTTTTTAGTTTGATCCTCATCTAAAAAAATGCCATGGTCTGCTCGGCTGTACCTGACCCTCCGCGAATGCGTTTTGCAAAACGGAAAAAAATTTAAATGAAAAGCCCATCGACGAAATTAACGTAGCTCACTAGAATGAAGACCATAAATAGAAAGGAAACTTCTATTTTCTCCTGCTTTAACTGTAATCTAGTTGATGCACTAATACACTGTGGTATTTCTTGGATATGTCAGTCAGCTGGGCTGGATATTCGGTATTGTGAATGGACATCAACAGGGCACTCTTCATTGTTTCACATAGATGCGTCACAAAAAAGATGGATGGTTTAATTTGGATCGAAATGCGTCAAAATTTTAGCATCCAAAATCATTTGTTGAGATTTCTGAAAAAGAGACTCAATATCAGACTGATTCCAGGTAACTGTGTCAGTCTGTCTGGGCTGTGTATTCGGTATTGTGAATGGACATCAACAGGGCACTCTTCATTGTTTCCAGCCATAGAATTCAGTCTTGTACCTTTCTAGAAGTATTGAATATTCTTCAAGAACTGAAACAACTCAAAAAGAACCAAAAGTTCTTGAGTATACGACAACAGATTACCATTTGATATTTAATTGGATGATAGAATTAATTCATTTGGGAAAATCTGATCAATTTTATGTTTGAGTTTCAGCAAATTATTACCAAAAATGTAGCCATCATATTGTTCATGTATTCAATTATTATATATCTTATAACTATCTAAACTTGACAATCTTGAGTATTTCCAATGCCATTTCGAAAGGTTCTGTGCCTCGCTTGACATTTCTTAGTACCGTTTCAATCCCTTTCTTGAACTGTGAATTTGTAGCCAACCTCTCCATAATTGCAGTATTCTCTTCACTATTGAACACCAAGTAATAAAGAACAAACAATACTCTTTCCAAAAGGTCTTCCTCTTTGCACTGCTCATTTAAAATTGTAAATAAATTATCCAATAGTGTTTTATCCTTTACCACTTCCTCTGCTATAAATGGGAAAGTGACACCAAATGATAAAGCAGCAACAGCTGAACATTGTGATTTGACATCTTTTAACAAAGTGTACTGAACCAATAGATCATATCTTTTCTTTGAAGATTGTTTTGCAAAATTATATACAGCAGCAACACCATCTTTATGTTGTACCAAATTACAGACTAATTCAATAGCTGACCTCCGTATCAATGTGTTTTCATGGTTTAAAAAATGGTCAATCAGATCCCATTGGTCTTCTGGTAATCCACCATTATCAATTGAACTAGCATTGGTCAATGATATCAAGGCTTGAAGTTGATCTTTTAATGGTAATTCCTCTGTTTTCAAGAAAAGAAATAGTGCATACTGAGCTTGACGTAGCTCAAAAATAGTTTTTGGGTCCGTGGTGAGTAAAAGATTTGAGACAGCTCTATATGCAATGATTTTTGTCTCTTCAGAGAAGGTTGATAAATTTAAAAACTTTAATAATATTTTGAGCCCACCTTGTGCTAATATTTGAGGTCGATTATCCTTTGAGGTTGACAAATTGAAAATCAATCTGACAATTTGTATCATCGAATTTGGAGAAACTTCATGTCCGGATATCAATCCCAAAATGTTCCTCTCTAGTAAGTCAGCTTGAAATTCAACAATTTCCAAAGGATCCTCTTCAATATTACTCTCCAATCCTTTTTGAGCATGTTTTTTCAATTCTGAAACTTCTGATTTTTCTTCAATTGTTGTTAAATTTGCTAAAACCACCAAAACACCATACAAATCTTCTTGTGAATCATTTTGAGACTTATCAAGAAGCTTTGTCAAGTCAAAGACCACTTCATCGTCATTTCTTATCCTTTTTCTAACATCAGGTTTAATGGAGAGGTAAGCTAGCCCTTCAATAGTTGTCTTTGTAAACTTTTTGGTGATTGTATTGTAAAGCTCATCTATGGATATTGATTTCTCAAGCTCAACTTGAGTAAAGCTCCAAGTTTTGATTATCACCAATGTAGATAGTTCTTGAATATCTATATCGTTTGATTTTATACCATGAGTTAAAACAGATATAAACTTTACTGCAATCTCTTTTCTCAATTCTTCATCGGAGCACAACAATGACAAAAGACTCAATCCTTCTTTGATTGTGGTTGGGGATGAAAATTCATTCACATTCCTTATAGAATCTTGCACTGACTCCAAGTCATAAAACTTCTTTCCTTGATCTTTCTTGATAACGAATGCGTGTCCGACAATCTTGAAAATTGGTCCATAATCTTCTCTAGCATTCAATATGTCAATTTGTTGTTCCACAGCTTCATATAACCCTGTTGGATCCAGCATTGAATAACGAGCATAAAACCTACTGAAAGCAGCCCAACAGACCTCACTCTTCACCAAACATGGCACACAAGCTCCAACGAAAAACTCAACTTGTTGGAATGGGATCTTATTGAATGTGACATACAATGAAATAGCATCCAAGGCAAAATATAATTCATCCTCTTTTTTTGAAATTTTGGCAATGTTTTTGAAAATATCAAATATTGGCTGTAATGGCTCGTCTTCAGTTGCAAGTGATATCAAATACAATGGTTTACCACACTTTTTGGACAATTCAACTGCTCTATCTGGATTCTTTAGTGCAAGTGATCTAAACTCATCTTTCGAAGTTTTTGCACCTGCTTCGAGCTCTTTCTCGATGGTATTTGTATCAAGAGTTCCCACATCTTCCACCTCAAATAGCTCCTGAAGTCTCTGTATCGACATTCTATCAACGACGTTAACGGCAATTCGAAGTGCTTTTTTAACAGTTGATGAAGTTTCGATTTTACCTTCGCGATTTTTCTAAAAAGCCTTTGGGAAAAATTGTGACATAAACACAAACCATCAAACATCAACAAAGGCAGGTTCACACACACTTGGTCCTATTCATTCCAAGATGAGCTCTAAGGATATTGATTATCTAAAGTCAAATAATGTGGACATTTATCAGCTTTTAGAGGTCCCTAATGATGCCCAAGATGTCACCATAAGGAAGGCTTACCGTAAACAAGCATTGATATACCATCCAGATAAGAATCCATCACCAAGTGCTGCTGAGAAATTCCATTCAATATCACTATCTCTGAAAGTGCTCACAGATAAACATCTACGAAGTGAATATGACAATTGGTTGAGTTCAAAGAAATTGGAAAGTCTGCGAACTGAGAAACTAGATGCTAGCAGAAGAAAAATGAAGGATGATTTAGAAAGGGCAGAAAATGATGCGAGTTCACAAGGTTTTACATGGAATAAACGTGCTGCTACTGAGAGTGCAAATAGATTTGGTGCTGAGCTAGAAAGACTAAGGCAAGAAGGTGCGCAAAAGAGACGAGAATTTGAGAAACAATACTTGTCCAAATTTGATAGTGATGAAGTTTCTAAGAGAACAAAATCGTCAGTAGCAAATGATTCAACACAGCTAGATTTCACTGTTAAAGTGAGGTGGAAAATTAAAGAAGGGATCTCGGATTTGTTTAACGCTGATATATTGAGTGGGATTATGTCGGTATTTGGAGAAATTGAATCCGCAAACATTTTACCAAGAGGGTCAGAATCAAGATATGATACTGGTTTAGTCAAATTTAAATCCAAAAGTTGTGCTATAGAAGCTGTCAATCATGATTTTTCACGTAAAAGTTCAAAATGGGAAGGTACATCATATCGGAAACTTTCCGGGCTCTTAAGAGAAGCCAAGTGGAACAAGAAACAACCAAAAAACATCCCAAATGATGGTATTTTGAACAAAGATGAAATGAGTTTTGAAGAGTATATGAATCTCACGTTGTTGAAACTAAAAGAGGCCAAAGACCCGAAACATCTTCGGAGAAAGTTTGAAGTATAAAATTGAACATTAATGAACCAAACAACCACTAAAAGACCCCAAAACAATGTAGAACCAATGTAGAATCATCCAAATATCAAGAATATGAGCTCCAATAGTGCAAAAAAAAAGCAGGATTTCGCCCGCTGAAAAAAAAGAAGTTTGCGATTTCTGTGGATTGAACACAGGACCTTTAGATCTTCAGTCTAACGCTCTCCCGACTGAGCTAAAACCGCTTTCCGATGAGTTGTTAAATCCGTTGAGCGGCCCTACAATGCTTAGCGCTTACCCGTATTTGTGGCGCGAACCATGATTTTGTTAGTGAAAAATTCCGAAATTTTTGGCACATAACTGATTTTTTGAAATATAGTTTTCTGATGTTTGCGTGATGACATTATTTCTTTATGAAAAGAATTCTTGATCTTTATAAAGTTTAGGTGAATAGATAGAGACAATGTTTAAAAGAAAGCATAATAAACCTGAAATTAATGAAAGACAGGCAGATTGGATCGATGTTTCGGTACCATATGAAAAGCCGGAATCAATCAAAGCACCAGAACCAAAGCAATTAAAAGAAGATGAAATTGTTAAATATAATGAAGTTTTAAAACATTTTCAAAATCCAGATATATCAGTTGCTACTAAACCAAAAGGTGCAGAGAAGGCGCCTTTAACTGATCGTGAAAGGGCTTGGTTAACTAGAGAATGTTTTTTGAGATATTTGAGAGCAACTAAATGGATAGTGGATGATGCTATTGAAAGATTAGAATTATCACTTGCTTGGAGAAGAGAATTTGGTATAAGTGGAGATAATGATACAGTTACAGGTGAAATGGTATCTCCAGAGAATACTACTGGTAAACAAGTGATACTTGGTTATGATAGTGATGCTAGACCAATTTTATATTTGAAGAATGGTCGTCAAAATACAAAATCTTCATTTAGACAAGTTCAACATTTAGTGTTCTTTTTAGAAAAAGTTATAGATCTCATGCCTGTTGGTCAGGACACAATTGCATTGCTTATAGATTTCAAACATTATGATGTTGAAGGTACCACATCTAAGATTCCTTCTTTATCAATTGGTAAACAAGTGTTGAATATCCTACAAACACATTATCCGGAAAGATTGGGAAGAGCATTATTAACCAATATTCCATTCGTTGCTTGGACATTTTTAAAACTTATTCATCCATTCATAGATCCACAAACTAGAGAAAAAATTATATTTGATAAACCTTTTGAAGATTATGTCCCATCAGATCAATTAGATAAAGATTATGGTGGTAAATTATTTTTTGAATATAAGCATGATATATATTTCCCTGCATTGATTGAGCAAGCTGAAGCCAAAAAGGAAAGATCATTTGAAAGATTTTTAAAATTTGGAGGTGTTGTTGGTTTAAGTGAATACGATTTAAGAGGATCCAATGAAGAGTTGCAATATCCTGTGCATCAATTAAACTGAATATTCTAACATCCCAAGTGATGGCTAAATATATTCAAGCGATTCTGTTTTCATGTCAACTGCTGAAATTTTTCAAGCTCTGTAGTTTTTCCGAAGAATCTAAATACGGTGTCTATCGCGTTTTTGTGTACAGATCGCGACTTTCCTTCACGATATACAGATTCATTTCAAATATTGAAACCAAGATATAATGAATCTGGATCCTGTGGGTACAACATTGTACCCATCGTATTCACGTCGATTGTTCGTCGAAAAAAAAATTATGAATTTAAAGAAAATCAATCGCTCATCAGTGAATTTGACTGCCTTCCAGAACCCAAAATAGACCATTATCATAAACAATCGAGAAATGGCTGATGACTTTTACATTGATCCTTTAATTCGGGAGGATTATGAAGCCATCTCAGCCCTTTGTAACAGCGACCCTGGCGCAAGGCGTATTGTTACAATAATTGTGGAATACATTGAAAATAATCCACATCGTTCAATGGCTGAAATCGCAGGTTCAATTTCTAGGGTTCTTGACCGACTACAACAACGTCGTGTTGATGAGCCCTTGGTAGAGGAGCATGTTCCAGAAGAATCACACAATTGAACGCTTGGTTGAAAATATTAGAAGAACGTTCGTCTGTATAACCAACCAATCAACGGTTTAGATCCTCGCCACATTTGGCTGAGTGCACTTGGATCAATTAGTAATTGAAAATGTAGCTATAAAACAAACATCAATCCATCTGAAATTGAAAAAAAAACCACTTTCTCTTAGCTCTACAACTCGATGACGAAACTACCAAGCACTCAAAAGGCCATAAAGTTGAATGATGATTACAAATTAGTGGTGAGAAATGACTCGCCAGTCTCAACAAATTTGGAAGATGATGAAATACTTGTTAAAGTGAAAGCTGTTGCCTTGAACCACACTGATTATTATTTTGCAGATTTTAAATGGGCAAGTCCCGGTGAGGGCTCAGGCACATGTCTAGCTGGTGATGTTTTGGCAGTTGGTGATAAAGTTACCAGGTTTTCTATAGGTGATACAATTACAAGTTTTACGTTTGGTTCTGACTCTCAATTTAAAGATCATGGTGCATATCAACAATATGTCAAAGTTTTGGAGATCAATTCTTTCCAGTTCAACGTAAAGGGCTATTCTGATTCTGGTTCCATTGAAAGAGGAACAATAAAAACATATGAAGATGGTGCTTCTGTTGCTAATGCATTGATAACCATAGGTATTTCAGTATATCAAACATTTGAAGCATATAAAAATGATCCAAGTAAGACCATTTTGATTTATGGAGGTTCAACAAACGTTGGACAATTGGCAATTCAATATGCAAAGACCTTAGGCTGGAAAATCATTGCAATTGCCTCCCCAAAATATAATGAACTATTGAAGAAACTTGGAGCTGAAATTGTTCTTGATTACCACTCAGAAACCTTGGTTGATGACATCAAAAATTTGAAAATATCGATTGATTATGGATATATCACTACTGGGGGAACAAAAGCAGTTGAACAGATATACGAAGCATTACCAGATGACAAAGTGATCAAATTAGAAGGTTTGCAAGTTCCTGATGTTTCATTCATAAAGGAAAAGAAACCAAATATTCAGTATGAATTGACTAGGGCATTTACATCACATGGAAAATCAATTAAATATGGTGATGGTCGTATTTTCCATCCAAAAGAGGGTACTTTGGAAAGATTAAAAGAGTTTGTACCAATTGTTGAGAATTTATCCAAGCAAGGGAAATTGGATCATCTACCGATTAGAGTTTTACCTGGGGGATTTGATGCTGTCAATGATGGATTAAAATTGTTGAAAGAAGGTAAAATATCGAATGAGAGGTTAGTTATCAGGGTGGACAGTAATTGAGTGTCTATATTGGCTCAACTGCTTAGTATTTTATCAGTGTAGCTCTATGTTCAAATCACTGAATCTCCTTAAAGGTTTATAGTGGGTACATTCTTCGTATCAAAAATTTAAATATGATAATTATACTAATACCTCTCATGATATATCCATCGAACGATCCGACTTGTAAGAATATCGGCCAGCAGCAGCTAGCTTGTGTATTTGACCTAGTATTTGTATAAAATTATTTTGAGCTGAATATTAATATTTTGTGGTGATTAATGATATATTATAAAAACATAGAATTACGTACTATCTGCTCATTTTCCACATAAAATTCATTGATCAGAATATAACTAATATATAACTAATATATAACTATTTGAATTTATCAAAATTTTATATAAATATTAAATTATATTGCACTTTTTCAAAATTGTATACCTCATATTTTTAAATATCATTTCCAATTCCTCAAATTCTGAAAAACTTCAAAATTTCAAAGTTGCAATTTTGCCAATATTATTGTAAATTAATGAAATATAATTTATTTTATTAGTCTCCTAAATATTTTACAGGATCAGAATCATAATTGTTGAAGTTATTCACACTTTAAATTATATCAAATAGCCGCGGCCGGCCCAAGGCGCCGCCATACAACTTTTTTCAAAAAATACAATTACATTTATGTCAATTTATTCAAAATATAAAGCCAGTTATCGATAATTAATCTCTCATTCATGGCGTTGGATAATTTTCAGCTATGAACCTTGCTCACATGCTACTGATTGAATCTAATATTAGAATTCACTAACCATCAAGCAAAGTCAATAGATCAAGAAAAGCACCCAGAACCTTCAACTACAAGACCTAAAACTACATTCAAATTAAACGTAACGGAACAAAATAAAATTCTTTATATAACTTTTATTTCAAAGCAATTTAATCAAAACAATTCCCCATATTCTTCTTCAAAGATCCAAAAGAATGACAACGAAAAAATAATGAAAACCTCAATAAAAATCACTACCTCTCACATTCATCCTTCTTCACTTTTCCAAAAAACCACACATCAGGGAACAATTTTTCCAACTCATCTAATACCAACCTCTACCATTAGCGGAGAAATCAGCATTAGCATAAGCACCATAATAACTTGGTTGAACACCTTGATAATATGGGGCTTGACCTTGGACAGCTTGTTGTGGTTGACCTTGGCCTTGAGCTTGTTGACCATCAACATCACCTTGTTGTTGAGAGCCTGGTGCAGAAGTACCGGATTGACCACCTTGAGAAGCTGGGTTGGAAGCAGTAGCTTGACCAGCTTGTTGTTGACCTTGTGGGACACCATAACCATAAGCTTTTGGTTGTTGTTGCTGTTGTTGTTGTTGTTGTTGTTGTTGTTGTTGTTGAGCAGCAGTGTATTGGTTATATGGAGGATATTGTTGTTGTTGAGCAGCGGCAGCTTGTTGTTGGAAATAAGCATATTGTTGTGGATAATACATATATGGCATATTTTGGAAGAAGGCTGGAGTTTGATATGGAATGTTTGCAACGTTTGGTTGTTGACCAGCTGAAGCTTGACCAGTTGTTGTTGGTTGAGCAGTGTTTGGTTGAACTGATGAAGTGACTGGTGATGCAGTTGATAATTCATTCATTGGGATACCAGTACCTGGGATTTGTGGTGGGATACCATATGGTGATTGTTGATGACCAAATTGTGAAGTTTGAGCTTGTTGTGCGGCTGAAGCTTGTTGTTGAGCAGAAGCAGCAGATGATTGATCATAAGAACCTGAACCACCAGCAGATCTTTGTTGGTTGTATAATGAGTTACGATCATATTGATAATCTAAACCACCATAGTTGTAACCTGGTAAATGAGATTGATAACCAGCATAGTATTGATCATAAGCACCTTTTGGAGGTTGTTGTTGTTGACCAGCTTGTTGTGATTGAGGTTGTTGTTGTTGTTGAGCTTGAGCTTGAGGTTGTTGTTGTTGATATTGTTGTTGATACAAGTTGTTTTGTTGTTGTTGAGCTTGTTGATATTGACGAGGTAATTGTTGTTGTTGTTGTTGGTTATTGTACAAGTTGTTATATTGACGTTGTTGTTGTTGCTGAGGTTGAGCAGATTGTTGTTGTTGTTGTTGTTGTTGAGCAGGTTTTTCATCTTCTTGTAATAATGAAGAACCAAATGAAATACCGCCAACATTACCAACTTGGTTAGCAGAGCTTGGTAAAACAACTGGAGCATCTTGTTGTAATCTTCTTTGAGTTTTTTGTTGAGGTTGTTCAGTAACTGGGATTTCAGCAGAAACTTCTTGTTGTTTTGGAATTGAAGCTGGGGCAGCTTGTTGTTCTTGTTCTTCAACAGCTGGGACAGCAGTTGGAGCAACTTCAGGTTTTGATTCTTGTTTATCTTCAACAGAAACGGTTTCAACACCTTTTGTAACTTCAACAACTTTTTCAACATCTTTTTGTTCAGGTTGTTCCACAACGGCTGGAGCAGCTTGAGGTTGAGCTTGAGGTTTTGGTTTTGGAGTTTGTTTCTTCTTTGGAGCTGGTGGAGCTGCGATGGCAGCCCAAGATTTATTACTAGTTGCTGGAGTTTGTGCAGGTTTTTTAACTTCTTTTGGAGTTTCCTTTTGTTCTTCTTTTGGTTGTTCTTGTTTAACTTCTTCTTCCACTTTTTCTGGTTGTTGTTGTTGTGGTTCTTGTTCTTCAGATTGTTGAGATTCTTGAGTAGATTCTTGAGGTTGTTCTTGTTGTTTTGAAGCTTTTGCCTTTGGATCTGAATTAGCTAAAGCAGCGGCCCAAGAAGATGAAGAAGGTTTACCAGATGAAGCATTAGCTGGTGCACTAGTTGGTTTAGTTGATTTTGGTGCACTAGTTTTCTTTAAACCTTTCTCTTTTGGAGTTGTGGCACTTCTTTGTTTAAATTCCTTCTTTGGATGACTTCCATTTTCTTTGTTTATTATATGTTTTGGCTCATCAGAAACAACTTGTTTTTCCTTTTTAGTTGGTTTTTTAACTTCATCCCATTTACTAACTGCACCTGTTGTAATTTTTTCAATAATAACTTCCAATACATCAAATTCATTAATTAAATCTACCAAATCTTCATTTGACCAATCTGGGAATAACTCATTCAATGGAGATAATTTTGATTTGATTTCATCTGAATATTTTGATGAAGATGAAGATGAGGATGGGTTATTATTAAATCTTTTGGATTGATTTCTAAACCCGCCTCTTGGCCTTCTTGATTGTTGTGATTTCTGTGTTGTAGATTCTGACATTATATGTGTATATGTGTGTGTTTAAAACTGGATTTAGAAAAAAAATTGGATCAGTATCTTCTTCTCTTTCAAACCAGTTGTTGTTGTTGTATGTGTTGATGGATTTATACAAAAATAATGTGATAAAACTATTCTTTTTTTTTGAGGGTTTGTGATTTGTGATGGAGAATTGAGGTATGTTATGATTTGATAAGAATGATTAAATCAATTGATTAAAAATGAATTCAACTATTCTTTTCTTGATTCTATGATATCTATTATGATTTCATTCAATTAACCAAATTGTTCGATGGCACTTTTTTTTTTCAATTCGACGTCGAAAATTTCAACTAAATGTGGAAAATCCGGGTAAAAAAGAGGTGGAAATTGATCATTTAATTATAGAAAACGTAATAAAGGGAATCAATTGGTTGGTGATTTACTATTGATTCATGAGCTTTGTATTCTTATTCATTTGCTATTATTTTCTCTCTTTTATTTGATTCATTTATGCCCAATTTCACAGTTTCCCCTAATCATATTAATGTTTTGCTCTCCTTGACTTCCCAATTGGGTAATTACAAGTCCGACATCAAAGTTCTACAAACATTAATATTCAAACTAAAAATTTCATAAAATTAAAAACACTCGTTAAAACTATGTAAACAATAAATCATTAGATACACTCTTCTTATAATTGGTTCTTTGTGTGGAAGATATCTAAAGCTTCAGAGATTCTAGCACTCATAGTTTTTTCACCTTCTCTAACCCAGACTCTTGGATCAAAGTATTTCTTGTTTGGTTTATCTTCACCATCTGGGTTACCAACTTGAGACATGATGTAATCTTTCTTGTTCAAGACATAATCTCTAATACCGGTCAAGTAAGCATATTGACAATCGGTATCCAAGTTAACTTTAACAACACCATTAGTGATTGCGGTATCAAATTCTTGTTGAGAAGAACCTGAACCACCGTGGAAGACCAAGTATAATGGATGTTTGTTATCAGTACCAATTTGTTGTTTGGCATATCTTTGATGGTCACCCAAGATTTCTGGTTTTAATTGAACGTTACCTGGTTTGTAAACACCATGAACGTTACCAAAAGCAGCAGCAATTGAGAAATTTGGAGAGATTGGAGCTAAAGCTTCATGAACTTTGAAGACGGTTTCTGGTAAAGTGTATAAGGATTCTTTTTGAACGTGTTCATTGTTAACACCATCTTCTTCACCACCAGTGATACCAATTTCCATTTCCAACCATTGGCCTAATTTGGACATTCTTGTAAAGTATTTAACACAAGTGGCAATGTTTTCATCATCAGTTTCTTCAGATAAATCCAACATATGGGATGAGAATAATGGTTCACCATGTTCAGCAAAGAAGGCTTCATCAGCTTCCAAGAATCCATCAAACCATTGTAATAATTTCTTAGCACAATGATCAGTGTGTAAAACAACTGGGATACCATAAGTTGGAGCAATTGATCTGATATAATGAGCAGCAGCAATACAACCGGCAATTGAAGCTTTTTGGTCAGTGTTTGAAACACCTTTACCAGCGAAATAGGCCGCACCACCTTGAGAAGTTTGCAAGATGATTGGAGATTTAGCATCTCTAGCAGCTTCTAAAGCGGCAACAGCAGTTGATGAAGAAGTGACATTGATGGCTGGGATAGCAAAACCTTTTTCTTGAGCATAGTCGAATAAAGCTTTGACATCATCACCGTAGATGACACCTGATTTTCTTTTTAAAACGTCTTGAACACCCATTGTAGATTGTAATTGATTGATTGTATGTATAAAGTAATGATACTTTTGATGAGGAAAGGGAAAAATAAACAATTGAGGATTCTCTTGTCAAAAGGGATGAACCAAGGTTTATATAATTTTGGGAGAAGTTTTTTCGTTGTCGATGAAATCCGTAACGTGGTGGGTGGATCAACCGATGTCCAGGTCAAGAATCGTCAGCCAACGTCGAGAAATGGCAGATTTGGAGAGCAGATTTAGAGAGAGAATAAAGAGAGATGGGGGAATTGGATGGTGAGAGAGTGGTTATAGAGTCAATTGGGTAGAGTGTAGTTTGTTTTGTTTGGTTGATTGGGTTTTACTGTGCTCAGAGTGTTGAGTTGGTGGTGGTGAAAAGTCCGGTTGTGATGGTGGTTGTTAGCAATTAGTGTTACATAAGAGACGTTAAGCAGTTGCTCTTTGCTAGAGGCTATACGTAGTCTAAATTAATACTAAATTACTACTAAATTACTACTATTCTATTAGATTACTACTATTACTTCTACTATATTCTACTATCATCTTCCATTCTCTTCTCTTCTCTTCTAATTCTGATGATTATGATTCAATCCAACTGATTCCTACATCGCACCAGCTGACACTCGCAGTCAAATCACATCAACGCAATTAGACATCATCTCGCAAGACTAAACAAACAGCCAACACTCAGGTACCATGACATGGCACACAGATACAACAACAACTGACACAGAATTAATACTAGAATTAATTATGATCCTGCTTCTGGTGATGCTCCAGTTGCTTCAGTTGACCATCCCGGTGCTTCTCGTCATCCCACCCATAATACAAACCCACATCGCTACATAACCATCAGGGTAAATATTAATTAGCTTATGTTCTCTATACAACACTCTCATTAAAACTAGTCTCTGGTAAATTATCAATCAATAACCCATGTGTAATTATAATACCACCTGATATACTACTTAATGAAATCAATGTACTAATTGGACTAGAATAAAATATCACCGGTGTGGTTAGGATGATCAATCCTAAATATAAATAAGTCTTGTTTAAATGAATATTAACATTCCCAATTCTAATTTGTTCAAATTCATAATTATTCAACACAATAAACCCACCAATCAATCCAATTAATGAAATCAACAACATTGGTTTTTGAAATAATAAAAAAATTGAAATTATTAAAACAATGATTAAATAATTTGAATTGAAAAAATTTAAATTGAATAATAATCTTGTTTTAGCTTCATTTATTGTTTTGGGGGTGTTTAGTTTAGACAAGTTGAAAAATTCTTTTAATGGTTTAATATTTGTGATTTTATGATGTAAATATGGATTTTGGTGCTATTGGCATTGTTAGACATACGCGATTGCAAAACAATAACGTCACTCACTTTAATGGTGTCCAAGTCCCATTTGTTGAATTTGAACTGGGCAGCGTTGAATTGGGAAGGAAATGCACTCATGGTCTGTAGTGATACAGGTCTAATCTATTAAATCTAGTCAAATCTTTGGTGAATTGAAAAAATACAATCACTTGTTTATCTGAGATCATCAACATTTTTTTTTTCAAATTTGGGAATGCTCTGTTCAAGAATTCGCGAATTGATGATTTTTGAAAAAAAACGTTCACTTTACACAGTCTTGATATTTAGGTCGAAGAACCGTAATTTTGATTTCTTTCTCCAGCGCATAGCATGAAAGCGAGTGGTTGTCAGATATAGCTGTAGCGGGAATACTACTAAGGCCTAATGATGGTAATCAATGGCTATGATGTTGGATGTTGTAACCCTGATGCCCTATGAGATGGTTATTATGTGTATTGTATAGACTAGTTGTACTGGGATCTCCTGTGGTATTTATACTTCTTATCATCAAGCTTATCTCAAGCTGACAATTAGTGGTATTTTGTTAGTATTTTGAAATATTGTGTCAGACGACCATCTGCATTGTTTGATGAAAGTTTAAACCATTATGGATGATCTGCAATTGTCGTGAAAGTTCATCGCTTTTACAATCAAACAAGTTGAAGTTCACTATTCAATTTACATGGAGTTTCCCTGGATTTATCAATTGATGGGAAATCTTTTGTGGTCTGAGTGTATCTCCAATTCATTGATTTTGATTAATTATATTGTAGGTCTTTGGGCTAAACATATCCAGAAGACAAGCTCTTCATCGTCTATCCCAGTAGCTAAACACCAAGCCAACAATTATCAAGTGGCAGTTAGATGAATGCGACTATGAAGCTCAACTTCATTGACTCATTTTGGACCTCTTTTTCTATTTGCTGAGAAAAACATGGCTACTTTGGGTTATCACTAATACCTACAATCCCCGACACCTAAATTCTAGATAGAGCTTGTATTACCACCAACCTGCACACCTAATCAATACCTACAACCTTTAATCCTTAAAAGACACCTATATTATATTCCCAAGAAATACACACATATGATGTCCCTGTTTCATATTACAAAACTTTTCAAAAAGCACAAATAACCTAACAACCCAAATTGAATTAATAAACAATATAATAAAGAAGAGAAAAAAAGCACACAGCTTCATTGAGATAACTTATCAGGTCTCTAGCCAGCCCTTACCTGGCAACAATCTCCCGAGAATCCAATCAAACATCCCCAGCTTTCTTAGCATTACATGCAACAATTCTAATCTTTTCAGCATTAATAGTTTCATTTTGATCTAATTTAACATTAACATCCTTGATAACAAAAGTCCACACATCATCACAGAATCTATAAGTATGTAGATGACCTTTGAATGTTAATTTGGATTTAACATTTTCCTTCAATGTGTCAGATACAACACGATCAAACTAAATCATAGTTAGCACACAATAGCCTCCACAAAGACAAAAACAAAAAACATACATTTGCCAAAATCCTCATCGCCAGCTGTGGTTCAATTCTTTGATCACTATCCTTTGATTAGTTTCCCCTATCTGTCACATACTGGATGTACTTACGAGATCAAAGTATCAAGAGCATCTGTTAACGAAGTACCTAAACTAGAATAAAAACTTGTTAGTATTCCTTGAATTGAACCAAATACAATAGACAGACCACATACGTGCTTCTTCTATAAAGCTCATAGTAACCCTGACTACTCATGATGACCAACGAGTTAGGCTATTGCGCTTTCCATCAACAGAATCTCCTTTCCCAATTCGATTGTTAAAGTCTGTTTTCGTTTTGAAGGCAAAACAATTACAAATTCCGCGAAAGTTGCCCGGTGTTGAAATTTCCGCGAATTTTAATTAATTAGTTTATCAATTACTTGAAGAATCTTTTAACCATCAACTAGATCATCACCAATACTATCAATCATGTCATCCACCATTTTTTATAGATTCAGATCACAGAAAAACTCATCAAGAATACAGTTTGACGGTACTGGTCTAACAGTGTACGACTTAAAGAAGGAAATCATCAATGAAAATAAACTTGGAACAGGACTAGATTTTGATCTAAGACTTTATAACAACGATACAAATGAAGAATATCAAGATGATGCAGTGGTGATACCTCGTTCCACATCTGTCATTGCCAGAAGATCACCAGCTACTAGAAACGGGAAAGGTACAGCGGCCAGATATGTCACTGGTAAACCACGAGCAACAAAGATTGAATTAAAACCTCAACAACAAACACAGGCAACACAACAGGATAATAATAATCAAACACAACAAACAGAAGAAGAAAGAATCAATGCAATGTTTGCTAATCAAAGTGATCAATGGAAACAAACACAACAAGTCATGTCCACTGCGACTCCTGTTTATAATAAACCTGCAGCTTCGTCAACAACAAATAATCCAGATGATGTACCACCACCAGGCTATATGTGTTATAGATGTGGTAGTAAAGATCATTGGATCAAGAATTGTCCAACTAATGACGATCCTAATTGGGAAGGTAAGCGAGTCAAGAGAACTACAGGTATTCCAAAGACTTATTTGAAAACTATTGAAAAACCTGAAGATGAATCAACAGGTGTCAAATCTTATATGATGAATGAAGAAGGGAAATATGTTGTCCAAGTGGCCGATGAGAAATCTTGGGAAACTTATAAGAAAAAAGTTAACAAGACCCAGGATATGATTAATGATATGAAAGATATCGACCCGGCTTTGATAGATCCATCTACTGGGAAAGTTTTCCAAGATCCTGTGAATACCCCATGTTGTGATTCGATTTTTTCAAAACAAGTTATCGAGGATAAATTACTGGAGAGTGATTTTGTTTGTCCGAAATGTGGTAAAGAAGATATTTATCTAGATCAATTGAAACCAAATGTTGAATTAAACAAGAAAGTTGAAGAATTTTTAGATAGTGAGTTTGAAAAAAGAGGTGTCAAGAGAACTACACAAGAAGATTTAGAACAATCTAAAAGACAAAATATTGGTTCATTGCCTATAAAGCCAGATGCCTCACAACAACAACAACAACAACCAGGTGGTCAAATACCGATGATGCCAATGAATCCATTTGGATTACCATTTGTTCCACCGTTTGGAATGATGCCACCACCTCCACAACAACCTACAAATAAATAGACTCAAATATGTATAATTTTATATGTATCAATCTTTTTTTCTAAAACAACTGTAATCCTTTATCAATTGGAACCATTTGAGTAACTAATAACAGCATATTTACCACTACTCAACCATGATAATCTTGAATCATGATCTTTTTCCCAGAAATCACCAACTTGGTCATAAACTCCCTCTTGTAAACCAACTAAAACATCAGCTTTGATAGTTCTTAGGGCCAAGATTTTCAACCCATTTGAAGCTAATGGACCAATAGATTCAGCAAAAGTTGTAGTGGATGGCCATCTTCTATCACCTGTCAATTTTCTATAATTCATATCACCTTTAAAGATAACTAATGAAGAATCACTTAAATCTTTATGAACTTTAGCACCACCAAATTCAACTTCTTTTGGATCAATATTCCAAAAATCTAAATCAAGAGTCCAAAATGGGGAAGTACGTAGTTGTAAAGTACCATTATTATTGAAATATTCAATTTTGTTAATGAAGTGATCCAGTTCTTTTCTATGTTCTGGGAATAGTGTTGTATTTTTCAAATCTGCCAACAAGATGTAAAAATCTTTAATATTAACATCTGAAACCATCCATGGGATATCCTTTGTATGGAAAACAACTTCATCTGTTAATTTCAAATCTAGTAAGAATAAAGCAAAAATCAAATCAGTATAAACTTCAAACCCAGCATTATCCAAAACAAAATCAACTCTTTTAACTTCATCTTTTGAAGTGGTCAATTGTTTCCAAGCTTCATCCAAATCGTTATCCAAGATGTTTGCCTCGGACTTCTTTCTAGCTTCAGCACCTTGGATTGACTTGATATCCTCTAAAGTAGCAGTAGCTAATAATGATAAATCTGTTGCATTACCCCATAATGAGATTTCAGCAAATTCATTAAACAAGATTTGTTTAGTTTGTTCATCAATTGAATTAACCTCCTCGGTTAACTTATAATAACGAATAGCTAATTCCACAACACCAGCAACAGAACTTTCAAATGATGATCTTTTCAAATTATCAAAAATATCATAATTAAACCATAATGATTTTGATATAAAGAAAGAATTAATAACACGGTATAAATAATTTTCCAAGAATAACCAAGGACCTGTTAACCAAGTATAGTTCTGACCTTTTAAAACTTTATCAAACGAGGCAAATGCCTTATTTGTAGGATGTTGGAACGGTTTAACAGCACCATCAGATTGGACATCATTTTTCAATTGCTTCAATTCTGATTCAATTTGTTCACCTTGTTTCTTGAACTCAGCATCAGAGGAATTCTTGACAGCTGAGGCAACATCATCAATTGCATCTTGGATGATTTTGATCCAACGGGTTCTTGCTGTTGAAAAGGCAAAAGAATCTGAATCTTTGTTGTAGTAAACGTCTGGTACTAAACATTTGAATGGTTAATAAAAGTTCAAAAAGACACAATACGAAAAGGAATAAAAGGGCCACTCACAATTGGACATGGTTTTCTAAGGAATTGCGTCTATAAGTTTATACTTAGTTAAAGCTCTAATTCTTTACGTGTTCAAAATAGAGGTTGTTCACGTTCTTTTATACCCTCCACATGACGATTCGCACACTCGCAGCGATTCGCGAATGTGTTTGGTGATTAAATTTTCGCCTTTGTACAACTGGATCAATGAGCTCCATAAAACGAGTGAAGAAGGTCATCAATTGTCTATTAAACACTAAATTGGGAAATCGTATAAACCATGAGCACGCAGAGTGAGCAACAAAAGCCTTTAAAAACAGTCTACAACGAGTGTGTTTGCGGGTTCACCCAATTGGGAGATTCCATCCAACGTCAAGATTCTGATGAATACCAGGGCAAATTGAAAGAATTGACTCAAAAGTTTTTAAATTTGAAAGAGACCGTGGGAAGAATTGGGTTATTTAGTGATAATGAATCAATTGAAGATGTGAATACTGGTGAGATCCAATTGTTGAGCGTGGAGTACTATTTGGCACAACTGTATGCTCAGAATATTGCACCTTCGAAAATTCATAATTTGAAGAAAAGTATACTGCTATATTTACAATATCTTAGAAGTTTGAGTAATTATGACCTTTTGACCAAAGATGAGGTGGACAAACTAGATAAACTAAGAGAAGATCCTTTTGAAATTAAGAATTTATCAGATACTGCAATGTTGAGAAGAGATGAAAAAATTGCAGCTTACAAGTTGGAGAAAACATTGACAACAAAGATTGAATATCTATCTAAATTAGAATCAGATGAAAATGAATATAATAATGCAGATGAGGAAGAAATAAGGCAACTTTATATTGATCAATTGAAATTGTTTACATTAAAGACTTTTAACAATATAAGATTTATTACCCAAGAGTTGGAAATTTTACAAAATATCCCAGAACCAAAAATCGAACCAATTGAAGATAAACAAGAGACAAAGGATCCAACAGGCTATACAGAAAAACTAGAAACAGTGGATAAGGCATTCTTATCAAAAGAAGGTAAGATTTTAAAACCATTCACTATTGTGAAACGTGATGATTTGAAGAAGAAAGTGTTTGGAACTGGTCAATATTTACCAACAATGACTGTTGAAGATTTCCTTGAACAAGAATTGGCAAATGGTGGTATGGTTACCGGGGGCGGTAATGACGGACCAGAAGAGAGTAGTGATGAAGATGATTTCGATAAAAATGATAGGGATACTTATAAAGCTAGAGAATGGGATGATTTCACAGAAAGTCATGCAAAAGGTAGTGGTAATACTATGAATAGAGGTTAATAAATGGAAAACAGTTTGCTTATATTTATGACAAGTATTTAAGTTTCAAGTCTCTTGAAAATGAATTTGTAATTTTTAGTTGTTCCTCCTTGAGTTGTTCATAACTGAGTACATCATTTTCCTCAGTGTTAATTGCAGTAATGATCCATTGTTCATCTTTTGGTAAAGTAACCAATAAATTCAAAATTGTGGAGTATAATCCTGCAACTGTGAGCTTCAATGTTTCATCTTCTTCTTGCTTTGTTTTGTTGATGAATTCATATAATGATTCTAGTGCACTTCTATATCTTTTATATTTCAACCTAAAAGAATATAAAACTTGATAAAAGAATAATGATTTTTTCAAATCTGAAGTGTATGATTGAGCTTTTGATAACAATATTGAATCAACTAATGGATAATCTTGTTTGAAATCATAATAATTCAATCTTCTAATTTCACCAATCTTGTATAATTTGTAAATAAATCTATCAAATGACTCGATTTTCTTTTTTGGATCTTTGATATTATCTAATGCAATTGTGGCAATTTCAAAATTCGACAATTCAATGGCAATTGTAAATAATGTATAATATTTTTCTTCCAAATATTTATTATCAAATTCATTATTGAAATTGTTTGAAATGGATAAATTAATGAATTTCAAAGCTGACTGGAATTTGAAACTATTGAGGAACAATATACTTAGATTCATATAGAATTTTGATAATGAAGTATGGAAAAACACACTATAATCTTCAATTGATTTGAAAATTTCTTTCTCTTGTGAAGTTAATCTATATTTGATGATTTGCTCTGAGTTTTTCAACAAAATTTTTTCAGCTTTTGATGCTTGATCCGTTTGTAAATATGTGACGGCTTTTAATAATGCAAAGACAGGTGTATCTCCATAATATTGTAAATAATGATTGTATAACAAAAAAGTATAATCATTGGAAATTAAATAAGCAGCAACCGAATAGATGAACTCAACACTATTAATGAATGGGATGATTTGATGATTAATGAATTGATTCAATGTATTACCAGTTAATAAAAATCCATCAGGAAATTTCAATTCTAATATTTTGGTGACAAGACTGTTTTCTAATACTGAAGTTTCATCCAATTCTAACTTGTTTGTTGTTGTGTTGAAATTTATGTAGAAAGTGGTTTCAATGGCTTGATAAGTTTGATATAGAGGTAAAATAACAGATAATAAAGATTCCAATTCTTCAGCATTATCAAATTCTAAAACCAATAACAAAATTAATAAATCAAATAAAATTTCTTGATTAACAACCAATATATCTTTTAAAGTTTTCAACACTAATGAGACACCAAATTTTGTTAATTTACCCTTGATTAATGAATCATCATTTGATCCTGATTGAAGGTTTAGTAAATCTTTGATGATTTTGAAAATATTGTCAAATGTTGCTAATTCTTCCACTAAACTTGATAAATTTGTTGGATTAAATTTATTGTTTAAACTGGATTCATAAATCAATGCTAAGCTTTCATTTTTTGGACGTGTTGGTTGTGTAGTGTTGACAAGTCTAACTAATGCATTTCTAACATTATTCAAAACATCACTTGAAATTGATTTTCTGAAATTGGAAATGATGTCTAAAAATCTTAAATGTTCTTTAATATCATCAAACTCTTCAATTGATGAAATTTTCAAATGCTTGTTGTTGCTTAATAATTCCATATTTGAGGTTTTTCTAACTAAGGAATAATCATTTCTATTTATAACCAATATCAAGCTTGTGTCAACGTTAATGTATAGTTTTAATGGTTCATCTGATTGTTTTTGAAATTCTTTACATAAAGTGTCGAATCTTTGCCACTGTTTCTTCAAGTTCTCATCATAATTCTTATCAATAACAATATCTTTACCAATAGTTTTAACAACTTTTTCACGGATTGATAAATCATCTAATAAGTTTTCATCACCATCCTTATTTAATTGATCATTTGTAAAATGCTGTTCATAAATTGATAATGCAGTTTCAACAATTTCATTTGAATAGAGCCCTGCATCAAATATTTTACGTAAATAAAACTCAGACCATGTTTCACTATCAGTGAATTTCTGTAACTCTATTGAGGATTTAGCAACTTCAAACCATTGGAAACTTGCATCTTTATCAATCTTCAAATTTTGAATGATTGAAGAAGTATTACTTTTCCAAAGTACCCACAATTCAAGATTTTCTTTTGCTGAAGGTGCTATTGATTTAAAATCTGCAACTAACCAAATTGTAGTTGAGTCAGGTAAATTTGCTTCAAATTCAAATTTTGCACCTAAATCACCAACTTCAAATGATGTTAAATTTGATTGAATTTCCAAAATTTTGAAAACTCCATTACCAAATGGTAAAAAAATTGATAAATATGTATGTTGTTGACCATTAATTTCCACTTTCAATATCTCTAACAATTTTGTTGGGTTTGGATCAAGATATGGTTTATTTGTAGTTATTTTATTTGATGAAATGAAATCAGTTAATTCTTTTTCCAAAATTAAACTTTGTCTTGAAATTGACCAAACTCTTAATTTTTTATTAATAGTGACCGTGATCAAATAATCATCTAAATGAATAGCATCAATTGTAGTTTTCAATGAAAGATCTGAATGTTCTGATGAAAATTTATGATTTTTAGCCCATGGTTTGAATAAATTTCCTAAACTTTCAAAATATGAATTATCATTGAAAATGATTGGTTCCACTGTGAAGTTTGATAAATCTTTCTTTAACCCGATAATACCACCATCCCTTAGTAGCACTATGGAATAGTCATGTGAGTATGAGTACAAGATATGTGGTTTTCTAATATCAAATCCATATGGGTTCGAAATCTTACACCATTCTTGATAATTTGATGAATCAATACTTGATGATTTGCTGACAACAAAATCAGACAATTTCAAAATGATGGTTATGATCATACCAGCATCACTTATAATATCAACTAATATGGATGTCTCATCATTTGAATTGATAAATTGGTTAATTGTTAAACAATTTGATCTAATCTTGTCAGGTAGATTAATTTTCAATACTCTCAATTCAATACTGAAATTGTTGTTTAATGCCAATGGTGTCAAGACAATTGAATTGCCATCGTTTATTATTCTATAATTGATCTTATTTGGGATAGAATTGGAATCAATAGTCAAAATATCTGTGTTTTGTTCAGTTAACTTTGATTTGAATGATGATTCTGGATCAAGTTGTTTACCATGTGAGTTTGACCATAAATGGCGAGCAACATCGAGCTCCAAAACAGGCAGAGCACCAGTAGACACCTTACTCCTGGAATACCTCGTAACCAACGACATCCTTCTTTCAAAAAACCAGCGGCTATGGGTTCTTTAACGTTCACAATGTTTACACTTTAAACTGGTTTAAATTTTTGTTTACACTCGATTCGAACAAATCTGAACACATCCCAACACCAACTTTTAATACTTGCCCTAAATTCGCGAAGTTTACCCTTCTGAGAGACTTCCGCGAATTTGGCCTGTGTTTGGAAAGGATAAAAAAAATTTTCCAATTGAATGAAAACTCTCTTTCTTTATGTTTATATTAGTAACAACACAAAACTATCAAAAGAGTAAGTTATCAATAATAATAACTCATTGAATAGTCATTGATCTCATTAGATTGATTTGTTTGTTTTTTGTGATGAGCACAATTTATCAAATTCAAACTAGAGTGTATGACATCTGTATGATCACAAAATAATATAAGCTTTCTGAAGTTTCAAACAATTACAATACTTTATAATAATGAGGTTAATAATGATTATCTATTCAATTGTGGAATTTTTTTGAGTACAATTGGGAGTGTCGTTCTAACATGTTTTAGGATTCTTGAATACAGGTGTATTCTTTTTGTTAGGAACAAAATCTTATCGTGTCATGAGGAGATGAGATTGAATTGACAAGATTGATGAAGCTTTTTTGGAAACCTAGATGATGATTTTACAAAAACAAAGCTGGAATTACTGGCTGATTCTCTGTGATGTATAAGTTTTTGCACTACACTGATATATGGTTTTCAAGAAGCGGTTTCAATTCTTGGGATATTTGATTTGTGTCTTTGATTGACCAAGATTTATACTAACAGGTGTTTGATTGAAGCAGTGACTTCAATACATATTCCATATTTTTTGAGATGACGAGCCACAGCACTGGGCACTGACTAGGATGAGTGACAATGCTTTCAAGTGGGCCTAGAAAACCCACGCTACTGATCTTTAAATATGGATTGTGTTTTACAGCTCTTTGAATATATTCTTTCATTTGAAATTGGAATTGTAAGTACTTTTTGTTACTGATAGATTATATGATGGATAAAGATTCAAGTGATGAATACCTAGATGACGAGTCATAATCGGGTTTCCCGTTGACGACAACCTTTTTTTTAATACCATTCATGCTTCACTGATTTTGAATCAAAAACATTATATTTCAAACAATGTGGTTAGAAATAACACTAACATGTATCTAGTCTATGGAAGATAGTGATCACTTACATACAATTTATAAAAAAGGATTTTTTAGTTTGTTTTATTGACAGAGGATGATATTGAAATAAATAGACAAGCATATGTCTGATTTTCCAAGAAGATAAATTATTTCTAGTCTGATGTCAATAACAAATGAATAGTTTCAGGTTACAGCCGTTGCTTTTATTTTATTTTCAAATGGTGAGTTAATTATCTTTTCTATTCATTTGAGTCATTGTTAATGATGATTCTTCCACATTTTCACGACGGTCAACTGCGTTTACTCCCTGTTAAGAGTAAACTTTGATGAATTTCAGCCTGTGACAGGGCGTGGTCCTGATTATAATGAACTCAAATGAATATAGTTTAGTTTTTGGATTCTAAGTACTAATTTTTTGCAATAGAGTGGGTATTAAATCTTTTATACTTGTGTTTTGTATAATAAAGAGTTATGTGATGAAATCTATAACCATTAGTAAAATTGACTTTTGGATGATTGTATTTACAATTGATTTGCATGTCAGGCTGATTATTATCTTTTATTATCACAATGAGAGTATTTTATTCTTGTTTTAGTTCTTTTCCTAACAAAAGTTTATAACAGTTTTTCAATTTGATGTTTATTCGTTTACTCATGATCTGTAGCTCGATTGATGTCACCAGCCTGTACTCTCTGCCTAGCTCACAGCCATCTCAACCTAGCTTCTACCTAGCTTCTGCTCAGGTCCAGACAGACCCCTGCCTAGCGCTCCCTCTGCGCTTTCGCGAAATTCGCCTATGACTAATTTTTCTGACTGATAGAAAATTTTTCACATCTTTTTTTTTTAATTTTTGGTGGGTATAAATTCGAGTTTGAATCTTCAAAGTGGAAAATTCCAACCGTTGAGATTACAACCAACTTTAAAACCACCATCCAAAAGTTTAAAGACAAGACTCAATTGCTACAATCCGCTAAAGCTCTTGCAAACTAGATTCAATTTTCCTCTTGTTCAATTGGAAAATCATCTCAACCCCCTTATCTTGACCATATCTTGTTTATGAGATTTGTCACTATCTTTACCTGTCAAGACTACATTTCTGATCATATTTGGAAAACTAATCAACAATAATTTTAACAAGAACTAATTATACAAAAGTCATGAATTCTTTATTATTCACAACTTCAAAGGCCTCCGTGTCTTCAAAATTTGCTTTCCAAAGATCATCACGTTTTGTTAGATCTTTGGCAACTGCAACTTCTCAATTAACTTCAGCTAAGAAATTAGATAGAGCAACTTTTACAATCCGTAACGGTCCAATCTTTGATGGTTATTCATTTGGTGCTAATAAAAACATCAGTGGTGAAGCTGTCTTCACAACTTCTTTAGTTGGTTACCCAGAATCAATGACTGATCCTTCTTATAAAGGTCAAATTTTAGTCTTTACTCAACCTTTAATTGGTAATTATGGTGTTCCAAGTGGTGAAGCTCGTGATGAATTCAACTTGTTGAAATATTTCGAAAGTCCACATGCTCAATGTATTGGTATTGTTGTTGCTGATGTTGCATTGAAATATTCTCATTGGACTGCTGTTCAATCTTTAAGTGAATGGTGTCAAAAAGAAGGTGTTGCAGCTATTACTGGTGTTGACACTAGAGCCATTGTCACTTTCTTGAGAGAACAAGGTTCTTCATTAGCTAGAATCAGTATTGGTGAAGAATATGATGCTGATCAAGATGAAGCATTCCAAGATCCAGGTGCTGTTAATTTGGTTCATAAAGTTACTACTAAAGCTCCATTCCATATCCCATCAAAAGGTGATTATCATGTCGCTGTTATTGATTGTGGTGTTAAGGAAAACATTTTAAGATCTTTAGTTTCAAGAGGTGCTTCAGTTACCGTTTTCCCATATGATTATCCAATTCATAAGATTGCAACATCATTTGATGGTATTTTCATTTCAAATGGTCCAGGTGATCCAACCCATTGTGCTTCAACTGTTTATCATTTACAACAAACTATGGAAAACTACCATGGTCCAATCTTTGGTATTTGTTTAGGTCATCAATTATTAGCATTAGCTGCCGGTGCTAAAACTATCAAGATGAAGTATGGTAACAGAGCTCATAACATTCCAGCTTTAGATTTGACCACTGGTAAATGTCACATCACTTCACAAAATCATGGTTATGCCGTTGATACCACTACTTTACCTAGTGATTTCAAACCTTATTTTGTTAATTTGAATGATCAATCAAATGAAGGTATGATGCACGTTTCCAAACCAATCTTCTCTACTCAATTCCATCCAGAAGCTAAAGGTGGTCCGTTAGATTCTTCATTCTTATTTGACAAGTACTTTGATTTAATTAGAGATTACAAGTCTAAACAAAATGAATTGGTTGGTGTTGTTAGTAACAAGCCAACTGATTTATTGGTTAATATCCTTTCCAAAGAAAGAGTTTATTAGAAATATTGAAAGATAAGTAAATTTAATATGTTTTTATGAGAATCAATTTGTAGATCCATTTTTGATTATACGCCATCGTGGTTTTCGCGAAAGCCAATTATATCGTAAAATTCGCGCAAACGCCATCGACGATTTTCTTAGAGCGTGTACCATCATCATCAACGTGAGTCAAAAACAATCAAAACCGTATCCCTTTTGTTCCAATATACCAATCATATCAAAGAAATCAGTCACTGCAAATGTCACAAGTAGCATGAGTACCGGGAAAAGCAAGTCAGAGCCGCTGTCCGCCAGGTTGAAGAAGTTATCAAAGCAAGAATTAAACAAACGTGATGTCTTTGGAAGAACAATCATTCATATCATTTGTATCTTGGGTAGATTTGATCTATTGAAATACTTATTACAGAATAATAACCTAAATATCTTCATAGTTGATTATGAAAGTGGTTGGACTGGGTTACACCATTCCATCTTTTATGGTAAAATTTCTTGTGCAAGGTTATTATTAGACAATTGTTCAGATTTGATCAAGGTTAAAGATAGAAATGGGTTAACAGCTATTGATATTTATCATTTGAAATATTCTTATCAAAATCTAAATATCTTCCCAAGTTCAATAGGTGTTCATGATACAAATTATTCTTCTAGAAAAAACAATGATAACGTTAATACCATCCCTGATAAAATATGGTGGGATAGAGATATACGCGGTGGCTCTGAAGTGTTTACATTTGGGATAAATGTTAATAATCACTTGGGTACTGGTGATTCCGATGATAAATTGAATACTCCACATAGAGTTAATATTGAAAACAAAAGATTACAAGATTATACATTATCTATTGCAGATAGATTAGTTAAACCAAGGATTAAAGAGATAAAAATTTCTAAGAATCATTCAGTTCTATTAACAAATGAACATAAACAAAATATACTAGTTGCTGGTAACCCATCGAGAGGTCGGTTAGGCCATGGTTCATCAGTGCCAAATTATAGATTTACACATTTGGATTATTTCACGGATGAACATATTATTGACGTTGCAATTAGTGATGATCATACATTAGCTCTAACATCAGATGGTGAAGTTTACTCTTGGGGGTTAAATAATTATTTTGAACTAGGCTACCCAACTGAACGTATTAAAGAAAAAATTGACACTTTTTCAAATGAACCAAGAAGAGTTTTACAAGGTTTGAAAAAATTGAAAATAAAAGGAATAGCATGCTCCAAGATCCATTCTGCTGCTTTTACAGATAATTTGCTAGTATTATGGGGGTTGAATGTTGGCCAAATGGATTTTGTTTCGTATGGTGAAACTGTCAAACATGGGAAATTGAAAGGTGTTGTTCAAGTTCCAAGAAAATTAGAGTTTCCAAATAATATTAAACAAGTTATCACAACAGATACAGCTACTATTGTCTTGTTAGTTACTGATGAATGTCATATTTTGACTAATGGTTCTCATCTAAGGTTCCAATTACCATTATTCAAAACATTAAATAATGAATTTGAGTATTTTAGACCAACAAAATTTTCCAAGAAGAAGAAAATTATCAAGCTAGTTTCAAAAGATTGTACAAAAATTGGTATTTTGTATGATGATGGTTCTGTTTCAAATTTTGGTGTTGATATTTTTTCAAAAGCTTCAAATATCAAATATAATACAGTTTGGTCTCCAAGAAACACACATCTAAAATGTCATGATGTTGATATTGGTCAAGATGGGTCTATTGTTATTTGTACAAAAGCTGGAGCAGTTTATAAACGTATTTCAAGAATGAGTGGGAAATCTGATTATAAATTTACCAAAATTGCAAGGATCTCAAAAATTGTTAAAGTTAGTTGTGATTCCTTATTTAGTTCATTTGGGTTTATAAAAGATGATGTCGATCAATTACCATTAGATCTTGCCAAAAACCAGTTCTTAGTTGATATCAATTATCTTTCACCATTAACACCTTCAATTGCAAATAGAAGACAAGCACAATTGATTGATTTGGATAATTCGGAAAGATATGTTGTGAATTATTTGAATAAACCACATTTAGATGAATCAGATGAAATTGATCCATTGAAATTATTCAAAAATAATTTTGACATTGAGGATGATGAGAAAAAATCGGAAGATGATCCTTTATTCAATGATTATATTAATAGATGGGACTCACCTCAAAAGATTCAAAGCACTTTTGAAAAATTAGATATTGAAAACATTTCAAATGTTTTACAAAAGAAGGACCTGAAGTATTATTTGATCACAAATGATTTCAAGGATGGCAAAAATTATGATTTGGAGTTTGAAATTGACGATTGTTTAGTTGGTGTCCATAAATCCATATTGTTCTTCATCCCTCAATTTCATGAAATTTTTAAATCAAACGTTGTTATTGGTGATGTTGTCTTTGGAAAAGTTGAGGATAATATCATCAAAGTCTCAAACTTACACTTGCAATCTTTACTAATCATTTTGAATTTCTTATATACAGGAAGTTTCATCAAGATATGGGATCAATTCACAGCTAGTAATACACCACCATTATTGAGAGAGGTTAAGCAACAAACTTTAGAATTGATGAAATCTTTTGGATTGATTAATGAATTACAAAGACCAACTTACAACATTTTTGAGAAATTCAACAGTTTTGAAAACTTTGAGAATGATGTTCTGATCAAACTGAAAGATGATGAAGAAATTGGTTGTTGTTCATATATTATGGCTGCAAGAAATGCTTATTTTGAAACATTATTTTCAGAAAGATGGGATGGTTGTAAAACATTGGAATTTTTACATACTTCTAAGCAAGTTTTTGAAATTGCTCTGAGGTATATTTATGGGTATGAACAATTGTCAATTTTGGATCATATGGTTGAGCTGACCAGTATTTCTGAGTTTATCAATTTACAATTTGAAGTTATTGAATTGAGTGATGAATTAATGTTATTTGGGTTGAAAGATTTGGCACAGTTGATGATCAAAGATTTTATCACTCAAGATAATGCCTTGTTAATTCTACACCATGCTGAATTATTAAATTGTAATATGTTGATTGGTGAATGCTTGTGGTTTATTTACAATAATGTTGAATTGTTCTTATTTGATAGTCATTATGAAGATCTATTATCGCAGAATATAATCAAGAGAATTGATAGCTATTTCAGATGGATGAATCGTGTTAATAAGATCCAATCAAGTGATGGGTTAAGTTATTGGTATGATGAGGATTCAGGTGAAGCAGTCAAGAAGTTTTTGAACAACAGTAAGGATTTCAACAATCATTTCCTTGAAGATAATTCCTTTGAACCATTATTTGACATCAAACAAGTCAAGAAAGATGTAAAAACATCACCTAAATTAGAACCAAAGAAAAATAAATTACCATCACCTCCACCAATTGTCAATACCGAGAAGAAGAAATCTGTCTCAATTGATCCATTAGTTAGTTCACATTGGTCTAGAAAAACTAGTCAAGTTGATTCATCATCAGCAATTGAGTTCACAGATGAAGATTTCCAACCAGTTGTTAGTCGTCGCAGAAGGTCATCCGCAAAGAGAGCATCAGTCTCAACACCAACTGCCCCATCACCATTAGCGAATCCAACACCAAATTTGAATTCAACACCATCAAAAAACATTCCAATACCTCAAAGTAAGCCTATTTATGGCCACAGAAATAGCAGTGTCAGTTCATTAGTGGATAATATGTGGCCTGATATGAATGGTGGATCCTCACCTGGTGGGTTAAGTCCAATGTCCAATTGGGCTAATAGTTCAACTACAAGTTTAAATGGTGCTGGTTCTCCATCTTTGAAAAAAATATGGGTAGAACAACCTTTAATTTCACCACCTTCAAGTTCTTCATCTACAAGCAAAATTAATTTCAATAATGGTGCTGGTAAGATGTCACAAAAGGAGAGAAAAAGAATGATGAAATCAAATGAACCTGAATCCACACCATCCAAGTCAAAACCTTCAACTCCATGGAGTGCACCAAAAGACACATCATCCAAGAAAAATGTTTCATCATTGTTAGCTGCTCAAGAAGATGCATTAGCTGCCGAGAAGAGAACACCATCACTGGCCGGTATTATTCATGAAGAAGAGCATAGAGTTTTGGAGGATGTTATAAATGAAACCAGAAGCAAGAGCTTAGCAGAAATCCAACAAGAGGAAGAATTTGCATCTTGGTGGGAAGCTGAATCTAAGAAGGTTCAACAACAGATGAATGTATTGAATAGGATCAATGGCGATGATAAACCAAAAGGACAACAAAAAAAGAAGAATTTTAGTTCGAGAAATAGGAAAAGGTCAGTCAATTAAGGGATTCTTTATACAGTTTGTAATATAGTGATATTCAATATGAAACCGTTGTAGAGTTGAATACCAGCTTCAAGACTACTTTTTTCTTTCAGTCATATTCATCAAATTCAGTCTCTGGAAACCAACCAAATTCAGAAAGTTTGAGTTTATTATTACCATCAACTTCTACGCCTTCCTGCCTTAGCAGATCAGCTTGCAATTGAACAGCTCCTCCCTCTCTTGGAGATATAACACCAGCACTAGATACCACTCTCCACCAAGGAACATTTGCAGTACTATAAGGATATTCATGTTCTTGACCCTCTCTAGGTAAAAACTTCAATGCTTGCCCTACTTGTCTCGAATTTCTAGGTTTATATATAAGTTTAGCAATGTGTCCATAAGTTGTGATTCGTCCTTGAGGTATCAGTTGTACAGCTTCGTACACTGCGTAGTGGAATGCTCTAGCTTCGTCTTGTCTAGACATTGAACACTCTTGTCTAGCTGATAATACTCCTTCTCAGCTTCACAATGAGCCTATATATGTTCTGGGTTCAGCTGGTGGCTGTTGTCCAGTCCTTTTAAACTACCAGACCCAGCGCATTTCAATGGTTTGTGGTTTTCAGTTTCACGATCGAGACACTTTCAAACGCGCTCGAGAAAGCGCAAAAAATAAACATTACCCTCTCGAGACGTTGGTGGGAGTGGGCGTACCAGGTGTGATTTCAAGTCAAGTATATGGGCATAACTTGATGGATAATGGTCGTAGAAAGCTGATTTGGGAAGGGATTGGCTATTGAATTTCTAATGAATGTTGTGATAATTATAAATTTGAATTATATCACTTTTATTTGGTGTTTTCTGGCTGTTAAAATCCCCCTGATACGCCCACTCCCTCAGTTTTCATGAGGTTCCACACGTCGCTTTAGATTTTTTGATATAAACATTTCAGTTTTCGGAATCACAAACTTTTTTTTTCTTCTGAGCTCCTTTTTCATCCCAAAAACCTATCACATTCACAATCAAGAACAAGTTCCATTTCCAAGTGTCTTCACGTTTCACTAGAATCTCAGATCATATATCTATTTGTTTATATTTGATCTCCGTGGAAATTTAACAAATTTTTGTCACATTCGAAAGAATACGCCCGATTTCCAATTATGGTGAGTATTATCAAAACACACAAAACAAGTTTGCCATCAAAAAGAAAAGAAAACTAACAATGCAAAAGGCTGCTAAAGAAACTGCAGCTGAAAGAAAGAAACGTTTCTTGTTAGAAGTTGATGCAAAGACTGAAAGATTAAAAGACAAGAATGATACAGCTAAAAGATTCAAGTACTTATTAGGACTAACTGATCTATTTCGCCATTTCCTGGATCTAAGATCATCAAGAGACCCAAATATCAAAAAGTTATTGAAGAATCTGGACAATGAAAAGAGAGGAATCACCACAAGACAACCAAAAGAGAGTAATGCACGTCGTAGAAAGACTGAAAAGGAAGAAGATGCAGAATTGATACAAGATGAAGAATTTGAAGAAGAAACTACCGTTTTAACTGAATCTCCACACTATATTCATGGTAAATTAAGAGAATATCAAATCCAAGGTTTGAATTGGTTGATTTCATTATACGAAAATAGTCTTTCAGGTATATTGGCTGATGAAATGGGGTTGGGTAAAACTTTACAAACAATTTCATTCTTGGGATATTTGAGATATAATAGAAATGTTGATGGGCCATTCATTATCATTGTCCCTAAATCAACTCTAGATAATTGGAGAAGAGAATTTGAAAGATGGACACCTGATGTCAATGTTGTTGTCTTACAGGGTAATAAAGAAGAAAGAGGTGATATTATAAAGAATCAAATATTGGAAGCTAAATTTGACGTGTTGGTGACTTCATTCGAAGTGGTTATAAGAGAAAAATCAGCTTTGAAAAAAATCGCATGGCAATATATCGTTGTTGATGAAGCTCATCGTATCAAGAATGAAGAAAGTGCATTATCTCAAATCATCAGATTATTCTATTCCAAAAACAGATTGTTAATCACTGGTACTCCATTACAAAACAATTTGCATGAATTATGGGCATTATTGAATTTCATCTTACCTGATGTGTTTGGTGATTCTGAAATTTTTGATCAATGGTTTGAAAACCAAGAAGATGATCAAGATTTGGTTGTGCAGCAATTACATAAAGTGCTAAGTCCTTTTTTACTAAGAAGAGTTAAAGCAGATGTCGAGAAATCATTACTACCCAAGAAAGAGGTTAACTTATATGTCGGTATGTCTGAGATGCAAATTAAATGGTATCAAAAATTATTAGAAAAAGATATTGATGCTGTTAATGGTGTCGTGGGGAAAAGAGAAGGTAAAACAAGGTTACTAAACATTGTGATGCAATTGAGAAAATGCTGTAATCATCCTTATCTTTTTGAAGGTGCAGAGCCTGGTCCACCTTATACCACTGATGAACATTTGGTTTACAATTCAGGTAAAATGGCCATTTTGGACAAGCTATTGAAGAAAATGAAGGAACAGGGTTCAAGAGTGTTGATCTTCAGTCAAATGAGTCGTGTTTTAGATATTTTGGAGGATTATTGTTTCTTTAGAGAATATGAGTACTGTCGTATAGATGGTTCAACCTCTCATGAAGAACGTATTGCTGCCATTGATGATTATAATAAGCCAGATTCTGATAAATTTATCTTTTTATTAACAACAAGAGCCGGTGGGTTGGGTATTAATTTAACTTCTGCTGATATTGTTGTTTTGTATGATTCTGATTGGAATCCTCAAGCTGATTTACAAGCTATGGATAGAGCTCATAGAATTGGTCAAAAGAAACAAGTTATGGTTTTCAGATTTGTTACTGAAAATGCCATTGAAGAGAAAGTCATAGAGAGAGCTGCTCAAAAATTGAGATTAGATCAATTGGTTATTCAACAAGGTAGAGCTGTGAGTAAGAATTCTGCCATAGGTAATAATAAAGAAGATCTTTTGAGTATGATTCAATTTGGTGCAAAAGACGTTTTTGAAAATAACCAATCCTCATTAGAAACTGACATTGATGAAATTTTGAGGAAAGGTGAGGAGAAAACTAAGAGTTTGAATGCAAAGTATTCAGCATTAGGTCTAGATGACTTGCAAAAATTCACTTCAGATCAATCCGCTTATGAATGGAATGGTGAAAATTTCGCAAAGAAATCAAATGATGGCGGTTTGAATTGGATCAACCCATCTAAAAGGGAAAGAAAAGAACAAACTTACTCTATTGATAACTATTATAAAGACGTTTTGCAATCAAAATCTACTCCTCAACCTAAAACTCCAAGAGCTCCAAAATCAGTTCATATTCAAGATCATCAATTCTTCAATCCTGAGCTAAAAACATTATTAGAAAAAGAACAGTTACAATACAAAAAATCAATAAACTATAAAGTTTCACTAAGTGATGTTGAAGATGATTACGAAGAAGAAGAAGATGCTAAAAAAGAGAAAATCAAGAAGGATGAAGAAAATTCAACACCAAGCAGAAATTTGTCAAAGAAAGAACGCAGAAAAGTTGAACAAGACAAGATTGCAAATGCTGAACCATTCACTCCAGAAGATGAAGAGTTGAAACAGAAATACATTAATGAAGCATTCTCTGATTGGTCAAGAAGAGATTTTACTAATTTTATTCAATACTGTGCAAAGTATGGGCGTGATAACTATAAATTGATTTCTGAAATGTTGAACAATAAATCAGTGGATGATGTCAAAGCTTATTCTAAAGTTTTTTGGGAAAGAACTTCAGAGATTGAAGGTCATGAAAAATACGTTGCCCAGATTGAAGCTGGTGAGAAGAAAGTGCAAAGATTATTAAATCAATCCAAATTGTTGAAACTAAAGCTTGAGCAAACTAAGACACCATTAAAGAACTTGATTATTCATTATCCTCCAAATAACTCTAAGAGAGTTTATAGTGATATTGAAGATAGATTTTTGCTGGTTACAGTTAATAAACTTGGACTATTATCTGAATTCTTATTTGAAAGAGTTAAAAATGAAATAAGGACTAGTGAACATTTCAAGTTTGACTGGTTTTTCCAATCCCGTTCTTCACAAGAACTTGCAAGAAGAACAAATACATTATTATTAGCCATCACAAGAGAATTTGAAGGTCCAGAAGCATTGAAAAGAAAAAGAACCAAGTTGGCTGGCAATGATAATACGAATGGAAGCACTCCAAATGTCAGTCGTCAAGGCACAGTGGAACCAACATCTACAACCATCACTACAACAATCATTAGCACTGAAAATGGAGCACCAAATAGTGCGAAAAGACCAACAGATACAGTTGAAGAATCTGAAAGTAAAAAAGTCAAAACAGAATAAAATCATTTGTATATTATTTCAAGAAGCTGTATAATATAACGACAAAGAAAAGGAAGCACTTTTTAGCATATTTAATCTTTATTTATTGTCTGTAGTCTGATTGGCCTTGTGTATAGCTGTGTCCCTGACCACTTATTTCGCCAAATGCGGAAATTATCCGTTTATGGGGGAAAATCTGGGAAAAATGATTTCAAAGAAAAATCAAGGGATAAAAAAAAACAGGAACAACAACACTTAGACGCTCGTCAACGATAAAAAAATATCAAATATATTTCTCAGGTATAAGTCAATTAAAATGCTCTCTAGGCTAAGATCTGGTGTCCTTAGGGGACCAGTGCTCAGTGCTCGTCAGTTTTCGAAATCAGCACTACGTCGTGCGGAGGTTGAAGTCACAGTGGACAATGTCAAAGTGAAGATTGAAAATGGTTCATCAATTATTCAAGCCTGTGACAAGGCAGGTGTTGTTGTCCCACGTTACTGTTATCATGACAAATTGGCAATTGCTGGTAATTGTCGTATGTGTCTTGTTGATGTTGAAAAAGCACCAAAATTGATTGCTTCTTGTGCATTCCCTGTTAGAGAAGGTATGGTTGTTCATACAGATTCTGAAAGAGTCAAAAACGCTAGAGAAGGTATCACGGAGTTTTTGTTACAAAATCATCCTCTAGATTGTCCAATTTGTGATCAAGGTGGTGAATGTGATTTACAAGATCAATCAATGAGATACGGTGCTGACCGTGGTAGATTCAAAGAAGTTTCAGGTAAAAGAGCTGTTGAAAATAAGGCAATCGGTCCATTGATTAAGACTTCTATGAACCGTTGTATCCATTGTACTCGTTGTGTCAGATTTTTAAATGATGTTGCAGGTGCCCCAGAATTTGGTACATCTGGTCGTGGTAATGATATGCAAATTGGTACATATGTTGAAAGAAACGTCAATTCTGAGTTATCAGGTAACATTGTTGATTTATGCCCAGTTGGTGCCTTGACATCTAAACCATATGCATTCAGGGCTAGACCATGGGAATTGAAAAGAACTGAAAGTGTTGATGTCTTGGATGGTGTGGGTTCAAATATCAGAGTTGATTGTAGAGGTATTGAAGTTATGAGAGTTTTACCAAGATTGAATGATTATATTAATGAAGAATGGATTTCTGATAAAACTAGATATGCCTGTGATGGTTTAAAAACTCAAAGATTGACTACCCCATTAATTAGAAATGGTAACAAATTTGAAGCTGCAACTTGGGATGAAGCCCTTTCAACTATTGCAAGTGCATTCACAAGAATACAACCACAAGGACACGAAATCAAAGGTATTTCTGGTGCTTTAGCAGATGTTGAATCTATGGTTGTTTTGAAAGATTTGGTTAACAAATTAGGTTCTGAAAACTTGACAACAGATGATATTGACAGAGAGCAGGAACCATCACCATATGGGGCTAATGTTAAATCTAATTATACCTTCAACTCATCAATTGTCGGAGTTGAAGATGCTGATCAAATCTTACTAGTTGGTACAAATCCACGTCATGAAGCAAGTGTCTTGAATGCTAGAATCAGAGGAACTTGGTTGGACAATCCATTAGAAATCCATCAAGTTGGTCAAAAATTCGAATCAACATTTGACATCAATTACTTAGGTGAAGATGCCAATGCTTTGAAAAGCGCATTATCAGGCGAAGTTGGTAAAAAACTAGCTGCTGCAAAGAACCCAATGATCATTGTGGGCTCTGGAGTTGTCAATTCACCAGATGCTAAAGCTATATATTCCATGGTTGGTAATTTTGTTAAAAAGAACAAAAACTTTATTACTGCTGAGTGGAATGGTTACAATCTATTACAACGTGAAGCTTCACGTGCAGGTGCCTTAGAAATTGGATTCCATAACTCTTCTAAAGAAGCTGCCTCCACCAAACCAAAATTCATTTACTTATTGGGTGCCGACGAAGTTAAAAATAGAGATATTCCACGTGATGCGTTTGTTGTTTATCAAGGCCATCATGGTGATTTGGGTGCTTCATTTGCAGATGTCATTCTTCCAGGATCTGCATACACTGAGAAGACTGCAACATATGTAAACACTGAGGGAAGAGTTCAATCAACTAGAGCTGCAACATCTCCACCAGGTTCAGCAAGAGAAGATTGGAAGATCCTGAGAGCGTTGGCTGAATATATGAATGTTGAATTGAACTATGATGATATCTACTCTTTGAAATCAAGATTAGGTGAAATTTCACCATCATTAGTTTATACTGATGTTTTGGAACCAGTTAGTGCTGAAATTGCCAAACTAGGTATTGATACATTAGCTGGATTAGAAACAAAGATAACTGGTGCTGTATTGAAGAACCCAATAGAAAACTTCTGGATGACTGATGTTATTTCAAGAAGCTCAGTCACTATGGCTAAATGTATCCAAAGTTTTGGTGAGAAAGGTGATAAAGTATTTGATGAACGTCCTGAATATGCAATGGCATGAGGAAGAAGTCGTTGTTCGGCTCCCTATTTATTATTTATTATTTATTTATTCTTATTTATTAACCCACATTTATTTATTTATCATATATATGGCACTATTTATTCCAATGAAATACACAAGTCTGTCTTGTCTCAATAGCAATAATGAATTTGACAGCTGGGGAACAAAGTGTAGCGGGTTGATGCAAAGTAGCCTGCGTAATAAGGTTAATTAGAGCCTTAAAATAGCCAATGCCAAATTCAATAAGGCATAGGATTAGTGTCATATATACCTTGTGCAATTTGGATCTCTATAGGTGTTGTAACAACTAATGGGGTTGGGCCTCCTCTTTTTGCCAAAGTCTTGTAAGCAGCATATTTATCAACTTTTTGTTTGTTATTTGTTAACGCATCATAAGCAGCTTTTGACCCTGCATCTTTTTTATTACCAGCAATAGCAACTCCCAATACTTCACCATTAACAACACATGCAACTCTAAATGTTGGCTTATGCTCAGCATCTAGTTTTTCCAATAATTCATAAGATGGAACAAACATAGGGTTGAGTAGAACATACAAATCTTCTTTGCAATGTTTCACTTTTGCAGACAGAACTTCTGCGCTTATATCATATTTTGTAAGGTCCTGTTGAACAGGGTTTGATTCAGATGTGATGTTAGGGATAAAAGTAGGCACCTGCTCCACAGGATTTAATGATGCAAATTTTTCAATGATTGGTGAAGCCAAACGTGTTAGCCATGGTGTGATCTTGTGCAATTCTCTGTTGGAGTCCAAATATAACCCACCAACATAAGCTTCGAATATATCACCATATAATTTCTTGTGTGCCATGTTTTGTTCCAAAAGATTTAAATTTGAAACTAGATTTCTATCAAAACCATAAGCAAGTGACCATTGTGTCAAATTTTTATTGCAAACAATTATAGATCTGAGTTCAGTGAGTAAACCTTCTTGATATTCTGGGAATTTTGTAAATAGCAAAACACTAATGACATTGTTCAAAACTGAATCTCCTAAAAATTCCAATCTTTCATAACTTTCATGAACATCGTATTTGGTACTATTGGCCGCAGAGCTATGAATAAAGACAGTTTGATAAATACGTCTATTTTCGATATTTGGTAATTGAGGTAAGCCCTTTGGGTCAATGGTATATTTGTCAAGTTTTGATGATGATGTTGATGATGAAGAGCTGTTGGATTTTTTGGTTTCGATGGCAGTTGAAGGATTGAGTAATCCCGCCATATTGTTCAAAGAACCCCTTTGATAAGCAGTCTTCAAATTCGCAGCAGCCATTATTGAAGGATGATTGGTAACTTCTTTGATTTCTTCTGGTACGTCTTCGGACTGGTTCAGTTGTTTGATATCAGCTAGATTTAACCCAAATTTGGTTATATTCTCAAAGGAGTGTTCTAAGTCGTGGAAGTCCTTTTTCAGCTGGAACAGACGCCCGTATGTTATATCTATCTTTTCAGAATCGAATTTTGTGGACATGGAGACTTTTCAATTTCTATAGTGTTTCGAATGGCTTTATATGTCAATTGGAACAAAAGTGACAGAAATTGACTTGTTTGTTATACTGTGTTTTTTTTCTGTTTCGCACCAAATCGCGAATCACGATTCAATACAACGAAAATTAATTAGAGTACAACATGTAATAATTATACATATATCTAGAATCTGTCATTGTTTTTTCTAGAATTATTTTTGTAATTTCCACGGTGTGATCCATTGAATCCACCAGGTCTGTAGGAATCAAAAGTAGCTGTGTTTGGTCTATATGAATTTCCCTTATAAGAAGAGTTAGCTCTTGATCCAGGTTCAGATCTTGGACCTTTTGGACCTTTTGGTGCAGTGAATCTGTCATTTCTACTTGGCTCAGATCTTGGTGCTCTGTTAAAATTGACTGATGCTCTGTGATCTTGTCTAAATGTTGGAACTGAAGGTAAGCTTGATTTTGAGTTGTTTGAGTCTCTACCATTTGAATCTGGTTTATTGAAATTAACTGATGGTTTCTCTTCAGAATCGTTTTCTGGTCTCTTCGGAGCATCCGGTGAAATCCCATTTTTGTTCATTTCGTGTGACGGTATTTTGGAAGCATCTCTTGGGGTATTTGCTCTCAAAATCGAATATTTTTCAATAAGTTCTTTATTATCCAATGCCTCCATGGCAGCTTTAGTACCTGCGATTTTAATGTTTTCACCTTGACCTGTACCTAACAAATCACCAGCACCAGTACGTAATTCCACAATGAAAGTGGTTGGAACTGATCTAGTATCTCTATGAATACAGTCATAATGAAGACCTAAACTTGCACTACCAATTAAAGAGTACAACTCCATCTTGGCGTTTGGTCTGAACTCTGATCTTTGTTCTTTTTTAGGTTCGTTTTTCTTCAAAATTGGCTCAGCTAATTGTTTCAACCAATCATAAACAACAGTATAATTTGCTGGATTTTCAGTCATTAATCCCCCGATATATGCTTCAAACACATCAGCATATAACTTCATTTTACCGTTATTCAGGGTTTCATCAGGAGTGTTCTTTTTCAACTCTTTGTCTAACCCATATGCAGAAGACCAACGCATTAAAGTAGCATTACTGATTAATTTTGTTCTCAAAACTGATAAAACACCTTCAGCTGCATCAGGGAATCTATGATATGCAATTTGAGTCATCATATTATTCAAAACGGAATCTCCTAAAAATTCCAATCTTTCATTATGAGAATGTAGTTGTTCCCTTTTGGATAAAAATAGTTTATCCTTGATAATGGATTTATGAATGAAAACTCTTGCACGAATAGCAGGGTCTTTAATCTCTGGTAATGGTGGTAAATCTTTATCGTGATTTCCAAATGAAGAAGATGTTGGTTTAACTGTTGAAGCTGCTGAAGTTGATGACCCTGCACTTGGAATAGGAGTAAATTGGGGTGTATTGGCAAACGTCATTGGCTTTGGAGCCGTAAGAGCATCTGTTAATTCTTCAAAATTCAATATTTGGTCGAAAATTTCCAGTTCTTTGTTTTTATACATCGTCTTCAACTTTGCAGCTAGTTTCATCTTATATCTTGTTAACGCTGAAGTTAATTGTGGATTGGTTTCATCAGTAACTGATTTTTGCATCTGGAGAAGCCCTTCTTCATCTGGGGCACTTAATATTATAGAATCAATGGATGATTGAATATTCTTGACGGCATGTTCAACAAGTAAAATATCAGTTAATCTTGGTTGATTCAGGTCAATAGGCACCTTTGCCGCTTTTGAAGTTTCTGAACTTTCTTCACTACTTTCTTCACCGTTTTCAGATTCATTAGTTCTGGAGTATATCCTGCTAACTAGTGACTCGACCTCTTTAGATGTATCTAGATTCTGTTTCTTCTCTTCAGAATTAGATGTTGTCTCTCTAGACAACGAAAGTTTCTGTGACTTATTACGATCTCCTGGCACATAAGTGTCACCAACCGACTCTGCTTTTCTCTTACTCATGTTCAAAATAGTAGCCGCCCTTTTCGATTCCTTCCAATACCGGCACTATGTTGTATTTGATGATAAACGCTGGTTTTTAATGTTTATGGGCTACCATCCAGATTTAGGAATTTTTTGTCGAAGGTAGGCAAAAAAAAAATATCGTAGCCATTTTCTTTTTCGCGTTCTTGGATCTGGAATCTACACGTCAAATAATTCGCGAAAGCATCAAATCGTGTATATTAAGTGCCTAGGTATTTCAGAACCTGAACTTTTTGCCACTTTCTTCTTCATCGTCGTCTTCATCATCATCGTCGTCCTTTTCCTTGTTCTCCGTATTCTCTTTCACTTTTGGTTTTTTTCTAGGATCACTAGTACTGTTTTTCTGAACATCTGTTAAATCGTAGGCACGCTTAGAGGACATTAGACCTGAATCTGTTTGCTCGCTTTCTTTAACGACATGATATAGTTTCTTTGGTTGTTGATCTTCTTCTTCAGTTGCAGGTGAATTTTTAGTTTCAACTTCAGCCAAGGGAACATCTTCTTCATCACTATTTTCTTCGGCCTCATATGTTGGAACATCACCATCTCCATTCTCAATACCAGCAGCCTGCTTCAATTCAGAGTCTGACAAATATGCTTCAGCTTCCTCCTCGTCCACTTCTTCTTCCTCCTCTTCTTCATCATCTTCCTCTTCTTCTTCGTCCTCAGAGCTTTCATAGGATAGTAGTTTACCGAATGGTTCAGTTTCAACATTATTGATACTTGTAACAGCCACATCATCAGCAAACATAGTTTCTTCTTCTGATAAGTCAACATTATATCCAGGAATTTTCAAATCTGGATAACTTGGTGGTGGGCCAAAATGTTGCATCTTTTGCACCCATGGTAAAGTGACACCTCTGGGTATTCCCAATGCATTTCTTAGTTCATCTGAAACAACACCAGGTTTGTATTTTGAGATATCTAATTCTTCATTCTCTCTACCTTCGAAATAAACGTCACCAAAGCCAAATAATCTTGGTTTTGTTTGAAATTTGAAAAATGCATCATGAAGCTTTTGATAATCAAGATCCAATCTATTCATCTTTGGTTGAACTTTTTCTCTCATTCTTTGCTTCATATTTGATTCATCCTCTTTTGTAGTATCTCTCATGTCAGTTATACCTGTTTCGCTGATAAACTTGGGTAATGTGAATGGTTTCTTCTCTATTGATCTTCTTCCTGATAAATATTCTCTTTTAAATTGCCAATGAGCCGGTACTGGTACATAGTTTTTCTTTGACTTGATTTCAACAACCAATACAGGATCAGCAGCATCGACATCATACCATTGAACTAGTTCAGGATATTTTGATGCAGCTTTTAGTTCAGCTAATGGAATTTTATTAGCCTTTCTTTGTTTCTTTTTGCTCATCTTAGGCTGATCATCTTTCTCGTCCTCTGATCCTTCTCCATATTCTGGGTTTTCATCATCTTCACTATCCATTATATCACCTTTTGATTGTTCAACCGTGTTTGGTTCCTCCATGTGAAACTTGTCAAAAACATGTTTAAATTGTGCAAACTCTGGTTTTTCCAATAGAGCGTCAAACTCTGTTTCGAACATCTTTCCAGATGATGGCTCTTGATTAGTTACGGCATTTGATACACCAGCATCTATTGAATTTGTGGTTGATATACTTTGCTTTTGAGGTTTCGATATAGATTCATTATCATTTTTATTCTTGTTAGTGGCACCTTCAAGATTTGCTGACTGTTTCTTTAGAAGCTTTTGCTTCTCTCGGCGTAATTGATTCTTTGATTTCTTGGCCACAGCCATTTTGGTATCACTTTTGAGCACTTTGATGTTACTTAGTTGAGCCCTCAAGTTTTTTTGTTGTATAAAATTGTTTTTTCAAAAGGTAGACTTTATCCCGCGAATTCATTCTGTACTTTTCAGCTACATGTAGCAAAATCTCAATATAATACAAGATTGAAAAATTCAATCATTTAGCGCATTGTTAACGGATCTCTACGTCACTTAGTAGTGTCAGGTAATCCAGTTTATTGTAGTTCACCATACAATCAAGCCCTCAAAGATGGATATATATGCAACCGTCATTCTCAAAACCAGTTGGTTTTGAGCTCTATAATGATGTATAACATGTTTTGTGCAGCATCTAGCCATCACTTGACCTGACGCGCGATGTCTAATTAGGTCATAGAGCTAATTCATCGAGCTTTTTCTTGTTAACTTAACCTCAACCATCATTTGTTGTTTCTCATCTTGTTTTCAATCTTGTCTAACGTTTTGTTAATTTTTTCAACTGAGATTAGTTAGTACTAGAGCAAACAGGTTACTATCATAAAATTTCACATACTTTTTTGTTGAACCAGTTGGTCATTCTCATCAATCTTTGAATCCTGTTCCTTGTTAATTTCCTTATCCCTTGGGAGTTTCTGTCCTGACTTACAATCTCTTTCAACATGTTTTCAATTTCAGTAGCAACGTCAAAGATCGTGACCACATCAGTCTTCTTTTCACTTTCTTCAGGTTGGTTCTCCTCGCTACCATTTGATTGGATTAGACTATGGTTTGGTGTTGCTAGAGGTTCTTCTTTCAATGTGTCTTTGTCATCAACTTCCACTGTTTCTATGGCATCTGCAGACTCTGGGGCATCGACAAACGAGTCAGTTGATGCTGAAGCTGAAGCTGCGGCTGTGTTGATTGGTGTTGGTTCTTTGGAGCTCATTGTGGATGCTGATTTAAATCATACTTGAACAAGTTGTTAATGAGTTTGATTTTTCGTGTTTACATTTCGTGGAAAGAACATCGCTTCAAACCAGAAAACCAGTATACAAAAATTTGTGTATGATCAATCACATCATTTACCAAGAACCACCACCATCAAAGATGCTACTTCGGCCGTTTAAGAATAAGGTCATACCCACTCTCATTTTCAAAAGATACAGATCCGCCAAACCATCGTATAATGACCTCGAATCATATTTGAGATATGCTGAATTTGTTAAACTTCGAAAAGAATCAACTACATTTCTAGGAACAACTTTTGAGATGAAGGTTAAAGAAAAGCTTCAATCCGCATTGAACATTCCAGACCTACAATATTCTGGTGGTGCATACGATAATGGTATTGACCTCATAGGTAAACTTGACATTTCCCAATTCAAGACTGAACAAGCACCAGAGAAACCAACATACGTGGTTAATGGGAAGAGAATCAAACCACTTGCACTAAGGAAAAACATGGACATTGATGTTCTAGTTCAATGTAAAAGTTTCGCATTCAAAATCTCTGCTAAAGAAATCAGAGAACTTTCAGGTATTTTCCACTATAATATCGCACCAAAAGATAGAAACAAGACTTTAGTGATTATGACTGCACCAAATTATTGACACCTCAAGGACAAGCACAAATTGATAAAGTTGATACGCCGATGGTTTATTGTCAAATATCTCGAATGAAACAAGTTGGTGACAACGAATATGACTCTTCGAATTATGTTGGTGGTCAAATATTGAAGGTTTATTTCAATCCCTACTCTATTGCATTATTCCAAGGAACCAATTTTCAATTACATGCTGTAACTATGATTGATGAATAAATTTGCTAAAACAAATCACTCTATGCATTAATTATTAAACTGTATATATACTATTCCTTAGCATCCCTGTATAAAATAACCCAAAAAATCAAAAAAACACAATGTAAATACCCACTCTAAAACTTTTTCGTAAACTTTGAACCAACACAAAGAATTCTTGCAACAGTATAGAATCCTGCGGCAGCAATGGCAGTAATTGCAGAATAGATCATAAAGTTGTTGAAGTGAACAGGGCTACGATCATCAATGATCGCACCACCAATTGGAATACTAGCCAAAGTACCAAATGCAACAACAAAATACATTGTACTGTATCTTTTACCAAAGTCTTCAGTTTTGGAGATTTGCCCACAACAAACAGGTAATAATGAAAACACTGAACCGGTAGAGAACCCCCAAACTGTAGAGAAAGCATAAAGGGCGCCTTCATGTTGACCGAATGGGATCAAAATAATCAAAGTGATGATACCTGCAAATAATAAAATTGTAATGATAACATTGAAACGACCAACACGATCAGCCAAATAACCAGTTAACCAACGGCCTGGAATACCAGCAATGTTGACAACAGTTGTTAACAAATATGCCGTGGACATTGAAGCTCCTTGGGCTCTAGTATAAGATGTGTAAAAAGTTGAAGTTGTTGTGATTGATAATTCTGCAAATGTACAACCTAAGACAACAAACACGAATTTCCATTCTTTAAAAGAACTGATATCAAAAGCTTTTGTGTAACTCATCAGTTTTTGTGTGGTTGTTCTATCAGTTTTCACATGTGGTAATCTTTCTCTAGCAAATACAATTGCAACAATATGACAAGCCATGACCACGAATGAAAAAATTCTTATAGTCCAAGCATAACCAACCTGATCAAATAGCTTTCTCAGCATGATTGGGAACACAATACCACCAATACTACCACCAGTGGAAGCAATACTTGAGAAGAATCCTCTCTTTCTGTTGAAATAATGAGGAACAACACTGACTAATGGTGATAAAGTTAAACCATTTCCTAATCCACAAAGTACACCAAATGCTAAAACATATTGCCAAACTTTTGAACAGTTAGCTGTAGCGAAAAGACCACCACATAATAAAGTAGCACCAACTATTAAAGGAATCTTAGCACCATTTCTATCGAAAAAAGTTCCTGAAAAGATACAACTTGTGAAATTAACAAATAAAAAAATTGAAAAAATCCAAGAAACAGTTGATGATTCCACATTAGCCAATTGATTTTCAGAGATATAAGTTTCAATAGCACCTAATGAGTTTAATATACCAAAACATGGAACTAATCCAAAGCAACATCCCAAGACTGCTAAATAAGCTTTCAGTCCACCTTCTGGGAAGTCATCGATTGAATCATTTGCAAACATTGCATCTTTACCAGAGTTATTATCACCTCTGAATGTTTCATTTGATGATATTGATTCTAAATCTCTTTGGTCTTCATTATTGAAATCATCAAGCTTGATGTTCTTTGAAGCTGTGGATCTCGTTGTATTAATACGTGAGATACGATCATCTTCTTCGTTGATTTGATATGATTGGTCTATTTGGAAATAATCTCTAACCTCATGATCGTTAACTATTGTCTTTGAAGTATCTAATGGTGATTGAGTAGTGGTGAGAGCAATATCTTGTTTTGTGCTCATTTCTATTGTAAGGATTTAGGCTTTAGCTGACAATAAACAAATCCGTGTATGAAAATTTTTATTTAGCCAGTGTAAGTACTTTTGATGATGATATTAATAATAGAGCTCTATGATGTATTTAAGGGATTGTTCAGGGTTTTATATATTCCTTAAAGTTTCACCAGAGATGGGTCATAATTATGACTCTGAAGCTCTGAAGAAGTGTGCTTTTTGGTACTTTAGCTTCAGCCCGACTCTGTTTTGCGATGCCCTTCTATTAACTTGAGGTAAAGAGTATGAAAGAGCGAGTGTGGCCTTGAACGGAAAACACCATTGTTGTGGCGAATTTGCTGGAAAATAGAGAAGAGAAAAGGGTGATGGCCATATTGAAGTATAATTCATCATATACTGCAAATGTTCAAGCAATCCATCGAAATTTACACGTCTTTAATGTTCAATTGAATTCTTCACTTCCCAGAAAACGCGTTGGAAATTTAACCATGCCGCAAATTTTTTTTTATTTTTGGTTATATCCGAAATCTTTAAACGTTTCTTTTTAATTGTCAATAAAACCGTTTGGCCTACGGACGGACCTCGCTTCCCGTCCTAACTAAACCTGTTGAAATAACAAATATCGTTTAGTTGACAGGTGATAGACCACAATTAACATCATCAAAGTATGATGCTCAGTAATTGAGAGCGACTGCTTTGAAGAGAACTGGAACATTGGCAGTTTAAATAAATCCAACAAGTGACGGTATATGTTATTAAAACTTTGCTAAATAATCGTATCTCCCGACAGCGAAAGCTTTTGAGATGGTATAGCATACTGACGAAGCCAATGCTGTAACTGAAGCATAAATAATGAAGTGGTTATATTCTGCAATTGATCTATCACCAACAATTGCACCTGCAGCTGGGACACCTGCCAAACATCCAATGGCAACAATAACATACATCGTGCTATACCTTTTCCCAAATTCTTCAGTTCTAGATATCTGACCACAGCAAACAGGTAAAAGTGAAAAAATTGAACCTTGCACAAGCCCATAAATGACTGAGAATGCGTAAAGAACTTTGACACTATACCCAAATGGTAACCACATTGACAAGCTCAAGACAGCCATCAAAAAAGTTGTAATTATCATCACATTATACCTGCCAAATCTATCAGCTAAATATCCAGTGACTAATCTACCAGGGACACTTCCAGCATTTAATAGTGTAACTAGCAAGTATGAAGAACTCATGGAGATACCTCTCTTTAAAGCATATGATGTATAAAATGTGATCACAGACACAGCAGATATCTCTGCAAAAAATGCTCCCAAGGAACAAAATACAAATTTCCAATCCTTAAAAGCTTTTACATCAAAACTTCTCAAGTAAGCGTTAGCAGTCTCTCTCCATGTATCATTTTTATATTTTTCCCTCTGGTTTAATCTCTCTTTTGACAACAAAATTGGGAACAATAAACACGTAAAGTTAATCAATGCCAAAATTCTAATAGCCCAAACAAACCCAACTAAAACGAAAAGCTTTCTCAAGACAATAGGTAAATAGACACCACCAACACTTCCACCCACTGTTGCAACACTTGAATAAAAGGCCCTCTTCCTTTTGAAATAATGTGCAATTACTGAAACTAACGGTGACATTAAGCACCCATTACCAATGGACGTCAAAACACTAAACCCTAAAATAAAACTCCAAACGTTTTTACAAGAAGCTGTTGAAACCAATCCACAACATAACAATACAGTACCCACAACCAAAGGAACTCTAGAACCAGATCTATCAAAATAGGTTCCTGAAAAAATACAACTCAAATAAGTTCCAAATGTGAAAATACTAAATATCCAACCCACTGTTGATGACGGTTGATCATGAAGTTGATGTTCATTGACGTAAGATTCAAGAACACCAAGTATATTTAATAACCCGAACACAACCATAAGACCCATGAAAGATCCAAACACTGCAAGATATCCTTTAAGGGAACCTTCTGGGTAATCTATATCATCTGGCTGGTTCATTAAACTAACTGTCTCATCTTCTTTATGTGGAACTTGAATATAGCTTAAATCAGGTTCCGCTGGTGTATGAACACAAAGCTCAAGGTCAACTGGTCCTCGCATCCTGAATTTGAATGATTGAGTAGAGCACACACTTCATTCATCTTGTAGACCCTTAAACAACAGGTTTCATGTAATCTATATATTGACATTGTGTCTAATCAAAAAAAACAATGGTTTCTAATCAAGGGATCAACCATTGTTGAAAAATTGAAAACCAAGACCAAGAAGACTCACAATCAGTAAAATCATAGCTTCTAATCGCAATAAACGTCCCATATCGATATGAATGAACCCTTTCTCAAGCAACTTAGGGTAAAATCATGGGGGAAATGCCTTATATGTAAGTGATAAGCTTTAATCACATGGACAGCTGACAAATAATCATGGAATTACTAATGAGATCATTGCAAAATACACTGTGATTTTGTATTTCTCATATAGACACTCCCATCAATTATAGCTTGTCAGTTATTGCGCTGATAAATCAATCAAGGGCCAAGTTTTGGTATAGCTGAAGAGTTGGAAAGATGGACATCTCATACCCACGACACTAAAAACAACTCAATGATGCCATCCATGAATGCTTTAATATCATCAGATCCCAAATCTTAACTCTTAAAGCAATAATTTGCAGGGCTTCAATCATTCTTCCTTCTTTTGTATTAAAAATGAATCAAATGTATTGTTTTCTCAAGAAATGAAAAGTTGTACTAATTTTCAAAATTCACAATTCTCCGGTTGTATAATTATTTCGGCGCCGGAATCCGAAGCCCCCAGAGCTCTCATCGTAATGCGTTGCGACGTACTTTTAGTAGGAATGAAATACGTACTCTAATATTTTTCTCTTATTTCCCTATATATTATCCTGCTTTTATTAGCCTTGTTATATCTTGTGTTTTGGCATGCACTTTTGCTATTTTTCAATTTAGTTTTTTGTGGACCTTATATTCTTTTTTATAACCTGAATACTTTCAAAATTAAAAGTTTCTTAATTTTTAATTTATCTCAGAATTGACGTTGATTAATAATATAAGTATACCTTATGGACTAAATCATGAGGCTAGTGCTATTTCAAATTACTGGTTTGCTATTTAGTTGGAGAGCTATTGCTGGTAGAAGTTTGAGAGCGCGCCGCGGCCCGCGCCTCACAATTGAGGTCGACTCATCAATCATCACAATTTTTTGGAGTGCTGAAGAGCACTTCTCCATAATTTTATAATAATTTTATAATAATTTTATCATATATGTTCATATGTTCATATAGCTTCAGCTGTACTGAGGTGGTTCATATTGTTCATGTGCTAATTATATTATACAGGCGCTGATATTCAGCCAACAAAATGGTAAACCCGTAAGAATCCTCCAAAACCGAGACGTTTTGATTTCTAATATACACGGTGAACAATTTGGTTTCATTATTAATGTCCATTGGTGCCGCAAATAGAGTTGTTCATCGCTGGGAGTATGGTAAAAAAAAAAAAAACATACAAATCGCGTATGGTGAAGTATGGTGTATGGTGTATGGGAGAGCTGAGGCCACCATAGAGGATGGAAACGGTTCATTTTCGGTTTGATTTTGGCCAAAATTCGTGTTCCGAAGCGAGAATTGGCAAACCGAGAGTATACTAATGGAAAAGCGAGTTTCAAGGAATAAAGGCCCAATAACCTATCAGTAGTGTTCTTTAGGGCCCCTTTTATCGATCCCAAGTAGTTCTGGAATGATTCCTCTTTTTGTTGCGAGAAAATAAATGTTTTTCCATCCATGTTGCATTGGATATGGTGGTTAGCAGGGGGGAATATTAAGGCTTGATTGAAGCATTTTTATGAAGCAAAAACATAATTTTAATACATCTACAGTGGTAACTGACTCTTTGAAACAATATTCAAAGTATATTACACATCTGATTGTGTTTATTTATATTACTTTCTATACGTATAAAACTCCAGACTTTATAGTGGAAGAAAGTAGTGTCCTATTCCAAAATTCCCATAGTTAAGGGATTACCCTACTCACGGTTTTGGCGTACTCGGTTTCCAGATGCGACAAAATTAGGCCTATTCGAGAGCGAAAATATTCACGTATTAAATCCGTTTCCATCCTCTAGGCCACCATACTTCACCATACTTCAGTAGTTAGTGAACCGTAAAATAAATGACAGTACTGAAATGCACTATGTGGTGAAGGCCCAGGTTTTGGCTAGCCTTTTTGGTGAGGCGTACACTGTATACTATAGGGGGCACGTGACCCACCATACTTAGTATGGTGTATGGCCATACGGATTTGTATGGTGAGTATGGGTATGGGAGGCCCATTTTCACCATACTGAACAACTCTAGCCGCAAACCGAGAGCACTTTGAACTGTAATGCTATATTAATAGGGGATTTATAGAAGGAGGCACTATGCCTTTTTACAGTCATTGTGATAAGTAACCAACAATAATTTGAAGGGTTTTAATGGAGGTAAGTGTCTTCAAAAAAACCGAAGCCCAACATTTAAACTATACAGGTTTTGAAAGAAAAAGGATAAATATGATGACATTTCAGACTCTAACGTTTTAAATGAGGAACTCAAAGACTCGAAGCATAAACTAGTGTTATACAAATCAATTTAAAATGTCTGGAAAGGTCTACTTCGTCTCAGGTGGTAATCGTGGCATCGGTTTCCAATTCGTCAAACAATTATCATCAAGCTCAGAAAACACAGTTATTGCAAGCGCAAGAGACCCTACAAAAGCTACAGAACTACAAGCTCTAGCTGATGCTCAAAAGAATGTTAAAATTGTTAAGCTGGATGTTTCTGATAAAGCTTCGATCGATGCTTTAGATGCTCAATTGAAAGATGTTGCAAAAGATGGTATTGACGTTTTGATTTCCAATGCTGGTATTGCACAATCAATTGCACCAGCTATCGATTGTGAACAAGAGGTTTATGAGCATCATTATAGAACTAATACTTTAGGCCCAATATTTTTAACAAAAGCTCTTTATCCATATTTGAAGCTCAAGGAAACAAAACATCTAATCTATGTATCCTCCGTTGTTGGTTCAATTGGTGGATTCGTTGAGTTCACAACCTCTGCATATGGTCAGTCAAAAGCTGCTTTGAATTATAGTGTTAAAGAAATTAGCTTTGAACTAGGTGCAGAGGGTTTCACTGCTGTGTCAATCCATCCTGGTGTGGTTGCAACTGATATGGGTAAAGGTATTGAATACTTGAAGGAAGTTAAGCCTGAAGTTGCTGAGTTGTTTAAGGATGTTCCAATTCTTGCACCTGAAGAAAGTGCTAAAGCGTTATTACAAAATGTTGTTTTCAAGCTAAACAAAGAATCAAATGGTAAATTCATTGATTATGAAGGAAACGAACTAACTTTTTAGTACTACAAGTCCGCCATATTGTAATGCAAAACAGTATATATATTTGATATTAATCTATTTATATATTTAATGTAGCCATAACAATAAACCATGAAAAACTTCCCAAAAACAAACTTCAGTTAAAATCTAGCAAAAACTTTTTTCCCAATGCAATAATATCTAGAAATGACATAACAACTGGCACTAGCCACAGCAGTAACAGCAGTGTAAATAATAAAATAATTATAACGTTCAACGGACTTATCACCAATAATAGCACCACCAATAGGTACACCAAATAGTGTCCCAAATGCAATGATGAAATACATTGTACTGTATCTTTTCCCAAAATCCTCAGTCTTACAAACTTGCCCACAGCAGACAGGCAGCAGTGAGAAAACAGAGCCCGAAAAGACACCATAGAAGACAGAGTAAGCATATAACACTTTAGAATTGTAACCAAATGGCATCCAAACAGTCAAATTCACCACAGCGGTAAGAATTATAGTCACAATGAAAACATTAAATCTTCCAACTTTATCAGCCAGATATCCTGTAATCAAACGGCCTGGTAAAGTTCCCGCATTAACCAGAGATACCAAGATAAATGAATCATTAACCGAAAACCCTCTTGTTTTAGAATAAGAGGCAAAATAAGTGATTGAACTAATTGCAGATATTTCAGCAAAAACAGCACCCAAGACACAAAAGAAATATTTTGGATCTTTTAAAGCCTTGAAGTCAAATGAGTTGAAATATGACTTCACTTTCTCCTTTCTCGATAATGTTACCTTTTCTAATAATGATTCAAGTTTTCTCTCTCTGGCAAATGCAATAGAAAAGGACAAGCAAGTGGCAGAAATCAATGCAAATACCCTTAGTGACCATGGAAACCCAACTTTAGGAAACAATTCACGAAACGTTAATGGAAAGGCAACACCACCAACACTACCACCTAATGTTGCCAATGAACAGAAGAATGCCCTTTTCTTGAAGAAATAGTGTGAAATAACGGCAATTAAAGGTGACATCAAGATACCATTACCTAAAGCGGTCATAATACCAAAAGCCATAATGAATTGGATCAATGTTCGACAAGAAGCAGTAGCAACTAGACCAGAAACTAAAAGAGCAGAACCAGTAATCAAAGGTGATCTTGATCCGCCATGATCAAAATAAGTACCTGAAAAGATACATGTAGTATAGGTCATGAACGTATTGATTGAGAAAATCCAACCGACAGTAGATGAGCTCACATTTGAAAGTTGATGTTCATTAACATAAGATTCAATAACACCCAAAATGTTCAACAATCCAAAGCAAGGTACAAGTCCCATGAAAGAACCAAATACAACTAGGTATGATTTCAAAGAACCGCCCTCAGGGAAGCCTTCCGCAACTTCGTTATGATCATCATCTTCATTTTCGGAATTATAAGCTGTTGTTGGATCTTGTTGAAAATATTCAAAATCATCTTTCTTGTAAAGCGATTCTGGGCCAGTACCGACTATGGTTTCTGAGGAATCAATAGCATAAAAATTTGGACGTTGTGCAACAGGATCTGGTGGTTTTATAGGTTCTTGTGGTTGATTTTGTTCTGACATTTGGCGCTCTTGATCTTTTGATCTTGAATCGACAACATTGATAATTGGAGGATCCTGACAACTCTATATATAATAATTTTTCTTCTCAAATTGAAGAGCCTTGTATACTGTAGGAACACCCATGAGGTATGAAGGACCATGTTGAGTTCTAGACATGCTTTGACTTTTGACTCAACAGCGGATATCACAGGGCAAAAATTATTTCTGACACTTTCTAACTAGTAACCAGCACCATAAATAGAATCAAAGGAGTCATAGTCAAGACACAAAGCCACCGTTGTAATGCATCGTTTCTTTTGAGCCTTTCATGTTGGATCTTCGCAACAACGTTAGAGATCTTGCTAAATGCAAATTTGTTTTGACATATTTCTAGCTCATCCAACACTCAGATCACATACACTGAAGCCAATAACATCACAATAACCAGTATTCAACACACAATATTAGTGAGTCCTATTCACATAGAATACACATATATCACAAAGACCACCATTGCCACCCTTGTCCTATGTGAAATTTGTCCATGCGTTTTGTCACCACGATGGTTAATTAAAAAAGTTGCTCAGATCGTTTTTTTTTTTCGCGCCTTTAAAAGACAAAAACCCATGAAGATAGAATTGGCGAACATGGAAATCCATGAGGTTATACACTGCGAAACAAAAGGGATAAAGAACAATCTGGACTCGAAAATCAATAGAAAAGGTGCCAAACTGTTCACAAATGAGGAACATGAGGAAATAGCGTATGAAGGTACCTATGCTCATTATTCGATATTGATTTTCAGTTACAGCAAATTTGTTCTCGGTGAAGTAAGCACCATCCCTATGTAGTTTACGCTAGATAAGTTCAAATAGCCGGAATCTGTACTCAAACAATAGAAAAATCGAATATTAATAAATATATTTTGAAAAAAGTCATAAAGTGTTGTCGTATATATGCATTCTCAAAGGGTGCTCTCAAAATTTGCACAATCTGAACCCAACACAAGCATATCTGGAGACTAGATAGCACAAGATACCCCCAACGTTCAACATGGCAGAGTATATGATGAAATTGTTATAGCTATGGATTGATCCTGTTCCAATAACAACACCCCCGATTGGAATAGCCACCAACATAGCTAAAGCAACAATCAAGTACATAGTACTGTATCTTTTACCAAATTGATCAGTTCTTGATATTTGACCACAGCAAACTGGTGATAATGACAAGATAGAACCTGAACAGAAACCGTATAGACCAGCATAAGCATATAGAACTTTCAAACTATAACCAAATGGCAGCCAAAGTATGAGAGAAACTGAAACACATCCCAAAAGAGTCAAAATCACAACATTAAATCTCCCAAGAAACTTGTCAGCAACATAACCTGGGATATAACGGCCCAATATACCAGTGGTATTGATCACAGTAAGTAGCAAATATGAAGTGTTTTCACTGAATCCTCTTTTAATGGCGTATGATGGGAAGTAAATGGAGCAAACAACCAATGAAGACTCAGCCAAGGCAACAGCTAATGCACAAAAGATAAATTTAACTTCAACTAAAGACTTGTAATCGAAAACATCAAGAATATAGATCTTTATGAATTCTTTTGCAGTTAAGCGTGATTTATCTTCACCTTCAATCTCATGATCAGCTTGAGGTTTATTTGATATCCTCTCTTTTGCAAATGTTATTGCACAAGCAAAGCAAAATAGACAGATGAAAGACAAGATTCTCATAGCCCAAGCAAAACCAACTTTTGGATACAATGATCTCAAAAGTAATGGCATTATTATACCGCCGATCGAGCCACCAGTAGTAGCAATACTTGTATATGTAGCCCTCTTTTTCTTAAAATAATGCGCAACAACCCCAACCAAAGGAGACATTAACATTCCCAAACCAAATCCATTAACAACACCAAACGCCAAAACGAATTGATAAACTGATTGAGCATTACCAGTAGCAAATAAACCAGCACTGAAAAACACAGCACCAATAATCATAGGAGGTCTTGACCCATTTCTATCAAAGAAAGCACCAGAGAATATACCAGATGAAAAAGCAATGAAAACATTGATTGAAAAAATCCATGAAACTGTTGAAGTGGAAACTTGTGCCAATTGATGTGAAGAAACGTAAGCTTCAATTGCACCAGCAGAATTAACCAAACCAAAAACTGGAATTAGCCCCATAAACGACCCAAAAACAACTAAATATGCACTCAACCCACCTTCAGGAAATGATTCAACATCATCATCCAGTAAGAATATCTCATCTTCATTAAGTTCTTCCACTGGAGATCTTTGATCAATTGGAGTCCCCGAAGATTGATGCCATGCGAAACCAGATCCACTAGCCCCTTCAATAGGCAATGGAACACCGGTTTGGTCTTGTAATTCATAAGTTTCCTCTACTGATTCATTCTTTTTGCCAATTCTAACTCCAGTAGTTTGATCTTGTAGTTCATAAAAATCCTTTTTTGACCCTTCATTCTTGACAGCAGCAGTTCTAGGAAATGCAATTGGTGAAGAGGTTATTTTCAAGCCATCAATCATTGTGTCAACTTGTTCTTTACCCTCTGGCGATTTGTTTGGTGAGGTTTGATCGACTCCCATTGTTTGTGGAAAGTTTAGGGTTCTTATAGAAGCGTTCTGCTCGAATGAATCATAATGGTCAAGAGATTTGTCATAAATTTTCAGATAACGCTTGATCGGTGTTAATTACTCTGAAGATGAAGGTTAACTATGGGAAAATCGTAACTACATCAAATAAGGTGTTTTATTAATGGAAAGATCCTTTAAAAATCACATTATATAGTCGTCAGAATGCCCAGTTTATTAGTTATCCAAAAAGTGCTACAAAAATTGGTTATCCTAGGTTATTTATATGCTCATAACCGTTTTGAGCGGTGCGGAGTTGGAACTCCGAACCCGTTGATTTTTTTACGTGTTGAAAAATCAATGAATGTTTCTACCATTTTGACACAATTTCTCTTACTTCAAAACGAACAGATCAAGGCCTTCAAGTATCAATTAATCTTCATAATGTTACTCATTGCTTATTATGCAGATTGAAGGACATTGTATTCACTGCACCCAGAGATTTTTCTTCATTTTGGTGACATAAAGAACTCATGAGACCTATAATTTTGCTTCCAATGCTCACTTTATCCAAACGAAAAATTTCAATCCTCTACAAGCACAATAGCTACACCGATATCAAGCACCAAAATGCCTTTAGCCGGTGCTGTTACCTTAGTTGTTGGTCAGGGTTTGCTATTCTGGTATCTTTTAAAGCTCACCAGGAATGCGAAATCATCATCTGTTTCTTTTTCAAGAGACCACAAAGGTTATTATGATCCAATTGATGTGAATGTTACGAAGGAACTCTTTTTCACTAATAATCCAGGGAGAGTATTTGAAAATACCCCAGAAAAGTTAGTGAAAGGTGGTGTTATGTTTAGGGAATCCACAATCTTGAGTCAAGATTCAACGATTGATGTTGATGATGAAGTTGATAACGCTGTCGCCCCATCAAATTCTGACTATTTGAATGTTATTGAAGATAGTGATGAAGAGATTTTTAATGACGAAGTGTCTTTTAGATCAGATGAGAGTACGCTGGTTGATACTGACATAGAAGACTCATGGATAGCTACTTGAAAGGGTTGCAGAAATTAATAATGAATACAGTTAATAAAATTGAAAGCTCCACATATTTTTCACTTGATTTAACGTCTCTTCAATTGTAACAGTACTGATGAGGTTTAAACAGATTTGTAGTTTTCTAAAGTGTAAAAGTTCCTAGGCTTAAAATTCTCTGCCTAACAGCGAACAAGTGCCTGGGAGACCCCTTCTAGCAAAGTCTTTGCGTGCATGTAACAGGCCTTTATAGACCCATGTTATTTTGACAGAATGGAAATAGATCAATTCCCTTTGTTGACCAGTAGGAACAAACGAACCTGTTGACGTTTCTATTTACTTAACATCACCACAATGGAATTGAGAAACGATGATTTACAACCAGTTACTCTACTAGCAAACAGCTTCAGTGAAGTGCTTCAAACATCAAGAACTAAAACAGAAAGAATTGAAGAATTGTTGAAGAAAATTTCAAAACATACGGATTCAAATACTGAACAACTGTTTCAACCAAACCCAGATAATAGCAATGATACTCAAGAATTAGATGAATTAGATAAACTTAGAAGTGAGAACTTGGAATTAATGATGGAAATTGAAAGACAGAACTACCTATCAAAGAAATGGAATCAGGTGTTACAACAAAATGAAAATATTTTAGAAACCGTCAAAGTTTGGATAAGTGAAAATCCTGATCTTTTAGAGAAAAATACAATCGAGTTAGAGAACCAATATTATGAAATAGAGTCACACTATAAGACTAGTATTAGAGGTTTGGAGTATGAAATCAAACAATCAAGAGAATGCATTGATACATTGCTAGTGATTCTTCGAGATTTTGAACAAGAATTAATTTCAAAAGAAAACAATGTCGGTTACTATAATGGTAAAAGGAAGGAATTGGTACAAGCTATACAAAAGTTAGAAAGACTACAGAAATGACCATTATTATATAAAATCCATTATCCTATACCCTTATACCCAATGATATTCCCCTTGATTAAAATTATTAAATCATTAATTTTGTTTTGCCTTTTCAGTGTTGACAAATGAATTCTTATTGTCAGCTTGTTTCTTACTTTCATAAGATGAAACAGTTGTTTTTGGTAATGGTTGTTCTTGTTGTTCATTGGAGCAAAAGAGCTTATCACGTATCCAATTGGCATACCCAAAACTTGGATCAAACTTCATCCATAAATGCTTCAACCTGTCCACATCAAATCTAGATACAATCGAATACCAACAAATTTCCATCATGTTGTTTTCGTCAATGTTTTCAGAATGTCCATCCCAATCTTTTGATTTGAATTTCAGGCATGCATTAGATTCGGATATTGATTTATCTAATGATTGCACCTTAGAGACAAATTGATCAACACTATCTTCTGTATCACGAACTCTTGTTGATAAAATTCTCAATTCATATTCTAGCCTTGCACTAAGAGCTTGTATGTCTTCCATTTTCATTTTGGCTCTTTCACCGGCTTGTGTTTGAATTTCATATTGTCTGTTTATTGGTTTCACCATTTGATTCAATTTTGCCAACTCATTATGTGATTTTTCGACAGTCTTTGCATATTGATTTTTAACTTTATTGAATTCTTCCGTTGAATGTTGATGAATGTAGAGCTTTGATTTCAATGATTTCACTTTATCACCAAAGTTATAAGGAGAAGGAACAAAATCCCATCTTGAAAGCGAATTTTCCACAAATGAAAAACTTTTTGACCTTTTCATAATGGTGTTTGTAGTTATATTGGACACTCTTGAAATTGGTAAATTTTCGTACTCTATTTGACCAACACTGATTTCATTTCTAATGAATGGGAATGAACATCTTCTCCGAAGCTCATTATTGAATGATTCATCCGTGGTGAGTTTTTTCTTCATCATAATCTGTTTCTTAAATCTTTCATCTAGTTGTTGACAGAGTTGTTGCTCTTGAGGTTCATCTTCAACCTCTTTGCAAGTTTCGCTTTGTCTCTCCTTTGCTCTTTTCTCAGATACATTATCATCTTGTAGCCTTCTTGGAAGACTCCTTATTTTGCCAACACCAGATCTTAAACTTGAAGCAGGAATTCCCCTTTCATGATAATCAAACCCTTTGATATCTCTTATATCACCTTTACCGTACCATAAATATGTTAATCTAGCACTGCAATGGAAATATTTGATCAGTTTCTCCAAATCTAGTGTCAACACCTCAGGCGCATATTGAATGGAGCTACCTTTACCTGAAATATCTTGCACTGTTGACTTCACAACTTTTTTCAACTTGGAGATATCTGTGTTTGAAATTTTTGTAGTAACCCTGAAGAGTTTCTCAACTGTAATTGGATCTAAATACCAAGTTCTTTTCAAATTGTATTGCTTTTGAAATTTACCGACATTGACTCTGAAGCTGAAGTAATTGAAAGGTTCCTTTGGAAAATCAGATCCTGCAATATCTAATCTGAAATGACAACTCAAAACAAATCCTAGTATAGCAGCCACTGTTGTTGGTCCTAATAAACCATCTTTCGGAGTTGTGCCATAATATGCGGAACCAAATAGTCTCCACCAATCTTTAATCTTTTCAACGGTTTTATCACACAGCAATCCATCAACAAAGTTTGGATCTAGTAACTTAAAATCAACAAGACATATCTGTACCAGCATAACTAATTCTTTGACAGCATACATCACATCAACTTTTGGATGTGTTTTGTAAATTTGACGAAACTTATCACCGCTAGCATCAGAAGGTGAGCATAACAACAGAGCAGATCTACCACCACAGTGCATTCTTCTTAAATTGACATTAACTTTGAAATATTCCCAGGTATCCAGTACACAACCACATGGAATTGGTAATAAATTTAAATTTGATGGGAATGATGATAAATTTGTTATGAATAAGAACCCTTCTTCTGTTTTCTTAGGCTTTGCTCCAGATTCTGCAATTTCTTGGAAAAAATGCATCAGTTTATCTGACCATTTGGAGGTATCTAGTGGTAAATTAACTTTCCCAACTTTTATCTCATGTTCACTATCACCAGTGAATGCTGTAATGACAGTTCCATATTTTCTTTCACAAGCCCATTGCTCCACAATATAGATCTCAAAGCCTCTTATTGATGTTATTTCATATTGTGATTCTTGATTATCACAGATAGATTCTAGAGCAATGGTATCTGGGAATAAATATGTAACTTCTTGGTTATCATTTGAAGCACCTTGGATTTGTAATTCCTGGAGATTCAAGGAGCTACCCCATCCCGGAAAATGAGAAGAGGGAGGAGCCTGAAGCGTTTCAGCCTGTGAGACTGAAGGAGCCATTTTATCAGTCACTGTATCTTTCTCCGTTTTGATTCTTGTGTTTGTCGGTATGAATGGTTTTGGTTGTATTCTGTAACCCATAAAGCAGCTGCGGTCAAAACAATTCGCGAATATTCTTGCTGGTGTCTGGGTGTTCGCGAAAGAGTACATGATCCCCCAATTGAGCTTTTTTGGCGTAAATGATACCTGTTCAACTGAAAAACACAGAGAATCAGAAAGGGCCCAGAATCAACACCTGAAGAAAGAGGGAATTGAACAGATCCAGTGAAGTCATTTCCAACTAAGGACTTCCAACTACAAGATGACGACCGAAGAGGCTATTTTCCGTGAGTACCGCCGTTTTGTGCTAATATGGCTTGTGTTTTTCAAAGACTTGTTAGGGGTTTAAGGTTGATTTATTCTCGACCTCTCTCAATCATTGGCTAGCCACAATAATTTCAAATCATACTAACATGCTTCATTTCCAGGCTCTGCGGATATGTCCTTCATTCAATTTTATATTCCTAGTGAAATAGCGAGAGATGTGGTAACTACGCTTGGGGAATTAGGAAACGTTCAATTTAATGATTTGAATGCAGATGTCAGTGCTTTCCAAAGAACTTTTGTCCAAGAAATAAGACAACTAGATAACGTTGAGCGTCAATTGAGGTACTTGCAATCAATTATTGCTAAGGAACACAATTTGTTGATATCTCATGACCCATTATTGACTGTTGCGCAAAGTTCCAGATCGAATATTGAAACGTTGGCTGGTGATATCGATTTACTAGAGAAGCGAGTACTGCAATTAGACTCTTCATATGATGAGCTGAAAAGCCGTCAACATAGATTGCTGGAAAATAGACATGTTTTGAATGAATCTCGGGTGTTCTTTGATAATAACATTGAAGAAAACGTTAGAATTAGTTTAGATCAAGTTGATGATGCCCCATTATTGTTGGAGCAAGAGAGTTTAGAAGCTGGTATTCAATTATCTCACTTGAACGACTTGGCAATGAATTATGTTGTTGGTTCAATACCTAGAGCCAAAATTGATATCTTGAATAAGATATTGTGGAGAACTTTGAGAGGTAACTTATATTTCAATCACACACCAATTCAAGAACCAATCCTTGATTTCCACTCAGGAGCTGAGATTGATAAGGATGTGTTCATTGTCTTCACTCATGGTGAATTGTTATTACAAAGAGTGAAAAAAATCATTGATTCATTGGATGGTAGCGTTTATGATGTTTCTTCAGATCATGAAATTTATGAGCAATCGTTGGCTCAAATCAATGCTCAAGTAACCGATATTGAACAAGTCTTGAATAGCACACACCAAACATTACATACTGAACTTTATGTCATTGCTGATCAACTTCAAATTTGGCAAGCCATCATCAGAAGAGAAAAAATGGTTTATGCTACGTTGAATAAATCAAAAGAAGGTGCTCGTGGTCTTGTTGCTGAAGGTTGGGTCCCAACTTCAGAGATCGATGACGTTAAAAATGCATTGAGAGATGTTGAAGGTGCTCAATCAGCTGTGTTGACCGTCATGGCTACTAACAAAACCCCACCAACCTATCATCGTACAAATAAATTTACACAGGCTTTCCAATCTATTGTTGATGCATACGGTATTGCCACTTACCAAGAAGTTAATCCGGGGTTGGCAACAGTCGTGACTTTTCCATTTATGTTTGCTATTATGTTTGGGGATTTGGGGCATGGGTTTATTGTTTTCTTAGTTGCGTTAACATTGGTGTTGAATGAAAAGAAATTGGCACTACAGAAGAAGGATGAAATTTTTGATATGGCATACTCTGGTCGTTATATCATCTTATTGATGGGTATTTTCTCCATGTACACTGGTGCTCTTTACAATGATATTTTTTCGAAATCTATGACATTATTTAAATCTGGATGGAAATATCCTGATGACTTCAAGAAACATGATACAATCGAAGGTCACAAAGTTGGTGTTTATCCATTTGGGTTAGATTGGGCATGGCATGGTGCTGAAAACAATTTACTGTTTACAAATTCATACAAGATGAAATTGTCCATTTTGATGGGATTCCTTCATATGACTTATTCATTCTTCTTCTCATTGGTCAATTATCGCCACAGACATTCAAAAGTTGATATTATTGGTAACTTTATCCCAGGTTTGGTGTTTATGCAAAGTATCTTTGGCTACTTGTCATTCTGTATTGTTCTGAAATGGTGTCGGGATTGGATTGCGTTGGACAGACCAGCTCCAGGTCTTTTGAATATGTTGATTAATATGTTTTTGGCACCAGGTGTTGTTGATGATAGATTGTTCAAATTCCAGGCACCATTGCAAGTATTTTTAATACTGATTGCTGCTGTTTGTGTCCCAACATTGCTGTTGTTCAAACCTTTGACTCTTCGTCGTAAAAATAACAGTGCAATGGAAGCTGGATATCATAATTTACATGATCAAGAACATAATGATACTTTGGTGGAGGCTGAAGAAAATGCTGGTGACGAATTTTTAATTGCTCATTTTGAGGAGCCAGAGGAATTCAATTTTGGAGATATTATGATTCACCAAGTCATCCATACTATTGAGTTTTGCTTAAACTGTGTTTCTCACACAGCTTCCTATTTGAGATTATGGGCCTTATCATTGGCTCATGCGCAATTATCATCAGTTTTGTGGTCAATGACTATAGCCAATGCCTTTTCAGTTGAAAATCCAGGAAGTCCAATAGCTGTTGCCAAAGTTGTGATATTATTTGGTATGTGGTTTGTGTTGACAGTTTGTATCTTGGTCTTAATGGAAGGTACTTCTGCCATGTTGCATTCTTTACGTCTACATTGGGTTGAAGCCATGTCAAAATTCTTCGAAGGTGAAGGTTACGCTTACGAGCCATTCTCATTGAAAAACATTGGAGAAGAACCAACGGAGATATGAACAATTCCTAAAATAAATAGATATCTTAAAATACAAAAATTTAAGTATAGATGTTGTACTTGTGGAACTGCCATTTTGCAACTGGTCTTTCAGTTTCGCGAATTTTTTTTATCATCGATTATGTAATTTTTTTGGCGACGCGTAACGAATCTGAAAAATGAAAGACCGTGTATCATATCAACAAGTACTTCTTAATCAAATAACGATCAATAGACTCGATTAAAGATGTCTGACGTGGAAGATGAAGCTCAAGTGCCCACATACTCTAATGAAGGTATTGGGCCAACTTTGACCAAACAAGAAGAGGAAAGACGACTGATCAGATCATATATTGCAGTCTTGACATCAGCACTTGGTGGTGTTGACTATTCATCAGAAGAAACAAACCCGCCTTATAGATTAGGTGACGAAGCATTTGCATGCTTGAAAGATATCAAGAAATGGCTAAAGTCATATGATGAGGAGAGAAACACCTGGGAAGTTGCAGTTGCTTGTGCAGAAAGTGGATTAGTTGTGAATGATTTGATAGTTATCTTATGTGATTGGGAAGCTGGTGAATTGAACAAAAATGGCCCTGAATATAAAAAGAAAATGAATGACAAAATTGCTTTGGCTTGCCTTGAACTTCTTGTGCCTTTGACATGGCCTCTACAACTATCCGAAGGAATGTATAAAGGTCAGTTACAACACTATAGTAATTTGAAAAAGCATCAAGTTAATTATAAGAAAAACATATTGAGCTATAGAGGTGGAAAAGTGTTGAAAGCCGTTGTCAGACTAGCTCTTCCTATTATGGCTACTCCAAGAAGTGAAAGATCAGGAAGAGATAATGGTATATTGAGACTGTGTACCTTTTTCTTTAGAAATGTTTTAGCTATTGAACCAGCTTCCATAACCAAGGAAACTTCCAAACATTTGAAACCAAGTGACATTGCTGATAATATGCCATCCGGTGTCAACGCTGAAGACATTAGTCTTGGAGCATGTCTTGTTGCTTTCGAAGAAAATTTGGTTTTCCAGTATTTGTTAACTATCTGTGGATCAATTAATAAAGATTTTGATGGTCAATTTTTGTCAATGGCGTGTCTGGAAATGATTTATGATCTTACTAGAGGTGTTAGGGCCTCCGTTGTTATTCAAGAAAGAAGAAAACAAGTTCCATTAGGAGCAACGCCTCCACCATCTGCATCAACCATATCAACTAATCAGTCAACAACAAGTCTAGGGCTTTCGGATCTTTTATCAAAGGAATCTGAAATGAAAACCAAGTTCAAATCGGTGGGTTCTTCCAGACACAGTAGATTTGGTACGTTATTGTCATTACAAACGCCAGATCAAGGTAGATTGACATTGTCTGGTCAACAAAATTTGTCAGAACGTCAAAATACAATTGCTGCTTTTGATTCTCACAAAAAATGGCATAAAGCTCAACCATTTAGATATGATTCTGATGATAATGTTGTGTTTACAGAAGTTCATCTATCCCATCAACCTAACAAAATTTTGAATAAATTCACCAATGATTTTTTGGATGGTGGCTTCAATCCTTTAATTAATGCTATATCCAAAGATTTCACAAGTGAGTCTGAAGATAGACCAAATACAAGCAAAATTCACTTTTTACTTGTCATTGCTTGGTTTTTGGAAGCTGAGAGACACAGAAATGGTGCTAAAGCAAATAACATTGATTATGGGCTAATCGTTGCTGGTCTTACTGAAAAGACTTTCATTTTAGTGTTCAAGTACTTAACTGAAGGTTTTGATAATAAGGTCTGGTCTTTGGTTCATGCTGCTGTTATTACTTTCAAGGAAATTGTCACAACCACGAATTTTATGGCACTATCTGAGAGTGAGGAAGATAAAGAAATCGCAACAAATATAAAAGAAAGGTTATTTCACAAAAAGCACTATCTTGACCTTATGGCAAAAGTTCCAACATATGCTTATAAGCACTCACCAACTTATGTTAATAATTGTGTTGATTTGGTTGATGTTGTGTTGAAAACTTTGGAAGAATTTGCGAATGAAGACATGGTGTTATTTATTCAATCCAACAGAAAGCAAAGAAAAAGGAAGAATGTCTCAAGAGAGCAAGAAGAAATTGATGATATGGAAGGTAGTGATGGTGAGGAGCTAGAAAGAACAAGTCGTAAATTATCTGCACAAAGAAAGTTTGATTTCAAAAAATATCAAACACAGTTTGTCAATGCTGCAGCAATTGAAACCTACATGGCATATCTAAGCCGGTTTGAAGATTTGAGCGAAAAAGATATCAAAAAGGGATTGAAGTTTTTACACAGAGCTTTTTACATTCAAAAAAACCATGTTGTTTTGTTTCGTTTAGATTTCATGCTTTTGTTGCATAGACTATTATCGGGTGATGGTCTACCAAAAAGATCAAATATCAGAAAACATTTCTCAGAGTTTTTGTCCTATTATATGAAGAAGCTAAAGAAAAGTCTAGATACAACACCAAGTCTATACATTGAGCTCTTGTTCGATAAGTTTCATGATACCAGGACTGAACACTATTTGGGTACAGGTGAGGTATATGTTGAACCAAAGAAGATTAAAAGGGTTACCAAATATGCTCTTCTTAAAGGAGATGAGGATATGGATCTTGAAACTAAAGTTTCCATTCTTGTTGCTGGTCTTATTGATGATGATATGAAGCATCTTGCCGAGTGGGTTGGAGAAGAACTAGAAAAAGCTCTGATGTCTAGAATTCACAACAATATCCCAAGAGAACAAGAAGATGATGAACTTCCAGAACAAAAACCCATTGTGGATTTTGTACTCAAATCCAATGATGTTAAGCTCATGAATTCACTGATTATAAATCCTAAACTAAGATATTTAATAAGTTTAGCTGGTTGTGAACTTCCAAGCCAAACAGGCGATAACTGTATCTTGAAAGCTGATAGCGATACAACGAGATTATCAGAAACTGTTACATACATCAAGATGTATTTGATCCAACCTGTTGCTTTTGATAATGACAAGAACGCCAACGATTTCATCAAAATCAAACAGATTAGAGGAGCCTTTGAGGGTGATTCAGATGATGGTTATAATGGTGGGGGTGATGATGTTTATGGCTGGGATGATGATGATATTGCATTCGAAGTCAAAGGTGAAAAAGTTGATGAAGGTTATAATGATGACATTTTGGATAATCTTGAAGATGCTATCGGAAAAACTGATAGAGCTTTACCAAAAGGTGTCGCCAGATCTAAGAACAAACCCAAAAGAGAAGGAAGAAGAAGAAAATCTGAAAATGCTGATTCAGATTCTGATGATGATGATAGACCAAGACAAAGAGCAAGAAAGAAAAGAAGAAATCGTGGTCCGGCATTACCATATCATGATCTTTCAAATGATGAAGGTGAAGCTGGTGCTTCAAAGAAGAAAGCTCAAGTTAAATCACATGATTATGTTTCTGCTAAGTATGTCAATGATTCAGCTGATGAAAGTGAAGATGAGGAATTCTTTGCCAATGAACAAAGATTGAGAGAAATTTTGATCAAAAATAATGGTGTTTTAGGTGCTGAACAATTACAAGAGTTTGTTAATAGAACAATGAATGGAGCTGCTTCTGAGTCTGAATTTGCTAATGGTAATGTTTACATTTCAGAGGATGAAAAAGAAGAACCTAAAGCAGCTGAAAGAGATGCCTCAGATTCAGAAAGTGACTTGGAAAACTCAATCAATAGATCTGAAGTTTTGGATCAAGGTTCAGACACAGGCTCATTATCAGATGAACAAATGGGTGAACCTACTCAAGCTAAAAAAGCTACATTCGATGAGGGTTCAGATCTTGAGGGTCCTTCAATTGATTTTGGATATGATTTGAATAATGATTCAGATGATGAAGATTTGATGCTGATTGATGAAGTTGCAGTTAATCCACCAGTGCCGTTCAACGATGAGAAAATTAAAGACGAATCTGATGAAGGCGAACCATCTGTTGCACCAAGAAGAAAGACTAAAGTTGTCTTTAGCGACGATGACGATGAATGAAATTTACATAGTGATAGTAAAATAATGAGAGCACTTTTATTTAAAAACACTGAAAATGTAGATATTTCAAGCGGAACAATGCGCCCCATCTTTTTCATGAATTGCATTGATAATTGTTTGTGTTGATGAAATGAACATGACTGCAAAACCAAAAGCAATGCAACCAAGATATGGTAATTTTTCTTTTAGTGTCTTTGTTGAACCAGTCATTTTCAAATTGCACATAGGTGGTAATATATATGCCATGATAGATGCAGTTGAAGCTCCAATTAATTCAAATAATGCTCCTAGATTACATGTAGTTAATGAGATTGTCATCGTTATCAAAACAAGAGCAGTGGTAAATATGATATGACTTTTCTTTGACAGCTCTTGAGGTGTATCATAGTTGATGTAGTACAAATCTTTGAGAACGTCTCTCAGCACAAAAATTTCCAACGGATATGTTGTCAACATGTTGAAGCCAAAGCAAAATCTTGCAATGTTCACAACAAAATCATTTCCTGGGAAGTTGTTCAAGATATTACCCTTGGTCTTGTCTTTAAAGACTGAAAACCCACCAAATCCTATGAATCCTAATGCCAGCATGGATACAAAACAACTTATATGGGTTAAAAGAGAAAATCTATTGAGACTTGGCTTCTTTAAAGAATGGAAAATAAAGCTGGTGTTATGATGACACACCAGAGCAAATGAAATAACACTTATCCCTTGAAATATTCTTGGAGTGACAATGGTATTCTTAGTATTCAAAACCCCTTTATACTCAGGGCTTAACTCAGGGCCTTTTATTAATACAATCAGAATAATGACGAGCATACTAACCAACGCCAGTGCACTTGCCTTAGCCAGTTTTGATATATCTTTACTCAATGATAATGGGAAGGAAACGGTTAGAGTAACAAAAACAATTATGGTATTTCTTGCAAATAGAAACTTAAGAAATTCATTATTTTGATAATCAGGGAAGAAAGACCTTAGGATATGCGGTATGGTATCACCAATAATGATGCAAAATCCAATACTACCACCAAATGCAAATAATGCTTGAGCTGCAATGATGATAACCTTACCAACCCTACCAAAACAATGATCCACAGTGTCTTGGTACCCTGTTTTCCCGGACAGTTTTAAATTGATAACGATCAACCTTATAGTGAAATCAACCAATAGTGTTAACAAGATCAAAGCGAAAACTCCACCAACAATACCGGTATTACTCATTGCAAAAGGTGTTCCAATAGCACCAGCACCCAATATAGAGTTAGCCATGTTCATGAATGCCATCTTCAAGTTTGACTTATTCAGTTGTGCAGGTATTTCAGCTAGTGATTCTGAGTCCAACGTTGAAGTGTCCTGAGTAGCATTCGGTATTGTAGCTTCTTCATAATCTAAAGAGTTTAGTTCTGAAAGCTCTAGAGAGTCATTGTCACGGGAGTTCACTATATCCTCATCATCATCATTGTGCTGTGGGATATTTGAATATGCAATTTTGGACATCGTTCGTCCTTGAAAAGATTGTAAGGTTTTGTTGATTCTCTATTGTTGATGTTGATCGTGAGAATGTTATCTTAACTTTTTCCGAAGTGAAAAAACATTCGCGAAATGGCGCTTTTAAGCTTAAAGAGCTTGAAGAGTTCAATTGAGTTCTTCAAAGATTCTACAAGATATTTGTTAGGTACATTCCCATTGACATTTGTGGACTCTTGTAAGTTGCTTATTTTCAGGCAGTTCTATCTAGAACCTGCTCATAGACTTTACTCAACTCGTAATGGAATCCTTCAATCTGTTTCTTCTCAAATAAATCAGAAACCAGTACCCTGGTTCTTTCAGCAATCCCATAAAGCCTCACACTTTCCGTTCTATTTATGGATTTCCCACCTGGTATTGTTCCATCTATAAGTCTTGCAAATTTATCATCTAACGACTTCAACAGTTTTAAAATTTCCACACCTGAAGCTTGTGTGATTTCCATTTTCCCCACGTATTCCACCAAGTCACCAGCTATCCGTATTAAAAAGTGTGTTTGGCCAAAGTTGGTGTCAGGTAAGGTGGAATAATACTCTTTATCATGAATAGTTGGGTTGGAATCAATAGAAAGCCAGACAAAATTCAACAATTGTTTAACATCATTAAGAAGCTCATCAATTGAGCTATAGCCCAGTTCACTTAGTCCAAAGGATTGAACAAATCTCCTTTGGATGTGTAGTAACCTTTCATCAGCATAATTTATGAATTTTGATTGTTGTGAAGAGGATAACCTTCTCCCCAGATGAGGTTGTACAGGATTGAGCGGCGAGGGAACTAATGTTGGTTGAAAATCTTCCAGTCTGTCATAAAGGTGATCGTCAATGGTATGCTCTAAACCATTTGTATTTCTTGTGGTTGATTCTGTCGCTGTTTTAGCCTCTAGATCTGGATTCAAGTCCAAAAGATCAAGCACACTCCCTGGGAGACTTCTTTCAGGTAAATTGGAGGCTTCTTGATCAGGATCTGGATGGACCGGGCTATTTGGAGCATCGCTATAGTTTGCTTGGTCACTCATTGTTTGAAATGGGTTGGGATGTATTCTTTTCAATTTTATGAGCTGCTTATTTGTTAAAATTTCTGGGGCAAAAAGACCAAATTAAAAAAAAAAACATGCCTGGTTGGTGCACTCCATCAACAAAAAGTTTGAACAATTTTTCAGTTTTATTATGAACAGATTTTGTATGATCATTGCTGAAGGATCGTTTATCATATTTGTTCTTGATGGTGTCGCTCTTTAAAGTACCAGGTCCAGTAAAGGATCTGTTTGACCAGTTCCCTCTCGTTCAATATCCAGCTGTCAAACAATTGACTCCAGAAACCAAAAGTGAAATCCTAAAGAGAAATTATAGCTATTCAGCATCTTCATCAGAAAACCCAAGTCAAAGTACAACTTCATTTAAGCTAGGGACTTACAATGTTTTCCAAACAGAGGACAACACGTTTCTAGCAACTGACCCATTATGTCTAAGTATTGAGTTGTACCTTGCCATCAAGAATGGCATTAAGTTACCAAAATTGAATAATGACCATACAGACCAAAGCAGAAACTCATTATTCTTGTTATCACATCATTCCAGCTCTAACGGATATCTACCTATTTACATCGAAGAAGATTCCAAAAGGAAATCCAAAAGACTAATAAAAGACAGTCAAAGTATAAATGAAACTTTACTCACCTCTGTCAAATCAAGCTCAGAGCTAATGTTGATTACACTGGTAGATAATGTTATCTACGACTATTGGATAACGAGTGTGCTTTTCAATTTCAGCACAGATGTCCAAACTCAAATCTTTCAATTTCACGATGAACCAGCACAACAAAGAGTTAACCTTTGGGGGCTAGGCAATTTGTTATCTCAACTAGTCTACAGAAATGGGTTTGATGTTAGAAACCCTGCAATAGCCAGACAATTTCAAGCAGACGCATATTCATTGATCACAAAACAATTCCGTAAATACAGTCGAGCTGTTGAATTTGAGAAACAGAGAAACTATAAGGAGTTTCTACATGCTATAGAGAACTTGCAAAGTATATTGGCTAAAAGAAACACCAGATTTTTCAATGGTGATGTACAACCTGGTTTGCTTGACGTTAAGATCTCAAGTTATGTCACTTTAATTATAAAATTTGGTGAGAATCATGATATTTCTAAAGTTTTGCATAATAATAGTCTATTGGTTGAGCATGCCCAAGCAGTGATCAAGTATTGTTCCTGAATCTTACATGTAAGGGGATACACGATCGTATAACCTTAAATATTCCTTGTATATAAATGGACTATTCATCATCATCATAGAGATCTAAATTGTAGCCTCATTGAACTACAAATCTCGTATTTTCTCAAGGCAAGTGCCACGAAATCGGCACAAGGATGTACACTACCGCTCCAGGATCTAAGGTACGGTCTAAAATGGGCAATCCTATACTATTGTAGACCCATTGACTGGCCCAATCCGGCTCTTCATCACGAAACAAAAATTTTGGCGTTAACTATGGAGCGTTCGCGAATTCCTTTTCTTGTTTGGGTTTTCCCGTAGCCTCAAAAGTTGTTGATGTTTCAAATTGAAGTTATGAAACAAACTTGTAACAACTGAAAATACCAAAAAATTACAACCCAACGTTTCTTACCAATTCCAGGCACCACTTTACCCATTAGATAGAAGACTTGCTGATCAGCTGCGAGTGGGAAGAAGAACGTTTCCGGTGCTTTGCCTAATAAAACTTTTCAGGATCCCTGTTTTTTTTCTTCCTTCAACATTATCAAGAACAAGAGGAAAGAAGAGGTCGTACTCACAAAAGCTACAGAACCCATTGAAAGGACAGGAGAACTCATTGCTACTCATCACACTCATTTGCTACTTATATTAGGTCCAATTTCTGCAACAGGAAGAAACAATCATCAAAAACCCACATTCGTTTCCTACTGGTTTCATAAGTTTATTGAGAAAGAATCCAAACTTGTTTTAAGATCGTACTGAGTAAACATATAATAAACAAAGATGAAAGACAGCATCAGTGGCAATACTGAAGCCATACTATCAGACAGATCAGTTGAGATCTCACCAGCCCAAATTGAAGAGAATTTAAGATTGATTGAAGATTTAAAATTCTTCTTAGCTACAGCTCCTGCAAATTGGCAAAAGAATCAAATCATAAGAAGATACTATTTGAACCATGATGAAGGGTTCGTGTCATGTGTTTTCTGGAACAATCTTTATTTCATCACAGGTACTGATATTGTTCGTTGTATTGTCTATAGATTTGAACAATTTGGAAGAGAGATTACAGATAGAAAAAAGTTTGAAGAAGGTATATTTTCAGATCTTAGAAGTTTAAAATGTGGGTCGGATGCTGTTTTGGAAGCTTCAAAGTCTCCATTTTTGGATTTCCTTTACAAGAATTCATGTTTAAGAACTCAAAAGAAGCAAAAGGTGTTTTTTTGGTTTAGTGTTCCTCATGATAAATTATTTGCTGACGCTTTGGAAAGAGATTTGAAAAAGGAGAAACAGAATCAAGCTGGTACCACAAAATCTAAGACTGAACCTGCCCTATCATTTGGTTATGATGATTCCAAGCCATTATATGAACAATTAGTTGACCATTTAGACATAAAGAAGAAATTATATGCTTCATCAGAGACTTCTTCGATCAATGGTGGTGATATTCCGTCATCAGCCGTTCATACACCTTTAATTTCTTCACAAGCTACAGAATTATTAGAACCAGAACCACAAACGTTTTACATAAAGGAAGAAGAAGATGAATTGAATGTCACGAAAGCTGAAGATGATGATTTCCCACTGGACTATTTCCCAATACAAGACTCAAAAGAACCAATGATGATTGATCCATCAGTCTTTATGAACCCTCCAGAATCTTATAATGATGAGTATCTAATAGATCAAACATATGCCAAAACACCATTTAGTGCTGTGAGATTTGACACACCAGGACAACATCCTATTAGAGATGATAATGAAAGTGATGATATTGAAGAACAATATGTTCCAGTATCAACCTATATGGGACAAGCGCCACAACAGGCACCATCATATTATGTTCAACCACAACAAGTTCCATATAATCCATATCAAATGACAAATGGTCAATATTATGATAGCCAGATGGAAGGTGATGCACAAGAGTATGTCGATGTGCCCGAATTTGATCCATATGAACAACAATATACACAGCAACCGGTATATCAACAGCAGATTCCATACCCTTATTATGGCGCAGGAGGTTATGCACCATATGGTGTTGCAATGGTTCCACAACAACCAATGGGTTACTATTATGAAGAACAACAACAGCAACCTGTAATGATGGTTCCAAACCAATACTATCCAGCATTTGTGGATGAAATGCAAGAGGAAGATGGTGATGATGAATTATATGTCTCATTTAGATCACAACAACAGCAACAGCAGCCAAAGCCATTTTCACCATTTAGTCGAGGATTCCCGTCATTTCAAGCAGCTGCACCACCACCACAAGTTCGTCCATTATCAGCTTCGAGATTAAGACATCAAATTGTTCCACCAAGAGGAAGAGTGACAAAACCTGGTAAACCTTTGAAACATCAGTTTTCTCAGCAAAATTTGCACAGGATTAATGAAGAGCTAAAGAAAAACCAAGGTGAATCAGTCGGGTCAAGTTCAAAAGATTTAGAAAATACAGATGAACTAGAGTATCATTCATTACCAACACCTGAATCCACAGCCCCTGATCCATGGAATTATCACAAAAGTGTACGTAATACTGGGAGTGGAAGCATAGGTGGTCATAGTAGTAATGGCGGTGAGAATAATAATGAAGAGGAACTTAACGATTATTTGGAGGATAAGATCTATGATGAAGTTGATGAAGATAAGCAATGAACTTTTATATTAATGACCTTTTATTTTTTCTTTTCGTGTTTCCGTATGCTTGATTTATTTTTAATATGTGGTTTGTATGCTTGTTTTATTTATTAAATGGTATATAGATGTAAAGAGAACAGTTAACACTTAAAAAAACTTGTAGGAACATTTTTATAACTTTGCTTCTCTTTTCAAATATTCATCAACCAAGCGAATGACCTGTCCAGCAAGACCATAGGAAGCTTGGTATCCAGCACCAGATATTCCATAATTATGGATGATTGAACCTTCTCTTTCAATTCTTGGTCCATTCTTTCTTGCTGGTCTCAAACCAACATTATGTCTAAACACATCAATCTCTGGATCATTACCCAACTTTGGGTCAACCAATTCAGGCAAGTATTTCTTTGCCCTTTCAATCATTCTCTTAGATAACTCAGGGTCTGGGATGGTGCTCCAGTCATTAACAATAAATGTACCACCAATTATACAACCACCTTCTTTTCTTGGAAAGATGTATAATGACTCATTAGCATAACCTTCTATAGCAACAACGATTTGCTTTGTAGCATTATTTCTAACCCAAAGAATTTGACCTCTAATTGGATAGACATCTTGATCTTCAACACCTTTCAAACGTCTTGCTAGTAGACCAGTGCAGTTAATAACAATATCAGCCTTTGAGCCAGTATGATGTAAAGCATATGCGTCTTTGAGATGTTTGACTTCTTTTCTTCTTAGAGTACCACCTAATTTGAAGATCTTTTGTAATAAATAATTTAAATATAATGTAGTTGAGATAGTTACAGAGTCAAAAGTCCAACCTTTGACAATATCACCAGTTTTTGGTAGTTCACTTTGATCCAATTCTCTAAAGCCTTCAACGAAATTGATAAACCAAGGATATGTTACTTTCCCCCCTTTTCTTTCCAATTCAGCTTTGGTAATGTAAGTATGATGTGGAACAATATGGACTCCAGCACTTGGATCGTTTCGAGCCAATTCAAAAAATTTCTTATAACCAGGTTTATCAAGATCTTGCAAGAAATATTCATCAGGGCCTGCAAAACTTCCCCAATTAGCTCCTGCCCATGGTGAAGTGTACAAGGAGTCTAGATCACCAGGAATATGTCTACCAACGATTGAAACATCATGACCTTTTTTCAATAGTTCTAAAGCTGATGTTAACCCAAGAACACCAGCACTGAAGAGAAATGAAGTTAGCAAGGAGGGTCAAAAGACATTTGTTTTTCAGATAACTCACCCTAAGACAACGATTTTAGCACCCATTGTAAAATTGCCTAGTAGGTAAGCTCAATGTGAATATGGTTGATGTTGAAAGACGAATGTGACTCTTTTCATGAGTTGAGAGTAAAGACGTTGACGATACAAAAACCCTTATCAAGAGAAGCGATGTCGCAATTTGGAAATGTGTCGGGTACAAAAGAATGTGTCATAATTGGAAAAGACCTTTAATTGAATCAAAAGCTGTTGAACAAAACATACAATTGTAGCATTGTAGCTTGAACATTCCAATTTCCAGTCTAATTGAGTAACTATTTCTCACTGGCTATTCTTTCTTTCTGGGCTTGTGGTTGGATTTGATGATGTCCCGGAGGTTCCACACAATGTAGAACTATGAATCTTTCAGATACAGCGAATATACATACTCAGCAACTAATAATATATTCAAATGTAGTACTATTTCAATCAAATCATTCCACATTTATCAATTTTCCTGCCATTTGCAACTGTGGCACAGATGCCCCTCCATACAGTTTCATTTCCCGATTAGGAAGTCAACGGGATAGAATTGTCTGGAGTAAAAATTAAAAAGCACTTGACTTCAAAAAAAAACCAAAACATCAAAAAACTGACAGATCTCAACAATTTAACAACCACAACAAACCCATTTCGTTTAGACCATCTTTTTAGTTCTTGACAACTGACATTCCCACACTATAAGAACATCCCAGAGGCCACACAGCTGCTGAAAGATCGAGATCCGCTTTAAGTTTTTACTGCTGCTTTTTTTTTATAAAACTTTTTGTTAATTTATTGGAGTTAAAAGGAGGTTAAGGTACCAAGTTCTAACCAACCAGTTCGGTACGCTTTTTTGCTCAAAAAAGACCAACCAAGGAGGTTCAGCTACAGGTTAGCAGGAAGACCTTATAACCAAATACAATACAGTCTATACATAACAGTGGATTCAATCGTCGTTGTCGTTGTTATTTTTTGCTAAAAGTTTGGCATATAATACCCGGGTGTTGAAAGATATACTTTTAATCACCAAATCCTTCATTTCAAGAAACATCTACTTGAGAAGGTTCATTATCTAGTTCAACTAGTAATATTTGCATAATAGTTTAAAGCATTAAAGCAAAAAAAAGTCATAAAAAACCATTCAAAATAAAAAAATACAGGAACCTTAAAAAGTTTCATCAATAAGTTACCTGAGGAAGAGTTAAATGATTAAACAGTAAAGAATATTCAGCCAAATTATTCAAGTTCTTACTCATTAGTTTCCTGAGATTTCAGATTTTCCTTGTTTGACACCCAGATTCCGGTTTCTATCCATCCTCGAAAGTTCATCACTCAAATTAACACGCCATTTCAATCATCTTAGTTTTAATTAGAGAATGTCCAACTCTTATGAAGTCTATAAAGAAGGTGGGTTGTTGAGAGGAAGATATCAAAAGTTAGAAGATATAAGTGAAGGTGCATTCGGTTTAGTTTCACTGGCTAAAGATATCAAGAAAGCCAAATTAGTTGCAGTTAAATACATTTTCAAAGAGGAAGATATTGATCCTAAAAAGTCTAGAGCTCCTAGTAAAGCCAGGTCTAGAGGTAATGCCGAGTTCAATATTTCCAAGAGATTAACAGAAGGTGTTTGTGAAGAGGCAATTTATGAAATTAACATCCAAGAGAAAATTGGACACCATCCAAATATTATTTCATTATTGGATTATTTTGATTCTTTTATCATTTTGGAATACTGTTCAAGAGGTGATTTGTATGAAGCTATTAAAGCTGATGCGGGGCCAAGCTCAACAAGAGATATTGTGAACGTTGTGTTGCAATTGGTTGACGCTGTTGAATTTGTTCACAATAAGTCAATTTATCATCGTGATATCAAACCTGAAAATATTTTGATTGCCGATGATTGGACAATCAGATTGACTGACTGGGGGTTAGCTTCCACAAAGAGATTTTGTAATGACTTTGGTGTTGGTAGTGAACGTTATATGGCTCCTGAGTTATTTGACGAAAAGAATATTGACGTCTATGATGCTTCCAAGTGTGATATTTGGTCAATCGGTATTTGTTTTTTGAATATTGTGTTCCATAAAAATCCCTTTGGTTCTGCAACTCATGATGATAAATCATTTAGCTATTTTGCAAGAAACCGTGAAGCTTTATTTGATATTTTCTCCACAATGTCTAATGATTTCTTTACTGCCTTACGTTATTCATTGACCCTTGATCCTGAGAATAGAGATTTGATCCAATTGAAGAATGAAATCAAAAAGATTCAATCATTAACAATTGATGATGACCTGGCTAACTTTTCTAAACAAGAGGAAGTTCATGGTTATGTCGGTACTGAACCTATCAAAATCAAGAACAATGCTGTTGGTAGAAAAGCTTTGGGGATTCCAACTCCAAGCTCTAGAATCAACAATAATTTTACAAATTATAAGAAGGAATTTTTCAATCGTAAAGATTTTTTCACACCTCCATCAGCTTCTGCTCATTATCTTGAGAAATTTGAAAGGAACAGAAAGAAACAGCAACATGCACCAACATCATCAAATTCCTCTTTCAAACATCCAAGTTCTCTTTCCAATGTCGTGAATAATGGTTCAAAAAAAGAACAATACCATTTGATTCCACCACCATCATCACCTTCGCAAAGAAGAACAAGAAAAAGTTCATCTTCATCAACTGGTAAATATATCCCACCAAATTTGAGGTCCCCAAATACTTTCAAATCTCCTTTACAAACGTCAGTGACAATTGATAATCTGGATCTTGATGATGATTTGTTTGTTCTTGAAGAAGCTGATTCGCCAAATTCAACATTTGAAAACGAAGGTATGCATGGGTTGGATAATGCCATTGCTCAAATGGACTTGAATGACAATTATTTGAGTGATAGTTCATCAGCACCTTCACTATTAGTTCCAATGCCATTATATGGTGATCGTAACAAAGGGTCATCTTTGACAGTTCACAATAGGTCAAATATGCAATCGAATGAGCTATTGAAACCGAAAGTTGCTCCAAAGAGTTCAAATTCTAATTCATCTGATGAAAATAATGGTCAAAAGAAATATGTCCCACCTCATCATCGGGCAGATTATCCTCAATGGGCAGCTACTCATAAAAAAGCTGATAGCTTCCATCATAACAATCATAATCATAACACTGGTCGGTTTAGATTCATTACAAATCAACGTAAAGCTGAGTTGATGTCATCTTCTGTTCCTACTCGAGCAAAGAGTGATTGGTTTAATAATGGGTCCAAGATTGATGAATTTGATGATGATTTTTTAATTGATGATGATGATTTTGAGAAAACTGAAATGTTTCATGCGTATGCTCAAAGAGTTGGTGAACAGGTTTTCAACCATGATGGGTTTTCTTCAAATGGGTCTTCGAAGATGAAGAATAGACATGTTAGAGAATCAACTCGTGAATTAACTTCTGCAATTGCAGATTGAAGTTGTCTTGGTCTTTTGGTTTTATTAACTACAGTATTTTTTCTTATTTGGATATGTCATGATTATAGCACCAAAGTACTAATGTATATATTTTGGATGTTAATTAACAAATTGTTCAAGTTGTAGTTTGTTTTTCTCATTTTGTGAATATTGTCTTCAAAAACAATGCACCAACGGCAAATAAAATGGCATATTTTGTATAACTCTTGTCTTCATCATTCTTCAAGCTTATGACGTTCGAATCGAAATTATTTATGCTTGAAGTATCAACTGTATGAACATGTGTTGTTGTGGTATTGTGTTCACTTTCATCTTTCTCCTTGTGATTGATCAAATATAATAGGTCATCTTCAATTTCATCAGAAACAACACTTTGAACATTACCCAAGAAATCGGTAATTAAAACGTCTTTTGGATCTCGTTTGAATAAGTCAGTTCTAACACCAGCATGTGAGTGAATTTTTTCTAATGAATAATAATCAAATAGATCTTGTAAAGTTAATGTAGAATTCTTATCAATCTTTTCTGCAAATTCCAAATTGAAATAGGTGAATCTGTCAATGACAGCAACACCAATTTCAACATCACTATGATGAGAATATGAAGATTCATCCAATTCTGAAGAACCACACGCTAAAATATTTGGTGAATAAAACTTGGTATACATGGTATTTGCTTGACATGTATCAATCATAAAGAAGATTTCATTATATCTCTTTTTTTCATGCATTTGTTCAAAAGCATCAGCAATATCCCATGCACTAATTTCTTCAGCATCTTGAAATTTCAAAAATTCATTACCACCATGACCAGTCATATAGATAAAAATATTTGAGTTCTCATCTGTCAATAATCTTTTAGAACGTGGATGATCTGGACTCCATCTATCTGTTAATAATCTTATGAAATTTTCCACTGTGACTTCATAACCTCTATAATCAACTTCAATACTTTCACCATATAAATCAATAGCTCTATCCATATTATTATAAACAGAACCTGGAAATAAGTTACGTGGATTACAAGCAACATCATCACTCAACATCAAGATGATTTGTGAATCCGGTATACCTAATCTCTTCACGGTTCTGTACATACTCAACACATTTGCCATATGTCTATAATTAAACCAAAATCTTGAAGTTGACACCAAAACTGCCCAATTGTTTGTATGACGAGATGATGATTCATTTTGTGTTGATTCTTCTGCTGCCAAAACTGATGATATTAGAGAAATACCTAGAAAAAGCCTTATTAAGGAATGGAAGGGTATAAGCATGGTGATGATGGTTGTTCTGGGTTGAGTATTATGTTTGTTGTCGATGGCTTCTATTTGTAATTGTACAAATCGCCAAAACCAAAAAAAAAAAAAAAAAAAATCTCGAGAATTTCGCGATTTTGATCAAGGGTCAGGGCTTCTGACCATCCAAAACAAAAGTATTTCACATTTTATGATAAAAGATGTCAATGTTGATAATAGTTTGTGGAGGGATAATGGTGTTGAAAAGGCAAGCCATGGCTTTGAGGCTGATAACAGGGTGTATCCCAGGTGCAATTCAGAGGCATCTCTTCCAACCAGCTTATAATAAAGTCTTGGTACGAACATTCAAGACATCATCACGTTTAACAAAACAGTTTCATATTGAAGAACCAGCAACACCACGTCCAAAGTTTCAACTTCGTGAATATCAACAGAGATGTATTGATCAGTGCGTGGACGCTTTGGAAAATGATAGGAGAAGAATTGGTGTTAGTTTGCCTACAGGTGGTGGTAAAACCGTTGTGTTCAGTAATTTAATAGATCAAGTGAAACCGAAAAATGGACATGGAGACAAAGTGATGATTCTTGCACATAGAAAAGAACTTATATTCCAAGCTGCTGCTACTTGTAAATCTGTTCACCCTGACAAGATAGTTGATGTGGAAATGGCCAATTATCATGCAACGGAGGATGCTGATATTGTTATTGCATCTGTACAGACGTTGATGAGAGGAAGATTGGAAAAATTTAACCCGTTGGATTTCAAAATGATTATTGTGGATGAAGCTCATCATGCTGCTGCAGATAGTTATGTCTCAACATTCAATTATTTCGGCATAACAGAACCTGATTCTGATGTGGCTTTGGTGGGGTTCTCTGCAACTCTCCAAAGAGATGACGATAAGCATCTAGCTGATGTCATTGATGAGGTTGTCTTCCATATGGATACTGAACAAATGGTGACAGATAAACATTTATGTGATGCCAAATTCACCACAGTGAAGTTGGTGAATGCCGATTTGAGTGGTGTTACAACAAGAGGTGGTGAATTCGTTATACCCAAGTTGGCTGCGGCAGTGAACAACCCTGAGAATAATGAGCTTGTACTTAGAACATATTTCCATTTTGTGAACACCCAAAATGTGAGGTCGGCATTACTCTTTGGTGTGGATATTAAACATGTTAGATCATTAGCTGCTTTATTCAAAGAACGTGGTGTTGATGCTGATTTTGTCACTTCAGAAACAAAGGCTCCAGTGAGAAAAGAGCGTATTGATAAATTCAAAAAAGGGGAGCTATCAGTTCTAATGAATTGTGGTATATTTACTGAAGGTACAGATATACCCAATATTGATTGTGTTTTGTTGGTTAGACCTACCCGTTCCAAAAATCTTTTAATCCAAATGATTGGTAGAGGTTTAAGATTACACCATTTAAAGGAGTTCTGTCATATTGTTGATTTTGTTGGAGTTAACAATGCGAACGTGATCTCTGTACCATGCCTAAGAGGATTGCCAAATGACGACCAAATTAACGATCTGACATTAGAAGAAATGGAGGAGAGAAAAGCGCTTTTGGAAGAGAAAAGGGCAAAAAAAGAAGAGCAAGATAGATTGGAGGCACTGAAGAAGAAGCAAGAAGAAGCTGAATTGCTAGATGCTGATTTGAGGCAAGGTACCCTATCAACTGCTCCGGTTGCTGAGTATGACGAGGAAGCTTTCGATTTTCAAAATATTGAATTGAAGACATTTGAAAGTTTCCATGACTTTATAGAAATGGGAGAAATGCCGAAAGAAGATGATATTTATTACATCAAAAGTTCTATATATCCTTGGGTCAGAATTGATAACAATACTTGGATCGTTAATTATCCAAGTATAAAGAAAGGAATTCAGATACATTTAAGGCTTCAAAGATTCAAGAAAGGTATCACTAAAAAGTTCTTGAAAGATGTGAGTGTAAGAGAGATTTACAAGAACAAGAAAGCCGTGGAAGAACACATGAATACTAAACATACCATGTACACATTGTCGTCGTACACAACAAACCCACAATATGATAGAGGTGTGAATTTTTTTGCCAAAAAATACAAGGCATTGTTACTGCTACCATTGTCTAGGGATATAAGGCCCGTATTGTCATACGTTGACAAGATTTTCAAGGAGAGATTCAGAGGAAGGGATCTCACCAAATTTGCTGCTTGGAGAAAGGCACCATCTTCAGAAAAACAGCAGAAGTATGTCTACAACATTGTCAATCGCTACATGCAAGAACGTTTGGCCCCAGATACCAGACTTTCCATCATCAATGAAATACCAAACTTGAAGTCTGGTGAAGTGTCTGATTTTTTGGCAGCTTATACAATTGTTGGAACAAATGATTCGCTTGAGCATTTTGTTGACCTCTTGCATAAAAGGGCCATCAAGGAAAATAAACTTGAACCTCAGAGAGAATACACTAACTTGAAACCTTTCTTTGAGATGATGAGAAAAGGAGCTGATCTTGAAGAATTGAAAAGACTGGACCTCGCTAATTCAAACACTTCCCAAAGTGACATGACGAATCAGAACAAGCCAACACCCCAATTTCATGAACCATGAATAACGAAAACCTGTATATATAATTTCATGAACTGACGTGAAAGACTTGTAATAGCGTTAAGGCGTGTAAAAGCACAAAATGCCCCGATTAGGCAGTTAGCCTGATCTGGATTCGCGAAAACAAAAACAACTTTTCCCATGAATTCAAAGTTGACAGATACTCAATTTTGAAGCCAATATTTCACTGTTTAAACAGTTCAAAGTGCATCACAACGTTGATTTTATAGCTCTCTTGATTGTTTGGTGTTTTAGATAGTGCATTGGAAAGTCACTGACCTTCAGATATCGTCAACCAATTGTATCAATTTTTGACAATGCCACAGAGCTCAAATCAACAGGCTAGATCTTTGCCCAAGGGATCTATAGCTATAGACCCTGTCACAGTTGTGATAAAAGAATGTTTATTAATATCATCTTCAATGAGGAAGATTTCCAAATACTCACAATCTGGTGTTGCAGCTATTTTAGGGAGCGGTGCTGGTGATTTATTCAATGATGAAGGCGAATCCAACAAATACGGTCTTAATTCCCACGCGAATGGATCAAATCATAACACTACGAATGATCCACTGCTATCTGGTTTCATTCAATTAAGATTGATGTTGAATAACTCCAAGAACTTAGATGATATTGATTCATTGACTTTACTGCAGCCATTTCTACTTGTAATAAAATCAAGCTCTACAACAGGAAACATCACTTCATTGGCACTAGACTCATTATCAAAATTCATAAGTTACAACATTATTTCAGCTAGTTCCAAAAACTTAGCATTCACATTGACTCATATCATTAGTTCATTGACTCATTGCCGTTTTGAAGCTTCTGAACAATCTTCAGATGATGCTGTTCTTTTGAAAGTTTTGAACTTGCTAGAAACAATAATAGATTCAAGTCTTGGTGATTTACTATCGGATGATGTTATTTATGAGGTTGTGCAAACTTCATTATCACTAGCCTGTAATAAGAGAAGAAGTGAGGTTTTAAGAAAGGCTGCCGAGTTATCAATGTACACAGTGACCATAAAAGTCTTTAAAAGGTTAGATTCAATTGAACCTGAGCAACACCATCACATAGTGGAGGAAACCCAAGATTATACAAAGAACCAACTTGTGGGGACAATTGGTACTAATGATGATGTTACTTTATCAAAAAAATCTTTTGAAGTTTTAAATGACACTACCAAACCATTTGGGCTTCCAGCAATCAAACAGTTTCTAGGTATCTTGATATCAATGATTGCCCCAGAAAATCAGTTCAAACATACTGAATCCACTAAGGTCTTTGCATTTTCTTTGATAGCAACAGCCGTGGAAATGAGTGCTGATAGATTCTCATCTTTCCCCAGCTTATTGAACTTGATTGCAGATCCAGTTTTCAAACACACTTTACACATCATCCAAAATATCAATTCTTTGCCTGTTTTACAAGCTGCTTTACAACTATTTACAACTTTATCATTGACACTTGGAGACCATCTTCAAGCACAAATAGAATTATCATTGATTACAATATTCAACGCCATACTACCACAGGAAGATACCAAAAAGAAACCTCCTGCTAGTGGAAAGTCAACGCCAATAGAACTGAATCAGAAATCACTTTCTGCTAAAGAATTACTTGTTGAGGAAATATCCATCCTGTGGACAAGATCACCATCATTCTTCATGAACCTTTTCATTAATTATGATTGCAACTTTCACAGAACAGATTTGACAGTTCGCTTCATTAAATTTTTATCGGAGTTATCTTTGCCAGAGAGTGCCAGTTTTACAACTGATAATGTCCCACCAATTTGCCTTGAAGGTTTGATATCATTTGTCAATAAGCTTTCAGAACAGATCAAAACCGTTGACCCTATCTCTGAACAAACCACTCATGAGCTTTTGATCAAGAAAGAAAAGAAGAAAGAGTTTATTGCTGCAACTAAAATATTCAATCAAAAGCCAAAAGACGGGTTGAAAGCCTTAGAAGACAAAGGATTCATCAAATCATCAACTGATATTCATGAATTAGCTATTTTCTTTTATGAAAAATCAAGCAGATTAAATAAAAAAGTTTTAGGAGAATTTCTTGCTAAACCATCCAACCTTGAATTATTGAAAGAATTTTACTCATTATTTGATTTTGAAGGGTTGAGAGTTGATGAAGCCTTAAGAATCTTGTTGAAAACTTTCAGATTACCTGGTGAATCTCAACAGATTGAAAGAATTGTGGAAAATTTTGCTAATAGATATGTGAAATGTCAAAACTACCAACCAAAGCCAGAAGACAATGTCGAGCAAGAAGTTAAGTCAGGTGAAGTGGAACCTAGGGATTCAATCAAAGATTCAGTTGAGATAATTAATGGTGAAGAAGATGAACCAGTTGAACCAGATGCTGATGCAGTTTTTGTGCTAAGTTATTCCATTATTCTTTTGAACACAGATCTCCATAATCCAAATATCAAGGCACATATGACGCTTGATGACTATAAAAGAAACCTGAGGGGTGTTTACAACAAGAAGGATTTCCCTGTTTGGTATTTAGAAAAGATTTATCAATCCATCGAAGATAAAGAAATTGTCATGCCTGAAGAACATCATGGCTCTTCACAATGGTTTGATGATTCATGGAATAACTTGATTGCCGCTAATATTTCTATAATTGATGATTTCTACTCCGTTGACTCCTTTGAAGTGGAAGAGCTTATTCAGTTTGAGAAGAATTTGTTCCAAAGTGTTTTTGAACCTATATGCAACACTATTCTAAAGATTTTTGAAGTTGCTTTTGATGATCAAATAGTTACCAAAATGATGACTACAGTTGATAAACTTTCACAAATTGCATCCTTTTTCAAGTTTTACACATTTATTGACAAGTTGGTTATTAAACTATGTGACTTGACAACTTTAACAGGTGTGAAATCACCATCTGTTGAGACCAATAATTCATCACCAACTAAGGTCACAAGAATTAAAGTTGAAGGTGGTGACCCCATTACTGTCAGTGAAACCTCAGTTTTGTTTGGTAAAGATTTCAAGGCTCAAATTTCAACTGTTGTTTTGTTCAGAATTTTGAATAGAGACCTGCATGTCCTAAATGAAAGTTGGAAGTCATTTCATAAGGTTATTTTCAAGCTATTCCAAACAGGTCTTATTGAACCTGATTTTTTCCCACAATTCCAAAGTCAATACAAATTAGCCAAACTACCAAGAATAAGACCTGAAGTCTCTCTGACCAGATCAACTGTCACTAAAGGTTTGTTCTCCACGTTTGCATCATACCTTAAGGGTGACGATGAACCAACCGATGAGGAGGTTGAAGCTACATTGTCTGCTGTGGATTGCATCAAATCATCTGGAGTTCATACATTTTTCCAAAATCCAAGCGCACTTATCAGTGGTGATGATACTGTATTGAAGGCAGTCTTGGAGACACTACCCACAGAGCGTACAGTTGAAAATGAAAGGACTTATGAAGCTGACTTATTCTTCACTCTTGAAAATGCTCTTGTTTTGGCATTGTCAAGCCCTGAGAACACAAATGAACTCAATACACTTTTGGAGTACATTGAAAAAGTTGAATCAGCAGAGAATAACAAGAAACTAAACGCATCAATGTTTTTGAGATTAACTACCTACAAATTGATCATTATCAATAATAGTCAACAAGTGTCTGCAGAATCAGTTAAAAAGTCAATTGACCAAATATTGGAGATTGATAGAAAACTTCTTGAGAAAAAAGCTCAACAGATTGTTCAACCATTATGTTCTATTGGTGATCCAAATTCATCAACATCAAGCATTGCATTGGAATACGAGAATTATTGGAAGTCATTGAGACTTATTGCATCAGTCTCTCAATTTTCAAGAGATATATTTTACTTCATCAACCATTTGCTTAAGACTTCCATTGGTTCAATTAAATCCGCTAACTTCATGTGGCTATTAGGCTTATTGGATGAAATTTCAGCTGTTGGTGCTATTGGTGGTCAATGGGAACAAGAATATGATGCTTTAGTCAAGAGTGGTCACCAAGTTGACAAGGAGAATCCATATCAAGATATTGTACAACTATCATTAAAATCAATTAATGCAACAGCTTCTTTAATTGATATCAAGGCCGATTTGACTACAGATCAAACATATGCATTGATTCAAGCTTTAGCTCACCAATGCTTAAATCCATGTTTTCAAATCCGATCCTATGCTTTGAGTTCATTGGAAGATACCGTTTTGAAAATCGAATTGACTGATGGTTTGAAGGCTAGTGGTATCTTTGATTTTGGTATTTTCCCCTTATTGAATGAAGATATTGCTAAGAATGAAATTTTGTCATTGATTTCCAAAGTCTATTTGCATTTCTTTAAATTAGGAAAGGCAGATAATGCAATTTTCTTGAAGATTTTGGACATATATAATCAATTCTTGGAAGATCCAGCTATTGAAAGTGAATTACAAAATTTGATCACTTCTAAAAAGGAAATTGAAAAGGAAACTGGTGTCAATGTTGAAGTAGGTAATGAGAAGAATGATCCTGAGGAGGAAGTAGTGGAAACAGAGCAAGCTGAAGAGAAGACAGAAGGGGAAGGAGAAAAGAAGGAAGAGGAGAAGGCTGTCCAAAAAGAACCAGAATTATTGAACGATAATGAAGTTGATTAGGGTTTAGATATTTATATCATTGTATTTTTAGTAAATAAATCAAATTACAAATTAGAATAAACTATTGTACTTTACTCAAATTAAATTTGCTGTTTTGTATTATTAATTTATAGACTGTTGACATAATTTAATCTTCTTTATCAACCAACTCCAGAAGTATAGATGCGTTCTTCAAACCAGCATCACTTATCGTTTCATCTAATTTACCAATCAAATTTTCTCTTTGACTGGTCAATGTGAAAGCTTCACCATTTTTAACTGACTCCACTGTAGCTTTCAATACTTCATAAATAACAACAACTTTATCATCAGTATTGAATCTGCGAACTTGACGGGAACCATCCCCCAAACGAATTTGTACCCTTGTTGTAGTTGCAGGATTTGCTTCGGGTTCTGGATGGTCAATTGCTTGAATTTTTTGAAATTTCTCTTGTTCAGTCAATTCTTTAGGTTCTTCGTCAACGTCATCATCAATTTCAATAGGATCATTTTGTTCACCGCCATGCAGTATTTGTACATCATCGTGATCTTGTTCTTTCTTTCCTAAAGATTCTTTAATAGCCAGCTCCATTTGTTGTTCTTCAGTTAATGTTGATGGATCTATCTTCTTTTTATGACTGACTGTTGGATTTATATGACCAGGTTCTAATGAAAATTGTGCAAGGAAGTCAAACACTTCTTGAATCCAACTATTGGTAGCAGGTACCCCTGACCACATTTTAAGACGCTCACCTGTAATTGGGTCAAGAATTGCAATATGGGGGTACTCTGAGAAATGATAGAATTGAGAGTATTCTTCACCACTTCTTGACTCTTTTTGATATTGTAAGAAAATGAAATTATCTTTAACCAAATCCTTCACGTTCCCATTTGACCAAAAATCTCTATTCAAAACTTGACATTGAAACTCAGCATTATCTTGAATGTTGACCAACAGCCATTTCTTTTCCTTTCTAGCCTTTTGTTTCGCACTGTTCAAATCCAATTTATCAATTATATCAAAAGGCGGACGGAATATTCTAGCTAAACGTCTTTGAGTCTCACTCATACCATCATCACGACGACTTTCAATAACATCACCGTCACTATCCACTTCCACCACTTTATCTTCTTCTTCAGAGTCATCTTGAGGGAAATCATCATCACGTTGATTGAAAATACCTGGTCTAGCATTACCAAATATATCCTGTGGGGCTGGTCTATTTAACAATCCACCAAAAGAACCACCAACACCACCAAACGTACCAGGGAACACACCAAAATGGTCTTCACCACCAACTAATCTTTCATGCACTGCAGCATCTGGAGCTCTTGGTTCATTTGCTTGTTGGTTTTGGTATGCTTCATTTTGTAGTCTTTCAGCTAGTGCTGCATCATCATCCGTATGTGATGGAGGCGTTGTATTTGGATTTGAAGGCTGGGCAGCTGAGGCACCGTGTTCGAAGAATAATGAAATAGCAGTCTCAATATCACCACCAGCCATATCAATGAAATGCTCAGCAACTTTCCCATCACTTGAGCCAGTAATGGCTAGAAATGTATCAACTTGTTCAGACATAATTGGGATCTTTGGCTATGAATATTGAACAATGGTTCCGTGGAATGGCAAAGATTGAAGATATGACTTGTAATTATTACTAGTTGTAGCTGTGTATACTTGTTTATACTGATGAATCTTGTACAATTCTTGAATAATGTCTTTTGCCATACTTGTGGCAATTTGATCAAGGTAAATTTCAAAAAAACAACAGTGGCTGCCAACTCGGAGCGTGTCATTATTTCGAAAAGGTCTTTTTTCCTAATTTGGGTGTTGAGTTGTTTTCTTCAGTTCGTCGACGTCGACAACCAAACAGTAGTGAAGTTGTACCATTTGAGAGGCATATGTTCACTGGCATTGTCATGATTCCAATATTTCACATGGTTTTAGCTTTTATGATTACTTCTTTGAAAATAGATTATCTTGCGTGAACATCCTTGTTGACGAAGGATTTTCGATGTTTTATGTTCTACAAATATAGTTCCTGTGTGGATGCCTTAGTGTTTTTTATTGTGTTATTGATATCTTTTTCCAAGACGTATTCCATGTGTATTTCTCGGCCTGAAGAATCGAATTCGATCCTTTCAGACCAGAGTATGCATCGTAATGGTTTTTGTTTGGTTGTTGGGCGTTTTTTTGAAGACCAATTAATAGAGCAAGAACATCGTGGTTTCGTCTGATCATATTATTGAGGCCTAGCACACGATAGTTCCATAGCTCATCAATATCCGTTATAAAAGTTGTCTGGCTTGATCAATTGGTGAAAATCATTTGTCTCCCAGATTGACTTTCAATATACAATTTTAATTCAACTTTTTTCATATCACATCTTGTAGGCATTCAAACATTTGTACTATTTACAAGCTGCTAATTATTAATTTCGATTAATAGCTCAAGATATCTCGGAGGCTTTCAGCTATGTCTGTATCTATCCCTAGTTAGGTTTCTGTTTCATCGGTTCAATTACGTCTACATGGTATCTGAAGACTAGTTTATCGCGTATTTATTGATTTTTCTTATCAATTCAAGTATTTAGTTATAGTATTCATAATCACATATTAGAAGTTGACCCCCTGTGAAACTATTTTGATCATTTCTTCCCAGTAATTCCCAATCACTGAAGACAACGAACACCAAACACCAAATATTGACTGACATGAGAGGAAGCGAAAAAAAAAAAAAAATAGTGTTGATAGTACCACAACAAAAAACAAAAAAGGTGACGATGGGTCCAATTCACTGAGAAATGAATCAAGACGTGATTGAAAAGTGTGGAATGAATTGGATGTTGCCCAATTTCAGCAATTTTTAAGGGCTGTACCCAGTACTTTGTACCATATGTTGTAAAGAAACTTGAAGTGCTTTCATGTTGGATTCGTGTAATATTGATTTGTTAATTGTAAACGAAAAATTGTGCTTCAATTTCTGTACTTGAATTTAGAGTGATTCTGGTAAGTGATTGACCGGTTTAAAAATCTACGTACACATTGGCATTTAGTTATAGCGTTTGTGTTTTCATCATTTTCTGGCATTTCAGTGAAAATGGAGCTGGTCATCCTTGTTGAGTGTGATCATACTTAAAGCATGATAGTTTCATAGCTCATCAATATCCCTTATTAAAGTTGTCTGGTTTGATCAATTGATGAAAATCATTTGTCTTCCAGATTGACTTTGAATATACAATTTCAATTCAACTATTCAACTAGTAGATAATCAGGTATCTTTAATATTCATATTCTTCTAGGTAATTTGCAAGCCAGCTCAAGATGTCTAAAAGGCTTACTCTTGTAGCTTTTTATAAATCCCTAGGTCTCTGTTTCATTAGTTTAATTACTACATGCTATCTAAAGACTAGTTTATCATATATTTATTCATTCTTATCAATGCAAGTATTCAATTATATTATTCATAAGCTCATATTAGGAGTTGAAGCAACCATTTTCGTTTCTTCCCACTAGTTCCCCTATTCACCAAAACTATTGTTGAGGACGATACTGAGGATACAAAGGATATTGGCCTTGCACTTGAGGTTGTTGTTGATATGGTGAATTGGCTGGATAGTAATTAATCATTGGAGGTGGTTGCTGTTGATTGAAAAATCCCTGTGCTGGTAGTGGTTGTTGTTGTTGCTGTTGTTGTTGTTGATATTGCAAGTAAGGTGATTGTTGTTGTTGAGGATAAGGAGAAGGGAATTGCTGTTGTGGAGGTTGTCTTGGTTGTTGTTGTTGTTGTTGTTGAGGTGGTTGATAGTTGTAATTATAACCACTTGGTGGTTGATAAGGTGTTCTATCAGTGGAAACTTGATATTGCATACCTGCAATACCTCTTTCTTCAATTTCACTATTGACTAAATCTGTCATTGTTGTAGGGCCGATGTTTTCCTTTTTCAATGGTTGTTCTTGATATAAATAATTGGCTTCAATTGTCTCAATTTTGACTGTTGCATAAGGTGATTTCATCATACTCAAATCATTATCAATTTCAGAAGCTGAAGCGCCAGAAACTGGCTTACTGTCTGAATGAAATGAGTTGTTGAACCTTCTGACCCTACTTTCAACTTCTCTATGAACCTCCATCACTCCATATCTACCACCTTTACGTTCACCAACTTTTCTTGTTGAAGTTCTAAACCTTCTTTCATTATGGCTAACTTTAGCATATCTATTCTCGTTGTTATAATCCTTATCCAAGTCTATTATCTTTTGAGATATTTCAGACCTCATTTGTTTCCTCAACTCTATACGATCTTTGGCACTTTGTCTCCATGTCAATTCAACATTTCGTCTTGCAGAATCTTCTATCAATTTGGCTTCATAATCATATTTACTTCTCAACGCTTTTAATGAATCTCTATGAGGTTTCAAAACTTGTTCAAATGAATCAGTAAATATTGGTAATTCTTCTAGTGGGGGTGACGCTGGAGCTTCTGGGGGCGGTGAAGAATCACCAGTTTGAGCAGCAGCATCATCAAAATGGTTTCTTCTTCTTTTTAGAGATTTAGCATAAGTGACACTATCCACTTCCATACTTGTCTCTTCATCTAATTGTGGTAAATTGTTGTTGACAAATGTGTCATGAGCTATTGAATTCTTCCTTAGTTGATTTTGTAACTCTTCAATCTTTGAGATAAATGTCTCCACTCTGCTTATTCTAGAGTTACCAAATTGTTTTGCCAGTAATTTATAATCACCTTGTAACTTCTTTTGCATATTTTCAATATCAGATACATCATTTATATTATCTAGATTGTCAAGAATCTCACCAACGTTTTGAGACGTTAAAGCTTCTGAAGGAACATCATCATAAGAAAAAGCACCCAATTTCTCCTTCTGGTTAATCAACTTAGGATCTTTAATATCTTCGTTACTCATTGCAATGAACTATGAGCCTTTCAATGAAAAACTTGGTAGCTGTCTTGCCAAAGTTGTTATTCTTGTTGATGTTTTGTATGCACTCAATGCTCGTGTAAAGTCAGATTCTGGGAAAAAAAAGAAAAACTCTGCAAATCGGAGGAAAACCCGTGATGGAAAAACAGAGGACCTAAAATATGGTTTATAGAGATCTTTTAAGCCAGGGAAAAGTGATTTGTTTTAGGATGTCACTGTTTGATTGATTGCCGTGTAGTTTAGTTGTTCCTTGATTGTGGTTGTTAGTTTTCGATTCATTCGTTTTGAAACAAGAATTCTGACAATCATGTAGGCAGCTTCGATTCGATTCGGTTACGTAGCTCATTAATGCTAGCTTCCCGATCGAAAAGCAGTGGTTTCAATCAGACAGGTTCTGGTAACACTTACTGTTGATAAAGTAGCTGGCGATTAAACTGTGCTGTCTAATTTTGTATGACCCGTTTTGCGTTGTCCAGAGTTTGAATGGCGTGTGTTTTACTTTTCACGACGCACTTCAAGGTCTGTTCGATAAATTCCAACTTCTCAACTAGATTTTGGTTTGCATTCATCGATTATTTACCCGTGGACCAGTGGCAGTGGCCAGCTGTTGCGCCAACATCCCAAAGCGGTAATACCTGTCGAGATGATGAATTCAAAGGGGAATAAGTGAGTAGGACAAGAAAGAAGGGACATTGAAGTGTAGAAAGTTATTCACATTATTATGTTAGAAATGCCTACTTAACTTTTGAGGACAAACATTCGTTATTTTGAAAACCAGTGTCATGCTCTCAAAAACCTTGACAAAAGTCGAAGTATATACTTGTGAATACCAGCAGATCTAAGGCGTAATGAAGTCGAAACCTCCTTGCTTCGCAACACTAAAGAGCAACACCAACACATTGACTAGCAAGCATCTCTTGAATTGTAGGTACTAGGTCGTTCTTGAAGATGTTGGGTTACGTTATGCAGGGAAGGCTTTTTCGTTGGAACTGTACCTGGTATGAGATTCGCGAGAGCTTTTTCACAATAGAGCTACCCAATGTGGATAATTTGCGAACACAATTGCGAAAATCCCAAATCTCGCGAATTTACTATTTTCAGGCTCTTCGAAACGAAAGAAAAAAAATTGTAGGCACAAAATTTACATACTGAGGAAAACAAAATAGTGAAGAATCAAGTGTTTACACAGTTTATCAAGTCCAAATACATCATAATGGAGAATACAGAACTAGTAAAGCAATATATTGATGCGCTTGATGTGTCATTAGATGAAATAGAACCAATCATCAAAGAGATCAGCTCAAAATCTTTCGAAGATAGAATTAATGAAACATCAGATGAACATGAAAAGATAAAGATATCAAACAGTTATGCTTATTTATTGACGTCCTTGTCATTCGGTTAGTGTCCAAAAACTCAATCAAATTGCATAGATCTAATACTAACTCTCACAGCTTTTTTGAAATCCAAAGGTATTGATACAACTAATCATCCAATAATGAAAGATTTAGCAAGAGTCAAATCTTATATGAATAGAGCAAAAGAAGCATTGAATCCATCAAAAGGTAAGTATATCTACACAAAATCTTGGTGGAACTACTACTAACAATAGTTTCTCATAGAAAAGAAAGTTGATACAGGTGTTGCTAAACGTTTTATAGAGGCAGCTTTGAATAGTGGTACAGGTAATTCAACAGTGGTTACAGGAACTCCAGAACCTGCAATTAGCTCTGCATCTTTCCAAGGTAAGCATACAAAGTTTAAAGATGAAAATGAAAAGAGCGATGATGAAAGTGATGATAAAAAAGTTTCCAAAAAAGACGAAGCTTCAATAAGGAAGAGTTCGAAAGAGAAATTGGGAAAAAAAGATAGTGGAAAGAATAAAGTGAAGAAACCGAAGAAGGAGAAGAGTAAATCTACTAAATAAGCATTTTACTCAATCTAATAACAAGATTCATTTGTACATGATTTCATTCATTTACGCAGTAGTTGAACCAGATTACCAACACTAAAACCACACATATTCTATCGAATTCCTCATGCCAAACCCTATTCTACCTAAAACAACTCTCTACAATGGCAATCTTCCTTTATACGAGTTGATTTCCATACAATACTTCACAAATCCGCTCACATTGCAATTTAATATAAAAGTTCGCGAATCCATTTTTCCAACCTTTCCAACTTCTTCACCACTTTACGTTTGAACCTGAGTAGTTTCTTACACACTAACACAATGACAAAGGCTACTGAGAGGATGGATACCGCTACTAAAGACAGAAGGATTGATGCTATGCTCAAGAAGCATCCTTTGGAAATGGACTACGCGTCTGATCTTTTCCGCAAAAATTGCACTAAAGTTACTTCTACAGATGTTTATGAAGGTTTAAAGCCTCATAGAGATTGGTTATCCAAGAATGACTGGCTGAATGTTTATTTGGGCTTACCAGGTAAGAGATTGTTTTTGAATAATTATGAAAGAGCAGGGTTTTCAGGAGCTGAATTGAATCCAGCTGCCCTACCAAGACCTCCACCAACCTTGTTTAAAACTATGGAACCAAAGGAGATTGAAATGATGAAATCTTTTAAAAAGATTCAAATCGAACTAGAGGATATGAGTGCTGGTGATGGTTGGGATTACGTCAAAGATCATTATTCCATGTTGGCTGAGCGTTATCTTGGTTCCTCCGATGTGGATGTTGATGAGTTGATCCCATTAATGACAAATTCAACATTTGGTGGTCAAGAATTACACAAGAGAGATTTCGTCAACCTTGAAGAGAAGGAGCTTCAACGTACTGTTGGTGCTGAATTGAATAACATTTCTCAGATTTTAAACATTCTTGGTGGTGAAGGTACAAAATATGGATTTACAAGTGTTAATGATATAGATTTCAGGTTTGGTGAAGAGTATGAAGGACTGGATCCATATTTCCAAGATTTTGGACCAGATACTAGACCAGACTTCATTATTGAAGACCAAGCTAATAAATCATCCAGTCTCGTTCAGGTGAACGTGAGGAAGAATGACCTTCGTAGATGTTTTCTACAAACATTGTGTCATGGGAGTTATAGACATGAATTTGGATCAAGACATAGATTTCTTCTCATGGTTAAAGAGGCAATGGCTCACATGCTAATTCACAGAAAAGATAGTTTCTTGTTTTCCAATTATTTTTTCAATGTGCTTATTGTGTTGGATTTTGAAAGATGCAGGATGTTGGAAAATGGTGAATATATGGTGAGCTTTAAGTATTTGTATACAGGAAGTGAAGATACTGGGCTGACTATGAGACATTTATTTATGTATTCAATTTTGAGAGAACGTGATTTGTCTACTCAGCAAAGGGAAAGTATCAAAGTAAGATTGGCTCGGGTCTGGAAGGATATCAAAGATCCAAAAAACTCATTACAGCTGGTCAGGGAAAAACTACACAATAAAAGACAAGATATTATAGCTAATTCAGAAACGGCTCCTCTCCATATCAAGCTTCAAAGAGGTGTGTTGCCAATTGAACGTTTGAGGAATGCATATAAACATCTTTCAGAAGTCTACACCGTACCTAAATGTGAGATGTATAAGGTGTTGAAAGGTGATCAGGTTTTAAGTAAAAAGTTTGACTCTTGGGAGAAAAATTATGAACCATGTGTTTTGAAAGTATTAAATGCTAATCCAACTATTGCAAATAAAACTGGGCAATCCATTAAGGATCTTGAGTTCCAAATGTTTACTAAGGAGACAACCGCTTATAAACTCATAGAACATTACAATGCAACAGTTGATGACTCTGAAAAGATCAATACACCAGTCATGTATGTCCATGGAACTCTAGAGATGTTTGAAGCTAATGGCTCGACAAAAGAACCTCGATATTACACGATTTCAAATCTTCGACGAATTTGTTCTCTTGAGAATCTCTCCTCTGCTAATTTTAACTGGTAATCTATGAATTTTTGACGAAGATATCCAACTCCAAAATATAATAATGCTAAAACACTAGAGCTTATGAATACTCTTTTACGATTTCGACGGAAAAAACTTGAAATGCTGCTAAACATTGTGTGCAAAACTTATCTATTCGAGATTGCGCGGGGGGACGTAAACTTTTGATAAAACTCTTGATCAAACTAGGAATGCAGTGATAATGGGATGATGATTATAGGACTGTTATTTGATAGAGTAGTGAGCTAAACTTGGGTTTTCCTGGATAAAGGGTGGATTGGGTGTGCAATAGCGTCGTGTGTTGTGGTTTCTGGTTGTTGATATCTGGATTCCTCAATTTCTCAGTCATCGTCTCTCTCTGGAGAACCAGAAAATTAACATTCGCGATTAATCATGAGAATTCGCGAATTCAATTTTTCGCGAAAGTCTTACCCTCTGTTAAAAGTTGCCAGGGAAACAATTGATAGTGACCCGTAGCTCATTGACAGGATCCTTAATACAATACAGAGCTGGTTAAAACTCTATTGAAACCAACCAAAGAGAACATGAGCAAGAACTACAATTACTTGTTATCAAATCATAATCTATCATCTATTATCTATCATCTATTATCAGTTGTTTTTAGAGGTTCCGAAACAATGAACTCACACACTTTATTCAATTGTCCGTCTCACTAATGTTCAACTTCCCTAACATTTGTTCATGATCAAACCGATCTTTGGAACCAAAGAACTCATCCCTGTCATTTAAATTCTCATCAGTCATATACTTTTTTCGTTCAGTCATTTTTGTGAAGTCAATCAAGTAAACCTTCTGACTAGCTGTCAAAATATTGGATCCATCAATAGCATTATGTTGAATTCCTAGACGATGTAATAACTTTAATTGAGTTTCCAACTTCTCCAAATTTTTGACATCTTTCACTTGGTTGTAATTTGTAATGTATTCTGATCAGACTCAAAAAGATGCACTATATACAATATATGCATTGATTCCTGTGTTGTCTGCACCTATATTTGAGAGTCTACCAGTGGAGGAAATTACCAAATCTTTACAAGCAAGAAGGTTAGAAAAGAAGACTGGTGGTTTAAGTGGTTCTTCAAATCTTGGTGCTAGTTCAATAGGTGATGAAGGATCAAGTACAACAACTGATCAACAACCAGTGGATGCTCAATCACCAAATACCCTGGACAGAAAGACCAAGAATGAGTTATGGAGTGAATTGAAGAGTCAAACTTTAACTAGATTATTAACATTAATCTATTCTAATGCATTATTAATTTTATTCACAAGATTACAATTGAACATTTTAGCAAGAAGGGAATATTTAGAAGATGCTTTGAAAGTTGCTGCAACTAAACATGGGTTCAATGACAGAATTGACATGGTTGATAATACTAGTACAGAAAGTACAAACTATGTTAATGAACAAGCATATCTATCTTATAGTTGGTGGTTATTAAACCGTGGTTGGATCACTATCAGGGAAAGAGTTAAGAATGCAGTTGATGAAGTGTTTGAAGAGATAAATCCTAGAGCTGAACTCTCTTTGGATGATTTCGCAATCTTGATCGGTAGGGCTCAAACATTAATTGAACAAGAGGATGATTCAAATTTCATAAGTTCTGCGTTATTACCTCCATCAAACTTGGAAACATTTGTTGTTCAACAGACCCTTGATGAAGATAATCTATCAAGTTTATCTAAAGATAATTCAATTTTGCGTATTTTGATTGATGAAACCAAAAATTACGTGAATTCGTCATCAAGTCAAATTGTATTAAATTCTTTGATAAATGTTGGTATTACAACTGTATTGAATAATATTGCACTATCATTATCAGCTAAAGATCCAAATCAAGAACCACCAAATGAAATTAAAGTTAAATTAGCCATTCTTTTAGCAAATGTTACTAGAGCATCTAATGATTTCAAAAACACCACGAATTGTGATTACGTGAACAACATGGATAAAGTTCCAGAATTGGATGAATTAAGTGCCAGTGTATATTCCAATTTTGAAATCTAAATTAAATGAGATCAGTAATGTGTTTTTTCAGTGTTGTAGTTTTCTGTTATTTAAGGTGAAAATTATGTAAGCGAGCTACAGAAAAAGTGGATAAAAGTACAAATACACACAACATCACGAGAAACTTGGAAAGGTTTAAACTCGTTTCAACTCAACAATCTTTTGAACAAAGAAGTGGAAAACATTGAATATCGATAAATATAGAGTACGTATCGTCTCAATTATGATTCGGAGGAGTTTTCTTGTGATATTTTGAAGCATTATTACCAGTGGCGCGATATGTCGAAAGCCCTTGTTGAGACGTTTTCACTGAAACTTCTTCCAAAACTTTGACCATTGTACTGTGTACTAACAATTACAGAAATGTCTGAAGTAACAATTATATCCTCTGATAATGAATCTTTTAAAGTTGAAAGAAAAATTGCTGAAAGATCAGTTTTAATCAAAAATATGATTGGTGATTTAGCTAATGATGATGATGATGATTTTGAAATTCCAGTTCCAAATGTTCGTGCTTCAGTCTTGAAAAAAGTTTTAGAATGGGCTACACATCATAAAGATACAAGTTTCCCAGATGATGAAGATGAAGATTCAAGAAAATCTGCACCTGTTGATGAATGGGATAAGGAATTTTTAAAAGTTGATCAAGAAATGTTGTATGAAATCATATTGGCAGCCAATTATCTTAACATCAGACCTTTATTAGATGCTGGTTGTAAAGTTGTTGCTGAAATGATTAGAGGTAAATCACCAGAAGAAATTCGTCGTACATTCAACATTGTTAATGATTTCTCACCAGAAGAGGAAGAAGCCATCAAACGTGAAAATGAATGGGCTGAAGATCGTTAAAATTAGGTGTGTCCATTACTTCCTTTTGTTGAATAACTGATTATGTTCATTGTGTGGTTCCAGATTAATTTTGCGTTTAATGAATTGAATTGAATTGAATTTGATTGTAGCCAGTTACGTGTAGTTTAGTTAAATAACGACCAACAGCAAAATTAACAATCCATTAAAGCCATTAACAATAGCTCAACAATTCAATCCCTTTTCGTAAAACTTTGAACCATTGCTTTGTTACAAATTGCATCAACAGAATTAAGACCGAATAACTAGCAATTCCTTCGGTAGAAACAAAATTTAAAGCTTCCTTGAATTTAAGTTCAGGGCAAAAACAATTTTCACCATCGCAAAACCCTTTCACCACATTAATCAAATTACAACTCATTCAAGCTTCCCAGCGATTGGTTGCCCTCTCAATATTCCAAATTCCACTCGTTAGTCGCTTTCCAACAGCATGCCCTCCTTCAAATTGGGCCGGCGCAATAAGAAGAAGAATGGCTCCGCCAAAGGCAAGGAAACACCAAGTTCCAACGCAGGATCAACCAAGAGCGCTCCAGGACAGTATATGAATGATACTATGATGTCCAATGAAAGCCCCCTGTTTGGCAGGTCCAGGAAGATAAGGCGTACTAGTGATGTTGGGAACAATACGATGCCTGCTCAGTATGGAATGAATGATAATATCAACAATGGTTATTCAAGACCCAAATCTCCAATAATGCCTGAAATAATGTCAATTAAATCACAAAGAAATTCAACGGATCGTTCTATATTTAGAATGAGGTCGAGAAAGGATAAACATTCAGGTGATAATGGTGATTCTGATGGTCAGGCACATTCCTATTCAGATTCTATAAAACAATCCAAATTCAATTCAAATGAGCCAGCTTTGTTAAGTCTCCCACTGGTCAAGAGTGATTCAATGCAACAAGACTCACACTCAAATATATCACAAAACCACTCGAGAAATAGTCTACACGAACCAATTGCAGAATCTTCACCAAATAGCCGACAGAGAAGTTCAGATATTGATACACCAACAGATGTTGAAGCACATATGGCTGCTACTGATTCAACTTTGAAAAATAGACCAAGTATTGTGAATGCAGAAGCTAATTCAAGTGGATTATTTTCATCATTAGTGTCAGCTGCTCATAATGCTGCTTCTCATATTGTTTCATCATCCCGTCAGCCTGAAGAATTTAAATCACATCCTCCAGCTGAACATTCAGAAGCTGAGGGAACTTCATTCATGCAACACTTGGATTCTTTATTATTTTCACAACCGAAAAGAGCATCAAGAGAAGCTTCAGCTGAAAGTCCTACAAAGTCTGGTGCTGATGAAGATGATGATCGTGCTTCCCAAATTAGTAAACCACAATCTTTAGCACATGATGTTGTCTTTCAACCAATTAGAAAAAATGCATTGAGTACACTGGGTAAAGGTGAACTAACATTAGAGGCATTGGGGTTCACAGATGCTTCATTACATTCTGAAAGAAATTCAATCAATCGTGGTTCTATGAATCAAGTTCCTCAAATATCAATTGATGCTCCAGCAGATTCCAAATTGAATCAATCAAATTCCATCAATAGATCTAGACAACTGACTGAAAGTAACGGAGCAACTACAGTAACTAACGGGAATGGTGCAGCAATCACAAAAGTTGTTTCAGGGCCAAGTGCTTTCGCTTCAGATTCAATTCGAGGTTTAGGTGATGATAATAACAACAAGGGAAGATCATCATCTCCAGTTTCAACTTTTAGAAGATCATTATCACCAGGAAACCTGGCCAAGATGGCCAAATCAACAAGTGCAGTCCCTACACAAGATACATTTACCAATGGTTCAGCCAAGAAGCTATCACATCGTCGGAGTGTTAGTTCAGGAACTGAGAATCAAAGTGGGATCAATCAAACTGCAAGTATAGTTTCCGCTGAGACAAATAACAGTACCACACCACCTTATGTTCCACCAATTTCGCCAGCTGAATCATTGGCTGAATTGAAAGATGTGAATTATGCAAGCAGTAAAAGAAATGCAGAATTCCACTCAATGTTTAAGAAAATACCTAAGAATGAAAAATTATTGGAAGATTATAGTTGTGCCCTGCAAAAAGATATTTTGATCCAAGGAAGAATGTACATTACAGAAAGACATATATGTTTCAATTCAAACATTTTAGGGTGGGTTACAAGTATTATAATACCATTACAAGAAATTGTGCAATTGGAAAAGAAATCAATAGCTGGGTTATTCCCCAATAGTATTGTTATTCAAACATTACATCAAAAATATGTATTTGCATCATTTTTAGCAAGAGACGTTACATTTGATTTGATTACAAACATTTGGAATAAATTAGTTCGTGGTCCTAATGGGAATATTGATATGCAAGTTGATCTAGATGATGATTTTAGTGGATCTGATATGGAGTCAGATTTGGATGAAAGTGATGATTATGATTCAAATGATGAATTTGATACAGATTTTGATGGTACTTCAAGTGATGGTGAAGATGAAGATGTGTTGACAAAACATTCACCTACAGAACCTGAGCATAAAGAAGTTAGTGGTGAAACAAAGATTAGACAAGGTAATATAGAAGCTCCATTGACTAAAGTGTTCCAAACGTTATTTGGTGATGATACTTCAAATTATAAAAAAATTATTGAATCTCAAAAGAATAGAGATATTTCCTCGATTCCAAAATTTCAGAAAAATGGTGATGATGTGGCTAAAAGGGAATATACATATATTAAACCATTGAATGGACCTGTTGGACCCAAGGAAACATCATGTCAAGTTGTGGAAACTTTAGATTTTAAAAATTTTGATTCTTATGTTTTAGTTACACAAAATACTAAAACACCAGATGTTCCATCTGGTAATTCATTTTCAGTTCAAACTCAAATATATCTTTCTTGGGGAGGTAACAATTCCACAGATGTAACAGTTTATACAAGTATTCAATGGACTGGTAAAAGTTGGATTAAAAGTGCAATTGAAAAAGGTACAATTGATGGTCAAAAGGAATCCATTGGTATATTGATTGATGAATTGCAAAAAATGCTCTCCTCTAGTGAAGGTGATGATTTATCAGATTCAAGTGATTCAAATAATGTTAGTTCCTTACCTACTGTTGGTCCTGCAACTCATGAACCTACAGATAATGAATATAAGAAAACCAATGGTGAAACACAAATTGCAGATGAAATATTACATGCACCATTAGGTACGATTTATTCTTTATTATTTGGTGATGACTCAACATATTTCAAATCAATATTGGAAACACAAAAAAATTTTGATCTAACTCCTATACCAAATTTTGAAAAAGATGGAGATTTGAAAAAAAGACAATATTCATATACAAAACCATTAAATGGTCCAATTGGTCCTAAGCAAACAAGATGTAATATTACTGAAACTATTGAGCATTTTGATGTCAACAAATATATTCTAGTTTCACAAGTTACAGCATCCCCTGATGTTCCATCGGGCAATGCATTTACTGTTGTTACCAATTTTTATCTTTCATGGGCTGCTAATAATTCTACAAGACTCCTTGTCATTACATCTATTAATTGGACAGGTAAGAGTTGGATTAAAGGCCCTATTGAAAAGGGTACAATTGAAGGACAAAATGAATCTATTGCGGTTTTAATTCATGAAATTGAAACAATTTTGAATAAGGCAAGTTCTGGTAAAAAGGGTAAAAAGAAGACAAAATCAAAAAGTAGATCAAATACAATTAAAGAACCAATCAAGATACCTTCTCAAGAGATGGAGGCTAAAAATCCATTAGGGATGATTGGTAATTTACAAATCCCTTACGCATTTGGTGGATTAATTATTGTTTCAATATTGTTATGGTTTATTGTTAGATTTTTCATGGTTTCTAATAATTCATCATCATATACATCAATTGATCATGTTCAAAAAGTTATTATTGAAGGACGTGAATATATGATCATACCATCAGTGGAGCAATCTTTTAAAGATGATTTATTAAAAGAACAATCTGAATATGAGATTTGGAAATGGATTAATGAACGAACAAAATCTGATAAAATTGATGGAGGTGAGAAAAATCATGAAAATCAAGATTTGAATGAGATGGTGAGATTGGCTGAACAGCATTTACAAGTTTTGAAAAGCCAAATTGCACATGATGAAGAGGAATCATCGTCATCGTCATCATCATCATCATTAACAACTTGACAATATTTTAATTAGAAATGAATTAATGAAGTTTTAGTTTATACTGATTTGTAATTTCTTATGTAATTTTTTCTCTGAGGCTCAAAAAAAAAAAAAATTGTTAACGTCAAAAACTTTTTTAGAGAATAAAAACATCAACATTGATCTATACCAACAACCAGATCAAGTATAGTTATTCATCATGGCAGGGCCTAGACAGAACAGAGAGATCCTTACTGGTGGTAAGAAGTTTGCTCAAAGAAATGCAAAGAAGCATGTTGTGGAAGAAGTTGTGTTTGATAAAGATTCAAGACAGTGAGTATTAATTAGTATCAGTTTTGATTGATTGATCTAACCTTTATTCAGGGATTATCTTACAGGATTCCATAAAAGAAAATTGGAACGTCAAAAGAAAGCTCAAGAGTTTCATAAGGAGCAAGATAGATTAGCCAAGATTGAAGAGCGTAAAAAGGCTAAATTGGAGAAACAAAAAGAGATGGCTGCTCAATTGGAAAAATTTCAAAAATCTATGAAGGAGTTGAGTGGACAATATGAGACATCTGATGAGGAGGATGATGGAGATGAAGATGAGGATAAGAAAATCGATGTTGAAGAAGAGTATGAAGAATGGGATGGATTTCAAGAAGGTGAAGAAGATCATAATGAATCCAAATCTAAAGGGATTTTGAAAAGAATTTATGCAGCAAATATAGGGGGATCAGATGAAGACGGTACAGAAGTGACAATAGAGGATGTTGAATTTAATAATAATCTTGAAGAAATTGCTAAATTAAATTATGTTAATTTACAAAAATCTCAAAAAATCTTGGAGGAGAGTATAGATCGTGCTAAAAAATATGCAGTTATTGCAGGAGCTGCACCAAAGAAGAGTATACAAAAGAAGAAGAAATTCCGTTATTTGACTAAAAGTGAACGTCGTGCTAATAATCGTAAGGCTATTGATAAAAAGAAGAAATCAAGAAATAGAGATTGATGGGGGAAAAATTTTGCATTTTGTATAATAATAATCTACATGTCTGAAGTGAGTGGGATGTAATTTCCTTAATGCTATCATATGCTAATCTTTTAATGAATCCAATTCAATTGAATCATGATCTTTTCTATATTCTAATGGGTTCATATTGATAAAATCCACTTCAACTTTAATGAAAACCCAAATCCATCTTCTAAAAATTTCAATAGTTTGTAAACAATATAATCCAAATTCAGTTGTATATAAACAACTTAAAAAATTCCAAAACAAGTTGGCATTTTCATATTTTGGTGAAAATTTTAATACCCAAATATATCTAAATTGGAAATCTAACAAGATTGCAATATAATAAAACAGTTTAAAATCATAATGTAATTTCAATCTTAATACACCATGATCATTCTTCCCATATATGAATTTTTGGAAGAATTTCAAATCCCAATCATTATTAACATCCCATATGAATGAATAAGTTGAATTGATTAAAGATGCAAGGACCCAAATTTTAGTTAATTTATCAGTTTTCTTAATCTTGATAATCAATGATATGATCAAGATCGGAATATTTGTTGAATATTTTATGAAATTTAATAAATGTGTCTTGTTTCTTTGATTTGAAATTTTATATTCAATAAAACATTGTCTTAATCTGATTAAAGTTGGAATAACACCAACTAGAGATTCCAATAATATTGAATCACCACATGATCTATTTATAGTGGACCCTTTGGATTTAGGTAAACAAGTTTCAAAATTGATAATATGACACATATAAATTGCAAAATCAATTAATATTTTAGAGTATGAAGTTAATGTATCACTCAACAAAATATCATTTGTTCTTATTGATTGATCAATATTACCTTTCAATATCCTTTTAAAACTTGATAATAATCTTTTCGAACCAAGATTATTTGGCTTCAACAATGTATAAAAAATTGCCATAATGGTTAATAAAGGTAAAAAATCAAAAATTGTTAATGATTCAATATTTTGATCATGAAACAATGTAAAAATGATATAACTTGTGACGAATAATAACGAGATGTTGATACTTGATTTTTCATGGTTATGCATTATTTGAGCTATGGTTAAATTTGTGGATGTGGGTGATTCATCAATTTTCAATAAACTTGTGATATTAATACCCACATTATTTGATATTTTCAATGTTAGGAGCCATAACCAGGACCCTAATACTATTAGCGAGATGACTCTGTAGGGCAAGGGCAGGATGTTGTCAAAGATGTCCGTTTCCTGTGGCATGATTAATGAATTGGTTAATTAATTGTTATTTAATTGTTTTAATGTTTTCATTTCATTTTGTTTGTTGACGTTTTCGAAAATTTCATTCTCGATGATTTTTACAAAACGAATTCGCGGATCGCTACCTTAAAATAGATTGGATTAAATTAATTGTATTTAATTCTATTAATTTAGCATTATTATGGCGTATAGTACAGCTGAGTGGTATTCTGGCACTGGGTTATCTCATGAGGGGTTTTTTCCGTTTGAAAAATGGGTATTTTTGGGGTAAACCAACGAATAATTAGTCAATAAGTTGATCAATTATTGTAGAATTGAATTGAATTAAATTAAATGAATGTGCTTATGGTCATTATGGTCATTAAAATGGACTCTCCTTTAAACTAGCTTAGTGAATGGCATTAAATAGCAACAACTTGAACAATATTATCATCAACATTAATAGCATTAAAAACATACAGACGAACTGAACAATGCAAACCCTCTCGTTAAATGCAGCTAAGTTAATCATCACTTTTCGTCCCCCTCTATGTTCATCTCTTTCAAGATATCAGCCATCCTCAGCTGTCTCTGGTCTGCAATCATCGTTATTAAACCTAGGGCAACATCTTTTAATTCATTATACTTCTTGAGTCCCAGGATATGAGCCTTGACTATTTCTTCTGGATCCAATTGAGTCTGGTGTCTATTAAACAGTTAGTAGTAGTCAATAATTAACTAAATACAACACTCACTCCAATTCCAATATCAAATTAGCTGATTCTGCTTGTAACTCCTCCAATTCTTTTGATTTCGTGTTGATTCTTTCTTGGATGGCTTTAGGCGACGTTGCTGACTGGCTTCTTGCTCTGTACATTGACACTAATAGTAATAATAGTACTAGTAATTATTTAATTCCATTAAATTTAAAAGGGATGATGGTTTTAATTTAATTGTGAAAATTGAAATGTACTTGAAAAAAAGACATCACCAGTGAAAATCATCAAAATAGCTTTAAACGGAAAAACATACACAAAAAACAAGATGAAATTGCAGGAAAAAGAAGAGAGAGTTGAGAGGGAGTTAGAAAGGGATTAGGATGAAGTTATTGTTCTTTTTTCTAGTTGTTTCCTCCATTTTTCTACATTCTTTTAGCTTAAATCTACGATTATTCTAAGAGGCTTTGCTGAGTTACGCGAATCAAATGTCAATTGATATACAATTTAAATAAAATTAAATAAAGAAATTAAAGGCTTCAGAGTCAAGTATAAAACTTTCTTTGTATAATCAGAGGTTATTCATGATTAGCATGGAGAATTTCATCATCACGAGCCATTTTATTAAATGATAAATATTCATCTAGAAGATTAGTTAGTTGATGCTTTAATTAATTTTCAATCAAAGTACATCTCTTTTAGATCAGAATTTTCAGTGTTTGGCATGAATCGAATCGATCATATTGTAAACGATAATCTGTTTGGGGCGACAAGGTGTCATCATGTAAAAGAGGTGTATTATTGGATTTGAGGTGGTGACTTACCAATTTGTTCTCAAATGAAGATGAATATTAATCATTTAATCAGTTAATTAGTTAGTCAACAACAATATAATTCCAATAATCTAATTCCAATAATCAATATTCATTCAATTAGTTCATAATCAATTCATAATTAATTCATTATTTTCTCAATTCATTAAATAATTTCAAGTTTAAACCAAATGAAAATTTTTCAACCAAATTTATTCTGGCTGGTGTCTGGATGTTTTGGATTTATTTGTTTTCTTTTCAAAGGCAAAAACAATTGAATAAAATTAGGGCATAAAATTGATAAGATTTAAATAATTGGATTAATTAGATATTAATTAGATATTAATTAGCTATTCATCTATTAATCATCTGATTAATATGTCACAAAATCAACCAAAATCACCCCAGACAATCAAATACATCCCAGCAAACAACAATTCAACCCATTCTAATTTCAAAGTTAAACACCTATTTGACCTAAACAACCCTTTAAAATCATACCATTCTCCATTAGCAGTCATTGCCCATATCGATGTCAATGCCTTCTTTGCCCAAGTGGAACAACTACGACTGGGCCTAAGCACCGATGATGCTGTTGTTTGTGTCCAATGGCAAAGTATAATTGCAGTTTCTTATAAGGCTAGAGAATATGGAATAAGTAGAATGGATACTTTGGAGACTGCTAAATTGAAATGTCCCGTGCTGAAACCTATACATACGGCTGTCTTTAGGAAAGGTGAGAATTTTTGGAGATATCATGATGATGATGAACATTTCCCAGATCCTAAACATCATAAAGTTAGTTTGGATCCTTATAGACGAGAATCAAGGAAGATTATAAATATTTTTAAGAAAAATTGTGATTTGGTGGAGAAGGCTAGTGTTGATGAAAGTTTTATGGATTTTGGTAGATTAATTATACAAAAAATTTTTAAAATGTTGCCAGATTTACAACAAGATATTTTAAAATTGGATAAAGATCATTATTTACCATTGATACCCAAAGATTTCCAATTGGAAACATTTGGTGAAATTATCCCATCGGATTTTGATAATAATGATGAGTTCATCATTAATGATTGGGATGATGTCTTTATGATAATTGGTTCTATTATAGCATTTGATATAAGGAAACAAGTACAAGATGAATTGGGGTATACAACTTCTGCTGGAGTAGGTAGAGTTAAAACAATTGCTAAATTAGCTTCAGGTTTTATGAAGCCTGATAATCAAACAATTGTGAGAAATTCCTCGATAAATAATTTTCTGAAAAATTTTGATTTTACAGATTTTTGGTCAATGGGTGGTAAAACTGGTGATTTTATAAAAGAGAAATTATCACCACCTTTCGAAGATTCAATTAAATTCATTAGAGAAAATTATGATATTCATGAATTACAAGATTATTTAATTGATAAACAATTGGCTGAAAAATTATATAAAATGATTAGAGGTGAATATTATTCTCCATTATCTGAACGGATCGTTTTAAAATCAATGAATTCTAATAAAAACATTAGAGGTGTTGATTCAGTGACAAAATTAGATGATGCTATAAAATGGATAAAAGTTTTCGCTGCTGATTTATTTCAAAGATTAGTGGAAACTGATGATGAAAATGGTTATAGAACAAGACCCAAGACAATCTCAATCCATTTTAGATCTATAAAAGATTTTAAAACTCCTCATTCAAAACAAAGCACACTGCCTATTGTGCCCAAGGAGGAATTAGAATCAACTTTATATAAATATGGTGTTAATTTATTGAAAATGTCGGAATCTCAATATGGGAAAATTTATCCATTACAAAATATCAACATGACCATAAGTAATTTTGAAATTGTGGATAATAATAGTTCAAATAGTATTTTAAATTTCACTAAAAAGGGGAATGTTGATGATTTATTTGCAAAGCAAATTGAAGAGAAAGAATTTGCAAAGCAAACCCAACAACAAAAAGGTAATGATCAAGTGAAGCAAGAATCTCCCAAGGTTGAATCACCAGGCCCACCTGAACAATTTCAATTATTAGATAATGGATTATTCAAATGCTTGAAATGTAATCAAGAAATTAATGATCAAATTGAACATATAGATTTCCATTATGCAATTGAATTAACTGAAGCTTTAAACGGTTCAAATAGTTTATCATCAGATTTACAAAAATTTTCAAATAATTCAAAATCTTATGGTGAGAAGAGATTAAATTCTAAAAAAAGAGAAGTATCAAAGAAATCCAATAAACTTGATCAAAATAAAAAGACAAAATTTGATAAATCTCAATCAAAATTACCATTTTAATAATATTGTTTAAATTACATTAATGAATGAATGAATATTTATTATATCAATATGTACAGTAATAATTATTTACATCTTTATACAATGGTGCTATCACCGGTAATATGATATTCGACACGGCTAATCATGTGTCATTCCACTAGTCTCACCAGGGTTTAGCCAAAGTGCTATAACCCAATTCTAACATGAAGCTAATGACCTTCTCAATTAATTATCAAATTATAACGAATGTGTGATTTTCTCAAAAATGAATGTATATGACCCGGGCATAACCAATAAACTAATCAGTACCAACCCCCTGATCCAAAATGAAAGTGACTCCAAATCTTTCCCTCAATACCATTTCAACTCTTTTTAGCATTTTTTGCTAACTTATTTCTTGCAAATTGTGAAGCATATTTATTTGTTGTTGGATTCCCTGCAAATTTTTTAGAAACTATGAAATCTGAAGCTATTAAAAAAACTGGACAAAGTACCCAGAACCCACTAGTGCCTTTCATTATTAAAACCTTGATCTTATGAAAATATCAATCAATTTTATTGTTGTTTGATCAAATTAACTCAAAATATACAAAAAGTAACATGATGATGATCCTTTTTTTTGCTATAAATTTTTTTTTAATTTGCGTGTTTGTGTCGCGTAACGAAAATTCTGGAGTCCATCCTTAGTGACACGGGTGATTTGGGCAGATTACTTTTAATTAAAGAATTTAACTGATTAATGAATAAATTAATTGATTAATAAATAAATAAAATACAGATATTAAACCTTCTCTTCCTTTTCCTTATTATTAGCTTCACTTTCAGGATTCTCCTTAAGCTCCTCTTCCTCGTCTCTATCCTTTTGATCAGTTTTAGACACCAAACCACGATCTCTAATTAACCATGAAAGAATAAAACATAATCCAACAACTGGTGCCCAAAATGTGAATATATCTTTACAACATTTCATATATAAATCTCTTATATATTCATGTTGTTCATCATTTATCGAGATTTGTGAATAGTCAATCTTTGCATAAACATGTTGTTGTAAATATTTTTTCAACGTTGCATTATCTGATTGATTTATAAATGAATCATTTTGTAATTTTTTAGTAAAAGTTGTTGAGAAAATCAAAGCACTGAAGGCAAGACCAAATGAACCTCCAAATGACCTAAGAACATTTCTTGTAGATATGACAACTGCTCTATCTTGACTTCTTGAATGTGCTAAAGCTGCAACCAAAGTATTTTGAAATGTCATACCTTGTCCTAATCCATTAACAACCATTATGAATGCAACTCCAACCAAATTCGTATTTTTAGCTAATGCACCAGCTAATAATGATAACGCCAATGTCCAAAGTGCAAAACCTGTCCATAGAGTTGGATTATAATGTTTTGTCCATGAAACAAATCTCCCCGAGATTGCAGAAATTGTGGAATGTGGTCCAACAACACATAATGAATAACAAGCTGTTATTAAAACCGATTTATTTCTAACAACTTCAAAATAATAGGCATAATAATAAAATAATGGATAAAATGCAACTCCTGAGAAAAAACTTTGTGCAAATATAATTGCTAATGAAGTTGATCTGAAAACTCTAAATGGTACTAATGGTAATTTAGCAATCCACATTTCTGTAATGAAAAATCCAATAAATGAAACACCACCAATTACAAACATTATAATAACTTTTGGTTCATTCCATTTAAAAGTTAATCCACCACCATTTATAGGAATTAAAATTAATATTAATCCAATAGCACCGAAAACCCAACCTAAATAATCAATGTTTTTCAATTTTTCCCTTGTACTTATTGGAGATTTTGAATTTGGTATGAATATTATAATAATTGAAGAACTTGCCACAATTAAAGCAAATAAAGTATAATAATAATTTCTCCAATTACTATGTTGCACAAAAGCAGAAGCTAATAAAGGCCCCACACCATTCCCAATACCAATAAACGCAGTTAAATAACCTTGATATTTCCCACGATCTTCTAATTTAACATGATCACTCATAACAACCATAACTAATGACATTACGCTACCATTAGCCACACCACATAATGCTCTAAATATAAAGAATTGTACATCAGTTTGAGCTAATCCACAGGCAAGATCGAAAAATCCCAACATTAAAATCATAAATACTAAAACATTTTTACGACCAAAAATATCAGCAAACCGGCCACATAATAATTGGAAACAACAATTTGCAATCAATTGTGAAGTACCTGCCCAACTTATTGTTAGTTGAGCGTTTAAATCATTAGCAATGAAAGGTAAGACAACAGAAATACCATTTTGATCAATAAATGCAAACATTAATGACATGGACATTGCACATAGTACAACTCTAATCTTTGCAGGACTTAATTGATTATTATGAGAATCTCCAAGTTTCTTACCAATTGAAGTATTTGTGATTTGATGTGTCACTGGAGATGTTGTGTCATTAGCTTGAGCTAGGGCTATTGGATCTTGAGCTGCATCATGTTGATGTTGACTATCAACTTGTGAAGTTGTCACACTTTCTAAACTTGTTCTGTGGGACATTATTGATGATGAAATCCATACATTAGGGGTCTCTTCAATAAAGGTTTATCAAGCATATATATATAAAGACAATCACTAGAACATCATCAACTCTTTCCATCAAAAGGAGCCGTTAACTGATGGGTTTAATACCTTTTGAATGATTCTTTTCATGAAGTTACATTTTCTTGAGTCGGCCACGATAAAAAAATTCCGATCGCGGCATTCGGAGGTGAGTTACCAAAAGGGACATAGCGCCGGAGAGCCAAAAACGTTGGAAAAAGGCTAAATTTATGACAAAAAATAAGAGAGATATTGATTATCTGAATAAAGATTAAAGTTATTATTGATATTAGATTGAGTATATAAAATAATAACCTAGTGTTTAATTAGAGTTCTGTGCTTGAATTTCAACGTTTCCATCAGTTTTCAAGGGTTCAAATAGTGCGGAACCGAGTTTTGAGTATCTCCACTCCAAACAACTGACAATTGATCAAGATTTAAGTGCGAGAATGGCTTATGAATAGTTTATAGAGGATCATCATGAGGCTTTAGTATGAGAATTGGCCAATAAAAGATGTAGAGATGGTGATCAGTGATTGAGTTGAATATTTTGATGGCTTTAGTACTAAGGAACAGAATGAGCTAATAGCTGTAGATATTTCAGGAAACGAACGTTAAAGATTGGTTTTGGATGAATCAGTTTAATTTACTGACTTACGTAAATCCAAGCTTTCAATATTGCTCTACGATTTCAAAAGCTTGAACGTCTGTCAAGATTCTTATTATAAACAGTAGATTTAATCACTTTAACGGCCCTAAGCGCCAAATACACGTACATATTTGGGTTCGCGAAATTCAGACAATACACATCAAACCTTTGAATAACTGGTGGAAAAGTTGTGGAAAAATCACTCAAACAATTAAAAACTTCTCCAATTTTATGATGAACTAGTTTTCTTATGTCAAACTGGGTATTCAAATAAATATTAAATTTTGGTATTTTAATTTGTTTGAGAAATTGAGTCGAAATCTCTTAAGGCTACCTTGTAAAACTCAAAAATTTGCAGGTACAAAAGTTCCTTCAAAATGACTAAAAAAGGTATCCAGCTAATAAAATTAAGCCAAAATAACATAATACACTATTAATCAAATTTGTTATCATTCAACTTCTCACTTTTAATGTAAATTAAAATGATTTGAATTTGCAAAACGAGTTCGCGAAGGAGAGAAAAATCCGTTCGCACACAGGATTCTTTTCAATTTTCAGGAGTTCAAAATTGATTAAAACAACTCATAATTCAATAACCAAATAAACAACAATCATCAATTTAAATCAATCATTGAGGGAAAGATCAATATGTTGAAGAATATCAAAACCTCATCAACTTTGAGAGCAGTCTCTTTGAGCCCAAAAAGAGCATTTTCTCAATACAAACCAACAAGAAATGAGCATCATGATCATGACCATCATCACGGAGAGACACTTAATGAGGAAGAAAAACTCTCAAGTTCATACATTTACGGATTTATCGCCACTGGTGCAGTAGTTGCGTATTGGGCAATTAATCAAAGCTATGCTAAATCACATAATGGTGAATCATTAACATCTAAAATCTTGACACCTGTTAAGCAAAAAGAAGAATTAATCGAAGATATGAAGGTTTATAATGAAAAACTTAAAAAATCTTCAGATCTAAGAGATGCAATGTCAATTCCTGCTCCTAATAAATTGTTTCATGAATTCACTTCAATGCAAGTTATCCCATCTGGCTCTCCTTCAAATTATGTTCCTGGTTCACAATTAGATCTTGATAATATTGGTCCAAGAAGACAAAAAAAGAGCATTTTTGATTAGAATTTCAATACTTATTTATTCATCTATTTATTTACTTATTTATTATTTATTATTATTAACTATCCATATTTGAGATTAGTTGAAATTTATTTATTCCAATACATGTTTATTACATAGTATCCCCCCTGGTGTAAGTGATTTAAAGAGAATTTTCAAAATGGTGGAGGGTTTAAAAAGAGATTAAATCATCTCATATTTTGGTTAAGAATGTTTTTTTTATTTTTTTTCTTGAGTTGGTGTTATTGTTTGAATTTTTTTTGGTTTTGCTGGAGATGTCACAAAAGTGAAAAATGCATCAAAGATACAGTTTTTGAGTGAAAAAAAAAATTCATAATATGGAGAGCTTGGTTAATATTCTCTTTGAGTCGTACTCATTAGTTTCATATATAAAGTTGAGGAAACATCAATTGTCAATTAAGTTCCATCATATTAGAATGAACTATTGATCATCAAATGTCTGTTGATAATACCATCAAAGCTTCAAAAGCATCAAGCTTTACACATCATCCAAATTCAGCCATTCATACTGATATCGCTAACAACTCATTTGTTCTGGGTCCTATCAATTCATTGACCGATGGTGAGGAAGAGAGTGCTGATTTTAGTTTTGAAACTTTTAAAAGTCAAATCCCATTCACCGTGATTAATAACATTGTTTCAAGTGATTTGGCACTAAATGGAGAATTGATTACTGATCGTTCCATTTCATCAAGTTCTGATTCAACTGATTTAACTATATCACAAGATGGTTCTTTACTGTTGAATAAAGATGGAAATCATCAAACTCCTCTGTTTTCGGAAAATTTTGAAATTGTCAAGAATTCTACAACTATATATGCTACAGATGTTGATTCTCAAACTGGTGGTGATGTTTTAAGTTTGATTAGTGGGACTACAATTTCTCAACTTTTAAATTTGGATACAATAGCTACTGAATCAAATATTTCAAGTGCTATTAAAAAAGCTGAAATTGGGAAATCTATATCAGTGAAGGATGATAACTCATCCAAGATTAATAGGGGTTCAACGGTACAAGAGGTTGAATGTATGAATGTTGGTTCTTCGAAAATTTTGGAGAATAATGAAATAAAAGTTGAATCAATTGAACCTTCAAAACAGAATGATAAACAAGTTATGGATATCAAATCAGTTGTAATGAGTTCAAAAGGTGTTGCTCAACTGTTTTTCATTTCAATGATCAAATTTGCTAAAGGTTCTCCAGTTAAATTTGTTACTGCTAAACAACTTGAAAAACAGATTGATGATGAAGTGCAAAGAGTTTTTTATATCAAGTATCAAATGAATGCATTCTCTAGTATTAAATCCTTCTTCACTCAAAGAAAACCTGGAGAGGATCAATTTTATAAAAAAGCTGTGCATTCATTATTTAAAAAATTGACTATAATTTATTCAAATCAAAAACTATATTATGATGTCAATCAAAGAGGAATGACACCAATTGATGTTTATAAATTTAGAACTTGGAGACATGATGAATATGTTGGTGTTAATGATTCAAGATATGGTCGAGTTCTGAAAGGTGATGGTTGGCATAGTACTTGGTTACCTCCATTCCATGATTTTAAAATTATTACAAATCGTTCAAGTTTTTCATGGAGTAGAGATTTATTTAAACCAATTGTTGTTTTCCCTAAATTGAGATTTCTTGTTAAAAATGAAGATCCTGATACTTTGGTTAATTATTATGGGTTATTATTAGATGTTTTAGATTCACAAGTTTTTGAATCCAAAAAACTTAAATATAAATCATTGAATGCTTCAAATTTAGGTGAAGTTTTAGCATCTAGACCAACTGGTAATATTAAAAAACTGAGTAAAATTATATGGATTGAACTTAGAGAATATGTTTATAATCATCATGAATGTATTCAATATAGACGTTCAGATATTTTGGGAGCTGAAGAACCAATTAAAGAAAAGTTTGTCAAGATTGTTGATTGTGCTATAAATGGTTATATTGAAGCTTTTAATTACCTTGATGGATTTTCCACTTTATCAAAACATGGTTCAAATGAAATTTATGTTAAAATTTTTGAATTTTATAAGAATTGTCCTATTGTGGATCTTGGGTTTTATTTATTACAAGATTGTACACCTGAAATACTTGATAGGAAATTGTTTAAATTGAGATTGGAGGGTAGAACAGGTTTGGAAATTTTAGAAATTGTTATACAAAAAAATTTATCAAAATTGGATTCAATGACTTTGGGTTTTTTAAGATTGATGGTTGCATTTATTGGAAGTCCATATATTACTAAATTTATATTGAGAAGGTTGATGTATTGGGGTGATAATGTTGCAATGGATCCTTTAACTTATGTTCAAAATTTTAATTGGTTTAAAGATCCTCAGGATTTTTATCAATTGATTTCCAAAACAGTTCGAGATGATGCTGTTTCGTTTATTGAAAAGAGAATGATTCACCATAATTAATCTCATTTTTAATTACAATTATAGAGTTTTATTTAAAAGTTGAATTGTAGTTAATTGGTTTGTAGTTGATGATTATTAAGCATTATACACAATGCTGAGTCATCTTTTTCTTTAAGGTATGAAAAATCTGGAGACATAAATGTTCAACTTTACGGTTTCAAGTGTAATGATTTCTCAATTGAAAACGGTTTTAGGAAATCCAAATAATAGGAAAACAATGACTGAATGGTTAGTTGTTGTCTATGATAGACCAGGATCTGTAAGTTTCACCTCAATTGAGATAGATAGAGTCAGTTCTAACTTCCTTGTCAAGGATAGATCAAAATTTCGTCCACAACATTTAGAAGCAATTCCAAAACAAGTTGCCAATGGTAAAATTACCAATGCTGGTGCAATTTTCCATGAAGTGCCAAAAGAAGGTCAACCATTAAAATTCGCAGGATCCTCATTAAATGTTGTTGCAGATTCAAAAGAGGAAGTTTTGGAAATTTTAAAACAAGATATTTTCGCAAAGGAAAACATTTGGGATGTTGAAAATGCATTGATTTATCCATATGGAGTTGCTGTTCGTGTTGCTAAATAATGAATATATATATGTTTATTACAATATGATCTATGGAAGTTAACTGAAATCTGAAGGTTTGACATCTCTCCAGTATTGTAAAATATAATCCAAATTTTCTGGATGATATTGAGGATACCATTCTCTAATAACCTTCATTAATTCATCAAATAAGATTCTGTAACCTTCACCAGTGTAATGAACACCGTCTAATAAAAGATTTTTCCAATCTCCTTTATAATTATCAAATAATGTATATAAATCAATGAATGGGACATTTTCCTCAGATGCTAAAGCTTTCAAAGCTTCAGAATATCTCTTATTATTTTCATTAGTTCTAACAAGTCCCATTGCAATATCAGCTTCTCTTGATGGAGCCCATTTATCATAATCATGTTTAGCAACACCAATTAAAATTGGTTTTATACCATTTGCTTTGAATAGTTCCAAGAAATATCTACTATTCTCAATATATCTCTCTAGGGGAACAATTTGTGGACCACCCAATACAGAATCATTAGTACCAAAGAATATAGTTCCCAACAAGATCTTTGAATCTGGACGATGCTCATTCTCAATAATCTTTGGCAAGATTTTTCTAGCCCATTCAGTATTATAACCTGCATAACCTCTTTGAACAACGTCTAATCTTCTTGTATATGCTAGAGGAGGTTAGTAAGATGATTAAGGGAATATCTTTTTCAACTACTCACCATTTTGTAAAGCTGCACCGAATCCAAATTGAACATGTTCATATCCTAAGGGATAAGGATTGTATGAGAATTCAGTTATTGAATCACCAAAGATAAGGAATTTATTGTATTTTAAATCAGAGATCATTTAATTTGATGGGTATTAGTGATGGAATTGAATCAATTGAATTGTGGTTTATGGAATGGGGATTAATTGAAAGGGTCTTTGAAAAGGTCTTTGGAAAGGTCTTTGAATTCGCAATGAATTTTCGATTTTCCTGAAAGCAAAACTGAGTAGATGGTTTCCTTTAAAGGTGAAAAGATGTTCAATGCTTTGATAGTTGATTTGAAATAAAATCGTTTATAATCAAATTCAAAATTGAATTCACTTTTATCAAGTTTTTTTTTTCAAAACGGCAAAGTTCTTATTGTTGTTGGCCCCGAGTTTATATAGAGTTGCTCTTAATGTAATAGCCACGAATTAAAAGATTGTAAACGTCAGTTTTCTTTACGATTCTAATGAATTCTATAGTGGATTTTTAACTATTTTAGCATCTTGAAAGTATTCGAGAAGCTTGGTGAGCATTCAGTTTTCTTTTTTTGCAATAAGATTTCCATCGAGGTATGGCCTAATTGTGTCAAACTCAAATATTTGGAAACCGTTAGATTCAAGACACTTTTGAACTAGAACAAGTCGATCCTTTGAATTCACATATAAAGATCGTCTTTTTAAATGTATATAGTTCATTTGATAATTTCATCATCACTCGATTACTTCAGTCGTCTGACTCGTTCAGCTCAACAACTACGTCATCTGATTTCAACAGAGAATAGAAGATCATGAACGAACAAGATTTCGCATATTAATTATTTTCATGGTTTAATCACTTATTCAACATGTAAACCATGGCCTTTAAATCAAGCCAAGCTTCCTTTCCCATCCTACAATCTTCTCCAAAAAAAAAGTTTCACTCTATTTCATTTAAAATTAACAGATGTTGGGTATAAATTAACAACAACTTGTAAACCAATTGGTCAACTTATTATTTTTTGTTTTCTTGTTCATAAATCTTCTCAACAAACTCACCATAGTCATCATCATAGGTATCGAATTTAGAATCCAACACTAATTAAATAATCAGCCAATTTTTCCACAATAGTAGTAGCTTCACCAGCTTGAACACCAGCAGGATAATGACCAATCAATATAGTTTGTTTAGTTCTAACAGTGACAACACCTTCAGCATCATGTTTACCATAAATACTACGTTCATCATTTCTAATCAAGAAATATTTTTGACCTTGTAAATGTAAACCATTAGCTTGTAAACCTGATGGATCATCATAACCTCTAGCCAATTCTGAAATTTCTGGACCAGATAATGTTAAGTTATTTGATTGGGCCCAAACTGAATCACCAGCTCTTGAATAAATTGCAGCTTTATCAATTTTACCTGTAGAGATCAAGTTATCGGTATATGCTTAATAAAAAGGGTTAGTATTCTTCAATTCATGTTTTTCTTCCAAGGCACACAGCCTCAATTGACTTTAGACATACCTTGCCAGGACATGATTAATCTTTAAATTACTATAAATAACCTTTTTGAAAAGATTGAATGTATAATGAAATCTTTTGTAAAAGAATGTAAATTCCCTTTATTTAAACTTGTTCTCTTTTGCCCAAAAATCTGTTGTTTTGGTTGCTGTTGCGCGAACCAGAGAAATTCCAAGTAGGGTTACACGGTAGAGGCAGCAAACATAAATAACCATGACAACGGTTAAATCAAATACAAAACTACAATTGTGTAATTAATTCATAAACCTTTTTTTTATTGTACAATGTTGATTATTTGATTGCTTTAATGATGGATTGATTGTCTATTCATCATCTTCATCCGACTCTATCACTCTTCTCTTCTTACGAGCTTTAGCTGTGCCATCTTCATCATCTTCATCTTCACCTTCGTCACCATCTTCTTCATCATCATCTTCATCTTCATTATTATACTTAGCTGCACCTTCATTCTTCACTCTTCTTAATCTTTCAGCAGCCTCTAAATCATCCTCTTCATCGTCTTCTTCAACATCTTCATCATCATCAACCATAAATGCATCTTCTTCATATTCATCTCTAATTCTTGGTTGAGCATAATAAGATTCTCTTGTAGCTCTTTGGCCTGGTCTTGGAGTACTATCACTATCATATTTTTCATTTTCTTTTCTTTCTTTCAATTCTTTTCTTCTTCTTTCTCTAATCAATTGTTCTTGTTGTCTTTCTAAAGCTCTAGCTTCTTCTTCTGGATCTTTATCAACATAAACACTTTGAGCACCAGGCTTTGTCTGCTGTCTTGCTTGAATTGCAGTTGTTAATTTCTTGTGTATCTTGGAATTTGTTGAAGTTGGTACAATCTTCATTGAATTTGTGAAAATACCATCAGTTGTTAATAAACCAGATTCTTCACTATAAGTTGCAAGAAAAGTATCTGTAAGTTGACTTTGAATAACATCAAAATATTCATCTCCTAATTTTAACGATAATGAACCATCAGACCATTCAACAACTTGAGCATTTGATTCATTTATCAATTCACCATTTGAATCTTTTGCATATCTCCATCTTAGGGTATTTTCAGCTTTTAATCTATTCAATTCAATTTCATCTTTTGTTAAAGTTTTAGAATCTTCAACCAATTGTTCTAAATAAGCTTTCCCTTCAAATCTTGTTGGATCAACTTCTAAAAAATTTGGAATTTTAGCATCATATAATTTCCCATCTTCATGATGAAATTTTGGTGGATGACGTACAACATCAAGATTTATACTTCTTAGTTCTCTTTGTGGTTTGGTCTCATCAACTGCAAACTCCATTCCATCGTTTCTTCTGAAATCATCTTCATCTTCTTCATCCTCCACTATACCATTTTCATCTGCAGGTCTTGAATCAATAGCTTTATCTTCTTCTTCATCATCGTCATCTCCGAAAAGATTATCCATATCTCCTTCTTCCTCTTCTTCTTCATTTGTATTACCTGGTTGAGGGGATGGTGCACTATCTTCAGGCTTTGATTGAGGTTGTTCATCCTCATGTTGTTGTTGTTCTTCGGTGTTGTTGTCATTATTCACTGGGATATCATCTTCCTCATCCGATTCAATTCTGAACTTCTTTCTCTTGTTATCCATGGCTGATATGAGTTATCAATTAAAAAAAAGCAACAAAGAACTCAACTTCTTTCTAATCTAAAGCCTTAATCAAAATCTTTTGATTATTTCGATTCAAATTGTTCTTTCAAATTGAAAAAGTCAAAGAAATTAATCAAATTCGCGAAAGCTTGAGCTTCCGGGTAAAAAGCGCGAAATAATTTCAAATTAAATAACACGAAAAGTTTGTTTGACCGTGTACGTCTTGAATTTAAAAGAATTTGGAAATCAGTCTACGTTTTGGTATTTGTCTTTTCAAGTTCCAGAATGCTCTCAACCATCATGGTAGTTTTCGTATGATTGTATACGGTCTGTGTCATAAGGAGTCGAAATCATCTGATACATGCCAGAGGTCACTTGACTTCTGAAATATAAACTTCCCTTGACTCTTTTACAAAGGTACATTGATTTGATGATTCAGAATTTTATACTGTAATCGAGTGTTTTGTGTCTCTATATTGCGGACAACATGAACGAAATGATATTTGAGTGATTTCAAATTCTGTTCTATGTTGAAATTGTCCAATACAATGTTTTTTACCTCCAACCAGATCGTTTTGAGCATGTAGACCAAGATGAATATTATAGACATATTTTTCCTTGTTCTCTGAGCTACACAAATACATTGTATATAGTCCATTCAGAATTGAGTGGTTGAATCACTGGGGTTGCCAGTATCAAAACGGTCTTTATGGCTTTTGCACACAGAAATGCATAGCCAACACAAAGCCAACAAATGTCAAATACAGATACTTAAAAAAGAGATCTTGGTTCAATGCTCAATATTTGAACTTCGAAACTGATGAAAAACACTTTTGCTAACTAAAAAAAATACTTGATGTTAATCTTTGGCAGACATTTCAAAACAAACAACATCATTTTCTCCATTGTGTCAATTTTAATACTTTTCCAATTCTTCTTCATCTTTCCAAGAATCATTCTACCAAACAACAAATCCATAATGTTTTTCAAAAAAATCAAAAATGCATTCCAAAATGAACCTCAACATCCATTGATACTTGAAAGTGGAGTTAATACCCATTATAATGGGTTTAGAACTTGTGTTTATTATTCAGATTGGTCAATTTATGATAGGAAACATTTCCCAGAAGATATTCCATTAGAGTTGGTAACTAATATATTTTATGCCTTCTTCAATGTTGATCCAAATAGTGGGAAAGTTGAGTTAAGTGATCAATGGGCTGATACTGATATTGAATTTAAAAGTCCATATACTCATAAATCAATTCATGGATTATTGGCTAGATTTTTCGAAATCAAACAACATAATAGACAAATTAAAATTTCAATGTCAATTGGTGGTTGGTCAAATGGTGATAATTTTAAAAAAGGTACTAATTCTGCATTAAAATTACAAAAATTTGTGGAATCATCATTGGAATTAATGGTCCAATATGGATTTGATGGAATTGACTTAGACTGGGAATATCCTGAAACTAAAAAGGAGGCTGGATTATTGTTACAAATCATGAAACAATTAAGACTTGGATTGAGAGAGATTGAAGATGAAAGGGGGTTAGAAAGAGATTCATACTTGTTGACAATTGCATCTCCAGCTTTTGAAGAAAAACTTGAAAATTTCCAAATTCAAGCAATGGATAAATATCTTTCATTCTGGAATTTGATGACTTATGATTTTGCTGGTGAATGGTCTGAAAAGACTGGTTATCATTGTAATTTATACAAGAAACATCCAGATGAACTTTGTGCAGATGATTCAGTCAAATATTTCTTATCAAAAGGTATTGATCCAAGTAAATTAACTTTGGGTATGGCAAATTATGGTCGTTCTTTTACAAAGACAAACGGTTACGGACGTCCATTCAATGGTGTTGGCACGGGGTCAAGTGATGAAGCTGGGATTTGGAACTATAACAAATTACCATTACCTGGTGCCACTGAAGAGTATGATCATGAATCTGTCATTGCATTTAGTTATGATTCAAGAAACCAAATTTTTGTTTCATATGATAATATCCATTCTGTTTTCCAAAAGGCTAAATATGTTGTTGATAAAAGGCTAGGAGGAGGTATGTGGTGGGAATCATGTGGTGATCGATACAATGATGAGGAAAAATCATTAATTCACAATTTTGTTCATGGCTTGGGTGGTAAAGATAAATTAGATTCTTCAAACAATACAATTGAAGGATATTCTTCGAGTGAGTATTTGAAACAAAACTTTGGTGATCATTTATAATTGGATGAATGAAATTGGAACTACTTTTGTAAGATGCTTCATAAAATTAATGACGCTTTTGAAAACTATACAACCTCGACTAAAAACTCACAATTAACACATAAATGAAAAACACAAAGAACCAAAAGACAAAACACAAATGTATCTATAAGATTGAATCCATTTTAGAGAAAACAGATAACACACCAGCAACAACTTCTAATTGTAAGTCAAATCCTGGATTTTGTTCTAATTCTTCATTAATCTCACTAACCAAATTAATACCTAAACCTAATGCACTTGATTGAGGTTGGAAAGGGAATTGTGAAAATTGTGTTAATAATTCATCAGCTCTGGCAAAAGCACGATCACGTTGATCATAACCTAATGTGACTAAAACATTTTCTAAAACATTAGCAGCATATGCACCTGCAACTAATGAAATTGAACGTAAATATTTAAATCTAATATCTGCTGGAAATAACGGAGAATTTGGTAATTGAATATTTCTTGTAGCTAATAATGATAATATTCTTTTTATGATTGAATCTTTTGAAGTAGAATCAGCTAATGGATGTGTTGGCATATCAAATAATAAGAAATTTTTACGTTCAGTTCTTAAAATTCCTTTATCAACTAAACCTTTTGCTAATCTTTCACGAACTTGTTTTAATTGATAATTAATTTTCAATAAATTCCAAGTTTCACCACTTAAGAGATCTATCCAATTTGCAATACTTAAATTATTTGGATCACTCTTCATCAAAGTTAAAGTTTCATCTAATAAAACTTCACCAGTTTTCTTATCATCTATAACTTGAACCAATCTTTCTGATAATTCAAATCTTCTTCTTGCAGGATCGTTAACAATTGCAATCTTACCTCTTAATGCCAATTCCAACAAGATACAACCACGTAAGGCATATGAAATATTATCATTCCAAAATGACAAATAACCTTCTTTATCTTTAATACCCATCAATAAAACTTCCTCCATCAATGTCAAGGTTGGTTCTTTTCTCTCTTCATTTTTCGAGGCATTGTCTTGTGGATCATAACCAACTTTATGGTTCACTTCTTCTGAAGATGAATTATCTTTTGAGTCAACGTTTGTTGGTTCGGATGAAACTGTTCTCCCACCTCCTCTGCGACGTTGTAAACCGGACATGCTATATATTATATGTTTAAATGATCAATCAAATGGAGAGACAAGCAATATGAGATTGGAACCTCTCTTTGAGACAGAATAACGATGTTTTGATGTATTTCTCACTATAATTTTGACCAGCAAGGAGAAACAAATAAAACAAAGATCTAGTAATAAAAAAAAACACCTAATTTGAATGGAATGAACTGAGGTACTGACTCTAGTGACAACGGTTGACGGTGTATTGCTGTGTTAAGATCTTGATTCAATTCACAAGATTGACCCGTATTTGATTCAATTAGTAAATTCCTCTTATTGTTGAAATTGTCGAAACGCTTCTTTAGACGTGTTCTGGAATCCATTTTTTTTTTCATCGATCAAATCTGAATATTTGGGACAGGGGCAACAAACCATATAAACTACAAAATTCTTTTAAATCATAACAAATTTTAAACATTGATTTGATAAATTGTAGATTATACGTTGACTTCTTCCTGTTGTTGGTCTTGTAAAACTCTGCACAAAGGTTCAATTTCATCTTCATGTCCCTGGGCAACATAACCAAGGAAATAAGGTGTAGCGGTGTTTCCTTCATCAAAATTGAAAACTTCAGCTGTTGAAACTTCAGAAACTATTTCATCATTATATTTTCTGAACATTCCTCTTTTTTTATCCTTAATATATATCCAATAATGACCATAATTAGCTTCACCTCTATGGATGAAAATTGCAAAAATGGAATAACCATGTTTTTGGAAAGAATCAAAATGATGATCAATTTTATTTTCTAGTTCATGTGTCTTTTGATAAATATTTATTAATTCATCATCAATCTTTTTAACTTGTTTTTCCAATACTTCAATAGTTTCAGGTTTACCAAAATCTTGATCTTTCAACCAATCTTTAGTACTAATCAATGAATCCCTAAACGTGATACCTTGTTGATTTTTGGTTAACAAACTAGTTTTACGATCTTGTAAAGTTTTAATTTCAGACTTCCAATTCTCAACTTCTTCTCTTCTTTTGATGATTTCTTGATTATCTGTATCTAGATAACGATCCATGTACAATGTTTCAGGGAATGGTAAAGGTTCAATGCTTTTGTATGGACGAAGCTTAATTCTATCAAAATAAACTCTTTGGATTTGAACTTGTAATATTCTTGGTAATTTTGTAATTCTTTCAGATCTTTTATATGGACCACCATCAATATTAACTTCTTCACTCTTGAACAAAATATCAAAAGCTTCATAAATATTTCTTGGTTGATCAGTTATATTGACAAAAAGGTTGGAGAATCTATCAACTTTATCTCTTTTATTTGATGGGTTTGTCAGGTCTGTTAAATGTTGAACAGTTTTACCGAAAAACAAATTCTTAACAAGGTCTTGTTGTTCATTATCATCTTCATCAAATCCTTCAGGTTTCAAAGCAGCTTCAACCTGGGATAAAACATTACCAATACATTCAGTAACATCTTGTTGTCTTCCAATTTCATAAGCAGTTTCCATCTCTGTTTCTGAAATTTTAGCAGCTTTGGTAGCTTTAGCAATTTTTTGTTCTGGAGTTTCATCATCATCTTCTTCATCTTCATCTTCAGCTTCAGTCATTGTTTTATCAGCATCACCACTGGAAGCTATTTCTTCAGCTTTTGGTTTCACCTCTTCATTATCATTATCAACCATGATGATATCTTCATGATCGTTCTTTTCATTTTCGCTCAAATCAATTAAATCATAATCTTCACCTTTACTTGGCTTTTTGCGGTGCAATTCGTCAACTGTTGAAGTAGATTCAATCAGAATTGCATCATCTTGATGATTCCCCTTATAAAATAAATCAGCATTATTATCATTGGATTTCTTTGTCCCTTCTTTTTCAAATTCAACTTCAGCAACACTTGGTAAAAAAGCTAAATAAGCCAATTCCTTCTTTGGTGTAATACATCTCTTATCCGAATGGATTTGTTCACGAAATAAATCTCTCAATTGATAAACAAATTGGAAAGATCTTTCAACTTCACCATCACCAACTAATCTACCACCAATTCTTCTATCTTTATAAATAGACTCACCACCAAAGATGTCATGGAATTCCAAAGCAGCATCTCTGAATGGTTTGATACTGAAATAATATTGTAGTAAAGAATTCAAATAACAAGTATTACCAATATTATTCAACCCAACTGGCCAATTTTCAGCAGGTAGTGAATTATGATCAATTAATCCAGTTTGTAGGAATGAATCAATAAGCTTACTATGTTTAGCTTCACCGATTGTTTTTAATGCATTTCTTGCACTTTTGATCTCTCTATTACCCATTTGGAAAATAGTAATAACTTGGAAATCATTGGCAATTTCATCAACACCTAGGTATTCACAAGCTTCTTTATAAGTCATTGGATCATAAATATCTGGGTTATCTCTCTCCATATGATCTAATAACGAGAAACTTTTCCGTTCAGTAGCGACTGTTAAAAAGGCCCTATCAATTAATTCAGCTTCATTTGGTTTATCAATTTTCTTCACAGAGGCAGCAGTAGTGATAACATCATCATCAACTGCAGCATCAACTTCCAATACATCATAAGCTTGGTTCAATGGCAATGGCTCATAAGTTAAATATCTTTTTAATTTCTCACTATCTCTTTGGAAAGCTAATGTTATCAATGAAGTTCTTAATTTACCATCTAATGGATGAATAGCAGTCTCATTTTTATACATCGTCAACAAGAGATCATCACTGATTTGATCCGCTTGAGATGGTTCAATACTTAAAGCTCTATAAGCATTATCAATATCTTTCTGACCAATAACATTCAATGAAATCAATTTGGAAACATATGTGCTTAGGTTATAAGTTGCTCTTCTGGTGTTTATGCTCTTCAATGAATCAAAGTAGATAGGTGTGTTTTTAGGATCATATTTAACAGTTCTGTCATAACAATTAATGGTTAGATCATCGCTATAGAACGGATAAGCAGAAATATTTATAAAACTTTCATCTTTAAGAAATTCATGATTATTGATTGAACCGTTATCACCCAATTCATGGAATATCAGATTTGATGAATTTGTAAAATCAAATTGGTTGAATGGATTTTGTGATGAGCCAGAAAATGATTTTCTTCCTAGTAACATAATCTCTAATATTTTTCTAATATATGATTCTCTTATTATAGATGATTGTCTATCATTAACGTCTGAAATATTTGGAGGGTCAAATTCACCATCATCAAGTTCAAATTGTAATCTTTTGATCAATATCTTTGGATTTATGTTGGAATTCAATGCTTTGTTTGTGGCTGTAATTGTTCTATGTTCCTCAGTGGATTTCAAAACCAATGGACCTCTAATAGCTTTAAACAAAGTATGCAAACATTGAGCAGGTGAAGGAATTTCTTTATTCAATCCAGGGTATGTATCTAAAGCTTTTGTATATCTAACATTAATTGGACCCATTTCAAAATCATGTAAATCATCAAAATCAAACTCTGGTTCTGATATTTCAATTCTAACAATCTTGTTTGAAACTGCACATATATAGTTAGCTTCATCCACGATTTTGGGTAATGCAGATTTCACTTTTTCAGAATCAGAATCCTGTGCTAATTTAGATGAAACTAAATCCAAAGCGTCTTGTTCATTTAATTCATCAACTAGATGAAATTCATTCTTTGGTATTGATATAGCGCTTGTTGAATCTTTATTCTTTATGAGTAATTTGACATGATATATTTTGGTACGTGATAATGATGGTTCTCTAGAACTGTACAACAGTGCTCTAATGATGGTGATTTTATCATTCGGATTCGATTTGGAACGACGATGCTCTATACTTGGTGCATACTCATAAGATTGATTCAATAGCAGCAAATCATATGGGGTTGATTTATGACCACTCAACTTGGATGCATATGAAATTGGAGATTTCTTCAATATCCCATTTTGTAACTCTTCTTCATTATCATCTAGTAAAAATAATAAATCAGCTCTAATGTCATCCAATATTCTGTTTGAAGTCTTGAAAACATTTTGTTGTATGTTCAAGTACAATCCAAGGAAATCTTCATCATCGGCATCTTCTGCCACTTCATCCAATACATGTTCATCTGGATCATCTTCATCAACTGAACCCAGGTGGTGTTCCTCTATTGTTGGTTCTAAATTCTCATAATCACTAGGGTTATAACCTAACTGTTTGGAAGATGACGAATTCATTGTTATTTCGTCTGGGGTGGCTGTGAGTGGTTGATTTGATTGATCAAAAGGGATGGTGAATGATTTGAAATCATTACTTAATTCTTTTCCATGATCTTCTGACATATTGCTAGATGAATCATTCAGCATTTATGAGCTCAATATTTCAATATTTTGGTATTGTAAAGATGAGGTTGTTGATGATAAATTTGAATTGAAACCGCAAAAGATCCACAAAATAAAAGCTGTATCTAATCGCAAAGGTAATCGAAAATAAAAAAAAAGCTTTAATCAGCGCCAATGCAATGGGAATAATCACAAAAATCAAATAAACCGTATCACCAATGGATAAAAATTCACTAGAGCTTGAAATTCAATAACTTTGATTGATTCAATTAACCAAATCTTTGACACCTTCCACGTTAATTGCCATCAAAACTTTGCCCTTCAGACTTTTTTTCCCTGAAAACTCAAACTAGAAATCGGTCAAGGGCCACTACTTCACCAAGTTTTCAAGAAAAAAAAATCTATTTAATATTTCAACACCTTCTTTTGGACAATAAACATTGAGCAGATTCAAACTATTCCCAAAATGTTTGGCTTTGGTGGTAAAGATAATCCATCCTCAGAACCAACAGACACACAAGTCGCACCGCCTCAACCCATAACAACAACTCCACCAGCCAATGGTGGTGCACCACAACCACCTCAAATAGATTTTGATAAATTATCCAAAAGTGATGGAATCCAAGGAATGGCCACCAATTTATTCGAACAGTTCATAGTGGGGAACCCTTATTTCGCTGCAGGTGGTGGTCTTATGCTTTTAGGTACCTCGTTAGCTTTAGCACGTCAAGGTATTATTAGAGCTTCAGGTTTTGCATATCGTCAATTATTAGTTGATTTGGAGATCCCATCAAAGGATAAATCATATTTATGGTTTTTAGAATGGATGTCCCAATATAAGAACCGTAGCTCAAGACATTTGAGTGTTGAGACTAATTTCATTCAACATGATAATGGGGCAGTTACTACAAAATTTTCATTAGTTCCTGGTCCTGGGAATCATTTAATCAAATATAAAGGTGCTTATATGTTGATCAAACGTGAAAGATCGGGGAAATTGATAGATATGACAAATGGTGCACCTTTTGAAACGGTCACATTGACTACATTATATCGTGATCGTGGATTATTTAGTGATTTATTGGGTGAGGCTAAAACATTGGCTTTGAAAGCTCAAGAGGGTAAAACTGTTATTTATACATCATGGGGTCCTGAATGGAGACCTTTTGGACAACCTAAGAGAAAGAGAATGATTGGTAGTGTTATATTGGATGATGGTATTAAAGAGGGAATTGTTAGTGATGTTTTAGATTTTTTGAAAAGTGGGAAATGGTATTTTGATAGAGGTATTCCATATAGACGTGGTTATTTATTGTATGGCCCACCTGGTTCTGGTAAGACGAGTTTTATTCAAGCATTAGCTGGTGAATTGGATTATAATATTTGTATTTTAAATTTATCAGAAGCAAATTTAACAGATGATAGATTGAATCATTTAATGAATCATATTCCAGAAAGATCAATCTTACTGTTAGAAGATATTGATGCAGCTTTCAATATGAGAGATCAAACAGATGCAAGTGGGTTCAAATCAGGTGTTACATTTAGTGGGTTATTAAATGCATTAGATGGTGTTGCATCTTCAGAAGAAACAATCACATTCATGACAACAAATCATCCAGAAAAATTAGATCCAGCTATCCTAAGACCAGGCAGGGTTGATTATAGAGTATATGTTGGAGATGCTACACCTCATCAAATTGAACAAATGTTTTTAAGATTTTATGAAGGTGAAACTGCAAAAGCTAAAGAATTTGTGGCAAAAGCTGTTGAATTGAAAGCACCTATTAGTACTGCCCAATTGCAAGGATTATTTGTTTATAAGAAAAATGATCCAGATGGTGCCTTGGCTTTAGTTGATACTTTGAAAACCCCAAATCATGTGTTTTAGAGAGATGGAATTCTTGTATATAGCAGTCTGTTTTTGCATCTCTTGAAGGGTATTTGATTCGTGGAGCCAAATAATGATAATGATAATCAAAATATTCCTTCAATTGTAGAGGATTTTATGCGCTCAACCCCTGTATTTTTTTAACACATTCTAAACGTCATTAGTATCGCAATCCTTCACAAAACTCGTTATTTGTAACTTACAACTCTAGCCATTCTTAAATGGGTTGACAATATTTCACTTGATCCAGATTTATCAGCAAGTTTTTCAGCTTCAAACATTAAATCTCTAACAAAGAGCATATAATCAAGATTGATCTAAAACTTTAGTTAGTCAACCCATCAACCGCTGTATGGAAATAATACACATACCAAGATATCTGTAGAGTCATTAGCTAGTTTGAGATCAGTCTTTGACTTGATAATCCTTCTTATAGAACTTCTGGTGATTGGTGCCATTGTTTGTTCATTTAAAAGATTCTTGTTTAAATTTGTAAACAAAACATTGAAAATTCGCGAAATGGATTTTTCCATTTTTCGTGATGTTGTGGTGTCTGGATGTGCTGCCGAGGTTAACCCGGTGAACAATGGCAGACATTAGCTAAAACGTCTGTTAAAGCCGTAGCCAAAGATTGCAGACTGGGACAAGTTGAAACTTTCAAGGCCATGGAAGTGGGAGGAATGAATACTAGAGAGTGTCTACGGGTGTTGAGTAGCTCTATATGGCTAACTAGGCTTGTACTGGGCCGGACAGTAAAAGATCCATATCAATGTACCATGAGTTGAACAGAACCATCTCAATACCAGCTTGTATTTTAAGGACAACGGTACAAGCAGTAGATGCATGGTCTGTGTGAATAATTAACATTTGCAGCCATAAAGTGTCAATTCCCAATCATTATGATAGCTATTCACCAAAATAAACCAATCAGAATCAATGATTAAAAGTTCTTCCACTAGCTCGCACAGTTTTTGGTCGTTCCTTTTGCAGGCGCTGGTCGATTTTTTCCGAGTTTTGCCCCAGACAAGTGAAAAGAAAAGCTTCAAACAAAGAGTTGATCAAGACAATTGGCAAGGGCTTAAAGAGTTGATGGTCATTTGAAACGTGTAATTACTGTGTATAAGGTTGAAAGATCACAAGCTCAAGCTTTGAGAGTCAAGTGATAGCACTGTCCAGGACTGGCCTTTGGCTGAACACTTCTCTGGCTGGTCAGAACAGCCTGGGAAAGGATGATTCCGTTTAACTGATCTACAAGTAATTACTAATTGCCATACCTCATCTTTAAGAAGGTGTAGCCCTTTGATTAATAATTAGTAGATCAAGCATAAAACGGGAACCAGGAGAAACTATTGGCTTGCTGGGAGATCAACTATAGCGTAATTGATCACTCTTTCCAACGATTCTCTAGCAAATAATTTTAGAGCTAAACTAAATCACCACCATAGTCACTCACTCCCTAACAAATAACCTTTGCCTATTGCTCTTTCTTTTCTTTCCTCTGTCACTCTCCTTTTCAATTCTCAAAAGCTCAAATCCAAATCCAAATTCGATCTGGCTAAAAAATAAATTTCAAAGTGTCCCCCCACAAACGCACTTTGCACCCCCGGAACATCCCCTTCTCAGTAAGATACGAGGAGCCCCCATTCTGGTCAGGTTTCTCCGAGATAAAACGGGACAAATCATACATACACGCTGATTCTCGGAAAAAAACCATGGAACCTTGCTGAGGTGATTGACCTGGGGAAATGAACATTTGGACGATAAAATGAGGTTGAACACTCAATGGAAAGAGAGCACCTTAACCTCTATAGGCTCTATCTTCACCAATCACGTCTCCCTCCATGTCTCTGATTTGTAAGCTGTTGCTCCTGCTACTGTGCTTGGTAACCCTGGAGACTTTTGTCCCGTGTCCCCCAAAAAAGTTCCCCAAATTTTGCTTCATGCGCCCCGAGAAACTTTAATTTTCCCAGCAGCCAAAAATTAAAAAAAAAATCGCCCTTTTAAAAAAACAAAAAAATCTTCCGATTTCCTTTCGATTTTGGAAAGGAATTTTGAATTGGAAAAAAACCTTTTCGAAGAAAGAAAACCATTGACAAGTGTATTGATCGAAGGAAGTGAAGAGAGATTATAGTTAGAGAAAGATTAAATCATAGAGAAGAAGAGTTTCTACAGATTATCACGTTTCATACCATATCAAATTAGAGATTCTATTGTCTGGAAAAACCTCCTTGATCAAATTCAATTACGAGTACAAAAAAATCAAACAAGAATTTACAACAACATCAACCCCCTAAAGACAAGTACAATCAACATTCAATATCGACACGATGTATGTGTCACCAGTCTTATCCAAAACTAAGTCTGATACTCCAAAAGAGTATACAAACAGAGCCAGAGATGAAATTACAAGAAAGTTGAATTTAAAACCACCAAGTTCTCAACTAAGGCATGGTTCTTCACCTCTGAAGAATGTATCAAGTGCAAGTGATCATTCATTATCTAAAACAAATTCATATGATAGTTTGGAAATACCTTTAACACTATCTGAAAAAGAAACCACATCAAAACAAGAGAATAAACCAAAATCTAAATTATTTGGATTATCAAAATTAAGACATTTGAATTCAAGTTCAAGTTTAAAATCATCCAAAAAATCATCATCTGAAGAAGATTTAATCCCTAGTGAACCTGTTGATAATGATGTTCAAATGGAGGATTATGAATATCAACAACAATTACAACCATTACATCCTGTTCCTTCAATTTCTTCATCTTTTTCATCATCAGCATCATCAATCTCAACAACACCATCCATGACTTCTAAAATAACTAATCAAGATTCAATATTCTCAAATCAAACTTTACAAACCCAATATACCAACATTTCACAGTTTTCACATCCAGAATCCATACAAGAACAACACCAACAACCAGGACAACCAATAATGATGACTTTACAAGATGCATTACCTTCAAGATTCGATGACATGTATGCCCCTGAATTATTAGCTGATCCTTCATTATTAATAGATGGTCGTCCAATGTTTACCAAAAGAGCCTTATTAGATTGGGAATTAAATGACATTAGATCATTATTAATTGTTGACTCTATAAAACCTGAATGGAACAACTCATTACCAATAATTTATGCCCCACAAGGTTTCAAATTTGAATATTTACCATTAGATGCAGATGATGAAACCATTGTGGAAAAATTGGTTCATTCAGATATTTATAAAGAGGCGAAATTTGATGTTGAATTTAGAGAACAAACTGCTAAATACACTTTAAACGCAGCAAGACAACGTCATGCAATGTTTTTAACAAATTCAGGGATACCAATTTTTTATAATAATAGATTATCAAAACCTGAATGGCGTAATGTTATTGAAAATTTTTTATTAAATTTAGCTGTGGAGGCTCAATGTCGTTATGATTTTAAAAAATCTTGTCATGAATTGAAAAAATTGAAAAAAGCTGGAAATATGTCTTCAAATGGGAATGTTAATGTTTCTAGTTCAAATGGGAATTCATTATTAAGAAAAGCTATTATGAATGATTCAAGAACTGTTGTCCCTGGTTTACCTAAATTATCAAAAGAGGATAAGGCGAAATTATGGACACAGGTGCAAGCTAAAGTTTATAAAAGAATTGGATTGGATTGGACTCCTGATTCATTATAATGTGATTTTAGTGATGGAGAGAGAGAGAGAGAGAAGATTGATATATGTGGTTATCTATTGTAATATTCAAATGGGAAAGTACTTAATGTGTTATGGAGTTATGCAAATTATTTTTAATAGACGGAATTTTTTTAATGAATTGAGAATATGTAGAGAATAGATTGCGTCGCACTTGATAAAGCTACGAGTTGTTATCAAGAAGTATCTTAATTTGACAACGAAGCTGTACCAAAAAAACCCATGGAACCTTGTTGATCAGAGGTAAAATCTCTAAACATTTCAGCATCATGATCAGACAAGATCTTGACAAGATCGGGATCTTTAGCAAATAATGCATCAGCGTCTTCATACATGTAATGACCAGGATTAAACGTTGTACCGAAATACAAAGCAGAAACACCTCTCAAGCAAAACAAGTCCCCTGAATTTTCATTTCCCATATCAAGGGGCATTAACATATCACTAGTTCTTGAATGAAGTCCATTTCTTGCAGTGGACATTTTGAGAAGTTTTGATATTGACAATACCCTTGTACATACCGGTTTCCCATAAGCCCAAGCCTGTAATGACTCTAAATCATCTCCAAGAAGTAATTGAATATTACAAAAAGCGCTTGAGTATTCACTTTTAGCGCACTTTGGATTAGTTTCAAGTATGGGAGAAAATCTGAAAAGTTCTAATGAATTTAGAGATTCTTTGAAATTTAGTGTAGGTTGTAATAATTCCCTTGACTCATCATAACTAATTGACAATCTCTTCAAACAAGAAACATCAATAGCATCAATCTCAACACCATGTTGAATTCTAACTTCTAAAGATATACCCATCGGATAACAATGCAAATCTGAACGTTCTAGATTAATAATATCTCCTCTTAGTTCGATTTTGAATATATTTGGTGCATTTAATTTTGGAATCTTTAATAAAGTCTTTGATGTTCCCCAAAGTACTAATGATGACAGTTTGGGGAAATAAACATCTTGAGAAAGTTCATACTGGACTCTTCCATCAATGAGAAATGATTCTAAATTTTCAAGTTTCAAACCTTCCAATATCTGAACACATCCACCCCAAATTGTAAGGCTTTTCAATTTTTCCAAAAATCTAAAAGGTGTTGAAAGTGATTCTTCTGGATTTGGTTGATTATATGCATAAATTGAGGCTTCAATTAGGTTAGGACAATAAACATTACTAAACTCAAAAGAAATTTCAGAAGCAATGATTTTTAATGTTTCCAAATTTGGCAAATGAAGATCATTCCATAAAATCGTGGAATGTCTTGAATTTATTGAAATGGTTTTCAATGAACAAGCTCTAAATTTATTCAATTGACCAATATTTGAATCAAAAATGACAAATTGATCCAACTTTGGGAAATCACAATTTCCAATCAATGATAATTCACTATTGATTATTCTCAAATCTTGTAAATTAGTTGATTTCAAATTCTCAACAACTGCATCAATACCAAACAATGCTACATTTTCTGGTAATTCAATAGATTCAAAAACCTGATGATTTGCACCATCAATATATAAATCTGAAAGGTTGGGGAATTTAACTTTGTATGAGTGTTGAGGTTCAATAAAACAATTATTTAGTAACAATTTTGAAACTTTTGGTAATTTGAATAATGAAAGATCCCAAGTTGAATTTTGTAATCTAAGAGTTGTTGAATCCACAATTTCCACGGATTTAATAATTCTGAACTCATAAGCACGAATTTCAATTGGTTCAGTAAATGAAGAATCTCCTAATGATTGAGTATTAACGTATTTTGAGATTTTACAACGACAATTGATTGGTAATGAATGAATCAATTTTTCGAAAGTTTCACTTGATGTCTTTGGGTCATGAATTTGCAATAAGAAAGTTCGGTTATAATTGAAACTGGTATTCTTTCCTTCGTGGAAGATTGGACATATATCAACAACATCAGAATATAATTCTTTTGAAATATTTCCTTCTAGATACTTGACCTCATCAGTAACAATGTGATATGAATCTTTCAACATGTTTTGAACCTTTCTGGAAGAGCGTAGAAACTCCACAATTTCACTTGATTCTAATTGATATAAAATTAGCTGGAAAATCTCATTAGGTAATGTTAAAAGGTTTAATGGTTCTTGTTGTTGTAACATCATTTTGGCTATATGGATTGTTAATTCTTTGGCGGATGTACTTTAACTATGAAAATGGAGCTCAAGGTATCAATTAATACCCATCTTCAAACAAGGCTTTTATACAATTCCTCCGTCTCAGACAAGCTCATCTTCAAAGTCATCACTCTTGTTTATACGTTGCTCCAATAAAGACATGGGGTTTTGTGACATAATTATCTTTTGTAAGCATTTTAAATTTTCGCCCGGCCATTACACCTGAGATTTGGCAGAATGTGATAAGCTTGAAAAACTTGATTTTGATTGGATCAAACTACAAATAAACCAAAAAACCACTAGTTTATAAAATTTCAATCATCTCAACATTAGTTGCTCAAGAAGTTCAGAAGTGGTATCCACAATACTAGACTCAACACCCTTTTCCATCCCATTTTTCTCCAATCCTAAGGCATTTTTAGTAAATGAATCAATACTTCTTGGTGGATAAAATTCAATCAAATTAGGCAAGATACCCATATCCAATTTTTCCAACCCTTCATTTTTGGAAAGATCCAAAACTTCTAAAATTTCAGAATCAACTAATTCTAATTGTTCAACATGGAAAATTGTCAATTCTTTTAAAATTGGGAATCCAACAGTACTGAAAGGTGTCTTGATAAACATATCTAAAAGCATCAAATGTGCTAATTTAGGAGCAGTGAATTGGAAAACACTCTTCATTAAATGATCATAATAAGCTAAGGAAATACCAGTATTTGCCTTTGGACTTATTGTTAATTGTTTGAGATTGGCAAAATGACAATTTGTTAATGTGAAGTTTGGTACATCTGATTGAATATCCAATGTTTCCAAATTTGGGAAATCAATGCCCGTGATTGTGGATAGTGCACAATTATCAATCTTGAGGTGTTTTAAAGATGGATAAGCTTCTGGGATGTTGTTTATGCTAATGAAGTTGAAAGAACCAATAACGGTAATCATTTCTAATTGTGGTGCTTCAAAACTTGGGACTTGTTGGATTAAATCATTATGACAAAGATTCAGTGATTGTAAAACTGGGAATTTTGTCTTGGTGGTGAGTCTATGATAAAATTCATCCTGTAGTGATAATTGGTCTAGTTTTGTCAAATTCAAACCTTCCAATATTTGTATACATGACGTTAATATCATGATTCGGACATTTTCCAAGGCATTACATGGACTTTCATAATCTTTATAACTTTCAAGAATTGGTTGACCTGAAAGATTCAATTCAGCAAATTCAATATTTGGAGTATTAAAATTTTGAAACTGTTCTAGGGCACCACAAGAAATGGTTAACTCTTTTAAATTTACAGCATCAATCTTATTCCAAGCTAAAATTGCTGAGCTGGATTCCAAAACAATATTAATCAAATTTGGTGCTTTCAAATCAGTCACATAATCTAATGGAGTATCATAAATTTCAAAATGGTTTAAATTTGGAAATTCACAGTTTTGTAAAATGTTTAAATTGGGACATGCTTCAATTCTTAAAAATTTCAAGTCTTGAGATTTCAGGTTTTCAATCTTTACTATATCTGAAGCGTCTCTTAAACTTAAAGTCTTTGGTATTTCAAAAATTTCTAAACCTTTACCTATAGCTTCTTCCAAATGTAATTCTTCCAATTGTGGGAAATTGATTTTAAAACCTGGATCAACAAGTTTACAATCACCCAATATCAATCTATTCAATTTTGGAGCCTTGAAAATAGATGGATCCCAATGTAAAATTAAGAAATGTAAAATGGTGATATCTGGTAAATGGATTGATTTTATAAAGCCCTTATCCAGTGCGGAAAGATTAACAACTCTATGGAAATGCTCTTGTAATTCATAAGGTATTGTTTCAACTCCATAAATTGTGATACGGCAAGTTGTTTGTTCGGATAGACCATTGATCAAATCAAAGAATTCAAGCCAAGATTGTTCCATTTGGTGAACTTCTAATAGTAATGTACCTTTGAAATTGAGCAATTTTTCAATTGCAACTTTATCCATAACATTTGTGTGTAAATCTTTTGGAAGGTTGTTGTATATTGAATCATCTGCATTATCATGAACGATATGATAATTCCCCTTGAATTCATCTTGTACCTTTTTGGAATTGGAGAGCAACTTGATGATATCATTTGAGTCCAGCTCTTGTACAACTTTCTCTATCAGCACATCTGGCAAGTCAGTGAAGTCTAGCGTTCTTGTAAAGTCAGTCATGGTTGGTTCCCTGTTGGTACCTCAAATTATTTGCAACAGTGGGAAGTGGTGTCAAAAGGGTCCTTTAAATACGAGAACAAGATATTCATTTTACAACAAGACCATCGGTATAAGATAGTCAATTTGCTGACGGTATACAGCCAAGTAGTACCATGTTCCAGAACCCATGTTGTGTGTATTTGCATGTCTTGACTCTTTACGGTGGTGGAGATTCAAGAATGCTTGTTTTCCATTGGCTCAGCTTGTTCTTCTGTGCTTCCCAATGCGTCAGGAAAAGAGGCTGAAGACGATCCAAAGATCAACACTTTTTAGATCAGCTGGCGAAGCTGAACAATAGTGTGGTTGGATAGAAAGGGAAGATAAAGATTAGTTACAGTCGATTGATAGACTAGTTCAGATTGATCTGGTTTTTTAAGAGGCAGTTTTCCAATGATTCTTTCCAAAGTTGTACCTGATCATGAACGTTCAAAGCTTCGGATCACCCTGCAACAACGGCCAAAAAACAGGCCCGATAATGGCTGCTTTTGGTGAGAAGCAGAGGTGGACATGGGCCCTTGCTTTAAAGGATTCCTAGCATCTTGTATCATGAATTCGTTGAGATCCTTCCTTTATCGTGGAATCCTTCTTTACAGCTCTAATAATACATCAGTGCTTCTCCAAGGCTATACTCAGACACAATTGAGAAAAAGGTTGACCTTAATTGTAACCAGAATTATCACACCATGCTCTTCAGCTGGAACAATACACCCCCTTTAGAACATGGTCAGTATAAATCATGCATCAATGTAGGCATTGTTTAGATTATTCGGCCGTAGTGACTCTAGGTCTCTTCAGTGTAATTAACTGCGGATTACAAACATCAAATCATTTCCAACAACCGTGCTGCTTGTTCCACAAAAGACCGAGTTTATAATTGAGCAGAGTAAGAGTAGAGCACCAACTTTTGTCAAGAAATGGTTCACTTATACCAGTTTATTCGAATTAAAAAGGAGAACTTTACAACGTAGTAACCTAAATCAATTCGAAGTGCCCTTGCCGAAATATTTACTATGGACGTTATTAACTTATTGAATCAAACGTACAATTTAAACGATAAAAGTGAATAAATTAACGCAGTATTGAATCTTTTCTAGTCAATTATCTGATAATATATTTTTTAAAGTAAAATAAAGCATTTTCAAAAAAATTTCAAATTCGAATATTTGGTATTTTGAATTTTATGTAGCAATATATTACCCAACTATTTCAAAAACTCATGATATTCAATATGCACTTAAAACAAAAAAAAGTAATACAATCGGATAGCTGAATTTCCATTAATATAATACCAACAATTTCAATACCACTTACCTCACAAAGTTTTTAATTATTTATCTTTTTACACTCCACGGCCAAAATCTCAAAACTTACCCGGTGTTGACCACCTTAATTTTTTTTTCGAGAAAAATGTCAAATAAACATTATCTTGAAAAGATCAAGATCAAGATCAAAACATCAACAGAATTCAAAGATCTCTTTGATCAATCACAATCATTTAATAAGAATCATGTCTGAGAAAAGAGAAACATCAGATGCTGCTGACTTGTTGTCATCTTTGACAATCAAAGCTCAAGCTAAAGAACAAGCTGCACAAGAAGAAGCTGAATCAAAACCAAAAGTTGAAGAACCAAAGAAAGAAGAAACAAAAGTTGAAGAAGTGAAAGAAGAAGCTAAAGAATCAGAAGCTCCGAAAGATGAAGAACCAGACTCAAATTTAATCAAATCCACCTATGAAGTTAAAGTCAAACTGGCAGATTTACAAGCTGATCCAAATTCTCCATTATATTCAATTAAATCATTTGAAGAATTAGGATTGTCAAAAGAATTACTAAAAGGTTTATACGCAATGAAGTATCAAAAACCTTCCAAGATCCAAGAAAAGGCATTACCTTTATTAATATCAAACCCTCCAAGAAATATGATTGGCCAATCTCAATCAGGTACCGGTAAAACTGCAGCATTTTCATTAACAATGTTATCAAGAGTTGATCCTTCAATAAATGGTGTTCAAGCAATTTGTTTAGCACCTGCAAGAGAATTAGCAAGACAGACATTGGACGTTGTGGAAACAATGGGTAAATATACAGGAATCACCACACAATTGATTGTACCAAATGTTGTTGAAAGAAATGCCAAAATTAACGCAAATATTCTAGTTGGTACCCCTGGTACAGTATTAGATTTTATTCGTCGTAAACAAATTGATGTTTCAAAACTTGCTGTGTTTGTTTTAGATGAAGCTGATAATATGTTGGATCAACAAGGTTTAGGTGATCAATGTGTTCGTGTAAAGAAATTTTTACCTAAAACTACACAATTAGTTATATTTAGTGCTACATTCCCTGATCAAGTCAGAAAATATGCTGAAAAATTCGTTCCAAATGCTAATCAATTGACATTGAAACAAGAAGAATTAAATGTTGATGCTATTAAACAATTATATATGGATTGTAATGATGAAGATCATAAATTTGAAGTTTTAAATGAATTATATGGATTATTAACAATTGGTTCATCAATTATATTTGTTGCTAAAAAGCAAACTGCAAATGTTTTATATAAGAAATTAAAAGATGAAGGTCATCAAGTTTCTATTTTACATAGTGATTTAGAAACAAGTGATCGTGATAAATTAATTGATGATTTTAGATTTGGTCGTTCAAAAGTTTTAATTACAACTAATGTTTTATCAAGAGGTATTGACATTCCAAGTGTTTCCATGGTTGTTAATTATGATTTACCAACTGATAGAGAAGGTAGACCTGATCCTTCAACTTATTTGCATAGAATTGGTAGAACAGGTAGATTTGGTAGAGTCGGTGTGGCAATTTCATTTGTTCATAATAAGAAATCTTATGAACAATTGATGGCTATTAGATCATATTTTGGTGATATAGAATTAACAAGAGTTCCAACTGATGATTGGGAAGAAGTTGAAAAAATTGTTAAAAAAGTTTTGAAATGAGGGAAATATAAGTGAATTAATTTAATGGATCTGTAGAGAAACGAAGTCAACTAGAATTTAAAAAGTCCATTTGAATGTTTACCCATCTGTTAGTTCACTGGTTATATTGTAGCCACAAATTATGTGATTAGCTGTACAATTTAACATTCATTAATCAATAATGATTGTGACTTTAGTACCTCAACACTTTGTTAGCCAGGGATTCCTACAACAAATTAGGTATTGCAGCTATATTGAAATTTAGATACAAATAGACAGTTTGACATATTTCTTATTCAATTTTCCGATTGATCAAGTAATTGCAATAATGTTTTATTTTTAAGCTCTTCCAAATCATATAGATCTTGTCTTTTGAATTCTCGAAAATCACCAGAATATAAACCTTTAGATCCACTTGCATTGGTTTTAACAGAATGTGAAAACCCATAATCAATAAATGTGAATATATCATTACCATAGAAAACATTTGACATTTTAATATCACCATGTGATAGCCCAATACTGTGCAATAACCCAAGTTGCTTTTCACCCTGTTCAAAATGTTCTTCTGTATTTGGTTTCCCATTCAATGAATCCATTATGATATAACCACCGGAGAAAAAATCCACCTTTCCATCAAGGACCAATGTCAGCTTTATATTTCCGTGTTTGTAAATCATAGGAGCATTTATAATATTTGATGAATCATCCTTTAACTTTTCATTGTATTCTTTGATTTTCTGATATATGAGAAGTTCATTGGATTTTGCTTCTTGAAGAGTTTCAAGAATTTTGTAGTTCTCAAGCATTTCATCCGTTTCACTAAAATACCTTCTAACTGGATCATATATTTTCATCACCACTTTATGATTTTCATCAACCATTTGTAAAGTATCAGGATTGATCAAGCATTTTAATTGATCTATTGTGGTTTCAATAACTTGGGAATTGCATTGGAACCCGACTTGGAGTTTTCGACAACTTCCAACTAATTCTAATTCATCAAAATTATCCAATTGATGCTTACCATAATAAATCTCAGCTCTATTTTTGATTTCTTTGGCAACTTCTTCTGGTGACATTTTTAAAATGTTTTGGTAATACTTTATAAAAGCTCTGGTCCGTTCCAAATTACCAAGTTCTTTTTGTTTCAAAATAGAATAAAGTCTGGCACATAGCCTCATTACGGAGTTTAATTCTCCAGGATTTGTGCTCCCAGTTGTAAAATAATTTATTTTCAAAGGGATCGTCTGTTCCTCGCTTGAGTCTCTTGAATGGATACTAAGTTCATCATTTTCAACAATACCAGCCAATTTTTTATAATCGAACGTTAGTTCTAAAAAATTAAATCCATCATAGAGGAAACCGAATTCACAGCTACTAGCTAGCATATACGCAAAGCATTGATGTAATATTCTTCTTACCTTATCTTTTGTTGCTTGATGTCTCTCATTATTAGAAGGTGGTCTAATCATCAACTGTACAAACTCCTGAATGTTGTAAGATTTGATCTCAATTATTAATAAAATATCATTTGGATTATCACAGATTGCGTAATCGCTGCTGATATTAGGAAGTCCTTCTATTTTTATTTGATGTTCCTGGAGCTCCATGGTTTGGTTACCAAAACAATAACGCATCAAACTGGATAAAGGTCTAGCATAAATTGACCTAAAAATATCTTTTGCTAGAGCTTCGGAAGTGTGCACACGACCAGCATAGCAACCAGTAATTAAAGAACCGGTTAATGAATTGGTTTCATCGTAAAGATCAGGAGTTGACCCAGATTCTTTACATTTTGATGTAAGTCTCACGAAAAATTCATCAAACATCTCTTTCAATTCATCACTGTGAACAACTTCCTCAATTTTATAGCCTAAGTGGTTAGACAGAAATAAACTTGTAATTTTATTCGTTGAACCGTCACTGAAAGTTGTACTCTTTTGTTCAAAATCACGAGCTAATGATAGTGGGTTAAATGGGAAAAGGAAGTAGAACTTCCAGAAGGTTTCTTGCTCTTCTGGTGACAAGCAGCTGTCCCCCCAAACCCTAGGATAGAACGAAATGACTTTTTTAAAGCAGGATATAATAGACTTTGAAGAATCATCCATGTAACCAAACTCCTTAAGATATTCCCTGTAATCAATATCATATAGCTTTCTGTCATCCTTGAGAAACTTCTCAAGCACTTTCCCAAATTCTTCTTTGCTTTTATTCATAATTGATAATCTGTTAAGTTAGTGTCAGATGCCACAAACGCTAGAATGATATTGGTAATCTATACTGATGAGTCTATTGAACCTTGTATTCTGTGTGGACGGGTTTTATAATATCTTTTGGGACCTTGTTGTTGTTAATTCTAACTTGCTAAAAACTGAAATGTTCGAAAGAAAACATCGAACGTAGATTTTTGTGTCAAGTACGTGACCGCTTCGAACTGATGAGGTAAATAATGGGTTACCCAGTTATTGGAGATTTTGAAATTCGAGCATAATTGGTTGAATGGTCAACAAAAGTGAAAATTTGATTAACGTAAATACCTATGTTTAGAAAAAGATTTGGGTTGAAAGGTAGTATGAGACTATTTGTATAGTGTTGGTGATAAGTCCTCATACGAGAAGATTATTGAGATGATTAGTGAAGATGATATTTTCTGCTCAGGAAGTGTATAGAGAGGTTTCAGGCCGTTCTTCGCAAGATTAACTAGATTTTTGAATTATTACATTGTATTACCTTATAACCATTTTCCTTCCTTACAGAGTTAATTAAGTTAGATAAGATATTGATATAGAAGTCGGGACAGATTTCCAATTATTGATATTCGTTATAATAAGTTCATACATTAGTTCAAAATCAGTTATATGGTTAAACAACAGAACTACGAAAATTGTAATCCAGAGGGACATCTAATATTATTAAAGCCATTGAATCACATGATAAAATTACTTATGCCCATTCCAGTCAATTCAATTCATCATCAATTCTTGGTTCAAATGATCATTCCAAAGGCCTCGGGCACTATTGTAAATTCCGAGACTAATTGGTAAAACAGGCTGTATTAAAAAAAAACAAAAAAAACCATCCTTTTTAAACTAAAAAAACAATCTTCAACAACAACAGTTTAACAAAACAAGACTCAATTCCATCAATTATTCCAAAATGGTCGACTCCACTAAAGTTATCAACGTTATCATCGGTGAGTATTGTATATCCCAGAGCGCTTATTATCATCATTGTCTAAAGAAGACTGGCTGTTTAGTGTGTGATAAGGGTTCTGTTTGTTTTTTGGGTTCATGAGAAGAATGTTATGAATTACTAACATCACGGAAAAGCTATCATCTTACCACCATTATCTGTCTTTTTAGCAAGAGGTGCCGGTAGAGATCTATTAATCAACATTGTGTTATGTAGTAAGTATTTTGTTTTGATTGGATGAGAGAAGGCGGGTGGTGATTAACTGAAGGTTCATTATCGTCATTAACCCTTCTCTGGTTTGGGAAGAGAAAGTTGTATGATACTAACACATTCCAATAGTCTTTATTTGGTTCCCAGCTATTTTACACGCTGTTTACATTGCGGTATCATCATGATAGATTAGCATTTTATCTCATTAGAATTTGAAGAAAGAAAGAAGAAAAAAAAGGAGGGTCAATTAATTTAGAGGCAAGCACTTTGGAATTTCATCACCTTTTTAAGGGTATTGTTGTTCTTTGAGTGTCGGTTTTCTGTGCTTTTTTACTGTTTTTTTTTATATTTATTTTGTATCCTTTTAGTCTGAGATGAGCTATGAATCAATATGTTTATTCCAAATAATTTGCGTGGGTGATTAATTTATAATAATGTCTCCTTTTACCACTTTTTTTTGTTTTGTGTGTGTTTTTTGTCCAATTTTCCTTTAAATAATATGATATTCTTTGATAATTTCGTTGTAACTAGACTACTTCTTTCCCTTTGAGAAAACACAAACTTCTCATAAGCAATTTATATTCATTATGTACAGATATTTCATTACCAATTATCAAACTTATAATCTTGGTAAAATGTTAGTATTCTTTGAATCTATAATACATGGGTTTAAACTTACTGAGGAGCCATAGCATCCATGATTGGACTTTGAATGAAAGCAATACCGGCCTATTGTAGAATGTTAGTGAACAAGTTCAAATACATTAAAGATATATTAATGGGAATGATTAACTGTCATTCATGTAAATAAATTTCAAATAATCAACATACAGCAAATAAACCTAAGTTGAAAATGATTGGGAAACTTGGGTTATTGACAATCTTTGAATAGATAGATTCTTTTTCAGATTTTTTTGGAGCAGCAGAAGCACCTGGTCTAGCGTATACTGAAGACATTTTTATTCTTTTCTAATTAATTTTGAAACAAAAGCTCTTGATGGAAACTGACTTTGCAGTTGATTTCTTTACATCTTTTTTTGTCGAATTCGATGATGAAAAAATGAAGAAACGGTACACGACACATCAGTGATTACATAGTTTCAATTCGCGAAGGCATGATACCAATTTTGCATGTGTATGGGCTTTTGAAATCATATGGAAAGAATGGATAGAAATCTACATAGTCCAGGGGATATAATAATGACTTTAAAATGACATTCATAAGCCTATAGAATATCAATATATAAAAAACGATGCTGCTTTTTCTCCTTCAAATATGACTTTTGTAAATAATCCCACCCCCTTTTTTTTTAATTTCGTTATAGATACCAGATCTGACAACTTTCTTAGCAATCGTTAAATAAATGAATAGCACATCCTTAGTTTATAGTAATATAGCTTTATAATCTTTTCTCTTTTCATAAACCCTAGCAAAAAAACTTCTTGAATATAGTAAAAAAAACAAATAGGCGTACAGCCTGACCAATAAATCCCACAATAGCACAATAATAATAATAATAATAAATAAAAACACTCAAATTAGCAATAATCCAATAAATCACACATTCTTTCCAATAAATAATACCTTTCTTTTCTCTAATCTTGTAAAATCATCTCCATATGATTCCCCTATTTTCCATAATTTTTAACCCTTTTTTAATGAGATACAACATTATCATAAATCACTCTTGTTTGTTGTTCCTTATGTACGGATCCTGTAGTGAATCTTACTTTAGCATCATCGAAAACCTGTTGTTTACAACTATGACTCTGTTCCTCTTCTTCCTTATTAACCTTCAGGTTCAAGAGACCTTTAACAAACCATCTGGAATACTTGTATACATTCAGTATTCTGGCGATATATAATGCAAAGTCATAGGCAAGCAACAATATGACTGGAGTTATAATGGAAAATGCTATTATCAACTAAAGAGCTTGTTGTTAGTATAATCACATGTGCGCAACCTGGTATAAGGTGACATACTGAGATGTATTGTATTAGGGAAATGGTGTAATAGATCATGGTGTGTGAGATGCTTATGAGCTTTGAGAGTATTTCCAACATCATCGTCATCTTTATTGTTAATTCAAATCAAAGGGAAATTCCAACTTGTTTATATAAAGTTGGTCTCTTGTTTGAAAATTGTATCTATTTTATTTTTATGTGCCCTTTCTCCTTTGTCTTTTTCTCTGCTACGCGCACGCTTTTTTCTGTCACATGGAGGCAGTCACCCGCCAAAGAACGCTTGTGCAAAAAAAATTTGTTTCTTTTCGAACTTTTTTTAACCTTTACAATTATAAACATCAAGAAATAACGTGTTATTATTGAATGGTGAGTGATCAGTAATGATGTTATATTTGATCTAGGACTCTTTTATATGATGTTCAACCAATTACAAACTTATCTACATTATCTGAGAATTTTCAAGGGAAGAAAACTAATAATCTGATTCTAAGATAGCCTAGATCAACGCTTTTTCCATCACAGTACCTTTTTTTTATCCACAATTGCTAACGATTGTCCAAGCCTAATTTAGATTGTATTACATATCATTCAATTGTTCTGAGAGATTTTTAAAGTTCTTCATTTAACCAGTGTAGCATTCAGTTTATCTTGTCTGATTCAAGATCTGTCACAAACATCATACATACATTTTGCCTTTTGACGTCTTTCAATTAGGTGCTCAACGCGCAATAATTGATTCATTACAGAGATAAGACTACAAAGAATTATCTAGATCGCGGATACAGAAACCCAGATTGTGAATATTTCTTTCTTTTTTACCTTGCACGTCTGCAAACGTGTAGCAATGTTAATTACGGTACCACAATTACAACATGATAAAGTGATCACCACATGGGTATTAAATATTCCTCGACCAACTAACCTTCTTTATGTTGTGTGTAATTCTGGATACCGGTACATGTTTTAAACTTTTCATCTTGAGTCTGTGAACCGAGATAGGCTTGTTTACACTTCAATTGAGTTTGAAAGTCTGATGTACAGTCGATGTACAGGTACACAATCGTAATTGTTGCTCATCGATTAAGGATTTTACAACTTTAACACTCATCACATAATCATTCATCAACTCACAGGTCCAGAATTCAAATGTGTCAATGAATTATGCTTTGACTGATATGAGAACATCGCTGTTGGTATATAAGTTGGTTGATAGGAGAACTACTCCATGAGCTTGTTTGATGCTTTATAAGCGGCTAAAGAGAACATCTATATGAAGTCTGGACTCATGTATATAGCTGGCTTGTCTGACTTGATTGAACAGCTATTGGTTTTAGGTTTGGTTAGCTTTTAGTTCTAGGTTCACAGATGAAATGATTAGTTAAGATGATAATTTCAGCTCCAGGAAGTGTATAAGAATACAGGCTAATTCCAGTTCTGAGAACTGAGGTCGTCTGTTGTGAACTATCTTGCAATAGTCAGAAGGACCAGAGATACACAAAATATCTGTAAGAAGTTAACTATACAATATGTCAACCAGAAGTACATCTAATTCAAGAAGAGCTGGTACTACATCAGCTATGTCAGACATCAATCATCCACGTCAACAGGACACGGCTGTCGCTTCTACTACTTCTGCTGCTGATGCTGCTAATGTGGCTGCTGCTGAAGAATCTCAGGGTCAAGAGGTTTCTGGCAGTTCTTCGCAAATTAAACTACATGGTTGTAGTCTGTAGAACACTTTCGATATTATTATTTGATATGAATGTACTACATTACTAGAAGCTAGTTGTTGTTTCAGGACAAACCGGTCTCCTTCAATCTCAACCCCAGAGCAAACCACGACTGGTCCCTGGAGGATGATTACTGTTCATTAATCATGAGACATCCCATCCAGAATCAACATACAAGATAGCCTCGCCAAACAAAACTAGAACAAAGGCGGTGATCGGGATTATTTTGGGTGTGGTATTCAACTTGATCCGTTGACGTCTTGATCATGGAACAAGGAATAGTCACAATTTTACAAGACATGCTAGTACAAACTATGTGCTCCCGAACACAGGCTCAGTATCTTTTAGTCAACGCTTCATAATTCTACATATCGTTGAAAGTTGATCTGTAGCCATCAAATTAAAAAGACTTTAAGGTTGATGATGACAAAAGTTTGCTTCGCAAATTGATCGATAAGCCTCTTCATCATGACAGCTTAGTACATTTATTAGCTAGTTTATACTGCACGCTGGAGGATGTGGACGTAGCTGTCTGGCTGCTGATATCCAGACTATGGTCATGGCATTTGGATTACAGGCTAGATCAACACTGTATCTTCCAAGAAGCCATCAAACCTTATTGTAGTCATTGAGCCATTGGCGATATACGGATAAGAACATATGATTATATGGTACAGATCTAGCTATTGAGTATATTGAATCACGCAATTAACAATCAATTCAGAGAAATCTATAGAATTCTTTGATCAGATCGTGGACACTGGGCGCTGCCCTTCAAAGGCTCATGAAGTTAGGATACTTTGCAGCTTTCACGATTCGTTTTCTTTTTTGACAATGCTGCAACTCTCGGCGTAAGGTGCCTGAGTTTTACTATTGTTCAAAACACAAGCTAATAACATCACAACAACAATCAATATACACATTTCAGCACTACAGATGAAAGCCCTACATGCAATTGGTTTATCTTATCTCAAAAAAAAAGAAAAATAGCCCATTTCAAGTCAAAAATCAGCAAAAAAAAGTTTCAAAAAAATATGATAACCGCGAGGTTCGAACTCGCGCCTCCGAAGAGACCAGGACCTTAACCTGGCGCCTTAGACCACTCGGCCAGGTTACCATATTTCGGTAACAATAGGATGAAGGGTGATTTGAAGGTGCAGGTCAATATTGGGGTTACGAGCCCGCGAGCTCATTATTTAGAAGGAATTGAATCAATATAAGTAGATTGGAATGATGGTGAAACGTAGAAGAATTGATGTACCTATTTTGGCTGTCATTGAGGTTCTCCGTCATAAATTAATTGCTGTTTTGTTAGCGATGGATTTTGTGTACATATGTTTCCGAGAGGGAAGTTTCAAAAAACCAGTTCACCATGGATGAATGATTGATGACGCATTCGACAAAAGCTAGCAAAATTGCTTTGACAGGTAGTATGAGACTAATTGTATAGTGTTGGTGATAAGTACTCATACGAGAAGATTATTGAGATGATTAGTGAAGATGATATTTTCTGCTCTGGAAGTGTATAAGAATACAGGCTTATGCCAGTTCTGAGAACTGAGGTCGTCTGTTGTGAAGTATCAATCTTGCAATAGTCTGAAGGACCAGAGATACACTAAATATCTGTAGTAAAGCTCAATATGTCTACTAGAAGGAATACGTCTGATGCAGATGCTGCTGATGTAGCTAGTACTGAAGAGGCTCAGGGTAGAGGGGTTTCAGGCCGTTCTTCGCAAAAATATTTGCTTTGAAAGACAGCCTATAGAATATATGCGTTTGATATTGACTACAAGGGGTTTCACGAGTGCTGTAGCGTTTTTGTTTTCTTGATCTGGAACGAGATGTGTGCTACTGATGACCAGTAAAGAACTGCTCATATTAGCTGTTCTTTATATCGTTGATACAATAGGTACAGCTATTGATAGCAGCCTACTGCTATAGAAGTATGATAACAAAAGCCCAACTTAATTGCCAACGTATTATTGATTAGCCAAAATAGTATCTAGTGTGATTTCAAATGCTAGTTCACTTCTTAACTCATCAATTTCTATAGTAATCAACTAATCTCCAAAAACCCAGATGGCTGTGAGCAATATCATTTTTTGTGATATTCGCTAGTGCGTGGAGTAATCCGTTCAAATGCAGTAGCTTGTCCTTTCAGCAAACAATTGAAAAAAAGTGAAACCATTAGTTAAAATTCCACAAGTGACAAAACTTGTGAAAATTAAATATCCATGATCACTTGCTCGAGAGCTCGTGCAAAGTTATAATATTCAAGCATGAGCAGCTCCATGTTTGGATAAATAATATAATGGTACCTGGTGATATTAATCATGATTTTGTTAGTTGGAAACTTTTAGAGCAAATTTGAAACAAAAAATTCAACACATTTAAAGCTGGAATCCTTTCCAAAGCACAAGTGTTGTGTCCACATAAACATTCATGCTGGACTAAAGACCCATAACAAGTATGGAAATGATCTATAATTATAGATATAATATTGCTGATTATCAATGTCATTTTAGAAGTTGCACTGCTGTATTTCACGAGGTAATTGTCATATTATTCAACTGCACTCAGACAATTATTCAATAAAACCAGATGTTGAAACAAAACCAGGTTAGCAAGCAAATATAATCAAAGTAACTGCAGAAAGTTACTATTTGTAACCCTTGGAGGCGATAGTTTAACCAAATACCCGTTTAATGAAAGTTAACCAAAATTGTGAAGCTGATCCAACTAATAAATGCAAACATTGAACCAAATAAAATATTTGGTGTTGTGTTTCAAAGCTGAAATTGTAATCTGACTGTTATTTGGTCAATCTAAATTAACATAAAATACTGAAACTCTTCATATCAACACAATCTGAAAAGTTGAAAACCCTGTAGAGTCTTTTCTTGTTTACAACGACCCACTATTCAGACAATGACGTCCACCAGACTGGTTTTGAAAAGTTCATGAATTGAAACGATATTCTCATGAGCACGCAAGAATGTTAGTGAGCCATTTCTTTGGAAATAAATATGTAGCAAAACAGTTTCAGCAACTAATTCCATTCCAATGTCCCTTATAGACAAACCATACCGACTTGAAGCTAATGAGTTCCCAGTTCTTCTTTGGTTTTTCCAATTTCCAACTAATTTGACGGAGGTGCTCAATTTTCAACCATTTTTCAAAGATCTAGATTAATAACTAAATTTTTTAGTGCAACGTTTCCACCTTTGTTGTCATGACAATATGATGATGCCATGATGAAACATTCTTCAGTATGATTTGTTTAAAAAATGTTTTATACAGAACTCATTTGTCTAGCCTTGAATCCATCAAGCTGAAGTGGATTTCTAAGGGTTAGCAAATATATGGATGATGCTAAGGCATAACAAGTACCAAGGAGCTTGAATAATACTAACAAAAGCATATGTCATAACGAAAGCAGGTCAACAACTCTAGAACATCTAGTTAACTCATCTAACTTGAGAAATTTGTAAACAGTTGCTAGTATCAAGCAGCACCAATTTGAGCTTGTAACTTGTGACCCCGACCTCAAAACACCATGTTTCCCTTTGTTCTCAAATTGTTCAACTAAAAACACCAGCCATTGTTGATTAGCTAGATGATTAACTTCTTCGAATCACCAACGCCAAACTCTGACATGCTGGCTCTTGATAAAGTAGCTCTACTTGTTTGATAAAGAACGACGCAAGAGAAGACGTCTTCCACACTTCGCTTATACAAAAGATGCTGGTTCTTGTAAAATTACCTGTCAGATCTGATTCTTTGTTTACCTCTTGCCTAATCCGTGCACTAATTTTGTTTTTCATCGTGTTTGGTTTGTTGCCCGGTAACAAGAATTCCACCTAAAAAAGTGTTGATCTGATTTTCAAAAGCCTTTAAAAAGTGAAAATCTAGTGCAAGGGGAAGTACAGGGTTTGGCTCTATGAAGAAAGAGGTAAACAAGAGGGTAAAGGCTTAAGGCAACAAATCAACAAGCACAACTCAACTCAAACACTTGAATTAATTCACAAAGGGAGAAAGATTTATGGATAGTAGTTCTTAGTTTCAACTCGTGGTCCTTCTGTAGGACGCGCTCCCTCGAGAAATTTCTCTAGGCTCGTTCCTGAAATTTTGAAATTTTTTTCTTCGCGACTTTCTGCCTGTTGTCATTTTAGGCAGAACCAGAATCTGCGTTTAATTAAACCCGAAAGAGAAAACTTCAAGATGAAGTTGAAGAGATGAAGATAAAAGACGACAAAGTCGATGAAGGATCAGAGCTTTATACAGAGGCTCTCTAGTTACAAAGGTTTATCAAACTACCCACTATTCATACCAGGATCTCAGCCAGATCTCAAGAACTGGGATACGACAAACTTTTAGCTTTGAACACACACTACTTTGTTCAGATTTGAAAATTGAAACGTTTCATCAACTTCATCCTCAAAAGCTCAATCATTGACAACAACGAATTAAGAATATCTGAGCTGCCTCGAAGCTTCTATTCACCTTGTTCAAGGATATATCGTCTAATAGGGGTGCTGCTGGGTTCTTGACTTTGTGTCTATGAACAAAGATGTGTAGTTCATTTTCAGTATTGATCCTTCAATACCGATAACGTCTGATACTTTGTGCTCACTATTTCACACCTCATGGAGGAACCCAACAGTTTATACGGTGGAGCCTGTGGCCACTGGGTACTCAATCTCAATTATGGTTCTATTCAAAAGCACAACGTTCCTTGTTAAAGTTTCAAGCGTGCACTAAATATTTCTTTTGGACCGTTAAAGTTCGATGATGATACCTGAAAAACCCCCATCATGGGCTTAATTGATTGATTATTTTATTATTTACCCATACAAAGAACGCGTTTTTTTATGAGCAAGATAAATTAATTGCATAGACAAGTTGAAATTGGAGCAGCATTGGCTGTCTTACCTAGTTAAAAGCTGTAGGATAAAGCTCTTGATCTAGAACTTTTCCAGGTTGACTGATTGTCTGATCTCAACTACTTCTGACACTAACAGAACATGAGCACAAACCATAGATAAACATCACAGCTTGTGTAAGTTGCTCATGCCATCCACCAAACAGCTCTCTGCCTACAGCCTTCTTTCTAGCCCTCTCTCTGCGTAGCCCTCTGGCATTCTCCTTTGAGTTAATTGCAAACATGATGTTGATCTCACTAGCGCTGGTTTGCAAATTTCTGATCTGGGCTTGTCGCGGCTGCAGCTCTACGCACAACGACGAAAAAGAAAAATCATTTTTTGAAAGGCACACATTTCCCAAAACCAAATCTGATCTTCGAGGAATTTATAAAACATCAAGAATTCCATCTTGGTTTCACCATTTTGCACACTTCTTTTTCCTTTTCTTCAAAAGCTATCATCATCTACTACAGAGGTCTTCCCACACACTTTCCTTAAGGTCCAAACTTCACAGTCTTTCTTTAAATTCAATCCTTTGAATCAACAAAGCTCAACCCACATTCATTATCAAATTCACGACACGCTCCTTTTGTTTACCGTGTTTTTTTTCAGAGCTTTCTAACTCAAGTCTATCCTTATATTTACAATGAAATACTCATTCGTCTTACCTTTATTATCTTTGGCCTCTTCAGTCCTTTCAGCTCCAGCTGTTGTCACTGAAACTTCAGTTGTTTTAGTTACTGCCAACAATGGTCAACCAACTTCTTCAACTATTGAACAAGCAGCTTCCTCAGCTACTCCTCAAGTTGGCCATGTTTATGAAGTTGTTGTTTCTGAATTAGTTGAAGTCAGCGGTGACCATACTCAAACTTCAACAACCACTTTCACCAGAACTGCTTCAAAACCAACTTCAACTGGTAATGCTGCTCCATCTTCATCTCAAACTGCTCAACAAGAATCAACTCTATCCCAAGCTGACAGAGCTGTTGTTTCCACTATTGATGATGTTTCATCAACTTCTCAACAACAACCAACTCCATCATCAACTAAACAGACCACCACTTTACAACCATCATCAACTTCTCAAGAACAAACCTCAACCTCATCAACTTCAACTCAAGCTTCATCAACCACTTCCCAATCATCAACTCCATCTCAAGGTACTGATTCAAGCTTTGCTTCTGAAATCTTAAAAGCTCACAATGATAAACGTTCTCAAGATGGTGCTTCTCCATTATCTTGGTCTAAAAAATTAGAACAATATGCTCAAGATTACGCTGATAAATACGACTGTTCAGGTGGTTTGACCCATTCAGGTGGTCCATACGGTGAAAACTTGGGTCTTGGTTATTCAACTTCAGGTGTTGTTGATGCTTGGTATGGTGAAAAATCAGACTATAACTCAAACTCTCCATCAGCTTCTCATTTCACCCAAGTTGTTTGGAAATCAACCACCCAATTAGGTTGTGCTAAGAAAGAATGTGGTAGTTATTGGGGTCAATATACTGTTTGTTCATACGATCCAGCTGGTAATGTTGCTGGTGGTTATGCTCAAAATGTCCAATAAACAGCTTATACCAATTAACTTTTCTTTCTCATGTCACATATCACAAAAAGGAAATAAAGCCGATTCTTTGTTTTTTATTTCCATTAATTTCATTTTTTTTCAATCATTTTATACCTTCTGAACGTTTGAATTTTGGGTTTTATTCAATGTTCTCCAATTATGTTATTTTTCTTTTATGCTATCTGGTGAACATGGCTTCTTCAAGCCATGTCTGGGTTTTATCTTTAGGTTACACAAGTTTTTTTTTTCAATATGGAATCTTTTTTGATACATAGGTTATGCACACTTTAGTTTGTTAATGATTGATGTAGTTTGCGTTGTCGAAGTCGTTGTCAAAGTCGAAGTCGAAGTGGACGTTGTCATTTTTCATTTTTCGCGAATTCATCACACTTCAACTTTCAACCTTCAAACAGCCATAAATGGCCGACAAGTATGCTAATTCAAGAGATGGCCACTAAAATTAAGAGGGTAGAGGATATCACGGTCTAGAATACGTTATAGGAGGAGACAATGGACAGTTCGTACAGTTATGTGTCAACTTTTGTTCGAGATTCATGCAAGTGATGCTTCAACTAAATCTAAAACATGGATGAATCCAACATGAGTGCATCACCAAAAAGTGCTAAAATGTTGATATAAAAGATGTTAGATCCTATGATAATGCTAGTGCTGCTACCGCTGATCAGTATCAGTTCCAAAAGCTAGTGTGACTTGAGATGTTGTGGATAAGGTACTCTTTATTGGTATCACCTTTACTAGCAAAGACTGTGACATTACACCAAACAAATACTCATACAATCCAAGAAGTGCAAACAGAAGTCCATACAACTTTAATAACGAGATGGTCAACGATACAGCATACAGATGAACCCACCACCACCACGACTATAACGAGGACTACCACAACAACTATTGATATAGATCCATCTTCCTCTCCATCATCATTCCCATCACAGGTTGTTGATTTACACAATTATGAAAGGTCAAAACATAGTGCACAACCTCTTACTTGGTCTTCAGAACTGACAAATTTTGCAGAGTCCTACGCTACAAACTATAATTGTAACGGGACTCTAATCCACTCACATTCAAAATATGGCGAAAATTTAGCATTAGGTTATAATACAAGTGCGGCTATAAAGGCATGGTATGATGAAGTGAAGCTATATGATTTCAATAATCCAGGATTTAGAGAAAGTACTGGTCATTTCACACAATTGGTTTGGAATAGTACAAAATATATTGGATGTGCCGTAAAAGATTGTGGTTCATACTTTGGCCAATATTTGGTTTGTGAATACGATCCACCTGGGAATTTCCAAGGTGCTTTTGATGATAATGTTTTTGCTGGTTAGAAAGAAAAGGTTGGGTTTAATTTGTGTGTAGTGTTCTCAATTTAATTGTTTGGTTGATCTTCGTATTTGATAAGCTTGTAGCTGAGCCTTCTTCCCTTCATGTCAACTATAAAACTACCAACCACGCACAAAGACTCCAAAAATAACTTTGGGTGGGTCTACAATAGCTACGCCATTGTTCTCTGCCACTGCCCCTTAAAGTCTAAACCAATACCAGCCTTTAAGACGTTACGAAAGAAGTTTCTCGTTAAGGTACAAAAATTTTGAGTGTATTTTTGACGTTTTCCAGATCTCAGGTACCCAAGCAGAAGGGAAAAAAAAATTAGTCTGAGCAAGCTTTCTTAAGTGTCAACACAACACCAAACAACAACGACATCAAAGAAGAACTCATAATCAAGGGATAAGACACTCAGAATCAACTAAACATACATTTCAGAAATACCACAATCTAAAAAAAATTTGATGATTACCAAGTGGAACAGTCTGAAAACTTGTGTTTACTCTCATATTTTTGTCATCTCCTAAACGATAAGAAAGCTGCCTAAAGGAGATGGGTTTACTAGGAAGGAGACATACACACCATCAAGTATCGACGCTTAAGAAGAACCAGAACAATGATGCGCTCGCTAACCCTCCTTCTCAATCATCTTTGATCGCTGCCCAGGCTGCTGCTTCATTATTTCAAAACTCAAACAATTCTGCTGTTGGTCAACAAACAACACCTGCTGCTAAAAATGCAAGTGCTGGCTTGAGAAGAACTACCTCAGTTAATGGTGTGCCTACTGCTACAAGACCAAAAGTTGTTGTTCACCCTAACGTGAAGAAAAGTCCATTACCACCAAAACTTGTGAACAATAATACTAATCAAAATCATAATGCTCAAGCTAATATTGAAAATTTATCATTGAATGAAGAACCCCCAAAATTAACAAGAGCTAGAAGTCGATCACCAGCGCCTACATCAAGAAGAACCACACCACCAAATCATACTGTTCCTTCGGCAACTTCCATTCAGGCAATTGCAAGTGCTGCTGCTAAATCTGCTGCTAATTCAACCGCTGATTTACTATCGCCACCAAATCCATCTCATACCAATAAAGTCTATCCTTCAAGTCCTTCCATCTCATTGGGTTCTTCAAACTCTCTAGATTCTGCACCTTTTTCATTGAAACCACCAAATTTCCAAGGTACTATTAATAGATCAACTTCAGATGTGGCTAGTATTTCAGAAGCTCAATTACACCCGCCAAAGTTTTATTTTGATTCTGATCAGAATGGTTCGGATTACTTTGATGGATATGATAGATCCTCCATAAGATCAAGTTCAGCTGGTTCTGATTATTTATCAACACCTAAATACCAAAGAGGTTCAGGTGGTTCTTCTTCACATTTAGCTTTGGATACAATTCCATCAAGGATTGATGAGCATGAAAATGAATATTATGAATCCGATCCTAATGATTATGATTATGATCACGAGGGTGATTATTCGGACTCTGACTTACCACAGTCTCAAATTGAGTTTAATATTGATAGATCTTTAGATCCATTGACACCAACAAGTAAATATGATTTGTCTCAACTGCAACAGTCAACTAGACCATCTTTACCAATGAGGAAACCACCACCATCAGATATTCCACCTTTACAACCAGCTCAAAATATGCATCTTGGTAGCAGTTCTTCATTATTACCAAACCCTGCACCTCCAATGAGTAGAAGAAATACATCACCAAAAAGAAAACCACCTCCAGGCTCTCCTTATTTGAACCAATACGACACTGATAGTGTTTTAAATAGTGGGCTTGACGGTGAGGAAGATGACGATGATGATGATCCATTACCACAATATCCATTATCAGTTGAGGCTCAAGAATTGAGAAGAAGACATCGTCATCATCATGGATTTCGTAAAAATGCCAAAAATATTTTCAAAAAAGGTATGAAAGTTACAGCTGCTGCGAATCCTACATCATATCTTTCAAATGATAATGAAGAGCCAAAAATTGGACATTTCAGAACAACAATGAGAAAAGAGAAGAAAAAATCAGTGTTCAATGAGGATAAACCATGGAAACATCATAATGATAGAGAATACATCACAGAACAAGAAAGAAAAAGATATGATGGTGTTTGGGTTGCCAATAAAGGTTTATATATGAATTTAGTTGATCCCGCAACGTTGAAACAAGGTGCTGAAGAACAAGAATCAGAAAATGTCGCATTGAAAGCATCAATGCTGTCCACAAAGACTGAACAATCACCAATGCAGGAAACGAGCTTGATGTTGAATTTGGTTGTTAGAGATCTTTGGTCAAGAAGTAGACTACCACCAGATCTACTAAGACAGGTATGGGAACTGGTTGATACTAGGAAAGATGGTACGATTGAGAGGAAATCATTCATTATTGGGATGTGGTTAGTTGATCAATGTCTTTATGGGAGAAAATTACCAAAGCAGTTAGATAATTCAGTTTGGAATAGTGTTAGTCAACTGGGGGTTAATGTTGTTATAAAGCCAAAGAAGAGAAAGTGATAGATATTATAATAGTTAGTGTAATAGGTAATGATAATTTATGTTTATTTTGCAAAAACATTACACGTCTTATCAGATTAGATAAACTTGCTCCGCGAAGTGGTGTAATGATGTGCCTTAATTTTCATGGCATATGCGTAAGATGTCGCTTCATCCTTTCATTAAACACACTTGACTACCTTTTAACATTTAGTGATTTCAGCTGGATTGATTCCATTAATTTCATAATTAGCAAAGTAAATATCACCATGGGACTTCAACTACCACACTCTGATCAAGAAAATAGCAGACAATCAAAGAGAACATTTACAAGTACTTCGAGAAGTACCAATCAAGAGGAGGTACATAAAAGAAGATCCATCAAGGAAGAGGATGACACAGAATCACAAAGTTCGCTTTCTTCAACAACCTCAGATGAGCAAGATGATATTTTGCAGAACAATCAAAGGGTGGCTCAATTTCTAGGGGAATTTGAAGAAACGCCCATGGATCTTTTAGAAGCGATTGAAGTTATCATTGGTTTCAGCAGAGAAAGAGAATCAATGGGTATCAACATGTGGGAGAGGATTGGGGTCAGCGAGGAAGATTTCAAGGTGGTTCTTGAAGCCCTTGAAAGATATAGCTGGGAGAGCGAGATTTCTAGATTACAGGCACCAAAATGAAATTAATCAGGTCAGACGACAGATAAAGTTCTTGAAACCAGGATTTCATTGTCCTCTACCCCCCTGGAATTGTATTATATAATAAACATTTCTATACCACTAGTTACCCATTATCTTGTAGTCCTATCTCTTAGCCAGTCTAATATTGATAAATCTTTGGTTTCGCGAATTTGTTCACGTCAAGTTTCAGATTTTCGCTTGGATAGGAAGCTGGCGATGAACCACAATCAGAGAAAATGCTTGAGCTCTCGGAACTGTATGGCAACGTAATTGATCCAGAGAATTCAGATATCAACTTGCTAAAGCACTAGAGCACTGACAGAACAAGACTCAGGAATATTTCAACAATCCACTTTTCAGCCATAAACTCATTCCCCCTTTTTCCATCTTTGCTTCACTGGAGTATTTTTTGTTCATTCCCACTATAGCCCATACATTTCTTTTGGCAAGATAGGAGAGACGCTAAAAATTCAACATCAAGTATAAATCAAATACAGCAAATTCTATTCTTGAACCAACTTCATCATAAGGATTAAATCATCACAAAAATGCTACGTGCTCTTGGTTTCAGAAGGCAAGAAACTTTGTCGCAAGATGAAGCCACGCCGTTAATTTTACAACAAGCTCATGATTTCGAACTTGCTTTACAATCAATGGATTACTTATTAGATGATCGTACCAAAGAAGGACTTCATTTGATTGAAGACGACCCAAATTGTACAATCAAAGTGCTAGCAAATGGTGTTATCAAGTTTTTAGAAGCAACTTTAGGCTTTGAACCTGAAGTTATGAAGAAAGCTGGTGAAATTTTAACAAAAGCTGAAACTTTATCACATAGAGATCGTTCGAAATACCAAAAGATGAAATTGAAAACTTCTGCAAATTTCCCACCAGGTACTGAGTATGCTGTCACTTATGCTGAAGCTAATTTGTTGAACGCCTTAATTATGTTATTATCAGAAAGTATGATTGAAAGTGCCAAAGCTTTATACAAGTTGAGAAAAGCTTATCATACATTAGATGAAGTGTTTGTACTCATACGAGAATATGAAGCTCGTCAGAAACTTCAAAAACAAAAAGAAGGTGACTTAAACAATATTCCTAATCAAAGCTCATCAACCATTAACTCTGATACAAGCAGTGTCTTTGCAGACATTCCATTTTCATTAAGCACCGAACAATTAAAAGATACCAAGATAACAGGATTTGCTGAAAATATTCAAAGAATGAGATCACTTAGATTAAACGGTGCTCATATCGGTAATACACCAGCTACAGATAGACTAAGATCGGAATTAGGGTATAATAAAGAAGCATCAGAAACTGTTGATTCTGACTCCAACTCCACAGCTGAACAAAGAGCCATTGATGAATCTCAATCCACAGTTGATGAATTTATAATCTCTGGTGCTAATTTATGTTTTGGTATTTTGCAATTAGTGCTTTCATTGATCCCACCAGCGATTGGAAAAGTTTTATCAGTTGTTGGTTTCAGAGGTTCCAGAGAAAATGGACTTAAAATGATTTGGAAATCAGTTGAAGGGAGAAATGTTCATGGTTGTATTGGATTATTGGCCCTTTTGGTGTTTTATGATGGTCCCTTCCAATTCACTGATGCTGATTTTGATATTCCAGATCTATCACGTACTAAATCAACAACTTCAACAACTCATTCAGAACAAAAATTATCACTACAGAAAACCCTAAGTCAAAAACGAATGAGATCTGAATCATTCGCATTCCAAGGAGTTGGGAAACCAACTCTATTACACCCTGGTAAAAAACTGGAGGATGCATTACTTTACGCTAGAGCATTATTTCCACATTCTGCATTATGGTTGCTACAAGAATCACGTATGTTGGCTTCAAGAGGCCGTTTAGAGGAAGCATTGGACCTTATGGATAGTCTTGATAGAAAGATTGAAATGAGACAAGTTGAAGCTTTACTAGTTTTCGATAGAACTATGATTTTGATCTTTTTGCACAAATATGAAAGAGCAGCACAAGATTTGAAAACATTAGTTGACATTAATGGTTGGTCTCCTGGGCTTTACACTTATTGTGCTGGTTGTTGTTATTTGGAATTATATCGTATGTGCAAAATGGGTATAATTACTGATAAAGAAGAATTGAAACGTGAAGGTTACTTTAGAAAGAAAGCGGAACAGTTAATTTTGGAAGCTCCACAATATAGTAAAAGTGGGAAAATTAATGGTAAACAAATGCCCTTTGACAAATTTTTGATCAGAAAAATAACACAATTTGAACAGACTGCACAGACTTATAAAGTTGATTTCATTGATGCTATTGGTACTTCACCTGTTCATGAATTGGCATATTTTTGGAACGGTTATAATAGAATGCCAGAAGAACATTTACAAATTGCCACAAAATTATTGGATTATAGTGTTTCTGAACATGCTAAAGTTCCTGAAATTCAAAACCAATCAATGATTCGTAATTTGTTACAGTCAATCACATTAAGAAGATTAGGTGAATTTTCAAAAGGTGATGAATTGATAGATAAAAAAGTCTTGAAATACATTATTGAACTTGATGATCCTAGAGAACCTGATTATAGATTCATTAGACACACTGATGATCCATGGTTATACCCAACTGCATTGTATGAAAAGGCATTATTTGTCTGGAAAGAATCTGGAATTAATGGGTTAGAGGAATCTAAAGAATGGCTGAAACGAGCACAGGCATACTCAGATGATTATGAACTAAGTACTAGAGTTTCCATGAAAATCAAAGCAGCTTTAGATAGACTAGAAGACCTTTAAAGAGCATTCTGTCATTTTGAGTCGTGACATTATTATCTATTGTGCGTAGTCAGCGCTGACGTAAGAATCTCTCGTGTCGTAATATTGAGCGCGATTTTGTGAGCTATCAAAGTTTAGACACGGAGTGTAAAATCTAGACTTGTTGTGTTAATGTTATGAGTTAACAAAGAAACTTGAGAACAAAAGCTAGACTGGATTTCAACAATAGTACCATAAAATTGTGCTCATTTCAAATTTCAAACACCTTGTCCAAATTTTCAACTAATTATTAGTTCATGCGAACAAACAGAAAAGTCAGTACAGTCACACTATCTATATAAGAACATTGTGAGGTCTGTGTGTTTGTTCAGCTTAAAATATACCCTATAACCTATATGACAAGAAGAAGTGCTAGACTGCGTGAAAAGGCTGAATCATCAATCCCATCGGTTGAGGTTTGGATACCAAAAGAAGTCAAGAAGAACAAGAAGATAGAAGCAGCCGCCAGTAGCGCAGACGCAAAGAGAATAAAGATTGATTCTCCAAAGAAGATGATTGAAAGTGAACCAGAGGAATCATTAGGATTTGAATATGAAGACGAAGAAGATGATGACTTTGGTGGTAGTCCTGGAGTTTCTGATTTTTCATTTGATGAAGATGACGAGGATGAAGAAGTGGCACTTCATAATGGAGGTGGAGATGGCGATGAATTTAAACCTGAGGAATCATTAAAGGAGAAAATACCCCTTGTTCAGTTCAAATATCATACAACAAAGGAACTAGCTCAGAAACTGGGAGCTCAAACAAAAAATATATCTGATGTATTGCAATTAACAGATGACGAAGCTCTGATTTTACTACAGTTTTACTCGTGGAACTCTGAAAGGCTTATGGAGGAATACATGGATGATCCAGAGCGTGTAAAGGCAAACGCTGGTGTTGTGGATGGTGGCTCTAAAAGTCACACTTCCCTATATAAGAAATATCCTCAACATGATTTTGGTTGTTTTATTTGTTGTGAGGATAAGGATGATAGTTATCAGTTATCATGTGGCCATGGATATTGTATGGACTGTTATAGACGTTATGTGAAGGATAAAACATCATCAGGCAAAGTTATCAAGTGTCCCGATTGTGATGTTGCTTTAGATTCCCATGATCTAGAGTTTATTGGTGGAGAAGGTGAATCATTTAAGTTGATTGAAAGCTCCATCAGGGAATGGGTTGAAAGACACAAAGCTTTCAAATGGTGTCCAGCTCCAGATTGTGATAGTGTTGTTGAAGTTTTAAACTTGTCGGATATACCGAATATTGTTAAAAATCAACAAGTTCCAGTTGCCACATGTAACCATGGACATCAATTTTGCATTGCTTGTAATTTTGAGAATCACAATCCAACACCATGTCAAATTACAAAAGAATGGATCACCAAATGTAAAGATGATTCAGAAACTGTTAATTGGATTATGTCTAATACTAAACAATGTCCAAAGTGTGATTCTTCAATTGAGAAAAATGGTGGTTGTAACCATATGACATGTAAAAAATGTGGCAATGAATTCTGTTGGATTTGTATGGGTGATTGGAAAGCTCATGGATCTTCATTTTATCAGTGTAACAGATTTAATAGTCAAACAGAGGAACAGAAGAAAGACATTAATAGTAAGGCAAATTTGGCCAATGCATCCAAAACATCATTAAAAAGATATTTACATTATTATAACCTTTTTGCAATTCATGAAGCTTCAACTAATCAAGATTTCAAGAGATGCAAATTTGTGGAGGATAAAGTTCGTGAATTGCAAGAAACATCAGGCATCTCATGGATTGAAGCCCAATTTTTGGTTGAAAGTGCAGAAACTTTATTGAAGGCTAGAAAAGTGTTGAAATGGTCTTATGCATTTGCTTATTACTGTGATCGTAACAACTTTTTGGATCTTTTCGAGTCTATTCAAGCCGGCCTTTCAGATGCAGTGGAGAACTTGAGTAAATTGTTTGAAATTGAGGAACCTTTAGAGATTGTCAAACAAAAATTAGAATTCTTGAACAAAAGTAGGTATCTGGGTGATCGTCAAAATGCAATGATATCATGTACACAAGAAGCTATAAAGAACGGGACTTTGAACAATAAGAGTACGTGATAACAAAGTGATGTTTCAGAACATGAGTGGCTTACGAATTTAACAAGGATAAATTATTTTAGAAAAATCATTTTAGTGTAGCTAAACAAAAACAAAAAAAGCAAAACTTACTGTACATAATCTTTATCTAAATCTTTCTGATAACAATTTTTCAACACCAACTTCTTCCAGCTCCTTTTTACTAACCCATAATTGATGGAAAGTACCCAAACTTGACAAAACGGACCCACCAATCCAAGATTGGAATTTTCTTTCAGCAGTATTACCAGCAGCATGAAGTCTGATTTTCAAACCTGGATGATTTTTATTCAAATCTGCTAATAAACGATCATTCAAACCTGGGATTAAAGAAGACCCACCAGTAACAATAATGTTATGAGCTAATTGAGCTCTAATATCAACATCAACTAATGACAATGCATGTGAAGTTAATTCAGAAAGACCTCTAAATCTAGGAACTTCCTTTTTACCACGGGTTGATGTTTTCTCTTGTTCTTCTTGTTCATCATCTTCGGTTGGTTTTTTAGCTCTTTTCAATGGAACATAATCTATATTTGATTTGATTTCTGGTTCACCACTTTCCGGTTCAAAGCCATCAATTTGATAATTTGCAGGTTCAAATAACGAATCACCAAATTCAAAACGTGATTTACCAAATTCGATAGTGTGTGCATTTGGTAGTTCAAATGATCTTTTTGGGAAAACTTCATCTTCATCATCGTATTTAGTATCTTTTGTGATTGGGTCTTGTGGGACCTTTATGATTGTTTCTTTCAACTGTTGTAATGTCTTCTCTATTTGGTAATCTTCATATGATTTAGTTATATTTTCAAATTGTTTTGGAACCCAGTTTGGTTTTTCATTAGGCTGGGTCAACACTTTGGACTTGACTTTGTATAATGGTATGACTTCTTTATCTAATGAGTCAATGTGAAGTTTTAATTGTTTTGATAAATATTTACCAGCGTAGTGAGTCTTCAATGTAGTTTTAGCCAAACACATACCATCAACAACTGGTGTAACACTCGTTATATCATGGCCAATATCAACCACCAAGGCTGAAGGTCTCCCTAGCGCAAATGAAACACAGGTTGGCACAGACGCTAGGTAAAAACCTGGGAATTCAAATTGTTCCAAGGCAATTTCCAATGATTTTGTTCTATTTTCTTTAGTATTCCACACTGGTTCAGTTAATAACAATGGTTGTTCTTTGTAATCGGCTCTCAGATTATCGAAAAGATATTCCCATTGCTCTACTGCTGAATCCCAATCTGTTATTATTCCATCCTCTAGTATTGGTTTCAATTCAGCATTTGGTTTGGGAAAATTTATTGAATTTTCTGAATAGTGTGTAAATGATCTTTTCTTTGGTATTTTAGGTCTGAGTGAAGTATCATCGTCAGCAACATCTTCCATTTCTTCATCTCCATCGGTGTTTTCCTGGCTATCAAATCTAGCATAGGATGGTGTAATTATTCTTGGACAATCTTCACCTGCATAACCAACTTTTGTTGATTGAGATCCAGGATCTAATACTAGGGCAGCTACTTCATCTAAAACAAGTTGTTAGTAATTTGAAAATAGAAAAATGCTCTAAGCTAGTTTAGACATACCACCACCGTAGACTTGTAAGATGGAATTCGAATTGGCCATTGCTTTTGTGGTTGAATTTGTTTGGCTTTGAACACCTCAATGAAGAACCCATCTTCAAGATTTGATGTTTATTTCGTGGAAAACTTCACCAGAAATGGTACGCGGCACACCATACAAAAGCACTCACTACATACAAATTGACAATAGTCTGATTAACAATAACAATAAGGAGCTCTGTGACATTATAGCGCAAGTAAGTCAGTACCCTGAGCTCTACTGTTGAGTACTATGATCTATCTCTTTTCTTAGCTGTTAGTGGCTGGTGACTCTGGACTTTGTGCGTGATGATTTCGACAGAAAGAAAGATGTGACCAGTAGCTGTTTCTGATCACGACAGAATATTAAAAATAAGTGACTCAACGAATATAATGGCTTACATTTCCAATCATAGTATCAATAACTATTATTAATGACTCCCCATAAAAACTACTCTTCAAAAACTCAACAATAAACCCTCTTTTCTAGCCCTATTTTCCAATTGTTCTGGATCACCAAAAGTAAATCCGAGAATTCGCGAAAGGTGCCACCGAGAAAAAGCAAAAAAAAAGTGTGTCCCCGTTTCCAAAAAAAGAAGCTGAGAATTTTGCGAATTCGAATTTGTTTTTTTTTTGGAATCTGATTCTGAATTGGAACTTGAGAGAACCACAATCAACAACAAGTCAGAGACCACCATCCAACAAAGGCTCGTTCCCAGATACACTCAGTTTTCTGCTGCTGCTTTAGTACGACTCTTACAACACATTTCCCATACCTTCCAAAGGCTACAACGACCACCAGAAACCCATCTTATCACAGAACCTTAAGAAAAACACCCCTGGCAGAAGATTAATAACCGCTACAGTCAAGTCACAACAACAACAACAAATACAAATAAGAAATACATCATGTCCTCAACAAGTGCAGCATCTTTGTTATTACGGCAATTTCGTGAGCTAACTGACCCTAAAAAGGCCATCCCTTCATTCCATATTGAACTTGAGGACGATAACATCTTTCTGTGGAATATTGGTGTCATGGTGCTAAATGAAGAGTCAGTTTACCATGGTGGTTACTTTAGAGCTCAAATGAAGTTCCCATCTGATTATCCTTTCGCTCCACCAACTTTTAGATTTACACCAGCTATTTATCATCCTAATGTTTATCGCGATGGTAGATTATGCATATCCATTTTGCATCAAGGTGGTGACCCAACCTCAGATGAACCAGATGCTGAAACTTGGTCCCCAGCTCAAACAGTGGAAACAGTATTGATTTCTATTGTTTCTTTACTAGAAGATCCAAATCCTTCATCCCCTGCTAACGTTGATGCTGCAGTGGATTGGAGAAAAAGACCAGATGTCTACAAGAAAAAGGTTGAATTAGAAGTTGAAAGATCAAAACAGGATATCCCACAAGGATTTGTCATGCCAACATCTGCTAGTGCATATCTAGCTACCCACTCTGCACCAGTTGAAGATGAAGTTGTTGATGAAAATTTTTGGTATGATTCCGAGGAGGAAGAAAGCTACGATGACGACAGCATAATGGACGATGTTGAAGGTAATGAAGAAGAAGATGAGGAAGAAGATGAAGAATTATCAGAAGAAGAAGGCGAAAAATGAGAGAAGCAATTAGAAGAAACACAGATACCCAAGCAAACCACCATCAGCAACCACCCAACTCAACAAGAAATCCAATATTAGCTCAACCCAAACTCATATTTTTAATCACCAAACTGAGCATACGTTTATTGTTTTTAATGTCCCCTAATTTTATACAGCATATACAGGTACTTTTCTGATTTTACTTTTTGTTTTACCTTTTTTTAATCTTTTATCACATTTCTTTCCGGGAAGGGTTCAAGGCATATTGGTTCATATTTATTTTAGTTATTGCTAGTTTTTCTTCATCTTGTTCACAAATTGATTTTCACCTTTACACAATGCTTTACATGATTTCACCCTGCTTTATCAAATCTATATCTTTATATTTATCTAACGTCGTCCACAATTTTGTTTGCAGGTGTCATGTCTTTAACATTTGATATTTTTACGGGGCTTTTTTTGAACTACAGTTTTTCATTAGATAAACTGTATAATCAGTTTCAATAAGCCATGCCATGATAATATACATTATAATTAATTTTAAAGACGTAGTGATTCTTACTGATCAGCGACATATTCAAACTTAGACAATTCCTCAAACGCTTCACTCAAATTCTTCATCTTCAACCGTATAACGCCCACGGGATAATCTTTTTCAGTTATTAAAACAACACTAAATTTTGTCCCCTTGATTCTTTTTAAATAAAGCATATAATCTTCAACTTCAACAGCTAAAACATCATCGTCATCATCAACACCTTCTTCACCATCTTCTTGGTCATCGCCATGTTCATTGATGTAACTATTCATTGCCAATAATGAAAACATTCTTAATTTTGTAGTTGTTATATCACCCTCATATTGAGAGCTTATATGTGAAGATAACGGAGCACCAGTTGGTGTGATTAATGAAATGGCCAATAATGATTTTGATGTTGTTCGTACTGGTCTGAGGCCTTGTACAAGTACGTCCTCTATGTTTTTGGAATGAAGCATCTTTGATAGGTGGTGATGTATTGAATGGCTTTACTTTAGCTTTCTTGTTGTTTGATTTGTTGATGGTCAAATGTCGAGAATGATAATTTCGTACTGTCTATAGTGACACGTACAATTTTGACAGATACATCTACAATAACAAATCGTAAATATCAAATCATAAACTATTGATGTTTTTCTTCTCTTATAAAGTTTCATATATAAGTTCTCTAACTCTGTAATCCTCATTTGCCTCTTCAATCTCTTCCCAATTCCCAATTATATCATCGCTACCACGAACAACAGCAGGTAACAAACGACCTCTACCATAACGACGCCAAACATTTCTGGCCTGTTCATCAGTTCCTAGATCTCTATAAGTGAATGGGATTCTATTACCAGTTAAAATTGTAGCTAGTTTGTTGGTTCTAGTTGGCATATGGAACCCACCCCCTGCTAATGAAGTGTAAATATAAACAGGTTCATTTTTCAAAAGCTCAATAATTTCATCCTTTGTTGGTTCGTGAATCTCTTCAGGCTGTTCAGCTTTTGGTGTTTCTTCAGTTGTTTTAGTAGCTTCTTTATTAACAACATTGATTTCAGAGTCACCTTTATCCTTTGATACAATTTTTGATAGATCTTTAGCAACTGATTCGACCTCCTGTTTGGTTTCAGTAGGTTTAGCTTCTTCGGTATCGATTGTCTTCTCTTTTGAAGCAGCACTTGTTAATGATTCATCACCGTCATCAATGGCATCTTCAAGTTCTTTAATCAATCTTTCAGCTTCACCTGCCGCGTCATCAACTTTCAATGCTGAAACACCTTTGGATAAATTGGCCTCATCATTTTCAGCTTCATCATCAACTTTAACAGGAACATCAGATTCTTCATAATCCGTAGTTGGGGTTATTTTGATTGATTGATTTTCGTCTTCTTCTTCTTCTTCCTTCTTCACAGGAACATGGACCTCGGCTTCCTTTTTACCAGGTTTTGAGTCAGCTTCCTTTGAAATCTGCTCGTCTAATTTCTCTATAGCTTCCTCTTGCTTTTCTTGATCAGGCTGTTCTAATGTTTCTTTAGGCTCAATTGGTTCTTCTTTGGCTTCATCTTCAACTGCATGTTCAGCTTCCTCTTTCACTCCACCTGGAACAACTGTTGATAATGCATCTTTTGGCAAAATTTCAGGTTCAGTTGTGTTGTCATCTTTCCGATCTGTCAATACATCTTCTTCATCTTTTGGGATATCAACATTTTGACCAGTTTCGGTATCCACGGTTTCTTGTTCAGTTGATGCTTTAGTGGTTGATGGAGTTTCCTCTGGTATTTCAACAGCTTTAGATGTTGTAGTTTCAGTAGACTTTTCAACTTTTTCAGTCTTATCCTCAACTGGTTCTTCTGCTTTAGGAATTGACTTCAAAGGTTTTGTGTCTTCTGTCTCTTTCTTTTTGGGATTCTCAACCTCACTCTTAGCGGATTGAGCTTTACCAGTACGACTGGATTCTTCAGCATCCACGGCTGCCTCAGATTCATCTGTGGCCTTTACCTCAGTATCCTTATCATCTTTAACTGAATCTTCCGGTCTAGTCAACTCTTCCTCTTCAAAATCTGCCAACTTTGGAACTTTTTGTGGAATTTCCACATCAGTTCCAGCTTCAGTTGCAACTGTCTCTTTAGGCTCTTTATTGATTTCTTCAACACTTTCAGTTTCATTGTGAACAGGTTTTTGTTTTGATTCTTTTTCCACCTTTTCATCTTCTTCTTCGCTCTCTTCATTCAGAGTTTCATGGTGTAGCCCATCAATATGATCAATAGCATCATCACGAGCAGTATCCATATCAAAACGATGTTCAGGATCATTTAACAAAGCACCTTCATCTAATAATTCTTTGTTTGATACTGGACTTTCTTTTGAAACTCTTGATCTAGATCTTGAAACTGAACGTAGGAATTCTTTGGAAGGTTGGGAAATATTTGCATAGATGTTATCTTCACGATTAGGTCTTCTACCTGGTCTATATTCACTATGAGCACCTTTGTATGAATCACCTCTTGCAAGATGTGGCTTCTCAGGACTAGCATCTGAGGCAAACGATTTTGTTGAACGGATTGCTGATTGAGATCTTGATTGAACCAATGGAGAGTAGACCCCCTCATGAGCACCAGCTGGAACTTGTTGTAATGAATCATTTTCAATAACTGAGTCTGGAATAACACCACTATTTGATCTTCTTCTTGATCTTGATCTTGATGATTCCAAAACTTTTGGTTTAGTCTTTTTGTCACTAATTCTTTTCTGGAAATCAGTAGAAAGTTCAGTCATTGATGCAATTTGTGAATCAATCAAATCTTCCAAAGACATGTCATTTGCACCACTCGTAGCACCAGCATTGTTTTTCAATTCGTAAATGGAATGTTTGCGTTCCGGCTCAACAGATGGTTCTGATGTACTTGAAGGTGAATCTTCTTTAGCCTCCTCAGCTTCTTTTTCCAAATCTTCTAGTTTAACTTCATTAGCGATAGCTGGTGGTTTACGTTCTCTTGAAGCAGTTGATGAAGATTTTGGTAGTTTAATATGAGGCACTTCGTCCTTAACACCAGGGATCGATGTTTGAGAAACACTTGGTCTCAATTTACCAGTGTCATCCAATAAATCATCGTATGCTTGCTCATCGTGAATCAAAGCACCTTCATCGACGAGTTCGTTGACGCTAGTGTAATCATCATGATGAGAAATCCCTTTCTTCTGATTGGACTTTGATGGGGATCTTGAAGAGGATAGTGACAACTCAGCATCTCTTTCTTGATCTTGAACTGATCTGACACTGGCTCCAACCAAGCTCGGCGTACTTTCATTGTTGATGGTATCTGGCATATTGTTCAATGGTATATTCAGGATTATTCAATGGCACCTTCTAGCATTGAATTGCTGACCGATTCCTATGAAACGACTTTTTTGATAAGTTGTTCAAGGCTGCTTTTTGTTTGATAAACTCCAAACGATTTCCCAAACCGGATACTTTCCTGATTCGGATGTTTCATATATTTTTTCCTTTATAACCAAGGTCTACATCAAAAGTTCAAAATCAAAATATTATAATCACTATATATAAGACAAAATGCAGATGAATGACTTTTTTTTTCACTTGGTTTAAACTAATTAAAATAACATTCAACAAACCTCAAGAACTAAATATAAAAAAAGTGGGTAGTAGTACAAAATTCAAGCTTTTGAGCTCTTTTCAATTTCAGCACGTAATAATTTTTCAGCTTTTTCTAAAGCAGCCTTAGTACCTTTCAAATAGATAACATCATTAGCAGTGTCGTCTTTTCTTGGGATATAAATTTGAGCCCCTGATTTCTTTCTAATGTTGTTCAAACGGGAACCTTGAATTCCAACAATTCTACCAAATACTGATGGATCTTTATACCACAAAAACCCTGAGGTGTTATCTTTCTTGAATTGTTCAATTCTTGCTTTGATTAAAGATTCAACTTTAGCAACATCTTCGTCTTCACCTTTAAGTCTCCATGGAATCAAATCTGAATCATCATCTGCACTTGAATCAGCATCTTCAGTGGTAAATTTAAAAGTTTCCTCGTCAGAACCAGATGCAGAGCTTGGTGGAGTTGGAATGTGAGAAGAAGATAACTTGTAAGCACGATTTGATGAATTACCGTGTGTAACTTCAACATTATGATCAGATCTAATCTTTCTAGTGAAAGCACCTCTTTCAGCGACAGCAGCATGTAAGTAAGCTGGAACTTCAACGACAGTCTTCCAGTCATCAGCAGTTAACTCAAGAATTGCGGCTTTAGCTTTTTCAACATTTTCAGGTAAACCAACGATAGTAACTTCACTTGAATCTGAAGCAAATTTTGGAACGTTAATGGAAACCTTATGGCCAGTTTCTAATGTACGACGAACGGTACCACCGGTACCAATGATGAGTCTATGTTTATCTTTTGAAACATCCAATTTTTCAGTAACTGAGTTTTCCTTTTCTTGAACAATTTTTTTAACTTGTTCAATGATTGATTCAACAACTTTCTTTGGACCTGATGAAGTGATGATTTTTGATTCAGAGGATTGATCTGGGATTTGTAATAAACGTCTTTGTTGATCAAGATCAGCACCACCAGCTTTTTCAATGATGGCTGTCTTGGTTGAACCTCTAGCACCCAAGATATCTCTGAAATATTTAGGATCAACTTCTAATTCAACAGTAATGGTATCTTGGAATTCTTTAACAATAGCCAAAATTTTAGTTTCAGCTTCTTTCAAACCTTTTCTTGAACCTGTTAATAAGACAGAACCAAATTCTGATTCTTTATCATCGTTATCTTTAACATCAATTTCAACACCGGCATCAGCAGCAATACCATTCATAGTTTCACCATTCTTACCAATGATTCTTGATAAAGCTTTTGTTGGAACTTGAATCTCTTTGGTGTAACCATTTTCAATGAAATAATCAACCAACTCTTTAACTTCTTCTTCAGCCTTGATGGCACCTCTTGAAGGACCTCTAATAACAACATCATCAACACCTTGAGTGAAGTTGATTCTGACATTATATTTATCTTGCAATCTTTTAACGTATTGACCACCTTGACCAATTATTGAACCGTGGTATTTTTGAGGAACAATAACAGTCTTGGTGACTTCATCAGCCCATCTTTTAGATGATTGTAAGATATCATGTTCAGCTTCTTTAACATTAAATTTATAACCAGTAATAGTTAATGCAGCTTTTTCACCTTGAGGATCTTTTTCAACATCAATGTTGACACCAAATTGATCTCTAAGGGTGTTTAAATGACCACCATTCTTACCAATCAATCTTGGTAAAACATTCTTTGGGACATGAATTTCACTCTTGAAACTGTAAATATCTTTTAAATCTTCAGCATCTTTCAATAAAGCTTGGATTTCTTTTTCAACTTTACCAACATCAGTTTTTGTACCTTGTATATAAACTTTATCTGGAGATGGTAAATCACCATTATAATGCAATTTCAAAACAATAGCACTTGAACCATCGTTAAAAGAGTTTAACAAAGTTTTCAAAGTGGTACCATTTGGACCTTCAATGAATTGTTGTTTATCATTTTCAACATCTAGGACAACTGATTTCAATTCAGATTGAGCTTTTCTTAATTCATCTAATGAATGATCAACAACATCTAATCTAGCATTGATTTCTTCTTGAGATGGAGCAAATTCATCATCTTCATTATCTAAGGCAACCAAAATGATTTCATTAGTTTTGTTTTCAGCCAAGAATGATAGTGGAACAACATGGACGTTTTGAGATTTAGATGAGGATTCAGTTATTGAAGCAACTCTTTTAGCGAAAAATGGAACAACATCATTAACAAAACGGATACGTGTTGGAGCTAAACCATTAACTAATTCCACAATTTTCTTTCTTGAATCTTTAATGGATTGAGTAGAAGTCTTTGGAGCACTTATATCAATACTAACGTTTTTCAAATTTCTTGAAACTAATTTATCAAATGGTGGAGCTGAAGTAATTGTGTTGAATTCTTCACCAATCTTGTTTAATAAGCCAGCATGACTGAAATAAGCAGCTAAAGCACGAGCGTGATCAACATTACCACCATGGGCTCTTGAAATATCTAAAGAATCAATAATGAATTGAGAAGTTGTATTTCTAGCATGTTGAATAGCAGCATTGATATCTGATGGCAAACCAACAAATGAAACTAATTCTTCATCATCAATTTCACCTTTTGGAATTTCAATGACAACATTAAATTGTTTATAAATTTCATCAGGTTTAATGAATTGATGAACTTTCTTTGGGATTGATTTGGTTTCAGTTTTGATTTTAATTTTCAAATCATTTAATTGAGAAACAATTTCATTCTTTTTGATCAATACATCATCTCTTAAACCTTGAATTGAAATTGAACCATTTTTGTTTGGACCTGAAACTTTCAAGTTTTCTTCATTAATATCAAAAGGTTTAACGAATTTAATCAATTCATCTGGAACTTGAACCCTTGTTGACAAATGTTTAGTCTCTTCATCAACAATGGCCAAGATCAATTTTCTAGCATCAGTAACACCATCAATATCACCATCAATGGTGACTTCAATTTCATCATCTTCATCAGATTGACTTGATTGAGGACCTGGAGTAACATTTCTTTCAATATTGATTCTTGTACCAGTAGATTCAATGATTGGTCTTAGGTTTTTACCACCTGAACCAATAACGGCAGCTCTAGTTCTTGATGGGATTTTGAAACGATCTTGAACAGGTTTGGTTAAACGACGGACTAATTCTTTTCTAACTTGGGCAACATTCTTGATGGAACCAGAAACAACAAATGTTCTATCTTTATTGATAGTGGAGACAGTAGATTCTAATGAAACATCATAAGTTTTCTTCAATTCACTAATAATTTTACGGAATTCAACTGTTGAAACGTTTAAACTAACGTTATTTTTGATGTTGAAAGCTTCTTGAACAGATTTTTGAACACGGGAAGAACTAGATCTTGAAAATACTTTATCAGAAGAAGAGGCAGAAGATGGAGTTTTCATAGATGGACCCCAGATCACATTTGAACCTGAAGCTGAACCTGCAGATCCACCCAAAGCTGGGAAGGCAGATTCATCATTAATTGAAGGAGGAGGTGCAGCAACAACAGGTTTCACTTCTTCTGTAGTTGAAACATCATTAGATTCTTCATTATCAGAAACATTACCGTTTAATTCTTGAGAATCAACAGTTGGTTCATGTTCAGTAGTGGCAGACATTTTTTTTTTCAGCAGTAAAAGATGTGGGAAAACGACGACGGAGGTTCAAAGACAGTGGCAAAGAAAACAACAGAAAACAACCGATTTTAAGGGTTAATGAGTTTCAATTGAAGTTCTTGGAGGAGGCAAAGCAATTAAAAACTGGAAAGAAAAGACTTTATTGTTTTCTTTGAAGCTAAGAATCCATTGTTAGTATGTTTGGGATCAATTTCAAAACGTTGATACTCACATTTCAAAAATATGATATTCCAGCAAAAGGCAAAGCGAGGAATCAAGGAGTAGGGTACGTTGAGCTCTTGGGGATGTGGATACTCAAGCGGGTTCTGCAGGGATTGGGGCAGTTGGGAGTGGGTTTGTGTGGATTAGACTTGTGTGGTGATGATGATGATCTGTTCAAAGCGTTTGTTGATGTTGGAATTTTCAACTTCGAGGAAAAAAAACACACTAGCCACACTCGTCAATTCTGTGGCTAGTGCATTGAAGGTAGATGTGGCTAGTGAGCAACATAAAGTATGGAAATAAACATCCAGAAAAAAAAATATATGCCATAATAAAGTGTTTAAAATTGATTTAACCTACTTTTAGGACCTTTAATCTACTAATTAATCCACTAATCCCAAATACCCACACTTTTCATCTCATTCACGCGATTCTAAACAATTCGCGAACTGATTATTTGGCCCCTTTTAGAAAAAAAAGCACAACTTGTCATAAATTCACAAATCAATTGAAACTTATCAAATACAAATAGAAACAGTTTTCATCGCTTTAAACATCATGTCAAAATCACAACAATCATCTACAACAAATTCTGCTAGTGCTGGTAGTGCTGGTGAACCTCGTTTTGCTCAATTTAAACTAGTGTTATTAGGTGAATCCGCCGTTGGTAAATCTTCAATAGTTCATAGATTTGTTAAAGATTCATTTGATGATTTTAGAGAATCTACAATTGGTGCTGCCTTCCTTACACAAACTATTCAACTAGATGAATCCACTACAGTAAAGTTTGAAATATGGGATACTGCTGGTCAAGAACGTTATAAATCTTTAGCTCCAATGTATTATAGAAATGCAAATGCTGCTATTGTGGTTTACGATATTACTCAGGAATCTTCATTAGAAAGAGCAAAGTCTTGGATCAAAGAACTACAAAGACAAGCTAATTCAGATATTGTTATTGCTTTAGCTGGTAATAAATTGGATTTAGAAAATGAAAGACAAGTTTCAAAAGATATAGCTCAAGCATTTGCTAATGAAGAAAACCTATTATTTTTTGAAGTTAGTGCTAAATCTGGTGAATGTATTAAAGAAATTTTCACTAAAATAGCAGAGAAATTACCATTAGAATCACAATTGAAACCAAATAGATTACAAACTAGAGGCGTTGATTTACAAAGACCGAGTACAAATAATCAAAGAAGTTGTTGTTCATAAAAGAACACGGGTTCTTTACTAGCATATCTACAAATATCTGTGATTCTTAGCTCTGTGTGAATCATCTAAACATTAATAGTACTAGGAGGGTTAATAATCATTATATATTTGTGGATTCTCATTAATGTTACATGTCCTTTTGCAAATTATCTTTGTCTTGTGTTTTTTTTTATGGGCTTAATTTTCTATCGTCTCTTATCGGTGTTTTCAGTTTGTTGACTCTTTTTTATGAATCTTTTTGATCCAACTATATTCTCCTACAATATACAATAAATTAAATGTTTCACAAAATGCTGTAAGATTCTTTTTATGATCTGTATAACTTATAAATATAATATAATCTTCTTTTGAATATAAAACACACTTTTCAATAATATGATTAAAACAAAGTTCTACTTTCCAAATCAATCAAATTAACTAAAAATTCAACTTCCAATCTTCTTCTACCTTCAACTAACCAATCATTTGCCAATTTTCTATTCCAACCTTTCAAATTAGCAATTTCTTCAACCGCATTATCCAATTGATTAGAAACTAAATAGTTATCAACTCTGGCAATAACACTTTCGATATCTTTACCATCAACATGACCTTCTTTACTTAATAAAAATTTAGAAAATAAAATTGAAGATAAATGACCTAATAACCCTGCATTTGGTGGTAATAATGCAGCTGATCTTAGCTCTGGGACTAATAAATGGAATCTTGTTATTAATTGAGAGTTTGTTAATAATCCATTCTTGATGATTTCTTGATCAATTGAATTAATAGCTGTAGAGATAACTTGATTTTTAGATTCAATTGCTAATTTGTTTAATTCTGCAATTTCTAAAGTTAAATTTTCATTTGAATTTGAAGTCAATTTTGCCTTTAATTTGTTCAAATTTAATTGTAATCTTGATTTTAATTCAGAATTATTTAAATGTTCATCAATTGTTAAAACCAAGTTTTGTAAAGTGGTTAATTTTGAATTTAATTCATCAAATTTGGCATATTTCCCTTCACGCTCTTTTGAAATAGTATCTTCAATTAAATTTGTAAATTCATTAATAGTATTAATTTGATTTTGTTTGATAATGTTTTCAGCTTGTTTAGAAATAACTTCTTTTGCCTTGGAAACTTCATCATTTAATTTAGATTCATGAGTTTTTTCAATTCTAGCAACAATGTTATTAAATTCATTAGTAAAAGAGTTTAAAACTTCATTTTCCTTAACGGAAATAGCTTCTTGAATTTGTTTGGACACTTGTGAATCTTTAGCATCTTGTAACACAACTAAATTTTCATCTAAATCTTTAATTAATCCAACAATCTTATCAAAATGTTCATCTTTGGATAATTGATCCTTATTGATTAGTAAAATTATTCTATTAACTTCACCAATAACTTTTTGTAAATTTGAATCTTTTGCCTTCAACTCTATTGGAGATAACTCAATTTTTGGTCTTGGTGCACCATCATGAATTGTACTAGTGGTGGATTTTGGATCTGAAGAAGTTGTAGCATTCTTTGGTGCAATGGCTTCTTTTTCTTTAAGACTTTCAATTTTTTGAGAAATAATACCTGATTTAGGGATATCTAAAGTTTTTTCCCATTCACCAAATTTTTCTTTAAAATTTTGAATATTATAATCTTTTTTAGTAGTTTGGAATGATTGAATATAATCAACAATATCTTCAGCTAATGGAACATTATCAGTAAATAATTCATTAAAAGCATCATTTTTACAAGATAATGCAACACCACCACCATAAAGAACTGTAGTTGCCAATGTCAAATTAAGAACGGTTTTACCAACTGTGGAACGAAACATCTTGACTTGGTAAATTGAGGAGAAAACGATGGATTGAACCTCAAAAGAAGAAACAAAGTTCGGTTCTTTGTATACCTTTGTCGGTTTCAAATGTTGTTGTTGATGTCAATTTTGTTTTTTTCCACCAGATCCAATCACTGAATTTTAGTTTTTTCTTCGGGAGGTTGACTTCCAAATTAGGTAATAAAAGTGTTTAGTGGCACGCGAGATGTGGCAGAAACAATGAAATTAAATAAACTTAGCAAAGTTAGTATATTGAGTAATTTTATTTTGAAAGTGACAATTTGTGGCTAGTAATTTGCCTGGAAATTGGTCATTTGTGTATGTTTCAATTCTTTGATCTGAGTTTACAGGGTCCAATAGTAACAATTTTGAGTCAAAACACCTTAAAACATCTCCAATTTTGATCCATGAGAAAAGCACTTTTTTACACAAACCATATCGATCAGCTCTCAGAAAATATACTGAGCAGCTCTATACCAACAAAAGCCTCTTCAATCCTCATTCAAATTCAAAAAATAGTTTCCACGATATTTTTCAGTGTTGCCCCGTCACCAAATCCATCACAAAGTTGTCGTTTCAAATTGAAAGTACCAAGATTTAAACCCAGGAAACTCTTCAATTAAACCACCAAGAACCTCTTGAAAAGCTTCAATTAAGTGGTGAATAATACTATTGAACAATGTCTTTAGATCAAGCAGTTTACCAAGCAGAACAACTAATCAGTTCCGGAAACCATAACGAAGCAATCAACTTGTTGAATCAAGCTCTAGGTTCAGGTTCCTCACCAAGTGCTTTGATCACTCGTGCTGTTGCTCATATTGGTAATAATGATCATGAAAGAGCCATTGAGGATTTAAAAGAAGCATCTAATCAAAATCCTTCACATGAAGAAAGATCCAAAATCGATGAATTGATTGAATACATCTCAAAACATGTTGTTAATAATCTAGATCAAGGTTCAACAGGTGGTGGTACTAGAGATTTTGGTGGTAGTGGTGAAACAGGTTCAAGAGATTTACAAGGTGCATTATTAAATGGATTAATGACTGGAGGATCAAGTGGTGGATCAAGCCAGTTCTCCAAATTGGCAATGTTAGCTACTGTATTTGGTGCTTCCAAAACAGGTGGTGGTGGGTTTAATGCATCATCATTAGCTGGATTATTATCAGGTGGGAGTGGTTCCCAACAGCAAAGTAGTGGTGGTGGTCTAAGCTCAATCTTATCACAATTTGGAGGTAAACCTCAACAACAGCAACAACAACAATCATCATCAGGTCTTGGTGGGTTATTATCAAGTTTATCAGGTGGCGGTAATAAACCAAACAACAATCAATATAATGACCAATATGGTGGCAGTAATCAATATGGTGGTGGTCAACACGGTGGGAATAATCAATATGGTGGACAACAACAATCAAGTGGAGGTGGTCTTTCAGGTTTGTTGAATCAATTTTCAGGTTCAGGAAACTCAGGTCATGGTGGATATGGTGGTCAAAATCAAGGTGGCTACGGAGGTCAAAGTCCAGGTGGTTATGGTGGTCAAAGTCAAGGTGGTTATGGTGGCCAAAGTCAAGGTGGCTCCGGATTATCAGGTATAATCAATCAATTTGCTGGTGGTAGCTCACAATCACAAGGTGGCCAATCACAAGGTGGCTCTGGTCTTTCAGGTATTTTAAACCAATTCACTGGGGGTAGTAGTGGTAATCATGGTGGAAACCAAGGTGGTTATGGTGGAAGTAATCATGGAGGTAATCAAGGTGGTTATGGTGGAAGTCAAGGTGGTTATGGAGGTAACAACTACGGAAATCAAGGTGGTTACGGTGGTAGATATTGAGTAATGTATTGTTTAGATTTATCTTGAAACTTCTGTAAAGCTGTAGTATACATCCTTCTTCTTTTCTTTGAACTCATTAAACAAGCTTTCAAAAGTTTCTAGAGCCCTTTCATAAATTTTTATATCATCAAGATCGTGACCAATTGGATCAGGCCTTCCCTTTGGATAGAATTGTTTCATCTCGTCAAAAAACTTTTCTTTTATCCTATAGATATCATCTTTATGGAACAAAGAATCACCTGCTTCTTCAACTCTGGCTTGTTCCCAAGCATACTGCTCCTCAACTGGTGGTAGTTTTGAAGCACCACTCCAAACACCAGCAATGGCTGCTGATTCAGCTTCAGCAGCTTTGAAAATGGAAGCAATAACTAACCTTCCAACAAAAGCAACAGAAGGATCTTTAATATTAAACGTATGTTGATAAATATTTTTCACCCTAGAGTTTGAACTTGGACAATCATTATCCACTGGTGTAGAAAATTCCAATGTATTATCATCAAATACCAAGGACTTAACATGATATCCTGTACATAAAATAACATTATCAACATCACTAAGTACTTCCCCGTCTTCTAGAAGAATCTGTTTGGTATCAGGCAAAAACTCTTTGATCTTGGAGACATTTTGGAATGATTTTATAGAACGAGCCATATAAGGCAAGTATGGTTCGTTTTTCAAATTTCGACTGATTATAGTTTCTTTAGCAATTGGTGAGATATATTGGCCAATATCAATCGCAGAAATATTTGAACCAACAATAACAACCTTTTTATCTTGAAAAGTTTTGGGATCTCTATATGCCTTGGAATGCATTACTGACCCTGGATATTTAGCCACATATTCACTCAATCCTTTATAGAATGGGATAAATGGTACTGAAAATAGACCCTGTGCCACAATAACACCATCAAATGATTCTTGATACCAAAAATCCTGAGTCTCATTATAGGCTCTTAGAGTAAGAACCCATTTATCACCAACTTTCGTAGCATCGACAACTTCAGTATTGAACCTAATGTAATCTTTCAGCTTATTTTCATTTGAAAAATCTTGTAGCCTTTGGAATAATGATTGATGGGGAACAAATGGATCGAGATCCTTATGAGCATCTTTGTAAGTTTTGGTTGTTGAATATTGTAAATACGACTCAGGTGTATTTGTGTATAATCGTGGATAAATTGCACTTCTTTTCCACTGTAAATAAGTTAAATCTTTTGATTTAATGATTGGGCTATCAACGCTTGTATTTTCAAGCTCTTGAACGGTTGGCTGATGTTTGTTTTTTGGTCGTATAACTTTAATATCGTTATACTTTCCCGTGTCCAAGATCTCCTGAGGTGGCATTGGAGGATCTGATTCATAGTTTTCCACATTCCATGTACCACCAACATCAGGTTTCTGCTCAAACCCAACGATTTTAGTGAAGGCTGGAGTTTCAGCTTTACCTTTTCCTATTGTCGTATTGCCAGCTTGATCCGTATGAAGAAGTTCATAAACAGCAGCTAGACCTGATAACCCACCAGCTCCAATGACAGCGACTTCTTTTATGCTCATTTATCCCTGACCCTTACTGAAGCATGCTTGGAAGTCAGAATTCAACAGCTCTCGACTTTATATACGTTTTCAAGAATTGAGGTACCAATTTTTCTTTTTTGTTTATGGTTCAATTTTTACATGGCGGACATTGATCTACAGAAAACGGCAAAATGCGCATTTACACCAAAAAATCACATTCATTTAACCGGAAGAGCTTATAATTCTGAAATTAAATACTTTTTCTGTTCTTCCTTCACTTCTCCCAACTGTTTTTCGAATTTCTCTTTGCTGACACCGGATTTCCATCTTAATGGGTAAGCATAATGGTCTTCTGGAACAAAAGTATGACCTTTTTGTCTATAAACTTGTTCTCTATAAGTACCACCATCAACAGCATACTCTTTTTGAGCTAAACCTCTCTCTTGCAATTCAGGTATCAAGATATCAACAATATTTTCAAAGTTCTCTGGGAAAACAATATTTGTGAAGTTGAACCCATCAATCCCAGATTTTTCAACATAGTCTTCGATCTTGTCTGCAACTTCTTGAGCAGTACCAATGAATAATGTATTGTGGTTATGATAATGATCAACAATAAAACGCTTGGTGATGATTTCACCTGGGAATTGTTTACCATAGTTAATAGCAAAACCTTTAGCTGCTGGATCGTCGACTTTACTCAAATCTTCATCCTTTCCGAATTTTGATAAATCTAAACCACCACCACCAACTTGTGTGTAGATACCTTCTTCATCTTTATACTTATCTAATTCTTTCCACTTAGCAATAGCTTCTTCGTGAGTATGGCCTAAGATTGCAGAAGCTTGTGTAACAAATTTGATATGGTCAGGATCTCTTCCAAATTTCTCTTGAGCCAATTTTTTGGTAAAATCAATTTTTTCCTTAATGGATTCTGGAGTTGGACCACCCAAAAAGATCAATTCAGCATGTTTAGCACCTAATAGTTGACCTTTTGGAGATGAACCAGCTTGAATGATTAATGGAATTCTTTGTGGTGAAGGTTCAGTAATTTGAGGACCTGGGACTCTATAAAATTTACCATCAAAATTAATTTCTCTAATGGCATCTGGATTAGAGAAAATACCTGCCTCTTTGTCATAAACAACACCATCGTCTCTCCATGAAGATAACAAAAGTTCATAGAAAACTTGTAAATATTCATCAGCCTTTTCATATCTCAATTCCTTTTCCGGTAATTCATTGTTGTCTGCTAATTGTCTACCAGCTGAAGGTAAAAATGAAGTAACCACGTTCCACCCCATTCTACCACCGGTGATGTGATCCAAAGAAGCATATCTTCTAGCAAAATGATATGGATGTTCACTTAAAGTGGAACAAGTAATACCAAAAGAAACATTCTTTGTTGTAATAGCCAAGGCAGAGATATAAGCAGTTGGATCATTCTTTGGAAAATTGTTACCAGATCTAGCAGCTTCTTCATAGTTGAAAGCACCACCCAAGCCTTGAGACTTGTAGCCACCGTAAATAGCCAATGAATCACCAAAAAAGATACCATGTAGTTTACCTCTTTCAGCTAATTGGGCAATTTTAACCCAGTATTCAGGCTTAACATAATCTCTCGATGTATCTCTTGGGTTTCTCCATTGACCTGGCGCATGTAAGACAGGTGTTAGGGCTTCAAAAAAGTTGATGATTAATGGTTCTGTTCTTTTAGTCTTCTTTGACTTCTTCAATTGAGGTTCAGTCATGGTGAATATGGTTTATTCAAAAGTTGATCTTGATGTGAAAAATCAGCGGGACCTCAACGATTTTATACTCCAAGTAATATTTCAATTATAAATCAATACCCAACGTCCAATGCCCATCTTGGATACTTTAATCACTAAATGATCTGATTAAATCGTTGTTTGGCTCGAAAATTGTGACATTTCGAAAGTATGGCTTTCCCATAGAATTTGGCTGTACTGTGGCTTCGGAATTGAGACCTAACTTGATTAAGTTCTGATACCACCTCAACAAATTTGGACGACAAGAGATTGGCAATTAAAAGCGATGGTGATTCTGAGAAATATCTATTGGTTTATTGATTGAGTGTGAGCCTTCATAATTCATGAATATCAGTTCACTTAAAGGCGACAGTTTAAAAGAGGAAAGGCTGGACAAAAAAAAATATGAAAGCTGTCAAATACATACGTGAGAATAACACTAGCCAAATTCCAAAATACTACGGTTTCAAAACTTGATATATTGATGTTAACTTTTATTCTTTTGATTCCTTCAATCTGCAGTAATAACAAGCTTTTTCTGTGCTTCTTTAACTTTTTCCAACTGTTCTTCAAACTTTTCCTTTGAGACACCAGCCTTCCATCTCAATGGGTAAGCATAATGGTCTTCTGGAACAAAAGTATGACCTTTTTGTCTATAAACTTGTTCTCTGTAAGTACCACCATCAACAGCATATTCTTTTTGAGCTAACCCTCTTTCTTGGAGTTCTGGAATCAACAAGTTGACTATATTTTCAAATGTTTCAGGGAACAATAAGTTGGTGAAATTTAACCCATCAACAGTTGATCTTTCAACGAAATCTTCAATTTTATCAGCAATCTCTTTTGCTGTGCCAATAATCACACTATTATACTCATAGTAATGATCAGCAATGAAAGGTTTTGTAATAGTTGCATTTGGGAAACTTTTTTGAAAACCACTAGCGTACGCTTTAGCAGCAGGATCATCAACTTTCGTTAAGTCTTCATCATCTCCAAATTTTGATAAATCTAAACCACCACCACCAATTTGAGTGAATACACCATCCGGATCGTTATATTTAAGCATTTGCTCATATTTGGCAACCGCTTCTTCGTGGGTTGTGCCAATGACAACGGCAATTCTAGTCAAAAACTTTAGGTGACTTGGATCTCTACCAAATTTTTCTTTAGCCAACTTTTTAGTCTCTTCAATCTTTTCTCTAACAATTTCAGGTGATCTAGCACCAACATAGATAAGTTCACCATGTTTAGCTCCCAATAACAAACCCTTTGGCGATGCACCGGCTTGAATTATGACAGGGATCCTTTGTGGAGAAGGCTCGGTTATTTGAGGACCTGGAACCTTGTAGTAGTTACCATCAAAATTGATCTCTCTAATGGCATCTGGATCTGAAAAGACCCCGGCTTCTTTATCATAAACCAATCCATCATCTCTCCAGGAAGATAACAATAACTCATAAAAGACTTGTAAGTACTCATCAGCTTTAGCATATCTCAATTCTTTTTGAGGTAGCTCATTATTATCAGTTAACTGTCTACCAGCTGAAGGTAAAAATGAAGTAACAACGTTCCAACCCATTCTACCTCCTGTGATATGGTCCAGTGTAGCATATCTTCTAGCAAAATGATAAGGATGCTCACTCAGAGTGGAGCAAGTGATACCAAATGAAATATTTCTAGTACTAATGGCTAACGCTGAAATATAAGCAGTTGGATCATTCTTTGGAAAATTGTTTCCTGATTTTGCAGCTTCTTCAAAATTGAATGGGCCTCCCAAACCCTGTGATTTGTAGCCACCATAAACAGCTAGTGAATCACCAAAGAATATGCCATGAAATTTACCCTTTTCAGCTAATTGGGCAACCTTGATCCAAAACTCAGGTTTGTAATAATCTCTTGAAGTATCTTTTGGATTTCTCCATTGACCTGGTGCGTGTAAAACTGGTGTCAACGCCTCAAAAAAGTTGATGATCAATGGTTCTGTTCTTTTGGTTTTCTTTAACCTTTTTGCTTCAGGTTCTGCCATACTATTAATTACCTTTTGAGGGTTTAGATTGAAGCTGATTGCACCCCAGGAAAATCAAATGATTTTTATACTTTTAAAATTCTTGATCTAGCAGCTAGCATTTCCCAGTAATTCATCCATTGGCTGACTTCAAGATGCTCGATAGGAACTTTTGCAAACATATGGCTTGAACATTAGGAATATTCCTTAATTTATATACTGTGGCTTTCGGAGAAATCTCCAATTTGGGTATGTTACGCCCGAGCTCATACATCAAGCACTCTTTAGTTTTAACACCTACAAGTTACAACGTTACAACGTCACAACCTAGTAGCCCTTCAAGTTTGGAAAAGCTCTTTAGGTTGTAGATTACATAGGAAGTTTTTATGAGACTTCTCTCCAAAGAATTGATCAAACTTCTGTAGGAGAAGCACTCAAATGTGAGAGGCATGTATGCATAGTTGGTTTCCAGAGATGTTTTAAATAGTAGGTTGAACGTTGAGCATTCAACTCATACGTTTGCACTTGAATATAAAATTTTGAGCTCAATTGGGATCATACAGTGTCACAAACTCAGGATCAACTTTTACTATGAAATCCAGGTGCGTGGCTTTTAACGACTCAATCAATATTGTGTATCTCAATATGCCTGCAACAAGACCTTTAACTTCTAAGCAACAGTATCTTGAACCAAGAAACCAATAAATGACTATTTTCCATGTGTAAAAGTCATGATAGAACACAAACAAACATATATGTTATGATTATTAGCCTATTGACTCAAAGAGTTTCAAACTTGTATGCTTCATCAATTTTCAGGCCTTGGTTAGTCATTGATTGTTGTTATTAACCTAGCTTTACTCTATGATAGGCTATCTAGAGTACCAGATAATAGGAGAATGTTGATGATGGAGTCTCTCTTTCTCAACGGTTATATTGTGATTTCACACCTTCAGTTGACCTGATTAATCACCGAAAAACAACAGCTTCAATAATTTAACCCTATAATTACCAAAAACACTGGGGTCCTGACTTCTCACTGCTAGTTCTTAGCTTTCTTCATAGATAATCGGCAAATATTTGAACACAAAGAAGCTAATTCAGGATATGGAGAAGTTTAGACTGACTGTGTGTACGTGATAGTACAAGTATTTGTCAGCTAGTGCTGCTGCCAACATCCGATATTTTAGTAATCACTACTTTTACAGTTTAACGCTAGCATCTAACCCATTTCACTATGGTTTTGAGATAATAGCTTTTGGCATTTGTAATATTTCAATGGTGAACTATTCCAGTAATGATAAGTCACCAGGGCATTTCTCGGATTTAAAGGTGTTTGGCGGAGTATCTGAGTAAATATATACCATTTAATTCAGTTTCAAAACGAAACATTATAAATAGCGGTTGAATCACTGATTTTTCTATCCATGCTCAATTTCATATAAACAAAAAAAGTTTCAAGTCAAAGAATCTCTATAAATCAGTCAAATATGTCAGGAAAAGTCTACTTCGTCTCAGGTGGTAACCGTGGTATCGGTTTCCAGTTCGTCAAAATATTATCATCAAATCAAGAAAACACAGTTATTGCAAGTGCAAGGGACCCTGTCAAAGCTACAGAGCTACAAGCTTTAGCTGATACTCAAAAGAATGTCAAAATTGTCAAGTTGGATGTTTCAGATAAAGCTTCGGTTGATGCTTTAGATGTTCAATTGAAAGAAGTTGCTAAAGATGGTATTGACGTCTTGATTGCAAATGCAGGTATTTCTCAATCTGTTTTACCAGCCATTGATACAGCAGAAGATATCTATTTGAGACACTATAGAACTAATGTTCTTGGTCCTATCTTTTTGACTAAAGCTCTTTACCCATACCTGAAATTGAAGGAAACAAGACACTTGACCTATGTCTCAAGTTTAGCTGGTTCCATTGGTGGGTTCATTCCATTTACTAGCTCTGCTTATGGTCAATCAAAAGCTGCATTGAATTATAGCATCAAAGAAATTAGTTTTGAATTAGGTGCTGAAGGTTTCACTGCGGTTGCAATGCAACCAGGTTTAGTAGATACTGATATGAGTAGAGCGGGACTTAAAGCTTTGAAAGAAGTTAATCCAGATGTTGTTGAAATTTTGAAAGATTATCCAAATATTCCAGCTGAAGAAAGTGCCAAATCACAATTGGAAAATATTATTTTCAAGTTAAACAAGGATATGAACGGTAAGTTCTTTGATTATCACGGAGTTGAACAAGTCTTCTGATCCATCAGTTCAAAATATCGTGAAAAGATTTCGGTTTTATATAAAACGTCATATTATGAATGTTCAACTAGACCAAATTGTAGTAGTCAAATCTAATTTTTTTCCACTGTAAGTTAGTACAATTGTGTTAAAGCACCTAAATTTTAGCAGGACTCGGCGTCGGTCTCCGGTGCTCAATGGCTTCGGCTTGTTCAACACAGAAAAAACATATACTATCTGAAATAATCGTTTAATATTTAAATTTGAAAAAACTAAAATAATTAATGCTTAAATTACCCATAAATGTATCACTATGCTAGCAAAACCAAGTTTTTGAATAATATGATGATCGACTCGACGATTCTTAAAATATTTGATTTTTCAGAGTTTTCAATTTAAAATATGTAAACGATGGTCAATATTTATAAATTTAGAATATTTCAGCTTAATTGTACTATACGGGTCCAAATTTGAATATTATATATTTTATATTTATCATTTTGGTCTATTCCAGTGACAATAAAGACATTAATTCGGAAGTACATACTATTGTATCATATATAACGTCCATATGGTGCCAGCTAGCGGCGCCGCAGTCCGCGCTCGAATAATATATAAATTTATATAGCGCATAGTGCACTTCGAAGTCGCACACTACCAAGAGAGCTAACATCATCAGCTTCAGCAAGAAAGCAACCACTTAGGAGGGTCTCTCAGAGTCCAGACGCAGAATTAGTGTGTGTAGTAGTCAATTCATTTGCCTTTGTTATTTCCGAAGCTTGCGCATTTCATCTCGGAGCTATTCTTTCTTGTACATAATTCTTAACATCTCATAGTCAACCAAAGTTTCCTCATAATTTTCACTAAGTAGCCCTCACCTCATACACTAGGATTAAAAACACAATTAGTCTCATTTGAAAAATTTCCTTTCCTCAGAGTTTTGTTTCAAGGTATGAAACATGATTGTAAGGAAATGGTTCTCACTTGTCTTTGTGACAGTAGTTACAAGTTTAGAGTTAAATACCGCTGATTTTGAATCAATTAAAAATGCAACATCAACTATTGCCAAAGGTGTACTTGATTATTATACTGGAGATGATTATGGTAAGCCCGTTGGGCTTTTCACAGAACCATATTATTGGTGGGAATCTGGGGGAGCATGGGGCTCTCTATTAGATTATTGGTGGTATACAGATGATGATCAGTACAATGATTTGATTAAAGAGGCGTTATTATCACAAGTGGGTCAAAAATGGGACTATGTACCACTAAACCAATCAACTACTGAAGGTAATGATGATCAAGCTTTCTGGGGTATGGCTGTCATGGCTGCTGCTGAAAGAAATTTTTCCAATCCACCTGAGGATGATCCACAATGGCTTTATCTTACACAAGCAGTTTTCAATACAATGGCGTATAGGTGGGATGATGAAGAATGTGCAGGAGGTTTGAGGTGGCAAATATTTAAATGGAATTCAGGTTATGATTATAAGAATACCGTTTCTAATGGCTGCTTTTTCCATCTCGCTGCAAGATTAGCAAGATTTACTTCAAATAATTCTTATGTTGAGTGGGCTGAAAAGACATGGGATTGGATGAATAGAACACATTTGATTGATGACAGCGGTGATACAACTGACTATTACCTCATATATGATGGGGTTTCAACGAATGACAACTGCACTGTTGTTCATTCTTTACAATGGACGTACAATGCTGGATTAATGCTCAGTGGTGCTGCCTACCTTTATAATTATACGGAAAGCGAATTATGGTCAAGTCGGTTGCATTCATTATTACAAGGTGTCAGTATATTTTTTAGAGAAGGTGTCATGTTTGAAGCTGCTTGTCAGTCTAGTCAAAGTTGTAATAATGATCAAAGATCATTTAAGGCATTTTTGTCGAGATTTTTGGGTTTAACTGCATTATTAGCTCCAGATACAAGAGATATCATTGATTGGTACCTCAATAGTTCTGCTCAAGCTGCTGCGCAATCATGCTCTGGAGGTGAAGATGGTGTTACATGTGGATTGAATTGGCAAAGCGAGGGATGGGATGGTTATTATGGGTTGGGTGAACAAATGTCCGCTCTTGAAGCAATACAAAATGTGAGGTATCTGGATAAACCTCCTCCATACACTCAACATTCTGGAGCGTCCTCAGAAGGCAATCCTGCAGCAGGTAATCATTTGCTAGATGAAGAACCTAAGCCCTTGCATATTGAGCCTGGGAGTAAAGTAGGTGCGGCTTTTATAACTGCCTTCATCTCACTTTCACTTATTCTTGCTTGTATATGGATTTTACTGTGATTTTTTTACTTGTCCAAAATGAATATAAGACAAACCTGTATATTATAAAAACAATCAAAACTTAAGTCTATGTTTCAGCTCCAAAAATTTGAAACTGCTTGAAAAACTCGAATGATTCATCTAATAGTTCATAAACACCCGTATCTGGATAATTGGCTCTAACTTCATTTTGTATCTTCACAAGACCTTCTCTTCCAACAACTTTAGATAATGCTGTTAACAAATATGGAGCGAATTCACAATACCACCTATGGTTCCATACAGTTAATTTAACAACAGCATCCAAAATACTTTCATCTAGCGAAGTGATCTTTTTAGATACTTGTGTTGGTGATAAATGTGCATGATCGATGGAGGTTGTTGAAATGTTGTTATGACCATTTGAAACTTGTTGGGATCTTTCACCCTTTTGTTTTAAAGCTTTAATTTCGAGCTGATAATATTTCAACAGATTTCTAGTAGATGTGGATGCAAATCTTAGTTCTAAAGCACGTTGGAAAGCAGCAGCAGCTTCTTTGTAATGATGTAATCTAAACGCAACCATACCTAGTAATTCCCATTCCACTGGTAATTTTTCATACTGAGTCTTTTGTGCTTGGAAATGAATCATTTCTGCTTGCCACATTGTATATGTTCTTAAATCTTCATACAACAGCATAAATAGATTATCTAACCATCTTTCACATAGTCTTTTCTTTTTGAAGGAGTTCTCATCTTCTGAGGAGGCTTCAGTTGAATTACCATTTGTTTTTGGGTCAATGATATTGGCAGTTGAGGAAGATTTTGATCTATATTCTTCCTCCATAACGAAAATTTTGGCTCTATATTTCAATAAAGATTCCCAGCCTGTTCTATGAACAATTTCTGTCAAAATATCATATGCTCTAGCAAATGTTGATTTCAAGTTTGCTGCTTGAAGGTTCAATAAAGCTTGATCAACAGAGTTATGTTCTTGAGCAACCCTTGCAGAATCTAAACTTGAAACTTCATCCAATGTTACATCAATCGGTAATGGTAGATGCAGCTTCTCTGGAGTTGTTGGTATAATTCTTTTCAGATGGAATTTTTCCTTATACGCAGCCATTGGGCACGAGTTCAAGGCTAACAATGCTTGCTCAACGTTTCCTAGCTCAAGGTAGACTTTAGCTAAATTAGCCCATGGGTTAAATTCAGAGGGAGCTGAATTGACAGCCTGTATAGCACATGTTAAAGCTAGATCCAAATGGTTTTTTTCAATTAAGAATTGTGATTGGATTGACAGTAATGCTGCATCTCTTGGGTTTTTCTTGATTCCCTCATACATTACTTGAACAGCCTTAATCTCTTCATCTTTCAAGAATAGCACTTTAACAATCAGACTAACAACAATTTCATCTTTTTCTCTCAATCTGTTTAAAATGTCTAAAGCATAGTCATATAACCCTGTTAGTTCAACCGCCTTCAAAAAGGCATCTACCAAGTAATTTGAAATTAAAGTTGGGGTTTGAATCTCAGGAGCTGATCCAATATTTGGACCTTCTTCAAATAGCTCTTCAAAAGCATCAAGGAATTGCTTAGCAAGTTGTACAGTTGGGAATGGATTCAAATTTCTTGATTCGACAACTGAATTGACTTGCTCATCATCTTCTTCGCTAGTTAATAGAGATCTAATAACTCCACTAGTGAAAACTTCCAACCATATTCTATCAGTCTCTTGAATTCTTTCTCTGTATCCATCAATAACATAAGAGCTCACTGCACCTGGAATATGAACAGCAACAACGACATCAACTTTAGAAAATGCGTTATATGATGCATAAACAGCTTTTGTAACTTTCCATGGCCTAGATTTACCAAACCAAGTTTGTGGAGTTGAACCAATAATGTTTGCCAACGAGTTCAAATGAGCAGCAACTGAAGAAGAGCTTGAGTTGTCTAACCCAGTGTAGTATAAATAAGTACCAACCTATAATTGTTGTTAGTTCGAATGCTCAGAATCTTTCAATTGAGTTTCAACTTACTTCAGGTGACTTAGAACCTGGGACATGCTTTGTCAACGACACAATATCTGGCGGACCTAGGTCTTGAAATGTTCTGATTCTGTTAGATCTTTCATCAATGGAAGAACCTGGGATGTCTTCTTTCACTCTATTGACCAGTTGGTTAGTATTATTTCTAAAAGCGAGGCTGATTTTTTGGAATGTAGCTTACTCTGGAATTGACCCTTGAGAAGTGATCATATTGTACTGTATTTTGAGCTTCTCACGAAAAGAGGCTTAATAGTAACTGATATTTGAACTAATATGTTCTTGATATAATACAATTGTTATAATTCGACTTGGAATATTGAAGATCTCTCCTATGTTATGTGAACAAGTCACAAATTGATTTCGAAAAATTAAAAGCGCCAAAAATTCGCGAAGCCGTTCGGGCCACTAGCTCCAAGAGCTTTATTGGTGATTTTAAGGAATAACATCACGTAGAAACAATAAGCTTGTTTGGAATAGTAAGTTTTGCTGGTTTTGAATATTTCAATATGATATCAACGGCCTTACATATATGCTTTAAACGGAAAAGCACTTTGAAAAACTTTAAAATACATTAAAATACATTAACTGAGTACAGAAATAAAATCATTTGGCATCGGCCATTTTTTCATCTTCATCCTAGAATTAAATAGTTAGTACTAGGCGATTAGCTAAATTATAATCCAACTTACATCTTCTTCATCACTTAGAGACCAGTCTTTAGCTGTGAGACAATATTTTTCTGGAGGCAATCTTATACCGTACCCAGGCATTATAGGTGGTAATGTTTTCTTATTTCTTTCAGCTGCCAATTCCAATAATAATTCTTTTGGAGTCACTGGTTTAAATTGATAATTTGTTCTTGCAGCGATTGCTAATCTTATATCATCTGTTGTTAATCTGGAACCTGGTGCAGTTGTTGAGCCATTTGAAGCACGACCATGGTCATTGTACACAACAGCGTCTTTGAGTATACCAGCAGTATATCCTATAGTAGCACTTTGTTAGTAGATGGTACATCTCTGGATAACTTTAATTTCACTCACTGTGTGCAAAATCCATTAGTTGTAGAGGAACATGATCTTCGTAACTTTGAATCGACTGCGAAGCCAATATCAAATGTAAGATTCTGACATCTCTTGGAACAACAGGTTCATCAGAATTACCTGACCTTCCCCCATTCTGACTCATCTTTATTGATCAAAAAAGGATTCTTCTGGTTGTTGTTATTTTACACTTTCATGTTATCGTTGGTGTGTTCGCTTTTGATAGTTTTTCTTTGGGAATAAAAATATGGATGGTTCGCGCAGCACGATATAGATTTTTGTATACCGAAAACATTAAATCTACGTAAAAAAGAACAAAAAAGCTTCATATATGATACTTAAAAGAGTAACTATTATTTATGAGAGCTTATTTATAAATCATCATGAACAATTGCTGATTCTTTAGCAGCTTCAGTTGCTTTTGATTCCTCTAAAGTTGCAGAAGTGATAACTTCACCATCTTCATTAAGTTCACCAGTACCAGAGATAACAATATCAACATCAGGTTTGTTTGACCAGTTGGTTTTAGTTTTTTCAATTTTAGAAATAATATCAAAACCTTCTAAAACTTCACCAAAGACAACGTGTTTACCATCTAACCATGGGGTTAAAACAGTAGTGATAAAGAATTGTGAACCATTAGTATCTTTACCAGCATTGGCCATTGATAATCTACCTTTCTTATCATGCTTGATGTGGAAGTTTTCATCTTTGAATCTTGCGCCATAGATTGATTTACCACCTCTACCATTACGATCAGTGAAATCACCACCTTGAATCATAAAATCTGGGATAACTCTATGGAAAATGGAATTAATATAACCAAATTCTGGGTCACTTGAAATTGTCAACTTTCTAAAGTTTTCAACAGTTTTTGGAACGACTGAACCGTAAAGACCAAAGATAACACGACCTAATTCTTCATCACCTTGCTTAATATCGAAATAGACTTTATGGGTGATTGGAGGATCAGCTGCCAAAACAGCACTGATGAACAATGTGAAGGTAGCAACAATAGTGAAGGCGGAACTGAATAATCTCATACTGCTTTGGGGATTCAATTGAATGTTAAGTGTTAAACTTGAGTCGGAAAGAAGTTTATGGCCTCTTCAATCTCATGAAATTACTATCGTCGTACGTGGCCGACACACCTGGTTTTTCAATAGGGTAAAGGAAGCGTTTCGATTAATAGTGTTTACTGTAACAACAAAACCGTTAGATCTTACGAGGATAAAGTCATGGAGAATGCATATAAATAATTTGTGCCAATTTATTTCATTGTTTCAAAGGTTTTTTGCCCTTTTTCACAGATGCTATACTTTGCTCATCGTCATTAATTGCTATTGTTGATTTAACAACAGCGTTTTTTGTATTAGTTTCAAAGACAGCATCTGGTCTGGAAGAGGGTACTTCATCTAAATATGCAATGTTGTTTTTTAATGATATGTTGAATAGGTTGTCTATTGTAGCAATTGATAATGATTCACTTTTATTCAAGGAACCCGATCCTTGAACAGTTGGTGTGGCAGGACTATATGGTGTATTACCAAGAGTTCTTGGTCTAGAAGGGGCTGGTGTTTCTGTAGCTTCTAAACGGTATGTATGACCATCAGATGGAGTGAATTGAGCTAGTGATTGTAGTTTATCCATTGCGTTCTTCAATGATAACGCGGAACTGAGCTTTTGAAAAAAATAGTTAGTATAGATTCAAGGAACGAAACACGAGTTAGAAGACATACCAATCTTGTAGATACCACATCCTTGACATTTGGTGCCATGTATATATTTGCCCCAATGATATAATAATCTGATAATGATTCCACTTTTTCAGGTCCCAATCTATTTTGTTTCCTTATGATCCAAAAATCAGGTTCACGGCGATGCAATATCACAAATTCAATACCTGTCATCTTTTTAAGCTCATTTTCAATATTCAAGCTATGCAGCTGAATGTTTTCATTGAATTGAGATTGCATTTTAACCACTTGGTTATTAGAAGTTCTATCAAAGAATGGTGATTGTGAAAAATATTCCAGCACATTGTCTGTCCTTAGTCCAAACGCCTGTATCCATTCTGGAGATTTCCATTGTAGTTCATCAAGAGGGGTATTGTCTGACATTATTATTAACAAATATTAATATACTGGTTGGAAACTTGTTGATGTTTAAAAGGCAGTAATTTTCGATTGAAGTGATAACTCTTCATGAGTTCGCGAAATTTTGTATAGAGGGTAAATTTGGTTTTGGGCCACTACTTTTTTTCTATGGTCAAAAAATTTGAATGAAAAATCAAGTACATCAACGAACAATTTGGTAGTTTACGTCTTGATTATCGACCCCAATACGATCCACCATGTTTTCCAGACTTAGAACTTTACCATCCACTAGAATAATACAGAGGGCTTGTTATGCTACAAAAGCAGCCAACCCTAACAACATCAACTACCCACTACCAACCAGTGAGATCCCAAATGCTGAAGCTTTTCTTCAAAAAATAGGACGTAACTGCATAGAGCATAAAGAACATTTCCCAAACTGGCATTTACTGTTCAATACCACTTCCAGACAGATGAAAGAGAAAGGTATTGATGCTCAAACAAGAAAATATTTATTAAGTCAATTGGAAAAATACAGAAATGGTGAAAAAATATTGGAGATCAAAAAGGGTAAAAAATCATACTTTGGTAGTGAATACAAAAGAAAAGAAACCGTTGCTAAAATGCATGCTGCTGAACGTAAAGAACGTTATGCAAAATTGGAAGCTGAAGAAAATGAAATCAGTGGTAATGCTTGAGTTTTGAAATCATACAGAAAATCTAGAACAAAAGATCTACCAACCTTGTCTATAGTGCTTTAAAATAAATAATGTAAGGATACACCTTGTGAGGATTTAAATGGATCATTTTTCCTTAAAATAGGCTTTTAATTCTTGACTCAACCACTGAGCTTCTTTTTGCATTTCTTCATCAGTTCTAGGAAATCTATCAGAGTCAGGTTTAACAACAAAATCATTAAACTCTCTTTGATGATATTTTCTTTTATTAAACTCAATGTAATTCTCCTCAATATCATTAGCTGGATCATTCAATGCTTCATAAATCTTATCACCCATATTGTTGACACGATGTCTTGGGATCAAATGTGCATGAAGATGAGGAACTGATTGTCCGGCTTCTGGACCATCTTGAATTGCAATGTTTAAAGAGTCCGCGTTGTAAATATGTTCAATGAATTTATGTACTCTCTGTAATGTCATCATATAGTCTATACTTTCTTCTTCTGTTAAATCTTTTAGTCTTGGAACGACTCTTAATGGTACAACAAGAACCTGAACTTTTAGTTAGCAAGATGACATGCAATGAAAACAAATTGGAAGACTTACATGTCCTGGTACAATTGGTTTCAAATTGACCAATGCATAAGTATACTTTGATTTCTAAAGAGGTTAATAAATGTATGGATCAGCCTTTTGACACAATTAACATACATAAAACACCTAAAAATAATGTTAGATTTACTGGTCCGGTTATATGAACTACGAATTACACTCACCTGTTCATTAACAGCAAATTTTGAAAAATAAATAATGCTTTGGGTCATTTTTGACATGGTTTTGAGAATATTTGAATTGAAACTTTGTGATATCTGATGTACTTCCTCATGTCTTTGGCAAGGAAGTGAAAAATCGTGTCAACATTCTTAAAAATCCATCGGGGATAGAAAATTATCCTGATCGAGTAATCCTCCGAATAAGGAAAGTCAAACGCATAAAATCAAAATCTACAACAATAAAGGTTAAAGGCAATACAATTTCATTAAAATCACGATTTCAAACCGCTATATATAATACTTTTACTTTTTCATTCCAAGAAAACTTATTTGTTAGCAGTGGAGAAGTATTCTTTTGAAGCATCAACTTCTGGTTTGATGGTGGCAGCACCTGGAGTCCAGTTACATGGTAAAACTTCACCATGTTCTTCAGTCCATTGGAAAGCTTCTAATAATCTGTAAGTTTCTTCAACGTTTCTACCGACTGGTAAATCGTTGATGGTTGATTGTCTAACGTTACCTTTTGGATCAATGATGAAGATACCTCTTAAAGCAACACCTTCTTCTTCAATCAAGACACCGTAATCTTTTGATAAAGAGTGGTTAGTGTCAGCAACTAATGGAATATCAACTGGACCTAAACCACCATCTTTTCTAGCAACATTAGTCCAAGCTAATAATGAGTATTCTGAATCAGTAGAAGCGAATAAAACTTGAGCACCTTTTTCTTGGAATTTTTTGGCAGCTTCAGAGTAAGCAATGATTTCAGTTGGACAAACAAAAGTGAAAGCTAATGGAATGAAAGCTAAAACAACCCATTTACCTTGGGAAGTATATTTTTCTAATGAAACTTCTTCAAATAGACCATCAACGACGGCGGTTTTTTTGAAAGCTGGAGCTGGTTTTTGAACTTGGGCGACCATTGTGTGTTAATATAAATCTATAATGTGTATGTGTGTATCAATTGAATTGATTCTATAATGCACTGAGAAACTCTATCTTGAACGTGGCATTTTCTAGGGGGATTTCTAACTCTTTTTATACCTTTTAGAGATACGGGTCGAGACATGATTGAGCTGACAAAAAAAATCCAAATCATAACTTTGGGGGTAACCCAAACCCGATCGGATTAATAAAGCACTAGATTAAACCGCCTTTATGGCCATAGAGACACAAAGAGATGAGAGATTATAACTAGAAAGATGCTATAGTTTCCAATTGGCTCGTTTAAATCTCGAAATTAGCTTTATTTTGGAACAAGATTACAAAGATTGGAGTAGGTTTCAGTTTTCTCCTCAGATTGGGCCCTAGATTGTTCTTTCCAACCGTTGAAACATTATTGTTTCCAGTAATAATAGGCGTTAGTGCTCAATTAGTCAATAAGGCCTAGCTTCGATCCATACTAGCCCTTAATTGTCGAGTTAATAATAGTTCCCACCACCATCAAGCTCTAGATCAAGCTTTAAAGGTTCTTCTGGACCTTATCAACTTACTAACGTTCTGCTCTGTGTGTGTCGCGAACCATAGAATCCAGAAGAAACGCCACAGTTTTAAAGGATTTTAAGGCCGCGTGGGACGTGATAGGCTCGACCATTTTTTTAGTGAAAATAAGCAGCTTAAACGAAACGACTTACGCGTTGGCTTTACGTGTTTATCTTTCATGATCATTTGACATATAGAATCGTAAACAAATCCATCAATTTCCCTTTTTCAATTTTCGTGATGAACTTGAACACCTGTAGCTCCATTATCTGGATCATCTCTAAGAAGCTCAGCTTCATCATTAATTTGGGTGTCTGGTCTTTCTTCTAAAGATCCTGACACCCTTTCATTTTGCTCCATAGGTTCTTGAGTTTCCCGTCTCAATTGCTCCATCACTTGTTCTCTTCTTAGTCTTTCTTGTGCTATTATTTCTCGTTGTTCCAGAAAGCTACCATGTAGAGCTGGGAATAAACTAGTGAAGAACAATATGACTGAAACAACAAATCTTCTAAGAAAGTTATCCAAAAATTCAAATATGTTTACAGCTGCTCTATCAGGTAAACAATGTAGAATATCTCTCATCAGAACAGACGAGCCACTAGTTATAGATGATCTTATAAATCTTTCCGGTGCTTCAATATATCTGGAAGTGAAATCTCTATACGATTGTGGTAATAATAGTTGGACTTCATGTAGTAGATTTCTTATGGATCCATTAGTGAATGTATAAACTCCCAATAACACCAAACAAAACATTCTATTGAAATTATCTGGGATTTGGGAGATGATTAATGAATAGAAAAGATAGATTTTCCCCAGATGATAACCTAATCTTCCAGCTAATTGGAAACCTCTTGTGACAGATGCTTGATTGATACGAATACTGAATCTTCTAACATTAACAATAGCACGATTTTGCGCAGCAATTGAGCCTCTATGTTGTCGTTGCGTAGCAGAAACTGTTTGAGCTTGAGTTTGAGTTGCCTGTTGTGAGTTTGAAAGGTTTGGAGCAGCAGTTAAATGGGGTAGTGGAAAAGGGGCAGTATCTGCACCAAGTATAACGTTAGGCTTTTGAATATCAATTCCTAATGTTTCCAATTTGGCAAAACCTGATGGCGAAAGCATAATATATGGATGTGAGGCGTCACTGTTATTAATTATTGCTTGTGAACTGGATAATATGATTTGACGTGGCCCATTAGCAGTATTCAAAGTAACTTGATAAACGGTTGTTGAAGTATCAGTCTGACTTAAATATACCTCTTCACCATCCTTGATACCTTTATCATATGATTCACCTGACAATTTAACGTTAACTAATGCTGGTGCAGAATTATTGAACTCGGCAGGTTCTTCAACGGGTTCATCTTGTTGCTGTTGTTGAATCGAAGACCCTTCAAGGGGATCTTGAGGCTGAATCTCTTCCTCCACTAAATTACCAGCTAGCCTCTCTCTTAACCTTCTGTCTCTCTCTAGATCAGCTTCAAAATTTGGGTTTGGTTCCAGTGGTAGAAATTCAAAAAGTGAATTTCCACTAGTAAGATCACTCCAAAATCCTCCTCTATTCACTGTTTGAGGTTGTGGATCACTGATAACAAAATGCAATGTAATCAACGAGTTCACAGAACTATCACCACCTCCATTCAAGATTTCATTCAATTTAGACTCGTTGCTCAATATTCTACCGAAATAAATGATTTTAATATCTGGGATATCGATCTCATTTGTACCTTTATATTGATCAGCAATGAAACGCTTAATTGTAGTAATTGATGTTTCTGAACAGACAATTACCTTTTGAATTCTTAAAATGTTTTCATTTGGGGATGATAACTTGACAACAAAATCATCTTTTAGCCTCACATATATATTGAGATCATCCACCGGTACTGTATCCAGCTCAAGCAATTGGCCAATTTGCAAATCATCTCGATCTTGTAGTTCCTGTCCAGCATTGTACTCTAATGTGATGATATCTTGTGACCCATTCAGTTTCAAATCTTCAACCAACGCATATTTTATTGAGCTTATAGTTGTGTTTAAAGACTCTCTCAAGAGTATTTGTTTCCCAGTGCTTAGTTTCAAATTAATATTCATAAGTGAAGGTATGTGATCAATATCTGCCAATTTTTCCAAATCGATTAATACTTGGATCCTTGTATGTTCTGTTTCTTGAACCAAAAAATCATTCAATTGTTGATGATCTTCATATACTTGGTTTCTATTTTTCAACTGGATAGCCTTAGGAATCAACTTTCCTCCCGCGTCTGCTGATCTTTTACTTATAACTTCTTTTATATCTAACACTGTGTTTTTCAATGTTGTCTTTATGATTTTGTCCTCAATTGTATAATTTGTAAAATCAGCACTCCATGTCTCTAAAGATATCCGCTCTGAGGGCAGCGAATAAGCAATATCTGATTTTCGAGGCATTATATTGCAATAACCAAATGAACGAAAAGGTTGATGTTTGAACAATAGGTAGAACAAATGTTGACACCTAACCAATTTGAGACGCCTACACTTTCTAATCGTCATGAATTCGCGATAATTTGGAGTTTCGCGAAAAAGGTCTTGTGTGGTGCTAACCATCCCAAATTCAACAATAGCCTTTGATTAATGAACAAGATTGATAGATCACATAGGGACGGTGCCAATTGAGATGAAAGATGGAAGACAATCGAATAGATTTGACGACAGCTCTAATAATCAACAGGACTAGGAATTGGATTTTTTTTGGCCCATGACAGTGCTCAGTGCTTAGTGCTGAGTGTACAGCTTCTGATCGACAACTGCCCCAGCCTAGCAAATCCTACGTCTCTGCGCACAAAGAAAGCCAGCTTCTTGATCAATCCATCCACAAAATAATCGTTGAACCGTTGGAATATTGGCTTAAATTGTCCCTGAGATTCGAAAGTAAGAAGTGTAGAATTGCACCTGCTGTAATTCTTCTCTGCCTACGCTGTCTGCTTCCAGACCTCTGTTTCCTACCTCGGCGGCTAAAGTCCCTTAATACCGTCTTCCATGTCAGTACTGAAATCTACGCTGTGATAAGGACTGAGCGTAAATATAAGTCTCAACATGTCCCTGCCTAGGAGTTGGGGATCAGCAGCAGCTATTGTTGATCAAATCACTTGTATAAACTTCATGGACTGTACTCATCGTGAAGTTGTAACTTTCTTTCTTCTTTTTACAATTTTTAAAGAAAAGCACAGGCTTAGCAGGCTAACTTTGACACATACCAGCTACCATCAACTCATTCACAAGGATTGATCATACCTGTTACTGCTATTCAACTAGGTGAATTCTTGTTTTCGATAAGTGGTTGCTACAAACAAATTTTAACAGTTAGCTGAGAGAAAACGTTTTCAACGAGAGGTTATCTAAAACAGGTGTTCAATTAAGTGAAAGAAGACTTTTGCCACCAAGATCAAAAGGTCAGTACAATTGAAGTGAAAAGATTAGAGCTTGTTCAGGATGGATAACGCAGGCAAAGTGAAAAAGACAAGATACAGAGTCCCAACAGTTTGTACTGTTTGCCGTCGTCGTAAGATGAAGTGTGATAAGGCAAAACCACATTGTTCATCATGTGTTAAGAATAATACTACAAATCTATGTGTTTATGAAGAACAACCTTGGGCTGCTAACACTGACCAACAAAAGTTGAAGGATCAAATTTTCCAATTACAACAACAAAATAATGAACTAAAAAGATTGTTGAGTTTTAATGCTAGAAACAGTCAAAACTTTAGTAGTGGCTCAAGCCTCTCTAGTGAGAGCCCCTTTAGCTCAAATTTCAATTTCATTCTACCTGATCAACCTGTTAATGATCCTGTGATGGAATTGACTGAAGATTTTGACTTATTGTTGTTGAAAGAATCCAAAATGGCACATTATGGGTCAACGAGTTATATGGCTGCAGTTTCAAAAGATCCAATTTTGAGAGATATCATGAGTAGATACTTGGAACAACAAAAGATGGGTATCAATTTCGATAAATTTTTTCTTTATGATCAACAAAATTTTGCTACAATTGAAGATAATTGTCATGTGGTTGGTATGCATACTGCTAATGGTACAAGTGTCTTTGAAACAAATTTGAACAAAGATCACCAAGAATTATTGAAATTAGTCACTGAAATACTACCACCTCTTCATATAATTGAAGCATTAGTTGATCATTTTTTTAAGGAAACCTATGTTTTTATTCCATTTGTCGATGAAGATGCATTTAGACAAAATATGAAGGAAATGATTACTACAAATGAATCTGGAAAGATTGAATTAAGATTAAAAAACTTTACGCTATTAGCCACTGTTTCCCTCTTGTTATGTGTTTTAAGATTCTCGTTCATTTCATTACCAATTCAAAAACCAGAGCAAGTCAAAGATCTAAATGTCAAAAAGATTTTGAAGAGTGGTGTTCAAATTGGTCCAAACTTTATCGAATATGCTAAGGCTTGTATGGCAAATGCAAGTGTTCTAAGAAAACCTACTTTGAAACATATCACAGCTTTGTTGGTTCTAAGATTATACAGATTTTATGCCCCAGAGGATGGTGATGAAAGTACAGATTCCACAATTTTCTTAGCTTTGATTGTTCAAATGGCTAAAATGCATGGCCTACATAGAGATCCTTCAAGATTTTCTATGGTTACCTCACATTCAACTATTACGAGTTGGAGAAAAATATGGTATCAATTGATGTACCTCGATGCTGTTCAAGCTTTACAATTTGGTTGCCCTTTGTTAATTGATGATGAATATGATACTTTAGCTCCAGCTGCCAATCATAGTGATTCACCTTTGGAAAAAAGTTGTATTAATGATTTGAAAAATCAACATGAAGTGACATTACTTGTTAGGGATTTAGTGAAGTCTTGTTCAAAAATCAAAACACACCCAAAGAGATCTGAATTAGAAATGAAGATCAAAAATGTTGAGTTTTTATTGATGAAACATCGTTCATTAGAAGATTTGACAGATTTTGAAAATGAATCAAGTCAGTCATTCATTACAAAAGCTGGCAAAATTCGTGAAATGACTTGCAAACTTCAACTTTATGCTGTTCATTATATTTCTTATTATCTTTTGTTACTAACGTGTGAACCTCATGAGATTCGTTTGATTCAAAGATTTTCAAATGCTGTTAGTGAGTCAGCTTTAATTTTATTTAGACTATGTCATGAATATTCTAAAGATCCAGCAAAATTCAATCAATCGTTGTATTTTGAATCATTTTTATCAGCTTCAATCTTTGATTCATCAAAAAGACTTTTACAAGCGCTTTCATCATTATGTGTTCGTGATTTGTCGAACATGTATAGTTTCCAAATTGCATTAGACAATTTTGTGTTGGATGATGCAAAAGGCTTAACAGAATGGCTACAACCACCAGGAACCGAATTAACTGTTGGTGAACAATTATTGATTCGGATCGAAGAATTTACACAAGCTTGTGCAAGGTTATCAAACAAGTATTATATCTGTTGGAGAATTACTTATGTTCAAAAATTATTCAGTGATTACTTGGATTATCATTATCCTGGTCGTCTACAAGAATTACATGAGAAAGCTAAAAGATGTGAGAATGCTGGTAAATTTGGAGTACAAACTGATGGAGCTATCAAAGATGTGGAAATGGGGTTCCCAGAGATTGACCCAATCACTAACAATTACTGGGGTCAATTTGTTGATCCAGGAAACCAATCTCAATTTGATTACTTAGCACCAGACTTGAATAAATTTGATGGTATCGTTGACCCATTTTTGAGTGATGCTTATTTGGGTGGTAATTTCAATTTCCAAGATTTTGATTCAATCTTTGCAGCCACCACAGCAGGTTCAGGTTCAGGTTCAGGCTCTACCGGTGTCAGTTCAAATTCAATTCCAACAGATGAAGTTAGTCCACAAAGTGATTCAAGTAATCAAACAGATAAAAGTAAAAATGTTGAAAACTTTATTTATGGTCCAGATGGTAATTTACAAGAGAACATGTCAATGAAGGATATCACAATGAGTCCAGCTGTTAATGATCACGACTTAGCAATGCAAGTTGCTCGTTCAATGTTTGGTGGAAACGGTGGCTACAGCTCAGGTAGTAATGGGCCATTTTAGTTTTATAATTAGGTGTTTATGAGGTGTTTTGGGTTTTGAGGTGTTAGTTCTGTACATATTTCTTTTTTTTTACTTTAGTTATTCTTTCTATTTTCACTACATGATATTTTATCTTTTGTTATTTCAATTGTTATGTTAACTATTTAATATTACTTGTATGATATTTATAGTCCACCACAAATTGGACAATCATCCTTACGCTCATATGCGAAGCTATACGTAAAGACACTATCAGTGCCTGAATACATCATGAAGTTATCTAATATTGGGTTAGAGCTTGAAACGATTTTGAAAGCTTCATTACAACAAGCAGCTGCAATAATTGCATTGGTTGAAGCAATTGCAGGGATGATATTCTTCACAACACCAAGCACCAGACTTCTTGTAATACCAGAAATGCTGAATTCTTTTGCTCTTTTCAAACTTGCTTCATATAACCACAAAACATGATCAGGATTATCAGTGTCTATTTTTTCTCCTGGATGCGATTGTTGCCATTCTATCTGACTTACATATTCAATACAATGCTCTGGTATTCTTGGATTATTTGCAATTGTGCACATTGGGAAAGTAGTTTGTCCGCTCAAAGTGTCCAGCGAGCATTCATAACATGCAGTAAATGTTGGAAATATGACTTTAGCTTGGCCTCTAAAACCCTCGGTACCACCATCAATTAAAGGTTTAACAGTTTCAAAATCATCTGGATCAACCATATGCACCAATTTTGCATTGATCCATCTTCTAGCCTCTATGCTATCCAACCCCGATATTATTAAAGTAAATTGCTTATAGTATGCTTCATCTTTATCTTGTAGTTTCCCATAATAAGGTGTGATCTTAACACCTTTCACACGCTTCATTACAAATTCAGCAGCAACAACAGCTTTTGGTCTTCCAATATCTGAATGCCTGAACAAGAATTGTCTGTTTAAATTTGATAAGTCAATTGTATCCATATCAATGACATGAATGTCTCTAAATCCTGAACATGCTAAATTCTTTAAGATTTCACACCCAAGACCACCTGCCCCAAGGACACTAATGATACGTTAGTTAAGGTCTACTAGAATATTGATTAGAAGATACCCACAGTATTTTGGCATTGTAAATTGTGTCAATCACTTGTTGACCTGGCTCAAATTCATCATCTGCAAAGGGTCCTTTTTGTAATAGGAATGGCTTGATTGATAGATCACTATTCATTCGATCAGTATGATGCTAGTATTGCTTAAAGAGAAGACATACCTTCTAGACATGATAGCTCTCTACTTTCTAGTTTCTGTCTTTGGGTTGGGTTTGTACTGTTCTGTTGTTTTGCCTTGCATTTCATTCCAACCAATAAATTCGCGATCTGACCATCGATTCTAACCATCTGCACTTAGTATTCAGTTAAATCTGCCTAAACTACAAAAAATCAGCTACAACCAGTCAATGTCATCAAGAAGATATACATTTACGTTTCTATATTCATAAATCCAGTTTGCTCTTGATGAAATCATTCATCATTGATAACGAACTGCTAATACCGCTCAAATCATTACGAATATTGTCAATATTATCTTCAAGTTTCTCCAACCTTTTGTTGATACTTTCTGATTCATTAACAGACTCTGTTCTTGTGTTTTCATCTCTTCTAGAGCCGTCCCTTGTCAGAAGAGCTTCAGTGACCTTTTGTATTAAGTTGGTATTTGTATTTGAATTCATAATTATTGTTTCATTCAACGCCCTCAGACTTTCCGCAATACCTCTTAAAACATCATCAGAAGTAGGCTCCACCATTCTTATTCTCTTTGGAGCCATATCGCTAGGGATTATTTGGGGAATCCCTGGAGGAGGAGGTGGTGGTGGTATTGGCGGCCCATTGAAATGTCTTTCATGTTCTATAAAATCTTCAGCTGCTCTTTTGTGAACAGCCTGACGTGCCATTAATTGTAAGTGTTCTTGCATATGTGGATCTTGAAACGTTGTGTTCTTATGATTAGTGGTTTTTTCTTTTAGTTGATTGGTACCACTTGTACTGTCTATCGATTTTTGGTGGTAGTTTCTTTCTTTCAGATAGTCAAAGAATTCACGTTCAAGATCTGAAAGGACATCAATACCATCAGGAATATTCTTGCTATTTTCCTGTCTAATTGTCAATTCGTCCATCAGTTTCCGAGTATATGACCTGACTTTTTTCATTGATAGTCTCCTATGATACGATCTTATCAAATCTATTGTAACATCTCTCAAAGTCTCATATTTATTAACACCATCACTAAAAGGTTTATAATTGAGAATTGATTTCATAAGAAGTATATCCTCCCTTTTTTTCTCCTTTGGGTCAGTAGGATGCTGGAATCTTGTTGTTTTATCTGCAGTTTCAAACATTGCCTTAGCTTCTTCTAATGAAAGTGAATGAGATGGTTTACTTGAGTCAGCCGCTATCCTAGACTTGGGTTTGTGAGCTGATGAAGTTGATGATCTTTCGCTCAGCTCATTTGATGAAATGTATTTGAATGTTGCACCTTGATTGGACCCTGAAGAAGCTGAAGGATCTCTGGCAGCTGAATGTGCTTCAAAAGGCGTCACAGAAGCTTGCGGACCATCCAAAGTTGGAGTTCCATTTGCTTGTGCATGGTTTGAAGAGGCTTCTGGAGTCGCATAAAGAACTGGGGATGGTGAATCTGTTGAAGCAGCACCTTGTGGTTGGGAATAATTTGGAAGTTGTTCATTCACTTTGAACCGATAGACAACACTTTCAGGTGGGTGCTGCTCACTTTGATTATTGGGGCTCATTAATATCTGGATGAGTGATCTATCAGGGTAGGTGTTTAAATTTATCAAAGGTAATCTTCACAGAAGTTGTATATAGACGTTTCTTTGTATCGAATCGTAATTTTATCTCTCGCTTCAAAATACGCGTACGAGCGATATAATCACGTGATCATTTTAAGAAATAGATCAGGATTCAGGATTCAGGATCCATATTACAAGACTTGAAGAGTAGTACAAGTTTCAAGCACACTGAGCGAATCTTAGGAGGCAGAATTCATCACTTGATTACGAGAAAGTTGTGAATTAAATCATTGTACATTAACTTCCACTAGTTTCAGCTCCATTCGTAGCCTTATCCTGGGACCCTGTTTTTTCAGAGCCAACAGAATTGTTACTATTTTCTTTTCCTGAGTCTATTCTTGATCTTTTTGGTGGTGGATATCTAGGCTTACCAATTTGTCTATTAGGTATTAATCTGGGGTTATCATAACGAACAGTTTTCAATTCACTTGGTGCAGTTCTTTTGATTGGGGTTGACTTAGTTGGATCAACAGTTCTCCTTATTGACGGACTGATAAAATTTGGATTGAAAGCATGACTGCTGGCAACATTCCCATTTTTTTGGAGGTCTTCAGCAACTCTAGCTTTGACAAAGCTCACCTCCGAAGGCCGTACTTCTGATTGAGCTGGTCTAGACGGAGTATCATTAGTCTGTTGTTCCTGTGTGGTTGATTCTGAATGTGGTTCATGTTGCTCACCATCTTCACCACCGGCTGGTGTTTTAAGTTTGGTATTTAATAGTTCATTAACTTCATCATTAAAATCTTCTGATTCCAAATTAATATCATCACTAAAAGTCATCGAATCATCAAAATCATCATGTTCATCTCTTTCTATCGGTTTTCTAATATTCGAAGGTGCACTTGGTGCTGCTCTTTTGGGGTGAGGAGGTACCGCTTGAACTGGTTTGGCTGGTTGAGGCGCTGGTGACACTCTAGACATTGAATTTTGTTGTGCAGTTCTTGAAATTGGGAGAGTTGCCGTTGAGGACCTGTCTTTAGAATTATTTGTGGTCACCGAAGGTAACTGAGCTGGAATGGTAGCAGCCCTGCTTGGTGGTGCCAAATTATCAGTATATCTCATTAAATTTGACTCATCAAAATCCGGAGGAGCACATTTCACATTAGAGATTTTACTTAGATAGTCCTTATCATAAAGACAATTACCTAAAGCATTTCCAAAACATCTCAATGCCCTCTTCAAGCCATCTGTTATAGCTTCTTTTTTAGCTTTTTCAAATGCCATTGATTTTGTACGGGCATTATCTAGACTTCCGTATCCAATATCCTCATGATATGCACCATCTTTTAATGTCACACGGACAATTACCGACAAACCAACACTGAATCTTCCGCTTCTTTCATCGAGGTAGTCAACCTGAACTGTTTTAACTTCCGAGTACCAGCCATTAAAGCCAAAGATGGCATTTGCAAGATTGATCGCCTTCCATCCTTCAATATATGAGACAGATAAACCACCAGCACCAGGCCTAGTTGACACGTATTCAGGGCCTAGCTGTTTTTCTAGCCTCGATTGAATATCACCAGCTTCTGAATCCGAGAAAGGTTTCAGCTTGACGTTTTCTGACTTGACTGCCGTGTTGTGAATCGCGTTGCTCATTATTCTATGACTTTTGAAATCAGCAAAACCCTTTTTATTTTGAATCTCACTCAACAGCGCTTATCAAACCACCAGTAAAGAAGAGCTCCCACAGATATGATTCAACAGTATCCTTTTTGAAACGTTGCCTTTGTTTTTGAATCAAACAAAATGGTTCGCCTCTTTTTGATTTTTCTGATGGATCGCGCCTTTTCGTTTGTTTACTTTTCAGATGGATCCTTAGATCAGACATCCAGACACCACAATGGAAGAAAAATTATATGATCAAAAAAAACAGTGTAAACAACAACTTAATCGAGATCTCGAAGCAGACTTGGAATCATCACAGCAACTTGAACCTGTTGACTTCGCTGGTGACGCGGACTGAGAATTGGAACCATCTGAATTGATTACATTGAAAACATGAGCTCGACCTATGCCTCAAGGAGTATAGCGCACTCTGGTCAAAACGAGCGCATCTCATCATCATCATCTTCAAGAACAGCTTATCATTATCATTCAATTTTCAGTGACGTTTGCGCCACTAGATTCCAAAAGCTTTCAAAAGCTATATTCACATTTTCATGGGCACTAAGTGTATTGGTTGCCATTCCATCAGGTTTGGCGTGGTGGAATACATTGCTGCCGTTAAGAGGTCTAGTCATAGCATTTGGATTCTTTTTATTAGCTTGTCTGAGAAAAAACAACTTACATGTTGATTTTCTTGGGTATAGAACGTTGGCAAATCAATATATTGGCCAATTGATCAGTAAAAAGTTCTTAATAACATTGGCTATATATTGGGTCTCATCACTTCTATTCCTCTCAATAGCTCATTTGCAATTCAGTTCGTTGACCTTCAAGGCTATTCCAAAGAAACATCAATACCCACCAATTAATGACCAATATATCTTTTATTATTTCAATGCTTTTTACATTGCATTGGTATACTCAGTTCAACACACTATTCTTGACTATGATAGATTAGTCTTTGCCCAACACAAGTTTTACTCACACCCAAAGCAAACTCTATTTAAAAACATTCCAAAAGCTATGAGCACAGCAGTGCTTCTTACTGTGATTGCTTCTACTTCAGCTCCAATATTTTATTTATTTGTACGAGAATACATTTATGATTTCACTTTCTACACGATTGGCTTGTTTTACTCGTTGAATCAAAGTTATCCATCATTTGGTGTTTCATTTGGCTTCTTATTCAAAATTTCAATTTTGTCATTTTTATTGTCTTTCAGCTGGGAAATTGTCAATTATGCATTCAACGCTTACTTATCAATTGGTTGTTTACATCGTGGTCACACACTATCAGAACTATCAACTGATCCATTAGGAACATTGCTAACAGGATTAAAATCAGATAAACCATTCACCAAAATGACAGCATTCCAAGAATTAGCATTCATCTCTAAATCTGAAGATCCAGAAAAGAGACAAGCAATTTATTCAAGAAACAATAGAAAAGAATTTATTTGGGGTGAAATTTTACAAGAATGTACAAATGTCATCAAGAGAAATAACTCAAATATCAACATTGCCCTATTGGAATATGCCAAATCTTTAACACCAAACGAAACTCAAGCTGCTAGACCAACATATAAACATAATGACTCACAAAATCTATTTGGTCGTGAATATCATTCAGTTGAAACACAACGTCTTTATGACGGTCTTCCAGAACCAAAGAAAATCACACACTCAACAAGTGAATCCCACTTGTACTTTGACGGCAATTTGTGGAATTTAGTCATTGGAAATTCAAAAGAATTGATCAAGCATGCTAAACACTACTATGATCAGTTTGTCACTTCAGAAGTTGGTGCCCCATTTAGATACACTTTATTACGGGAATCAAAACGCTTATGCCCAAATGCAATCACCGTTAGTAATGCTATCATTGCCGTCTCATTAATGGCAACACATGCTTATGACGAAGATAAGAAAGGTACAGTTCCATCCACAATAACTGATATATTGGAAATTTTAGAAAAATCTGTCTCTACATGTGGTGAATTTGCCCAAAACCCACCAGCTCATCTAACTCAAAAGGATGAAGAAAATCCAATAACTTTATTGCATCAATTGTCATTGAACGCTTTTGTGGAGGTTACATTGAAATATAGTGAAGTTTTGAATGATATAGTATTACCACCAGATGTTTTCCGCTTGGCAAATTGGACAGTCGAAACTGCTTTAAGAGAGGAAGCTGATATGGACTGAGAAAAGTACTGTATAGCATTTGTAAAAAGGATATATAAGTTTCACATTACAAAAAATGCATGTATTTCATTTATATATGACAAAATTTTAGAAAAGCACAGAAAAGATAAAATAAATGACCTTGTTGATCAGTTTGGAGGAGATCCATTTCTATTGTTCTTTGAAGGATCAACATCTAACAACACAGGTTTCAAAACTTGTTCATCGAAATTTTGGAACCATCTAGCTCTATCATCAGTGTGTAGTATACTTTGAACAGTACCCACTATCGAAGTTGATGAACGTTCCATAGGGTTCACAGATGCTGGCATCAATGGTGGTATTTCGTCCAAATCAGTTGGTGCGTCATCATCTCTAAGTAAATCTTCTTGAGGATTAATGTTCGGACTTGAACGGTTTCTGATGTCTGAATATGGAACAGCTGGTGTTGATTTATTAAATCTTCTATTTGCCAATACTGAGTTGGTTGTGATTGCCTTTGGTGCCTCAATGTCGAATTCATCGTCAGATTCATCTTCATCAACACAACCAGTTTTGATGTTTAGCACTTCCAACATACCTGCAGTAGTACCACCAAATAGAATAACCGTTAGCACAACAACAACCAAGACAGTAGCCAGTAAAGTGCTCTTGAACTCACCTTGGAGACCCATAGCTAATGCGACACCGACTGCACCTCTCAAACCAGCCCAAAAGGTCATCATTTGATACTGATATGGAATTTCATCTGGTAATGACTGACCATTTGAACGCATTCTATGAACCCAGTTGATTAGTCTAGATAATGGGAAGACTGCAGCCCATCGTGCTAAACAAATGGAAATCGTGGTGACAATGATCAACATTGGTTTATAGACCAATTCAACTTCAGTGAATAATGCTAAACCCAAGTAAACAAATATGAAATTTTCTGACAATCTAGCCAAAAGTTGGAATATGTATTTTGTGGAGATTTGTGTTCTTCTTGACATGTTATAATAAGCGTAATGTTTCAATGTAATACCGCAGAATAATAAAGAGACAATACCAGACATGTGACAACCATTTGAAAAAAAGTAAGATTCATATGCGATAAGTAGGACAAAACAACTTTCGATTTGTGGATATCTTCTAATATGTGAATGTTTCAAAATTAGCGCAACCAAGATACCAACAATGACACCAATCAATAATGAGATGGTGAAAGTCATCAAAAATAAACCAATACCTTCAAAAAACGAAGTGAATTTAGCATCACGACCATGGAATTGTTGACAAGTTTCAAACATAACAATAGAGATAGCATCATTCAACAAAGATTCACCAAAGATAATTGTATATAGTTTTGGATCCACCTTATAAGCATTAAAAATTGACAAAATTGTAACTGGATCAGTTGCGGATAAAGTTGCACCAACAGATAAGGCATCAACGAATGAAATATTCACACTTTCCAAACCTAAAGCGGTCCATACATATAAGATCACACCTAACACAACAGCTGAAATGAACGTACCGGGTATAGCAAATGTCAAGATTGAGCCAATGTTTCTGAAGAAATTTGCTTGATGAAGTTCATAACCAGAGTTCAAAATAATAGGGGGAAGAAGAACATTAAAGAAATATGATGAATTGAACGTCACTGTATCTTGGATGTAATGACCTGGCGAAACTCTAATGATCAGACCAACAATCATACCGTAGAAAATTGACAACACGGTTTCATGGACCGCCTGGATTCTTTTTTGTTGTAGATAATAACTACTCCATAACGCTGATATCAACAATAAGAGCAAGATGAACAAAGCCCAAGAACTGAAGATTTCTTCGGTTACTGGGTTAGTATCACCTTCACCATCATCAGGAATGGTTACATCTGGTACATCACCATCATCGGCAACAGCTCTTTTGATCAAGTACTTTCCAACGCCGAGTATTAAACCTGACATTATGTGTACTTTTATAGTCTGATCTGAAAGCAATAGTCAAGTTTTGAAGGGGTTTCTTCAGTAGTTGATTGAACCTAAACTTGGGAAGCTATCAATAGTAAATAAACGATCTTTATTGGGATGGAATTGTTTGTTTGAAAGGTGTTTTGAATAGTTTTTTTCTTCTTCGATTGTTGAAATTAATCAAGAACACAACGTATATCGAAAAATCGATCAAAATAGCCGGTAGAGCCAGCATTCTAGCCAAAAATGTTAGCAAAAAGGTCAAAATTTTGGGATATCATGTGTTCGATTAGTTCAGACGATGATGATATCTCTTAGTGCTTCATCTCTCACCGTACTTAGTTCTTTGATATTCCTCAATTGATCGAGTTATAATAATCTCATTAATTCGTCAACATAATGAAAGCTCACCAGCCACAATTATGCTCTTGTGGCTAGTGAAATCGAAACCTTAAGGTTCAGCCACATCTAAAAAAAAATAAAAATTCCAACACGACGTCAACTGAAAAAAAAACACGAGGTAAATAAACACAACATCTCTTAAAAGTACTTTGAACTCAGGAGGTAATACCCAGTCATTAATAACACCTTATCACTCACCTCTCACAAAAATGTCAAGTACGTTACGCCATCTCTGTGAGTCATTCTCATAACTTGGCTTATGTTTTTTTGGAGTTTGCTGAACATTCATGAACTAACATCTCTTATTTTAGACCGTCCAATCGTCATTTCAGGTCCATCAGGTACCGGTAAATCAACTTTGTTGAAGAAATTATTTGCTGAATTCCCAGATAAATTTGGTTTCTCGGTTTCAAGTGCGTATTGTTATACAACTATTTACTCTTGAAACAAAGTACTAACTATTTTCAGATACTACACGTCAACCAAGACAAGGTGAAGTTGATGGTAAAGATTACCATTTCACTGCCGTTGATGATTTCAAAAAATTGATTGATGAAAAAGCTTTCATTGAATGGGCTCAATTCTCCGGTAACTATTACGGTACCACCATCAAAGCTGTCGAAGATGTTGCTAAATTAGGTAGAGCTTGTATTTTAGATATTGATATGCAAGGTGTTAAATCTGTTAAAAACACAAACTTGAATGCTAGATTTTTATTCTTAGCACCACCATCTATTGAAATCTTGAGAAAAAGATTAGAAGGTAGAGGGACTGAAACCCAAGAAAGTGTTGAAAAGAGAATTGCTGCTGCCAGTGCTGAAATTGAATACTCAAAAACTGGTGCTCATGATAAAATAATCGTTAATGACGATTTAGATAAAGCTTATTCAGAATTGAAAGAATTCATCTTACAAGAATAAGTTGATAGACAAAATAATAATGGATGTTAGAAGTTGTTTAATTGTATCATTGTAAAAATACTCAAAATTAGTGTAATATCAAATCTATAGGATCTTTCTCTTCACCACATAGAGCTAAAAGGTCGGAATAGCTTGTATTTGAATCAACTTTATGTAGTAGCTTAACTTTTTTACTTGATCTCAAAGCTAAATCATCAGTTGCTCGTCTTTTCTTCTTCCTTCTGTGTAAATTCTTCAGAGGAATTGGGTTAACATAAGCAGTTTCATTTATTTTGACTGATTTTTTTGGTCTATCGCTAAAAGATGAAGATGACCCTGGAATTTTCAATATACTTTTACTTGGAATTTGGGTTTCAGATGAACCTGAAGAGCCTGAAGGAGTCTTCATATTGTCATCAGCTTCACTAAGATCATAACTAACATCTTTGATACTGATATCACCTCTTGGATAATATTCCGAATCAGAGGAAGTATTCTTTAGTGACACATTATTTTTAATGCGATCTGTAATTTTGTGTATATCATCTCTAAGACTATCAAACTGGTTCTTACTAGCTAATGGGCTTTCATTACTTAGTAGTCTTGAAAGAGAACTTGAACACTCTTGTAAACCTGATCCTGTATTATCTGGTGATACATCTTGCGGAGTGAAATGGAATAACGGCGTAGAATACCCCAACGGCCGCTGGTCAAGTGGTGTACTTCTTGAAATCGGATTGTCATTGTATGACTCTATTAATGAATTATTGAAGGGTGTAGATGCTGATTTTGGTGGTTGTTGGAATTCAGATAGTTGAATAGATGGAATGGTAGATTTTGAGTCAATAAATGGGAGGTCGCCAGGATCAAGAGACGTGTGTTGTTTCTCTATTTTCAATGGTAATATAGCTTCACTGCCTTTTCCTTTAGGGGCGTCCAAAATTGGTTTAAAACCATCAAAAGCTGTTGGCTTCCTGACTGGCTTCTGTTTCACTATAGGATTGGTAACTTTTCCGCTACCTTTTGCATTGGTTTTGGACCTTCTAGCTTTGGAAGGTTTGCTTTTTGTGGGCTTGGGTCTTGGGTTTGGTTGAATCTTCTTTATTGGCGAGTTTTTCCTTGTTGAAACGATATGGTCAGCAACATTAGTTATATCACCAATAGTCAAAATATCATCAACTCTCTCAAGTCCCTTCTCTCCATTCACCACCTTGTCTTGGTTCCCATTCTGTTGATCAAAGGTAGTGTCACTCAATAGTACATCTTCAAATCATTAATACTCATCCCTCTAGGTCATGAAATTAAGCACAGCGGTATCACTATACCATTCAGAAAATAATCCCTATAGACACTAAATTTCCTCCTTCTGCTATAGAACATCTCAAATCTTTCCCTTCAGTTGAATCTTAACCGCTGTGATATAAACAATGTGGTTGGTTTTCTTGTTGATATGTTTATGTTTTTGAATTTGACAGATTTTATGTTGAGATTATATAATCATTCTGATTTTTGGTGTAATTTTCAAATCAAATCAACTTCAACACAACAACCCAATCCAATGCAGTATACAGACTTACAGATCTGCTTTCATATTGAATAATCATAGTCTAACCGATAATTATGAATCAGGACATCATAAATCCTTCAACTTCAAAACCGACAGGCTTGAAACCTGGATATAATCCATCGTTGGGTCCTATACAACTTCCTTCAACATACCAAAGTCAAATAGTATCAAAGTCTAAAAACATTTATGATAATAGTGTATTCAGAAGGACACCAGAAGTCAGTTTATCATCTCTTGCGTTTCTATTCAGCGCCATGATCCAAGACACGCAACAAAGTTCAAAAGGTGTTCAACAACTGGAAGCAAAACTAAATTCATATGGGTACGGCGTTGGTACAAAATTTTTGGAATTGATCTCATTGAGAGATGGAAAATCAGCTAAAAGGGAAACAAAGATAGTTGAAGCTTTACAATTTATACATACACAAGTATGGAAGACCTTGTTTGGCAGACCTGCGGATGGGCTAGAAAAATCACAAGATTCAGAGGATGAGTGTATGTATTCTTCATGAGTTAACAAGGGCATTTTATACTAACTTTAACAGATATGATCATTGATAATCTACCTTTGATGTCACAATTTATTTCAGTGCCTAAAGATTTTGGACAATTGAATGTTGGTGCTTTCACTGCGGGTATAATTGAAGGTATCCTAGATTCTGCATATTTTCAAGCAAATGTCAGTGCTCATACAATGGAAGCGGATGGATTCCCACTAAGAACAGTATTTCTGATTAAATTTGATCACGGTGTACTCGAAAGAGAAGCCATTAGGTATTCGAAATAGACATGATAATGATGGTTGAAGTGTAGTTTTAAGCCCTAAAGTGTTCATGACACCTTGAACTAATGTATTCCTACAATTACATATATAACTCTTGATAGCATTCAAACCTTCAAGCCATAAATAGTGTTTTTGAAGCCAATATTGTTGAATATTTATAAAATTCTACCGAATATTCTCACTCAGTTTAGTTCTACTGATTATATAATCTTGATAGAGTTTTTGTCGAGATTTTTCGAAAAAAGTTGAAAGAAAATCCTAATTCAACAATACCGTTACATCAAAAGCCAATACGTCTTACCGATCAATTCATCCTACCTCCTTCATATATCAGTACCAAGGCCATTCATTTCTTTAGCATTGTGTTTTATATAGTATTCAAAGTTAAGAAATGGCTATAACGATCAGGCTTGCGACAATCGCCGATGTTCAAGGTATGCAAAATGCCAATTTGCACAATTTACCAGAAAATTACCAATTGAAATATTACATGTATCACATATTATCATGGCCAGAAGCAAGTTATGTTGCCACTACAACTGATGGTCCATCAAACGGAGAAGAAGATCAAAATTCATATACAAAAGATGTCAAAGGTGATCCAAGTTATGTGAATAAAAATGAAAAAATTGTCGGTTATGTGTTGGCAAAGATGGAAGATGATCCAGATGCTGAAGACAAAACACCACATGGTCATGTTACCTCATTATCAGTTATGAGAACATATAGAAGACAAGGTATTGCTGAAAAATTAATGAGACAAGCATTATATTCTTTAACAGAAACTTTCAAAGCTGAATATGTTAGTTTACATGTCAGAAAATCAAATAGAGCTGCATTACATTTATATAGAGATACTTTACAATTTGAAGTGTTGAGTATTGAAAAGAGTTATTATGCTGATGGTGAAGATGCTTATTCTATGAAGAAAGTTTTAAAATTGGATGAATTACTACCAAGTACATTTCAAAAATCAGAATTTGTGGATGATTTGGAGACTGATCTACTAGAAGGTATAGAAGATGAATAATGAAATGAATAAAAGTTGTAATTTAAGAGTTAAACGTAGCTTATTGCAAATGTTGTCTACGATTATCAATGTAAAGCCGAAAGAAATTTTTATTAATCAAACAAATAGTTATCAATACACTTATTAATCTAGAATTGCATTAGCTCATCTTTGTTCCATGATTTCAAATTATGAAAATGAAACCAAGTCCCACAAGGATGAATAAATTGAAGGTCAATAAACAAATTGTTTATTTTAAATTTTGTTTCAGAGAAAATAGTAAGGTAGCGTGGGTTTTTCCACATCGACAGAAACGTCTCGAGCCAAATGCACTCTAGTCATCATCTAAATAAAACCTTCAACTTATCAAACTTGATAAACTTGATCTTTTTTTCCAATCTTTAAATAAACTTACAAATTTGTTTGGATGCTTTATGAAAAGTTTGGATAAAAGTGTGAAAAGAAAAAAATTCCATAAAAAATTTATACACGAAAAAAAATGAAGTTCTTGATGGAGTTCGCGAATTTTACCCGCAAAAGATTCTCTTAGGGCTGGCCAATAGGTTCACATTTGGGAACCTTGTGAATCCGTGTTCACTTTGATTGATGATTCTTGAGAAGTCTTGACATCTGATTATTGAAGTTTTCCTTTTGACATTCAATTTGAGTACAAATCTTGCCAGGTGTGTTGGTTATCTTATGTTTTGAGTTGGCTTGATAACGTACTATTGGACCTCTGAGTAATGGCAGATCACTTAAACGACCTCCATGAAAGCTTAGAATTCTACATTCCCAGCCGAACAGTGTTTGGTGCAAGTAGATAACCTTGTTCTAACCCAGAATTACATGTCAATTCTTTTCAAAAATTCTCCAATTAGTTGCTGTTTGAACCAATATTATACATTGTACATTCAACTATTCACCAATTCCTACCTTCATTGTTGGTCTTTACGATAGCTCACTTTATCAACTTTAATTTCACCACCAATGTAGGTGTAAATATAAAGAGTTATCACTGATCCTTGTATATCCAACAATGTGAAACTTGGGACGGAGTCATAAATATCATCCGTATCATCTTCCTCGTCTTCTTCGTTTTCTTTTATCTCAGAATTAAAGTCCTTAGATTCTTCTTTTGCTTCACTTGTTTTTATTTCTGATCCATTCTCTGCGTCAACACTATTCTCTGTACCCTTTGATTCGTCTTCTTGTTCGTCTTTTTTTGATTCCTCACTGTCCTCCTTTTTATCAGTTGTATCTTCCTCATCTTTCTTTTCCTCAACTCCCTCATCCTCAGGTAGGTCTTCTTCAGGCCAGTCATTTGAAAAAGCACCAGTTGCACTACCTGGATTGATGAAGAATTTTCCTTCAAGAGTGTAAGCTTCAACTTTATGAGTACCACCCCATATTAAAACATCAACATTCATCTGTCTTGCACTTGTTAGAAGTGAAAGTGGATCACCCCTAGGAACTATTGTGAATCCATTCGTGAACCCTATTCTTAAAGAGCCATGTGTTATGATTAATGATAATGGTAATGATGTATTTTCATCAAATTCACCTTTAACTATTTGGAAATCTGGTGATAAATTTTTAAGGAATTCTAAGGTTGATGGTGATGATGTTGCATTTCCTAGACATAAAACTTGTGATATTTTACCTGGGACTAGTAGTTTTTTGAACTGATTGATTATTAGTATTGATATTTAGAATAGTCTGCTATGCTTCTTTAACTCACTTTCGCCGGTAGGTCCTGTTGTCAATTGTTAGTTGATTGAATCTTTCGGATGCAATTAATAAACTCACTATAGCTCTATTTGGGATGTGTAAATCACCAATTGCAAGCACTAACATCTTCTGCTCAAGTTGATGGTGTTAATTGTAAGATACTGCTTGTGTAATCTCCAGAATAATACACAACGTCAGCCTTCAAAAATTCAGGGAGTAAAAAAGATAGAAGTGTTAAGGCCAACATGCAAAACTGATTCGCGAAAACAAAAAACTACACCACCAGGAGCTACACTTTGGGAGGTGATAAACAAAACATAACGCGTATATAAATGATATAAGGATGTTATCCGTGATCCTATAGATATTGAAATATGATCGGTCCTTGTGATCCAGTAGGGTTTGTCAATTGTGTGACGTTGTTGATTTAGTCTGGATTTTAGCAACTTGAACTGAAAAGGAACACCAAAGCCTGGCCAGCAGTAACTATTGGATGTGTCAATTAATAAATAAAATGATAGCGGTAACCAACTAATTTGATGGTTTTATAGCTGTTGGTGATTTAACTTGACCACCTGGAACAGGTCTTGAGAAATTTGTTTGGATATTTGCTGGGATCTCTGGCATACCTCTTGGGATTGTGGATTTGTTAATTTTTTGATTGTGAACATGTTGAGAAATCATGACAAGACGATCTAATGGGTCAGACATTTTGGAATAATGGTTTCAATGAATCAAATACTAGAGAAGATGAAGAGGATTAATTTGACATGAGATGGATTCAAAAAAAAACAAGATTTTGTCAAGAATTTAAGGAAAAATCATTAAAAATCGGATAAATCACTGTTGATCAAATCCAAGATTTCGCCTTCCGAATTCGAGAAAAAACCGATAAAAACGTCCAAAACAGGAAATTTTAAGGAGAGGTATGATATCATTTCAAATTTATTTGCAGAAGGATGTGTCTTAAAAGCAAAAAAAAATAGCTCAGCTCAACGGTTTAGTTTTTATGGCTTTTGATCAAACTTGTTGGATGAGGGTCAAATGTGATAGATATCAACATGGTTGATTCCATTCAGCACCTTTGATCTGATCTGAATCAACAATAGTGTACGTAAAGTTTGAAACTCGGTTTTTTGACACCATCACTTGATCTCTGTTCGTTTACGAAGGTGCCATCAACAGGCTTCAAGTTTCAACTATCTAGGTTTCAAAAATACATAATTGATTCTTACTTAGCGATTTATTCACTAAATTGATGCTTTCATGATTCATGATTTTGATTATAATGAATTGTTAGCTACTACATTAAAACCGTTCAGGAGTCAATGATGATCAGAACATTTAGCCTTGATCAATAGCACTGTACTAATCATGAAGACATCAAAACCTTTGAGTGGTCAAGTATTTGAAAAAATGAAATATTGACTAGTCTTCAATCATGTGGTGTCGGCCTAGATTTTCAGAAGATGTAGCATTGCACTTGTTTTATCTACCAACAGTATCAACTCATAGTACCATGAGCATCAACAACCAGCTCTACCTTCAAACTAGCATAAAACATATATTTACTTACTTACACTTTCATCATATTGTTTGCAATCTTTCCAAAAAGATGACCATTGTTGTTAAGATAATCGTAGACTTCATTCAAAAAGCAGAAACATTAATTTGTTCATTTCTTCTGCTCTTCAGCTGCTTTGATCTCTTTGATTTCTTTCAAAATTTGAGAATCTTCAACATCAGCAGCTGTGACCGCAGCTTTCTCTTGTTCTTCCAATTCTTTAGCTTTTTGTCTAGCCCATTCAGCTCTTTTCTTTCTTTGTTTAGTTTCTAGATCACGACGTTCTAATTCTTCAATCCATAATTTTTCTCTTAACTTAGCCTTTTCATGTAGTTGTTCTTCTCTTGTCTTCTTCTTTTCTACATTATCTTTACCATAAATAAAGCCACCCACAACTAGAGCAGCTATAGTGAAACCTTGAAATCCAACTCTATATCTAAACCATTTTTGAGCACCTTTTCTATTACCAATACGCACTGAATGAGCAGCTAACCCAACAGCTATACATGTGGCCAAAGTACCTAATGGCACTAGGGGTTGTTCTTTACAATTCTTAATACATTTTTCAATAAAGTCTACTTCTCTATATCAACTTGTTAGTGGGAAATTTTAGTGGGAAAGGATTTTAGATTTGCTACTCACAATTCTTGTTCTTTACCATCAAAACTGGATGGAATTCTTGACATTGTGGAATATGTGATTTGATATGAGTGGTGTTGGAACCTTTAAATGCTATTTTATGAAGAACAGTAGAAGTTCTTCACTAGAGTATTTGTTTTAAAGACTGAAAGTTTTGTAATAATGTACTCCAGTCTTGTGAATCTTGATTTCTGAAGAAAAAAATCACTAGCCTACGATTTGACACGGGGACTGGTGACAGATCAAACGATTTCAAAGGAACGGGCTTTGGATAGTTTGGGCAGTTTAAAAGTAAGTATGCTGCTTAGATTTCGATTGTGTGAATGTATCTCTGATAACGAAATATTGTATGACTATTCTAAATAGTTGATGGTATTGGTTCTTCAACAGTTGGAACCATAGAGAGCAATTTAGCGAAGGCGAGAAACTCTTTAGACTCGTTCCAGCCAGGCTGCTGACTCAGGAATGAGCCTAGTATTAGGTAATACTTTCACTGAATCTAACATTTCGCAAAGTCTGAGTGAAACAATCAAAATAAACGATACAATCCTATTTAATGTATATGGTCATGCTGTAGATGAATTTAAAGCCTCATTATTTTGTGTATTACTTCCTTTGATTTCATCTTTTTTGTTCTTGTGTTTTAAATCCTGATACGGCCAGTTGATGGATTTTTTATGTGGGTTAAAGTGAATGGCGAAAAACATAACAAAACTACATTTTGAATAAACATCCCAAAACTCAACCATCTTACTCATTTGAAAAGGTATATTCAAGAAGGTGTATATCTCCAAATATACTTGCAATATTTTCATCTTTTGACCTGCTGCTAATACCTCTTTGCTTATCAATTGCGAGTCGGACCTGTCAATTAAATCCATTACAGATAAATCAAATGTCACAAGAAAGTGGTTACAATTTCAATAGTTCAGGTTCAGATCATGATCAAAATAAGAGTAATATATATCTGCAGATAGCGACCCCAAAATCGCCAAATTCTGATGGGTTCTCGCCTACAGAGATTCATGATGAAGAACATTCATTAGAGGATGAAATTAAACAAAATGTTATAAATCAAATCGATGTTGAAATCTTGTTGAAACATAGAGAGTATAATCTAGTACAAAATGAGATATCAAAAGTCCAGACTCAATTAGATACATTACAAAAACTTCATGATGATCCCGCGTATTCCAAATACGTCCAAAATGTTATCGATATGAGAGATGGAGTCAAGAATGAATTAAACAATTATAACACATCAACAAATGACTCGGAAATAATCACAAGAAGACATTCATTCTATAACATAAGGAAAAGTGGATCAGAAGAACCCCCAAAGCCTCATCGTACCTCATATGGTGGATTACGCCCCGTGGTGGATTCAAATGGTAATAAAATTTGTGTTCATAAAAGATCAGATGGTGTTATTGTAAAGATTGAATGTCCAACATGTGCCAGATCGGATTTTGGTTCAGCTCAGGGTTTCCTAAACCATGCAAGATTGGCTCATCAAGTTGAATATAAAAGTCAAGATCATGCTGCTTTAGTCTGTGGTGCTATTCTACCAGATATTGAACAAGATGATATTGGGATTGCATCTATTCAGAAATTAAAAGATATGGGGATTGATGCAGATAAAAACTTGGCTCCGGGTGTTTTCACAAATGGATCTATTGGAAGTTCTGATGAAATGAGTGGTCCACAAAAGAAGAAAGCTAGAAGATCAATATCTAAAACTGGTGTACCTTCTGGTTATTTGGAGAAATTATACAATAAAGAAGTCAGTGATGAAGGCACCTTCAAAGAGATTTATCAAGATGCTACAACAAAGACTGAAGTTGATTTTGGGGATGATGATCCTGAGGCTACTACACCTCCAATATCACAAGATTCTTCAACTTTGGAGAATCAACAACAATCAAAATTATTTAAAAAAGGTCACAATAGAAGAAAAAGTCGTGGTGGATTATCAGCTGTCACATTTGATGATCAAATCCCATCAACTTCGTCAGAACATGAAGTTGAAAAATTATCACCAAGAGATATCACAGCACAAGAACTTATAGTGGAGGAACATTTGAATTCTAGTGCTAGTACTGTTAGGTTTTCAGAAAATAGTATAACGTTTGGAGAAGTTGATGGATTGACACCTGCACAAAGAAGAAGAGTACCAACAATTCCTAATCCATTAAGAACTAGAAGTAGATCCTCCAGAGAAAATTCTAACTAAAAGAGTTGAATATCATGACACGTTTAATGACCTATATATAAAACAATAAATTCAAAATGGACTTTTCTATTGATTAAATTGTAAAATTATAACAATCCAGCATTTTTAAATTCCTTTTCAGTAGCATCTTCACTTTCTAATCTTTTCAAATCTTGTTCAGTACCAAATCTTGAACCATTGAACCAAATAGTTGGAACCCATTTTCTACCTGCAATTTCAGTGAATGCTTTTTCTAATTCTAAAGCTTCTTTTTGATCAGCTAATTTGTCCAATTCAAGAATTTCAACTTTTGATGAGACACCATATTTTTTCCAAATGTTTTCAGCATAAACACAATCTGGACACCATGATTTTGAGATCATAAAGTATTTGTTTGAGTCAATAAATGCTTGAGCTTTCTTTAAGTAGTTTGCAGAAACCATTTTGAAGGGTGATTGTGGTGTTTAAAGTTGTACATAGTATACGGGGTTATGACAAATTCTATTGATGATGTTTTTTTTTCAACGTCTGAAAGCCCGTTTGCTCATCTTGGATTGAGATGATGACATTGTTGAATGAAGGAAAGAGAGATCACACGGATGAAGTTGGTTTGTTTTAGATTTTGAGATTGGATATCTTGAATTGGTGATAATATTATCCAAGGGTTCAATGCTGAATTGATCTGGATTCTATTTGAAATGCCTAGACGCCAATTTTAACCTCTTTCAACAATCTAGTGCTGAAATCTTTCAAGAATCAATCTCAAAATCAATATAGCATAGTACTGTATCATTTATGAGAAAATATCATGACTGTCATGTAATTCTATCCCAACTTCATCTCTTCATTCATTTTGCAAATCAGTTGATTGGGAATATTCAACCTGTTCGTTGGGTGGTCAGATCCTGGTAAAGTCGCAAACGTTGGGCTTTACAGAGCTCATCAAAATTCAAATTTTGACAGATGCTTGTTTTTAGTAAACACCACGTATTACCAACAACGTTTCCCTAATAGTTATATACTTGAATATTCCACTCACTAGAAGTAAAACAGCTTCATGACTGCCAGAATAAAGACTCCTCAAATGCTATTTCGAAGCCTGGTGATTGATCAATCAGCAATCTTGAAAAGGATACCCCATGTGTCAACATCAACCACAACAACATCCAAAAGACATTTCACATTTATCAAGAAGAAAAACTTCCCAGGATTAGGAAACATCAAAGAAGAGGAACAAAATCAATCCCAAATATCAACTAAAGATGAAAAGCTTCAGCCATATAAACCGAAAATACCGCCTTTGAAACCAAGATGGTTCTATGCTACAGATAACCCAATATCGATGCCCAAAGAGTATGAATATGTTAAAAAGGAAGATCCAAAGAAATTTTCAGCTTTTTCAGAGTTTGATTCAGAGAGAATTGAAAAGAAATACCAACACTTGGCTAAACAACTTCATAATGATGGTGAATTGAAAGACACGGATAAATATAAAGTGCCCGTTAATGAAGATTATCTATTTGAGGTTGACCTTTTGGAGAAAAAAATGTATCCGGTTTATTGGGAAGGTGCAGTTTATGAAATTCGCCGAGGTTTATGGTTTAATTCTGATGGTTATCCTTTACGTGAAGAACTTTCTGAAGAACTAGAGAAGGGTTATGCTAAACTAAAACCATTTGCAAAAAAGATTAAGAACAATAAAGAAAAGGATGATGATGCTGAAGTTAATCTCGAAAATGAGCATGGTCAAAGAGATATTTATAAATTGGATGGTTTCAAAGAAGGTAAATTGGTTGTTTACAGTGAAGATAAGACTGCTTATATTTTAAATGAGCTATATGGCGGGAAATTACAAGTTGGTTATTTGAAAGGTTTACAAAATGGGCCTGCGTTAGGGGCTAGTCGAGTTACAAGAGGATTTAGTGGATCAAGTGATACTGAGACCAAACCTGAAAGATCTTCATTATCAAGTATTTTTGAATTGGAGTTATCACAAATGTTTGGTGAAAAGACTAAAACAAACACCGCTAAATCAGACCATGAAAATACAAAACAAGCAATGGAGATCGAAATTGAACAAGATTATGACAATGAAGAAGTTGAAGATGGTACCACGTCTAAAGGTAGAGAAGTTGATCATTTAATATTTTGTATTCATGGGATTGGTCAAACTTTGGGTACAAAATTTCAAGGAGTTAACTTCATTCACACTGTGAATGTTTTAAGAAAAAACATCAAAAAGGTTTATGAACAAAACAAGGATTTCCAAAAATTGCTCAATAATGATAAAAATTGTCGAATTCAAGTGTTGCCTATTTCATGGAGACATAAAATTGATTTCTCCACTCATAAACCATCAGAAGATCGTGATGAACATGGTAACCATAGATTACCAACTTTGAATGATATCACTGTCGAAGAAATGAAACCATTAAGAAACTTATTAGGTTCAGTGTTGCTTGATGTGCTATTATATTATGAACCAAGATACTTGAATCAAATTTTAGATGAAGTCACCACACAAGCAAATGACTTATACCATTTATTCAAAAAGAGAAATCCGTCATTTAATGGTAAAATCAGTATTATTGGACATTCATTAGGTTCTGCAATCGGGTTTGATATATTATCAATGCAACCAAAACAACCAATTCCTAAAGATCAGCAAGATAAACCAAGTAGATATTTAGACTTCAAAGTTGACAACTATTTTGCATTAGGCTCTCCAGTTGGAGTTTTCAACTTGTTGAAATTGAAAAACATTGGATCTACGGAATTGAATGGCTCTTCAAATGATAAAATGTCAGTTCCAAGATGTGATAATTTATACAACGTTTTCCATCCGTGCGATCCAGTTGGTTATAGAATTGAACCTTTGATCTCACCAGAATTCAAAAACTTTCAACCAGAATCTGTTCCCTTCTTGATTGAAGATTTCAACAAACAGTTAGCATCATGGGCTGAACTCAGTGAAAGTCTGAGTAATAAAGTCATTGGTACAGCTGCTGATGCTTGGTCTAACGTTACTTCAACTAAAAATGTTGAAAGGATGTTGAAAACAGTTTCAAATAATGCAGTCCCTGATGCTTTAAAAGATGATGAACAAGATAAAAGCGTTCAATTGAAGCAAGCAAAGCTTACAGATGAACAACTGGCAAAGTTATCAAGCTTGAATTATAATGGTAGAGTTGACTATGAATTGAAACAAGGGTATTTTGACTTGACAATTATTTCATCAATAAGTGCACATGTTAGTTATTTTGAGGATGAAAACATTGCAGGGTTTATACTAAAAGAAGTATTGGCAAAACATGAAAAAGTCAAAGAAAAGACTGCAAAAGTCAGAGTTGAAAAGAAACAAAGCAATTAATATAGAGACTACAAATAAACGAAATCATGAAATTTAATGTACAATTAACAGATTATAGTAAATCATCTAAGGATTGTTCAGAATCTCTTTTAATCAAATCCAACATACCATCTGGTAAGATTGGTCTCCCTTCTTTATTCAAAACATAACGGAATGGCATTTCAGTAGCTTCATTTTTATTGAATCTAAACTCTGGATAATCAATAAATTTAATCTCTTCAAATGGTGTTTTACTCTGTATGATTAATTGAGTAGTTCTAATGGCAGTATCTGTAGTCATTTGTTTATTCCCTAATCTCTTACCAACAAATCCATACTTTTTACGTAATTCACCAGTTCTATCTCTTGGTGGATGATCTCCCAAAATACCTCCAAATACGAAATAGTCAAACTTATCAGAATCTTCAACAACTAAATCAGTTTCAGCTGAAGGATCTAATAAGCAAACTCTTTCCTTCACTATTGGCAAAGATTCTGTTCCTATCTCTGTAACTTCCTTGGTGGTCCATTGTAATCCCAAATCTATTAATTGTTGTGGAATATCTTTCTCAGTTGTACCTGCTGGTAATGATGTCAAAATCAAGTTTTCTTTACCAAGCTCTTTTATGATGGTTGAATATTCTAAGATCACCCATTCCGTGAATCCAGCTTCCATATGTTCTATAACGTATTTCATTTTTGTGTATTTGATTTGGCCTTTGTAAGTTGTAAAGAATATTGAAAGAAGAGCTTTATCCAATTTTGAAGTTGTTGATAATTTTTTTTTCGAGCTCATCGGGTTCAAAAATTACGTAAGTGTAGTGGCATATTTGTAAAATCAAGAACAAGTTCAAGTACAATTGGAAGTAGAGTTAATGTGAATTTTAGTAGAAAGGACTTATAGTCATATCTATCTCTCGATGGATTCGTTTATAATCGCTTTTTTGGTGTCTAACTAGTAACAACTGAGTTAGCAGTAAGTTTGATCAGCACTACAAAACATGATTTAACTATTTCATAACATCATTTTAATTGATTTTGATATATGGTATGTGAAATGTGCACACCCTTCCAGTGGTGATTACCTTCCTCTTGAGGTTTTGGAGAAAAGTGTATGAATATGTTGGTAATTTTTATGACATCGAATCGACTTCTAATTTGTTTCCTCTTCTTTCAAGAATTCACTATGTATAGAGTTAGTAAACAGTCCAACATTCCCAATCTTGATGACACTCACGTTAATAGTTTTTCAACATCTAAATCATCTTCTTTTTTAGTTTGCACTGGAGCTGGGGTTGGTGCTTTAGCTGGAGCTTCAGATTTTGGCAAGTAGCCTGGAACAACGGCAACAGCTGCTGCTGCTGATAAAGTACCAATAGCAATCTATTCAGAATTGTTAGTTCAAGTACGATCAAGTGTAGCTCTAAAGTAAAAAGATTTGGTATTCATCTATCAGAACCGTTCCAACCAGTCATAGGTAGTACTACGAACCAACAACTTCTTCTTCAATCTCTTTAGAACCACTATCAAAAACACTCACCCAGTGAGAAGCAACTTGTTTACCGAAAATTGAGTAATACGCAACCATTGTGATGTGTTTTGTAATATAATTTAACCAATTGTATTGGCTTCAAGTTTTGTAGCTTTGAATCTTTCACCCAAAAATCAAAGGGGCTCGAATCGCTGATTCGCGAACTCTTTTGGTGCACTTTTGAAATGGCAGATATAGAAAGTAATCGACTACACTTCAAAGGTCTTTTTGAGAAAGTATTGGAAAGATGAGTAAGAGATAATTTTGCATTATTGATCATTGATCAGCTTATTGGCTCATAAGAAGCTCTCCTTTTACTGATCAGCTTAAAACCTCTAGTTGAGTTATTATGCTTAACGGAGATTAACCTGCCTGAACTGAGAGGTCTCTTTTACGATTGACTTCCTATTAATACACGACACCATCTGATCCACAGCATACTAGACAGCTGTTCTTACTCTAATAACCAATTTATACTAATTAATTTAATCTCCAATCAATTCCCTTTCCTTCATCATTTCCCATCATTTCTATGATTTCACTAACATCCGAATCTGGAAATGGTTATGGTGCGCTGTGCTGTCTGCTTTTTTTTTTTTGGGAGCCGATTCTTCTCGAACGTTCAGTGAAAAATTGGTATAAAACCAAAAGTTACCTCCATGTTTCTGATTCTTTGAATCATCACAATCCCATCAACGTCTTTGTTCGAATCACTTTAATTCAAAATGGTATGTGTCAGAAAGGCTCTTTTGAATGGTTAACACACTTTGTACACTGTTATCCCTCATTGATCTAATACTAATCACAATTGCTTAGTCAACCTTATTGAAATCAGCTAAATCAATTGTTCCTTTATTAGACCGTGTCTTAGTTCAACGTGTCAAAGCTGAAGCTAAAACTGCTTCAGGTATCTTATTACCAGAAAAGAATGTTCAAAAATTAAACCAAGCTAAAGTTTTAGCAGTTGGTCCAGGTTTTACTGATCAAAACGGTAACAAAGTTGTCCCAAATGTTGCTGAAGGTGATACCGTTTTAATTCCTCCATTTGGTGGTTCAACTGTTCAAGTTGGTGATGACGAAGTTATCTTATTCAGAGATTCAGAAATCTTGGCTAAGATTAGAGAAGAAGCTTAAAGAGAAAAAGCCTACATATAACTTTTGTAAATAGCATCAATTAAATGAAGTATGATTTTGTTTTATCTCCTCCTTTTAGATCCTTTCATTGATTAACTTTGACTTTCCCTTCTCTCCAGTAGTTTTCAACACTAAATCTCTTCAAAAACTCCACAGCTGTCTCTTCATCATCTGCATGAAATTTTGACCATTTTTTGAAATGTAGGTCCTTTAATTGACCTTCCCAAAGAATTTGACATTTATTCTTACTCAAATCAAAATGCTGTTCGTCAACGGTAGTACTATCTGTCCATTTGATTCTATTAAGCATCAATTTTTTGTAAAACTTGATGTTTTTCTCACTTCCTTCCACTATAACTAGATTGAATTGTTCATTATACAACACAACACCAACAAGGTTCAACTGTTTGGCATTAATGTCCAGCTTAAACTTGTGTGAAGGATGAACAAGCTTATCAACAATAAAGACAGCAGTGCAATAACCTTTTTCCAAATCCCTTTCATATTTGGCATTCTCCTTTTCGTGTCTTTCCTCCTTGGTCAATTTTCGTTCTTCATTTGTAGCTTCATGTTTCAATCTTCTCTCTTCAACTTCTTTTCTAACCCTTTGTTCCACAGCAGTGGGGTCTTTAATAGCTTCATTAGTCAGTGCACTCATCAGATTACTCAATTTGACTTTTGGAGGTGGTGCTGGTTCTAATCCCAACTTTATTCTATCTTGTTGTTCTTTATACTTCTCAGCACGATCATTTCTTCGTATTCTCTTCATCTCCTTCTTAGTCAAATACAAAGGCTTAGGTGGTGGCAAATGGCGTTCCCATGGAGCGTTAATAGGAACAGGATGTTGAATATATGGTGAAATTGCATCCTGGTTGATTTTTGCATAATCACCATCGATCAATAACGGTTCATCCCACCATTCAACTTGTGGTGGTTTAGCAACTTTATACAAGTCTTCACCAATTGCTAGGTCTGGCTCAAGCCCCGCCTTCTTAGTTGATTCATCTATTTTTCTTTTCAATTCAGCAAGTCTTTGTTGTTTCCGTATTTCATTAGCTTGTTCGATATATTTCCCTGATTCATTGAATTGAAGTTCACGTTTCTTTCTAGAGCGATCAAGATTATCAAGATATGGATTCACTTTATAACCTCTTTTATTGACTTTATTAATGTTTGGATTATCAATTGGTTGGCTTATGGTGGTGTCTGTTTGCCCTTGTAACAATGGATGTAATTCAACATTTAAACCTCTACCCACGCTACTATCTTCATGCCTGTTGTCTTTCACAACGTTTTCTTGCTTCTTTTGAAGTCTCGCTTTTGTTGCAGCTATTCTATCTTTGAGGGATTGTGATATCTGTGGCTTAGGTTTAGCATCTTGAGTTGGTGTTGGTGTTGAATCTTGACTTGATGATTTCTCTCTGATTTGTGCAATTCTCTCTTTAGCTTGTCTTATTGCGTCTTCTCTAGACATATCACCTTTCTGTCTCTTATCAGGATTCTTTGATTCGTCCTCCAAATGTCTTTTGGGTGGCATATTGTTCATTAAGATACTTTTCCTCTCCACTTCTTTGCGTGAAAGTTGATGGCTACTTGAAGTGTTTATGTTTTCAATTTTTTGGTACGCTATTTTTTTTTGTTAATTCCACTCCATCAACACTTTTTCACTACAAGATTAGAAACCTTTTTTACATAAAAAATCAATTAAACTAATAATATACAGCTTTGAAAAGCAAATTGTTCGAAAAATATCTCAAGCTAAACCAAAACCTTCATGACCCTCAGTGATGGCCAGTAACAATGAACCTCTTAAAGTTTCATATGAATCATAAGCTGGTAAATCAATTTGGTTGAAACAAGTATGTGAAGATGGAAGACGCTCTGTTGATCCGAAATCTCTATGAATACTGAACTTGGAGGTACCATTTGATCCACCAAGTTCTTTGAACCCATTTAATGGAACTTTACTTGTACCAGTGGCAAATTGTAACAATTTAGCACGCTCCTCAGCATCAAAGGAACGAACAGCTCTCCAGAAGTATGAAATTTCTTTTGAAGATGGTGAATAGTTAACATAAGTGGTGTTATTCTTCCAGTCATCGACATCAATATCTGGAAGACCTGAAATTAACAATTCCAATTCTTGTTCGTCAAAGATAGAAATCAATTCTTTTGGAATAATTTCATGGAAACCTTGTAAAAAGTTACTAACTTGTTCTTCAACACTCTTTTGCAAACGATATTCAACAACCAAACGAACATATTCTTGTTTATTGTCCTCAGTAACTGCAATGTTTCTACCATCTGGAATCAAATCAATAATCTTGACCTCACCATAATCTTCAGTTTCAACAGCAAAAGTTTCAATAATGATATCAGTAATATCATTCTCCAACATCCACATCAATGATTTGAAATATTCTAAATCAATAGTTTCCAAATCTTTCAAAGACACTGAGCGACCTAAAATACTCTTGTAAACATCCCTACTGAAATGGCAATCCAGGAAGCAATTGTCATAAATGGCTTTACCAATAACACGACCAATAAACTTGAAAAACGATAAATGCTCTGGGTTAACCCAGGAGGTACGGTTAGGGTGGAATGTTGTTTTGTCAGATGCAACAGGCAAAAACAATGCATAATCTGGATTAAACATTTGACGAGATAGCACCTGGTACCATTCTCTAGTAACACCACCAGCATCAATTCCCGCTTCACCTTTAAAACTAATGTCCAATTTAGCATTACGGAACTCTTCACTAGACTTGAAAAATAATGCACGATAAGAATCCAAAAACACTTGGTCACGACGAATGGAAACAGCCATTGTTTGTTTTTCATTTTCCTTTGTATGAAGTTTCCGATCGAAATAATTTTTCTTGTTATCGAACTCTAAAACTCTTGGATTTCTAACCAACATAGCAAATGGACCACTCATCAATTTAGCATTTGATCTGACCATTTGATTCAAAATCTTTTTGTGAGTATCTGTGAATGAAAAGAACAAACTTTCAATTGGTTCGTTGACGAAATCACACTTTTTGTTTTCATATTTCAACGCATCTTTGGCTTGCAGCTCTTTGACCTTGCTGTGCTTACAAACAACCATAAGAGCTTCAATTAGTGGCAGCAACGCAGTAGCAGTGTGAGTGATATTTTTATTGTCTTCCAATATATGTAGACAATCACTTAAAGCACCCCATAATGGACCTAATGATAGCTTTTTGTACAAATTGGTCAACTCTTTTAACTCAAGTTCCTTATCATCTAGTTTACCAAATAAATAATCAAGAGCTGTCAAAACTCTCAGTAGCTTTGCCTGGTCAGAGCTTGAAGACGTGAACTTAGCCATCACGTCTGCACTCAAGTCTTCTGTGTGGTCTTTCAACTCTTCAATCAATGTTGCTAAATCAGTAACAATAACTTTTCCTAGTTTTGTAGCACTAGACGATAACTCAGAAGCGAATATCTTTTTCCCTGACTTAATCACCAATAAATTTTGCATTGCACTCAAGGTTTGCTGGAATGTACGACTAGAACAATCATCAGCAGAAAGAGCTGTAACAACATTACTCAAACTGGAATCCATCACATTTGGTAATTCAATATTCTTTCTTGATTTTTCAGATTCATCACCTTCTTTCTCTGGTTTAACTTTGTCATTTTGAGCCTTCAGCAAAGCATTCAATGGACGGGTTGTGATTTGTATAATTCTTGATAATAAGTCCATCAACACAGATTTTTCCTTCACTATTCCTCTATCAAGTAATGACAATAAAGTATTCAATGGGTATTTAGACTGTTTACCAAATATATCTTTTTTCTGCTTAGATTTCTTACCAAGCATTAAAGGTTCATGCTCACTCAGGAAATAATATCTCAAATGAGGATCAGACTCTAACAAAAATTGCAATGCCTCTAAAACTTGACCAGCAACAATAAATGGAGTTGCACGATTTGGAAATTGATTGACTGAAAGACTGGTTTTACCACTAGCTGGCGTGGATGGAGTTCTTGGTGTGGATGGTTTCACACCTGGAGCAATATTGTACAAGCTACCAGTAGTACATTTAGCTTTGCCACAAATCTGATGGAAAGTTTTCTCTAGCGACTGTTGATCACTAAGCCCTTCTTGAAGAATTGCAAGGAAGTAACCAAGCACCTCAGCTCTACTTTGTTTATTGATACAAAGTTGGCCAAGTAGTCCGTATAAAGTTTTTCTACCTTGGAAAGATTGAGGGACAAACACAAAGCGAACAAGTGAAGCAACACCAAACCTATCAACCAACGGAGTGAAAAAAGTTTTACTCTTCTCTTTGGATCCACTGACTTCGGAATTTCCAGCATTTTCACTTTCATTAGGCACTAATCTAGTGTCATCACCACCCATACTATCAACAACCAAGTTTGGAAGTCTAGTAGACATTGCTTCTTGAGCCAAAATTTCCTCTCTTATACCATCAGGAAGAGCATCAAGGAAGTCTTGATCAATTTCACGAGTGGTATTACCAGCATTAGAAGCTTCAGCACGACGTTCTCTAACATGTTGAGTAAACACCTCCTCTCTCATATAATCTGGTAAAGCCTCAAAGAACTCAGGATCAATGTCTGTACCAGCAATATCCACTTCTCTGTCACCGATCATAACATAAATTGGATCCTGATTTACAGGCTCATCTAGACTATTTGGCTCCGTTGGTTCTGGCTGCGAGGCACGACGTTCAGCTTCTTCCTTCTGTCTTCTTTCTTCAGCTTCTGCCTGGTGTTTCTTAGCTTCCTCATCTTCTTTCTTTCTGCGTTCTTCTTCTTCTGCCTTCTTCTTATTGTATAACTCTTCACTAGGTTCAAAAATTCTGTTCACAATTTCAGTTAAAATTCTGAGTGAATCACCAGATTTTCCGAAAAACATAGAATACACTTCATTCCATCTCTCTTTTGTTGATTTTAAAGAAAATTCACTTGCTGCGAGTTTCTGGTGAGCACTAGGGGTTAACATTCTTCTCAAATTTTCACGATTAAAAAAATCGAGATTGCTTATTTGAGGGAAAGCATTCAACTGTGAACTTGCTCTTTCCAACCCAGCTCTCAAAATTGATGTGTAATTTCTGTCATTCCCTGAGAAGGCCATATCAGCAAGATCTTCAACATTGAGCATAAATCTTCTAGGACGGTGGTTGTGAGTGAATCTTTGACGATGACGATCGCCTTGAGCACGCATGTTGCTTGGATCTATTTCAAAAATGTCACTTGAAGAAGAAATATCAGATTCATCTTCATTCTCATCCTCATCAACGTGTATGAATACTTCATTATCTTCTGGTGCATCCATTCTTGAGCCATCTGGGCCTGGTGTTCTTTCCTCTTCTTGTTCAACTATTTGATCCAGCTCAGACTCAATTTCAGAATCAAAGTGGTCATCATGGTCATGCTCGTGGTCCATACTATTTTCATAATCTGAAATTTCGTCATCAACTTCTTCTTCCGACAGCATCTCTGGGATAATTTGGAATTCTGACATTTCCTCATCACCTTCATGACCCTCCATTGTTTGATCTGAATCATCTGAATCAAAACTGTCTTCTGAGTCTTGATCTGATTCACCTGCTGACTCATTCTCATTATCAATATCACCATCATCAACAACCTCGCCATCGTCAGACCCGATTATATCATCTTCGTCCTCACTATAGACAATTTCAAGGGATCTATCAACATCTTCCTCATCAAAATCATCTTCGTCATAGTCCATTTCTTCATCACTAGCATCTTCTTCTGAATCAATCTCGCCAACATCATACATCCCTAATGTTGAGTTACGAAACAAATCAGGAGTTTCCTCTTTGAAATCATTTTCATCTTCCTCCAGCTCTTCTTCATCAGCAACACCATTTGGTTGATAATCTTTGAATAGTTGCTGGAACTCAGTCTTGATACTGGCGATGGTACTTAAAGCTGTAACCACAGAATCCAAAATGAAATAATACTCTGGATAATTCAAATCAATTTCCGTCAGAACACCTGTTAAAGCTTGAGGAAGCCCTGCATCAATCATTGTTTTGGCCACATGGAACGAATCAAATTCAACTGTTGATGCTTCCACTAGCTTGTCTCTAGACTTGGACAAAAGGGAAGGGATCAACTTATTCAATGATATCAATTTTTTATAACGAGTTTGCATATTATGAGAAGACAACGAAATATCCTTAACAACTTTCAAAATAGAATCCACAGTGAACTTTCTAATAAATGTCATATCAGGATCCACCTTTTTTGGATCAGCTTTCAAACTTCCTTGGTCAATAGTTGATATGAATGCAACAATAGCCTTACATGTGAGATCTGAAACCGCCCTTTTACGGTTGTCCTCTGGGTTTGTTAGATCAGTTCCTGCACTTTGTATCAATTGATGTAAAAAGAAATTCAATGATGTTGAACGAGGTTTTGAAGGACCTTCATTTTCTGATTGGAAAAGCTGCTTTTTGGAAAATGTCAAAAACTCAAGTTTACTCTGTTTGTATGAAGCCAATAATTCAGTAATAACCTTCAATAAAAACAACATATAGCTGCAATTTGAATTTTTATGAATATCAACTTTTCGAGGTTTTGGGAGTTCATTCTTCTCTTTCTCTTTTTCTTGCTCTTCACGTTCCTTATCAGTTACTGGTGGCTCACTGATCCAGTCCTTTTTAGCTGTTGACATTAGTTCTGTTAACAATAAATGAACAATACCTGTCTGGTTGTGTAATTTTGTTCCAGAATCAGTAGTTTCAACTTTTTCACCAGTCTCGGCGTCAATCATTGGCACATCTTCATCAGCGCTTTCAACCAAACGAACACTCAAGTTTTTCAAAGGATCACTAAAATCACTGAACCTTGCTCTTTTAGATAACTCTTCAAGATATACTTGAGGAGCCCTCAGAACCACACCTGGGATTTCCTTCAACAAGCTAGTCAAATCTCTGGAGCGATCTTTATTATCATCACCGCGTCTTGATTTTGATATAAATTGTTTATTGATTTCCCTTAAAATCAATGAGTCAACAATGTCCTTTGTCTCGAAACATCTTCTAACCAATAAAACAAAAGCAGCTTGTAAAGCAAATGAATTTTCCTTTTCTTTCTCTATTGGTTGGGAAATAACTTTTGTAATCTTTTGAATGATTCCAGAAGCAACAACCTTTTCAACTTTTTCAGGATCACTTGTATAAAGCACCAAAAGCCTGGATATAGCTAAAGCACTTTTATGATTAGTGATTTCACCGACATTAATCAAAATTTCGAACAAAGATTCACGAAGACCATCTTCCAATTCATAAGAGGATGGGAATGATTTTGGGATGGTGCAAGATACATTAACTTTGGCTTTTTCAAATTTTGGGAGATCTGACGTGGCTAGTATTTTCTCCATACCGAACAAGGCCTGAGGAAACCAATTACAATTCACATATTCAGATTTCACCGACTCAATGACAAATGAAGCAAAGCTCTTTAGGGTGGAGCTAACACCGTAAAAAATGGTATCATTATTGCTTATCAATATAGTGAACAAATGAAACATGGAACCAAGTTCTTTTGAGTCTTGATTGGATATGTCAAATGAATACAAGTACTCCAATAGTGTACGCAAGATATTGGCCTCAAAATTAACAACATTTTGTTTTGGTGAGTTCAAATATGAGGAAACCAAATACTCTGAAACACTCTGCACTGTACTTGGGTATAGTTGGGCAATGAGCAAGCACTGATCTAAGAAATAGTCACTCTTACCTTGACGAGCTTCCTCAAGTTCGGTAATCGTATGGTATCCTAAATATTGCGGTGTCACAAGCTTTGGTTTTGGTGGAATGTATTTCTTTTCAACAGCTTTGCTTTTTGCGTTTTCCCAGTCTTTAGGTGTTATAGCTACCCCTGGAAATGCATCATCATCTAAAACACTAAGATCACCACCAGACTTGTTGATAATTCTTGGCGCTTGTTCTTCAGTAAACCCTAAAGATTGCAAATATTCCATTCTTGAGTGTGAATCTTTAGCTTGTTTCCAATCTAATTCATATAATGCACCGTCTGAATAGTTCAAATATTTCTCTCCATTATTACTGTAAACGTGCTTTCCAAGTTTGATCAACTCAAATACCACGGGAAGTGGTAATTCATCTTCCACGGATCCAAAACTGTCTTCATCTAAAATACCTGATAAAACACCAAAACCCAACAACTTCGACTGGACAAGGAATGAAACTGTCAAATTGTGAACAGGAATGTTTGATGTTCCAGTTATATCACCTTCGTAATACAGTGGGCTGTTACTAACAGCAACTAATGATTCATAAACAGTTATTTTGTTGAACATGACCAAGAGGTTCATTACCAAGGAAATAACAATACTTTCTGGGGTATCTCTCACAAAAGTCAAATCTTTGGCTTCATCAGCCTTCTCCTTATTTAGTGAGCTTAATTTTGACCAAAAATGTAACAAAATATCACGCTGAGCGAGGAAACCACCTTGTTGCATGAAGTTGATACCAGCTATTGTCAGTATTTTATCCGAGTTTGAGTCCGTCAAACAATACTGGATAGTGTTGATGAGTACCAAAAGGAACGAAGGATGGTTGTATAGTTCAGAAACCAAATAACCTTGGAAAATCTTTGTGATTTCATGAGAAATTTGGACTGTGAATCCTCTGTATAAATCAACAGTATATTCTTGTCTTCCGACAGTTGGTAAAGCTAGCAAAGTGTTGAAGACCAAAGAAATTGAACCATGAATTCTATTTATCAAGAAACGTGTTTGGAGAGTATTCTTGAATTTAGCACTTGATTTGTTGAATTTTGTTTCAGGGTTCTCATCACCTGTGACAATTCTAAGAGGTGGACATCCATCATCGTACTGATTTGGAATAGTTTCCTTAGCAACAACATCTGGCATACTTGACCGCAAGGCATATTCTTCAAAAGTAACACGTCTCAATAGTTGACCTAACTGATTAATTAATTCTAAGCCTTTTTCTTCAGAAAAAAATATTGCCAATTGGCCAACACGAGTTGGTGATAGACTATTTGGGTTGCAATAGACATCAACAAATGCAAACAAAATGTTGTTAACAGCAATCAACCTGTTCAAAAGATCATTTGATCTATTACTATCACCTTCAAATTTTTGGAACAAAGAAACTTCTTCAGTTGACTCAAAATAATCCCTAACCGAACTCACTTGTTTGGCTATCTCTGCAATTAATTTTTTTGGGGCATACTCTCTTCTTTCATCATCAAAATATTTCAGAACACCATTCACAGGGTACATGCTATTTGAGTAAACATAATCATATGATGCGTTTTTTAAAGTCAATAATGGTAGCCAATGTTCAAAAGGCAACTTGTCCATAATCTCTGTCCACGTATTGCTATATGGAATCATATTTCCTATGAAAACAGTGGCATTCTCAATAGCATAAGCTTCATCAAGTGTTTCCCAAGCAGCTATTTGTGATTGACCTTCCTCATTGTCAATTACTTCATCCTCTTTACTATGGTAAAATGATCCTTTTTCAGATGTATAAATTTGAGGGCCAGGTAATGTTTTAGCCGCTATACTTGGTAGCCTTTTGATCAAAGAGACAATTTCATCAAGTATGATAGGTTTCAAATCCGGATAATGTCTTGCAAGTTCATCAATAGCAGAACCCATGAACTCCGAGATGTCATCAATAACTAAAGCTTTAGCATAATCATTATTGTCAAAAATAGTGAAAAACTTTTGGATAAGCTGGCCATCTTTAACTTTTTGTAAACCTTCAGTGTTCAAAGCAATTGCACCAATCACATTTGGTAATGTAGTAATTAGCTCTGATGATTTTCCAAAAAATGTTTCAAATCCATCAACGATGAGATCAATTGTTCCAGCTTCTTTCAAAATTGAGTATGATGTTGGTTCGTTGTGAATAATGGCGCAAACAACATTGAGACTTAACGTCAACAGAGTAAATCCAAACACTGAGATATTTTGTAAAATTTTATTCAAATGACCCAATAATGGCGAATCAAACAAATTTCTAACTCTATCACCACTTTCTGATTGGATCAAGCTATGAACAAATTTCAACAATGAGCGAATATAGTTTGCTTGTCTGAAACTGATGGAATAATGGACAACGGTAAGTTTTGGAGGGCCGCCACCATAACCGGGGTTTTCTAAAGCAAAATCAATTTCATAACCAACCATATTGAGTAATGAGTTGAACCCATTCATTTCTCTGAACAAAGAAACATTCTCAGATGAGCTGGTAACAATGGTATTCAACAAATAAGTTGCTGCAGCTGTTGTCTTTTTAACATCTGACTTAAGATTCAAAAATTCCATTAATGTTTGGATCAATCCAGCCGATATTAACAATGTACTTAAAGATTTCACTTCCACCAAATTGGAGATAACATTCAAGAAAAACGTATTGAATTCTTCATCAATATGTTTGTCATTTTCCTTAATTTGTTTAATGATAAATCTCAAGTTCTGAAACAATAATCCATGGGAGACACTACCACCCAAATTTCTTAGAATTTCACTAGACCAAGTTTTCAAAGAGGAAATACAATCCAATGATTTAATAGCAGCCATTCTAACATCTTCTGGTACAGAACTTTGTAAATTTACCAAATCAACTAATGAGCTTAATAAGCTTGGATCAGCTTCAAACACTCTTGAGGTGACTTCAAAATCACTATTCACAGAGACCAACAAAGAAACTGCTAAACATTTTATTACAATAAGATCTTGACGTAACTTAATGTTTTCATATGAATTGCTATTAAATGCTTTAGCCATGATGGATTTTAGGCAAAATCTGACCCATGATTTGCTTGGGAGTTTTTCAATACCTTTGTCATAGATTTGTTGTAATGAAAGCTTGCGAACCTCTGATTCTGATAAGTGGAACAACAATGGTCCATCTAATTTATTGTCTTCCGACTTAACTTGTTGCTGTTGTAACTGCTGTTGCTTTTTTGGTTTTATTGGTGAAGAATCTGTTTGTTGTTCTTGATTCTTTATTCTTTTGACGGATGGAGAATTGACTAAAGATGCTGAATCTTGTGGTTGTTCCTTCTTTTCAGTGTCATTATAATAAGTATAGTCCAAGTTCCTCCACTTCTTTGGAACTTTTGTTGAGTCTTTTATGAAATCAGTCAAGGAACAATTCTCATTGGACCCAGTATTGGAAGTTAATGTAGATGCAGGTAGTAATAATGCTAATGGATAAACTCTATCAGACACTTTTCTTGTAGCAACAAATGTTCTTTTCATAGATCTGATTGAATATTTTTTACCCAATACAACAAAACATTTCAAAACACCTTTGATGACAGGAATAGTTGGTGAGGCTAAAAGGTCATAAAGTCTATGTGAACTTGAGTAAACTGATTTGTTGGATGAATTATCTAGTAGCATATATGTAAAGTCAAGAATTGCAACAGTTAAAGTTGTATCTTTAGCATCAAGCTCTGTTGGTTTGACATTTTCATCAGCTAGCCCATACTTCTTGATAATACCTTCAAGAATTGAGTCGAATTTGTTTAAAATATCGACCCAGTTGAGTAATGTACCTTTCGAAGTATCCCATACCAAGTTTGAATTCAAAACCTTCGGTAGATCATCATCTGAAGCATTCTTTATAGAGTTTATTAAGTTTTCCAACGGTTTGGCGAGCTCATTCAACGTCTTTTCTTGCCTCTTTGTGATGTGCATGATAAAACAATGTAGTTCAAATGTTCAAGACGTAGAAGTACCTTTTTTTCCTTAAATTAAGGCAAAAAAATCTAATGAGCAATCACAATGGGAATTCTTTGAAAATTTGATCTAATTCCACTGACAGTACTTAAAACGATGCCTAAAAGATGATGGTTTACTTTAGCAACTTGATAAACCAACCTAAAGTTGAAGTTCAAGAAACGATGGCAAAACGCTCTTTTTGTAACAGCTTAAAAAACTAAACTTGTTTTTGGCACCTTTCACTTCTTTGTGATGAGTTTCAAGGGAGTAGTTATTCAATGCTTTCAGCTGAGTTTAGTTGCACCGAATACTATAAGCACAATATATTTGAAATTCTATGACAGACTTAGTTCTGTTCTTTTGATGTGTTTGATTTTGCTGTTTTTGAAGCATTTCTGAAGTTGATCTGCTCCTCTATATTTTTTTTTGGCTTTGGGAACGTTCAGGGTTAGAGCAAAAGTGGTTTGCGCAACACAATATAATGTCTGGAACCAGTAAAACAATAAAGGTGACAAATTCCACGGTGATTTGATGGTTAAAGCTACTGGTTAGAAATTGTCTCTAAATATTGAAACTAGGATATATACTTGGACTTATTTTTAAAAAACTATATACAACGAATAATATGTCTAGTTCACCTTTTCTATGAATTCTTTGTCATCCATATAGGATTGAAGAACTTTTGGGATTGCAATTCTATTCGAACTAGGGTCATAAAAGTTTTCAATCAATGCAACAATAACCCTTGGAACAGCTAGAGCAGTACCGTTCAAGGTGTGAACAAAAAAGCTCTTCTGCAGCTCTTTATTTTTGTATTTGGTATGAGTTCTTCTTGATTGGAAATCAGTACAATTTGATGTTGAAGTTAATTCACCCCAATTTCCTCTACCTGGCATCCAAGCCTCTATATCATACTTCTTGATAGCTGGCGCACCCAAGTCATTAGCTGGCATGTTTAAAACTCTTGCGCTCAATCCTAATGAAGTTATTAGTTCTTCTTGAAATTCTCTTAATTTTTCCAATTCACCTTCAGATTGATTTTCTGCAGCCCATACAAACAGTTCAACTTTTGTGAACTCGTGAACACGATATAAACCTTTAGTGTCTCTCCCTCTAGCACCTGCCTCTGCTCTATAGCTTCTGCTGACTCCAACGACTCTTTCTGGTAAATCTTGTTCATTGAATGTCTTATTAATTGCCAGCCCAGCAAGAGGAATTTCAGCAGTACCAGTCAACACCAGCCCGTCTTGTTTCAACTCATACGTTTGAACTTCTCCATTTTGATCTCTTGGTTTAAAGCCACATGCATCAGAAACTTCAACTTTCACAATAGATGGTGGTGTGACCATTTTATACCCATGTTTTCTTGCAAGCTTGAGAGCGTATTGAACTAAGGCTTGTTCTAGAAGGGCACCATCGCCAATTAAGTAATACCATGATGATCCACTTACAGTTGATCCAGCTTTCAAGTCAACAATTCCGAAGTCTTGGGCAATCTTGCTGTGTTCCAACTCTGGGATTGGTTCATATTGATCTTTTGGGTTCAAATATTTCACTAGTTCTTGTTCATCTTTGACAGATTCGTGAAGTGCATTAGGAAAGCTTTCCATCACACCGTATAGTTTTAGTTCTTCAGCTTTGATGTTCTCATTTATTTCTTTTTCAAGCTTTTTTAGCATACCTTGGATTTTTAATTGTTCTTCATATTTTGCACCAATTTCTTTCTTCTGTCTCAGTTCCTTCAATGTTACTTGAGATATATTCTTTTCAGCTCTTATCTTGGTCAAACTTGCAGTTAAGTCTTTCACTTTTGCATAATATTCACCTGTATTCTGAATCTCTTTCAAAACATCTTGTGGTAACTCTCTTCTTTTGGCACTTAATAAATAATGATCTAGGTTTTCACTGATTCCTTTGAAATTGTAGACAGGTTTCTTCAAAGTGGTTGAGTTTTCAATTTTGATATTAACTTTGGCACTATAATGGCGAACATTTAAGCTTCTCAGGCTCAAAATGTTACCTCGTCTCAGCATTTCAAGTCTATAGACAGCCAAAGCTTCTCTAATCTCTTCAACAGATCGAAAGTTTTTGAACAAAGTTCATCATTTTCGCGAAATAGTGCTTCTTTCTGAAATTTCCAGGCACACAAAAATCTTCAAACATCTACTTTGAATTTACAGGTGAACTACACTATTATATTTCCCAAATAGCTTTTGTTTTTTTTAGATTTTATTATAAATTTACATTACAATGCCAAATTTTTGATTCAAAAGTTTAATTTAGTGAAGAACCATTTGTTTTTACCAGATTGGTATTTTTCTTCAAAAGCTTTCTTGACAACTTTTTTAGCTTCTTCACGTTGGGATGGTTCATCAAAAGTTTCAGTTGAGATGGCTGATTTGAATTCTTCAACATCAACGGTGTAACGGGTTGGTAATAAATGGTTGTAGTTGATAGTTTTGATGAATGGTTTGACTTTTGAAGCTTTGGCAACTTTTTTGGCACCAGCTCTCTTAGAGATCTTAGATGGGTATCTTTCAACACCAGCAACTAAAGCGTGACCGAATTTGTGAGCTTTTGAACCTTCATCGTGAGCTTTGACGATAACGACTTTTTTACCAGCGTAACGACCACGAACAACAATGGCTAAAAGAAATTGTTAGTATGATAACTCAGGCCAAATAAGCTTCCTTCTCAAAATTAAGTACTGATTGGATGTGTGATTTGTCATGACTATCTGTGTAGTTCATGTTTAGATAAATTTGATTCTATTATAAATAGCTATGACCGCAAGTGAGCTTGAATGGCATAGTATTTTCTGATGGACGTAAACTGAGAACATATAAACTGGAACACTCTCCTCTTGATCATTTAATTCTTATAATTTGGTAGTTTTATCATGATTGTTGTGAATTAACTAGTAGTAACACTATGAAAGTGAAAAATTATTTCCAAGATCAAAACACTTCAACTCAATATATCTCAACACACACAACTATACTTTAATTGAAAACGAGATATGGATATCATATGGCTCTACTTACCAACTTTACCAGATTTAATGAATTTAGCCATCTTTAATAGTTGAATTTGATGAGTTATAACACCTCTGCAAGCCTTTACTCTGGCTCTTCACAGTAGTGAAAAATATCAAAAGTGCGTCGAAAAATTTCAGACAGACTCAGAATTTCGCAGGGGACTCAAATTTACTGCAGCCGCCATATTGGATTGTTACCCGGTCTTTCTAAAAGTGTCAAACTTCCGAGGAAAGTCACGTTTTTCACCCCGTAACTCCTTTGTTTTTGTTTACTTTTCTGTATTTACAAATTACATTCACATCGATTCATGTTGAATAGAATCATCAAAGCTGAGAACCTGTTGTGAATTTGCCTCTGCTGTGATATTCAGATACTTGGAGTACAAGCTTAGAAGAAATATAAGCTAAACAGCTCTTTCCCCATCATGTCAGATAACGATTTGAACAATTCCCCAATGAAAGAGAATCTTGACCCTTCAACACCACCTCGTTCACCTCTTAAAGCTGGTAGAAGTGGCTCACCAATTCAATATAAAAGTATGTGGGATAGTGGTGATCCAAGCAGAAATCCACCGCCTTTGCCTGTCTCTCCCCAAATGGTCAGAATCAGTCCAAGCAAGAACAAAAATTTAAGTCCCAATTCTGTTGGAAAATTACAATTTGCATCTATAGACAACTCAGAAGTTGAGCATCAATTGAAAAGAATCATCGACTCACAGGCTAGTCTAAGAAACATTATTATTGGAGTTGACACTTCAGTCAAGCAAACACAATTAGACTTAGAGAATCTAGTTGAAAGATCATCAAACAACAACTCACATTTGAAAGACTTGGTTCAAAATGTAAAATCATCAGTTTCAACTCCCGACCAAAATATCTTGAGTAAGGAAGTCATACAAGAAGTGATGTCTGAAGCTTTAGTTCCCCTAAAGCACAATACTGACTCTACAGATGCTTTGAAGAAAGATATCATCAAGAAGATTGACCTATTGGATTCCAAAGTGAATGGAGAGGAGACTCCAGCCTCAAAATCTTTAAAAGAACTCAAGGACCACATACAAAGCTTATCATCTCTGGTGCATCATATCAAATCACAAAATTCTGATTATACAAGTCTTATAACAACCCTAGGGGAAAAACTATCCAACAACGAAAATAACTTTACAGAGAGCATAAAAGCATTGACTGAGGAATCCAAACGCGAAATATTGAACTCAATTTCCACCATTGGTGATTCTATCCAAGGTTTTGCTCCAAAAGATTTTTTCGATCAATCTTTGAAAAAAAGTAATGAGATTTTAAAATTTCTTGAAGGTCAAAATTCAACAAAGTCTGAAACTCTAGAAGCACAATTTCATGGATTACAATCATCTCACAAAGCATTAACTAAGGATCTAAAAGAGACCCTCAATAACTCTCAAGACAAGCATACAAATCATATTTCAGAGTTGATCACACTCATAAACTCTTCGGAAGAGGAATCATCAAGATCAAAATTATCAGAAGAGTCTATTACTGACAAAATCCTAAACTCAAACGCGGAGCTTTCAAAGGAACTTCAGCAAGAATTTGTCAAACTTCATGACCTTGCTTCAAATAACCATGAAATCATCTTAGAATCTTTGAAAGATGACATTAGCAAGAAGCTTCTGGCGCTTGAATCAAAAACTGAAACACTTGAAAAGGGTATAAATGATTCTGAAGAATCCAAGAAGCATATAAACAAAGAAATTGAAAATAGAGATTTGCAGATTCAGTTGAAAGACAAGGAAATTGCAGAGCTAAAAGCTCAACTAGATGAAAGAACAAAGAAGGAAGAGATCAATGAATCAGTTATTGAACTTTCACAAACGAAGGCAAAACTTGAGTCTAAATATGATCAACTAGTTCAATCTTATCGTGAGAGATATTCTGAATTCAAGGAGCTATCGGGTGATTATGATGCTTTACAATTGAAATTATCCAATTTGAGTTTGGAAAAGATGAAAAATGTACTAGGGGCTGCAACATTGATGAAAATGTCTAATGAAAATATCAACAGTTCTGACAAGGTTGAATCACCAAAAAAGAATGTTTTGGGGAGCAGAGTGTTAAGCACCAACTCTTATCTAAACACAAATCAACTTCAGCTAACACCAAAGAAGAAATATGAGTTCGAAACAACAAGTGAAGAGTTTGAAGAAAAGGAAAACATTTGATTCTATCCTAAAAATTTAGTTTTGATGATTTTGGTTATTTGTAGTTGAGATATTTCGCGAATGGCTATTTGAGTATGATGATATTTTTTTTTTTGCCTACAAAAAAATTATTACCTGATAACAAACATTAAAAGCCATCCACACTTTCCATAAATATCAAGCGCTGCTTTTATAAGAGTTTGTCGACTTAATAACAGAATGACGGAATCATCTAAAAACTTGAGACCCTATTTTGACTCAGAGACTTTCCATGCTGGAGGTCCTGCGATCTATAGGCCAGGAATTGGTGTTGTTGATGAACAAGGAAATACCATTGCTTCCAAGATAACAAATTCATCAAATTTAAAAAGATCAATCACAAATAACATTGGTATAGGTGGTGTTTCAAAAGCTTATGGCTCTGGCAGATCTTCCATGAGAAATATCATACGGATAAATCAATATAATGAAAATATTAAAAAGAATATGTACTCAGATTTGGAATTTTCTGAATACTTTGAATTAAACAATGTTAGTGAATTGATCAAGTCCTTAGTCAATTCATTCATAACAAATTATTTCAGATGTCTAATTGCTCAACCATTTGAGGTGGCTAGACTATTGTTACAGGTTGGTGATATCCATACAACAACTCCAAATGATGGTGCCAAAGAACATCAAAAAACAAAGCGAAACGAACCCCATTACGATGATGACAATGATGATGATAACGATGATGATGATGAAGTTTACTATTTCCAATCCAAAGATGAAGATTCTGAACTATTACGCAGAAGAACAAGAACTATTAAACGTAGATCTCCAACAAAGACCACAACCACGGCTGCCAATTCCAAAAAAGTGATTAACAAAAACCACATTAGACCAGTCTCACTAAATACTGTTGATATTATGTCCAGTTTATTGTCACAAGAAGGTACAAGAGGGTTATGGAGAGCTACAAATGCCACATTTATTTTGAATGCATTATCCTCAACGTTAGAAGCTTGGATAACAGGCTTTATTTCACCTTTCTTGCAAATCCCTGATCCATTTTTCGTTGATGTTGCGCATTCACCAGAACCAACTACAACTTTGGCACTATCTATTACCGCTTCATTATTGACGGGTTTGATTTTGGCACCCCTTGATTTAATAAGAACAAAATTAGTTGTCACTTCAATTAATCATAATGAAAGAAGTATTCGCAACAGTATCAAGAACTTGAGATATTTCACTTGTCCAATTTCATTAATAATCCCAACAATCTTGAATAGTTTGGCTAATAATGTTTTCAAAAAATTAACACCATATCTATTATTTGTGAAATTTGGTATTGATGCTTACGGATCACCAATATGGTATAGTACTATAAGTTTATTTTCTAATATTGTTGAATTATTTGTTAGATTACCAGTTGAAACTTTGTTAAGAAGAGCACAAGTTTCATTTTTGTTAAAGAGATCTGAAAATGGCAATGTGATGAAGATAGAGAATGAAGATCAGTTAATAGTTGGATTTGGTGGATATTCTGGACTTTTCAAGACCTTTTATGATATATATCATAGTTCTGGTGAGAACAGTGGATTTGAAGGATTATTTAGAGGTTGGAGAGTTGGTTTATTAAAAATTTTGGGAAGTTGGGGTTTGAGTCTACTGGAACAGAATTATGACGATCAAAGTTTCAAAGAAGAGAAGTTTTAATTAGTTGATATCCAATGTGAATTCTGTTTTTTCTCTCTTGATATAATATACAAAGCTTTATATGACATGTCTCTGATTGGTGTAGTCTATTGTCCCTAGTCTGTTGATTGATCTGATTTCACTTTACTCTGTTTTATGAGAAATTCACCAAGCACACGAAGTGGATCTTGAGGTCTTGGATGTCTGTTAGTATATTCTTAAGAAGCTTGGAACAAATCTAAACTCACCTTTCTGTTGAAATCTTGCGTACACCTTGAAGTAATGTTGGTGTAACATTTTCATTTAACCATTGTCTTACTGGTGCGCCACCAACTATATCTGAAACTTTTGCATCATTAGGCACTTGAAACTGCAATACTTGGGGGACAGGGGTATTTCTTGATGATAATTCTTCATGTTTGATCTGTGGTGATTGTGTTGTTGAGTTTGGCTGTTGAAACTGGGGCTTTTCGAGTGTGATTGGATTTGGTGTGGGTTGATTAGAAGCTGAGATTGTAGACTCTCTGCTTTCTCTTTGGTCTGCTGGTGCATCCTTCACCTCTATATCTCCATCTGTATTACTCATAATCGTTAACTTTGCCTACAATAAATACTCGATGATGTTTACAAATGCTGTTGATATTATCGATTTTTCAGCTCAAAGTAGTGTCTAAACCGTGTACTTTTTTTTTATTTGTTGTCATGAAAAGGGAAAACCCAGCACATGAAATCAAGTACTTTAGAATATTCAGTGTTGTTTTTAATTACAATTTACTATAATCTGTTTGGGACTCATTGATTAACTATTCTCAAAAATTCCAATTTCCATTTTCATCATCTTTGCTCATTTGATTTAATTCACATTTTTCAACCATGGATCCATTCGTTGAAGTCCTTGAAGATGCTCAACATCAAATCACAAATCTAGAAGATTTTTTAAAGAAAATAACAGAAGTAAATGACGAAACAAGGTCTGACTTCAATAACAACATTTCTGAATTAAGTGAAACCATAGAAGATTTGAAAGAGTCAATAGAGTCAAGTAAATCAGATCCGGAATTCTTTAAAATTAGCAAGTCAGAAATAAGTAAAAGGGAAGGTATTGTACAGAAACTAGAAGAATCATATCGAGACCTACAGAATCAATGGAATGCTAAAAGTGGTACGGGGAAAGCAACTGATGGAAGTGATCCATTTGTTAGATACAATGATGAAGAGGCTGGACCTAGTAATGATGAAGGTTTTGACAGCTTTAATCAAATGCAACAGGAGCAAATGATGAGAGAACAAGATATTCATTTGGATGGTGTGTATACCACTATGCAAAACATAAACTTACAAGCCAGAACAATGGGTAATGAATTAGAAGAACAGGCATATATAATTGATGAAGTGGATGGAGAATTGGACAGAATAGGGGGTAAAGTGAGTCGTGGTATGAGACAAGTTGAGCATGTTATCAGAAGAAATCAAGAGAGGGCTAGTGACTGTTGCATAGGGCTTCTCATAGTGGCATTGATCGTACTTTTGGTGCTAGTAATTGTGGTTTAATTAGATATATAACCTTCTGAACTCAAATGTTATGTAAGCATTTATATTATTATGTAATCATATCATAGATTACATAATTTTTTCATTGACATTATGTAATAATTTTTTTGCCATGGCAACGGGAATTAAAATGGTTCGATTTTTTGGCGTGATCGTGGCCGAAACCAAAAACGACTCGAAAAGACGGTTCAAAAAATTGATCAAATAATGTCAAGAGAGCTAAAAGTTACTTTACAAAAAATTTATACACACATTTATCTAATCTTTGTGGAATCCCAATTTGAGAGAAGAAATTGGAGCAAGAGGACGTGAGATTCACGTTCAAACAGGGGCAAAAAACCATTTCATTAAAGCTGGAGTGTCAAAGACAATACAGAAGTGGCAAGCAAGGATTAACTGAGAAAGAGAACAATAGTCAATTTACCTCGCGTTTAGCCTAATTACTAATTCCATTCCACTTGTTTCAAATCTATTATTACACATATCCATATCTTTATCGTTATCCATTATTCAAAGATCTGTTGGAACGTATAGAGGTATTCTCAAAGCAACTGTCAAATATTCAAAAACTACAACATCATAATTGGGTCCAATTCATTATTATAGACACATTTTTTCAAGAGATTCAACCCTTTAACAAATCAAAACATTCACAAATCATTCAACATGTCAGATTATCTCACCTTTTCTGCTACTCCTTCTGGCAAAGCTGAAGGTAAGACACATATCATTATAGTTGGTGCTGGTATCATTGGTGTTTGTACCGCATATTATTTGACAAAACATCCAGATTTCTCACCAGAAACCCATCATATCACAATAATTGAATCCAAGAGAGTCGCGGGTGGTGCTTCTGGTAAAGCTGGTGGATTATTAGCACTTTGGGCTTTCCCTCAACAAATTGTTCCATTAAGTTTCAAATTACATGAAGAATTAGCAAAAGAATACAATGGTGAAGATGAATGGGGCTATAGAAGATTAACTACAGTTTCATTAGAAGGTAATATTCAAAACTTGTTGAATACAGATGATGATTCAAGTTCCAGTCTTGACGATCCTAAGAAAGATACCCAACACGAGATCAAAACTTCTTCACCTCCACCAAAGACTGAATCTTCAGAAGATGATGATTCTACAACTACAAAATCAACTAGTGTAGAATCTCTAGATCTGAAAAATCCACCACCAAAGAAAAGAACAGTGACTAAAAATTCAATCAAAAATGAACATGATTCATCTTCAACAACAGATTTACCAAAAGATTTGAATTGGATTAGATCAGAAGTGATACAAGACTGGTCAGTCTTGGGTGGTAGAGACTCAACAGCTCAAGTGCATCCATACAAGTTCACAAATTATATTTTGAAAAAAGCCATGGAGACAGGCGCAGTTGATTTAATTTTGGGGAAAGTTGATGAAATTCAATTCAGTGAAGAAACTGGTTCTGCCACTGGTATAACATATATTCCAACAAAGACTTTGGGTAAACCAAATGAACAACATGTTTCTTTGAAAGGTGACCAAATAGTATTAACTATGGGACCATGGACTTCTAAAATTTTACCAGATTGTCCAATTTCAGGTCTTCGTGCTCATTCAATCACTATTGCTCCTCATAATGGTACTGTTTCTCCATACGCCATTTTCACTGAATTGAAAATCGGAAGAGCAAAATATGTTTCACCAGAAATGTATGCACGTAAAGATGAAGTTTATGTATGTGGTGAGGGCGATACATTAGTTGATGTTCCAGAAACAACAGATGATGTTGAAGTTATTAAAGAAAAATGTGATCAATTATTCCACTATGTTGGTAAATTAAGTCCAAATTTATCAAAAGGTCATATCTTAAAAAGACAAGCTTGTTATTTACCAGTTTTAGATGTTCCTTCAAGTTCAGGTCCTCTTATTGGTGAAACTAATGTTGAAAACTTGTATTTGGCTTCGGGTCATTCATGTTGGGGGATTAATAATGCACCAGGTACCGGTAAAATAATGGCTGAGTTGTTGTTGGAAGGTGAATCACACAGTGCAGATATCAGTGCTTTAGATCCAAGTCTATATTTTGATGCTAGTGTGCTTGTTGGTGAATAAATTAAAGATACCTTCACCATGGTTTAATGACTTCTATTATTTAATGATGACTCTGATCTTATTCCGTTGATTACTTTTTATTGTTACTGATTCTTCTATTGGGTATTCAAATAGTGACGAATGCTCCATATCTCTTTCCTTCATTTGGTTTTTTTTTTGCTCTACTTATTTTAATGTTATATAGCCCCGGGTTCATGATCGTGAATGTGATGAGTGACGTGTAAATTATGATTAATAAAACATCAATGCAAATTACTACGTGTAGTTTATTTTTTGTTTGTTCATTCTTGTCTATGAATATGTGTTCTTTTTCGATCAACGAGTAGCTGCATTAAAAGCTGCTGCTGCTGCACCTCCTGCAAATTTTCTATTTTGTTGTTGTATTTGTTGCTGTGTAGTTATAGTTGGTGATTTACTAGTTGGTCTCTTTGGTGGTTTAGCTTGTGGAGGTTTTGTCTTGGAATTCATTGTTTTTGAACCACCATTTGAATTGACGCCATTACTAACTTTGACTTTTGAACTAGATGAGGTTGTAGATGCTGTTGTAGCGCTTTGAGATTTCTTGACAGTTGATGTACTCGAAGTTGGTGCAGTGGTAACACTTGTTGTTGATGAAGATTTTGTCATTGGTTGTGATGAAGCAGGTGATTGAACAGGAGGTGATGATGGTTTTGACTTCAAAAATTCTTTTGTTTTCAATAATGCCTCTATCCAACTCAAGTTTAATCCAATATGAATATTACTGATTTCTCTCAAGTCTTCTTTAACTTCTTTTGATAATGGTGCCAAAAAAATAAGTTTATCAATCTTGGAAATTTCCAGAATTAAATAACCAGATTCACTAAATTCACTAAATTCATAATCATACATTGCAAACATCTTGTCAGTCAAGTCAATTTTCAAATAGAATTCAAACTTCTTCAGTGTTGAACTTTTGAACAAATACAAATTCCCATCATCAGTGATCATCATAACCACTCTTTTAGAATCATCTTTCAAAAGTTTCTCATTCTTCATAATAATTTCATTTATACTAACGTCATCTAATCCTAAATTTTTCTTCAAATTCGACAATGGGGATGATGGATCAAAAGTGTATAGCGAAGAGTAAATCAGCTCAGATTCATTAATGTAGTCTAGCTTTATGATATTCTCACACTGTGATAGTTTTGAAGAAATATCTAATGGTAGTTTCCCACTCGTTCCATTGGAAGACGATGATCTTAATGGAGATTTTGGTGAGGACGTAGAGCTTGGAGAGGATCTATTAGTGCCAGGTCTGATAGCTGGTGGTTTTGTGGGACTGAATGAGTTACTTTTCTGTGCAGGACTTGGTCTTGTTGTAAGTGGGGGTTGGATCTTTGAAGGCTGAGATGTGGATCTTTGTTGTGGTGGTGGCCTTGATGGTTTCTGAGTTTGTTGCACTATTGTTTGAGGCTTAACTTGTGAAGACATTGGAACCAAAGCAGGTGCCAATTGAGGTGTAGGTTGTTGTGACTTTATTTGAGGTGGGACTTGCTGTTTAATAGCTTGAACAAATGCAGGGGCAGAAGGTTTTTGTTGAAAGTTAGATTGTTGAGGTATCTGTTGCTTTATAGGCGATACTTGATGATAACTTTGTTGTTGCTGAGGAACTGGTGGTTTTGGCTGAACAATTCTTTGTTGTGGCATAGCTTGTGGTGAATGCACTCTCTGCAGTTGTGGTTGAGGTGCTTGCTGTAGGGGTCTTGATAGAGGTGAATTTGGAGATCTTGGTCTTGATGAAGTAAGAGCAGGCGGTTGTGGAGGGTTAAGCTGTTGTCCCGTTGTTGGACTAGATTGATTGATTGGTTGTTTATAACTAGTTTGAATTTGAGGTTGAGGCTTCATCACTTTTGGAGCACCATTGGTCAATGGAGTGTATATATAGCTTCCATTTTCATTCTTAATCTGTTTCAAAGTATTCGTTAGCAATTGTTTCTTTGCTGTAGCAGCTGGAACTTTCTTTTGTATAACAATTTTTTTCAGTTGTTGAGAATTTTCATTATGTTGTTGGATGATTGGTTGATATGGTTCTAATTTTGGAGGATTCGTGACCCAGATTCTATTCTTATCTTCCCAATTGAAATTTCCAAACCATTTATGCTGTTGAATTTGTGGAATAGTTAACCTATCAAACGGATTAGTTTTCAATAAACTATCAACAAGATCTTTTATAGTTGATGGAATATAGAAATTTGGCCATTGATATTGCAAGTTGACGATTTTTTCAAAAGTCAAATATTCAGTTTTCCCTTTGAATGGTGGTACCCCAACAAGGAATTGGTACAATATACAACCGATTGCCCAAATATCACACTCAAAACCACACTTGTTATATTTCAACAATTCTGGTGAAACATATTCAGCAGTCCCAACAAATGAACCTTTGGCAAATGATTCTTCAGTGGCATTACTATCAATAATGTTTCCTTGGTCGTCTAAATCAAGTACTTTTGCAGCACCGAAATCAGTAATCATTAGCTTCATATCTGAGTTGACAAGAATATTTTCCGGCTTTAGATCACGGTGTATTATTCCCTTTTTATGCATGAAATCCACAGCATCTATTATTTGGATCATGTAATATTTCGAGCATTCTTCACTTAATGAACCCAATTTCCTTATTATTGTTAACAATTCACCAAACTCGGCCATATCTATCACAAAATATAATGATGCATCATCTTGGAAAGTATAGTATAGAGTAACAACACCAGGATGACGACCTAATCTGTTTAGAGTTGTTTTTTCGATGTTGACATATTTGATTTTTTTCTCCTTCACGATGTGTTTCTTGGAAAGTACTTTTATGGCATAAACTTTCTTACTTTGGATATCCACAGCTTTGTAAACAGTTGAGTAAGAGCCTTCTCCTATGCGATTTCCAAATTGGAAGTCTTGTACTGATCTCTTTCTGGTTGTTGTAGAGGTTGTAGTAGCCATCTTTTAGTTTGATCCATAAATAGCAGGGATTTGATGTGCGCTAAAGATTGGAATAACAAATGTAATCCCAGGCGCTCTCGTAATTGAGTGTGATAGAGCTTCGACCTGCTCAAGTTTATGGAGCTTTTTGGCTGAATATGGAGAGGATGCTGTTGAGTATAGAAAAGGACTGATGATGATACTCAAACGGTGTGTTGTTGATCCAAGAAAAAAAAATGCTGAAGCGAGAGCGCGTGACAGTGTATAGTGAACCGCTGAGATGGTGATGATTTCTTGTTATGGTTTGATTTGGTGGCTTTGTGCCTGTTTAAAGAGTGGGTTTCTCTGAAGTAACAAGATCTTTTGAACTGAGGTGATCAATGCTGATTGAGCTGATACAGTTCCTTCGAAATGGCTTTAGCTACTGTCAAATTATTTTGGGCTAAAACAAAATACCAGAGCAGATTCGCGACTGCCCGATTCGGAAGTGAAAGTGTACTTGGTGCTACATCGTGAAATTGGGTGGTAAACTCAAATGACATACGATACGTGAATAAAGAAGTATATGGTGAAGTCCTTTTCATCTATCATCTAATCTTTTGACCCTTCGGTCTGAGAGCGTCGTGTTCTCTTGGTTGGTTTGAGTTGATGAGCAGCAGACTAACATAGGTACCAATGGTGACAAAGGCAATTAGTAGTAAGAACAGTGGAATCTTAATAGCGTAGTCAATTGGAGGGTATAGATTTTGAATAATTGAATCTTGATCCAAGAATGGCTAGAGAGGGAGGTTAATATCAGTACAATTACAGAATTATTGAATGAAGGCTCGAACTCACCGTTAAAAACAGCCATGACAGGTAATAAACAAACAGGAGAGTGAACCAGACAAGCATCACAAACTCATGATATGATATTTCTCAAATTGAACTCAACCAACTTCAAATTAACAAGTCCTTGATCAAAAATTATGTCAAAAATTGATCGAAAAGTTTCGAATTTTTACAAACCAATTCGCGAAATCGCGACATTTGAATATTCGTCATGGGCCACATCCATCCAATGCTTTGCTCCGTTTTTCAAATCAGATATAAAAAACCAAATTGAATCCAAAAAAATTTGTGTAATCCTTTTTTTGTTAAGCCATTACAAGAATATAGTTTAACAATGTCATTCTTATCAACCACCACTCGTGCTTTACGTACCCAAGCTTCAAGAGCTCCATTATTATACAGAACCAAAGTCACTTTACCAGACTTGGATTACGATTATGGTGCTTTAGAACCATACATCTCTGGTCAAATTAATGAATTACATCACAAAAAACATCATCAAACATATGTCAATGGTTACAATGCTGCAATTGAACAACATGCCGAAGCTACTGAAAAAGGTGACGTCTTGAAAACAATTGAATTGACTCAACATATCAAATTCCATGGTGGTGGTTTCAGAAACCATTCTTTATTCTGGAAAAACTTGGCTCCAACCTCTCAAGGTGGTGGTGAATTACCAAGCGGTGAATTAGCTTCCAAGATTGAAGAACAATATGGCTCAATTGATAAGTTAATTGGTTTAACCAATTCTAAATTAGCCGGTGTTCAAGGTTCAGGTTGGGCATTCATTGCTAAAAACAATGAAAATGGTGCTATTGAAGTTGTTCAAACTTATAACCAAGATACTTTAGGTTCCAAATACACTCCATTAATTGCCATTGATGCTTGGGAACATGCCTACTACTTGGAATACCAAAACGTTAAAGCTGATTACTTCAAAGCTATCTGGAACGTTATCAACTGGAAAGAAGCTGAAAGAAGATTTGCTAGTGCTTAAGCAATATGTTGATTTTATTGTTTTACTTTCCATTTTATGTCCATGGGGTCTGTGATTCCGCTTAACTTATGCTAATAACATATCAAGATATTAATATTCAATGGATTGTAGTATGGTCCTTCCTTCTTAAACCCGTTGCGAGACTAAACACCTACACTTTATATGAGATACAGATTCATTGGACCTTCTACAAGCTCAATTGTCAATTAGTCAGTTACTACAGCATATATCGGATAATATCTGAACCAATTGACCCTTATTATCACGTAATTCGAGCAAACACATGCGCTTCATCCAATGACAAATTATCATTATGTCTCGATTCCATCAACGAAAAACTCAAATTAGTGTCATGCTGACATTTACACAGAGCACCCATAGTCAATCTCCGAGGTCCCAGTGTAAATATCAGTCTTAACAAAATGGTTGACCAAAAAAAAAAACTTTTGGCATATAAACCGATGAGCTTTTGAATACGGTTAAAGGGCTGTTGCAATGTCTGAACTTCATGATCTTTGTCGTTTGACAAAAAGACCAATAGATCAAGAATATATTAAGAACTTACAATATTACTTATCAAATGGTATTCCAGCCACATATACTTTAGAAGAGGCTGAAAATTTTGAATTGGGTAAAGAAGATGGAGAATTAACATCAACCACAACTCCATTACATTTGATTTCTTATAACATTCCAAATGATTTGACTGAAGGTGAAACACAAATTGTTTTACAAATCATTGATGAATTATTTAGTTGGGGTGCTGGTTGGAATTTAACTGATAAGAATGGTGATACTCCAGGTGATGTTTTATTTAAAAAGAGTTTAAGAGGTAGTGATTTTTATTCAAGATTTGTTGATGCAGGTGTTCGTGCTGAAATCTTGTTGAGAAAGATTAATGATGATATCGAATTTTTATCAGATGCTGAAGAACCAGAAGATACTAATGATGAAGAAGTTCCACAATTACAAGCAGAAGAAGAGGAACAAGAAGAAGCACAACCAACAGAGGAAGAAATCAAAAAGCAACAAGAATTCGAACGTATCAAGAATGAATTAATAAACGACCCAGCAAACACACAATCAACATACCTTAAAACGAAACTAGAATACAAAGATGGTGCATTAATCACAAAAGATAACCTTGACGGTGTCATGATGGATTGGGAAAATGAATTGATGAAAGCAGGATGTGATACAATTTTCAAATCTTTGGAATATGCAGAAGATGAAGATGATATCAAAGAAGTTAACATTTTAAACATTGGTTTTGGTATGGGGATTATAGATACAATGATTCAATCACGTAACCCAACACATCATTATATAAGTGAAGCGCATCCAGATGTTTTAGCTAAATTACGTCAAGATGGGTGGTTTGAAAAACCAAACGTTACAGTGTTGGAAGGAAGATGGCAAGATACATTACCTGAACTATTAAGTAAAGGTGTTTTTTTCAATGGTATTTATTATGATACTTATAGTGAACATTATTCAGATATGTTGGAGCTATATGATTTAATTGTTGGTTTATTGAAACCTTCTGGTGTTTTCTCATTCTTCAATGGGTTAGGTGCTGATAGACAAGTTATTTATGATGTTTACAAGAAAATTGTGGAAATTGATCTAAATAACTATGGTATGGATGTTAAATATACTGAATTAGAGACTCCAAAATCAACAGGTGAAGAATTCGATGACACAAAAGAAAGTGAATGGCAAGGAATTAAAAGGGCATATTGGAGATGTAAAACTTATTATCATCCAGAAATTAGATTCATATAAAATATAAAAAAAGTTTGTTCATCTATTCACGAGCAATGTAATGAGCTCTATGGACATGAATTGTCTTTTGAGTAACTTTATGTTGTAACAATGGCCATGCTTCATAAGTTCTATAATCTAAAACTAGTGCTCTCTCACAACCATCAATAACTTCATTCAAATCTATAATCATGGCTTCATAGTTAATAACAGTGGAATAAGAAATCAAATCACCACTAAAAGACAATGGATTATCAATTTTTTTAAAGTATTCAACTTCGTAACCATCCATTTTCCTCAATCTTAGGAAAAAATGTCTCAGAAATAATTTCCGAACACTATTGATATCTTCCATAATTAAATACTTGTCATTTGGAACTTCAAAATCTCGAACATCTAAAGGATCACCAGCATGAGGACCATCAAATAACAAATCAAATATTCTTGGATTCAAAACCTTATCAAAACTTAAGAAGTCAACATATAATTTTGTCACAAAAGTTCTCAGAGTTGGTAACGTATGTGTAACAAATTTACTCAAACTTAATAATCCACTAATAACTGTGAAATTTTGGGACAGTGTCATTCTGGATTTCATTTTTTTTGTCACTGTGAATTCATAGCTTCGGCAGTAAGTTGAGACAATGATGTAGATGTTCCCATATAGTTTTGAATAACATTGTTGCTTCAATGCTCTGCAAGTTTTCGATAATGAAATGATTGATGCTTGAGATAAATGAAATAGCACTATTTGGAAAATTTCTGGAGGTAGCTGTCTTAATGGGAAGTTTATTGTTTCGATATCCATGTCTGGCTATATCTTGATCTGGGTAGGATATTAATGAATTGATAGTTTTATAATTTTGATAATTTTTCAGCTTTTTCAGAATAATATCAACCTCCACCAAGTAATCTGTAATTTTATATCTTGAAAACACTTGAAACAAGAATTTTGAAAAATGTCTAAAATAGATTAGAACTAATATCAGTAAAATATTTGAACAATTTTAAGCGTACCAACCTCAAAATACTTCGTAGTTTACCATTTCAATTTTGTGTAACCGTTGTTTATAAATCTTGTCACCGCGAAAATCTCAACTTTGTGTCAAATCTATACCTTCCGTTTAAATCCGGAAACAATAGAGATTGTCGACATTATCGTTTCCCAGATTAGCGAAGTGCTTTTTGAGTTGAAAAGTTTACAAAGGAAAATCACATTGAGAATACAGTCATTCATTAATACATAAGCGAAAGAATACATAGCTATAAAAACCAAAAAAAACACACAAGTACACCATCAAACAATTGAATTATTCCTAGAACTTTCAACAACTTCTCCAATATTACTAACAACTTCAATATCCGGTTTATCGACATTATCACTTGAGTGACCCACACCCTCAATTCTTCTAACCAACTCCCTTCTTTCTAAATTATCCCTTTCGATCAATTTCAAAACAATCGAATGAGCCCTCCATGGCTTATGCTTAAATAATTCATCAACATACTCCACAGGGATCCCCTTGGTCTCTGGATACAACATATAAAAAATTGGTAAACTAACCAACATCATTGAAGCGAAAAAGAAGAAAACCCCATACTTCATCTTATCAATCATTTGATTAGTGAACCTAGCCATGATAAAAGCCCAAAACCAATTACTCGCCGCATTAATTGAACTTGTCACACTTTTCAAATTTGTTGGGAAGACTTCAGAATTCCAAACCCATGGTGTACCACTCCATGACAAGGCAAACCCAATAGTCCATATATAAAACATTGCTAAAGCTGCACGACCACCTGAATCTAATGAAGAGCCCTCAGGCTTTGAAGTTGGGTTTGCAACTTTGATGTAAGCGCCAATATACCACATACATGTGGAACAAATGATTAATCCAGTGATTTGACAAGGTCTTCTACCGAATTTATCAATGATGTAAAAGGACCAAACAAAGCAAAAAACACCTTTTAATATACCAAATATACCTGTTGATAATAATGAAGAGTTTAATGAGGAAACACCCATTGTTTTGAAAATTTTGGGGGAATAATAATTGACAGCATTGACTGCGATTGTATTTTGAATGATGAATAATGAAGTTGATAAGAATAATCTATATAGTAATGATTTAGATCCTAGGATTTTCTTTATTGGGTCAGTTAAACCTAATCCGATTTCTTGTTTTTTCATCATTATTTCATTTTCCATAACATTCACTTCATATTGAATATATTCATCATCTGGCTGTAATTGTCTAAGATAACATAAATTTCGCAAACCTTGTTCACGTTTACCCACGCTAAACAACCAACGAGGAGATTCTGGTAAAGTGTAAACACCTAATGCAAATATCCCCGGAGGAACTAATTGAAGAGCCACTGGGATTTGCCATTGCCTTGATTGATCATCAGGTATATTTATTGAAGTTCCATAATTTATCCAAAATCCAATAATACCACCACATTGCCATGTAATTTCAATAGCACCAACTAATTGACCCCTTATTGCATCCGGACTAATCTCAGATATATACATTGGAGCCAAATTGGAAACAGCACCAATACCTAATCCAGTCAACACTCTACCTGCATACATTGTGCCTAATCCAGTTTTAGAATTTGACGCTAATTGAATAGCAGAACCAACCAGTAAAAGCACAGTGGCAATGATTAAACTACCTTTCCGCCCATACTTATAACCTAATGGATATATGAACAAGGCGCCAAAGAAAGCACCAGCTTGGAACAAGGAGACAATAGTTTCAGAAGTCCAAGATTGTTTTGAAGTTGATTGTTTATCAAGGCCAAATTCATGTTTAAAAGATTTTAAAGAAATCATCCCACCTACAAATCCAGCATCATAACCAATTATAACCGCAACCCATGAAGCTAATAAAGCGGACCAGTAGATACGCCAGTTGTAAACAGACTTTGGGGTTGGTCTTGTTTCTTGTTTCTTAAAGGACATGGCTTGGAAGGGTGTATACAGAGGATGGATAATAGAAGCACTGCTTGAATCCTCTTTATACCCTTTGTTTACATATCTAAGCTTTCCAACGTGGGTTCAGCCTTATCATTTGCTTATCGAAAAGTGTCATCTTTTGTATGAGCTTATCACAGGCCGTTTACAGCCGAATCCTCGCGAATGTGTTCTGCAGTGTGCACTCATCACGTGCCACTTCATTTCCCAAAGGAGTCCTGCCGTTTCTTTTGCCCCGCGTCCAAAAGCAACTTTGAACTGAAATTTGAGTCGCTGCCTGACTCAACAAAGTGACGTGAACAATAACGAGACAGTGGGATAATCGTTGGGTAGTATCTTTACTATTACTTTACTATTACCATTAATCTATTACTTCTATTACTCCTATGTATTACTCCTATTATTCTCATACTAAATGGCCACAAATGACCCCTGTCTAAGCCATCAGTTTGAGCCAGGGCTATACGCTGAATCTCGAGATTGTTGTTATAGCAAGCATCTGACATCCAAGGCCGAACTCTTCCACACTTTAACGCTCCACATCAAGAAACGATGGAAACCTCAACGCAAAGAGAAAGAAATGAGTCAATAAAGGTACAACAACTACAACTATACACTCCTTAATTTGTTGAATTCTATTACCAAATTAAGTAACTTCTTTTACTCCCATCCCAGTCATTTTTCCTTCTTTTTCTGTACCTTGTCGCGTTATTCCTCGATTGTGTCCCCCTGGGCCTCGAGAAAACCCTCAAAAATGGTTGATCTAGAACCAGTTCCAAACGTTGAACTCACTAAAATAAAAGAAACAAACCCACTGGAAAATTCTTTTTATGGGCTGTACTTGGAACCTACCCTGGTCCATAAATGGCTAATTATAGTAACCTTTTCAACAAGTGTATAAATACCCATAAATTCTTCCAAGAATCTTTTTGTCTTGTTCTTCTTCTTTCCATTACACAATAGAGAATAAAGACAGCCAAAAATGAAATCACTCACTTTAATCACTTCATTATCATTACTTTCTTTGATTACTGCTCAATCATCTAACTCCACCGGTGGTGTTGCTGGTGGTTCATCAAACTCTACTGGAGGTGGTGCTGCTGGTGGTTCTGGCTCATCAAACTCAACTGGTGGTGGTGCTGCCGGTGGTGGTTCAGGCTCTAACTCTACTGGTGGCGGTGGTGCTGGTGGCTCTAGTGGCTCTGGTTCCTCATCAGTCAGTACTGCCATGGCCAATGGTGGTCGTGGTGTTGCTTCAGGTGTTGCTGTTGCTGGTTTAGTTGGTGGTGTTGCTGCTTTATTATTGTAATGAGATTTACTTCTGTTGTTTAGTTTGAAGTTTGATACTTCAGCTGTGTTTTTTTTATCACAAATGTTTATATCTAGAATTGTTGAAAAGGAATAATTAATGGTAATATAATTATAAAACTTAATGGACAATTAATACAATGTAGTTAAATAACTGAAGTGTAACTTGGAACAATGGGGCCCAGCAAACAGGACAGAGAACTAGGATGAATCAATGAAAGTCACTACACATCTTCATGATAATACAATCCATATAATTCCTATTTTCATTATTAACATTACTATAAATATAACCGAGACATATAAAACCTTTCCAAGGAGAAAGCTTTACAAAACAAACCAAAAGCAAAAAATAACACACACACACAAATCAACAATCTACTTTTCCCAATATACCTTGATAAAAATCCTTAATAACGATAATATGAATAAACTTGTTCAGTATCTAAAGAAAATTCATCATTTTCATCATAATCATTCCCAACAACAACAGGAGCCATTGAAATGATTTTTTCATTCTTATTACCACCACCAATAACTTGTTGAGGATGTTGAAATTGTGATAACAAATTATTATGATTCAACCCATTTGGTGGTGACCCATCTTGAGTATTTGGACTCATCAAATTATCATCATTCCCACTACTATGTCCAGACCCAACATCATCACCATTACCATTACCACCATTTGTTGAAGGAAATTCATAATTCCGTCTTCTAGAATTCTTTACACGACCTTCATAACCTTTTGGCAACATCTCACATTCACCATTCTCAATATGATGTTCAACCCAATCTTCATTATTTAGATAATTCTTACCACACATTCCACATTTCCCTGGGGTATTTGGACGATCTTGAGATCTTGTACCTTGAGGATATTTAAAATGTCTAGCTTTTAAATGTGTCTTGTATGTATCACGACGACTAAACCCACCATTTGGATGACATTTATTATCTGAGGTTGGGTTGAAAAAGGGACATTCATAAGCTTTATTAATTGCATGTTTCTTGATATGACGTGTTAGGTATCCCCTTATTCTAAATTCTGCATGACAATATTCACATGTAAAGATCTTGTGACTCCCTGATTTAGGCGAGGTTGATGATGATGAAGGATGATGTTGATCAGATAAGGGAGAGTCTTGATCTTCTTGTTCTTGTTCTTCTTGAAGTTTTTTTTCAGCCTCTTGTTCTTGTCTCTCCTCTTCTGAAATGTTGAAAAAATCAGGATGAGGTAAATCTGGAATGATTTCATCTAATGAATGTGTTGAATCTTCATCAGATTTATGGAATTGTTCATTAATATTATAAGGAGATGGTGTATCTTTTGAACCATTTGAAAATTTTAAACCATTTGGTGATAATTCATCATGTGTACTGATTGTTGAACCTGTTGATGTTAAAAATGGTGAAGTTATATTACTTAAAGTTTGTTTTTGATGATCTGATGGATCAATATCCCATGTTATTGTACCATCTGGATTTATAACTTTATTTAATTTGGAAACTTCCATTGAACATGGTTTTGCTGTGGAATTTGATAATAAATCTTGTTGATAATTAATTCTCTTTGGGAAAAGATCTATTGATGTTTCATTATTTGTAGATTCTTTAACTTTAAGTTGTTGTTCATTTGTTTGCTTTGTTGTATTACTTGTTGTTATTATTGCTTCCTTCTTTTTTGGCAACACCTGATCGAAAATCTTGAGATTCAGCACATAATGATATAGATGATTGATATATCCAAAGATGGATATATGTTCAGACGTATTCTCACGTTTCATAGTGATCATACTAAAAGTCTTTCTCTTTGTTGTAGTTGTTGTTTGTTAAAAGACTAGTTTTTTAACTCCCTATTTTCCCAAAACTTGTCAAGTACTCCAATAAAAACTAGTGCGAGAAACAAAAAAACACCAAAAACCAGGAATGAAGATAAAATCTGTTTAAATCTAACAAAACAAATGCTTTTTTACCAACGCAAATTATTTCTTTGTTTTTATAAATTGAAAATGTTCAAAAGATTATCTGATTGTTTTTTCCCTTTGTTTTTGAATAAAGAAAGAAAGTCAAAATCGTATCACTCAAGCGACGTTTTTTTTTTCTTGTTTTTCGCCTTCAAACAAAAAAAAAATTTTCTAAAATTTGAATTTGGGCAGTTGCCGACGGCAAATGGCGCCTGAAATACGGAAAGGGTAATACGGGGGTACTGTAAGTCACGTGAATGAAAGAGAACCAGTTACGAGGGTGTATAATGGAAAGAGTCTTTAAATCTATACATTTTCTAATTCATATCTATCCCTATCATTAAGTTTCATATTCTCCTCAGCTTCTTTTAATCTTTCCAAGTATCTATAATAATTATACCATGCGATATCCACTAATGTAATGATTAATCCAATAAAATTCATAAATGTTAAACGATCATGGAAAATAAATGTACTAACAATAATTGTTAAAATTTCTTTAAAAATCCCTGCAATACTTAGAGTAATAACTTGAGCTCTTTGTAATATTGCAAATTCAAAAATTGTCATGAAAAACACCAAGATACCAGGAAATAATAACAATATTAAAGTTTTCAAAATTCCTCGTTCTTCCCAAATTGAAGCATTTAAAAATTTCCCCAAACCTTCAATACCTAATCCAATACAAAACAACACAACAAACATTGGAGGAGATAATTGATATATAGTCACAATAGGATTCTTCTTCCCCTTTGATTCATTATTCTTGTGTAATAACAATTGAGTGAAAACCCAACGTAACCCACTCATACAACTTGACATTAAAACTAGTGAAAATCCCAAATAGAAATGACTATCCTCCTCCTTACCATCATCATTACTTTGACTTTTATCATTATCAACCATCAACATAACACCAAATGACATTAATAACACAATTCCTAACAAATTTAAACTAAATTTTTCTAATCTACAAATAACACCAAATAATAAAACAAAAGCAATACTAGAACTTTTCACCATCGTGTATGTTGTTAATGTGATGAATCTGAAACTCATATTCCCTGACCCAATATCTCCAGCACTTGCCGTTGCACATGGTAAGATATGTGTTAGGTAAAATTTCAAACCTTGACGAGTGATGAGTTTATCTTGGGTTTCATTTTCCTGTTGGGGCCTTATTGTAGGTTTGAACCAGATTGTCAAGAATGATAGTATGGATAGTAATAATTGATGGAATGATGTGATCAATATTGGGAATGGTAAGTTTAATTTAGATTTATCAAACATCCATTTATTATATAACGATATTGTTAATGAAAAGACATACCAACCAATTATGCAAAAGATTAATTGGATTATTGTTGGGGTGAAGAAATTAGGTTTCTGTATTGGTTTAGCGGTGTCTTGATCTTCAATGATGGTTGGTTCTAATGGTGATGGTGATGTTATTGGATGTTCATCATTATGATCATTGGTTGAAAGGGAAATGTTTGGTTTTTGAGAATTCACTATAGATGGTCTGCGGTATATTTCTGTTTGGGATGAGTTTAGGAGACGTCCTGTTTCTGATTGTAATGAGTCTATTACCATGATGAATATTGATGGGGTGCTAGTTCCATTAATTATGTTTTAAAGGCTTGTTGATGTTGATGTTGATTTGTTTAAAATTTAAAATTTCGTGTCGCTTGGAAAATTCATTCGCGATAATTTGTTGAGGTACGTCACTTTTCTGAAAGCATCAAGTTTTAAATTAATTTGTTTGGGTTGGGCTAGTTTTGATATTTGATTTGATGTTATTTGTTCAGTGTTCGTGTTGTTAATGCGGTGGTTGCAGAGTGTGCTCATCCTCTTTGGGTACACTAAATTATAATGGTTTTGAATATTTAATTTAGTGCTAGAATAGTGATCAGAATTGCAAAAAGCTATATATAGATCACCACGAGCACTGCAAAGAGTTGCAAAGGTAGTCAAGAGTAATAAATTTATGTATTCAGCAGCCATTTGATTATGAGAACTAAAGGCCCAAGGCTACAAGCTTGGTTCTACTTGTGCATCTTGCAACCGAGGGACGTCTTCATTTTTGATTTCTCCAAGACAAGTATTTAACTGGAAAAGCAGAGGATTTGTTGATGCTGGCTATAGCGTGTTAGTGGAGACTCTTGGATCTCTATACAGCTGTATTGGCACTCCAATGACATAGACGTTGACTATTGGCTCTTGCCTCTTGAATAATGTTGATGGAATGCCTTTATTGATGAATACTGGTCTCGATCCGTTTTTGAGAATGAGAATGAATCTATGGCTTGAAAGCTCAAAATGTTGAATATTATTCGCTTTTTCAGCAAATTTGTCAATGGTATTGACAAAGACACAAAGAACTCTTCAGTATAATTATCAGATATAACTCAGTCACTTAAATCAAGTACAGTACTGTTTAAATTCTTCAAACCTATTGACCCATATACAGTCTTGTACTTCGCGAATGCAATCTGGGCGCGTATTCCCACAGCCAAATTTTATTCAAGTTTAAAGAGGTTTCAAATAATGGAATTAATGATGAGTTATTGATAGGAAGAGTAGAGGTCTGTCATACTGACTAACTGCTACTAGTACTACTCACCTCACTAACTTGAGTAAGAGCTCACTAGCTCATCTACAAAACTAGGATCGTCTTGAATCCACTAGATGTATCATGATGCTCAACGGTGTACTGCATTGAAGTGGGTACAGTCAAGAGAATTTAAACTACCGAACTAGTGCATTCTCAAAGTGAACGTTTTGAGTTAGGGTTAGATAAAACCAACCCTACACTTTGTTATACCTTGATTAAATGTGCTAGATCTTGCAACTTGGAACTCTTTGTTGACTTGATCTCTGAATCTGGCTTTAAAACGGAATACCACATGCACAATTCATTTCATTCTACAGCAGCTAATTTGGTGAACTTTTGGATGCCTAACTACACGAAATCAAAACATCGAGCTCTGAAGAGACACTTACTCGAAGATCTCAGAGATCAGAGGTCAGTATGGTCATTGAAGCTGTCATTTAATTTCTTGATCAGGATGTCGAGGAATCTCCAAGGCTTATAAGACCTTGATAAAAATAGCTGTCTCCTTTCAACTAGTGCACTTCAAACAGTCGTAAAGAGGTCTTTGTGATGTGAATGTTGAGCTGAATCGTGCAGTGATCGCTACACAACTTGACTTACAACTTACAACTCCTTGTACACACTCCAGTCTCCAACCATTCACGAATCACAGTATTTGCATTCATTTACTACTGTCCCTAATGCCCCCAGGACAAATTACTACACCACCCTGCCCTTGAAGGCCCCGTGTAATTCTCTGCCTAGAGCTAAGCTCAATATTGTCTAACCTTTTGAGCCTACGTTCGGCATTCATCATTAATTAGCTGCTACATACAAGTGCTCATGACGATTATAAGCCATTTCAGTATAAAAAGCACTTGATCCCACCAAAACCACTATCTTTTACCTATTTAATTAACCAAATACTCAATATTCAATCAACCGAACCTGTCCACTTCTACCACTTTATTTAAACTGTGACGTCGTTAACTGTTCAACGTGAATTAGCGGATTTTATCATACTTTAAAAATTTGTTTTGCGGTGAACGTTTTTTGGTTTTCAATTTTTTTTTCTTTTTAAAAAGTCAAAAAAATTTATAGGAAAATCTGAAAATAGGCTGTTCTTGACTATAACTAGTATCAGCTATTTAACAACAACAACTCATTCGCTCTACATAGATCTCAATTTGAAAGTGAAGATACACTGGTTGGTTATAGCTCGAATCTCACATCAAGAACCACCTTTTTCCCTTCAACACCATACAATATTTCATACTACACCCCTTTTTTAAAGAATGATTCAGCTAGTGAATCTCATAATACCGCTAGTATCATTGATAATACCCTTCATCTCAGCTGCTGACTCAAACTCCTCCTCTACAAGCCATTCATCATCTTCAAACAACTCATCCTCATCCTCATCACACCCATTGAGCCCCTTTCCTACAATAAAAGCACAATCCGATAATGGGTTTGTTTACTACACAAATATAAGCATGGGTACTCCACCTCAAGAGTTGAGCTTAAGAATAGATATAGCTCAACCATACGTATGGACCAGGTCAAGACAGAGCTTGCCTGTGTGTGCAAATGGTCAAACGCCTAATAATACGTTTGAATGTGATTCGGGTATTGGTGCTTTTAATCAAAGTGCTTCATCGAGTTATTATGATGAAAATAATTGGCAAAGATTGATCTTTTTGGATTATGTTTGGGTTAATGGTACAATGTCTCAAGATACTTTAGCATTTGATCAAGCTTTTAATGTTGATATCAATGGATCAGAAACTAGAAATTTAACTGTAAATGAAATTAATTTCATAAATGCAAATGATTCAAGAGTGCCTATGGGTGGATTAGGTCTTTCTTCAAAATTTGATGATTCTAATAATGATTATAATACAAACTTCTTGGATATCTTGAAAGATCAACATGTTATAAATTCTTCAAGTTTTTCATTATATCATAAAGATGATTCAAGTGCAGATTTAATGCTTGGTGGTGTTAATCAAGATTATTACGTGGGAGATTTCGTTGTGTTTGATAAACAACCTTATTGGGATAATCGTGAAAACAAACTAGTCAATGATTATCCAATCTTGCCATTATCTTCATTAATGGTTAGTAATGCTCGTGGTCAAACTGCTTATATTTCAACTTCAAATAATACTGAACCGGTATTGATAGATACAAGATCTTCTTATAATTATTTACCATACTCCATGGTTGTTGCATTAGCTGTTCAATTAAATGCCTTTTATTCAAATGATATTGATGTTTGGTTATTAAAATGTTCAATAACAAACTTAAATGCAACTATTGGGTTCCAATTTGGTAACGTTACAGTTAATGTCCCAATTGATGAAATGATTAATCCAGCATACACAAGTTCAGGTAATGAAACCTTAGTATTTGATGATGGTGAAGAAGCTTGCTTATTATTAGTCACTCCAAATTATTATTTTGGTTATTCTGTTCTTGGGTCCCCTTTTTTCAAATCTGCTTATATTGCAGTAGATAATGAAGCAAATAAAATTGCAATTGCTCAAGCTGCAAAAGGTAATCATACAAGAGAACAATCATCCACAACAACAGATTTTGCCGCATCTGCAATCTCTTCAGGTCATATCCCATTTGCATCACCAAACAATATAACTCAACTCTATACAATGAGATTTGATCAATCCTCTATAAAATCTTCAGCTCAACCTGATATGGTTACTGTTAGTATCACTAATGGTGAGGTCTTTACAGGGAGAGTTCAACCTTCAAATAGTTCAAGTATGAGTTCTTCAGCTAGTGGTGGAGGTGTTCAATTAAACAATCATTATAATAATGGTAATTCAGTATTAGGTTATGTTTTCAGTTTTATTACTGTTGTTGGTTTAGGAATTTTGTTATGAAGTGTTTTTTCGTTCCCTGTTGTTTAAAAAACAACAAAAAGGCATATTGTGTAGTTTAGTTGGGTTTCTTTTTTGTCCATTTCTTTAGTTTGATTTTATAATAAGAATGTTTTTAAAGTGTATTTTTAGTGAAAAGATTTCAGTAAATTAAGTTTCTTCTCATCGATGATCTTTTTTTTTTGATAGGAGCAATTGAGACAATCAAGGAAATGAAAAACAGACCCCGTTATTGTTTCATACTCGTTAACCAATTGTACTCGAGTGTTCTAATTCAATAAAGAAATCTTCAGAAGCTGTTAGATTCTATTCATTTAGTTTAAGTTGGTAACTGAACTTCAATTTATTCATCCTCAAAGAATCTTGGTTTCACTGTTTTAAGCCCCTGTCAAGAAATAGAACAAAGGGTACCAAAGAGAACTATACAATTAACTACATTCAATATTCATCATCTTCACAATAAAACTGTTCTAAATACCTGTTATCCAATATTTACTCAATATTCATCCTTCCCACCCTTTGATAGCCTCAATATGACCCTTCATTCATATTTACACTCCACATTAACAACCCTATTATCACCACAAAAACAATCATCATCAATCCCAATAGAGACTGATTATGAACTATCACCAGACTATGAAGACTCTACACACTCAATCTCTGATCGTATAATATCTCAAAGACAAAAAATCTCAAACTTTTCCACACCTACAAGATCAAGACCAAATCGTCAACACACAACTGCACCAAGCACCACCACAACAACAACAACCATTGAAATATCCAATGATTTTGAAGATGATCGTGACAAGATTAGACAATTCATTAATGTCAAACAGACACTATTATCTCTTCGAAATCTGGAGAAATTGATCACGGATCCTAATGTGAATTATGAAGGTTTTAAAAAAACTTATATCGAATCAAGTATGGGGTTATTAAATTCTATTCAGGATAGAGCAGAATTACAAACATTGAGTACAGGAACAACGGATCAATCAAGGGATTATTTGATAAGGATCGGATTGGTTTCTGTGCAGATATTCGTTGTCTTGATGGATTTGTTCACTCCGTTGTTTATACAATTCACTGTGATGTGGAGACAAGTTTTAAATAATGATTTGGTTCAGAAAATTTTGAATACTGTGGTGGAGTTGATATTTGTTTTGTTGACACTGGTTTTGGATTATTTGAAAAAGTATCAACTAAAGTCTAAAAAGCAAAAGAGGTTAAAGAGTCATCAAAATCCTACAAAGTTCAAAAGAATATAGATGTATGTATGTCCCTTTTATTATTAAAAATGAACAAATCTTTGGCTTAATGTACTATCATCATGTTTTGGTTCACTGGCTTTGATAACCTTGTCATTCTCTAATCTATCTCTTATTTGTTTATGAATATTTACTAAAAATTCATCAAATCCTTGAGTCTTATCAATGGCTCTATCTTCAACTAATTGATCTCCAATTTCAAACTCAGATCCATCAATACCAACACGAACTAATTGAAATGTCAAGTTTTCAAAACCTAACAAATTTTTATAATATTCAACAAGATTCCTAGCTTGTAATGAAACATGAGTATTTAATTCTGGTAAATCATTCTTAAAATATGCTAATTCTTCTAATTTCTCCACTCCTAATAAATCATTCAATAATAATGGATTAACTGCATTATGGATCCATAAATATAATTTTTCACCATTGAAAATAAAATATGCACCACCATATTCAAGATCTTTTGATGCGGCTCTTGAATTGATTGATAGGTTAAAGTATCCACTAACATCATCATATAAACAATCTTTTTCATCTAAGTTATGCAATCCAATAATTCTTGGATATAATTTCAACAACATTTTATCTAATGGTAAAGAATTTAATTCATAATAATCATAAATTTTCGGATTGTTTGGTATAGAAGTTTTGAAAATTTTGGATTTTTGAAATGATGAAATATATGCAATTAATGTCTTTAAACTATCTGGGAAAACTAATTCTGTTGGCATCAAGTTATTTTGAACTGCTAATCCACGATATTGTGTAAACACTTCAACTAATTTATTAGTTGTTGTTAATTTAATCTCTGTTGGGTGTTGTTTGCTTAGATAACTTAGACAATCTTTAATAATAATATCCAATACAACATCTTGATCTGCAAATGAAAACACTTCAGCAACATCACTAGTAATAGCTACAACGGAATTAATAACTCTTACTCTTCTTTTACCATCTAATCCTGTGTATAATAGAGCAGCTTGGAAATGGGCATCTTCTTTGGTATTTATCTTCTCATCATATGAAAACAAGACAGAATATTGTTGTTCAGAACTTAGTACTGGCAATTTTGGATCGTTAGTGGTTTTTGAATCAAAATTACCATAATATTTAGCAACTTGTAAGCCTGCAGAACAACGAACTTTCAGTTGTCCTTGATAACCACGAGTACTCAATATAGCCTTCTTATAATCTTCATTAAATTGAATCTCATCCCTTTCTGGTTGGTAATTTGAATAAAGTTTTAATAATCCACTAGTTTTGTTTGTGATTATTGACGAATTAATTAAATCCACTGAACTTCTTGTAATAACAAACAAATCTAAACCAACATTCATCTTGATATATTCATCAGCTAATTTATTATAATAGGTATTTTCTGATTTAAAAGTATCAGTTCCATTATCTTTATCATTTGGATTGGTCAAAGTACCTGGTCCCCAACTTGGTAATTTCGATAATGTTGCAGTGACTTTACCTCCACCAACAGTCCCCAATGCATAAAGTGCATATTTCAAAGCAGCGCCATAAGCAACTTCTGGTGATTTATATTCAAAATATAACTCATCAATCTTATTCAATGCATCATTTATTTGGAAGACATATTCTTGAGGATCAACAAATAATCCATCATAAATTGGAACAAATGGATCTTCAAGATCTGATGCAACATGTACTTGGCTCTGTTCTGATTTCAAATTATAGAACTGAACTCTTTGATCATAGGTTATGATGGCAACTTTCACGAACGGTGGTAATTTATCCAAAGTGGATCTAATAGCTTCTGTTGTAGATCTTATAATATCATTAGTTGCACTAACATCAATCAAAAAGACATGATGTAATGAGCTTGGCTCAACTCCTTCTTCTGACCAATACGTTTCAGGGACAATGAAATCAACAGTCCCCAAATGTAGTTCGGGTCTTTGTAAGAAATCAATTCTGCGACCAGTTGCATCCAATGGTGATTGATATTCAGTTGGAATTGGTGTTGCAAACTTACACATATTACAGATAACTTTCTGTTCATGTGTGAATGTCATTCCAGGGTTGATATAAGTACGACAGCGACGACAACGAGGTGGTCCACCAATAGGTGTAAGATCAACTTCTGGAACTGGTTCTTCATTATATTCTAGTGGTGCAAATGGACGTACTGTCAGACCTAGTGGTAATTTGGTTGAGTTTCTTAAAGCTTCACTTGATGGAACGTTATACATTGATAATCTCATGAATTTTGGAATTGCACAACCTTGATCAATGGAAACATATTTAGTTGTTGAAGTAGGTGGTAGAACATTCTCAAATGACTTGAAAGTATTTGTTGCATATTCAGCTTCTTGTAATTTTCTTTGATAAGGGACTGATAAAGAACCTGATGCATCTTGACCGTTTGTCGGTACAGGAGCAATTGGAGCTTGTGCAAATTGTGAAGGGATACCACTAACATCTGGAGTGAATGCTGATGGGGTACCTGCTAATGATGAAGCAGCAGGACTTGGATAACCCAATGGTGTTTGGAAAGGTTGTTGTAAAGCAGCGCTATTACCGAAAGCTTGTGGGTTTGAAGCTTGGAATTGGGAAGCAGCAGCAGCAGCACCTGGAGCAGTGTTCAAGTTGTGGTAAGCTCTAGCTGGTCTTTTTTTCTTTGAATGAACAGGTGCTTGACCTCCGATTTGTTGTTGTTGTTGTTGATCGGCTAGTCCAAGGTTCTGGACGCCGTTTGTCAATTGATCCAGTGGTGTATTGGACATTGGATACGACATTTCTCTCCTAAATCAAGTCACCAACAAAGGCAGTAAAGACACACCAGCGAATGTTACGGATCTGAGCTTTTGATTAGATTCCAAATTGTTCATGTGTCCAAAATCCAAACGGTCAACTCGAAGAAAAACACGAATTCGCGATTTTTTTTAACTTTGTACTGTTTACGCGAATCAGAAGAAAAAAACATAAACAAACCAATTTCATAGGCTTTAAAGCAGTCTTTGGGTATACAAAAGAAAGTATAAAGGCTTTTGGACTAGTGTTATGGGTGTCAAGGGACTCCTACCACAGTTGAAGGAGATCCAGGAGGGTTTGACGTTAGAGAGGTTCAGAGGGAAGACTTTGGCTATAGATTCATATGCTTGGTTACATAGAAGTGTGTTTTCGTGCTCATGGGAGTTGGCTCAAGATATGGAAACTACGAAATATCTTTCGTTTTTCAAAAAGAAAGTGATGATGTTGAAACATTTTGGTATTGAACCATACTTTGTATTTGACGGTGACCACTTTGAAAGTAAAAATGATACTGAAATTGAAAGAGAACAAAATAGAATAAGGAATAAAGAGAAAGGTCTAGAGATGTTACAAAATGGGAATAGGAAACTTGCTGGTGAGTTTTTCATGAAGAGTATTGATGTCACTCCTTCAATGGCTAAATCAATTATTGAGTATTTGAAATCGGAAAACATGAAATATGTTGTCGCGCCATATGAAGCAGATCCACAACTTGTTTATCTTGAAAAATTGGGTCTTGTTGATGGGATTATAAGTGAAGATTCTGATCTTTTGATCTTTGGTGCCAGATGCTTGTTGACCAAGCTTAATGACTTTGGTGAATGTGTTGAGATTAGACGTGAGAATTTCAAAAAATGTAAAGCGGTTCCAATTGGATTGATGAATGAGTCCAAATTGAGAATGGTTGCTTGTTTGAGTGGGTGTGATTATACTAATGGGATACCTGGGATTGGGATAGTGAAAGCTTTTAGACTTGTCAAGAGACATAGTAATATTTCAAAGTGCATTATGAGTTTGAAATTAGAGGGAAAGACACCAGTACCAGCTGAATTTGAAATGGAATACAAGAAAGCTGATGTATCATTTCAATATCAAAGAGTTTTCAATCCAATAACCAATGAGATTTCCACATTGAACGAGGTTCCATCTCAAATTGATGAAGTATTATTACTTGAATGCATCGGTAAATTACATGATAATTCAATCCATCATCAAATAGCTATGGGTGAATTGGATCCAATTTCCAAAAAACCATTGAAATCAAGAGAAGAAATTGTTCGTTCTAAATCGTTTACAATTGCATCAACTCCAGTTTCAAAGCCGTTATTAGCAGGAAGCGAAAGGGTGGCTAAGAGGTCATACTCAACACCGGTCACATCAGGAATGCAACGGATTGATTCGTTTTTCAAAACATCACAAGATAGACCAAATAATAGATCAACTACAGTTCCATCAAAAACTGAAGCTCCACAAGAATTTAGAGTGTTAACACCAAAGAGTTTATCACCAACTTCCAAGAGAAGAAGAATGTTCAATTCACCAATTGCTTATGGTCATACTCCAATAACTTCAGCGAGTAAATTTTTCCAGACCAAGAAACCCATTGTTCAAAATCCACAGGTAGTACCAACTGCAAATGTGTCAAATTTTTCAAAACACAATCCCAACACGGTACCAAATTCTGTTGAGCCGTTGGAACAACAACAGTTACTGGAAAGTTCACCGATTGTGTCCAAATTTAGTGGGAAAGATCCAAATAACACTACAGCAATCCCTGATACCGTTCAAAATAACAATAGCATCCTCAAAGATTTGAATTCAAGTGACTTTGATCTGACTGATCCAGATGATAATGATGATGGTCCTCAATTAGATCATCAAGATAAGCCTAGTTGTTCAAATAAACCAAAAGATGACTTGAAAAGTACCGTTGAGTCGGAACATAAAGGGACTCAACTAGGAACAAATCATCAAAAGGAAGTTGCACAGGGCCTATACGAAAGGTTCGGTTTTAATTGCTTCAAGAGTCATCATACCAAAGTTAACAAGGTTCAAGTAGCTCGATATGGTAAATCTGAACCTTTGAAACCAATCCAACAGAATAATAATATTGATAGACCGAGAACCACAACCGTCAAAACTAAAAGAAGCATTTCAAAGAACCTTACTCTGGATACATTTATTTACAGAGGATCATAGCATTAACCATAATATATAGCATAGTTTAGCATTAAAGTCATATAAGTACAAGTTTGTTTATTTATTTATGTTGTAGTTGTATTGTCTGTCATCGGTTTGCGTGTCAATACGTTCCTTTTTTGTTTTTGTTTTTCTTTCTGGAAAAATTGTTGCCTGATCTCTCAAAAAATTAAAATCGTATGATATTTGAGAGCCAAACTTTGAGAAATGAGTAAACGAGTTTGGGCGACCCAAATTGCTGGAAGGAGAGTTCCAATCATGGCGCTGAGAATATGTTTGGAAGTCATTGGAGAAATTTATTGGTTTCGTTAAAAAACTTTACAATTGCAAAAACTTGTTAACTACTATTTTATCAACAAACAAGAGTTCATCAGAATAGTCAAAGCAAAAAGATGTCGTATGCGTTTGATGACTATGATGCTTTTCTAGCGTCTTTTAACAACAATAACTACAAAGCGCCAAACAACAACATGAACCAGAATCAGCAGATATCCATTGCCCATGACCCTTCATTAACTAATTCAATCACATCTACTGAAGAAGAAGGTATGCTAGATCCATATTATGACTTTGGTACAACTGCAAATGGCGCCAACAATAATCAAAACAACAATAACAACAACATTAATGGCAATTTCTACCTGTCACCAGACTCTATTATTGGAACTTCAAACTCGAGTTCACCAAATGAGTTTCAATTAAACAATGAATTCAACTCATTAGATGGTGCAGCTGTTAATGCTGGTGGTGATTTTAACTATGATGATGGTTTTATGGATCAAAACCAAATCAAAAAGGAATCCATCTCATCCACTGCTTCTTCTTCAACTTCTCCTGTTCCAGTCACACAACAACACAATACCAGAGTTAAACTATCTAATGCTGTGCCACATTCAACCATTGGTAAAAGAGGTCCTAAGAAGGAAAAATCCTCTCATAATATGATTGAAAAAAGATATAGAACTAATATTAATGATAAAATCAATGCATTAAGAGATGCTGTTCCAGCTTTACGTGTCTTGGTTGATAGTGGTGATGATGAAGTTGATGATGATGAATTAGATGGGTTACAACCAGCTAAAAAATTAAACAAGGCCACCATCTTGTCAAAAGCTACCGAATATATCAAACATTTAGAGCATAAAAATGAAGTTTTGAAAAAGGAAAATGATACTTTAAAACATAGATTATATGGTATAAGTAATGGGAATATAACACCAGAAAGTTCTGTTAGTTCATATTCCAGTGAAACTGTTCAAAATCAAAATGATGGTAATCGTGATGGTAATCGTGGTGGTGCTCATCAAAATCAAACTTCATACACTAACAAATTCTTACTCGGTGGGTTAGCTTGTATGGTTGGTGCGGGCTTAAATGATGATTTAAACCATGTTGATTCAACAAGATCCTTATTTGCCTTACCAGTTTTCAGTTTTAACCAACAGGGCTCTCAAGTTGTCGGTAAGCCATTGTTGATTTTGTTCAAGATTGGTTTGATTTTATGTGTTTTATTGAATTTTGTTTTCCCAGCTATTTTCCAATCTAAAAAGAAAGTTGGTGTTGAAACTTCAGAAGTTGTTGATACCGAAGATATTGAAGATGTTAGAAACTTGTCAAAATTTTCAATTTGGAAAACTTTCAAATCTACAAAAGATAGTTCTAATAATGACTATGTCAAGAATTCAATCATCAGATGTTTGAAATTGAAAATTGAAGCTATGAATCAAAATTTCATCAATCAAAAATTGATTAATTTTTATGTTGAACATTTATGGAATTACTCAAAACAAGTTCAATTAGATTCAAGTGAATCAAATTTTGAAGATTTGAATTTAATTTTATCATTAAACAACAATGAAACTATTCATAATGAAGAATATTTAAAGAAATTGTTGAACTTTGAAGTCAAATCAAACTTGGAAGCTGAATTAGAAGATGAAGAATTTACAAACAATTATTCAGTCATCCATATTCTTTATGAAATGATTAATGAAACTAAAACCAATTCTATTTTGGCCAAGTTTATGAATTCTACAATCAATTCATCATTTCAACCAACAGAAACTAAAACCTTATCTGAATATATCAATGTTGAATTAACTACATTATTCAATCCTACAGATGAAAACATTTCCAAACTAAAAGAAAATTTATCAAAATTAAACATTAATGGAGTTAAAGATGATGAAATCTTTATAATGTATGCTTCAATTATTCAAAATTTGATATTCATTAAAAAAGATTTTAAAAGTGCTCAAAAATGGTTTAAAAAATTAGATTTGAAATTGATCAACAAATTTAATTTGTTAGGATTTACTTCATTATATATAATCATATTGAGTATGACTAAATATCCAGAATTATATCAAGATGATCAAGATATAATTTTGCAAATTGAAGAAATTTCTGGTATATTAAGAATTTGGTTAGGAAATACTTCAGGATCAAGTTTGAAATTTGATAAAAGATCACAATTGATTGAATTCTTTGTTAATGTTAATTTAAAAATCAATGGATTAGAAAGTTTAAATGGGAACCTTAGAACTGTTGTTGTGTGAAAGCAAAATAAAACGAGAGAAATGATATTTTTTTGTTTCTATTTGTGATGATGATGATTATGCTTTTTTTTAATAATATCTAAAAATATGGTTATATTTTAATATTTGTCTATTAGTGTTGTTTTTTATTTATTTATATTTGTTTTTGGTGTTTTTTTTTATAATAAGTCCTTGAGGAGACTATTGAAGATCTATTAATTGAAATCAAGTTAAAAAAAGTGATGGATTTTGTTTATTTACTTACCAATTTTGTACAATGTTAATTACCTATTCAAGCACATTATTTATTTATTGAATTGATGTAGATTTTGGTGGTAATTTGAGTGAATTAGTAGACTTTTTGGTGGTTTATATTTCATCATGTCATATTGTTGATGGTATTGTTGAATCTATGAACGACGACTATGTTAAACCCTCGAGCTTGTGAGGTTATACTATGACAGCACTGGGCCTCCAACGCTTTTTATAATAGTGACACTCCACGAAGAACACCTTCCAATTCTCAACTTTCAAGACCTCTGCTCATTGTAAACAGAACATACGATACATAAACCCAATCATACAACAAAATACTATAGATCTAACGTGATGAAGTGAGATTGCGAACGTAGAACCTGTCCAGATTTCACTTGTTCAAATTCAAAATCAGCCATCATCATAGCAACCATCATTAGCTGTATCCTATGATATGTAAGTGAACAAATCTCATGATATGGCTTGATAAGTTCATTATTCAAGAAATGGTGTGAAATTATAGATCACATCTAGTTATGAAAGGGTTGATACGTTGACACCTTTTTCCATCACAATCCATAGACATCGATACCTTCATATCCAAGCACATAGCAATCATATATCCCTCATAAACGAAGAGTGAGCTGTATCACAAGACCGTAGTTACAACCAATAGTTGATTCTTTCACCTAAATACACCATAATTTGACGCATAGCTCAATATCAAAACTCCGGAGATACACGGCGTCTAGGTGGAACATGTTTTTTTTGTGACTGCTTCCACGAATTCGCGAGACTGAGCCCTAACGCCAGGGCCTCGTAACCTGACTCTTTGGTGTTGGGGTGTTGTTCTCCCATAGTTTACAATTTTCTTAACTACTGTAACGAATTCAGTGGTGTGTCCCGTAGCGAAAGTTTCCAACCTTTGGCTGGTGAAAAAAAATGCTTTGATGGTCACAAAACAACATATACGTAGTGAAGGCTTGAAGTGATTGAACACATATCCAATATCATATATCAAAATGTCTAACGTTTCAAAGTATGTACCTGTTAGATGGGGAATGGAATATTAAGAGTACATGGGAAGTATTCAAGATGGGAAGGAAATTGTGAAATGAGTTTGAAAAGTGTCAAGTAGAATGTATTGATAAAGAGATGAAGATTATGAATAACAACCAAAGAGAACCAACCAGTCAATTTATATCATAAAGAAGGAAATAATAGAATGATCCCATATACCTCGAAATTTCAATCCAATTACAAACTAATTTGAACTTATACTAACAATTTTGCTAGCGATTTCATCTGGGCTTTAACCTCAAGACAATCATCATTTTTAGTCAAACGTCCAAACGTTGTCTTATCCCGTGATCCATTCAATGTTTCAGGTAAAAACACCAAAACCTCATCAGGTTTAGCTAATGAAAAAGCTTTTGGTATCACCCAAAACGATGGTAAAATCACTGTTATCTCAAAATCTACCAAAAACTCAAACAAACCAGCTAAAAACATCATTTCAAGAACTTACTCACAACACAAATCACCAAGAAGAACTGCTTTAGCTGTTTCTAACTTGGCTAAAGGTTACAGAGATGATTTAAGAGCCGTTGCTGTTAAAAGAGTTTCTCAATACACTAGATCAAAAACTGCTAAAAAATCTTACGCTTCTTCAACCAGAGGTAAAAAATAAATTTGATTAACTTTTTCATTGATTTATAGTTTTTAAATTTAAAGGTTGATTTTATTATGTATTGAGTGGATTCAGTGATGCTAATTAATTAGGGTGTCTGTCGTAGATCTGTCCAAGTTTTGTAAAGAAGTAGACTGTTGTGTAATATTGATTGAGCTAGCACATACAAACTACATCTTCTAAAATGCTGCAATGTCTGTATACTAATGAGAATTTGGTAATCTGGGATAGCTACGCAGATACCCAACACTTCCTTTCCAATAAAAAGAGAGCACTCGTCATCAGTATAGGCTATCCATTTAGTGAAGACATTCAATGTTCCGTTGTATTTGATGTTCTTGGGTTAAAACAAGACATTATGTACACCTGCCAAGTTGATAATTAGGATACTCACCCTCAAATATTGCCTTGTACCTTTGTCATATTACAAATTAGCACCAACTACGTGCCAACTTCTTGTTGGAAATGGGCTCTTGAGGACCGACATCTCTATAACTTTTGCTGGGTAGCAACACCTGAACAGTTCTTGAGTGACTTGAGGAGTAGTACAATATGTCTGGTTGTACCATAGCAGATCTTTTGTTGTCGGTGTTGTATCTGAAATTCCACAGGGTCTATGTTCCCCAGATCTATGGTGCACTTTAACAAATGCTTTGACACAATTCATAATCGAAGGTATTACAATTCTAATCTACCATCAGTATCCCCAACCATCGTCTTTACACTTCACATAGCTTCAACTATGTTGGATTAATTTACACCTCTCTATCACAATTTGTCTTAAAAAATTACTCCACGTCGATGTAATTTTCCGATCAACAAGAAATGTCAAAAACTTGGCCAAAAATTATTATGAACTTTTTAACGCAGAAACACAAGTCACAAAACCACAACAAGAGCTTTATACAACGCGGCGCAATATCAATGTGGATTGTCCGTATGGGTTTCCCCAGAAGTTTGAATACCTGACTTTAGTCTTGTTGACTCCCTTTTACGAAATTGAAAGATTGTTTGGACCCTGTATAAATACCATGATGAATTCCTAATAGATTAAGCTTGGTGGGATTCCTGATATTACCATTACAATTATGTCTACAGATAACAAAGACCTTGAAATAACACACGTTGAAGACCGTCATTCAGGTGATCATCCTAATGAATTGACCAAAACAGATTCAGCCATTAACGAAGAACTCCGTCATAATTTAGAGATCCCAGATTCATTAAAACACCTATCACAAGATGAATTAGATGCATTAACTAAGAAAACTCGTCGTAAGATTGATTTGAGAATCTTGCCAATGCTGGTTTATATCTATATTTTGAATTATTTGGATAGAAATAACATTGCAAGTGCTAGATTAGGTGGGTTAGAAAAAGATTTAGGATTGAAAGGAAATCAATATCAAACATGTATTTCAATCTTATTCGTTGGTTATATCTTGATGCAAATCCCTTCAAATATGATTGTTAATAAATTAGGAAGACCTTCATTGTTCATCACTGTCATCATGACTGTTTGGGCAGTTATCTCAACTTGTACAGGTGCTGTTCAAAATTATCACGGGTTATTAGTTGCAAGATTATTATTAGGTTTTGTTGAAGCTGGTTTTTTCGGAAGTGCTTTATATTATCTTTCTTGTTGGTATTCAAGAAAGGAACTAAGCCTTAGAAATGCAATCTTGTATTCTGGTTCGTTATTCTCTGGTGCTTTGAGTGGGTTAATTGCTGCTGGTATTATTGATAAAATGGATAATGTTCGTGGGTTAAGATCATGGAGATGGTTATTCATTATTGAAGGTGCTATTACTGTCGCATCAGTCCCATTTGCATATTTGATCTTACCTGATATGCCTGGTAATTCTAAATTCTTAACTGATCAAGAAAGAGATTTAGTTTTATGGAATTTAAGAAAAGAAGTTGGTCAAGATGATTCTGATTCTGAAAATCAAGAGTCTTATAAGTCAACAATGTTATTGGCAATGAAAGATATTAAAGTTTGGTGTATCACAGGGATCTTGAGTTTTGTTGTTAGTGCAGCTTCAGGTATTACAAATTATTTACCAACTTTGATTATCGATTCTTTACATTTCAATAGAGTTACAAGTCTTGCTCTTTGTGTCCCACCTTATATGTTGTCTGTTGTTTCTACATTTATCTGGGCTAGACATGCTGATAAAACAGGTGAAAGATTCTGGCATGTTGTTGTTCCATTATTCCTAAGTTTGATTTCATTCATTATTACACTAGCTACAACAAATATTGGTGCTAGATATTTTGCAATTTGCTTGATGATTCCTTCATTATATTGTTCATTCACCACTATTTTATCATGGATGTCAAATTGTGTTCCAAGACCACCATTGAAAAGAGCTATTGCTATCTCCTTAATGAATTGTTTGTCCAATTCAACATCCATTTGGAGTTCATATTTATATCCTTCAAGTGCCGCTCCAAAATATTTGGTTGCATTTGTTTGTAATTGTGTTTTTGTTGTTTTGGCAATGTGTATGGCGTTAATCTTGAGAACTAAACTGATGGTTCTAAACAATAGAATTGATAGAGGTACAATGAATTGGGAAAAGGAATTAGGTAAAGGTAATGATGGTTCCAAGATCAAATCTGATTTTAGATTCTTATACTAGATTAGAATATAATGATAATGATTTAATAATTATACGGTTTGTGATAGTAGTACATAGCTCATAACTCATCCTTGATATTTTCATAACCTTTGATACCAACCAATTCAACAGTGAATACCAAATCAGCATCAGGTGGGATAACACCACCGGCACCTCTTTTACCATAACCTAAATGGGAAGGAATGGTTAATTTACGTTTCTCACCAATACACATACCAGCAACACCTTGATCCCAACCTTGAATGACCATACCAGTACCTAATTTAAATTCTAATGGATCACCTCTTTTCAAAGAACTGTCAAATTCTTTACCATCTTCTTTTAAAGTACCTGTGTAATGAACTTGGACTGTATCACCTTTACGAGCTTTACGATGACATTGATCTTCTGGGATTTTGTGAGTAACACCTATATGTTGTAAGTATGAAAAAGAAGTGTGAAAGAAAACAAAGGTGCTTACCAATTTGTAGTTTTTCCTCAGCAGCTGCAAAACTGAATAATGCTAATGACGCAGTGATTAATGATGTGATCTTCATGGTTGTCAATGGCTGTTAAGTTTAAACTGGAGTCGTTGATGTTGAGATTAAAGTCAACGTTGAACAATTGATACACCGTGTTTTCTATTAACTTTCGCGAATTGGAACGGCTGAGCCTAACCTCTAGGCTCTAGGCAGGAATCTCTAGGCAGAGCCCTATAATCTACAAGCTGGGACCCTTTACAAAAAACTTTATCTATACAAAAATTATGATTCAATAACCCATAATGATTTCAAATTTCTTGAATCTTTCAAAGGTTTCAAGATTAGTACAATGATAATCAACATCAATATACTTGCAATCAACTTAACTTTATCAAAACCAGAAGTTAATTTATCAAATTGTAAAGATGGTGAAACTCTTGTACAGAAAACATCTAGCCCATATGAACAAACAATTGAAGTTGATTCTAAATTAGTTGGAACTGAAATCAATGTATCAGCACCCATAACTTGTCTATGATGAGATATAACAAAATTATCATCAATTGTAATTATTGGATCATAAGGTGTTAACATAAATTCTGATTTTTCTTCATTTGTTAAAGGTCTGTCTTGAACTCTTCTTGAATTCAAAATATATTTTGGTAGGTACAAAATCTGTCCATTAGTTAATGATATGATTATTGATTTTGTAGTGACACCAAATCTTGTTTTAGAAATAGCCATTGAATTAATCTTGAATGGTAAAATAAATGATTTTGATAAAACTGCAGGTGGATGTTTATAATCTAATGATGATGAAGTATTATTCGAGAATTTTTCATTTGATTTTAAAGATTCAAACAAATCAATAACCACAATTTTTTGTTCAGGATATGGTTTATTACTCCAATATGAATAAATCACCCAATGTTCACCAAATAAAATATTTATATGCTCATCTTCATGAACATGTTCATCATGGTATGCTGTATGGACAATCTCACCAGTAATAGAATCAATTATATGGATGTATAATGTCTTTGTTGGTTTGTTCAACACGGCAAAGGCTGCAAAATTTGGATATAGGTATTTGTACAATACGGAACGATCACCTAGAACATAACCAACATTTGCGATTTTTTCATCTTCATCCTTTGAAGCAAATGCAACAATTTCTTCATCTGCGGTTGTTTCAAACTTCCAAGTTTGTAAAACTTTCTTGCCTTCGATTTTCAAACCTTGAATTTTATTTGAATCATGTTTTATAATGAAGCTGGATGATGAGGAATTTAAATTTGATGGGTCATCAGATAAGATAACTGCAAATTCATTTTCAATTTCAACATAAAATTTATCATCACTATCAAGTTTCTCGACTTTTAAAGGAGGAACAATTAATTTTTTCTCAATGAATTCACCAGTTTTAGCATCCAATTCTAATCTTGGCCCAGATTTAGTGAAAACGTATAATCTTTCATTTTCAACAGTTTCAATACTAAGGATATCATCTTGTTGAGTATCAAACGACCAAACTTTTTCACCATTCAATGTATTCAATGCAATAACTCTACCACTTTTAGTACCAAGAATCAAGTACTTGATGAAGCCAAAATATTCATTATTTTCTTTTGTTTGGCCAAAAAGTGATACTTCACCAGTGGCTATTAAAGGTAATGTTTCCCAAAATGATTCATAAAGTTGTTTCAATTCTTTAGCATGTTTTGTTAATCTGAAAAGGTAAGCTTGGAAAACGTTCAATTCTTCTTCATGTAATAAATCATCTGGTGTTAAACTAGTTTCAACTTCTAAATCAACGATAGCATGTGCAACAACTTGGGATAAAGATGCATCTCTTTGCCAAACTTTAACATTATTCCAAACATAAGAATAAGTTTGGTTTGAAAATTCAAACATTGAATGAATATTTTCCACACCATCAGTGGAAACTGAGATCGATTTGATTAAATCAAATGGTAATTTTTCATCACCAAGGAAAAAACTTGAAATTTCATCTCCAGTATCTGGATCAATGATATTAACATGATATTCTGTGAATAAAATAAATGAATTTTCAACAAATTTCAAAAGATATTTATGAACATTTGGAATTGTGAATAAAAGAGATCCATCTAATTTTAAAATTTCAATATTATGATTTCTTTCAAATGCAATTAATGAATCAATTCTGATTGCAATGAATTCGTCAAATTTACCTTGGATTGGAATTGGTGATGAAACAACACCAGTGTTTTTATCAAATTGTAAAACATAATATTTGATTGTCTGATAAACTAGTTTTGCCCCATGGAATTCTTTGATTGAACTCCAAGATATTTGTAAAGTATGGGTATGGAATTTCTCACCATCATAGAACCCATAATGAGTATTTTCAGTATCTTGCTCATTAAACAAGATGATGAAATTCCCATTCTCTAAAGGTGATATAATAACATTATCAAATTTCGAAATTGATTCAAATGATTTAATATCACCATCATTATTAACCAAAACAACTTCACCATTTTTGAAAACAACAATAACATTCTCACCGTGGGCTTTAATTGCACTAATCTCTTTACTTGTGAAAATTGCTAAATCTTTAATCCAGAACCCATCAATAGGATCCCAAACTTGTAATAATGAACGGTTTAGATAATTCAACCCGGTGACGATATTATCACCCAATTGAATAACACTTTGCTTTGAATCTTCAACAACATCATCGAAATGCACTCTCCATCTAACATTCCCATCCTGAATACCTGCTAAAGTATTGGTTTTCGTTAATAAATTCAAGATCTCTTTTCTTGGATAAAGGATATTTGAACTATCCAATGGACCTATTTGACGAATTTTCCAATCTGTAACATATGCTTCATCACTGAAAACCGCCAGCACGGTTGTGATTAGGCAGATTAGTCCAAGGAATTGGAACTTCATGGTATGCGTTGTTGTGATAGTTTCCCCAAAAGTTGTTGTTATGGGTTCGTCGATGTTGCCTTTGGGCTTTTTTTTTGACGTTTTGAATTTCTCGGATTTACTACGACTAATTAAATTGTATGCCTTAAAAATTAAATGCTATATCATTTTGTATTTGGTTCTTCTTGAATTGTTTGTTCTTTCAATTGCTGCTCACGTTCTTTTAAGAAATTTTGAGTTTCCTCGAGTTTCTCAATCCATCTAAATTTTGGAATGAATCGAACTTCATATTCAGTATCTCTTGCCAAAGATTCCCAAGGATCATTCAATTCCCAAGCCTCCAAGAAATCTATATCATCTTTCAATTCATTACCTTTCGGTATCACAACCTGGGGTCTATCAAACTCAGGGTTTGTAAAACTTTGGAAATTTGGCAACATATCTTTAAATCCAGGCATTTTTAAATTTTTCAAAATATCTTGATTATGTTGTTTATTTAATGCTCTCAATTGTTGATAAATTGAATGAATTTGATGATTTTGCATTGCAAAAGTTGGTGATTCTTGATGATTAATTTGTGTTTCAGTTTCTTCAACCCATGTATCTACTTTGGAACTCCATTCTTTAAAACTCATAGGTTTATAATCAATTGGACCAAACCAAAAATTTGGCTTCAATCCTTGTTTTATAGCCTTACTTCTGGAAACTTTTGCCTCTTCATACCATGGATCATAAGGTAGTATTAATCTTGAAATTTCTAAACCTGAATTGAAAATTAAATAACCACCAGTTACAACACTTAATAATTTTGAAGTTCTTGCTAAGAAACTTGTTTGATGCCATATAATTCTTGTATGTCTAAACATTATAAGACCCATCATTGTTTGGAATGCAGTTAATCCATAAAGACATGGTAAACAATCAGAAGCTGGAACTAAAGGACCCCATACTTTTAAACCTACACTAGGTCTTGTGAAGAAGATGATTTTAGAGTCATCTTGATTGTCTTCTTTTGGGTTTGCTGGGTTCTTGGAATTGTTATTGTTATTCCTATCACTATTTGGAGGGATGAAGAGACCCATTGTGCAACTATTCTTCCTACACTGAATTTATAACTTTCTAGTAATCCATCATTTCCACTTGCCAAATCCAAAAGTTCGAGAAGGAAAAAATGGATTTTAAGTTTCGCGAATTGAATATTACATAATCATATCCGCGAACTCGTTTTGCATTTTGTTTTAACGTCTCAGCTTTTTTCGTTTTGTGAATAACGTCTCACAAAAACCACCATGAGAAAATCCACTCTCCCACAGAGAAAAAATGAATAGTATCTCAGAGAAGATATGTCTGGGGTAATACAGATAGATCTCACATTCCTCCCCCAAAGTCTATAAATACAGCCCTTCACCTCCTCTATTTCAAATCATTTTATCATCTTTTTCCAATACTTATATTTCATTTTACAATACAAGTTTAAAATGTCAACTCCAGAAACTAACAAGTCTGAAGCTTCAATCAATTTGAAGTCACTCTCACCATCACCCTCACCATCTGATTCCATTCCAAAAGCAAATGTTCAACAAGTTGAAGAGGCAATTCCAACCCAATCTTTATGGGATTTGAAAACTGCAATTTTATTATGTATAACTACTTCATTTTCAGGTTTTATCTTTGGTTGGGATGTCGGTACGATTGGTGGTATTTCCAACATGGCCTCCTTCCGTAATTGCTTTGCACCATTGGATGCGACAAATGGGACTCATGTTTTTTCATCAATTGTTGTTGGATTAATCATTAGTGTTTTCAATGCAGGTTGTGCAATTGGTGGGTTAACAATTCCAAAAATTTGTGATTCCAAGGGGAGAAGATTTGGTATTTTCATTAGTATTTTGATTTATTTGGTTGGGAATGTTATCCAATTGACTAGTGTTTTGAGTGGTTCTTGGGTTCAAGTTTTAATTGGAAGAATTATTACAGGTTTGGCTATTGGGTCCACTTCAGTTTTAACTCCAATGTTTATTAGTGAATCTTCACCATTGAAGATTAGAGGTGCCATGGTTGTTTTCTATCAATTAATGATTACTTTGGGTATTTTGTTGGGTAATGTTGTTAATTTTGCATCAAAGGCTAGTTATGAAGGTTTAAATACTGAATGGATGATTCCAATTGCATTATGTTTTGTTTGGAGTTTTATGATTTTGGTTGGTTTAGTTTTCATGCCAGAATCTCCAGTTTTCTTGATTTCTATTGGTGATCGTGAAGGTGCTATTAAATCAGTTGCTAAATTGAATAACCTTTCAGTTAATAATGCATTAGTTTTAAGAATAGTTGCTGATATTGTTGATACTTCAAATAGAATTAAACAAGATATTGGAGATGTTAAATGGAATGAATTTTTAATTGGTAAACCAAGATTATTTTTAAGATTAGTTATTGGTATGATTATTATGTTTTTCCAACAATTTTCAGGTGCAAATTATTTTTTCTATTATGGTACTACGTTATTTAATTCAGTTGGTCTAGAGGATTCTTATGTTACTGCAATTATCTTGGCTGCTGTTAATTTCTTGTCAACATTTGGAGGTGTTTATTTTGTTGAAAGATTTGGTCGTAAATTTTGTTTATTGGTTGGTTCTATTGGTATGTTTACATGTATGGTTATTTATTCATCATTGGGTTCATTTGCCCTTTTAGATCAAGTTTCAGGTTTGGAAAAGACTTCAGTTGGTGCTGTGATGATTTTATTTACATGTGTTTACATTTTCTTTTTCGCCACTACTTGGGGACCAGTTTCATTTGTTGTTGTTAGTGAATTGTATCCAGTTAGAGTTCGTGCTACATCAATGTCTATTGCCACTTCAATCAATTGGTTTTCAAATTTTCTGATTTCATTATTTACACCTTTTATTACTAAAGCTATTGGGTTTAAATATGGATATGTCTTTGTTGGATGTTTATTTGTGAGTGCATTGTTTGTTGGATTCTTTGTTCCAGAGACTAAAGGTTTGAATATTGATCAAATTGATGCCTTGTATTCTAAGTCTGATGATGAAGAGGAGGCCACTAATTGAGAGTATCTTGATTACGATTGTCAGGTGACAATCTTGACCATTTAAAAGACGGTTATTTTTCTATCATTCTTTTTTTTATTTTTCTTTAATATTATGATTACTTTTTACAAATTGTAAGGTTTCCCGATAAATAAAACTCCTTGTATTAAACCAATAAAACCCATGAAATAAATAATACACATATATACGTCTTAATAATTGAAGGATAACCTATCCAAGGCATTCAAAGCTCTTCCATCATAATCCACCCTCATTATATTTGTCTTGTTCAAAGGTGGTAATTTTATAGAGGAGCGAGGAATGATGAGATCTGAAGCTGATGAAACATTCGATTGTATTGAACTTGATGTAGACATTGGCGCTGATAAGCTTTGTTGGTATTGACTAGGCGGTTGTTGTACTTGTTGTTGTGATACTTTTTGTTGTTGTTGTTGGTTATATGATTGTGATGGATAATTTGGTGATGATAATGGAGAGACATTTCCCTTATTATACACAGATTCATCAGATTTTGAATCTAGGAATGCATGTTGAGGATAAATATCTTTAGGAATCTTGATATCTTTTAAAACTGCATCATTTGAAGGAGTCTTGTTTAAGAATTTTGAAGTTGAGAAATCCTTTGCAGTTGTATATGAAATTAAATGTAATTTATCACCTTTTAAAGTTGTTAAACTGAATGATTGTTTTATTAGCCCATCTGGCTTATATCTGAAATCTGCACTTGATGAATCCATGATTGGACTAGTTTTGCCACCAACACCTTCATACTCTGGAGATGGTGAAGAATTAGACGTGGCCTCCATTTCTCTATAAGTTAAAAAGGCACCAGTAACTCTTGAAGCACTCCAAGATCTCCCATCAGTCCATCTTCTCATTTTGGCCTCTTTTTCATCCCATATAAAGATTGAGCCAGGTTTGATTAGTTGACGTTCATGATCTTTCAAACGACGAGTAATCTTGGGTATTAGTCGTTGTCTAGCAGCTTCTAGTAATATTAGGGCGTCGTTTGGAGACAGCACTGCACCGTTATAAGATTCCATGGTTGATTTGTAGGATGTAGAGGATGATTGGTTCTTAGTGATGTTGATGGGTATTTATAAAATCAGTAAGGCCGATAAGAGTCGTAGAAGTGAACAATTATTAAAGGAATAACCAGTGTTTAAGTACCACCATTGTATCATGTCTGAGCAATTAACTGCTCCTCATCGAATCTTCGACTTAAGCTTAAAAAATTTCTTGTTTTGCAGAAAAACTAAACACGAGTTAAAATTTCATGGAGACAATTGAACATTGGCGTAAAGTATCGGTGATTACTCGAAACGACAAGGGGTTAATTCTTTGTGTATTATGAGATTATAAGGGTGTATCCGATAGCTCTACCTTGTCTCTTTCTCTTCTTCTCAGCATTGGTAATGATTATATCATGGGCTTAATGGCTTAATAAGGTCTGTGGTGAAGACTCTTGGAGCCCAAGCCCCTGTCCTACCAAGAAGATGGGTTATGCAGCCTGAACACTTGGAGTAGGAGGAATAGTACAAAGCCTAGTAGAGTATGCTAGATCTGACAACCATCTACACTTCTACACTTCTACCATGCCCTTCTCCCAACTGTGTATTATGTGCGGCCTTCAGATAACACATGACCAATTCAAGCACGATTATTGGACCCAAGAAAGGGCATCTTTGAAGCAGCAATTACCTTCGCAAAACATTAACAGTGGGCATAAGCTTCAAAGTACATGTGTACTGCAACCAGGATGAGAAACACTTGGAAGGGTTCATGAAATTTGAATTAATTCTTGTCAGTTTTGTATTCACCTCGGTGGCCTCCTATTTCAACACGAATACGGCTGTGATATATCGGAGGAGACGAACTGGTTTTCGCAATTAAACTAAAGTCTTTAGACTTTTTGTATCATCGTCATACACGTATTGTCTTGGCCTGGCTTAAGCTTAAAGTATGCAACTGCCACTTTTGATACAGTTGTGGAATTTTGAATACGCTCTGCTCAAGCTCCGTTCTTTTAATCAAGGGTCCAACCCAAGGTGTGATTACTGCTAGAATCCTATAATATTGTAGCCATGTTCTCAGCTCTTCATCTTGTCTTTTGGCCCTTCTCCAAGATCTCTTCTCTTGCGTTTGATTGATCCTCACATGGGCCTCATCGCCATAAAAAAAATCAAAAGAAAATTAATACGGATGTTTCTATTTAACCGACAGCTACCTCCGATGAAAATATCCGGCCAAACATGCCTATACAAATTACAAGAAGTTGAAACAAGTTTGGGCTGTGTATTGTCTTTCTAGGTCTACGGGAGGATATTGAACTTGTTGCAAGCTCTAAAAAGTTTGAACAAGCTGCTGATTTAGAATCAAGCGGTGATTACGTGTACAACCAAGCTCCAATGGAATATCTCATCAACTTGTTAGCCAAATAGTGTCAGTATTGAACACTTGCTCAATCAGTCGTATAGTGAAATATTATTCATCAGTATTACAAATGGTAAGTTGTAACTCTCCGATGGTTTCTGGAGCTTTACCCGTGAAAAGATATAAGATAAGTTTAAGCGCAGAAAAGGTGTCAAAACTTGTCGCGCCGCGAATCATTATGAATTTAACTATGTACACAGCATTAACAATTAATGAATTATAACGTCTTAGTTAAATCGTAAATTGTATAGTCATGAAGTGCCGAATCCTGCTCAATAATAATCTGTGATTTTAACAATAAATGATACTGAGCAAATCGTATATCTGAAGTTGTTCTTTTAACTTAATTGATTACGTAATACACTTTTTAGAAAGTTACAACTGATAATTTGAAGTGAAGATTGTTAGGCAAAGTATACAAAAAAATATGTCATTAAAGGAGTTTTGTGTGCATCTTTACGCTCCAAGTTTAACTAGGGCCTCCTTCAAGCGCTTTTTGGTGCTCTTTAAATTGAAAACTCAAAATACCAAAATAAAGTCAACATTCGCTCAACTAAATTTATTTTTAAAAATTCATCTTTGACTTTTACTACGAAAAAAAAGTACTCCAAAACCCTTCATAATATTAAGAAATAAACTTCAACAGGATCTGGTAATATTACAATAATGAACCACTAATCTTTACTAAAAGAATGTTGAAATAAATTAAATTCAAGTAAATCTGGATTACATAATCAATTTTTCAGAACCGGGTAAAAGTCGCGACTTTTATGAAAATTCCACCTGAGAAATTTGAGATTTTGACCAGCGCCAATAGCCAATTTTAAACCAAGTACCTGAAATAATCGAAAAACAATAACAAAGAGATTCAAGTGTCAAATCAAACATTTCAGCCAAGTATTAGATCTGGTATCATAAACACACAATTAAAAGATACATAGCAACACAATGAATTTCAATGGAATGAATATAAACTCCCCAAACACGATACCTTACCAACAACAACAACAACAACAACAACAACAACAATTTCAACAACAAAATAGATATAATCAACAAATACCCATGTCCAACACCCCACCAAATATGCAACAATACAATCTTCAACAACAACAACAACAGCAACAGCAGCAGCAGCAATTGAACCAACAGAGAATCGCTAATGCCTTGAATTCAAGAAATATATCACAACATCAATTACCTCCACATCAAATGCAACAAAGAAAACCATCAATAATAGAAAATAAACAACCTGGATCTACACCAACTCAACCACCACAACAACAACCATCAAACCAATTCTTATTAGCTGCACAAACCATTACAAAAGTTCAAGAAAACACTCATTATTGGTCAGAGAAATTAAAGCAAGAATCAAAACTTTTAACAAAAGATGTATTATTATATGAACAATTGATTAATAGAGATATCACAAATAGAGAAATTTTATCTAAAGAGAAGGAGCAAGGTTCAAACAAACAATTATTGGCAAGATTAGTTGGTGATTTAAAATTTTATAATGATTTAAAAGTTTCAAGAATGAAAACTATTGGATTATCAAATGCTGGTCATTATACAAATACTATATGGGGTGAAGGTTATCAAGGTTATGGGAATGGGTTCAGTGATGGTCAAACCAGAGTGATATTACCAAAAGATCGTAAAAAACCTTCAAGATTAAGAGATTTCCAAATTTCGAAAAAATTGAATGAAATTCAAGCTTATCAATCTGATGATTTTATTCCAATTAGATTAGAATTTGAAATTGAAAAGGATAAGTTCAAGTTAAGAGATACTTTACTTTGGAATCAAAATGAAAAAACTATTACATTGGAAAATTTAGTTGCTTTAATTATGGAGGATTATAAATTGAATAATCCATTATTATCAGATACGATATTGGCTTCTATAAAAGAACAAGTTACAGAATATCATCAACACGTTTTCAATAACAAATTTGGTTATGATTTAAGAATTTTAATAAAATTGGATATAATTATTGGTAATAATCAACTAATTGATCAATTTGAATGGGATATTTCAAACCCTTTGAATTCTCCTGAAGAATTTGCAGAAGCAATGACATCTGAATTAGCATTACCTGGTGAATTCACTACGGCAATTGCTCATTCCATAAGGGAACAAGCTCAATTATATACCCGTGCATTATATTTAATTGGATATGATTTCCAAGGTGGATATATTGATGAAGATGAAATCAGAACAAATTTAAGAACTATAGTGACTCATCAAGATTACCTAAGGGCTAGAACCCAAGTTACTCAATTTACTCCACAGATATTGGAAGTTTCAAACCCAGAATTGGAAAGATTAGATAAAGATCGTGAAAGAGATTCAAGAAGAAAAAGAAGACAAGGTAGAACAGGTCGTCGTGGTGGTCCAGTGCTACCTGATTTGAAAGACGTTCCTAGAACCTTTAGAACCCCTGTACCAACAACAACATTACCAGGTGGTGTTGATTTCACTGATAGTGTTAATTCCTATCATGTGATTACTGAAACTATAAATAAACCAGTGGAGAGTAAAGCCACACCAAGAGCACCTGTTAATCAAGGATCCGTCCATTCCACACCAGTGATTGTCCATGAGACTATGGGTATCCCTGGCAGAAAGAGGAAGGTGGTTGTTAGTCATGTTCCTGGAGTTTCTTGTATAGTGAACATTAAATTAAAATAGATTATTGGGATTGGTAATCTATTACGTAAGTTTATCTCTGGTACGCGCACTGTATGGGCTATGTTAAAATTCCCTTTTCTTAAATTTTGAGAAAACGGAAACAAAACAGTTTGGAAATTCTGGAACTAAAGTTGAAACTAAAATACGTGGTGCTTTTAAAGACTTTTGGATAGATCTCAAGATGTCAAATGAACAGAAAGATGTATGTTAATAACTTGAATATACCACTTTGTGACAGGGGTTTGAGGGTTTCTTTGGTGGCAAAGTTTCAACAATAGAACCCTTGATGTGTACAAAGGGTCAAAAAGGAGTGAGAACAATAAACTAACTTATTTTCTTTTAGAACGACATTGTGGTGACTCATGAAAGCATGAATGGTCCTTTATTATCTTCATTTAATGAACCTGAAGAGATAAATGATGATGATAACGAAATATTACAAGATAAGCGTGATTCTGATGATCGTTTAATACAAAACAATGATATTAGTGATCAAGATCAAGAATTGGCTAATATTCAAGAAACTGTATTTGCATCATCTTCATCATCATCTGATAACCACAACTCTAACAATACATCTAATACAAATCATGAAAGTTCAAGAACTACAACAACACCTTATCCAGAATTATCATCCGCATCTTCATCATCAACAACACAGAATCAATTTAATTTAAACTATATCAGAAATAATTTTAATTTTTTGGATAGAATGTTCAAGACCAGTCATAATTATCAAAAAATCGGAAATTCATCATCTCAAACAGGGCCAAATGATAATGATGGTGTTTTCAATAATTTATCCGCAAAACCAGATACTCAACCAATAGTGGACTCAGATAAACCTCCAACTTATGAAGAAGCTGCAGCTGATGCAACTCCTCCATACTGGGAAACTTCAGTGATGGCTTCAGGTTTCGCAGATGAAGTGTTTGTCGATGGATTACCTGTTGGTAACATTGTTAATTTCATGTGGAATTTAATGGTTTCTTCATCTTTCCAATTTGTTGGGTTTTTATTAACTTATATTTTACATACTTCACATGCTGCCAAGCAAGGCTCAAGGGCAGGTTTGGGTATAACTTTCATCAGTTATGGGTATTATATGATTCCTTATGGTACTTCTACTGTTCATGAAAATAAAGAGACAAATAAATTGGAACCAAATAATCCAAATGATTACCAAACTGTGACAACAGATTCTGATATAACTGGAACTGTGGATAACTTCCATAGTAGTTTAAGTGCAGGTGTTGAAAAAGCTACAGAGGTGAAGACTAGTTCACATGCTTCATTTATTGCTTATGTTGTCATTGGGTTTGGTGTTTTCATTTTCATTAAGGCATTAATTAATTATCATAGAGCTAAACAAATGGAAAAAGTTATTTTGCAACCACCAAGTAATATGCCTGTTGCTGAAGAAGTTTAATGTTCTTGGTTATGAATTTTAGGTTGGTCTTTTTTTTTTTATTATTTTAGTTTTTTTTCTCTGCATTATTTATGGTGTCATATATCGGTTTACAGTATTTTAAGGGGGAAGTACTTTAATGTTGTGTATTTAGGAAGGGATATGATGAAAGAAGTGTCATTGGAATCAATGTCGTTTATGGATAATTTTTTTAACTTTTAACAAAAAAATAGATGTTTGATCATGTTAAACAGTGGATGTTCTATTCCAAGTAGTTAATAGTAGTGCTCTTTTGTTGCTAATCAGTATTGTATTCATAATACTTTATCATAAGTCAATTTGGAATATGGTGATGTACTTAATATTTCATATTGATAGTTTTGACCTTCTGAGATCCCTGGAACGCAAAATCCACCAAATTTTCACACAGACAATCAGAAGGAATATATAACAATAGTACAAAGCTAATATATCCAAAATATAATACTTTTTCTATATAAAATCTCCATTAACTTCATTGAAAAAAGTATATACACCTGTGCCCCTACCAGCCAAACCACCATCGCTTCAAACCGTTTTTTCCTCGCCAAAAAGGCCCAAAAGAAAAAAAGTGAAGGGAAAATTATAAACAACTTTGAATCAAGAGTTTCCATCTTCAATCAATATAAAACCCCATCAAGTATATATTGATTCTCAATTATCATTGAAAGAAATCTGAGCTTAAGATAATTATGAGTGCTTCCAAAAGATATGGTGTTACAGATGCTATTTCTTTAGCAGGTCCTACACCAGCGGAAAATGTATTAAATGATCAATTAGTTCAAGAATTGAAAAAACAAGGAAATTTTGAAAGTGAAGCAGAAACTAAAAAAAGAGTTGAAGTTTTACAATTATTACAAAGTTTAGCTCAACAATTTGTTTATAAAGTTTCTAAAAATAAGAATATGAGTGAAGGTATGGCAAAAGATGCTGGTGGTAAAATTTTCACTTATGGTTCATATAGATTAGGAGTTTATGGACCAGGATCAGATATTGATACTTTAGTTGTTGTTCCTAAACATGTTACAAGGGATGATTTCTTCACGGTATTTGATGAAATTTTAAGAGCAAGATCTGAATTGGAAGAAATTGCACCTGTTCCTGATGCTTTTGTTCCAATTATTAAAGTCAAAATAAGTGGGATCGAAATTGATTTAATTTGTGCTAAATTAGATATTCCACAAGTTCCAATAAATTTAACTTTGGGTGATAAAAATTTATTAAGAAATCTTGATGAAAAAGATTTAAGATCATTAAATGGTACAAGAGTTACTGATGAAATTTTACAATTAGTTCCAAAACCAGTTGTTTTCAAATTATCATTACGTGCTATTAAATTATGGGCACAAAGAAGAGCCATTTATGCAAATATATTTGGATTCCCAGGTGGTGTTGCTTGGGCAATGTTGGTTGCAAGAATTTGTCAATTATATCCAAATGCAGTTAGTGCAGTTATTGTTTCTAAATTTTTCCACATTTTAACACAATGGAATTGGCCACAACCTGTATTATTAAAACCTATTGAAGATGGTCCATTACAAGTTAGGGTTTGGAATCCAAGGGTTTATCCACAAGATCGTCAACATCGTATGCCAGTTATTACACCAGCTTATCCTTCAATGTGTGCTACACATAACATTACAGCATCAACACAAAAAGTTATAATGGGTGAATTAGAAAGAGGTACAGTTTTAATGAATGATATTATGAGTAATAAAAAAACATGGAGTGATTTGTTTATTAAACATGATTTTTTCCATAAATATAAATTTTATTTAACAATAATTGCATCAACAAGAGGAGATGATGAACAACATTTGAAATGGAGTGGGTTAGTTGAAGCTAAATTAAGATTATTAGTTCAAAAATTGGAAATTTTCCAAGGTATAAATTTAGCACATCCTTATGTTAAAGCATTTGAAAAAACTTATCTTTATGAAACTGAAGATGAAGCAAAAGAGATTGAATTAAATTTTGGTAATTATTCACATGAATCCAATTTAGGGAAATTTAAAGAAATAACTGAAGAAAATAAAGATGAAGAAATTAAAGAAGGTTTTAAAAAATTACATTTAACTGCATTATACATTGGTTTAGATATCACAGTTTCTGGAGAGGATAAGAAATTTGATATTCATGTTCCATGTAATGATTTTTTCAATTTATGTCGATCATTCCCAGAATATAGTGATAATTCAGTTTTCAGTATAAGTATAAAACATGTTAAATTATATGATTTACCAAGTTTTGTTTATGGAGAAGATGAACAAAGACCAATCAAACCTTCCAAAAAGAGAAAAGGTGATAAGAATGGTAAGAATAACAAAAGACCAAAATCTGTTAATTCAACAGATCAATTAGTTAAGGAAGCTGTTGAAACTGTTGAAAGTGTACCGGCAAAAGTTGCATCATGAAATTAAGGAGATGTGTAGTTTAATAGTATTGTATAGAAACATTTAATGAGAAAGAAAGAAAAAAGTTACAATGATTGACTGATTCTAGCCTCTAATTATTTTTTTAACCCAATACAACTAATACTTTTTCATAAATTGTGAAAACAATACCACCACTCAAGATCAATCTACCTAATCTTGGAGTAGCACCTTTCCAAAAAGTTTTCAAACCTTCCTCTTTGAAAATTGTAGTAAAACAATTTATAGTACTTGAATATTTTTTAGCAGCACCTAAAGCTTGCATTCTTGTCTTGACAGTATCAATTGGCATTGTTGTGTAAACTGTCACAATACCTGAAAAGGCACCGACAATAAAAGTCATCACAGAACTTAATGGTTGATCTGGAGGTGTCCCCGATGCTGATTGTATAGCTGACTTGATCTTATTATAACAACCTAATCTAACAGCTTGATTTGAGGCTTGTCTTAATGAAACAGGTAGAATACCTGAATATAAACCTTTTAATCCCAAATCTTTAACACATCTAAATGGAGTCATGACACCAGACCCATATATAGGGATTTTGGCTTGTTTATCATCAATCAAAGCAGTCTTGATAGCTTCAAATGGTGTAACAGCTACAACTGATTCTAATAACCCAGCACCAAGCCCTGCTAAAACACCTCTTGGACCTGATAATTTCCCATCTTTATCAGCCAATAGTTTTTTGATGGAGTCAAACCCCAAGAATCTTACACTTGCCTTGACCGTATTACCAACAACAAAAGCTGGACAACCTGTATATAATGAGGAAACACCTTGTGTTTTGGCAGTGTTGTAGATGAGCACTAATGGATTACGGGATGCTTTGGATGATTTGTCAATTAGTTGTAGTCTAGTTTTGGCAAATTCAAAAGGGTACTGGAGAGATTAATTAGTATGGAGATTGGGAAAAGATGGGTTTATGAACATACTGTGATTACACCTTCAACTGCACCAGCTGTACCACCAGCTATGAATGATTTGACTGGGTCAATTTGCTATGTAAATGGTTGTTAGTCTTGAATTATTAGGATATTTCTCAAAGCTACCCACTTTCTTCTTCTCTTGAGGTTTAGCACTCATTATTTTCTATATGGTCTTATGGTTTCCAATTGATAAAAGTGTCAAAATATTTCACTTTCGAGATTATGATGATTCATTTTTTGATCGTTACGGACACAGTTTTTTTTGGGTTGTTTTTGTTTTTTTTGTTTACGTTTTTGAAGTTGAATCAGTTTGAAGATTTTGAAATTGGTGGCAATAAAAAGATCAAAAGATTGGAAAGATGGTTGAATATACAAAAGAGGAACAAGAGAAGTTGGTGCAGAGATTTGAGATTCAGAGTGAGTTATATATTGGTTTTTTCTGGGAGTTTAAAGGTTGAATATTGACCATTTTATTTCAAGGAGATGAAAGAAGAGCTGGTTTAGTCAACGAAATAAGGAAGCTCTGTGAGATATTTGAGTCCAAGATACAGAGACGTGTCCACAAGGTGCCGAAGAAGTTTGCAGAGCTCAAGATCAAGGATGTGTTGAATGTGGAGCGAGACCACAAGATCAAGATCTATCAGTTGATTAGTGACATTGAAGCTTACAAGAAAACAAACAACAGGAAGATAAATGACGATGAGCAAATGAGACTGGAGATTGCTCAACTGAGAAGAAAGAAGGCTGACAATCTGAGAAGCTTACAGAAGCGCAAAGAGAGCATTGCAACGACTGGACGTGTTTCCAAGCCAAAGAAATGATTGTGGATAAACATTCATCAATGTCTGGATAAATAGGGAAACCACAAGACATCAGGATCCAAGCATTAAAGCCCCATACAAATCACAATACCATTAAATCAAACCACCGTCACCCTCAGCTACCCAATATCACAAATCATCCACAATCTCTCTATCAATTTGTAGCTGTTCCTGTTGAAATCAAATTCTCCCCGTAGTTAATGCTGGCACTCTTCGGATTGGCAGACCCTCGAAAGAAAAAAAAAGACCGTCAAACTGAGAAGAATCCAATCAACGACGTCAGGGCTTAAGAACAGGACATATTCAACAACAACAGAGAAACGAACCCAGAGGCATTAGCTGGATAGGATCCATTCCATATAGAGACACTTAGACAATAGCAACTAGAGACCATATACTCAAATTACACTGTTTGGCATTTTTTTAAAAAGTGGAGGCGTATCCAGTGACTATACCCATAAATAACAGAGAAACCAAATCATCAACAACTTGTGAATAATAGCATGCGACAATGTCCTCCAAAAACAGCTTTATGAATCAGGAGACAAAGCTATCTCCCATAATCAACAACACTAAAGTGCACACTGATGACTCCACTCCTTTTGAAGCAAAAGCTTCACTTGATAAAAGTTCTGCTGAATACATCATCAAGACTGGTCTTGCTGGTGGGTTGGCTGGGTCATCTGGTAAGACTTTGATAGCACCTTTAGATCGTATAAAGATCTTGTTTCAAACTTCAAACCCATTATACAAACAATATTCCGGTTCAATATTTGGTATGTTTAAAGCTGGTAAGAAAATTTATATAAATGATGGTATATTTGGTTTTTTCCAAGGTCATTCAGCTACATTGTTGAGAATTTTCCCATATGCTGCCATAAAATTCGTAATGTATGAACAAGTACGAAGAATTCTGATACCTAATGATGATTATGAAACTTCTGTTCGAAGATTAATGTCTGGTTCAATTGCAGGTTTATGTTCGGTGTTTGTCACTTATCCATTAGATTTAATAAGAGTTCGTTTAGCATTTGATACAAAGCATCATTCATCAACAACCATACCTATTCATCATAAAAATCATATTCATAACATTAGAAAAGGTTTATTAGTCTCCACAATACAACAAATTTATAAAGAACATCCAATAGTGGATAAACAATTTTTTTTAATCAATATGTTGAAAAAAAACTTACCAAACAAGATTTCAAACTTGACAAATTTTTATAGAGGTTTCATACCAACTTTAATGGGGATGGTTCCATATGCTGGTGTATCATTTTGGACTCATGATTTTGTCCATGATGTGTTGAGATTACCTTTAATTGCACCATACACGGTGGATCAAACCCATCCTGGTCATTTCCAACTCATGTCAAATGGTTCAAAACCTTCAACCCATGAACAAAGATCTCCATTAAACACTTGGGCCCAATTATTAGCTGGTGGTATAGCTGGGATGTTTTCTCAAACCGCAGCTTATCCATTCGAAGTTATAAGAAGAAGAATGCAAGTTGGTGGTGTAAATAATGGGAATTTTATTGGAATTGGTTCAATTTCCAAAAAAATTTGGAAAGAACGTGGATTTAAAGGGTTTTATGTTGGGTTAAGTATTGGTTATATAAAAGTTATACCTATGGTTGCTTGTTCATTCTTTGTTTATGAGCGTACAAAATATCATTTAGGAATTTAAAAAGATATACATGCATTGATTATATTTATGACTAGTTATGAGAATAAAGAGAAGAATCATCTACATTGTTTGGTACTCGTAAAGCATTCTGTTAATTTATCTCCTGACCATTAATACCCATTAATTTTTCTAAAACAGTGACTCCATCAACAATTAATTTCAAATCTTTTTGTGAAATTGATGAAGTTATTCTAATTTGATTATATTGTTTATTTGCTTTAGAAACTTTCAATATTCCAATACTTTCTAAAGCACTTATTATTTCTAAGAATTCACCCTTTTTCAAAACTCCAATCAATCTATCAATTTCAATTTTTTTAACATAATATTCATATAATGAATTAATTGTAATTGGTTCATTAATAATTTCAGATTCTTTTTTAATCAACATACAAATTATAAATTTTTGTTGAAGATTTAAATTTTTCAATCTTGTTGATTGATGATTATCAAAAACACTTGCACAAATTTTGGCAATATGGTTGATTTTAACTTTTGGTGCAGAATCTTCATCAAATTCAATTAATCCATCAATATCTTTATTAATAAAACCTTGAGAATTTAAGCCTCGAATCTCTCTTTCAACCATTTCAATTGAATTTCGACATATATCAAATGCCTTTCTTAAATCACCTGTATTATTTGAAGATTTTTTGGCACAAAGTTGTATAGCTGCAGGATGCATTATTGGAATATTTGTTGAATTTGGGTCTTTGACATTTAAAAGTTTCAATTTTGTTATAATTATTGATTTGATTTGTTCTGCAGTATATGGCATAAATGATAAAGTATTTGGATTTAATCCATTAATTTTCAATCTTGGTAATAACCTATCAATCATATCTAAAGAATTTGAAATACCAATTAATAAAAATTTGGATTCTTTGAAAATTGTCCATGAAAATAATTCAAACAATATTTGTTGATCATTTGTAACTAATTTATCTAATTCATCCAATACAACTATGTTCATATCAGCTGTTGTAGTATTTGAAAGTAGTGATAATAATTCCATTTTGGAAGATTGTAATGAATTTGGTTTAACACCATTTGTTAAATTTTTATAAATTTCTGCAAATATTTGTGAAATTTTTGAAATAATCATACAATTTATTGAAGTGAAACCAATCTTGTAATTAATCCCATCAATGCAACAATTTTGAACACCATGTTTATTTGTGTTTAAGAATTGTGATAATGTCAAGTTGACTTGTGCAGTTTTACCAGTACCTGGTGGTCCACTAATGTATAATGAACTTGATTGTGAATTAATTAAATTTGTCTTTATGAAATTTTTCAAAGCTCTTGATTCTAATTCACGTTCTGGTAATGATTCAGATTGGTTTAAAGTGAAACCTCTTTGGAAAATGGCTTTAGCCTTGGAATAAATAGAGCCTTTCTGTATTATTTCATTTTCTTTATCTTGAGTTTCATCAACTTGTAATTCTAATTTTTTAGGTTGAACTTGATCAATCTTGATCTCTGAATCAGGTTTGATTGGCGTCACTGGAGGTGTAACTAATGATCTTTGTGCGGAGTCACCCATTACTAGTTCTTTGAAATCCAATTTTTTTGGTGATAATTGTGAAATGGTGGTGATATTTGATGGTTTAGTTGGTGTAGTTGTTGGTGTTATAGACTCCAAAGTCTTTTCCAGCATTTTAACTTTTTTTTCAGAAGTTGATTTAGGTATTGGTGATTCTTTCTTTATAGGACTAGCAGATTGTGTGAATGGATTCTTGATTGACTTAACATCAGATCTTGAATTGAAGATTGGAATGGCATTACCAATTGGTTTAACTGATTGAGTTCTCTTTCTAGATCTTGGAGTTATTGAACTTGGAGTTAAAGTGCTGCTCAGCATCTTTAAGATTCTTCTTGGTGTGGATACTTGTTCTTCAGACATCTCTATAATTCTATGATTTGGTTGGAATGAATCACATTGTGTATGTCTTGTTTGTATATGGGATTCCAATCTGGTTTTAAATAAGTTTCAATTCTCGAGACGCATCTCATTAAACACGAAATTTCCCTTTTGGGACAGATTTTTTTTTTTCAAACGCGCGACACGCTCAAAAAAAAAAAGATTTCGACGCGTCGCAAGACACAAAAAACCGAAAAAAAATTAAAGGATCTGTCAAAAAAGAGGGTTTTAGTTATTTCATCACAATTGTCAAGGGTCTTTTGAAGGTTTTGATTAAGTTGGCTTGTTGAATAAAAGGGTAGTTCTGTGTAGTTAAAGACGTAATTGATCTTGTACAGCTTGCTAATGAAATGACACTCAAGTCAAGTAATTTTCCATTGATTCATTTGTGGAACCAAGCTCACTGACTACGCTCAAGTGAATAACCAATGCCACTTAGACCTCTACACTACAGTCTTCTTTAAGCCAATGCTAAATCAATCTCAACTTTTATGGCTTGTGGCTTAGTCATCATCCAGGTTTTTTTGAGGATAAAAATTGAAGCAAAAGAACAAAACTTTTTAATTAACGTCAACTTCAAAAGAATCATCAAATTGCATCATGTCTTTCTTCAATGAGATTCAATCTTTAGCTGGTAATTGCAAAATCTTGAATGTGTTACTCTACGCTGCGTTATCAGTTGGTGTTTTGAAAATAACAACTTCGTTCCTAAGTTTTGCTGCTGTGGTATTGGATACTTTGGTCTTACCACCAGTTAATTTTAAAAAATATGGTGCAAAATCTAATAAATGGGCTGTCGTCACTGGTGCTTCTGATGGTATCGGTAAAGAATATTCATTACAATTGGCTAAAAAGGGGTTCAATATTTTTTTAATTTCAAGAACTCAATCAAAATTAGAAGTTTTAGCTACTGAACTTGAAACAAAATATAAAGTTGAAACTAAAACTTTAGCCATTGATTTTGCAAGTGATAAACCATCAAACTATGAATTGATTAGTCAATTGACCAAGAATTTACCAATCACAATCTTGATTAACAATGTTGGACAAAGTCATTCAATCCCAGTTCCATTTGTTGAAACTGAAGAAGATGAATTGAGAAATATCATCACCATTAACAATACAGCTACTCTACGTGCTACACAAATCATTGCTCCAATCATTGCTGATACTGTTAAATCAAACAAAGGTGTTCGTGGGTTAATCTTAACCATGGGTTCTTTTGGTGGATTATTACCAACCCCATACTTGGCCACTTATTCAGGTTCAAAAGCATTCTTACAAAGTTGGAGTGCCGCATTAGCTGGTGAATTGGCATCGTCCAACATTGATGTTGAATGTGTCATTTCATACTTGGTTACTTCTTCAATGTCCAAAATTAGACGTGCTTCATTATCAATTCCAAACCCAAAGACCTTTGTTTCCAGTGTCTTGAGATCTGTCGGTCGTCGCTCAGGTGCTCAAGAGAGATATGCCACTTCTACTCCATACTGGGTCCATGCCTTTATGCATTTTGGAATTGAAAGTACTGTTGGTGTCTATAGTAAATTGGCAAACACTTTGAACTTGAAGATGCACAAGGATATTCGTGTCAGAGCCCTAAGAAAAGCTGCTCGTCAACAAAAGAAGGATTAAATAATTGGATTGAATTAGAAAACGAATATTCTTTATTAAATTTATTGTAGCCAGTCCTTTATTATTTCCCTTTTAGGCAGTCAACCGAAATGCACGTTAATTTTTTTTTTGTTTTTGTTTTCTGTTTTTGGATCTTGAAATCGAGTTTTGAAATGATCAAACTCATCAAAATCAAAGGGCTTTAACCACATTCACCACCACTAAAACCCAGAGAATTAAGCCGTTCTGTTCTTGTTTCCTCGTTGTTTATTCGAGTCTGTCGTTTCCAAGGATCAAGAAAATCACCAGTTTTTACCTTTTAGGAAAAGTGTAACGAAATCAAGTTTTCGCGTTGACAATTCAAAAGATTGAATTTGATCTTAGCAAACTTTCCATAATATTATTGACCTAGAGTTTCAACACAGGTTCAAACAAATCATATACACATAGAATCATGCCAGAATTATCAAACTACCAACGTCTAGAAAAAGTTGGTGAAGGTGAGTATGATTTAAAATGATCTTTTTTGACATGTCAACTAACCCATTTTTTCAGGTACTTATGGTGTTGTCTATAAGGCACTTGATACTAAACACAATAATAGAGTGGTGGCATTGAAAAAAATTCGTTTGGAATCAGAAGATGAAGGTGTTCCATCTACCGCTATAAGAGAAATCTCATTGTTAAAAGAAATGAGAGATGAAAACACCGTTAGATTATATGATATCATTCATTCAGATTCTCATAAATTATATTTAGTGTTTGAATTCTTGGACTTAGATTTGAAGAAATATATGGAATCAATCCCTGCAGGTGTTGGTTTAGGTGCTGATATGATCAAAAGATTCATGATGCAATTAGTTAAAGGTACTGCATATTGTCATGGTCATAGAATTTTACACAGAGATTTGAAACCTCAAAATTTATTAATCAATAAAGAAGGTAATTTGAAATTGGCAGATTTTGGGCTAGCTAGAGCTTTTGGTGTTCCTTTAAGAGCTTATACCCATGAAGTTGTTACATTATGGTATAGAGCTCCAGAAATCTTATTAGGTGGTAAACAATATTCTACTGGCGTTGATATCTGGTCTATTGGTTGTATCTTTGCAGAAATGGTTAACCGTAAACCTTTATTTGCTGGTGATTCAGAAATTGATCAAATCTTTAGAATTTTCAGAATATTGGGAACACCAAATGAAGAAGTTTGGCCAGATGTTACTTATTTACCAGATTTTAAACCAACATTCCCTAAATGGAATAGAAAAGATATACAACAAGCTGTTCCTTCTTTAGACCCTGCTGGTATTGATTTATTAGAAAGTATGTTGGTTTATGATCCTGCTGCTCGTATCTCTGCTAAACGTGCTTTAACACATCCTTATTTCATGGAAGATAACGTTGTTCCTGAATATCGTCAACAAGAATCAGTTCCAATGGGAGCTTCAGTATTTGCTTAAAAGTCATAATCATCATTTTATCATAATATGCAAATTATTTTCATGTCCTTGCCTTGTTTTTTTTGGTTTATTTTTTTCCCCACCCAAATTAATCGTTATTGTTGTCATTGGTGCTTTTTTTATTAGATCCTGGCTAGTTATTTCCTCACATATTACTTCTAATACCCTTTTCAAAACTTAAAAAAACAAACAAACACAAACTCAAGTTTTGTCATGTTCATGTCACTTTAATGCAATTGCTTTTTAACTTATTGTTTTACTGAGTAGATTTCTATTGTCATTAACTTTATTAAAACAACTCTATATGCATGCAACTATTTATCTAAAATTTTCATAATACTCCTCTTCTCTGAATCTTTTTTCAACTAAATTCAAAACTTTTTCATCATAAACATCTTCTAATTTTTCACCACCATTCAAAACACGATCTTCATGGAATTTTTGTTCCTCTTTTGTTAAAACAACAACATTTGTTAAACTAACTGGTCTACTTGGATCCCATTTTGATAATGTAAGTCTTGTTGAAAATCCGGAAACTGGTGATTTACCTCTGAACACTTCCTCAACAATATATGGAACTTCCCTTAAAGAGATTGGTACTCGTTGATCAGCACCAATTCTTGTTTGTTGACCTGCTAAACTTTGGAAAATACCATCATAAACTTTAATTCTATTCTTACCTTCAATAGGTTCAATTGGATAACCTGCAACAGAAGTCAAAATATATGAAACAATAGTTAACCCAAACATTGCAGGCATAGTACCCAAAACTGGTAAAATTCTAACTCTGAAATCTTTCAAGGCACTTAATTCATCAACTTTACCCTTTTGGAATTCTTCCTCTGGTAATGGTAATAATTGTGCTTTATTTGGATCAGGTTTTTCAGCTGAAAACACAACAGGAATATTTGAAGTGATGCCTCTTTTCTTTAAGCGACGTCTAACAGCTCTTGCTAATTGATCTTCCTCAGTTGTAGAAATATCACCAATATTTATTCTTGTTGGATCACTTTTACAAGCTGCACCCATTGAACTTATAATTTTCAAATCGTGTTGCTTAGCGAATGTCAACAAATCAACTTTTGTGTCAATGTTATCAATACAATCAACAACAAATGTTGGTCCACCATGTAATAATAGTTCCTCAGCATTTGGTAAATGCCATAGTTGATTAATAGCTTCAATATGAGCCCATGGGGCAATTTTTAATAAACGATTCTTCAAACAATCAACTTTTGAAGTACCAACATCTTCTAGCGTAGCGACAGCGTGTCTGTTTAAAGAACTTAGTGAGACTTGATCAAAATCGATAATTCTAATCTTGGAAATACCTGAACGTATCAACATTGTACAAACCCATGAACCAACACCACCTGCACCAACAACTACAACAAATTCATCTCTAATCTTTTGCATACCGTCTTCACCCAAGAATGCATAATTTCTTGCAAGTTGTTCTCTTATTAAATCCTCATCATGTTGAATTGGTCCCTTTTTGATGGATTTTAATGCCTTTTCAGAACTCTTTGGAACTGGAGATTCGAAATATCTATGATAAGCCTCTGACAAAGCAGCAGCCACAACAGCACCAGTGACACCTGCAGCAATGAACTTCCCACAGCAACTTGTCATTTCCAAAATAACCCGTTTCTTTGTTATTGTTTTGGTGAAATTAAATAAAAACACAATCGAGATAAAAAAAAAAAAGTTTATACTGATGTGGCTCGTAACACAAGTTTTTTTTTCTTTTAACGTACGGGTAAAAAAATAGAAGTCTCGAAATTTTAAAGTGTACAGAGATCAAAGATGATCTTATAATCAAGATATCCAAAGCTGTGGCAGTGATAAGATATTAATCATGCTTGGATCTAGACTATCTTGCATCAACACATTCATAAAACCATTGACCATACGGCGTGGGTTTACCTCAAGTTCCAAATTATTTGAAAAATCTATACAAGAACGTATAAATGATATACCTATTGAAAATTATAGAAATTTCTCCATTGTGGCACATGTTGACCATGGGAAATCAACATTGAGTGATAGGCTTTTGGAAATGACCGGGGTCGTACAGCCAGGTCAAAAACAAGTGCTGGATAAACTGGATGTTGAAAGGGAAAGAGGTATCACAGTTAAAGCTCAAACTTGTTCAATGTTTTATAATCATAAAGGACAGGATTACCTATTACATCTTGTGGATACACCAGGCCATGTTGATTTCAGAGCTGAAGTTTCAAGAAGTTATGCCTCTTGTGGTGGTGCCCTGTTATTAGTGGATGCTTCTCAAGGTGTTCAAGCTCAAACTGTTGCGAATTTCTATTTGGCTTATAGTATGAATTTGAAATTGATTCCTGTTATAAACAAGATTGATTTAGATATGGCCGATATACCCAGATCTATAGACCAAGTGGTGAACACTTTTGAATTACCAGAAGAAGAAATCATTCAAGTCTCTGCAAAGACAGGTTTAAATGTTGATCAAGTTATACCTGCAATTATTGAAAGAATTCCTCCACCTGTTGGTAAAGTTGAATTACCACTGAGGGCACTGTTAGTTGATTCTTGGTATGATTCTTATTTGGGTGTCATTTGTTTAGTTCATGTTGTTGATGGTACTATTAAAAAAGGTCAAAAAGTATTTTCTCCCCATACTGATAAAAAATATGATATCAAAGAAACTGGTATAATGTATCCTGATCGTATTCCAACAAATACTTTGAGTGCTGGTCAAGTTGGTTATATTGTTCCAGGTATGAAAGATTCTTCTGAAGCTATGATTGGTGATACGTTTATGAATGTCGCAGAACCTGTTGAACCTTTACCAGGGTTTGAAGAACCTAAGCCAATGGTTTTCGTTGGTGCGTTCCCAGCTGATATGACAGAGTTTTCCGCGTTTGATGAACATATGCAACATTTGGTTTTGAATGATCGTTCTGTTACTTTACAAAGAGAGTCCTCAAATGCTTTGGGACAAGGTTGGAGATTAGGATTTTTGGGATCTTTACATGCTTCTGTTTTCAAAGAAAGATTGGAGAATGAATATGGTGCTTCATTGATTTTAACTTCTCCAACTGTGCCGTATAAAGTTTTGTACAGTAATGGTACTGAGGAAATTGTTACAAATCCGGATGATTTCCCTGATGTTATTAGTAAAAGACATCAAGTTTCAAAATTACAAGAACCTTATGTCGAAGCTATCATGACTTTCCCTCAAGATTACTTAGGATCTGTTATTAAATTATGTGAAAATAATAGAGGTATTCAAAAAGAGATTTCATATTTAACCACTGGTCAAGTTTTGCTTAGATATGAAGTTCCATTATCACATTTGGTTGATGACTTCTTTGGTAAATTGAAATCGGCAACTAGAGGTTATGCGTCATTAGATTATGAAGATAGTGGATATCAAGACTCAGATATTGTTAAATTAGAGCTTTTGGTTAATGGTAATGGTGTCGATGCTTTAGCTCAAGTCATGCATAGATCACAAGTGGATGCCGTGGGAAGAGCCTGGTGTAAGAAATTCAAAGAACATGTTAAAAACCAATTATTTGAGGTCGTTATCCAAGCAAAAGCTGCTGGTAAAATCGTTGCAAGAGAAACCATCAAGGCCAAAAGAAAAGATGTTTTGCAAAAACTTCATGCATCAGATATTTCGAGAAGAAAGAAGTTATTAGTTAGACAAAAAGAAGGTAAGAAGAAGTTGAGAGCTATTGGTAATGTCAGTATCAATCAAGATGCTTACCAGGCATTTTTGCGTCGCTGAGGCAAAAAAGGAGAGGAGGTGGCATGAAGTTAATAATCTTCAGCATGGCAATATTAAATACCAACCTGTATATATACATCTTATCAATTGCATTCAATAAAGTATCCAGTAAGTCCTCTTTTTGGAGGACGCGATGCTCATGATAGTGTAAAATTCGCGAAAAGGGTCCATCAATGTTTTTTCTGAACGATTGCCTAATATAAAGCGATGACTCGAACCAAATTATATACTCTTCTTTTGATACTAGTCCAAACCCATAACAATGTCTCGTACTCTAGAACGTGAAGAACCAAACTATTTTGGTGCAGGTCCAGCTGCACTACCTACCTCAGTTTTACAACAAGCTGCGTATGATCTTGTGAATTATAACGGTATTGGCTTAGGTATTGGTGAAATTTCACATCGTTCAGGTCCAGCTGGTGAAGTTATTGACAACACCAAGGCCAATTTCAAGAAATTATTGGATATCCCAGATACTCATGAAGTCTTCTTCTTGCAAGGTGGTGGTACTACCGGGTTTTCATCTGTTGCTACCAATTTGTTAGCTTCTTTTGTGAAGAAAACTGGTCATAAAGGTAAAGGTGCCTATGCTATAACGGGATCATGGAGTAAAAAAGCACATGAAGAAGCTTCAAGATTAGGTGTTGAAACTCAAGTTTTAACCGACTCTAAAAAAGCTTATGGTGCATTTGGTAAAATCCAACCAGTCAGTGAATGGGTCAAACCAGATCCAAAAGAAACTGCATATGTTTATTTCTGTGACAACGAAACTGTTAATGGTGTCGAATTCAAAGATGTTCCACAATTTGAAGGTATTGAAATTGCTGCTGATATGTCTTCAAACTTTTTATCACGTAAGATTGATGTCAGTAAATATGGCTTAATTTTGGCTGGTGCTCAAAAAAATGTTGGTTTAGCTGGGCTAACAGTTTACATTATTAAAAAAACTTTATTAGAACAAGCCTCAGATGATGAATTAAAAGCTCTTAATGCTCCATTATCTCCAATTGCCTTCCATTACCCAACTGTTGTCAAGAATAACAGTGCTTACAACACCATTCCTATTTTCACTTTACACATCTTAAACTTGGTTTTAGAAAACTTGATTGAAGCTGGAGGATTAAAAGCTCAACAAGAAATCAATGAGCGTAAAGCTAAAAAATTATATGACGCTTTAGATGCTTACCCAGAATTATACAATTTACCAGTTGATAAAACTGTTAGAAGTAATATGAATGTTGTCTTTACAATTAATGGTGAAGGTCTAGAAGCTAAATTCTTGAAAGAATCCACTGAAAAGAACTTGACTGGTTTGAAAGGTCATCGTTCAGTTGGTGGTATGCGTGCCTCTTTATACAATGCCGTTAGTGAACGTTCTGTTGATTTATTAGTTGATTTTGTTAAAGAATTTGCTGAAGCCAATAAATAGATTGATTAACTTAAATACATATAGACTAATAGTTCATTGATTAACACCGTTGATAAAGTAGATGATTTCACAAGTTTCCGAATCATCTAGATAGCAATGTAGCACAAGTGCTTCATCTTTACTTATGATTAAAACCATATTTTTACATATCTCACAAATTTTGGCCCCTAACTTCCAATCTCGTAGTTTGACCATTATTTCAAAGCTTTCATCACCACTTAATGAATCTGAATTTTGTTGAACTTGTAATAGTTCATTCCACGTTATTGTAACGTTTAAGTTATTTTCCTCCTGAATATTTAATGATAGTGAGCCATTCTTTGTACCAATGATTTTAAGAAATTCCAAATTCTTGTACCTTTCAATCCTTCTGAATAACATACTTATATCAACCGGTAGTTTCATCAACACATCAACGTTTGACAATTCAGGCTCTGTTATTCTTTCATCACTTTCTTTACGCAATAACCTCACAGATATACTAAACGTATGAGTAACCACAGACGTGGTTGATATAGTATCATCAAAGAACACAGCAAGACTAGCGCTTCTCTTCCCTGAATCATTCTCTCTTTTTTGAAGCCGTATAGCTAATTGATCAGAATTTGATTTTTCAAATTGTTTCAAGACATGAAATAATTGATCAACATTCATCTCGAAACTGATTGTGTTTTCTCTCAACGATTCAACTTCATATACATCAAATAGCTCATTTGATAGCTTACACCAAACTTGTGGTTCACTTAGCGATGCAGAGATTATATTCAAATGAGTTGGAGTGAATCTTAAAACACAGTATTTCCTAAGACCAATGATTGCACCAAGAGTATCTAATCAGGTTAGTATAAATTTATGGGGTAGCCACTAGTCAACTTACTCCTGAGTCTATCAACAGCACTCATATAGATCTTGAGTTTCATTTTTACAGTGTTCTTTAATAATAGTGATTGATTGATTCGTTAACTTCTTCAGTTTTGTTTTTGGCGTTTAAACGCGTAGGTGTATACGCGAAACTGTGATTTTCACGTGACTCAGTATACAAATAGTTTCATGATCAAATCAGCTCAGAAAGTTTGAATGTGTCATTTCTTTTCTATCTGGTACTACAACTGCTTGTATATTGATGGGCGTGTTTATTCTATTTAGTATTTTTCTAACTATCATTACAAATAAAGGAACAGAGAACGATTACACAGCAAGAAACAGAGATGTGAAGTCTTATAATTACAGTTACACCATGAGTATATTAAACCTTGGTGCAACCGTACTCAATGGAAGATTCCTGAAATTCAATCTAGCCCCTTACTAATCTCAAGCACAAAACCAATGAAGGAAATGTACTTTTAATGAGAAGAGCATCCAGCTCAAGACCCAACTATGGAAAAATTGGGCCGAGCGAGGCACAGGGCAGAAAATAGTATCTTTGATTCATTTGAACCAAGAAGAGAAAGTTTCCTTACAGATTTGAGTGCACATGATTCATTGAATTTAGAAAAGTCTATTGAACTAATCCAGATCAACATCTTCACTCTTGTAATTGTCAAGGACAATACGATATATGAAACTTGGGGCATAACCACCACTGCAATAAACGTTAGTAAAAGACTCAAAATCTTGCGTAGAAGTATCAATACATACATATTAGTGATGTAGATGTCAATATGTTCTGGAGGAATATAATCAAATAATGGATTTGTAATATCAGCATGTTGGACCAAATTACTATCTGAAAAATTTATAACTTTACCAGAATTACCAACTTCAATCAAATTTTCAACATCAAATGGATAAGTCGGACTCAATTTGTATAAACCAGCAACTGAAAACACTGGTGTCTTGTGTTCTTTAGCACATTCACAAACAGCTGCAACACCAGCACTTGAAACGGTACCACCATTTGCGAAAACTGATCTTGCACCAACAATAACTTTACCAACTCTTGACATCACTGCAAAGACATGACTATCAGGTATCACCACTGTTTCAATTTTGGCATCTGATAATTCTTTGGCAAAGCTATGAGCAATTGAAGTTCTATTTGGGAAACATTCAGTAACTAAAACAGTAAATTTTCTCTTTTGTCTAGCTTTTAATAAAAATTTCAAAACTGTTTTAGAATCAGGTGTTGGTGTTAATAAAACTTCATTATCATGAATTAAATCAACAGACATTGCTTCGATACCTTCATCTATATTTGAAATTTCATCAATCAAATCTCTAATACCTTGAATGATGATTGACCTTAGGTCATGATTTTTACTATGATGTATTCTTGGGTTTGTTTGTGGTGGAGGTGGTGCAGGTTCTTTTTTCTCTATATTGGTGGATAGTAAACTAAACATTGATGAGATCATTGGGGCATTACTTTCATTAATATTAGATTCAACAACTTCGTCTCTAATGATGGCTAAAATTCTTCTAATAACATTACCACACGTAAACTCCCTAGGTTGAGCATTGATCAATGTCTTCCCCAACTGCCGTATCTGTTCAATCAAATGATCTGGGTTATTCCATCTAGCAGCAGAAATGACTCTCATCAACAATTGACAAGTTTCCAAAGCGACAACATATGAACCAGAAATTTGACGACGTTTTAGCTTTCTGCAAAAAAATTGTTAGAAAAGAGTCATTCACCAAGAGAACTTAAAAAGTGTCCAACTTACTCAATGAAGGCATCTATTTGATAATTGATATCTTTCACTTGGGAGGACATGATTAAAACAACGTAAGTTTCCAAGATCAATCAAAGTTCTTCGAAGTGTTGTAAAGAGTTTTCAAAGTTTGGCTACAAAATAAATTTTTATGAGCTATTAGTCAAGTCCGGGAAACCCTTTTAAGTACTGGACATCGGTTAGTGCAGCACAATATAATAATGAAGCCTACAAATACACTCAAAATCAGTAGTTTTGTAACTATTAGTTCTATATTTGGTTCATTATATCATTAGGTGGTTGGTATTAGACTTCAATTTCTTTTCCTTTGGAGTTTGGTAGAGATTTTGTACTTTGTTCCTTCTCAATCTCATCGTCATCTTCGTCCTCATCAAAAAATGAAGTGAATTTAGATCTTCTGTTTTTAGTGGATGAAGAAGAGCTGGCAGAGCTTCCTTCTTGTATGCTCTGACTATTTCCTTCATCACTTTCGTCATCAGACGAGATCTCATCATCAGAAGAACTAGATTCAACATAATTGACCGATTCACGTATTTCTTCAAGTTGTTTCTCCACATCATCCAAGAATTTAGTATCCTCAAACTTGACATTCTTATTGAGATCCACATCTAATATTTTTTGTAATTTTGCCTTCTTTTCTGCAATTTTGGTCTTTTCATGTTCATCCAATGTGCTCATATACTCATCCAATTGTTTTATTTTCTTTATAGTTTTAACTCTTCTTCCATCCAACGTTTTGAAATAATCTTTTGAGTTTGATTTCAAGTTTTTCCTATTCTTTTTTTTACTCATAGAATGTGCTTGTGCTTTCAAAAGCTGACCAAACCCACCTTTACCACCACATAGACAAATATTTATCTTTAGGTTCAAAAACTTTGTGAAGTCAGAGGCTTGATTTGAAGTCACACTATAATACAAATCATGAACATTCTTATAAGGATTTATATCCAAACCACCCATACTTGATATACTAGCTCTTGGAACCACTGATGGAGGCAATCTGTCACGCACTTGTTGTTTGACATTTGTGATGGAGGAATCCATGGGCACGTCGAACTGGAAATCATCAATACCGTTGATGCATTTGACAAATATTATACATTTCTCTTCACTTCCACTCATGATCAGTGTAATATAAAGATAGCTTCTAGTTTGTTTGATGATAAATTCAATTGTTTGGAGTTCTGTCCATTTTTTTTGCCTTTAGAATTCGCGGAATTAATGCTTCAAATCTTCAAACCCCAGATGAACATAATTCAAAAGAACCAGAAACCCAGAAGGAAGAACGAAAGATTAACCCATCCGAGAAAAATGAACTTTTTTTGATACCTTGAGTTGAGCTTTAATCTTCAACAAAAAGCTAGGCTTTACCAGCATTGAAAAGAGTTCCTAGAGCCATCATTAAGACCTATCATCTGGTATTCCAAGATCTCCAATTAAGCTCTAGAAACACCCCCAAAAAACTGTAGCTATACGACCATCTGATACTAATCCATCCGAATAAACCCAATTTTTACAAACCATTTCAACTTAGCACAACGAAGTACCACAAACTGTCTAAATCTAGGTACACATGGAGCTCGCGAATTCATTTGTTTTACCCGAAAGACGGTTTGGGCAACAAAAATTCGAAAATATTTTTCATCAAATCACTTTTCGATCGAAAAAAAGGACATGAAGTGCCATTGGGAACAATTTAACCTTCTTTTGAAGATTAGCCTCAACATCCATTAAAATGTTTACTAAAACATTGGTTAACAATGCTCGTTTGAGCTTGCGTGCTGTTGCAGCCGCTAACAGTAAGTTATTTTCTCCTGCTTTCAGTTTCATTGATTGAGTTCAAGTACTAATTCTAAAACAGGCGTTGCTCAATTTGTTCGTCCAGCTTTAGCTCGTTCAGCTGCTTCATTCAATCGTTCAAAACCTCATTTAAACATTGGTACCATTGGTCATGTTGATCATGGTAAAACCACTTTAACTGCTGCCATCACTAAACGTTTGGCTGAAGCTGGTGGTGCTGATTTCTTGGATTATGCTTCCATTGATAGAGCTCCAGAAGAAAGAGCTAGAGGTATTACTATTTCCTCTGCTCATGTTGAATACGAAACCGCTAACAGACATTATTCCCATGTTGATTGGTAAGTTAGAATTTCTTTATTTCCCCAAGAAATTGTACTAACATTAAAAATTATAGTCCTGGTCACGCTGATTATATCAAAAATATGATTACTGGTGCTGCCCAAATGGATGGTGCTATTATTGTTGTTGCTGCTTCTGATGGTCAAATGCCTCAAACCAGAGAACATTTGTTATTGGCTAGACAAGTTGGTGTTCAACACATTGTTGTCTTTGTTAACAAAGTTGATACTATTGATGACCCAGAAATGTTGGAATTAGTTGAAATGGAAATGAGAGAATTGTTAAGTACTTATGGTTTTGATGGTGATAACGTCCCAGTTGTTATGGGTTCTGCTTTATGTGCCTTGGAAGGTCGTGAAGAAGAAATTGGTGTCAAAGCTATTGATAAATTATTAGCTGCTGTTGATGAATATATCCCAACCCCACAAAGAGATTTAGAAAAACCATTCTTGATGGGTGTTGAAGATGTCTTCTCAATCTCAGGTAGAGGTACCGTTGTTACTGGTCGTGTTGAACGTGGTAACTTGAAGAAAGGTGATGAAGTTGAAATTGTTGGTTTAAACAAAACTCCATTGAAAACTACTGTTACCGGTATTGAAATGTTCAAAAAAGAATTGGACCAAGCTATGGCTGGTGATAACTGTGGTATCTTATTACGTGGTATCAAAAGAGATGACATTAAAAGAGGTATGGTTATTGCTAAAACCGGTACCATCTCAGCTCACACTAAATTCTTAGCCTCAATGTATATTTTGACTAAAGAAGAAGGTGGTCGTCACTCAGGTTTTGGTGAACATTACAGACCTCAATTATTCATCAGAACTGGTGATGTTACCGTTGTTTTAACCTTCCCAGAAGGTGGTGATTCATCTCAACAAATCTTACCAGGTGACAATGTCGAAATGGTTTGTGAATTGGTTCACCCAACTGCTTTGGAAGCTGGTCAAAGATTCAACATCAGAGAAGGTGGTAGAACTGTTGGTACTGGTTTGATCACCCGTATCATTGAATAAGCAGCTCAATAACTATTTGTTTCAGTTAATAGTGGCAAACCCTTATGTATATACAGATCACTTTTTATTTGAATTTATATAGCTGACAGAATTTTGACGATTTACTATTATATATTTGATTAAAGAAAAGATATTCAATTTTGTTAACGTTTATTTGAATTTGTATGACGATTATGTAACATTGATACCGATAAGCTTTTTTTCAAAGTACACAGCGATCGTCAGCCACTTGACTTGATGAATAACTAAAAACCACACTATCCGAAGCCACAAATTTCGTCAAACAGTCAAATAAGTGCTTAGTTGTACTTGATTGAAACCAACACAAGCTTCATTTATCCCATTTCCGTTTGTTTTATTAGCTTCCAAAGGTATTAAAATGACTTCGAATTTCAGTCTAGATATTGAAAAGAGTGAAGCCGATACAAGGAGGTTTAAGGTCAAAAGACTATGGAAAACAAGCTCAATACTTTTAGTATTCACGCTGATATTACTTTCAACCAGAATTACTATATCCTTAATACCCTTCAATACATTTTATCCATCACAAGATGATTATCTATACAGAATTTCAAAAGACCGAGGAATCGATATAAACCCATTGAAAAGAGGGCCTTCATTAGACCCTAGTCCAAATCATTTACACAAATCAATGTATGGTGCTGTGTCGTCAGATATAGAACTCTGCTCACAACTGGGTGTTGACATCTTGAAGAAAGGTGGGTTCGCAGCAGATGCAGCTGTTACTGTTGCTTTATGTGTTGGTGTTATTAATTCCTTCAGCTCAGGTATCGGAGGTGGTGGGTATATTGTATCAAAGCAATATGGTAAACAAGCTATCTCCATTGATGCTAGAGAAATGGCTCCATTAGCAGGTCATAAAGATATGTTTAAAGGACGTGAGCATTTATCACAAGTTGGTGGATTGGCAGCAGCAATTCCTGGTGAATTGAAAGGTTTATACACACTTTACAAACATGAAGGTTCTGGTAAACTAACCTGGGCAGAATTAATTGAACCAGTAATTGATGTCGCTGAAAATGGGTGGAATGCATCTGTTGTTTTAGCTGCTGCTATAGAAATTGATAAGAAATTCTTTAGGGAACACTATTCACTTTGGGATTTTGTCTTCAAGGAAGGTTCAAAACATGATGTTGTTAAAGCTGGTGATTTAATCAAAAGACCTAAAATTGGTGAAACATTACGTTTGATTGCTAATAATGGGAGTGATGCTGTTTTTTATGATCCAAATGGACCTATAGCTGGTAATTTGATTCAAGCTGCCAATGCTAATGGTGGTGTTTTTTCAAAAGCAGATTTTGAAAACTATGAAGTTGAACTCTCTCCAGCATTGAAAACTGAATATCTTGGTAATGATGTTTACACATGTGCTGGTTCATGCTCTGGGGCTGCTTTAATCTCGGGGTTGAACATTATGGATCATTTTGGAACATTAGAAGGTGGTGATATGGACCCTTTAGCTACACACAGACTAGTTGAAGCTATGAAATGGGTAGCAAGTGCTAGGAGTAGACTAGGAGACTCCACAAATAATGATACAACACATATCACTAGTCAAGATTGGTCAGACTATGCATTGCGTCATATCAAAGATAACCAGACGTTAGCAAATTGGTCAGACTACAAGCCAGCTTATGAGCTCAATAACCCTCATGGGACTACTCACTTCTCAATCGTCGATGGCCATCACAATGCTGTCTCCATGACCTCAACTGTCAACCTATTATTTGGTTGTTTGGTTATTGATCCAGTTACTGGTATAATTTTTAATAATGAAATGGATGATTTCTCAGTGCCTGGCGTTCCTAATGCCTTCGGTATTGAGCCATCAATTTATAATTTCATAAGACCAAGAAAAAGACCATTGTCATCATCGTCACCAACCATTGTGGTGAATGAATTATTGAAACCGGATCTTGTTATTGGTGCAGCTGGTGGTAGCAGAATTGTGACTTCTGTTCTTCAAGCCATTGTTCGTATTTATAGTTATAACATGCCACTATTGGAAGCCATTGCATATCCACGTTTCCATCATCAACTTTTGCCAAACCATATTGAACATGAAGAACACATTGGCTCTGATATTTTAACTTCATTACAAGAAAAAGGCCATGAGACATTCCTTCAACCTCCAAAGACCGTTATTAACGCTATACGGAGATGGGCCGGTGATTACCATGCAGTCAGTGACTATTGGAGGAAAAGGGGCGAGTCATGTGTAGTTTGAATAAATATTCAGGTGTTTTAAGATCTTTAGTCTAGTGAAATTTTGTGTAGCCTATCTGTACATACTCGCGAAAAAAAGACGTCAAAGTTAAACCTCTTCGAGGAAAAAAAAATTCCATCAAGAGCATTCACCAAACGAACAATCACCAACAAAACGCCGAAACTAACCCAAGTTTTTTGTTTTGATTCACAGATATCAAGGGACAAGATGGCTTCCAACCCAAAGCCCAAATTAAAAAAGGGTTATACCAAATCGGTTACGTCGTTTGAGGGTTTTTTGCATCAGCTCAAGACAAATCATGAATCACATCAAGATGTTCAATGTGATGGATTTGCTCATTTCCTCAAGTATGATCTAGGAAACTTGAACAAGCTCATAAAAGGTCCACAAGTGGATGATACTGATGCCTCGTCAAATATTGTTAATAGAAATGGCGAAGCTAAAGCAGTTGTGAACGGAGAGGAAGTTCAAGTGTATGCAAAGAAAGAAGGAAAACCAGTCAAAATCTACGCTGAAGATGGACCTGATGGGATTTCATACACAACCGTCCCACCAGGAAATAATGAAGAGAAAGATAACACAACATCAACGCAGGTTATTGATTCCAAAAAGGAACAAGATGTTGCAGAGTACGCAACAAATGATGAAAAATTGGTACCATTAGCCATACCTGATTATAAACCAACAAGAGAAGACTACATGAAGGTGATAGGTCAAGTGCGGTTAGAAGTGAAAAAGAAGATAATAAACCCCATATCCAAGGCATCTGGTTATAAATGGGAATATTCCAAGGGCCATTTCAAAGATGAAATTTTATTATTGGAGTTTAGTTGTTTCCAAGATGTAACAAAAGATATGCAGCCCAGCAAATTCACAAATAGACACATTGTTGAGATATACAAGCTTGGTGAATGTTCATCCTCATTGAACGTCTTCATCAATGTCATAACGAGACAGATAAGGATAAGTTATCGTCACAAGTCGCATACAAAACTAATAGATATCATATACTCTTTGCTATCCCAAATTTATAACGAATAGAAATTGATGACATACGGACAACAAAGTGCTTGTAGATAAAATTATATACTTTCCAATCTTTTGGTTTACCACAAAATTCCATAAAGCTGTCAAAAAGTTCTTCTACTCGAAGCTCAAAGTGTATTACGCTGACTAAGAAACGCGGTTGCCATGGTGAATAAATCACGTGGGCATATTTTACCGCATCAGGAAACCGTAAACAAAAATCATTTTCTGATCAGTCTCAAAAAATTCCCATGAAAAAAAGTTGGTGGTTTGTTTACATTCAAGAAGAAAAAAAAGCGAGAACGAACAAATCTTTTGCCTCCTCTTTGATAAACACTTTTGTAAAACAATCACAAGAGAACAATACATCAGCTTAAAATATGAGAGAAGTTATCAGTGTTAACGGTACGTGTTTATAATTCATGGAAGCTGGCGGTTGTGTTTGTCTTTTGAGGAGATCTTGAAGCGTGTTAGAATTGTGTATCAGGGGACTTTAGACGCGTTGACCATGGTGAAATCAATCTCAAACTCAAAACCCAGCTTCATATTAGGCTATCCCTATGTTGTTGGGTATATTTACTAACATTATTAATCTAGTTGGTCAAGCTGGTTGTCAAATCGGTAACTCCTGTTGGGAATTATACTCTTTAGAACATGGTATTCAACCAGATGGATACTTACAAGAAGGTTTAAACAGACCAAAAGGTCCAGAAGAAGGTTACTCAACTTTCTTCAGTGAAACTGGTTCAGGTAAATACGTCCCAAGAGCTTTATATGTTGATTTGGAACCAAATGTTGTTGATGAAGTTAGAACTGGTGCCTACAAAGATTTATTCCATCCAGAACAATTAATCACAGGTAAAGAAGATGCCGCTAACAACTATGCTAGAGGTCACTACACTGTTGGTAGAGATTTATTGGATGATGTCTTAGATAGAATTAGAAGAATGTCCGATCAATGTGATGGTTTACAAGGTTTCTTATTCACCCATTCCTTAGGTGGTGGTACCGGTTCAGGTTTTGGTTCATTATTATTAGAACAATTAAGTTTGGAATACGGTAAAAAATCCAAATTAGAATTTGCTGTTTACCCAGCTGCTCAAACCTCTACCTCAGTTGTTGAACCATATAACACTGTTTTAACTACCCATACCACTTTAGAACACGCTGACTGTACATTTATGGTTGATAATGAAGCTATTTATGATATCTGCAGAAGAAACTTGGATATTTCAAGACCAAGTTTCGCAAACTTGAATAACATGATTGCTCAAGTTGTTTCATCAGTTACTGCTTCATTACGTTTTGATGGTTCATTAAATGTTGATTTGAATGAATTCCAAACCAATTTAGTCCCATACCCAAGAATCCATTTCCCATTAGTCGGTTATGCACCAGTTGTTTCAAAATCAAGAGCTACTCATGAATCTAACTCAGTTTCTGAAATCACAAACGCCTGTTTCGGACCAGGTAACCAAATGGTCAAATGTGACCCAAGAGTTGGTAAATATATGGCTACTTGTTTATTATACAGAGGTGATGTTGTTACAAGAGATGTTCAAAACGCTGTTGCACAAGTTAAAACTAAGAAAACTGTTCAATTGGTTGACTGGATCCCAACTGGTTTCAAAATTGGTATCTGTTATGAACCACCAACTGCTCCTCCATCAGCAAACTTGGCTGCTGTTTCAAGAGCTGTCTGTATGTTATCTAACACTACTGCTATTGCTGAAGCTTGGAGAAGAATTGACAGAAAATTCGATTTGATGTATTCTAAACGTGCTTTCGTCCATTGGTATGTCGGTGAAGGTATGGAAGAAGGTGAATTTACTGAAGCAAGAGAAGATTTAGCTGCTTTAGAAAGAGATTATGAAGAAGTTGGTATCGATTCAATCGATCAAGAAGAAGGTGAAGAATACTAAGCGTGATATGGAATATCATTCTTCTCTTTTTCCTGCAAATGTTTACGATACCCTAATATAACTTTAAATTAGTTGTTCTTCTTTTTTAGATTTTTATCATTGAAGTTATCCTGTCTTTACTTTTTTTTATATATACTGTCAATTTTGTTCCTGTTGTTATTGGTTGGTGGTTGAGTATATTATTTTCAAATTTTATTATTATTTTCTTTTATTATCTATCCTAATGAATTTATAAGGCGAATTCTATTGACTGTAGAGCTACAGTATGGTGATTGGTACTATCTATTTTTCTATTAGTGCGTCATAGGTCGAAGAATGAATTGAGAGAAGTCACTTTTGGCTTTGGATTTGTCTTTAATCTCTTGACTCCAGTAGCCTTCTTCACAGTATTCTCAAATTTTGGCAACTTTTTCAACAAAAGCCCCAAGTAGCACCCTTTAACCTCACCCATATTCCATAAAGAATCATACTCAGTTTGCGAGACAAGCCCTCCATAGTCGACAAATTCTTTATCCAAGATGTTGAAATCAAGAAGTATCGTAGATGACGTTGGAATCAATGAACGATTTTCAATCCGCTGTAACAATAACAACGACTGGAACTTTAGAGCCAGTGGTTGTTCAATGATAGACCTCTCTTTGATCAGTTCCCAATGTGTACGATCTAAATTGGGCCATTCTTTATCTATGTTGAATCTTGAACTTCCTGTTTCAATCTCAATGTAAAGCAGCCTGCTGTTCATAACTTGTCTTTGTAGTTTGATTAGAGAGCTTTCACTTACTCTTGGGAGGCATAAGACTTGTAATCGGGTCCACTTTTGTGACTTTAAAGCAGAGCACCAACTATTCACAATTGTATCTTTCATACCATTGGTTTGCGTAATTTTGAGTGCTGTGAGGTTTGTGAGATTTGTAAGTTCCAATAACTCATCATCTTGTAAATCTTTACTTATCTCTAGTACTGTCAAATGAGGGAACCATGAATTATTCAAATTGCTGATGAGATTTGTCAATTTGATATTACTGAACAGTCTTTCAACTCTATGCCGTTTAGTATCTTGTGCAGTGTTGGATAAAAGTGTTTTGAATCTCGATGATGGATAGCTCCTCACATTACCATGGCACGCAAACTCAGAGGATCTATGAAAGGCATCAGCAAATGTTTGGAAAGTTTTGAAATTATCTCTTCTCCATCGTACAATATACTTCCAAACTGGTGCCCATATTGACCAATTCCCATTCTTGAGCAATTCATGATTGATAAGATCATGGTGTTCAGCTATTTGCATCGCGCATAAATCCTTCAAAGACCGCATTTTCGGTTCTTCATATTCTTTATCCAGTATATGATTCGACAGCATTATATTCCAATCATAAAACCTTTCAGTGGAATAATCATTACCAGAACCAATTCTTTTGAAAAGATCATCTTCAGTAACAAATATAGGCTTGTTATCCTTCTTTTTCTCTTTCTGTTTTTTTGACTTCAAGAACTTATCCCTCCATGACTTCCCTCTATTATACCTTTCAGCTCTAGCCATGTTCTCCAATTAACAAAAGTTTTGTACTAAAGCTGTTGATTGAACAGACGCGTATTTTATGGCATCTGTCAAATTGTGACGTGAAAGCCACCGTTTCCGCGAATTTGTCCTGCGAATCGGCTCTTCTGCTGATCTGCTTGGTGATGCTAGAGGATGGATTCCTGCTTAGGCATTCTTACTAGCTTATAGAGTTTTGAGTACCTTTTTAAAGTCACAGAAATGCTCCAATTCAAGAGGAAAAGCATCCAAAAACCTTGATTTTTTGGCTGCAAAAGTGTAGATTTTTCATTCATGCTCCGAAATTTTTTGTGAAAAAAAAATGGTGAGATCAAATCATAAACAAAGATTGGACCGTTAAATTTTTGATATATTTCAATCTTTATTGGTGGTTTTACAAAGTACTATTCACGAGCGGTATAGCAGCTCCTTAGATATTGTTACCAAAACATTATATCTATCAAACACCTGTGTGATCTCGGTTGTATCATTACATTCTTTCCATTAACCATTTTGTTCACCTCGTTTCTTGGAAAGTATTGCAAACCATGGTGACTAATATTATAGGATTGGGCAGAAAAGATTATATCTTTTCAAATTGGGCCGGTATATTTAGCTGTAAACCATCATTGTATTTTCAACCAAGCACATTAGATGAAATAGTTGGCCTTGTTAAGGGAGCCCGTGAGGCAAATACAACCATAATGGTTGTCGGATCTGGTCATTCTCCAAGTGATTTAACAATGACAAATGAATGGTTAGTGAACCTTGATAAGTTCAATAAAGTCTTAGATTTACAAAAAGATAAGTCAGGATTATTTACAGATGTTACTGTTGAAGCTGGTCTCAGAATATATCAACTTAATGAATACTTGGCTGATAATGGGTTAGCGTTACAAAATTTAGGATCTATTAGTGAACAATCAGTTGCTGGTATCATCTCTACTGGTACACATGGTGCTTCCCCATATCATGGATTAGTTTCTCAACAATTTGTCAACTTAACTATTGTTAATGGGAAAGGTGAAATAGTTTATTTAGATTCAGAGACCAATCAAGACGTTTTCAGAGCAGCATTATTAGGGTTAGGTAAAATTGGTGTCATTGTCAAAGCTACTATCCGTGCAATTCCTGCTTTTAACATCAAATCATCACAAGAAGTTATAAATTTTGATACTCTTTTAGAAAAATGGGACACTTTATGGGTCAGTTCAGAATTTATTAGAGTTTGGTGGTTTCCTTATGCGAAGAAGTGTATCTTATGGAGAGGTCAAAAAACTGAAGAACCATTATCCGCTCCTAGAGAAAGTTGGTATGGTACAAAGTTGGGAAGACTATTTTATGAATCTTTGTTATGGATTGCTGTTCACATTTATTCACCTTTGACACCATATGTTGAAAAATTCATTTTTAATCGTCAATATGGTACTGTTGAAACTTTAGGAAATGGTGCAATCGCAGTCCAACCATCTGTTGAAGGCTTAAATATGGATTGTCTGTTTTCTCAATTTGTTGATGAATGGGCTGCGCCATTAAACAATGGTCCAGAAATTCTAAGAAGTTTGGAACATTATATCAATACTGCTGCTGTTAACCACGATTTTTATGTTCATGTCCCAGTTGAAGTTCGTTGTTCAAACACCACAACAACAAATGCCATTGGAAATGTTGCTGATGTCACAAACCGTACTGAAATTTCACCAGGTCCAATCAAAGGTAATGACTTACGCCCATTATTAGATAACACACCAACCTTAAACTATGCTCCTTTATCAGATGTTACAAACTCACAGTTGACCCTATATATCAATGCTACTATGTACAGACCATTCTTCACCAACTCACCAATTGGTAAATGGTTCAAGATATTTGAAGAAACCATGGGTGCTGCTGGTGGTAAACCACATTGGGCTAAGAACTTCCTTGGTTCTGTTGAATGGGCTGCTGGTGATGTTAAGGAGGAGAAAGCTTATAAAGATGGTGAAATGAGAGGATTTGCCAAAAAGAACCAAGAATGGTTTGGTGAAAACTTGAAGAATTTCAAGAGAATAAGAAAAGAACAAGATCCATACAATGTGTTTTTGAGTTCTAAAGAATGGGCCATCAGAAATGGTATTGTGGGTGTTGATGAACTTTAATCATAACTTCCTATTTTTTTTTTGCAATACTTGTTTCACTAAAACTGTTTACTTCAATTCAAGAGACTTTTAATGAATTCTCAACCTATATATATTATATATTTTTGTCTCAATGAAAAAATGAACTTATAGATTTCTTTACAAATTTGTATTAGCGTTTGAAGCCCTGACGCTGTAAAAAACATTCCGCGAATTTTTGCTTTTTACGCCTTTTTGACCGAGAAGCTCAACGGCGATGATTAATTATTGTTTTGATCTTGAAAATTATTCTTTTAATACTCCATATTCAAAGTTTTTGCCGACTTTCTTGGTCAAATAGAACTATCCAGTCACTATGAGCTCTAAGGTCGAAGATAAAACTGAGCTGCTTAAGCAGCCACTCCATGGGATTTATATTCCAGTGATCTTAGTTATTGTTGGGATTTGCATCATGAACGTTGACTATTTACCGCATGTTTTAGTTCTTCTCGTGTCCTTATTGGGTTTTAGATTATTTAATGCTTATAGTAAGTATAATATTGGAAGACACTTATCAAATATTTACTAACTTTTTAAACAGACAGAAGAAGATCATTGGATGAGAAAAAATGGAGATCTTTAGAACTACTTGATAAGACCATTATTTCAAGAAATACAGCTATGTAAGTGCTATTTTTTGAGCCAAATATACAGACAGTCACTAACATCTCTCAAAGTTATCGTTTTGGATTGGTTAGAGAAGATGAAGTGTTGGAAATCCCAGTTGGTCATCATGTTGCAGTTAAAGTTGAAGACGAAATCCGTCATTACACTCCAATCTCTTCTAAATTTGATAAAGGATTCTTTGATATTTTAGTGAAATCCTACCCAGATGGTAAGGTTTCCAAGAAATTTGCTGAAATGAAACCAGGTCAATTTGTTGACTTCAGAGGCCCAGTTGGTAGATTTAGTTATTCCACTAACCAAGTTAAAGAAATTGGTTTAGTTGCTGGTGGTTCAGGTATCACTCCAATCCTACAAGTGATCAGTGAAATCACCACTACCCCAGAAGATTTCACAAAATTATCATTGATTTACGCCAACGAGACTGAAAATGATATTTTGTTAAGGGAAGAAATTGAAGAATTGAATGCTAAATACCCAAACATCGATATCCATTTGACTTTGACCCACCCACCAGCAAACTGGGAAGGTGAAACCGGTTATGTTACCAAAGAAATGGTTCAAAAATACTTGCCAAAACCTTCTGAAGATTCAAGAATTCTAGTCTGTGGTCCTCAAGGTATGAAAACTTTATTAATTGACATTACCAAAGAATTAGGTTTCACTGAAGCCAAAATGCCATCAAAAGGTAACGATCAAGTGTTTATCTTTTAAAAGACACACTACTAGAAGAATATAATTAATAAAGGGGAAATTTGATAGATTAGTATCATGATGTAGTATTTTGTGCAATCTATAATATTAGTGTCAAGTCGGCGATCATACATAAATGATCACTTGGGTATTCACCTTCATGTGGTTGGCCGTGTTCAGTCATCTCTTTTCCAGGTGGCATTCTCAATAAACCATTAATTTTCACGTTAGTTAATTGTTCAAATTCGGATAAGCTCTTGACTTGTGAGTCTGACTTCAAGTCCCATTCTGTAATGTAAAATATATAATCAAGTAAACCTCTCCAAGCATGTGCCCAGTTTGATACTTCTGGTTCTCCTTTCTCATTATCTAAGCCTGAATTCTCAGGATGGAGAAGCTTATATGCAACAGAGTACAATGATATAGCCCTCATTGGTTGTAAGTTGTGTAAATCTTCCATATCCTTAACAATCTGTGCCTGTTCTTCAGTTGGAGTAAATGAATCTGGGACTGGATGCTGTGGCTGATTTTCACCAAATTTCTCAATATTACCACCATCTTCATCTTCATCCTCTAGACCTTCACGCAATTTTGAATATTGAAAAGATGTAGAGCATTCAATGACTGTTTTACAACGAGTATCATAGTGTATTGGTTTCGAAGTAATGGATAGATAAGGTGCATCATAGGGCTGAGCATTGAAATCACCACCAAAGAAATGAAACCAGGAACCTTTTTGTAAGACCTGAACTCTATTAATGAACTCTCTAAACTTGTTCAGAATGACATAAGTCTGTCTTGTTCTCTCGTATGTACCAAATGGATGCCAGAAAAGATGTGTTGTACCAACAAGAATCCCCTTCTTGTCTGTTTTTGGGAATTCTTGTAATATAGAATCCTTGAACTTCAATGCTAATATTAGACCCACATTTTTAGTGACTGTTCTTGGTGGAATATTTCCAGACTCTTCTTTATCATAATCGATATACATTCTATCGGTGACATCAAACAAACTATTTCTGAAAAATATAGCAACACCATGGTTCTTATCACCCCATCTATTAAACACAGCACCATAACCCAATTTTTCGAATTCAGATCTCCAAAAGGAATTGAATTGAACATGATCCACTTCTTGTAATAATAAAACGTCACAATTGTAATGTTTGAATTCACTCAACAACACTTGAGATCTTTTGAACCACTTGACTGCATTACCACTCGTTGGAAACAATGTTCTTCTAATAAGCGCTTGTGCCAAAACGTTATAAGTCATAATCTTCACATTAACACCATTTTTACTAAATAGCGGGTCAGATTCATCTCTTGGTATTTTTAAGATTGGTCTTGAAATAAACCTTAGATCAGGTGGAGTATCAACCTGTTCTGGATCAATTCCCTGGGCTATAAGTGCATCTTTTTTTGCCTTTTTAGCTGCTTCTCTTTTGGCTCGTTGTTCAGCTATATATTCTGGAGTGATTTCAGCAGGATTTTTGGAACCTTTCTTTTTCTTGGAAGCTTTTGGCTGTTTTGCAGGTACTGGAGCTTGTGTTTCTTCTGACATTATTGGAACTGATGGACTTTAATCTAGCTTCAATAACGTAATTGTTGGAGTTAAGCTCAACTTTCTCGAGATTAGTATAAACCAGATTTTTTAACGATGAGCTAGCAATTCGCGAATATTGGTTACCATGACAACAACTATAAGTAGATAAGAAGAAGCTACAAATTATTATTATTCAATATCTATAAAGTCTCGTTCTATTAAAGTAATATTTCCCATGTTCCCATATCATTTTCTATGTATGGTTGTGTGCAAAACATGCTCCTTCATAAACAACCCAACAACACAAGCGATGACACAAGTTATGAAACTGAAAAGCAAAGCCTTATGAGTCCCAATATCATAACTCTTGATGATTGCATCTCTAAAGACTTCTGGTGCTTTACGAGTATATTCTGAGCTGTTGAAAGCTTTTTGAATTATTTCAAGAACCTCTTCTTTTGAATAATCTGATGGGATTGAAAATAATCTGGTAGTTAAAGAGCTTAACAAGTATTTTTGGAAAATGAAACTTGAAGCAGCGACACCAATGGTTGAGCCAGTGGCTCTGAAGGCATATTGAATTGATGTTGTAGCAGCTTGTTGATCATGAGGAACTGAAGCAATCAAAGCCAATAAAGTAACAGTTAAACTTGCAGCATAGCCAGCACCTGGGATGAATAACTCAATATATTGGAAGAATGTAGATGTTGTTTCAGTTGTGACATATAAGCCATAAACACCAAGAATTGTCAAAATACCTGCAATTACCGAGAACCAATAGTATTTACCAGTATTTTTCATATATATACCAGACAAAACTGAACCCATTGATACACCCACAAAATTAGAAATGGTTCTCAAACCTATTTCTGTTGGAGTTAAACCAACAACAGAACTCCAGTAGACAGGCATATAGAAGAGGTAGGTGAAAACAGACATTGTCATGAACCAATTTACCAAACCTGATGATAAGACTGTTATGAAGGCAAATAACCTAACAGGTAAAACTGGCTGAGGTGAAACATACAATTCAACATAACCAAAAGAGCCTAAGGTAACAGCTGTAAAGACAATCAATCCCCAGAAGGCACCGCCGTTAATTTCAATTTCGTTTCCTGCAAATGAAACTAAAATCATAAAACTTAACAATGCAGAGACCAATAATGTAGCACCCAAGAAGTCAACCTGTTTCAATTTAGCTAATCTAGAGCCAGTCATACCTAGCCCAATTGAACCTTCTGGTAGCTTTAAGTTTCTCCAAATCAAGTAAACACTAATCAATGCAATAGGAACTTGACTGAAGAAGGCATATTCCCAACCAAGATATTTCTCAAATAATGCACCATAGATACCACCAGTGGCAGCTCCAACCCCAAATGCAATATTACCAAGACCCTGGTAAATACCTCTTTTTCTCAATGGAACTAAATCACTAGTGGTGATTGTACTTAATGATGTTAATCCACCACCACCAATACCTGTTATGAATCTACCAATTGATAAACCAACCAAATTATGAGAAAGACCTGAAATTAAACAGCCAAGAGCAAATGTAGCATTGGAGAATAACAATAATGATTTTCTTCCGTAGATATCTGATAATTTACCATATAATGGTTGGAAGGCAGAACATGATAATAAATAAGATGTGGCAATCCATGACATTTTGGACACTGAATTTATGCTTGATGCAATTGTTGATAATAAAGTAGTAACAATAGTAGTATCCAGAGCAGCTAAGAATGATCCAATGTATAAAGTCCCTATTATAAGTTTTAATTGAGCAGGGTCGATTTCACCAACATTTGGATCCTGTTCAGTTTCCTGTGGCTGACTCTCTAAGTCTTGATCAATAGCTCCATAAGTGTTCCCATTTCCAATGGTCAAAGAGTCAATGTTTTCATCTGGTTGAGCCAGCTCTCTGGCGACAAGACCAGGGGACCCAAGAGTTGGATCATCGAGGGCTTTACTATATGGCTTAAGCAATGGTGAGTCTGAATTACTCATGATTAACAATACCTTTAATAAATTGGTGCTTATTCAAAAGAATTGTGAATGATCTCGTCCCAAATCCAATAACCTGTCAGCTCTATAATAAACAGTAGTACTAAGAACTTTCAAGGGAAAAGTGTCTGTTTAAATATCACCTATTCATTATATTCATTGTATTTTGTTATCATCACATCTTTTTTTCAAGGCCTTACACGCTGATAATGCGACCGGCCGGTTGTGCACGGAAATTTCCGTTCGGCGAATGAAATAAAAGTATACGAATGATAAAAAAGCAGCAGCATCAAAACTATTTGATCAAATAAACAATCGAAACGTCATAGAAAGAAGGACAACTACGTATTCAACGAGTAATCTCACTCTGGAAAATCAACCGAAAATTTCTTTAAGACCTCAACACAATAAAATAGAAACAGAGTAAATAGGGAAGATATAAAAAATTAAAAACTGAGTAAAAATCAAGAGGACCCATCATTCACTTTGAAAGATAAAGATACAGCACCTTTTTCTTTATAAATGAAGATCCTCATAACCAAAAATATATATATAATAAAAAATCTTAACCGGGCGTAACAAAACAAATTAAATTAAAAAAATAGGGTATCCTTCTCTAATTATTATTCTTCATCAATTCATCTTTTGTTTTACGCTAAATTTATTCAAGAACTTCATCTAATGATTGTTCTTCACCGTAATCCAATTCTTCATCATCTTCAACAGTAGCATCTTGATATTGTTGATATTCACTAACTAAATCATTCATGTTTGATTCAGCTTCAGTAAATTCCATTTCATCCATACCTTCAGAGGTATACCAATGCAAGAAAGCTTTCTTTCTGAACATCGCACCGAATTGATCACCAACTCTTTTGAATAATTCTTGAATAGATGTAGAGTTACCAATAAAAGTAGCAGACATATCTAAACCTTTTGGAGCAACTGAACAGATAGCAGTTTGAACATTATTTGGAATCCATTCAACGAAATATGATGAGTTTTTAGTTTGAACTTTGTACATTTCATCTTCAACTTCTTTAACTGAAACTTTACCTCTGAAGAAAGCAGCAACAGTTAAGTATCTACCATTTCTTGGGTCTGAAGCAGCCATCATGTTCTTAGAATCAAACATTTGTTGGGTTAATTCTGGAACACTTAAAGATCTAAATGATTGAGAACCTAAAGAAGTTAATGGAGCATAACCAACCATGAAGAAATGTAATCTTGGGAATGGAACTAAGTTCACAGCTAATTTTCTTAAATCTGAGTTTAATTGACCTGGGTAACGTAGTGAAGTAGTAACACCTGACATAACTGAACTGACTAAATGGTTTAAATCATCATAAGATGGTTGTGGTAATTTCAAAGTTTTCATACAGATATCATATAAAGCTTCATTGTCAATACAGAAGGTTTCATCTGAGTTTTCAACCAATTGGTGGATGGATAAAGTAGCATTATATGGTTCAACAACTGTGTCACTAACTTTTGGAGATGGGACAACTGAAAATGTAGCCATCATTCTATCTGGGAATTCTTCTCTAATTTTACTGATTAATAAAGTACCCATACCAGAACCGGTACCACCACCTAAAGAGTGGGTAATTTGGAAACCTTGTAAAGAATCACAACCTTCAGCTTCTCTTCTGACGATATCTAAAACTGAATCAACTAATTCGGCACCTTCAGTGTAATGACCTTTAGCCCAAACGTTACCAGCTGAAGATTGACCATAAATAAAGTTATCTGGTCTGAATAAGTTACCAATTTTTGAAGTTTTAACAGCATCAATAGTACCTGGTTCTAAATCAACGTTAACAGAACGAGGAACGTATTTACCAGAAGAAGCTTCGTTGAAATAAACGTTTAATTTTGATCTTTGGATTTCTTCAGTACCATGGAATTCACCATTGTCATCTAAACCGTGTTCACCACAGATGGTTTCCCAGAAAGCAGCACCCTAAAAGCAGTTAGTATTAAAAAACTTTTATTTGCCTCTCATTCAGATTGAAATGTAAACAAATACACGCGTTCAATCAACAAGCACACGAAAGTAAAACAACTTACGATTTGATTACCACATTGACCTGCTGATAAATGAATCTATATTAATTAGTTAGTAATGGTTTCACCGAGTTTTGAAGGACAATAGAAGACAATGTTTTCTTTGTTGGAATGTAACTTTGATTATACGCGCTTAGAGATTAGATTTTGAAAGAAAAATCATAAACTTCAACTAGCGCTCATTCTCTTCGTGCCTTTTCCTTTTAATGGATCACATACGATTTCTCTCATTGCGAAAGTAGTTTGTATAAGTTTTGTTGTGAATGTGAATACAAGTGTTGTAGTTTAAATCCAGAATTCTCTTTCAAAATCGACTTTTTTTCCCTGACTTTTTGTTGATGAATTCGTTTTTTTTTACAAGTCAACTTTTTTTGTTTTGATTTTGTTTACACGAAAACATCCCGATCGGGCAATACTACTAAAAGGGGAAAGAGGGACGCGTCTCTGGGACAACGCGAGATCTAGACTGCTGGATCTGGAAATAACAGCAGCGTGTGGCTTCATTGGATATTTTTTATCGGTGAAATTTCAATCAAGCGATAGATTCGATAGCTGGTGAGAAAAACCCAGAACAAGTGGACAACGAGCCCTCTTACAAATCACATCCAGCTCGTCACCAATTGCCACACATCTCCATATCATTTGCTTCTTCAGTACTTGCGAAATGTCTAGCAACAACTCAGTCGTGTCATTTGGGTCTTTTTTCCAATTGTTGAAACCCAGATTAACAGTAAGTATATGATCGACTAGAATGCATTGGTACATTAGAGAACTAACCAACATGTCAGACACCTCAGTTCTTTTGGTTTTTGGGTCATGTCTCTACAATCCTCAATACATTATCTACTGTATTTTTTTCATTCTTTTCTCAAAGTTCATACAAAAGATATTACAATTGGGCTTTAATTTCCATCATCTCAACTTATTTAGTTGTTTTATTCCAAATCTTCAAATCATCAAAGACTATCAACTTCTTCAATTTCAAAACATTCATTTATAATGACAACTTCCAATATTTGTCATTAGCCATTACTTGGTATTTGGTTTCTAATGTTAAAATTATTAGTGGTGGTTTGTATCCTTTTTTCATCTTTTCATCTTTCCATGCATTGAATTATTTCAAAAACTTCATCCTACCAATCTTACCAAGTGTTTCATCGCCAGTTAAAGATCACTACTCAAAGATTATCAACACTTTGATCACCACCTATAATGAACAATCATTAGTAGCTGCTTCAAATTTGGAAATTTTCATTTTGGTTCAATTATCATTATCATCTCCATTGATTATTTTCCAAATCTTTAGAAATTTCAAATTAGCATTTGTTAATATCTTTGTCTTGTTACAATATGTCACATTCATCAAATTAAGATATAAACAATCTAAACACACAAAGTTATTATTTGATGGAACTTTATATAAAGTTGAAGCTGTTATCAACTCAGGCAGAATCCCTCCAGTCTTGGCTAACTATTATCATCAATTGAAATCTAAAGCTACCCATTTCATTGGTTTAATTCCAGTCTGAAGAGGAAGCAGTCTAATATTACCCAAGAAACTTTAGGACCTTGAAACCAGTCATGATTCTGGCAAGTAGTCTTATGGAGATGTGTGCTTGCACAGAGTTGTTTTTCATGGACAAGAAATGTGAAATCTAAGCTCTACACTGAATTATTCAGTTAACACCACCTTCTATTGAAGGCTATATTCTAGTATGCTTTCACCTTTTTATTCACTTCTTTTCTGTGTTATAGTTTTTTTTTACACTGGGGCTATTGTGTGAGTGATGATGCCCCTAATTTTAATAATGATAATATTAATATTAATTGATCTAGTAGTATAGATCTGATCCTGATTGGTAAATCGAGGAACCTCAGAGCTGATTACGATAACTCCAGGTATCATTGGAAATGAATATAGAGTCGAAACAAACTGCCAAAAGCTGTAAATTGTAAAAACAGTTCTGGCGTTTCAAGCTATATTAGTCTAAGACCCCACTTCCATATCCTATACTCGTACTTTCCACTTTTATTAACCAGATTTGTAGCTATATTGATCATTTTATAGTCAGTGTCACCCTGACAACCAAGAGAAAGCTGAAATTACTTCCGCGAATTCTATTTTTTAGGCACTGATAATAAAATTTGCCATTTTCACAAATTAAAAAAAAGACACACTACACAACAAAACAAAGCTAGTTGTTTCCAAAACAATCACTATATTCATATCAAAATGAACACAGAATACGATTATTTATTCAAATTACTATTGATTGGTGACTCAGGTGTTGGTAAATCCTGTTTGTTGTTGAGATTTGCCGATGACACTTATACCGCTGATTACATTTCTACCATTGGTGTTGATTTCAAAATTAGAACTATTGAATTAGATGGTAAAACTATTAAATTACAAATCTGGGATACTGCTGGTCAAGAACGTTTCAGAACTATCACTTCTTCATACTACAGAGGTGCTCATGGTATCATTATTGTTTATGATGTTACTGATCAAGAATCATTTAATAATGTCAAACAATGGTTACAAGAAATTGATAGATATGCTACTGGTGGTGTAATGAAACTATTAGTTGGTAACAAATCTGATTTAACTGATAAGAAATCTGTTGATTATAACGTTGCCAAAGAATTTGCAGATGCTCTAGATATCCCATTCTTGGAAACTTCAGCCTTAAACTCTACAAATGTTGAACAAGCTTTCTTTACAATGGCTAGACAAATCAAGGCCAACGTTTCAAACAATGCTTCAAATGCTGGTAATTCCGGTAACAACAAGAACACTGTCAGTATTAGAGGTCAATCAATCGGTAATAATCAACAAAACGGTTGTTGTTAGAGTGTTATTATTTTTTAAATTTCTTTTCCCTTCTTTTGCAGCATATTATATATTGGTTACTTTAATGTTTCATGAATTTTTTACTTAATACAAAAACACTACATTTTGCAAACTCTTCAAGGTGATTTGATGACTTTAAATGATAACTGTGACGATAACACTCAAGTTGTTTTATCTATCATGCTCTTACTTTTTATTCTTTGGAACTTTGGTGTTTTGTTTTTTGCGTTTGAGGTTGAAGTGATTTATATTCATATAAATACTTGGTCCATTGTCCATTATAATTTTGTTTAACTTAATCTATACATCTAATGACTGGACATATTAATATGAAAGGCCCCTTGTACTTGAGCCTCCTTTTCAATTGTATACAGCAATCTTCGCGAAACCCATTTTTACCCGCAAATAGCAGACCTTGGGAAAGCTTGAACATCATCGTTTGACCAAACGTCGCCTTTGTTTTACGTAGTATCCAACCAGATACAACTGCTGGCTCCCTTGATAATCTGACTACAATACTCCAAATACAATGGCAGGCCAATCAGCTAAAAAGCAAGTTGCTCAAAACTTCAAGATCTTGAAAGAAATCCATTTGATAACATGGATCTCTTATTCAATCTTTACATTCTTCAATTACTTCCTTAATAGACCACAATCATCAAAATTTTTCATCATAACAGCAGTCCCAGTTTTCGGCTCATTATATGTGATAGAAAAATTTGGTAGACCGGTATTAGATCCACAAGGTAAAATCATTCGCCAAGGTCAAGATTTACAACAAGAAGGATTAACTGAATACCTTTTCGATATCATCTATTACACTGTGATTTTAAACTTCTTAACAATTTTGTTCAACTCAAGCAAAATATGGTGGTTGTATTGGGCTATTCCAGTCTTTGCAGTTTATAAAATCTATGGTGTTATCAATGCTGGTAGACAAATGTTTGGAGGTGGTGCAAAGAGTGGACAACAAGTTGAAGAGTATGATGGTGAGAAAGAGCAAGCAAAGAGTAAAAGACAACAGAAGAGAGAGGCAAGAGGTGATAAGCCAAAAATGAGATATAGATGAAATTTTGTTCATTGAAACTTCTACTGATGTTCACTCACCATGCAAGCATTTTATTCAAAAAAAAGCATAAATCCTTTCGAGTCAATTGATAACACAGTCATTAATAACACAATTTGATTTCAAAAGCATACTGAATGGGCAATCGAACCTGTTATTGTAGCTGAGAGGGCGGTATTATAATAATGCGGCCCGAACCGCTCGATTATGTAAGTTTTGAATTTTTTTAACGAAGAAAAAAAAATTGATGTAAATTTGAAATCAACATAACCTTCCAACAATTTCAACCAACTAAAATCAAGTTCAAGGTTCATTCATCATTAAATATTTATAAGAATGTCAAGAGAAGGTTTCGTGGCACCAACCCAATTAAGTCAAGCCGCTTCAGGTTTTTCTTCAACTAAATCCAACACTGTCAAATATATCTGTACAAATTGTGCAACTTCTTTATCATTAGGAAGAAATGATGCTATCAGATGCAGTGCTTGTGGTCATCGTGTTTTATACAAATCTAGAACAAGAAGAATGGTTCAATTTGAAGCCAGATAAGTTATGATGTTATTGGCGAGTTGTTGCATTTGATGTTGGGGGTTGTTCAGCATAAGATGATAATCTGATTTTTTGAATAAATGTATTATAGTGAAGAAAGAGAAGAGAGTGTGCGTGTGAAAAAGTTTTGTTTGAAATATTAATAAATGGTTTTATTTGGGATATATTGTTGTGTTGTAAGTTGGCTTCTACAATAAAGCTTTAATGGATTATATAAATCATATTAAAGGGAATAGGATAGAAATGCCTGCTTTAAAACTTTGAAGCTGAATAGCAGACAAATATCGGTCAGACATCTTTCAAATGGTTTCTTGATATAAATCAACATGTAACTCAGTTAATATCAGATCTCTGAACTTGTTCGGTTCTAACTCCAACTTTATAAGTACTTGTGCTCATTAATCATCAACACTCCTTCTATTGTCCAAACAGTTATTCACCACTATGCCTGACTGCATTTCTTATATAAGGATATCTTTATCTAGTCTCATTATCAGTATTGATGATTTACTCTAGGTACACTGGTATTACACATCCCAACACCAATTTCTCTCATTCTTACATAATCTCTGACATCAGCCATTCGCGGAAAATCTCCATTCTGGGCAGCGTTTTTTTTTCTTTTTCCAAGATTGCTATTTTCCCAACCAATTTTTTTATGTGTGAATTTGTAATTGAACATTTGAATCTAAAATATATTTCAATCATTACATCAACATTTTGATTTGATTTTAACTGAGGAATCATCGCTTGAATCATCAAAAACATCAACACAAACCACTAAAATCATCAAACAGCCGCCTAGTTAAACACGGTCGCCACAAGCTATAGAAAGAACGCGCTGCTTTACATTAGGAGCTGCCTTATCGTCATCCACAATCCGCAGGTCAAAGGGAGTGAGAATTCATAAACAGAAAAGGCTAGATTCCATCTCTGCTACTGAAAGAAACGCCAAAGTTCAACATTCAACGCGAAAAAAAGCTTCATCAGCAAAAAGTTAGTGAACTGATCAAGTTTTTATCAGTTTCCAAATAAAATCATCTTTTGAGAAGGGAGGCCATTTTTAAAGCATCTCATATCAGCCGCGAAAAGAAACACAAAACATCAACTTCTTCCATCAACAACAATATTAACACGTTCGTTACTTATCAAGTCAAAACCACTCTACAACTATGGCCACTACACTTCAAGACTCAGGTGAAAATCATCAATTGCCACAATTCTCCACTGGGGCGAGTTCTAAAACATCGTTTGACCTTGAACCTAACCCATTTGAACAAAGTTTTGCAACTGGTAAAGAGAACCCAAATGGTACCTCAAAAGCTCCAAATATTCCAGCTTCTTCGCCTCAAATTTTAACACCAGGAGGTAGAAAATTACCACCATTAGTTTTATCCCCAAATGTTCAGTCTAGCTGGAGCTCAAATAATTTCGGCAGAACTGGTTTAACTCCAAATGAATCTGGGTTGAGAACTGGTTTAACCCCAGGCGGACCAGGTTTACATGCACTAAATGGTATTGCATTACCAGGCTTGAATACACCAGGATCTTTGGGATTTTCAGGCTTAACCCCAGGGCTTTCTTCATTGTTAGGTGCTGCTGGTGTTGATCAACATTCAAATCATTTAGGTATACCTGGTCAATCAAATCCACAACAAGCACAGACTCAAAATCAACAGACCCAACCACACCCTTCTATTTCACACCAAGATGTCGGTCTTATTCCACCTCAACCACAACAGGCTCAAATTCAAACACAACCAGCTGCTGCTCAACAACAACAACAGTTGAACCAAAATGTCGCTCATTCTGGCCAAAACTCCAGAAATCACTCATTACACCAATCACCAGTTCAACAGTTTCAAACCCAGCCCCAAGCAGGCGTTCCTCAACAACCATCTGCCATTCACCAATCAAACACACAGCCAATTATCCCTCAACCAGCTTCACAATCCACTATTTCTAAAACTTCAGCTGATGCTTCACCAAAGGTTGTGGAGCCTCCAAAAAGAGGTAGAAAGAAAGGATCAACAAATAAGGCAACAAAAGTTAAAAACAATGATGATGGTCCTAAACGCAAAAAGGCCAAAACTGATAAAACATCAAAAGCCAACGGTGCTGCTGCTCCAGCTCCAGCTCCTGCAAATGTTGAAGATTCAGACCCACAATCAGACTCTGCCAAGGTAAAAGACGAAGAAGGTGATGATAATTTGAATGATAATTTAACTGAAGATGAAAAACGTAAACAGTTTTTGGAAAGAAATAGAGTTGCTGCTTCAAAGTGTCGACAAAGAAAAAAACAACTGATGGTGAAAATGGAAACTGATTTGAATTTCTATTTGAATGAGTATAATAACTTGACGGCAAGTGTTGATCAGCTGAAAGATGTTTCTACAAATTTAAGAGCATTTTTATTCAATAACGTCAATGTTGGTCAAAATGCTCAAATTTTGAAAAGTGTTGAAGGTATACTACAAATTATCAATCAAACAAACTATATGTCCAGATTAAGAGGAAATGCACCTTCAGATATAATACCCACAGTTCAACCAATAAATCCATCTTTAGTCCAGCCGAACGCTCAACAGCATCCTCAATTTGCACAACAACTTCAACAACCTCAACTTATGCAAGCACAAGCTGATATGATTTCAAATTCATTACCAAATACTGTTCCAAACACTGTTCCAAACTCAGTTCCTACAAGTAATAACAATTCTTCAACAAATTTACAAGCAATGGGTGGTAATATTCCTCAAAGAATGGCTACTAGTGGTAATTCTTCAAGTGCACCACCAGCTGTTTTACCTAATGGGAATGGAGCAGGTCTCATGTTGAACAATGATTGGGGAACTGCCACTAACTAAAGAAATACTGGTTTGATTCACAATTTATTATTTTTTTTTTATCTTTCATTATAAACTTATAGAGTTTTTCATTCTCTTTTTATTGCTTTGTTCTGTTTCGTTTAATCCCACATATATGCTACTTTCAAATACCATATGTCATTTAGTATATCAGCCAAAATGAGCATCAGACGTCGTAGTACAGCATGATGAAAGCAACACATATGCTATTGACAATATCACATTGTGCAACACCAACTTTGTAGTTATCATAGCGGTTGTTTTCAACAGCAAGTGTACACTGACGTAGATACCTTATTGTGCGGATGTGACTCAAAATCTGGAGATGATCAGCATGTCTTATCACAACATGACTCTTCAAATACGACGCACAGCTTAAAAATTGGAAATTAGAGCTTGATAGAAACTTGAAAGTAGAATTAATGTCAGATATACGGTTAAGCTTTAAAGTTTGCTTTTTCAGATCTGAAATCTGTCACAATCGAGCTGCCCAGCGCCAATTAGTTGCTCATGTTCGTCACGACGCGCTCTTGATCTTGGTGACAGGTCTCGTAGATGATAATTTCTCGGGTGGAACGTCAAATTCATTCCATACTTCTACTATAGACGTGTTGCAGCTCAAACATCTGAGAGCATGATGGATGATTGTACTAGTTGAAGTTGAAGCCAATACAGCAATAAGCATATGTAACGATGGGAAACAATAGCAATGAAGGTTGACCTTGGTATTGAAATCCCGCAATGGCACATCATGTATATTGTGCATTTTCTAGTTTCAATAAAACCACTAGCGGGCACTTATATCATTTCTTCTGAATGTTTTCTCTCTAATATGAGTCTTATCAAACCTGATACACTAATTGATGAGTTGGATAAGGCATAGCGGGTCTATCAACGGTTCGACTAACTTTACGTATCAACTTTGACCGCTCAATCTGATACTCTTTTTGGAAAGTGGTTTGAAAGAAATACCGTAGATTTAAAAACCAAATGATGAATTATAATGGAAAGCACCAGCTTGACATTCGTAGTCCAAACTGTTGTATGAATTAACTGACAGTGTCCACTGTCAAGGCTCAAGAGCTGCCATTATCTTCTGGTCAATAATCTTTTTTAGTTAACTCCTATTATTACCGCTTGCTGACTCAGAACTGATAATTCGCGAATTATCAATTAAGAGAACGTTGAACAATTTTTTACAGGCTACAAGATCAGTTTTAATTTCAAAGAAATATCTTTTTAAAAAGTTGAAAGCTTTTAATAGCTAGAAGTTAAATTGCTAGGTAGAATCAAAAAGGGTATTTGTAAAGAAAAGAAACTAAAAATGAATCAAGAATATTGATAGACCAAATCAACAAACTCAAGCTGGTAAAACACCATTTTTGATCTTTGATAAGAACAAATCAACTGAAGCTAGAGCACCAGCTAATAATGAGGCAACAACACCAACCAAGTTCAAATGAAGTAAGTTATCTAAAACTTGGTTCAAAGTCCATAAGATCTTGGCTAGTAAAGTTTTGATAGCATCAATCAAAGTACGAAGAACTTGGTTCAAGGTGGCATCAAGACCAGAGTTGGCTAATAAAGCATCTAATTTGGCAAAAGTATCATTCAATAAACCATTCAAAGCATCTGTACCTTCTTCTAATCCAGTGATACCACCTAAGGTTGAAACAACACCTTTTAATAAATCAAGAACAATAGTAACAACAGCTCCTAAGGTATCTTTTGGAAGTTCAGTTGGGGCAGTTAATAAAGTGGTTAATTGGGTTAATTCACCAGTGATATTGGCGATACCTTTATTGATGGCACCAATTGCTTGTAATTCTTCAAACAATGGTTCTGGAGCAGCAACAGCAACAGCATCTGGTGAAGCAACGGCAACTGGGGCAGCAATAACACTGATTGCGAACAATGAAATTAAGGTAAAGACTGAAGTGATTGAGATTTTCATCTTTCTTTGGAGTTGATTTGGTGATAATCAAGGATGTTTAATGAAACTAAATCAAAACATGTATTCCAGGTGGAATTCAGTTATAATTTATACACGGTTTGATTTCAAGAAAGCTGAAAATTTCAGATCAAAAAGAGGAACTATATCAGGAAAGCTATAAGCTTGATGATCTTCATTTATTATTTTGGTTACCCATGTCTTTCCCAATGTGTTGTCATACCTCCTTCAACGTTGTGAAAAGTTGAAGCATGTCTGTACATTTGGTGCCCAGTAGTTTTAGTCAAATTATACACCACTGAAAGTACTGCATGATTCTTTGTGCGAATAAACTCTGCTTGCCTATATGTGATATGTATGCAACTTCACGAAGCATACTCCTTGAAGGCCAGAATGCAGCTTCTGTTTTAGGGATTGATTTTTCTCTAGGGAGGTAACTGCATGATGAATATTATTTTGTGTACCTCACTACGTACAACAATGAGATTTGTTCGTTGAGATTAGAAGGTTTTACACGGTGTACAGGGATTATTGATATTATTACATAGGGTACCTTTATGTGACAAACTTTTCCGCAGTTACAGAACCAACGAATTGATGTTTAAATACCTTGAACCAGAATAAAAGGGACAGCTTCATGAAGTCCTTAATCACGCACTAAACATTTTATGTCGAACCATTCGTTTTGCAGGATCCATTAGACTGTACTTGACTAGCGAGTCGCGACAGCATTGTTATTGTCTTTCACGATGCGCTATAGTCTGAGAGCTAATTAATTTATTCACCATAAGGAAATTACGAATTCACTGTAACAGGATTAAATTTCCAACACATACGCTACATTGAAAGTGCCAGCTATCGATAGAGATTGCTCTTTCTTGAACAATTGTTGTGGAAGTTTGGCATCTCGCTACACTTACACTGTCTTCAAAAATTATAAGGTTTCCACTTTGGTGACTCAAGAATTTTGGCTGCAGAATCTGGGTTTTGACCAAAAAAGTGCTGAGAAAAATACGATTGAATATTTAACACGAACAATTAGAGAAAACTGCCTTGGATCGCTGTTCCCTATCAGCTGCATACGCTGTAAGTGGATAACTCTACTTTCTTCTAATAAGAGAATCAGCTGCTAAATTAAGTGGGGGCTAGTCTCTTCCCTTTAATTCCACTAGGTGCTCCTTATTACTAGACGTTTCTACTGTTCATTGAGAGAATTCAATAGTCAATGCTAATACTATTAACAATATGAAAACAAAGCTCTAGCTACTGACCCAACCTCTACAGGTCTAGTTTGAACCAATAATAAATTCTCACCAAACCCTCAAAACCCTTTTCCAATTTTATTTTTCCAAATACATCAGCTCAGCAGTTTAGTTTGGTTCCGGATTTAACAGGAACTTCTACATATTTTTTGTAATCCCTGCCAAAGAAAATTGAAAAACTGGTCTTGATTTAAAACCACATAAAACCCACCACTTTCCTGCCTTTCTAAAGGAATGAGTGTTCTTTGATGTTCAAATAATGCTTTCATTTGAGTTTGAGGAAACTGTTATAATGATATTAGGAAAACGTTAAGATAACATTAAGTGAAGATGGCTATTATTTCTCTTCCTGGTTCTAGAGTTCCTGAGCTGGAGTTCTTCATCAAAAATCTGCAGTGCTATTTTCTTTTGTATCCTTTGGTTTAGACTTCATGATTGATAGTTTGATTGGTCATATATAACCTTGCTGTTATGACTGAAGCTGCTACATGTTCTCAAAATTGGTCAAAATAGAAACAAACATTTCTTATGAAGTATAGATTAAAGACATCTAGTCAAAGCTAGGAACTAATTAGAAACAAATTGTTCTTGTCAAAGAAAATTAAAGAATCTTTTCAAAAGATTGAATCAAAATATCACTAAAGATCAATTGACTTAAGCTGGTAAGGCACCATTTTTCAATTGAGATAAGAATAAATCAATAGCAGCTAAAGCACCTGATAATAAAGCAACAACAACACCAACTAAGTTCAAGTGGAATAAGTTGTCCAAAACTTGGTTCAAAGTCCATAAGATTTTAGATAACAAAGTTTTCAAAGATTTCAATAAAGCATCTAAAGTTCTGTTTAAAGTGTCAGATAAACCAGAGTTTTTCAATAAACCATCTAATTTACCAACAGTGTCATCTAATAAGTCATTTAATGAATCAGCAACACCATCTAAACCAGTGGCTTGACCTAAGGTATCAACAACACCGTTAACAAATTCCTTGACAATTTCAACAACTTTGTCCAAAGTATCATGAGGAAGATCAGAAGTGGTTAATAATGAAGTAACTTCTTTCAACAAACCAGTAATGTTGGCAATTTCACCGGAAACAGCACCAATTGGATCTGGTAAGTTCAAACCAGCCAAGTCACCAGTTGGTAAAGAACCACCCAAGACACCAGTAAGACTACCAAGTTCACCAGTTGGAAGGTTACCTAAAGCACCAGTTGGAAGGTTTGAAACTGGTAATGAGGCAGATGGAATATCGACTGGAGCAGCAAAGACTGAGGTGGCTGCAATTGAAGCAAAAGCCAAGATTGATGAAGTTGAAAATTTCATTATTATTATAAATTGAATTGAACGAAGGTGAGATCTATTAGATGTTTGAAACCTTTGAAGATGTTGAAGGAAAACAAGAACAGAATTCTGGTTTGAAGGAGATATTGACGGTTATTTATATTCTTTTCCAGCTAGCAATTACTTTTGACCTTTCTTCGAGGGTATTTCTAGATCTCAAGAATTTGAAAAGGGTTGATATGTGGATCTCCATAGTCGAATTTCTATTGAGTATTACGTGAGTGTGTCTGATAATGTGCTAATTAATACCTTTACCTACACCAGCTTTTGAATTTCATAAGTTTTCAACCCTGATCGTTGTGTACAAATTCGAATGAAAATCAATGAATTATAGTGAATAGTGAATTGATAGTAGGCAAATATGTGTGCTCTATGCTCTATGTTGTGTGTAATTTGTATCGCTTTTCGAAATGAGGTAATTGTGTCTTCCAAATTCGTCAAGAGCCCTCAAAGAAGGTGAACATCCTTGAAGTTTTGGTTCAGGACATCAATTGTAGATGCCTAGGTCCACATGTTAAAGGTTGTGTATATCAGCATTCCAGTCCACAATTCACCGTGGTTTTTCCATTTTGTATACGCTATGTGTATCCTTCATCAACGCTTCCCATCGACCCCTGTATTTCCTCGAGGTACACTGGCTTGCAAGAAGACGCGTTATGCGCATTGTTTGAGACTTTGAAACGGACCCAAAAAAGTGACTTTATGCGGGTTTTTTTGGAGCGAATTTCTGCACAGATTGTCAATGGCGCTCATGCTGCAAAGTGCCTGGAGTAGATCACAGCGAGTTGCATGGTGGACAAGTTTAGTGGACAGTTAGATCATCAAGATTCACAACTAGCAGTCTAAACCATAACAATTTCAAGGCAGATGGTGTTTTTTCTATGAGAAATCTTAGCTCTCCTGAGATCTCTGTGAATTTCTGACAGGTTTGTATCTCGCAAAAGGCCAATTCAGGAAATGCTCGAGTTGTTTCGTGGAAGATTGAACTGTGTACAGCTTCATAGAACGTATAAGAAATCTTTATTAGCTAATTACTGAAAAGTGTGGGTCCTCTCAGGTGATTCTGTTGTACTCGCTTTGAAGGCTCCTCGAAGGAAATTTGGTTCGAGTACTTTTGTTGTTGGGTTTGAGTGTATCGAAATAAGTTTCTTAATTTGATTTTCTATTTCCCAAAAAGAGAGCTACTGATTCATAGACAGCGTTGTCGATTATTTTAGGAGGTGCTCTTCATGTAATTGTGGTGATATTTGTCGAGCCTCAGTCTAGCTAAGGTGTGAAAAATCTACTAGTGTCTCGTTGCCTCTACAACATATGTGGAGGCAAAAAAATAGCTCTCTTGAAGCCTTTAAACTCCATTGATTGAAATACTGATTAGCGAAATAACGCCATAGTTCAACCAATGAAAAATCTGGGTGGGAGCTAATTCAACTTTTAGATCATCAATAGACACATGAGCAGGATAATTTTCGAAAGATCGTAAGTCATGTCTATGCTTGAACTAATGCTTTTGGGAAATTTCGAGTTCACCTGAATTTGTTGAATACGCACGTACAGATACAAACCTTTGACCTTGACTGGGCTCAATTCATCATCTTGTATGTACCCATGTATAAACCTAGAGGCTCAAGATTTTTCAACGGGTATGTTGGAAAGTAAAAAGTACGGCTTGATATGTGGTGTAAATTTGGAAATTAGGGCTTGGGTTCACAATTCTCATGAGCATTTAATTGATTGAGACCCGCCATTTAGAACGTCCAAATTAGTGAAGTGAACTTAACCGCTTCTACTTCTTTTAGAGGATGGTTTGAGATCTATATCTATTAATCAGCGGTCCATGTGGTTGACTTTGGCTCAAAAATCTTCCTGGTTTGAGACTTCAAGCTCAAATAGTTATGGCAAATTTCAGAGATGTTGAACTTGAATTGACGATCTGAACATGGATTGAGCTCTCAAGTTTCAACTTAGTCCAACCTAATGGGTAGTCATAAAAGATGAGGCAGAAGTTAAGACTACCTTTGCCCTTTGGCATGATGAAGGCCAGGCAAGTGACGTTGAAGGGTCTATTCGCCACATGGCACCCAATGCTCATCAAGATGGACGTTTGGAAATTGAAAACGAAGAGTCTTTAAATTTGTATTTCTTTTGCATCATCACCAATTTTAGAAAGCTACACAGCTTTCCCTCGAGCATAGGCCACTTTCCTTGGTTTGATCCATTCTAGATAATGATTTGAGGTCTATTTTAATTGCCCCAGATTTTTCAGAATCTGGATAAAGAACCGGAACCGTTTGTTGTCCAAACCACCCGCGAATTTCTTCCAATCTTCGACGATAACGATCTTGAACAAAACTGAAGAACTTTGTCAAGTTTTCACCAAAACAAAAGTCAATCGAACTCGACTCAAACTGAGTGTGGCTGCTTCATATTTCAATCAGCACAATGTCTCTCTCATACATCAAAAATGCCGGAAAGATCCTATGTATCGGTCGTAACTATGTTGCCCATATAAAGGAACTAAACAATACAAAACCATCCCAACCATTCTATTTCCTAAAACCGTCTTCATCTATTCTTGAGCCAAATGCCGGACCAATATTGATTCCTCGTGGGACAGTTGTTCATCATGAAGTGGAATTGGCCGTTATCTTGAACAAAACGTTGAAAAATCTTGATCCAAATACTTTTACAAATCAAGATGCTTTAGACTCCATTGATGGTTATGCATTGGCTATTGATCTTACTGCTAGAAATGTTCAAGATGAAGCTAAGAAAAAAGGTTTACCTTGGTCTATTGGTAAAGGTTTTGATACATTCTTACCTTTATCCAAGTTCATCCCAAAGGAAAAATTGCCAGATCCTTATAAAGCTGAATTACATTTGGAGATTAATGGTGAGACAAAACAACAGGATTTAACTTCATTGATGATCTTCCCTATCCATAAGATTCTCAGTACAATGAGTAGTGTCATGACTTTGGAAAAGGGTGACATTATTCTGACAGGGACTCCTAAAGGTGTTGGTAAAGTCTTGCCTGGTGATCATGTTACTGCTGGTTTGACCTATGAAGGGGTCGAGATTGCAGAAGGAAAGTTGGATTTGGAAGTTGAACAAAAACCAGGGCCATATGAGTATAAGGAAACATGATAATTCATAGATAACTAACTAATCAGTTTGTTTGTTTTTAGGTGTACATTTTGATTTTCCAGAGTTTGAAAAAAATGTTGTGTGTATATAATATGTACTGAAAATTTCTCGTATAAACAACATGAACAATATTTAAAAACCAAAAGAACAAAAAACCTAATGTAATAAAACTTTTTTATAAAAATCAAAGAAGAACAAGAAACCAATTTCAAAAGAATGCATCATAATCATAATAAACTTAACTTGTATCACCATCTGGTGGAATATATTTTCAAAACTATTGGGAAGCAGTTCCTAAACTTTGACCCATTTTAACTTTTTGACCTTTTTCAATGTTGAATTTAAAGCTTTTAGGAGCCTCAAACACTAAAACAACAGTGGAACCCAACATAAATCCACCAACTTCTTGACCTTTGGTAACTGGATACCCACCTAATAAAGGACTCGCTTTTGAATAAGTTGCTTCATAACAGGTGTGCTTTTTGGTCTTCACTGGTTGGTCATTGGTATCTTTGTAATGTGGACTTTGATATCTGGTATTTGTTGTCAAGTCTTTATCAAAATTAACTTTGATACTACCAACATTTGTAGCACCAACTGGGGTCATACTGAAAAATCCATATTTCCAGTATCCTAATAAAGAAACTCTTTCATTCAAAACAAATAAGTTAGATAGAGTTCTTTGAAAATATGGAGCAACACTGTATAATTCACCAATAAAATGACGTCTTAATGTAACAACCCAGTCAGTTGGTGAATGGTATCTATGGTAATCGCCTGGGGCTAAGTAAATCACTGCGAAAAATAACTCTTTATCATCTTTCTTGATTGAAGATTTATCTTGAGTTAACTCATTGGCAACTTCTAAAACTTTTTTAGAGCCAACCTCAACTGATTTATCACCTTCTTCCTTATAGATGATTTTTTTCAAATGATGAACATTTTTACCTTCACCACCAAGTATATCATCTAATGAGTATGAAATTCCATTAATTTCAGCGAATTCGCCATGTCTTTTCAAAACTTCGGCTTCATCGTGATGGTCAAAATTGATTTGATGGGATGGAGCAGCTAACTTTGTATTTGTTGCATCACCTAAAAATGAATCAATGGAATAGGTCATACCTTTGACTTGCTCAATGTTACCATCATCTATGACACCAAATTGCAGGACTTTACCATCGCTTGGGCAGACTATATCAGAATCTTTAGCAATTGGTCTAACCCCATCTTTTAATTCCCTGTAGAAAAAATCACTTAAATTCTTGAAATTAGATAAGTCAGTTTCTTTAATCTCATCCAAATTGGCACCAAAACAATAGGAATAAAACTTGTAGCCAGGACCTCTCAACCAAACAGGTAAATCAATACTATTGATTTGGCCCCAAAGTCTTGAAATAGCATTCAAAGGTAGTGTGCTGTAACAGAAAAATTGCCATGAATGACTTGGTTTGATTTTTCTTTCTCCATCTTCGCTATCACTATCTGAGTCTTCATCACCTTGTCTAGATCTGGCTTGATGATATATTTTTGCAGAAACACCATAAAATATGAAACTGATTGAAAAAAGCGCAATATATTTGATCAACTGGTGTTTTGGTTGTGTAGTGTTTGTTGAGGCAGAACTTCCATTCAACTGGTTCTGATAGTATGTTTGCGAAAACTTCCTAATTGGGGGTAGCTTACCCTTGATGCCATTTTTCAACTGTGATCCATAATAGTATGTGTTGTAGTATAAAACATTTCTTTTAGGTCTTGGGATGGATGGAAAGGGATAATGTGAGTAAAATCTGGCAGCAGTTTTGGCTGTGGTAGATTGTGACAAATGGGTAGCAGCAGCTTGGGTTGCTCTAGTCAAAGGTTTAGATAAGTTCTCTACCGTGGTTGGATTTTTTGCATGTGAAAACATCTTTGTTTTGTAGCTCCTCAAGTTGCAAAAAAAAAAAACACACTACAGGTGATTGAAAAAACACGAGCCAAACGATCTGGGGAAGGAGTGAGAAAAGAGCGTCAAAGAGTCTGTAATCTGGACTGGTAAGGATTGTGGTACTGTAGTGAGTCTCACAAAAACATCAACTGGCTTATACTGGTCTTTCTGGGTGGTTTGGGAGATGTCTTGTGCTTGAGCGGTTAGCTTGGAGTTGATCGATTGTGTGAAGAAAAGATTCAGTTTTCAAAAAAAAATCTGAAAAAAAACAAAAACGGATGTGCACGTGATTGTGAGATTCGGTTTGGTGCAAAAAATATAATCCGAGGGCGTGTGTCAAATTCGTAATTTTCCAACGGTTTTGATACGTTCTTTCAATGAAGTTTCAGTAAAGAACAGGTATAAAGTGTGATCAGGGCTTTTGAAATATGATTATTGGTGTTTCAGGTACTCTGGGTGCCGGTAAAACAGAAATCGCTCGTTATCTTTCTTTTCAAGGGTTCAAATTCATTGATTTCAAAAGAGAATACAACTTGATACCCAATGTTGAAAATTTGAAATTGAACCATAGTGAATCATCAATCATTGCTGATAGAGAATTGAAACCTGAGATACTATTTGAGAGCTTGGAGGACCTTATAGACCATGTCACCAGAAACTGGCTAACAAATTTTGTCCTGACAGATATAACCACAATGGCTGAGTTGGATCAACTGAGCAAAAGACCTTTCTTTCTTCATATTTCAATTGATGCTCCTTTGAAAATCAGATATCAAAGACACAAGGCACATTATCCACAATTAACATTCACGGAATTCATAGAAACATCAGATTCTCAAGCCTATAATCAAGAAGCTTTAATTATAGAAGTTATCACCAAAGCATCAATCAAAATTATAAACGCCTCAACAATTGTGGAAAATCTTTATGTTCAACTCTCAGAATTAAACCTGCTAGACCAAACTCGTCTTCGTCCAAACTGGGATGCCTATTTCATGCGACTGGCTGACTTGGCTGCATTGAGAAGCAATTGTATGAAGAGAAGAGTTGGCTGTGTCATTGCACGCGATAAACGAGTAATTGCAACTGGTTACAATGGTACTCCAAGACATATGACAAATTGTAATGAAGGTGGTTGTCCCAGATGTAATAATGGAAATGGTTCAGGTGCTGCTCTGTCAACTTGTCTCTGTCTACATGCTGAAGAAAATGCTTTGTTAGAAAGTGGAAGAGATCGTATAGGTGATAACGCTGTGCTCTATTGCAACACTTGTCCATGTTTGACTTGCTCTGTTAAAATCGTACAAAGTGGGATAAAGGAGGTTGTTTACTCGTTAGATTACAGTATGGATGATACATCTTCAAAAGTTTTGAAGGCTGGTGGTGTTATTTTAAGGCAGTATACTCCACCAAAAGATGGAATAGTTGTGTAAATATAAATAAATAATGCATTGATTTTCTTTACCTTCCTCTTTCAAATTGAATGCATTAGTGACCAAAGTTGGACTTTTAGGTTATCAACAAGCTCTAAAGTCAAGTAAAATGTATCATTTTCACTTAAAATCTTGTCATAATATGCAAAAATCAATTTCAAATTCCATAAATCACTGATATTCTTAGGTTCTTGCACAATATGGTTCAACTCTATCTGTTTATCAATTATATTTGACTCAAATTGCAATTCATTTGGATCATCTAATAATGATAACACCTCATTTTTATTGAATCCATCAAAAATGCTTAGTTTAAGAAGTCTATTCCCATGTTGGTTATTTTTTTCAAAGTTTTTATTGATTTCAGTAAGTATCAATTGGACTGATCTTCTCAAGACTTTAATGTTTCTCTTTTTGTAAACAAATAACTCCAAATTTGGTTTCAACTTTGATAAATCATTAATTTCAAGTTTGAAATATTCATCAGATAATGTGGAAATGCTGTTGATCATGAATAAATTTGGTAATAGACAAGGTGTTTTAGAATCATAACTCGTACCATCAACCAATTCAATGTTAACTTCCTCTTGTATTGGTCTTGAAGTTTCAACATCACGGACAACAAGACATCTCGAATCAATAGAAAGTGACCAAAAATGACGAAGAGCTTGTAAATGAACTTCTGGATCATCATTATCACAATGTGGAAACAGGGGGTATATCGATGTGACTAAAGCAGCAACTGCAAAATTTGATGATGTGTTGAAAGCATATTGACCACCACCAAGGAACAAAAATCCTAACGCCATATTAACTGCCATAAACTTGCCGTAAGCATTCTGAGGTTCAGTAGTTTCAACTTTCCCATGCATAATTCGAAGCCTTCTGAAAGTTTCTAAATCTCCAGTTGCTGCCATTATTATGGAGCAAGATAACGCTAAGATCATTTGAGTTTGTGTCAATACTTTACTTCTTGCCTTCACTTCAAATGAATAATCATCATGGTCTAATGAGTCAAGCTCGCAGGTAATTTTATCATAAAACTCTAGAATTGAGTCTCTTGCAGTATTATCAGAAGTTGAAGCATATTTCACTCCTAAGGACAAACACAACCCTGAGAGAACATGGAAATAGTTAGCATTATCACCATCACCTCTTACCAACGGTTGAGGGATTTGTGAAGCAATCCAATCAGAAGTATTACCAATATAATCCCACATTATCAAGTTCCTGCTCAAAACTCTCAAAAGCAAAACATCTGGCCTGATGTAGTCCAACAGTTGCTCCGTATCTGGAATTTGAAGCTTCTTTGCAACAACTTCGTTGTTAGTTTTCAAATAGATGAATGCCAAACCTAGAATAGCCCCAGACATTGATTTATCAAATGCTTCTTCCGATTGAACATCCTTCATAAACGTTGAAATTGACAAAAGTTTATCCACTATATGAGCATCATTGAGACCTTTAAGGTCATCACCTTTTCCCAAATTGACATACCCCAATGCTATTCCAGCAGCTAGTCTATAACTTTCTTCTGCAACCTCTTTTTCATCAACTACAACCATTCCTGTTACTTGAGATAACAAGATCTCACTCATTCTTCTGTGCTGTGTTTCCAGATATAGCAAACCAATTCCAATTAGACCAGCAGTTTGAACTGGAATAGATACAATTAAGTCACTTGCACCCTGTGGCAACAATGCAACAACGTGGACACTCAACACTTTTGTTAATTTAACATCCATTGTACCTCTCAAACTTGCACTCATCCCGAGAAGTAGTCCGACACTTGTAAATGCATGTTTGGGGCCTAAATAATTGAAAATATTCCACTCCTCAAGAGACTTCAAATGCCCATTGAGACCTAGACCAAGTAGAAAACCACCATGTTGTGAATTGAGTTCGTGTGGTTTGTTGAAAACAATCCAACTACCAGTAATACCTTTGGCGTCTCTTGAAATGCTCAAACCCGTTGAAGCACCGTTGTGGAAATGGCCCCATTGAAGAGCATTCTGGTTAATAAAATCAGCTTCAAGAGTAACTGTTGCATTCTGAGGTTGGATCAATGTGTTGAAAGTAATCTTTGGTACTAAAAATTTTTCTGTCATCAAGGGGACCTTACTTGAATAAAGCAGTGATGATCTTCCTAGTGGAACAGTAAGGTTCCTAATGCATGCCACAATTGCTATCTCTTTTTGTCTCAAAAGTAATTCATTTTCTAGAATTGTGCTTGAATATCCAGACATGAAGGCTTGAATCTTTGATGTTTGAAGCATTTTTGAGGCCTCGTAAAATCTCCGATCTTCTGAAAATATCAATTTGGTAACATTAAATCTGTCATACTCTACCGGTGCAATTGTCTCTGCTGGATCATTTATCGATGTTGTGATCTGGTGCACATCTTTAAGTTGCTGATTTTGGTAAGGTTGAACCAGAAGCCTGTTTTGAAAAATATCATCTGGAGAGTGAAGTCTTTTCAAATCTTTTCTTTCGATTAAATCAAACTGAACAAACTCCTCATCTATTCCAGACACGTACTCTTGACAAAATGTGATGGCTTCACTCAAAGGAATGATGATACCCAATGGGAATGTATCGAGATCAGCCCTGCCTATATTGTACTCCGACATCATATTGAGAATATCCTTTGGGGTGAATTCAGACCTTATAATAGCCTCAAATAATCTCAATACATAGAACGTTCTTGGTGTGAGCTGTTCATCTAATTGTTCACTCTCTTGTGCTAGTTGTGAGAAAGTGATAAATGGGACAATATCAGATTCAAATAACGATGTTAATGATTTCATCAAATCAGGTGGGTCTTCTAATAATTGGCGTTGAGGAAATTTGATAGACCTGTTAAGTTGCTCCAAATTGAAACCATAATACATATACCAAGCTTCAGACCAGCTCATCCAAAGTGTCACCTGAGAAAGAAGTAATCCTAAATCATCAACAACTTTTGTGTTAAGAATATTTAATGCCAAATCCTCCCGTATCAAATGCAATGCTAACACTATACTTGGAGCCATATCTTTTAAGTTGAAACCATCTTCTATAGCTTTTTTCTGAAGAGCCCCAATTTTGGATAGGTTTTCCGAGACTCTATTGTTTGCATCCACATCATCTGGAGTAACTGAGATTGGAACAGTACAAGCTAAAATGGTCATAATAAATGCGTCCCATTCATCCTCAACAATAGCAAAAGAATTTATCCAAGTCAACCATATATAACTGAATGTATAAGAGTTTGTCAAATATTTCAATGCATTCAAACAATCTTCAATTACCTTTACGCTTGGCTTGAGTGTAAGATTATAATTGAGAATATTACCCGTGATACTTCTAGCAATCAATTGTGGGCCTAAACAATCATATAACTTCACGATTTGGTCAGTTGGAAAGAAGACACTAGTGCTCAAGTTCAAAAAGGGGTTGAGTAACACCAATCTATTGTCTTTAGACAACAATATAATGAAGCCAGGAAGCGTGCATCGAACAAAGTCAGTATATTGATCTGAAAGCTTAACTGAAGTCATAATTTTGGTTATAGTAGCAGAGCCGTTGGGTGAATCAAAGATTAATGCTTCAAAAAGACTAGAGTCTGCACTCTTTATTATCACCGCCTCTTTATGTCCAAAGACAATTGATTTTGCGTCTATGAATTTGTGAGTAGGGTTTCCATTTAAACTCAAGCTCTCAATTTTGGTCAATATTGCATCTTTCCTCAAAGACTCTAAACCTGAGGAAGATGTTCCTATGTCGGCTGACTTTGTGGGATTGTTAAAATCGTATGAGGCCATTCTATCAATAGATAAAACCCCTGTATGAGAAATTGATCTTTTCTTCCCTACCTCGATTTCACCACCTTGTACATCATTCGAATCATCGTGAACGCTGACTCGTGATGGCTTTCTATGTGTTGATGGCTTTCTTCTGGAATTACTTGGGTTTAACGTTGATAAAGAATTGTTCAACTTGTGTAGAAACCTTGTGTGATAAATGTTCAGAGTACTCTTCTGTGCATCAAAAGTAATGGTGATCAAGTGTTTTGAGGACTCTGGAAAAAGAACAATTCTTTCATCTTGTGAAATGGATGAGGTGGAAGAAGGGACTAGGCAACCAAACTCTGACATGGGACCAGTCATGGTGATGAAAGGATTAAATGAACCCCCAATTTTTTCAATCACAACCCCATTTTCATATGGAAACCCATTCAGTATCTTGAAGGGGAAACTAAGAGTGTAAGATCTTCCACTTTCATAGTAAATGTAAACCATCTCCTCTAAAAGTACGACTAAAACCGTTTCAGTGGTAGTACTCGATTTTGCATTTTTGGAGGTTTCAAAGTGAGTGAAAAATGCATTGGTAATCTCAGTATCATATTCGAGCTTTCTGGCTAGTAAGTCACCTCTATACCAGAGCAATGTCATACCTTTGATGGCTAACATCTCTTTTGCTGATGATAAAGTGATACGCGTTTCATTTTGATCATTCGACAGATGTGACAGGTCTGAATCGAATTTAAGGTCAGACAGCTGTATACTGGGGAGATCCATTTCTATAAAGCACCTGGGTACCAGCCGCCCTGCTTTTTGTTGATGAGGTGTTGGTTAATTGTAGATTAAAAGTAGTGCTCTTCTGTGAACTCTGTTTATTTTTCGCCCGCGCCAAAACTGCGTACCCGTGTCAAATTGGCAGTTCTTCGTATTCTGTATATAAAACTGTACTAAGATATGCCTTCCTGGCTATCTTCGAACCGAAAAAAATACAGAATCCATAAATTGGATGTCCAATTTATCGAATTAAGCAATAAATTCCCCTAAATTACTTGAAAATTTGGCAAAAAAAATTTAGGGCCGAGCAGGGAATTGAACCCTGGGCCACTCGCATGCTTTTGTAGTACTTAAATCAGGTGTAACCCAATCTTCGCCCAAAGCGAGTATCATACCACTAGACCACACGGCCGTAATTTATTTTATAAAAAATGCAATGTTTTCAGCATGTCACGCTTACTGATTAGATAATATAAATAAATTGAAAACCTGTTCTAACGTTAAGTGAATCCGAAAGCGAGGGAGTTTTAGTGGGTATGCCTAAATGTATACAGGTGAATCCCACACTGTTCCAGTATTTAATTATACTGGTTCGTGCTTAAAGCATTTTTTCCTTGTAGTGCATAATGTTATTGTTGTATACAAAAAAAAAAATAAACGTTTGTATACGAAAAAAAAAAAGTGACAATGATAACTTTCGCCAAATCACAAATAAACAAATACAATTCAAAGAATTATTACCTTGGATCGTAAATTACAAGAAGAACAATATTGAAATGATAGAAAACAGTTGTGACACAGCTTTATTAGCCTTTTTGATGCATCTAAGATTCAATTAGAATCACAAATTAGAGTGCAATTTTTTTAGATAAGTGAATTTGTAAATGAGTATAAGTGAAATAAACGTTATTAATGTATACAAATTAAAAAAAATAATCATTATAAACGACGTTAATTGTATAATATTATAAATAAAAATCATTAGAATATAATTATTTTTTTTTTTTTTAGTTGATGTATTTGATGAACTTGGATGAGGAATGCAATTACGCACGAACCGGTTGGATTGTAGGCTTCTCGCTATGTTGGAATTCAGGCTTCCTTATAATATCCTTCTCAGCCAACTGAGAAACCTATTCTCCACCACGGAACAGTGTGGGACTCAAAAATCATTAGATTTTCAAAAGAATTAGTGATGTCGACGTCTCCATGAATTAATATATTGAAGAATTGAAAAATCATCATTAGATCAATATAAATATAACAAATTAAAAAAATCATAATTAGATTTTCAAAAGATCAAGTGAGATTGTCGACGTCTGATCCATGAATTAATTATATGAAGAATTGAACATTCAATAATTGAACTATTTATAATTGGATTAGAAGCACTTGAACGATATAATATTTCCCTTAATAATAATTAGTTGAAAATATTCGAAACTAGGACGTACGCGGTATACTAATATTGTTTTTAAAATTTTTTAATATTGACGTACCTCATGATGATAGACGTATATATTGACGTACATATATATTAATTATAAAATGCTAAAATAAATATGTACAAATTAATATATATTTCACTAGTGGAGACTGGAGACTCAGACGACGTCTATCTTAAAAGCTGTATAATATAATTTACATGAATCCAAGCGGTCTTCGTGCGCACATGACTTAATATATTAATTGCATTCCTGATCATCCAAGTACGATCATCATGCATGATCAAATATAATATAAACAATATCTCATGAGCTAAAAAAAGTTAAAAAAAAAATTATAATTATAAGAGAAGCACTAGCGCCTAGGATTACGTCGAATATTAGGATCAATAGATCATCTAGCTGCTAATTTAGGGCTGCACCATGAGCAGCTACGTCTAATTCTATAATATTTATTTTCAGGCCGTTCATATTAAAGCAGCTAATTAATTCATGCTCAGCTCCTAATTATTTTATAAGCTACGTCTAGTGGTTCATTCACCTTATAAGATCAATCAACAGCTTATAAACAAACCATTAATATAGGCCGACTTCATCGACATGAAGAAAAGTACTGTTAGGAATTAATATATATATTATTTCTTGGGGATTTTCACAAATTTACAAATATTGTAATTCTAATTATAACAATAGCCTTTTTAATTATAAGTTCATTAATCTAGCTAATAAATAACATTAGAGCATGAGCATGACTAGTACCAACAACGTCAATAATAAGGATTTTATATTAAATATTATCAGTTTTTGAGTCTAGCTAGTGAAGGAAACGACGTTCATGATCGATAAGTGTCACTTGCAACAGATCAAATATGGAAGGCAGACGTGTGTATTGGTTTGATGCATATTTTCCACTCCATCATCAAGCCCACAGCTGTAACATCTAAGCTTCCAAGGCATACAACTGAAATGCACCTCCTTCCACTCGAACCACTGTTGTTTATCAAGTTGAAGCGTTGAATCTCACGAGTTAAGGCTCATTAATTTGGACGTTAAAGCAATTTAGCTAGAGGTTAAGGCATTTATTTTTGTGAATTGTACCCTGAGAAGTTCAAACTTCACACTAAATTCAAATTCCCGAGCTGCCAAAGCTGTCCTGGTCAAGTACGCATTGGATTTGCGGAGGCACACTGCAGACAGCTCATGCATACATATTTGTGTGGCACATAGACGAGGCATGTTAATGTGAGCATATGGATGGTCTAAACTTTAAAAGTTGCACGCAGAAGATCTTTACAACTGTCTAAATGTTCAGACAGTGTTGTTCACCAGTATATATACATACACTGTGTTTATAGACACGTTAATAAAAAGCTTGATTCAAAACGCAAGACTCTATATATTAGCTAAGTAGTGCTAACGTAACTATGTAGCAGCTATATAATCAATTTAAGCGTAAATATAGGAAGCTGTTACATAAAACAGAACTGGCCTTCGACCAATTTAGTAGGATCTTCGATAAGTATCCTTGTCATTTAGGCCTTATGTCAAGGTAATGTGGCGCTTGAACTAGGATTTGCCAGCGCCAATGATTCAAGTCCCACTTGAGACTCCAAAAGATGTTTCTCTTTGTTCCTTTCAAGAGCATAGATATCTTTTCTATTACTTGCAAAATGTTACTGAGTATTCCAAGTGTAGCCCACGAACGCGGTTTTTGACCTCATGAGTCCTGACGTCCTGACTCAGCTCAGTCCTCCAACATTCCCAGGATTTAACAACACGGTACAGTACTATTTTAAGCTTTAAGCTTTCAGCTTTAGACAATCATGTTTCTGAACGTTTTATAAAAAGTTAGGCGACAACTTTGCACATGTACATGTAATATGTATTATGTATGTATCTTTCGACGCTGAAGCTCTGCTCATGCCAAAGGTGGAAGGAAATTGACCAATATGGTACAGGGCTTGAATCTTTCCACAATAACATACAAGCCATGTACTAACTTTTAACTCGCCCTTTGTGATTTTTGAAGAAATGAATGTGTAGTTAGCAAAGCTAATTCTCTTTTAATGACTCGGATCTGAGTGTATCATTTGCCCAAGCACAAACTTATTTGACAAACACCAGCTAGCTCAGATTTGGAAGCTGATGCTCCAGTCCACAAATGTAACAAATTCTGGCAGACAGTTAAACTCAACATTGGGTACACTCTGTTTCAGTGTATCAATTGATATCTGAATTTTAGCATATGACTGGGTCCTAAAACGCCAATCAACTAAAAGCTTTCATTTACCCAAAAGGGTAACAAAGCTTGATCCCAATTAGTCGCGAGCTCTTCCCTTTCTATCCAACGATAATGTAAATCACCACACACTTACATTTAACGCATGTAATTTTCCTTGAAAGTTGAACAACCTGTCGATCCAAACTTCCATCCAATCTCTTTGAGGCCTTTGCTTACATAAGGTTTTTTTTTTTTTTGCTGAAAAAATACACAAAATCCAAAGATGTACGTCCATGGCCCAATCATATTTCAGAACGTATATTAATCATTTCACAAATTTCAGTCTTGAGATGAATGCTTTTAGTGGTTCAACACGCAGGTGCCAATCGAAGGCTTTGTTGGTCGGAACTGGTGTGCAGCAGCTTGTGAAGTTTCGCGTTTTTTTCAGTTGTATTATTGTTTCAAATGAGACGTCCAACTGACTAGTGAAGGTAAATTCAAAAGACGCGCCCTAGTAACTGTTCAAGGTTCAGGGCCTGTACATACACTTAGACTATAAATGGCTATTCTTCAACTTGAAGGGGGTGTCTTTGATTTATTGTGTGACTTCCTCAAACCAATCAAGAAAGTCATGGGAATTAAGGTGCTTTTGAAAATTGAGATTAACATTTCATCTACTTATGGTACACGGAACTATTTGAATAATTACAGAGAAACTGCTCTCAAGTTTAGTCAAAGACTTCATGCTAAGTCCAACAATAGGCTGCAAGAGCTGTATTTATATTACCACAATGGGTAAATACTGAAGACTCAAGAACTGATGGACCATGGTTCAAACTTCAGTGGTGCAGATCATCGCTTGATGAAGTATAAGTGGATGCACGAAAATTTCGCTTGAGCATGATACAGACTCAAGAGTTGGCTGACAGTGCAGATACTCAACAAGGCCTCACTTTCAACTTTGTTTCTACACCACTCCTTGACCTTTACCAACAAGTACATACTCAAAATGGTTAACTGAAGGACGTCAATGATGTCTTCAACATACATTTGCTTCTGAGTGATCGTCAGTTGGAATACAAGAGCCATATGAGGAAAGTTTCTATGTTCATTTATCCCATCAAGGAAGAAAAGTCAAGGCAACATCACCAACGCGCTCTTTGAGAATGTTATAAAAGGATGTCGTTTTCGTCAACTTTTTCATGAGCTGTTGAAGTTTATTATCACTCATCAATTGGCTCTGTTGTTGGTTACTTTTACACCTACCTTCGCTTGATCTGTTCAGTTATTCCCCAACACCAAAGATGAAGTTCACCAGCTTCATTACGCTATTTTTTATTGGGTTATTCCAAAATGTTTTGGCTCAAAGCTCTTCAGCTTCACAAAGTGGATCCACCATTCAAGGTATCGCTACTGTTTCAACTCCAATTGGTTTCACCTCAACTGCTAGTTCCAATTGCTACTTCACCTCTCAAACTGGTACAATTCATGAAAAAACCTACAAGGCTTACTATGACGTTAGTGGTACAACTACTGGTAGTGGTTTATCTAGATCTCGTGTTCTAACTCTAACATGGTTCTTTGAATTTGATGAGCCAATTGACGCTGAATCCTTTAAATTGACAAATTTGGGTTTGGAAAACTCAAACTTCCAAGGTTCAGTTAACTTGGAAGATGGTACCTTCCTTATTTCATATGATGTTACTATGCCATACTTGACCTTCATCACTTCCATTCTTTCTTATTGTGCTTTAGATTATGTTGGATTCACATTTCAAAACACAGAGGACAACCAAGACTCATACTACTCATTCTATGTCGGTGTTGCTGGTTCTGTTTTGGGTAACACTTTACAACAAACTGTTTGTAACGTTGTTACAATTGGTGACTGTCCGGTTTACACAAACGCATTAGAGTTTGATTGTAGCATCTTGGGTAGCTTTTTGGATTGTGATGATACTACAACCATTTCAATTGGTGAATCTACAAGCTCATCATCTAGCTCTTCATCAACCTCATCAGTTGTTTCAAGCTCTTCATCAGCCCCAGCTTCCTCATCAGCTACTGAAACTTCATCAGCCCCAGCTTCCTCATCAGCTACTGAAACTTCATCTGCTCCAGCCTCCTCATCAGCTACAGAATCATCATCAGCCCCAGCTTCAAGCTCAGCTACAGAATCATCATCTGCTCCAGTCTCCTCATCAGCCACTGAAACTTCATCAGCTCCAGCTTCATCATCTGCTACAGAGTCATCATCTGCCCCAGCTTCAAGCTCAGCTACAGAATCATCATCAGCTCCAGCTTCATCATCTGCTACAGAGTCATCATCTGCCCCAGCTTCAAGCTCAGCTACAGAATCATCATCAGCTCCAGCTCCATCATCTGCTACAGAATCATCATCAGCTCCAGCCTCCTCATCAGCTACAGAATCATCATCTGCTCCAGCAACCTCATCTGCTACAGAATCATCTTCTGTTCCAGCCTCCTCATCAGCTACAGAATCATCATCTGCTCCAGCTTCAAGCTCAGCTACAGAATCGTCATCTGCTCCAGCTTCAAGCTCTGCTACAGAATCGTCATCTGCTCCAGCTTCAAGCTCAGCTACAGACTCATCATCTGCTCCAACCTCAAGTTCATCAGCTACTGCTACCAATACTGGATCTGCTACCAACACAGCTACTGGCTCTGGTTCTAACACTGGCTCAGCTACCAACACAGCTACTGGTACTGGCTCTAACACAGACTCTAACACAGGTGCTTCATCAACTGGTAGTGGTAACGGTGGTAATGGTGGTAATGGATCCAACACTGGCTCCAACACTGCTACAAACACAGGTGCTTCATCAACTGGTAATGGTGGTAACG